CCTTTTTCTTATATCTGCATTTAATAACGAATATAAACGACAACCGACCTATAAGATGGACCCTATTCAGCATATGCAGCAGGTTATTTAGAACTACGAAGCCTAGATTCAAGCCTTATTAAAGGAGCTTACCGACTTGAGGACTAAGTCGGCCCGCAAGCCCAAGCCGAGTCTCCTTGATCCTGACAAGTTCTTCGGCACCTACCATTAGGATACCTAGTTTCCGGCCATTCAAGCCAAGCTCTGTATCGACAGTCAAGCCATTGGAGCTCTAGAAGCCTAGTTTTTCTATATATATGGTCGTCTCGACAGCAAGGTTCAGGCACTCGTTACACTATAGTTAGCTGTTGCCGAAGACATAAAGCAGTACGACCCCTAGAACCTGCTTAATCAACTAGCCCGTTTATTTAATAACCCCAATAAAGTGCACGATGCCAAAGATAAACTACAAGCCTTAAAACAAGCCGATAACGACCCGCTCCTAGTCTTCCTAGCCTGGTTCGAACGGCTGCTTTACGCAGCTAAGGCAAACACATGGCCTGACAACACCAAGATCGCTATGCTTCGTTATGGCTTGAATAAATCAGCCTGCTCCTAGCCTGATACCTAGGTTATTGTACTCGACGATTACAACGGCTTTATGTCATGAACTAACCTGCAGAGGCCGGTGGGGGCCGACCTGCATGGTCGACGGGCGGTGCCCGTATCCAATCATTGCGAATCAGAAAGAACCAATGGGGACTGAGGGAATCAGGAACAATGCCAAGAACGATTGTTCCTGGGGAACAACGCCAAGGAACGTTGTTCCAGATGGAACAACGAGAACAACAATTGTTCCAAATGTTCCAAAGATCTAGGTACGGGACACCTAGAGGAGGAAGCCGTATATAGTTCTACCATTCTGCCACTCATTCAGATAGCTAGCTTCCTCAGTGAGCAATTACAAGCAGTAAGGTAGCCCTACATTACTGTGCAGACATTGCGACTTGCATTGTTGTGAACCCTTTGGCTTCACCGAGACCTACAGTCCGACCAGCAGATACCTTCGACCGGCGAACCCTTTCAGAGGCAGGACTGCCTGCGGTTTCGTCACACTTTATCGCAATGCTCTACAAGCTCAATATACGTTACTACGGTTCCGGTAACCCCAAGCTCTTCAACGCTAATTACAACAAGGGCGAACCAATGGATTTGAACATGGTGGACATTGCAGCTATAGATATGCCGAAGTATAGTATGGTCCCTGAGCTCTGGTCGATGAAGAAGGCTCTGCAGGAGGACTCTAGGAATAACGACAGCGACCTATACGATTGATTGGATATAGTTTTAGTGGATTTTTTTCGAGCTATATTAGAAGCCTCAAGGACGAGTCTTCTTTGGAGGGGGGAGTTATAACGGTGGAACGCACTGACCATGATAATAATATTATTTAACGTATCTTATAAGCGAGCAGGACATATAAGCGAGCGGGACACTCTCCACCACTCTACAACAACCATCCTCAATTGCAATACAATAAGACTATTAACCAATTATAATTATATTAGAAACAGCTGAATCAGACCCTTCTACAACCTCCTGGCACGTACAGGCATTATAGCCAGGCTTGCCGTATACACTATAGCACCGAACCTTCGTACAAGCCCCCCCTACACTACCACTATCCGGCTCCTTTTCTTGCGCCATCTCCCCAACCACGGCCTTCTGGTCCAATAGATCCTTTGCATCTTGTACCGCAAGCGATCCTCCAAGCTATACGTATGTTCTTTTGGCTCTCCGGCGCTTGCTGAGTGCCTCGTTGGCCTTGCGGAGCGAAGAGACCTCGGCGCAGAGAAGAGCCATCTGGTGCATTATAGCTATTGTACCCTTGGCCAACTGGTCTATAGCAGCCAATATCGAGGTTGGGGAGTTATTTTGATAGTTGGCAATACGAGTCTTGATGAGTGTAGACTGTACATTGGCTTCCCGGGAGTTGTATGGTGTCTGGAAGACCTAAGACTGTATAGTGCTAGGCCGTGAGGTTGGGGGTATTAATATATGAAGCTTGATATCCAGCTTAGAAAGTAGCCTCTCTAGATCGTACGGCATAAGGCCAGCACCTATAAAGCCACCCTATATATTCTTCTCTGTTATAGAGGCGAAGAAGGCCTTGTAGAAGGTATAGAGGAACTCGAGCTTGCTTATGTAGTTGATATACATGCGTATCAAGTCCTCGACCTGGCGACTGTACACCTGCTTTAGCGGCCTAAAGCAGCCAACATCGAGTGGCTGGAGGAGGTAGGAGGAATGCGGAGGCATATAGAGTGTGATAATGTGATGCTCCTGGCAGTAGAGCTCGAATTCGGTCGAGTGGTGGCTCTCGTGGCCGTCGATGATCAATAACCGATATTTGCCCTTTGTACGGGGTGCTATATAGAAGTCAAAGTGCTTGATCTAATCGAGGCCTACAGCATTGGTAGTCCAGCCGTTCTCGGTGGTTGCGATACGCCAGTCGGCCGGGAGGTTGCACTCTTGATACTAGTTGGCGAGGTGGTATTGCGCGGCCAAGATGATGAAGGGTGGGATAGCCCAGCCGAGGGCATTAACTCCCTGGATTACCGTAGCCCACTCGCGGTTACCAGGCTGGGCCAGCTTTGCCTTGCTACGGCCATCAGAGGTCGTAACTACTATGCCTGGGAAGATGATACCCATTATGAACCTAGTCTCGTCGAAGTTATAGATATCGTCATCTACAATGCCGTACTTGGCCTTGACATTCTATACGAGCGCGAACCACTCGCCAATAACCTCTGGGTCCTCGCACTTAGCCCTCTGGTAGTCGTATCGACGTGACTAACGCGTACGGAGAGCGGGCTGGCGTTTAACGAAGTTGTAAGCCCAGAGCTTGCCGACAGGGGGCGCATTGCGTACACGTAGCAGTTGGTTGGCCATATCTTCCACACCACGTAGCCTTGGTAGAAAAGCTCGCTCAGATAGCTCAGTTATATACTGGACTATAGCCTTCTCTTCTAGATCGGTAAGCTTCCGTGAGTTGGCTAGAAGATCGCGTCGTATAGGCTGGCAGGTACGTCGGTAGCCGAGGGTTGAAACTGGCACGTTATAGAGCTTGGCCGCGGCTCGAAGGCTTAGTTCTATATCATTTTTAAGAGCTTTGAGGGCCAAGGTTACCCTAGCTTCCTTTGAAGTGGAAGACATCTTTAGTTGTAGGAAAAACGCATTGTTAGAGGTAGATAAGGAAGGACGCGTTGTGCCAAGAACTTAGTGTCCCGCTCGCTGATATGTCCCGCTCGCTGATATGTCCCGCTCGCTAATAATGTACGTTATCTATATAATAAACTATATAAAGTACTCTAGTAACCCGCTCGTCTATAATATTTACCGTAGACTTCTCGGCGTTAGGAGGCTCCTTCCTAGTATAGAGCGGCTTCCTTTAGACCCGCTACTTCCTAAAATAAAGTGTTGAGCCTACGAGTTACTATTAAAGGAGCTGCGAATCCTCTACCATACTCCGCTTAAGTGCTATGACAATATCGTGCAGCTATCTCGATCCGATAAGTCCGGATCAATCCAGTTCCGAACTCGTAGATCCTAGTACTTCTTTTAGAGGAAGTGTAGCATAGGTCCCTGTAGCAGTACGTCGAGTCAGAGAAGCCCGGAATCGAGACCTATCTGTGGCTCAGCCAGGAGATTGGGAGGGGCCTCCAGGCGCTTCACCCGAGCGGAGTCATTCATAAATATCTCAAGTTGTAGAACGTTCTCGTCTTCGATCTGGGAGGCGGCCATGTGAGGGCAAAATTGTCCGACTTAAGCAGCTCCGTCATCAGCGACAAGTGCCACCAGATGGAGATGGTCACCCTCACCACAGAACCCCCCCCTTGGACCTCTCCAGAGCACGCCGAGCCGGTTCCAAGCAGCTTGCGTTGCCACGCGGATACTTACTCATATGGCCGTCTTATGTGGAGGCTTTGTCTCCACGGTCAGAGTCCGTTTGACGGCCAAGAAAGTGAGGATATCTGGCTGTGCAAGAAACGAGACGAAGCGGCACTGTCTCTTGAAGACCGTTATAGAAAGGTCATGATCCTTGGCGGCCGGGCAGCCAACGATACCCGGTTCCAGTTATACAACCTGGCGGTTATGATACCGCGACGGTGTCTTCAGCATTGTCCTGCCGCATCCATTGAGAAGAGAGACCCGACAAGGCGGTGGAGGCGCTCCACTACGGCTTATACGAGTAGGGTGAACGTACCGTATCCGGTAAGTCCGTGGTACACATTGCTAACAAGGCATGGAACTACATCTAGGTTCCCCGAGGATCTCTTCAACCCAAACAAGAGTGGTGATGCCGAGGGCAAGGTGTTGTTCGCAGGAAGCCGTGTAAGTGGTTCATGCCCGCCCCACATCCGGAACACGGAACGCATTCTCACATAGAATGACAAAATCCAGATGGAACGTAGCAATTCAGGGCAACGGCAGTCAATTATGCGCATATGTGTTGCATGTGTCCTGTTCGGATTACGGCGTTCCATGCGCCCTGGCCGCCCTGTATTTCCAACAGAAGCTGCCTATTCCAGTTCAATGTGGTGTCCTGGCTGTTGGTAATTCCAACATTACCCCCGTTTTCCACTAGGCCCCCCATCCCCGCGAAGTTTAGCCGACTACCTCTACATCCTAATTTTACCCCCTGCATACTGCAACTTAGAAAAGGTGGAGGATGGAAAACAGGGCTCGCGATTGATCAGAGCGAAGGAGAGGTTCGATGGAACTGAACGAGGACCGGTACTGGGCTCCAAGCCCAGGCCAAACAGGGTGAGGTCGAAGGTGGCAAGAATGTTTCATCAGAAGAAGAGGTTCAGTGGTGCCCAGAGATTCCGGCCCAATTAAATACTAGATCCACGCCCGGGTCGTACTTTCCGTACGAGCCAACATAAGGTAGGTAACGTTGAGTAACGATCGCGCGATTATACGGTGTATATACCTCTTTCTTTTCCTCGCATTCAAGGGCTCCACACTAAGGTCTATACCTAGGTATACTACGCTCGATGTCTGCCAACAACCAAGGCTCTATATCGCGCGGCTTTCGCCAGCTCCTCTGCTTGATTCGCCCGATCGAGACTAGCAACATAAATACGGACACCAACGAAGGCGACGAGTATCCGCTCCCGTTTCTCCCAGCCCAGCGGCCGCGTCCGCTCACGCCAATCTCGTCGCAGCAATCCCCTATCAATCTCGGCAGGTTGGCTCGAGTACCTCCCGAGTTGCGATGGCGCATCCTGATAGCGGCGTTTGGAGGCCGCACATTGCACCTGGACATGCAATTCGCCCACCCGCGGCGAGCCGACGCCTTCGATCTTGTTGCGCAAGATGTCAATGGCGCCGCGCATGGCTTTGGTGTGTCACCTTTGAGCCCTTGGTACTTCCCGGCCCGCGACGCACCACGCGCTTGGCGGTGGACCAGCTGCGTCTGCCACCGCATGCTCCCTGTAGGCTCCCGGTTTGAGCGGCGCTGTTTAGCTAAGGGACGTCCAGTTGCTAGCTATCCCCACAGTGATGGGTGTCTCTATGGCGAGGTCACCTACTGTCATCTGTGGCCGCCCGAAACCATCACAACGCGCGCAATGATCGGCGCCCCGGGGAAATGCATGGTCGGCGTGATGGGTTGGCTACTCGCGTGCCGGCAGGCATACGTCGAGGGCGTAAACGTTCTCTATTCCACCAACACGTTTTTCATCGAGAGCGACATCCTCTTCAGTAACCTAGTCTGCCGGGAGTCTGGTCTCGTCTCCCGCCATCTGATCCTACCGGAACGACTGACATGTATCACGTCGCTTGAACTGCGATTGGACCTCGTGCTGTTCGGTTCTTCTCTCCGTCCTGATCGTGGCAAGACGCATGACTCCAACAAGGACAGGGCTCAGCTGGCGGCCAATCTCCGTCACTTGTGCGATCCATTCCCGAACCTACGCAGCTTGGTGCTCTCATTCCGGGACCATCTCTACAACGATCGCGAGGTCCGGCCTGTCTACGCTCTGGATGAAATCAATCGCGTCCTGCTGCGGCCGCTTGCCCATGCCATGACCCGTCTCCCGTTGCCGGCGCGGCAGAAGGGCATTGTGGTCGAGCTTCCGTCAAATGTGTTTGAAGAGCTGAAGGGCGTCCGGCGAAAGGGTGGTGCCCCGGGCTTGGGGCTCGAGGAGGAGGAGAAAGTCTGCGAGATAGGCAATGGCGGGTTCATGACGCAAAGCGTCTGGCTACGGTATCCTTTATCCTGCGGTGCGGCTGTGTCCGACCCTGCAGCAGAGTGCGGTCACGATAGGAGTGACTTTTACTACATCAAGAAGGGCCCGGAGAGCGACCTTTTCTGGGACCACAACGGTACACCACAGTGCCGGCCGTATCTTACTAGTGGTTGCTCTGGATGAACGGCATGCTCAATGCATATTAGATAACTTAGGTGCCTCACTACATTGGGGTTATGCACATAGCATGATCCTACTCCTATACACACATAAACATCTGGCCATAGTGTGACGCACTCAGCCCCGTTATTGACGGCCTGGCTCCGTGTATAGGAGGCTCTGGGCGAGGTGCCGTGACAGTTGACAATCGCCCAGAAGCCGTCACCGCTTTAGACATAATAAAACTTCTTGCCTCCCTTCCGTCCTGGACTGGCGATTCTTCTCCACTATTTGCTGTAAATGTCTAGGGCAACTTGGCAACAATACCCGACTCACGAAACCCAACTTCTTCGAACTTCCCATCGTACTAGACTCGAGAGAACAGTACAATGCTGAACCGAACCTTAATTCTTCTCTCAATAGTTTCATGTTTATCAAACTGTTCTAGAGCTTTAATTTCTCCCGACGACACCCAATCTCCATCGTCATGTCCGCCTCTTCCGAACCCGAGCAAGTTCTCATGTCTCTTGACGAGTACATCACCCTCTGCGCCGACCTCCACAATACCCTCCTCGTTAGATCCTTCTCTCCAAACTCGCCGCCAGCCGACACTTCCTCCGACCTTCTCCAACGCTACGAATCCTACCGCGCCAATCCGCCCTTGGACCCCGACTACGACGCCCCCTCCCTCGATTTGCTTTCGCCCCTCGCCACCCTGCTCTCTCGGCTTAAAACCACTGTTCCTCTCCGCAGTGGTACTTTCACCCCTCCAACGCCCCTCCTCTACCAACCCTTGCCGGAATGGTTGTTCCCACCCCTCTATAGCCACGACTTCGATGCGGCTTCCTCCGCGTTTCTCCTCCTCTATCCCCAGCGCCTCCCCTCCGACGCCTTACCTGCCATGGATGGGGGTCTGTTCGTAGACATCTATACCCTCTATGGCATTTGGCTTGACGCCCTACGTTACCCGGCAATCTCCCCCTCCGAAAAGCAGCTACCCCTCGACTGCCTCCTCAAACAGGAATTATCACGCTGGGAATCCGGCCGCTACGTCCACGATCCCAGCGCCGAAGAAGGGCTCAGAATCCAAAAATGGGTCCCTATCCCTTCCACCATCGAGGAGGCGGTGGCTCATCACCTTAACCTCCAGGTCGCAGAAGCCATCTCGGAGTGGGAACGCTTGCTATATGCGATTGAATCCAAAATGCCCTCTTTATCAACCCCGAAAGGAGAAGCCTCAAAACGAGAAAGCGGGCAGCCCTTGCGATTGGAGGGGATGCAACGCCTGCGCCTCAGCAGGTTCGCACAGCATTTTCTAAGCCGTGCGCGAAGACCTAAGGGATGGACCTTTATAGCGCCGGGCATTGGCACTTTCTCCAACGAACGCCTGCGCGAGGTATATATAACGGAAGCAGAAGACACGTTCAGGCGTACGTTCACGACTTCGGAGGAAGGTGAGGATTGGATCATACTACTTCCTAGCCTCGCCGGTGACAACCCGGTTATGGTTCCGGCCGATGTGAGCCATGTACCTGATCTCGAGATCAACTCGTTCGACAAGCCCTTCGCATTTGGGAAGGCTACGGTAGGGCGACGGGCAGGGCTGTATACCTCCTGGGCGGACGAGCGGGATGGAGACTTGGTGCAACTAGTATATCCGTCTAGGCGAACAAATGCTGGTGTGTTCAGTGGCCCATGTCCCTGGGGACCCAGCAGATTGCCGCGGCTGGCTGAGGTGCTGGGCCATTGGGCGAACTTGGTCGAGGACGGGGTCTGGGCGGTGGGTGCGGATGGTGTGAAGGAGGACGCCATATGGTACGATTCTCATCTGGACTTAGCAAATCTGGACTGGGACGACGTCTCGGAATGAAAGATGCTCGGGGAACGGCTACAGGGGAACGGCTACACATAGTCATTGTTTTGCGAACCAAGCAGGTTTTCAGAGCAACAGTGTCCTCTCAGTTTACATTCATACCCCTTTCTCGCCGTCTACATGGCCATGCTGGAACTTTATCCAGGAGAATGTTATAATATCTCCACATGCTGTTGTCATCGACAACGTCCTCTGCGTGCCGGGCTCTGAAATAGTGCGAAGGGATGCGCAACCTCGTAGGTCTAACGTTCTTAGACGACGGGTATTCGAGGAATATCTCGGCAATGATGCCGCGGTGCCACTTTCTGGTCGCAATGACACTACATGTGCGGGCAGGCTAGGAGAGTTGTTCCTGCGGTACGTTGGAGATACCTGTTCAAACAACTTTCACATGGAAGACAACGCAGTTTGCCTCGGCGGACAGCCATAGCTTTGGTGCATGAGGTTGTATTCGCAACTCGCACAGATCATTTGATGGCAATGCGCCACACCTTATTAGTAATGGCTTGCGAATGTAACCCCCGGATTCTCAAACGATCACGCAGTACCGAGACCTGTACCTGGTTCTTCCCCGCATATCGAAGTAGTTATGAACCAGGCTATAGACGATGGAGGGAGTCTGCTGCAGCAACCTGCCGTTTGTGGATATCACATCCGGCTTGATCTCATATTGGGTAGACGACGATCTGAGATGCGTTGCGTACTCGGGTGCCGCGAGGTGTGCCCGCACGGACACGTCAGTTGCATGACAAGTAGTATCGTGACCTGTACTTACATTATTGTAGAATCTTGCGAGGGTCGAGATAGGACCTCCGCTTACAGGACGCGAAGGCTACTGGAATCATTGGCTGGGTCCGCCTTACATGAGTGTAGGGACTTGCAAAGCTCTTACGCTGAGAGCAATTCAACAAGCATTGGCGGACCTAGGAAAGGGGTCAGGCCAAGTTAGAGGGTGCCCTGTGACAAGGAGAACATCCCCATGGGAGGACGGACACTTCTTGGCCTTGCAAGTTGGAAGGACAAACGTCAGATTAGTTGACGAGAGAGGAAAAGTATAAATATCCCCTTTTCCTCCTCTCTCCGTGAGTCTATCGACATCTTCCATTCCTCAGCACCACAAGCACCCCTGACCCGTGGACCTTCCAAGCCAACACAAGACTCCAAGAGCACTTCCAGCCTCCAGACACCACAATGCACTTCTCCACCATCCTTATCGCTACCCTCGCCGCTGCCGTCTCGGCCGGCCCAACTATGAAGCGCCAGGCTGCTTGCCCGGAGGTCGACAACATCCCAGCCTGCGGTGTAAGTTCTGTGTTCCTTTACCAACAGGCATAGCCCCTCCCTTACATAACGCACACACTCATGAGAAATTAAACTATTAGTACCCCTGCATCGCCGACGCCGTCGCCGCTGTTGGCTGTGCTGAGACCGATTACTCGTGCATGTGTGGCAACTTTGACACGGTCCAATCCGGCGCCACGTCGTGTGTCCTTGCCAACTGCGATCTTACCAATGCCTTGGCTGTGCTCTCTGCGGCTCGGGCCGTTTGCGATGCCTGCGCTTGAGCAGCTGTTGGCATCCTTGCTACCTGTACCTTAGGACCGGGATCGCACCGGTGTGGAGGTACAGATACATATCGGATGGTCTGCTCCAAGTGTCATTCAACAACTCTCCAGCAATGCTAGCTACCTAGTAATAATACTGAGGAGGTTATTCCCTTGCCTGTTCTCTGATGCCCAAGTGAAGCTCCATGAGGGTTAATGATTCCCTATAGCCTCCATCAGGAATAGACGTCTGTTTTTGGTGTGTGCGGATGGGTTTCGTGGTTCCTCTGTGCTCGACTCTAAAAGATCTCCGCTGCAGACCGTTAGTCGGGAGGTTGTATTGCTTGCTTGAGGAGTCTGAGACTCTGGGGACCTTGGTTCCTTATGTACATACAAAGCCTGGTTCCTAGCCTTCTATCCTTTGTTCCTGCTGTACCGGTACCTCCAGTGCCTGCCTAGTTTGTGGTCTCTGCCCCTGATTTCAACACTCAGCGCTCAAGACTCTTCACTTGACAGCGCCCTGCATACATCCTCAGCCCGAACTTTCAGCATTCCCAACCTCTCGCGGACCTCAGCCAATCTGGTCCTCTCTGCTTCATGCCCGACATCGTTTCGCTGAATCTCAACGAGAGTAGAGAGCACAAATCGAAGGTCCGTTGCGACATCCTCGACAGCTTGCGCCAAAGTGCTTGTCAAGGTCGTCTTGAGCTGTTGAAGAAGCGCGTCTATTCGATCTTGGAGAGCAATGGCAGCCCCTGGGAATAGCACGCCATCTGTAATACGATTCTCGATGATGTCGATCTGTCTCTTGTTCTTGCCAGTTCCTGGTTCCGCGTCAGCCTGAACATACTTGCTACCTTCGGCGTCGAAACGTGGACATGAGCACGTACCGTATTGGTTACTAGCCACTCTGTAGGCTGGGATCATAGCATCCAAGATGTAGGAGCCGTGGCTTGGCTCGGACGCGTAACGACGAATTTGCCTTTGCAAGCACAGTAGATGAGTGTTTATAGTCTGCCTGACTTGCCATTCTGAGTTTTTGTTGGGTTGCAGACTTACTTCACATCGCGGGCGAACTTCTCTTGGGCCCGAGTCAGGCGGTACTTCATGCTCTCGATCCTGGGCCCGACGATGGCCGACAGCTGTGTGCAGAATTCGCTGGATCCATCGGTGGTGGAGAGGATCGTCGAGACGGCTGTATCGAGTGCTCCAAACTGCTCAGAGACCGTGGCCAGTAACTCGTCGAAGACACTGCGAATCTCTTCTTGGACAATGTCCCACTGGAAGTCGAGTTCGGCACGCAGCTTCCAGATGATCTTGGCATTCCAGTCGACTCTGCCGCGCTTTGGAGTACAGTGGTAGCCATTGTTGCGACACCACGCATCGTATTGTGCTACACCCCGGGTATGTTAGAACGCAAGATCAGCAGGGGGCGGATTATGAAGCAGTATCCGTACTCCAGTGCCACTAATAAGCATCGTTAGTCATGTCTGCGGTTATCCGGCAGGGTCATCAAAGACTGGACCATACATCTCTCCATGGCTTAGCCTCCGCATGCGCCGCTTTTTCCCAGGTCTGGTGTCGGTTATCTGCAAACTTGTTCAGCATAAGACTAAACCCTTCCGTCATCAAAGGGTCATCCGTACCGATAATGTTAAGGACTTGCTCCACAAAGCAGGACCGGAAATCGGCCACTAGCGTGTTGATTGCGGCAACGAACACGTCCATCTATATCAAAGTCAGTCTGTATCGCAAGGGGTGAGAGATGAGATGCAGAGAATAGCCCGGGGGGGGGGGGGGGGGGGGGGGGGTATAAAGGCCGTCTTACCATGCCACCATTGATCCTTTGAGCCTCCCTGAGGGCTTCCCCATGGTCGCTCGTTCGTGGCTGTCTTCTTCTCAAGCGTCCACCAACCCACAGTTCCGCTGAATTGACCAAAGTAAATACCCTCGATCGTAAGAAATGAATCGCCTCCCTGAGCTGCGCATCGGCCGCGAGGCTATGACAAAATTGCCGCAGAGCCGGAATGCCGCTTGCCTGGACAAGTTCGCGATTTCCCTTCCGAGAGTATTTGTCATACCATTTGTTGGAGACGCAGAACACGTCCAGACGTCCGCCTGGTGCTTTGGTAGCATATGCTGCCTGCAGACCGGAGGTTACATGGGCGTTGCGGGCGTTGATCAGGAGCAGCTCGCGCCTGATACAGCAATAATAATAGGATTGGTACGTTAGCAAGGACCATAGCCGATCTGCGTAGGTAAGTAAATGAAGTCGGGAACTTGGAACGCACTGTTGCTTCAACGCCTTCTTTTGCATCCTGTTGCCCCTGGCCTTCGCGTCCTCAATTTGCGCCTCCAGGTTGTCCATGACGGAGTCGAGGATTACTTTGTCTGGTCCGCAGAATTCTCGCCTGTCTGATTTAATGTCAATGTCCTTCAAAATGGAGCAAAGTCAGCCTTGTCTTGAGGTTCCTCTTCTCAGTAGGAGTGAGTAGCGGTACCTCGGTCTTGGTGCACACGACGGCGATCCTCAAGCTTTGAGCGGCTGATTCCTCCCATTCCAACGGAACATGGCGCGATAGAACCGAGAAGAGCGATGACTGTAGTGACCGGTCCGTGATGGCTCGCGATATCTTGGCAACAATGAAGATATGGTTGCACTTCAGTAGGTAGTCGTGTGTCGCGCGCACCCTGGCGAGGTTTGTGTCCTGCAGGCCTGCCCAGCAGCAAGTTAGACCAGACTCAACCTTGACCTGGCACCAAGAAGGAACGAACCAGGCAGATCCGCAAGAACAACGCCAGTCTTGAGCACCTGCGCGTTGAGGTAGACTCGGATGACTTTGGTGAACGGCCAGTACCGGTCCTGCATGAAAACGGCGGTTTTCCTGGCACATTCCTCGGCCGTGTTCGCAGTCGACCGCCAGACGCCATCGCCAGTGCCGTCGGGCCACTCGATCTCCCGTGACCATCCAATCAACTGCTCCGTGAGCCGCTCCATGGCACCCTCCGACATATCCCGCAGCATCTCCTCCTTGAACTCCGGCTTGTGCTTGAACGCGGCCTCCAGGGCGGACCAAGCTTGAGCAGACTCGCGCTGGTACCGAGCGTAGTCCTCAGCCGAGGTTCCTTCGTCTTCGACGCCCGGGAGGTACAGCTGCCGGTAGCTCCACAGCAGTTCCTTAATGACATCCTCGGTCGCGGACCCGGACAAGTGCTCCACCTCGATGGTGATGGGAGCGGTATGCTCGCGCGTCTTTTGCCAGTACTCGGTGACAACGGAAGTGCACGCCGAGCCAATGTCGCCCTGAAACAGAGAGAAGGTCAGAAGGGGTCACCATAAACACATACCGAGGGGGGAGGTAGTCCTTACGGTCTTGGCGATCCCGGGGAAGTGCAACAGAGAATTGATCAAGCTGCTTTTGCCTGTGGGATCAGGAATCAGCATTCATTCGCGTCTGGGAACAAGAACAACGTTGGCGACGCCTACCTTCTCCGGAGTCCCCCAACACGGCGATGGTTTTCGTATCCGTCCCCTGAAAAGCACATAGCTCTTTCGCATCAGACAGAAGCCTTTCCAAGTCCCTGTCGCTCTGCACCAGTCCGTCCAAGCCCTCCAACTCAGCTAACGTGTCTTTGGCAATCCCCAAACCGGCCTGCAGAGTTGACTGGAACTCGGCCGTGAAGAAGCGATGAACTGGGCCTCTTTCGTTGCGGACATCGTATGGGTTTGCAGTGGGCCCCTCCTCCAGGTCGGAAGCGATGGAAACGTCTGAAGTTCGATTGCGGTGAGTCATGCGCCCTGGAGGGAACAGGGCCAAATGCGCTGGCGTGCCAGAACGGCTGTCGGCGCCCTCTCCGGATGCGCCTGACTGGGGAGAGGTCTCACGCGATGGTAGTGGTGTGGTATTGTGTAGAAGGCGCAGCGAGAACTGGGCCGGTCTTTCTTGGCCAAACTCGTAGAATACCGGCCTCTTGCCTTGTGCTTCTCCGTTACCCTGGTCTTCGAACGTCAGGCTAGGAGAAGAGGTCGGAGCGTCTATCGCAGACATCGGGTGTGGGCCGGTCGTTGGCAATGCTGCCCAAAGCTCGCCCATGCCAAAGGAATATGGCGGAAACCGCCCGAATGAGCCGTTTACAGAAGTGGAAGCTCGATTTGCCATACCACCGACGCGATAGTGTGGACTGAGTGACCTTCCTCGAGGCGTTCCCGGACGGGATCCGCTCCTGGGAGATAGATGCCGAGGAGAGTTGGCTGACGGCCGCGGTGGCGTAGATGTGTTGCCCTGGAAAGCCCCAGTGAATGTGAAGGGAGAGTTGGCGTTTTCAGAGGCGCTGACGCGAAAGGTTGGCGTCCGTGGCCTGTTGGTGTCCGGCATCTTGATGGACTTGGAACAACTCTATCTGAATGTATGCGACGATGGTGGCCTAGAAAGATGTTTGAACTGAAACAGTGTCAGATGGATCTTCATTGTGCGGATTTGGCGTCCTTTAAGTAATGCTGATGGTTGTTTCAGTCTCCTGCGCAGCCACAGCAACATGCAGGACCTGCATTACCTGATTGGTTCTCCAGACCGCCTTTCCGTCTTGCGACCCTTACCGCCCGGCTGTGCCACTGTCACACCGGGGAGCTGGACTTGTGCGGCTGCCGTCAACTAAAACCCCCCTTCGGCGTGAGCTACTACTTCCATAGCGAACACAGTGAGAGGTGCCGTCCGATCCAAGGTTCCAGGTTGTCGGGGACGTGGAGGAATTTTGAGGCTTAAGCCAGTTGGGACCGGAGATGACATTCCACTTCAAGGTTGACGACGTATCTCTCACCCCGCTTGGGACACATCATGTGTCATTGATGCCGTTGGCGCCATCACGGTATCAGCGCTGGCTTGGCAGGTTGCCGAATGCAGCCACTCGCGCGGGGAAACTTTTATGGTTTCAGCACGGAGTTCCTAACAACATCTGATAGGACGAAGCGACGTGTTTTGTAATGTGCGCGTTCCATTGTACTCTGTTGTAGAAGTATTGGGAGCACAGGCAGGCCGGTTCAGGCAGAGAACATAACGTTACTGTCCGTGACGAGCGGAGAGAGATAAAATTACGATATATCCTGTAAGATACCTTACATATCGGCTTCTACTTGGTAGGTGTAATACTCATTGCATGCTTGTGCAATATGATACATACGGTAGGTACCTGGTACCTTATGTACCGGGTCATCCTAGTACTGATCAGAGCGAGGTAGCTTTTGATCATGCAACTATCCGGGTTGGCTGAGACAAATCACTGTAGATATTGGATATCGTCCTGTACCAAGCCCGATAAGGTGAATGCTATTAATCCATTTTTCTACAGGCTCCCAGTCATCCGATATCGTTTCTCACCCAAGCCCCGAATCCAGTTCACGATAACATCTCCATAAGTGTCTCGCACTTAGAATATTAAAGAGTGAAAAGTCAAACTTGGTTAAAATAGAAAGGGAACGAGCTTGAAGGCATGAGCTAAAGCCGCAGAGTTTCGATAGCCATACAAATCGAGTCCTCTCTCAACGGTCTCATGGGGGTGGGATAGGAGATAGGAAGGGGGTTACATAGATAACTCTAATGACTGATTGTCCTTAAGTACGACTTAGGCTTCAGAAGCTAATCCCCGTGCTACATCCCTCTGAGCAAACATCTCCCTCAAGTCCTTCACCAACTCCTCAGGCCTCTCGTGCGCCGCAAAGTGCCCGCCGTCCGGATGGACCTTCTCGTACACCACAGGCCCAAGCGTGCGTCCCCAAGTCCGAGGCGGCACCACCAAGTCCTTGGGGAAGTACGAGAGGCCTAGCTTGACGTCGGGAACATAGCCATTGATCTTCCTCGTGAACTTAGCATTTGTGTGCATGTTCTCATAGTAGATCCTGACGCTCGCCGCCGGCCCGGCGGTGCTGAATTGGTACACGCTGACCCACTCCAGCACCTCGTCGTCGGTCCACGGGTACGAGTCTGTCCAATCGTGTAGCTTTTCGTAGATCCATGCCAGAACGGCGACGGGCGAATCTGCCAGCGCAAAGCCTAGTGTCGACGGTTTGGTGCTCTGCTCTAGATTGTAACCGAAGCCTTCCTCCATGAACCACTTCGTGCGAGCAAGACCTGCTTTTTCGGCTTCAGTGTACGAGCTCAGGAGGTCCTGGATGTAAAGCAGGGGATTGCTGCGGAAAGAGGGGCGGTTGTTTACGCGCACGAAGTTGAGGTGCGAGGCCAGGCAGTGTTTGGGGTAGAGCAGCCCCATCATGCGCGTCACGGCCCAGCCCCAGTCGCCGCCCTGTGTGGCGTAGCGCTGATAGCCCAGCTTCTGCATCAGCTTGTGGCAGACCTCGGCGTAGTGCTGGATGGTGAAACCTGGCTTCTTTGTTGCTGAGGAGAAGCCGAAATTCGGCAGAGATGGCGCCACGACATCGAAAGCTGGCTGGGACGGGTCCATAGGATTGGTCAGGAGAGGCAGAATCTTCACGACCTCTAAGAAGCTGCCCGGCCAGCCGTGACAGAAGAGGAGCGGGATGCTGGGACGCTTTGGACTCTTCTCATAGAGGAAGTGGACTTGCAGGTCGCCGAAGCCGTCGACGTTGATCGCGGTAGTAAATTGCGGGAGTTGGTTGAGCTTGTGCTCATGAGCGCGCCAGTCAAACCTGTCCTTCCAGTAGGTCGCCAGCCGCTTGATGTCTGCCAAAGGCGCGCCGTAATTCCAGTCATTGGAGAAATCGACCTCATCGGGCCATGTGGTAAGTCCGAGTTTGTCTTGGAGACTCTTGATGGCTGAGTCGGGAACGTTGATCTTGAAAGGTTCAATTGGCGATGCCATGATGTGCTCTCTCTCGCTCTCTCTTTGCTTGTTGCTGGATTGCTATGATGGGTCAAGATGGCAGTGTTTGGGGTCTTACAGATTCGGTGCGGAGATCGTGATGGCATGCCATGCGATCGCACCTGCCCCTCCGTCCAGACGCGGGTCTTAAATAAATGCAGTTATCTCGGATGCTGCTATCCGTACCGTACTCTAACCCCGATCAAAGAACACAGCGTCAATCTGTCCTTGGATTTGTCAGACAGTTGGGGTCCAAAAACATGACGCGGTAATGGAATACTCGAATACGATGTAATTATTAAGGCGCAAATCTTGCCTGGCACAGAACAGCAATTGCTGACTTATTAGCTGACCCGCCTCGTCACGCGCCCTAACGACTACAAATTACAAACGGCGCCGGCGACGGAAGCCGGAACTTGGAAGTCGTCGCCAATTCTACTTTGTTCACTCCCACCGCACAACACCCCCCACACGTTCACGATAGAGACGCATTTTAATTTTTCGGCACCAGGATCCTGTTCCCTATTCGCGTGGTCGTTCGGGATTATCGTCGAGGATATGAACTCATGACGCGACCCTCAGTCCCTCACGGCTTAGTACCCGGCTTGCTAATACCTGTCGGAACTTCCCTCCTTCCCCTTCCCTCCCCACCCCCAAAGCCTAAAATCTACTCCCCTCTTTCTCCAGACCCGACGGCGAGAAAGAGGATAATAAACCACGTCTTGACGCATCCGTGGGGCAAGAGACAGTTAACAGCTATAGGAGGCTGCCGGACAGCACGGGGCTCCGTCCTTCCCACCAAGGAAGCGTTGCCGGAAGGTAACTTGCTCCCATAACGATCCTACGATACCCCCGCTTTACACCACAATCACGGAGCCAGTCACGTTCTAGCATCTTCCAGACTCATTCTCACGGTCACATCTTGCACCCGACAGAGAATCGTAGCCAAGTTCCGGGGCAGGCGAGGATCGCGGCTGACAGACGATAGGCTGTATTGTAGTTGCACCCGGCGTAACGTGACTACCTTAGGTCCCTAGTACTGAAGATGGCCCGCATCATCTAGCTCCGCCCTCCAGATCCGACCCGCAGTCTTTCCATGCTTTCTTCCACCAAACCTAGCAGTGGAAAGCGAGGCAGCCCGAGCCTCCCACGTGGGCCTTGACTCCTACTTCTCAGCGCGAACGACCACTGGTCTGGCTGCCTCGGCTGGGAGCCTTGCGCCGCTCCCGCGCCTCACAGTCGTCGCACTTGCCGGGCATCTCCCCCATGTGCCTATCGGTACCCCTCGCCGGCTTTGGGTGCAAAGGCCGGTTGGCGTTCTTGCATGGCGTGATCTCCTTGTCACCGCGGGGAGTATGGCTGCAGCCGGTGTAGGTGTAGTACTGGTAGTTCCAAGTGCACATGGTTGGTTGCTTTTGCGTGAGCCTGCGGCTTGTTAGAGCTTGTGTTTCCTAGCGACTTGGTGTGTTCCCGGGAGTGGGTGGACCGTTGAGATAGGCGCAAACTCACGTTTGAGGAGTTGTAGACTGAAGTTGGTAGAGTCGTCGAGGCTTGGGGAGAAGGCAGAAATATAGTAGTTAGATGATGGGAGCTTGCGAGTTGTTACGTTGATACGGAGAAGAACGATCCAAAGGCAGAGAATCATGGACCGATTTATACTCGAACTACTACCCACCACGACCTCGGACCGTCGCCTACCTCCCGCCTTCCACCGCCGCCGTTGGCCGGCCGGCTATTGTTGAAACTCACTTGAGATGTCACAGCCGGATTCCTTTGGCTCTGCTGAAACTGTCGGCCTGGTGGTGTTACACAAAGAGAGAGCTGTCATGTCAGCTTAAGACGTCGAACTGCGGGTGGCCGTCTAGCTCGTGCTGATTACGGACTGGTGCTCGGAAGCCGGCTCCTTTGCCGGCCTTGCCCGATTGGCTCCTCCACATAATGAGTCCGAGAGTCGTCACCGTATTCTGGAGCGTAAATTCGGGGTTTATCTTGGTATTCGACGTTCCAGGAATCCATGATTCCATTATGGCACTGTTATCCTTCAGGAATATTGTAAACGACGGGACATGTATTTTTAGAGACTCGGATCTGACATTGGATTCCGAGTCTAGCGACTCATCAGAGAATGCCACGAATACTGCCTGGTTTCTTTTGATGGCCAACGATGCGCCTCCCATTCAACCAGGTGATCGGAGTATGCTGGCGCTGATGCACACAGCGATCCTCTGGCCTCTGTTGACGAGACAAGCCTGGCGATGGTCCATGGCCCTCTTTGAGGTACAATCAAGTCAGCCTCTGCAATGTCAATAAGCTCTTCGCCCACTTCTGGTGGTTCACATCCTCCCCCGTCGTTCCCGGACCTGTCATCCCTCCACCAAAACGGTATCACCGCAGACGCATGCCATGCAGATCCCGCTGCACCCTCAGCAGCATCTGCTACCGCCACCCCCGCCTTATTGGATGACTGAAGGGCGACTCTAGGCCAGCTGCAGCCGTTATATCCGCCTATCACGCCCATCTTGACGTAGAGTAATACGCCGAAGAGCGGGGTATACGACCAAGCATTGTTGGGGATATAGATTACCATGCGACGTCTCCAAGCGGGAGCGAGCAGCTTCCCATTTCCATTCATCCCCGACGCTTGACTTCCGCAGCGTCGAGCGAGCCTGTAATTGACTTCATCTCCGATAATACATCGAAGGCTAGCAAGGTGCGTAGCCTTCAGAGGAAAGTACATACCTAGGACGGTTACCGCCTGCATCGGTGCATCATCGGTTATCGGATCCGATGACGCTGCTCACGAACCTTCTGCCCATTGTCGTGGCGGTGGCCATCGTCGTCCGGCTTCTGCTTTCCGGCAGACGACCCAAGAACCTACCCCCCGGCCCACCGACACTGCCCATTATTGGGAATCTCCACCAGGTATGGAAATACAGGTGCAGGACCGTCGAATGAACCCAGTCTAATGATGGGTTCAGATGCCCACGCGTGATGCCCACCTCCAGTTCGAGAAATGGGCGCGGGAATACGGGCCAATCTACAGCCTGATCCTCGGCACGAAGATCCTGGTTGTCCTTTCGACGGATAGGGCGGTCAAAGACCTGCTGGACAAGAGAAGCAACATCTACTCGCACCGTCAGGAGATGTATATCGGCCAGACGCTTTGCAGCGGGGACCTGCGCATGCTCATGCTGCCGTACGGCGGGACGTGGCGGATGTGGCGCAAGCTGGCGCACTCGCTGCTCAACGTCACAGTGGCCAAGTCCTACGAGCCGTATCAGATGCTCGAGAACAAGCAGATGCTGTACGAGATGGTCACGCAGCCCGAGCGCTGCATGTACAACATCCGCCGCTACACCAACTCGCTGACCACGACCATGGTCTTTGGCTGGCGGTCGGCGACGTATGGCGACGAGAAGATGGCGCAGCTCTTCGACGGCTTCGAGGAGTTTGCCGAGCTGAACCAGACGGGGATAGCCGCGCTGGTGGACTTCTTCCCCTGGCTCCGCTGGCTGCCGGATTTCCTGATGCCGGTTTGCGCCAAGGCAAAGGAGCTGCACAGGAAGGAGAAGGAACTCTACCTCGGACACTGGCTCAAGGCCAAGGAACAGGCCAACGCCGGCACCATCATGCCCTGCGCCAGCGAGGACCTCGTCGCTGCGCAGGAGACGGAAGGTTTCTCGGACGACGAAGCGTGCTACTTTACCGGCACGCTCCTCGAGGCGGGCTCCGACACGACATCCAGCACTCTCTACGCCTTTGTGCAAGCCATGCTGCTGTACCCGGACGTGCAGAAGAAGGCGCACGAAGAGATCGACCGTGTGGCGGGCCCTGACCGGATGCCAACCATGGACGACGAGCGGCAGCTGCAGTACATCCGCGCCATCGTCAAGGAGACGCTCCGGTGGATGCCGTGCGCCATCCTGGGCGCCGTGCCGCACGCCGTGACCCAGGACGACTGGTACGACGGCTACCTGATCCCCAAGAACGCCGGCGTCCTCAACAACGTGTGGGCCATCCACATGGATCCCGCCCGCCACCCGGACCCGCGCCGCTTCAACCCGGACCGCTACCAGAACGACTTCCAGAGCCTTGCCGACGCCGCCGCCAACCCGGATGTCTCCAAGCGCGACCAGTTCACCTTTGGCGCCGGCCGGCGCATCTGCCAGGGCATGCATGTCGCCGAGAGGAGCCTGTTCCTGGGCGTGGCGCGCATGCTGTGGGCGTTTGACTTCACGCCGGCGATGGACGGCCAGGGGAGGCCCATCATCCCGGACCAGGAGAGGCTGACGCAGGGGTTTGTCTGCCAGCCGGAGGAGTTTCCCGTGGCCATCACGCCGAGGTCGGACGCGAGGCGGAAGATGGTCGTGAACGAATGGCTCGCTGCCGAAAAGGAGTGTCTGGATCCGGTGACGAAGCAGTGGCGGGTTTCGCCGCTGGGGAAGGCCAGGAAGCGTGGCATGAGGAAGGGCGTGCGTGCTAGAGTTGGGGAATGATCGATCGTGTGTTCCTAGGGAATGAATTATGAGAGCACTGTCCTTGGATATTGAGCAAGAGTTAGCCTAGGAAGAGCAAGTGTTTGGCAGACAAGTGGACGGGAGTGTCAGGAAACCTGATCTTATCCCCGGCAACACCGAACTCCGGTTGCGATGCAGCCCGCTTTCAGATCCACAGGCGATCGTTTGCGGCATGCGACAGCGAGCTATCATTTGGTAACCGGCATTTCCCGGGTCCTTGAAGCATCCTTCAGCAATTGGGGCATGCCCAGACACTCATCACTTGTTGAGGTTGCCATCCATTTGCTGGCTGCCACGGCACTTCGACATTGGTTTTTCTGTCAGCATGGCATTTCCAAGGCACAGAGGATCGGCGCACGTTCCAGATCGTAAGTGGGTCACTGAATCTGTGTTAGTGGGGATCCCAGCGTCGATCGACTTCCCATTGCGGGTTAGAGGAAAGGTCCGCAACTTCACCGAATCGGCGATATCACCAGGTACGAACTCGACAACCGACGCCAGTCCACCGGTAAAGACGGGACGGGAACCAAGTTTCTTGACCTCAGCTGCTACATACGGCCGCATTCCATCACTCCACTCAAACCAACTTTCCAGTTAAAGCACAGGCTGAGTTACATACGAAGAACTTTACACGCAGTCTGCAGTGCAGAGTCTTCGACTCTTCGCACAGCCGGAGGTGCCCCCTACAGCAAAGCAGCTTAGTAGGGCCTTGATGATAGCGCTGGCTCGGCCGATGTACTCAATGCGAGAGGTTATACAGCACGCAGAGTTGACCCCAAAAGTATGGTGAAAAAGGTCCAAGCTCCAAAGTCTTTCTAGAACCTAACATGTCCTCCGGGGATTATGACATACATGGCGTCTGCAAGTTGTCTACTAGTGTCCACCGAATCTCAGAGGAGCCGATCTCCACGGCCGCCACGTGAGATGCAGGAGGCTAACTCACGAACGGTATAAGCGGCTCCAACGAACGGCCAAACTATTGCGAAGAACCCACTACCTTGTCTCAGCTGCCGGAGCGAGATGACATCACAGTATCGCTGGACAAGGAGTCCGTAAACAATGTGTCATTAGGGATAAGATATCTTCAGTCTTCACTATGGTGGTCCTGTTCTCGCTAGGACCGTTTTGCTACGTGTGTGTGGCCTGCCCTTACGATGGTTCTTCTCGGCCGAACAACCGGCGCGCTCTTCGCGCTCTGCTCCGCCCTTAGCAGCGCCTCCCCAGTCTATCATGAGAAGCGACAGGACACCGGCAGCTACGACTTCGTCATCGTGGGTGGTGGCACGGCTGGGCTTGCTCTAGCAGCCCGCTTAACCGAGGACGAGAAGACGACCGCTCTTGTCCTTGAAGCCGGTGGTCCCCCGGATCAGGTTGCTGCGTATAAGGCACCAGGCGCCGACTTGCAGGTGTTGGGCTCGCCCATCGACTGGGGATTTACGACACTGCCGCAGGAAGGGCTCAATGGGCGACAGCTGACATACAACCGCGGGAGGTGCCTGGGCGGTAGTTCAGCCATCAATGGGTTGACGTATGGAAGGGGGTCGTCGGGCCTTTATGACCTGTGGGAGACACTAGGCAATGCCGGCTGGGGATGGGATGGGGTTCTTCCGTTCTTCAAGAAGGTATGCTGTGTTCTGAATAGGGCAGCCCTGGTTCAGCAAGGACTAAGCAATATGGTACCACCTTCTTAGTCAACCACATTCGTTCCTCCCCAACAGAGAGTTGCCCAACAAGACTTCGACGCTTCCCTGTATGGCCAGGGACCGGTCAAACTCTCGTATCCTCCTTACGTCAACGGGACTCCTGGTAGCATTGCGTTTGTGGAGTCGCTGTCTGCCATCCAGGTACCGATGTACGTGCCTGCCTTGTCGTCTGTGATCGTGACGAGGAAGCCAAAGCTAACGTGCGGGTAGTGTCCAGGAGCTGAATGCCGGCTGCAATGTCGGAGCTAAGCAGGAGCCTCTCACCATGGACGACAAGTACCACCGAAGCTCAAGTTACGACAACTACTACATGGAGGCGAAGGAGAGGCCAAATCTCCGAGTTTTGCCCTTCTCACCGGTACAGCAGCTCATATTAGAGGAGGGTGCTGGGAAGCTGAAAGCGACTGGAGTGGTCTACCTCGATTACCTTGGAGGCCGGACGTTAAATGTCACAGTGAACAAGGAGGTCATCATGAGTGCTGGCTCTATTCAGACTCCTCAGCTGCTCATGCTGTCGGTAGGCTGTTCCCGGGTCATGATCTCGCTAAGATGCGTCCTGCTAACGCAACGAAGGGTATCGGCCCCACCGAGACACTTAACAAGGCTGGCATCAAAGTCTACCTCGCCAACGAAAATGTCGGGCAGAAGTACGTTGGTCTAGACCCGCGTCATAGCGGGATGTAAACTAATCAGCAACCCGTAGCCTCCAGGACCACACCTACTTCAGCATCAATGTTGAAGTCGGCCCTTCGATATCCGTCTCGTCGCTCTACCACGACTTGTCCAAACTCCAAAAGGCAGAACAGGAATTCCAAGACTCCAAAGGCCCCCTTACCGCTCCAGTCGGCCTATCCTACGGCTTTGAAAAGATCCCCGCCGACGTCCTAACATCCATCAACGCCACGACACTAGCATCAGAACGGCCCAACCAGGCACATATCGAGTATTACTACGAGACTATTTATTACCCCAACGTTCCGTCTCCGTACTACCGCAGCCACGAATACAACACGTCCTACATCAGCCTCACCGCCGGCCTGGTCGCGCCCTTGTCCAGAGGATCTGTTTCGATCCGGTCAAACAGTCTCTCAGACGCGCCCGAGATCGACCTGAAGTACTACGTCCACCCGGAAGACCAGGCCGTCGCTATCTACGCGTTCAGGAACCTCCGCAAGATTCTCACCAAGTTTGCCACTTACAACGACACGGTTGGCCCTAACCACGGCGAGGTGAACCCCGGACCCGCGGTGCAGACGGATGAGCAGATCCTGGACTACATCCGGGAGACGGCCGTGACGGTGTGGCACGCGAGCGGGACGTGTGCCATGTTACCGAGGGAAAAGGGGGGTGTGGTGGACGAACGGCTGAGGGTGTATGGCGTGGAGGGGCTGCGGGTTGTGGATGCGAGTGTGTTTCCCGTGATTCCGGACCAGCATACGCAGGGGCCCGTGTACATGGTTGCGGAGAAGGCGGCCGTGCTTATCAAAGAGGACTGGGGGTTGTAAGTCGGGTTGCTATTCAACTTCGACTCAGCTATGTGGATAGTAATGTTGTGCCACCTATCTAATCTCTCGGTACGAACGAAAGTGCACCGGCGTCGCAGTTCCATACATCAACCAGGAGTCCAAGACAGGATCTTCCTCTACAGTCGCCCGAAGTGCCCATCCCAACGATCTTGCTCAGCTCCACGTATTAAACTGGTAGGGTCGCGCCTTGTGATATGTTTAATGGTCTGTCTGTGGCGCATCCGGTACACTGCGCGTTCCAAGACTGACGGCGGGTGTGGGTGGTAAAGCGAATCGGTGGGAGGCGGGTTATGGAAAGCGCAGGCTTAGCAATGTGTGGTTCTCTACATTAGATCAAGACGCGTGGGAAACTCAATGTATCCTGATCATCAAAAGACTATTACGATGGACGTGTGTTGGACATCGGATTGACCAGTGCTGCGCTCACCGCTTTTTGCTTTTTGCACAGTTCACCAAGCAAACGTTGTCGCTGCCTAGCAGTTGGTTGGTGCGCAAGCCACCCAAGCGGCCAAGATTCAGACTTCGTTCTTCAATCTTTCTAAGCATTCTTCCAACAGCCCCTGAGGCAATGCACCCAGCATCCAGTCAACCTTAGCACCATGCTCTCGACCGACGACACCATATCTCCGGCAACATCGACTGGTCGGGGGTTTTACCTCCCAAACACGACACTCCGCATTCGTGAGCATTTGCCACCGGAACCTCTGGCGGGCCCCATGTCGGTTATGACAGCTCGACGGAGACAGATCGGTCGAGTACGTCGCTAAGATTTACGACGGCGTCGACTATCCCCGGCTCGATCACCGTCGTAGACCCATTCTCCCCTGGGATTGTATGTTGCGCGCCGACTGTGACTACAGCCTCGAGGCCTGGGCCTACAAGATGATGCAACCCGTCATTGGAGGAACTGTCGTGCCGGCCTACTTTGGATCATGGACCTTCTCCCTGGACACGGGCCGGCCCAACCAACAGCGATGGGTCCGGATGATCCTTATTGAGCTTGTTGAGGGAGAATCCATGCTGGACATGATGCTGCCGGCTACCATGGACAAGCATGGTGAGAAAGGTGTGGTCGACTACTCCCGGTTGCCGCCCGAGGATTTCCGCCTCCGCGTCCTCCAGAACATTCTGAAGCCGAGATCATCATCCCGTGGGAGACTGGGGTGAGGAGCTACGACGTGCATCCGCGGAATATCATGGTCAAGCCCGACGACAGCGTGGTTCTCATTGACTTCAACCGGGCCTACATTCGCGAGTTCACCGCGGACTATGACAAAGACCCAAAAAGAATGATCCGACCTCGTTACCGCGACTTTCGCCCATCGTCGCATACTGGCCGTATCCGTCGGGAGGGGACCTGTTTAGGCGGTACTGGTCTGAATGGCTTCCCCAGGGCTGGCACGAGAATCGAGAGCTTGCGGCGGAATGGTTGATCGAGACGTATCGCAATACGACCAGGTTTAGCCGCCCCCCACAGTGGTGGTTGGATCGTGGTGACCATCAGAATAGCGGTACCACCTTGAAGGTTCTAGGTTTGCTGGAGAGCATTGGTCGTAAGCCAGCTCAAGAGGAGGAGTCATCACCAGGCCGGAAGTGAGCATCTGTCCTTACAGCGTTCATACTAGGTACACACCCGAATGTGATCCATGAGATGCTTGCGATGTAAAGCCAACCAAGCTCGCCCACGGCTGTTATAACCCAGTCCCGGCGCAACCTTTTAGTACTAGTGCTCGATTCGGCGTCCATACCTTACCTTAGGCGTCGCGTCCGGAACGTGTCATCTTCATTTTCTACCATTTTCGCAATCCATCACCATATCCCATCCTACGGGACCCATTCAAATCCCAGCCACCACGGTTGCATACTTTCAGCATATGTCAGGGCGGTCCCGGTTCCGTCGAGCCCCCTTTCCACCCTTCCGTCTCCCCTAGCCGCAACCAAAGGGCAGGATTATCCGCTCCCTCGCGGTACCTCTCCGCCACATCCACGGGCTTCGCAAAGTCCAGCAGAAACCTCAGCATCCAGCGGTCCAACCGAAACGTCACATCAGTGCCCTCATGTTTATCCACGTCCATGCACGCGGCGTGAAACGCGCGGAGCCTACTGAACGAAGCCTGCAGGCTGGGCCAGTAGCGCTGCAGCCGGCTGATGATCTGGAAGTTGTGCTCGAGGCGGGCCCGGGCGCGCGCAATCTCGGCGTCGTCGGTGCCGAAGAGCAGCGTGTGCAGGTGCACTGTCGATGCGATCACTAGCATGTGTCCGGCTAAGGGGTACTGCACCTCGGTGGTGGTGGCGTGGAGGGAGGAGGCGTAGATGATCTCGCAGAGGTTGGCGGCGTGGGATCGGCACTTTGCTGCGTAGTCGAAAGTGGCACTATCGACGGCCACGGGTGAGGCGGGATGGTGTAGACTGTTGTGCAGGAAGCGGTAGAACAGCAGCTGGCTTGCGTGGTTGAAGTTGATGTGCAGCACGACGAAGGATGGGCCGCAGCCGAGGTCGGCCCAGTACTGAAGATTATTGGCATTGTACTGCATGTCAGCTGGCAACTCTGACTGCCACGCTTCCAGCGCCGCGGAGAGTTCCGCCACCGAGTCCAGTACGCGATCTTCCTGCAATACTTCGGTGGTGGCTTTCGTGTTGAAGGTGTTGATGTCGTACAGGATTCCGTTGAGCTTGATCATCTGAGCAATTAGGGATTTGGATTGGTCTGGGCCGTGCTGGCGATAGACTGGCGGTTCAGTTGGCGACAACTTTAGGAACACGCGCTCGTCCATGGGCATGTCGATGTCATAGCGCGGTTGGATCGCCCGTGGGAGAGCCAAGGCCGTGGATGACCACGTGTCCGTTGCCACGACGGACCACCATACTGTCGAGGGGTTAGGGTAAAAACAGAATCGATTTTGCGAGACTATGGTTGAATGTCACCTCTGAGGTTCACCTCTTGCTCGGTCTGCGTCTTAGCTGGTGCATTTGGGAGATCCAGTATCATGGCCAGCCGGCAAGCAATGGTGTAGAAGATCGATTCGGTGGCCGAGTCCATCTCGACAACCTGGATAGCCCCCAACAGGACGCATGCTTGGATTGTTGTCAAGCACGTCTTGTGCAGGTCAAGCAGCCGCTCGGCTTCTTTGGCGTAAGGACGGCCCCGTTCCTGGGGATCAATATCCACAAAGTAAGGATGCGAAGAGAAGCGAGCGGAGAGGCCAAAGATGCCAAAGACTAGAATCTTGGGGATCGTCCCGTCCAGAACGCCGGCCTCGAAGGATGGCCTGTGGAACAGGTTGTGGAACGCGACGTGAATGTACCGGAAGTATAAGTCGACAAGCTCATTGCACAGCTCCCAATCCGGCATGAGAGCCGCTGGCGAGATGGGAGCAGCTCCGTCTCCACGGGAGCTCACCAGAGGCTCGTACCCATCCTCCCGGGCAGGAGACGGATGTTGCTCGACGGTGCACTCGAGCCCTCGTCGGATGCAGAACGTGCAGCTGGTCCCTAAGCGCGGGCGGTCGCATCGCTTGCGGCGGTCACTTGTCTTTCCTTTAGCAACCAGGGGTAGGTGTAGGAAAGGGTTTGTAGTATTGAGAGCGGGGAGCACTCACCGACAGGCGGTGCAAGCAGACAGGGGTCTCATTTGGGGTAAAGGGCATACAGGTCGGTATAGAATACCTATACGTAGACCCTACTTTTTTCCGATACAAGTAACTGGAGCAAGTCGACAACTCGGCGCGGTACGGTCACTACCTAGCAGAGCGGGTAACTCCCCAAGTCGAATAATGCCCGTATTGTAATTGGATCCGGAGTCTTCTCCGCACATCGGGCAATTCCTAGCATCCCCCGCTTTCACGCTTGGCTTTTCAGCAGGGGTAACGAAGGGGCTCCCCTGCCCCTGAGTCGTGTCAGCGGGTACTTGGTAAATGCAAGAGATGATCAAGGCTTGGAACTCCGTAGTTTTAGGTTCTAGGGGTTCCCTTGAAGAATCAAGGAAGACAAGACGTATTTGTCTCAGAGCACAGTTTTCCAGATGCTACTATTACTAATATTAGACTACTACTAATAGTAACAGTACTACATATAGACCCTTGACTCGTATTTCCCCCCTAATACTACCATAATCCATTATGTCCCGTTCGCGGGCTGCTTGTACTCCACCCCATCGATCGTCGTGGTCAGGGTGCCATTCGCGTTGAAGATGTTGGTCTCGGCATTGATGTCGAGGTGGAAGCCGCCCGGGCTGGTCCGCTTTGTGGCCTGCACCACGCCGGTCTGAACAATGTCGGACTCCCAGTCAATCAGGTTGTCCCATCCCACAATCTGGGCAGAGACCTTCTCATGGCCGTTCAGGACATAGCCGGGCTCATCGGCGTAGTCCCGGTAGACGACGGTTACAGTGCCGCCGCCGCCCAACGTTGAGGTGCCCTCGAGAAGCACGGTGGCAACACCAGACACCCGGCCGCGGACCGTGTAGTTACCGTCGGGCACTCCAAACTGCTGAGGGAGGGTGGCGCCGGGCGGGAATGGTGTAGCCCAGGGAATGAGGTCGGGAACATCGAAGACCTTGGCGGGTTTCGTTGCTTTCCGGCCGGTCAAGCGGGCCAGCATGACTCGGTATGTGCGGCCACCCTGTGCGGTCGAGACTGGGCAGGGCAGCGGGTTGACTCCGCCACAAGAAGGCGGGACCACCAGGGCCTGCCAGTACACGATGCGCGTGCCGTCGGGCGAGAAGGCCGGATCGGCTCGGCCGTTCCAATTGGGATCGTTGACGGCGCCGTTGGTTCCGTCGCCGCCGGCGTTGAGCTGCTGGCCAAAGTAGTCGCCGCGGTCTCCGTCGCGGTCGAGGAGGATGGGCTGGAAGAAACGGCGGGGCCCGTTGTTGCGCGTGGACGATGCCGCCGTCACGGCCACGATGTCGATCAGCGGCGGGACCCAGCGCATGCCCGACATCCACATCTGCCGGTCGGACCCGCGCGTGTCCATGACCACAAACCATTGGTTGTCGTGCGAGAAGGCGATGGGATCCGTGTACTCCGGGTGGCTGGTCAGACGCCGCACCGCTCCGGTCACCACGTGCACAGCGAAGACATCGATGTTGCTGGACTCCCACGAGGATCCGATGTAGAGAATCTCGTCGCCGGCGCCACTGAAGCCGCGCAGCTCGCCGACGGTGATGGCGTCGCGGTTGATGTGCAGCTCGCTGCCCTCGACCGAGATGGGCGCCTTGCCGTTCTGCTCAAACAACACACTCACATTGACCAGGTCGTAGCGAGGGGCGCGGGGCTCTCCCACTGTCGGGTTCGGGTTGAACTCGAGCCGGCCAAAGTAGCAGAACTGCCCACCGTTACCGGTAAATGAGCTCCAGCCCATGTGCACGTCGTCCGGGTGCAGACGCATCTCACGCGGGACGCCGCCGCGCCCGGAACCGTCTGCGCTCGTGGTCCAGTGGATCGGATAGATGTGCGTGCTATTCGAAGTGCAGTCGTCGCTGGCCAGGTCGGCTCCGCCGCAGTCGAGGATGTTATGGCCCCAGAGAACCTTCTTTCCGCTCCGGAACACATGCGGGTAGTCTTTCTCCGGGTCGAGCGACTGGGCCTGCTCCGGGGGGACGCCGCAGCTGAGGCACTTCCATGCATCGCCGTTGGAGAAGGTGGTGCCGTCCGCCTTGATGAGGATCAGCTGCTCGCCTGAGTAGATGCTGGCCGGGTCCGGGGCGGCCGGGGCGCCGACGAAGTGGACGGTGGCCACGACGTGGTTTCCGTCGGGCGTGAAGTCGCCGGCTTGGAACTCGCCCGTGTCGATGCCGATGCACCCCGTTCGCCGGGGGTTGATCTCGGCGGTACAGGCACCTTCCGCATTGCTGGGGGCAACGGGGGGCAACGGAAGCTCGACCACGTCAATTGGCTCCGGCTTAGGTGGAGGCTTTGCTGCTGTAGCGACGCCAACAGCAGCGATGCCAAGGGCTGAGATGAGACCGCGGAGACTGTTCATTCTGGAGGTAACGCACTCTCAGCGTCCCGTGCCAGAGATGAGAGGGAGAGCACGGCGAATGGGGGACTGAGAGTTCAAGTGCAGCCATATTTATACTCGTCCGCAACTTCAAGACACACATGACCACAGTTGCTAACCACGCTTGCTTCGGGCTTGATTTTCGTCGCCAAGGGCGTACTCAATGTCGGCAATGTCGGTCTTCATCGTGGCAGTGCCAAGTTGGAGTGTTGGAATGTCGTCGTTACTCCTCTCAGTTGACGGGGTTGACATCACGCGCATTGTCGATACGCGTATTACTCAGGTGGTCTGTGGTGCTTGTACTAAATAAATAAACCCCTGTTGCTGCAAAGCGACATCCAGTTTGCCCCTTTTTGTTAGCGCAAGTGTGAGTGGATAATTTTCCAGTTATCGAGACAACCCGCCGTTCTGTCGGATTTTACCGTACCCCGGATGTTCGGGTCTTTTCCTTCCCCGCGGGGAATGGGCGGGATGGCTTCTGGGGTTCTAGACATAACCCCATGGGGAACAGAGATCTGAGCCGAGAATCTCGAGCCGAGAACCAGCGAGCCCAGCAGGGACTACGGTTGCCCTGAAGCCCCCGGCTTTGTGTGGGCTCGCCGTCGGAAAACGCGTCGGAAAACTACTCCGCAAATCCGTCACGCGAGAGTCCCAGACTATCGGATTGCTCGAACCAATCCAACCCAACATTGCTCTCCCGCATTCCATGAAGATGGCCTGCCCGCTGTTCAAGTGATGTCACACCGTCGACCGGGCGCCGGGTTGTTTCTCACCGATCGTACCAGCTGATGGCGAGGCAGGCGAGCACGGACACGAGTTGTGGGATTCCCTCACCATCATAAGGATGGCAAGCCGATCAGGGGCTGCCTTTGACTCGTTGCTCTCGTGTCGTTCTTGCGAGTCCCTGCTCGAACCTTTGTTGAAGATTCGGCAACACCAAAAGATCATTGCCATGGGCTCGAACGAGACTGCCGCAGGCAAGGAGAAGCCGCGGTCTGACCCGGTCGACTGGGTCGAAGACACAGCCGGCGCCGAGATGTCGTCGAAAGATGCCGCGGTCAATGCGGCCATGAGAGGCCAGGCCACCACGGGCTACGAGACCCTGACGCTCTGGGAGACCATCAAGACGTTCAAAGTGAGCACTGCCGTGTGCTTTGCGGCGGCCTTTAGTGCGGCGACGGATGGGTACCAGATTGGGTAAGTCCGACTTGTTCCAGTCAGCCATGGCAATGTACTAGTACTGTATTCTTTGGCTCACATACTTAATAATGTATTCTAGCATGAATTCGGGCATTGTTGCCAACAAGGGCTTCGTCGCCCAGTTTGCCACGCAGTACACGGCCGACGGCAAAGGGGTGCTCGCATCGCCGGTGCTCGCGGGCTGGGGCTCGATCCAGTCGGTCGGCCAGATCGTGGGGATGGTGTCGCTCTCGTTTGTGTCGAGCCGGTTCGGGCGCAAGGTGGCCATGTACACGTACTGGCTGATCCTGGCGGGCAGCATCGTGGCCGAGAGCGTCGCGCGGAACTGGCAGGTGTGGCTGGTGGCCAAGCTGCTGGCGGGCATCGGCGTCGGCTGCATGCAGTCCACGCTGCCAACCTACATCTCCGAAGTGGCGCCCGTGCGCATCCGCGGCGGCCTGCTGATGCTGTACAGCCTGTGGTGGACCGTCGGCACCTTCTTCGCCTACATCGCCATGCAGACCATGAACCGGCAGCACCCGCACGAGTACCTGACCCCGATCCTGACTCAGTGGGCCCAGATCGGCCTGATGCTCGTCATCTACGTCTTCCTCCCGGAGTCGCCCGCCTGGTGCGTGACCCGCGGCGACACGGACCGGGCCCGCAAGGCGCTGCGGCAGCTGAACGGCCGCGTGCAGGGCTACGACCTGGAGCACCAGCTCGAGGTGCTGGTGCTGGCCGCCGAGCACGAGCGCGCCGTGGCCGTCGAGCAGAAGCGCGAGCACTGGTACGCCATCTTCCGCGGCGTCGACGGCCTGCGCACCGTCATCGCGCTGTGGACGAACCTGTCGCAGCAGTTCCTCGGCCTCACGCTGTTCAGCACCTTCGGCACCTACTTCTTCCAGCAGGCCGGCCTCCCGGACCCGTTCCTGATCAAGTGCATCACGTCCTCCATCAACATCGCCACCATCCTCGTCGTGGTCTTCACCGCGGACCAGATTGGGCGCAGGCGGATTGCCTGTTGCGCGACGTCCCTGATGTGGGTTTCGGTCGTTGTCGTCGGCATCCTCGGCGTGGTCGCCAAGTCCCAGGCCACAAATTACGTGCTCGTGCTCTTTGCCTGCCTTTGGAGTAAGTGGAGAAGGAATTTGACTCCTTTCCAAGGTTGACGACAGAGACACCTCGTGCTGACCCTAAGGTAGACATGGGCATGACCGCCAATGGAGCCGCAGGATGGGGCTTCATCGGAGAGATCTCGTCGCAGCGCCTGCGGCCCTACACGGCCGGCTTCGGCGCCGCCTGCACGTGTGTCATCGGCGTGGCCATGAACCAGCTAACTCCCTACATGGTCAACCAGAACCAGTGGAACTGGGGCCTCAAGACCGGCTGGTTCTACGCCGGCGTCGGCCTGCCCTTCATGCTCGGCATGTGGCTGCTCATTCCCGAGACGGCTCGGTAAGTACAACGCAGCGCCTCAGGGCTCTTGTCCGTAACAAACAGAAGCTGACCCGATCTTTCCACCTTTCTATTTCTAGTCGCTCCTCTGCCGAGCTGGACGAGCTGTTTGAGCGCAAGATCAAGCCGTGGCGCTTCCACAAGACTGAGACAGCCACCCAGCGTCTTATCAGGGAGAACAAGCAGGAGCAGAAGTGAGAGAGCCCACTCAAGCTGGTGTATGCAATGTGTTTGATGTCGTAGGGCTGGGAAAGAGGGGGATTGGAACCTCGAGGAGCTGCAGTTCGGTACTAGTACTTACCTACATATTTGAGATGCTCGGCAACCTTACTCATATAAGATGAGAATGCCACTTTCCAACAGACCGAGATCCAGCAGTATCCCGGCGGTTTTATCCTAGGTTGATGACCCTTTGACATATACTTGCATGGACAAAAAGCCTCAGAGATGAATCAAAGCACTAATTTGGTATATGCCTTCCATCCCTGCTTTTCATGATAACTGAAGAGACACAACCGTAGCCGCCCCTGCTTGTCTTCAATCAGTCACTTGAGACTCGGAGTTGCCAAAACGGCTACTGATTGACGTGCTTGGTGTGGGATGTAATGCTCAGGTAAAGCGATGTATCAGGTCGTATGGCAGCGTACCTTAGGTAAGGCAGGCTGTATTATGACAGTGCTGTTGTCTCCAAAAAGGGATCCGATTCGCTGTCCGGGCTACCCTGTCGTCTTGGCCCCAGCAGTTTCCCGACGCGTTTTCCGACGGCCACGGCACTAGCGGCAGGAACCGTTCACGTCACGTTCGCATCCTGATCATGGGTCAATGCCGGGAACAGTGCTCATCGCGGGTCAAAGCACCCCGAAGGCCATATGTTTGCCATCGTCATGGTTCTTCTTGGATGCTATGGCTTCGCTTTAGTAACAGCCATGGCCCGAAGTTCGGGATAACGTCATGACGAGACCAGGTGCAAGCAGGAAGCGACGGGTTACGGTAGGGCATAGCGTGCACCCCAGCACGGGAGCAGGGGGGACGGGAACGGCAAGCGAGGATGACAAAGGCTAGCAAGATTGAGAATATTGGGCTGGTATCTAATTGTCTTGTACATCTATGTGTCGTATCCCAACAGTCTAAGGTACCTAGAGCTTAGAGACGTCGACCTGCCATGCGACCAATATTAGTCTAAGAAGCTGCTCTCCTCCGACTCTTGAACGTGTCCCGCAGATAGTATGCCGAGTTCTTGGGCGTCCGCTTCAGCGTCTTGAAGTCCACATGCACAATTCCGTACCGGGGCCCGTAACCTGCTGACCATTCTACAACATTATGATCTGATATTAGCTAGCATGAACACGGAACGAGATAAAGGGGAAATAGCACGCACCGTAGTTGTCCATCAGACTCCACACATAGTATCCTCTGACCACGACGCCATCCTCGTAGATGGCCCGGGATATGGCATCCAGATATAGGCCTAGATATCGCTGTCTGAACTTGTCGTCGACCGCCGTTGCCACGTCATCTTCCCCAACACACGGACAGCCATTTTCCGTGATGATGACGGGAACATGATACCGGTTCCAGACCCAGTTAAGCAGCTTGCGGAACCCGGACGGCGCCACACGCAGCCAACCCATAGCCGAGGCGGGGCCGATCTCCTTCCCTTCGCTGTTGACAGACGTCTCCTCGACATTCCCGGTCCAGTCGTCTTCGGCCGGCGGGTCGGCCAACGCCCGCGCGTACTTGGTGGAGTAGTGGTTCATGCCATAGAAGGCGTTGAACGGGGCGGTGCGGCGCAGGAGCGCCCGCTCGTCAGGCATGAACTCGGGCAGCCGCGCGCCCAGATAGGCCCGCATCTCGGCCGGGTAGTCGGTTCCGAGGAACACCGGGTCGGCAAACCAGCCGATGTAGAACACCATGCGGCGCTCGGCGGCGTCTACGTCGACGGCGCTGGCGGCGTCGTAGGGCTCGTAAAAGTGGCCGTTCAGCACGATGGAAATCTCCCCCGTTTGTGAGGGCTGAAATTCGTCGACGTACATCTGGACGACAGCGGCGTGCGACAGGATGATGGTGTGGCCGACGCGCCACGGTTCTGTCTTGGTGTCGGTGCCGGCTTCGCGGCAGTGTCCCGGGGCCAGCGTGCCGTTGAGGTGGGCAAAGATGGAGATGATGTAAGGCTCGTTGAAGGTCACCCACTTCTTGACGCGGTCGCCGAAGCGGGAGAAGCAGAGCCGTGCGTAGCGCTCGAAGTCGGCGCGGAACTCGGCCGTGTCGAGGAAGGCCCCGTACCGGTCGTAGATGGCCTGCGGCGCATCCCAGTGGTAGAGCGTAACGACAGGCTCGATGCTGCGGGCCAGGAGCCGGTCGATCAGGTCGTTGTAGAATGCGATCCCCTTTTCGTTGATCGGGTCGTTACGTCCGCCGAGCGGGATGATGCGCGACCAGGAGATGGAGAAGCGGTAGACGTCGACGCCGAGGGACGCCATCAGTTCCACGTCCTCGGGCATGTGGTTGTAGTGGTCGCAGCTGATGTCGGCGTTCTCGCCATTGGTGCGGGACGGCTCAAGGTGCGAATATGTGTCCCAGATCGACTTTCCCTTGCCGTCCTGCGAGGCGGCCCCCTCGATCTGGTATGCTGCCGTGGCCGTACCCCAGGCAAAGTCGGCGGGGAGTGGGAGCTCCTGCACGGGCAGGTCGTGGCCGGTTAACGGACTGTAGCTGACTATAACGTCGGAGGCCGAGAACATGGATGCTTCCTGGGACATGGTGGGCAGAGGAGGGCGAGAAGATCAGGAGGGGGTCGACGGGTAGACAAACTAAGGATGGTCAAAGAACTGGTGATACTAGGGAGTCTGACATTGGGCGGCATCTGTGTTTATGGCTTGCAAGTTCCCGTCTTCTTATGAAACATTTATCTTGCACTGTACTCGTATGTACCGTATATTACAGCCCCTGGACAAAATGGTCCCATGAGAGCGCCAACGGGCAAAGGCGGAGCGGGTCCCATCCGCAAAGAACCTACCAAAAGAGCCGGGAACAAGCGCTAACCTAGTAACTAAGGTACAGTAGTTAGTGGGCCACCATTGCTGCAGGGACAGAGGGGTTCAGGGCTCCATAGAACTGGATCTTGCTCGGCATAATTCACTGCGAGGGCAACGCCAAGCTCAATCCTCGAGATCTGACACTCCATGCATGACGGGAGCTCTCTCTTCGGCTCATCATTCCATTCATTAATGTTAGAACTCCCTGTCTGTCCATGCCTCTGGATGTTCTTTCACATTAGGCAACTCTGTCCCAGTAGACGCCACCAACCTTGAACGACAGTAACCCCCCTCACTTTCTCCTCGAATCCCTCCTCTTTCCCTTTCCTAGCAAATCGCGGGCATGGCAACAGTGGTAGACGTCCACTTCGAGCACTACCGCACACTGAATGCGCTGGGCGTCCACGAGACCAAACCGCGACTGTCCTGGAGGTACATCACTGCCCCGCCCGGTTGGAAGCAGCAGGGATACGAGGTCGAACTCTCGGAAGAACGGGAGGAACACACACTCTCGTCAACTATCGCACACACATCGCCTCGCAATATCCTCATCCCCTGGGCATTCGACACAGGCCTACAGTCCCGACAGCGGATATCTATCCGCGTGAGGGCGTGGGGCGAAGATGGCGTGTCCACGGACTGGAGCGAGCCAGCTCGTCTCGAAGTCGGCTTGCTCAACCGGGCCGACTGGATCTGCCAGCGCATCACTGCGCCTTGGGCCCGCTCCGCAGTGGGTGCGGAGGCCGAGCACCTGTACAGAAAGACGTTTCCGGTGAGCACCCCGGTGGCTAGGGCGCGGCTCTACATCACAGCCCAGGGGCTGTACGAGGCCGAGGTAAACGGCCGTCGCATTGGCGACTACTTCCTCGCTCCGGGCTGGACGGCGTACGACGGCAGGCTGCAGTACCAGACCTACGACATCACCTCCGCTCTCTCGTCCGGCACCAACTGCTTGGGTGTTCGCGTCGCCGAGGGCTGGTTTTGCGGTCGGATAGGATTTGAAGGAGGCCATCGAAACATCTGGGGTCCGCATCCGGCTCTGCTGGCGCAGCTCGAGATCACCTACTCCGACGCGGACGGCCGAACGGAAACAATATGCACGGATGCCTCCTGGATGGTGACACGGGGGCCTATTCGGTTGGCCGAGATCTACGACGGGGAGAAGTACGACGCCACGTTGGAGGTGCCGTCCTGGTCATCCGCGGGAGCCGACACGACGTCATCTACTACTAGTACTACTACTTGGGAACCCGCTCAAGTTCTTGCCCCGCTACCTGAGTCTGTCAAACTAACCTCCGGGTTTTCCGAGCCTGTGCGGCGTACCGAGACGGTTCAGCCCGTGAAGAAGATCACCTCACCTTTGGGCAAAACCCTTGTCGACTTTGGCCAGAACCTGGTGGGTTATGTCCGGCTCAAGAGGATCCGCGGGCCGCGCGGTCACAAGATTACATTGTCCCACGCCGAGGTTCTGGAGAACGGAGAGTTGGGTACCCGCCCGTTGAGACTTTGTAAGGCAATAGACGAGTATGTGCTCAAAGGGGCCGAGGAAGAGCAGTACGAGCCACGATTTACCTTCCACGGATTCCGGTATACGCAAGTGGACGGCTGGCCTGGGGATGACCTTGATCTGCTGGCGTCGACCGAGGCCGTGGTATGCCATACCGACATGAAGAGCGCCGGTTCGTTCGATTGTTCGGAGCCGCTTTTAAACAAGCTGTATCAGAACGTGCGGTGGAGCATGAGAGGGAACTTCCTCTCAGTCCCCACCGACTGCCCTCAGCGTGACGAGCGGCTGGTATGTCTAATTTACTCTCCTTAGTGCTAGTATTTCCATTCCCGTAATGGATGGCTGACCATTGGTGGACAGGGGTGGACCGGGGATCTCGCCCTCTTTGCGCCCACGGCCGTGCTGGTCTACGACTGCTTCAACATCCTCAAGAACTGGCTTATCGATGTCGACCATGACCAAGGCGTGCTTGGAGGCGTTCCGCCCATGGTTAGCCCCAACGCTACCCTCCCAGATCCCGTATGGTGTAGGAGGGTCCCATGCGCCATTTGGCATGATGTGACGATCCTGGCTCCCTGGAACCTGTACCAAGAGACGGGCGACTTGAGCATCCTGGCGCAGCAGTACGGCAGCATGCTGGAGTGGATGAGAGTGCTGCCGCGGAACAAGACGGGCGCAACACACCTGTGGGATCCGAGTCCCTTTCAGCTGGGGGTGAGTGTACTCATATCCAACACGGACAGTGTTCACCGTGACTAACATCCCGCCCTTCTACTCCTCATCCAGGACTGGCTCGACCCCGCCGCACCACCAGACCAGCCCTGGAAATCCGCCACCGACGCCAAGATGGTGGCCAACATGTTCCTCATCCAGAGCCTAGACATAATATCCGAGATTTCAGCCCTGCTCGGTCGCGCCCCCGAGGCAACCCACTTCCGCACCGAAGCCGCGTCGGCCCGCGCCGAGTTCCACGCCGAATACGTCACTCCCAACGGCCGCATCGTCTCCGACACGCAAGCCGCCTACGCGCTGGCCATCAGCCTCAACATCCTGCAACAACAACAACACCCTGCACAGTTCGCGCGCGCGGGGGCCCGGCTCGCCGAGCTTGTGCGCAAGAACAACTTCCGCATCGGCACCGGCTTCGCGGGGACCCCTTTTCTTTGTGAAGCGCTCGCGGCCACGGGCCATCTGCAGGTTGCGTATGCCGCGCTGCTGGAGACGGGGTGCCCCTCGTGGCTGTACCCCGTCACGATGGGCGCCACGACCGTGTGGGAGAGATGGGACAGCATGTTACCGGACGGGCGCATCAACCCGGGCGAGATGACCTCGTTTAATCACTATGCCTTTGGGGCGGTGGCCAAGTTCTTGTATGAGCGCGTGGCGGGGCTGAAGAGGTTGGAGCCGGGGTGGACGAGGTGTCGGGTTGCGCCCGCGGTTGGCGCTGAGTTTACGCGGGCGGCGGCGACGCATGTTACGCCACAGGGGACGGTTTCTTGTGAGTGGAATACGGTTCCTGTGGATGAGAACGGTGGTGGAGAGGACAAGACGGAAGTGATGCGGTTGAGGGTGTCGGCGCCGTATGGAACGACGGTGGAGGTTGTCTTGCCGGTGCTGGGTGAGGGGGAGAGGTGGGAGACGGTGGTTGGACCTGGTACGTGGTCGTTCGAGTCGACCTTTAGGAGAAACTATGAGTGGCCGGTGCTGCCTCTGAAGCCGAAGTCTTGAGGTAGAACAGGGGGTTCGGACATCCGGACTAGACCATTCCCAACCCTTCCTTTGTAGCACGGTAGTCGCAGATCGAATGTTGGATGTAATATACATCTTCACACCTTGGCTCCAAAGGCATCTAGTGCATGGCTTATCGGACCGTGATTTATCGCTCTGATACAGGTGATAAACGAACAATAAAGATTATCACCGCTATCTATATTTTATACGTTCCCAGCAATCGCCCGGCCGTGGACTTTGCGTGCTGTTTGAGACGAGGAAGGTTGCCCTGGATTGGCCTGGTAATGGTGATCTGGGATAATGATTTTGGACATCTCTCGCGGATCGACCGTCATACTAGGTATCCTGTCTACAACAACTTCCCGCTCTTGGGTTCGCGGGTTTCCGCGAGACGAGTGCCGAATCACCACCGGCCTAATATGTGGTGACTCTGCCGAAGCCAATAGTGAGTTGGCGACCTTACAACCAGATAACTGGTTGCATGCCCCTCCAAGCAAGTCTGAGGATCGTCGGATTTGTCGTGTCCCGAGCTCGCGACGCGAGGGGTTGCAGCAATGCGGAGGGGGTGACATTTGCTTTCAAATCCCGCTCTGACGAGAGGAGATCAAGCCGCTTATTGCCTTGGATGATTCCAGCACCGATGTACTACCCGCGTGTCAGAATGGCAAAGCAGGGTGATGCGTTTAATTCGGGAGATGGGGTACCTCGTTCTTAGGAGGAGTTGGCGGAGCGAAGTAGGATTCCGTGGGGGGTAGTGGAAGAAGGTATACTACTACTGTGGTCGCGTGCATAAAGAAAACCCCCTAGTCAAGTACCTGTGGGTCACAACACTCGACGCGTTTTGACCAATCAGCTGAACTTATCGAGCCCCCTGTTTTTTCGACAGCCATCTCGTTTCTCGTTAAACGCACTCAACGCAATCATCGCAGTTGACGCACTCAACGTAGTCAACGCAGTCAACGCAATCCAGCAATACAATGGCACGGCCACAAGGGTCAAGTGGTACGAAACAGTTGACTACCGAACAACGCCAACGCGTTCGAGTCTTATACTTCGATGCAGCCAAAAGCCAAGCTGAGATCCATCGTATCACTGGCTATACTAAGGCCCAGATCCGGACTGCGATTCGCGCTCCTGATACAACTGCCTACCGGAGTATTGGCCGGCCTCGGACATTAACGCCAGAGCAAGAAGAAGAGCTTATTCAGTTTGTTTGTTCCAGCAAAAAGACTCGTCGAATAGGCTTCCTCGAACTCTCGGCTATCATCTTCGCTGGGGTCTTCGGCGTTTAGGTGATCAAGCATGCCCTTTATCGACTCGGCTTCCGCCGGCGAGTTGCTCGTAAGAAGCCACCGATTACCGAACGAACCCGGCAACTCCGTTTAGCTTGGGCGCAAGAGCATGAACATTGGACCCTTGAACAATGGGCAAAGATCCTTTGGACCGATGAGACTTGGGTTACTGGCGGGCCACATCGGAAGCAATATGTTACCCGGCGGCAAGGCGAAGAGTAGGATCCTACTTGCATTGTAGAAAAGCATCAACGTAAAGGAGGCTAGATGTTCTGGGGTTGCTTCTCTAGCTTGGGTAAAGGCCCTGGACTCTTTTGGGAAAAGGACTAGGGGAAGATCAACGCTGAGACGTACCGCGCACGAACTGTCCCTGTCATTCATGGCTGGATACAGATGTATAAGGCACAGCTTGGTGAAGATCTAATCTTGATGCAAGATAGTGCTCCAGGGCATATAGCTGCAGAGACGAAGGAGGATCTCAGGGAGAGAGGCATTGTTATGATGGAGTGGCCACCTTTCTCACCAGACTTGAACCCAATCGAGTCCTGTTGGAATTGGATGAAGGACTGGATTGAAGACCGGTATGGCCTTGAAGAAAGGCCCTCGTATGACAAGCTTCGCGAATATGTTAAGGAGGCTTGGGAGGCATTGCCGGACGACTACTTGAAGCAGCTGTTGGCCTCAATGCCAGAGCGCTGCAAAGCTGTTATTGCAGCCAACGGGATGCATACAAAATACTAGCTAGTGGTTTGGTATATTTAGTGTAGAAATAAGCGGGTATCATTGCCTGAATCAGCGAGGGTACCCCGCATGGAGGTTTTTATTACCCATCATACCACAGTACAAGTACTGGAGTCTACTAGTGATCAACGGGTTACATCCTCTAAGGAAACACGAGACCCGATGTTACCGCTCGCCGACGTTCTCGAATCTGCTAAGATATTCCGATGTGACTTTGGTCACTAGTAGTGATCTCGCGTCACATCCGACATGCCAATCCGCGATGGCGCGGGGTCATTCAAATGCGACTCAGAAGTGCCGGTTCTGACGGTGATGGTGAACAGCCAAAGGATGATCGTTCCAGGGGCTTATAAAAGTACAAAACTATTAGCACCCGATATCATCCAACACATCGAAACTTATCCATTCGATGTTCGCTGCATTCCCAACGTTCATCTGCGGCATCCCCTGACCCCTCACCGAGAAGCCAAACAGGCAACCCCCCCCGGTGCTCGACTGGAGACATGGAAACCGTATCCCCTTACGATGCATGTGCGTCTGTGGCTCGACTTGCGCTGGTATCGGTCTCTATTGTGTTAGCCCTGGTAAAGCACCCATTCCAAACGCATAGTCCAATGTGGCTTCTAGTATTCTCGAGCTACTGACAACGAGTTTTGCCCAGTGTCTCGGCTATCTAATCTGGACAGCGGCGTACAATGTCTTTCTCCACCCCCTGCGCTCATACCCAGGGCCGACACTCTGGGCTATGTCGCGCATTCCCTACACCCGCGGCTTCCTGAGCGGCGACATGCACCATCGCATCCTCGAGCTTCACAAGACGTACGGTCCTGTCGTACGGGTGGCCCCGGACTTCTTGTCCTACAGCCACCCGGATGCCCTAAAGGAGATCCGGGGTCACCGTAAAGGGGGCAGGGTCGAGCACCCCAAGGATCCGGTTCATGTTGGCGCCAACGTCGACTCGGTCTTCGGCGCGGATCGTGACAACCACACCCGGATGCGGCGGGCGATGGCTCACGGCTTTTCCGCCCAAGCGATCGCTGAGCAGCAGCCCATCATTCAGAAGTATGTCGACCTCATGATCCGGCGGCTGCATGAAGAGTGCGCCGGCGGAACGCGGTCGGTGGACGTGGTGAAGTGGTTCAACTTCGCCACGTTCGATATCATCGGCGATCTGGCTTTTGGCGAGCCCTTTAGCTGCCTGGAAGGCTCGACGTACCACCCTTGGGTTGCCATGATCTTCTCCAGCGTCAAGGACCTTGCTTGGTCCATCAACTTGAACCGGTATCCGGCCATCGCACCGCTACTGAAGAGACTTCTGGTGCCGAAGGAGGTCATGTCCAAGTTTGCCCAACATCGAGCACTGTCGGAGGAAAGGGTGCGGAACAGACTTGCCATAGACACCGATCGTCCGGACTTCCTCGACGCAATGACAAAGCGGCGAGGTGATGCGAAGGAATTGACCTTCCAGGAACTGGTAGGCAATGCGTCCCTCCTCATCACAGCCGGGTCGGAGACGACGGCCACGGCGCTGTCGGCGGCAACGTACTACTTGGGCATGAACCCTCGTGCATTGGCCCGTCTGACCGCCGAGGTCAGGTCCACGTTTGCACGGGAGGACGAGATCGACCTCCTCAGCGTCCAGAATCTGACGTATATGCTGGCCGTGCTGGACGAGGCGCTGCGCATGTATCCGCCCGCGCCCGGCGGACAGCCGCGGAAGATCCACAAAGACGGCGATGTGATTCTGGGCCGGTTTGTGCCTGGCGGTGTAAGTCGAGAATATCATCTGACGAGCGGAGAGATATAAAGATCTACTGTCTGACTCCACGGCAGACCGTTGTCGAAAACTGGCAGTGGCCCATGTGCCATAACCCGGCCTGGTTCACACGGCCTGATGACTTCGTCCCCGAGCGCTGGCTTGGCGATCCGCGCTTCGCGGGCGATACGAAGGAGGCGCGTCAGCCCTTCTCCTACGGGCCGCGGAATTGTATCGGGAAGAAGTACGCATGTCGTTCCTAACCTTCGTTTTCCATTATTTTATGCTCGGCTGACTCAGTTTCATTTTCGCTTCCAACTAGCCTCGCATACGCCGAGATGCGCCTGATCCTCGCCAGGGTCGTATGGGCTTTCGACATCAAGCTGGCCGAGGATGCCAAGGGGTGGGACGAGAGAAGCAAGATGTATCTTTTATGGGAAAAGGGCCCTGTGAATGTGTTCTTGACGCCGCGGGAATCTGAGAGTGTCTGAGAAACGGAGCGAAGGACGGCAGCGAGGTAGCACCCCTGCTTCTTGAACCAGCCCTCGTCCTGTGTGTAGTCGAAGTTATCCCAGACGTGCTGCATCATCCAGGCTGCGGCCGCAGGCTCTTTAGAGGTGCTTCAGCCAAGCGCCAGGAGATGTAAGCATATGGGTAAGGTAGCGAACTCACAGTTTGGCCATGACGCGCCCTCCTTCATGGCAGTGAAACCGAAGATGTTCAACTCGTTATGCACCACAAAGCCCGACGCATTGTACAGTAACTGGGCTGTCTCGGTGCCCCTCGGAGCCCATGTATCGGCCATATAGTTCCACAGAGCCATCTGGGGCTCTGCGAGACTTGTCTGGTCGGCCGCCCAGTAGTTCATCTGCAAGTTGATGTTCGCGTGGTAGTCGCCGCTCCACGCAGCCTGTAGCCCCTCCGCCCAGCGTCCCTGCAGGTTTGCCGGCAGCGAATTCCGTCGGGACGAAGAGATGAGCAGGTGCCGCGAGTAGTCAAAGAGCAGAGCTTCCAAGTAAGGATCGCCGCTGCCCGAGCGGTAGTAGCTCGATAAAAGTGCTGATGTCTCTACTCCGACAGATCCCTTCGCGTCGGGGAGGTCTAGGGAGAAGGCGCCTTGGAGGGAGGAGTAGTCTCGAAGATCCGCCGTAAGGAGTTGCTAATATGTTTTCTTTGCTGCCCTGGACGACGCTCGTTCGACGTGCGGTCCGGGGTCGTCTCCCCTGAAATCAAAGCCGTTGGCCGCATTTCCTCTCTTCTGGTCGTAGTCGGTCGCCGCGGAGATGACGAGCGTCAAGGATCTGTCATGCGGCGCAGGGGAAACTCTTAATACATTCCCCAAACACTTTGCAGATATGACACTGCTCTGTCCGCCTGCCACCGCTACGATGGCTTCGTACTTCATGCCCTCGGGGGGGGGAGGGGGGGGCAGCCTAGGTGTAGCCGGTCAACCGAGAAGAGCTCTTCCCGCAGGACAGCTGCAATGGTGAAGATGGAACTAGCAGGTTCTCAAGTGAACAGAAACAGCCGGCAAAGCTGTGCTCGAGCTGAGGTGGTATACGCAGACTTGGTCCGGATAGGAGCAGAACACCGAATGTCGAAGAGCTGGACTGGCCTGTCTGGGAGACTGTAGTGTGGACTCCAGTAGTCAGATCGAGCGAGCGATTATAGACCGTGTAGTTGGCCACTCCATCAAAGGCGACACTGAGGTTGCCCATAACACGGTAGGAACCGTAGTTGTCCCCTGGACCCAACAGGGGTGATACGTCTGGGAGTTGTCAAAATGTTGATAAGCAATCATACGGTATTTGACACGCGAAAGAGGTGTACCTCCAATCCCATTCTTGAAGATCTCGCTACGGATCTCACGTAGGAAGCTGCTCTTCGAGGTTATAGTGTTGCCGCCCCGGTAGCTCTAGGGACAGCGGTTAATGAACTGCCATTCCTGTGCGTACCATGCTGCCGAGAGATCGGTGCTCACGGAGTTCTCAAACGGGCCTCCTGACCATAATGAGTCGATGTTCAGAAGCGGTTTCTCAGAGCCAGGTGCTCCAAATGGGATAGCTGCGGCCCATCAGTAACGTCAGTTACTACTAGTACTAGTAGTTCGTACTCTGGCCCTGGAAATGGCAGTATCAGAGTACTCACCCCCGAGTTTCCCGTTTCCGACTGGGTATCCCGTCTTTAAGATGTAGTCGTCGCTAAGCTAGTCAGATTTGTGATTTCTCAGGTACTATTGTTTATGTTCTCGATCAAGCTTTCCCATTGCGCTCGGCCCTCGGGCTATTCCTCGCCCGTAAAGTTTCCGCTGGGGAAGGGGCGGAAGATGAGGCCCCGCACTGCTACGTCGGCTCCAATTACCGGGCCGAGAGCCTGCATCCGGCAGTTTGGAGGTGTGCTGATGCTCGAAGTGACGGACCTGCACCGCCAATAGAAGGAAATCATGCTTGCACCTGCAGTTCCTACTTGTGTTCAGCCCTCTCACCCCATAATCACCTCCTTCCAGACAGGTCCAGGGCTGAAGCTTCGATGGACAGCCGATTTGAGCACGGTCCCCAAGCCTCGCCGCTCAGCAACCCCACCATGCCACTCAATGACCATGACGTGGTAGGCCTTCCACTCTCTCGGCCGCACCGTCCAGTGCACCTCGTCCTCATCGCCTTGCGACTCCGAGAGGAGAATGACCTCGAACGGTCGCTCGGACTCGAAAAATGTTGTTTCATGAAACCCGTCTAATCCTAACCTTCCACACCGACGCCCATCCGTGCCAATAAGGTCTCCTCGCGGCCAAAAGACATCAATGTTCTGTAGCTTGACGTAGATGACTATAGTCCAGAACTGCAATAGGTGGTATGGATACAGCCGTGGCGGCTCGGCGCCGGCCTGACTTGTTTCGGTAGTGTCGACAGGGCCGGGGCCCAGGTCCAGAGTGGGCATGGTCCGCGATGTCCGGAGACCCCGGAACGGGACACTTAAACGGGCTTCGCCGTCCGTAACCCTCTGTATCCGTACCACCGCTCTCTGGGAACAATTCCAGATTCTCCGCGGGATCCCAAACAGGGCTTACCACCCCGGCGGGACTCCCCTTATACCAGACAATCCACGTCTGGTCGCGTAGCCAGCCGCGTGTATCAATGGTTCCGATACGCAAGAACCCAAGCGAGTCCCGCCACCCGGCCCACGAGTAACTCGGAAACCCACGTCGACGGCCAGCCGCCGGGCCGCGTAGCAGAACATACCTGTCGAACTGGCTGGTGGGAAGGCCCTGCAGCATGCGGCACCGGAGCTTGTGGGAGAGGCGGCGCAGGATGCCCGCCATGGCGCGGAGGGCGTCGGCGTCGTTTGTCAGGGCGCGGCGGGTGTAGTAGAGGAGGAAAACTTCGTACTGATGCGCCGGACCGTCGGTGGTAATGATGGCATCGGCGAGCATGGATGTCAGGCTGGCTTCCTGCCGTCCGAGCGTGGGGTCGTCGGCGCAGACTTCGAGGAACTCACTTTCGCGGCAGCGGAAAACGACCGAGTCGGGGAAGAAATATAGGATTCGTCGAGATAGAACGTGCTCTTGGAACCTGTGCGGTAGCATATATCTTTAGCCTCGGCGTTCTTGAGGTTCCCTACGAGAACACTTTGGGCCGGTCGAAGGTGACATAAAGGGAAAGAAGAGGAAAGGGAGCTAAACGTCAACGAATGCCGGGGCCACGAACGTCCATGCCCTGGTTTCATATACACTCCTCTGCAATTGGAGCTCCGTGCCCACGTAGACCCCCATGGAGACCCCCTGCTTTACCTGCTTGACAAGAACTCGTCCCGCTCGCTCCCCCGGCTGCACGCCGGGAAGGCCGGCATTGGAGTCGTGGCCATTTGCCGCCACAATGCTAATCCATGCTCGCTCGTAGATCTGATCCATGACGTTAACGCCCTTTTCGAGATCGTCCGAGCTATTTTGCAGCAAGCACAGCGCGTCGACCCAGAGGAAGCGGATGTTTAGTCTTTTGGCCAAGAGAATCGCATCCTGGAGCGTCCTGGGCAGCCGTCTAGGGAACTCGAGAAGGGCACCGGGCACCATGAGTTTGTCCAGATTTGCCTTGGTAAGTCGGAAGGTCGGGTAGGAGCCCCAGACGTAGCTGAGCACCGCGTACTGGACGGGTTCGGTCTTCTGGACGATGCAACCCCGGATCGTGTCGATGAATCGTAGGAAGCGCAATCCGGGGAAGGCCTCGCCAAACATCATCGTATGCGGAAATAAGACACAGATGTGGTGAGATGTGCAGTGGTCGATCCATCCAGCCACCCTCGACACATCGAGCTCAACGGGGAGTTTTGGGAGGAGGTACGAGTGCGGTGGGCTTGCACCGGAGGCGGAGGAACATGAATCTGACCCAAAGGCCAGCCAGACGTCCTCCTGACCCGTGATGACGAACCCGCCTCTTGTCCGCGTAACGGTTCGAGGAGCCCAGACCACTTCAACATCTCGGCCGGGGGACAGGGGAAGGCGCGACGAGTTGAGGTTTCTGTACAGCAGCGTTGCCTCACATGCTAACAGGCAAAACGGACAATCGCTCTGGAGGATGCGAGACGCAGCTCCCAAGCAATACGTATTGTCCGACTTGTCCACCCTCCGACGGTCGTCTCGCGTTCCGGCTGCAAATTCCGAAAAGGGTATCTTGTCGCAGTAGCTGCAAAGGTCTGCCTGTGCCATCATAAAGGGAGCGTTGGTAGTACCTTCTTTCCTATTGCTGCGGCTGACTGACGAGGACCCGCTCCTCCACAACCTTTTTGCGTAGGTACTATCGCACGTGATACACACTGAAGCCGGCTTTATTAGCCGCAGACAGTGGCATCTCGTGTATGACGAGGTCACCAATAGGAGCGGGGGAACCCACCCCCTTTTAACCTCATGTTACCAGTACACGCACTAGTCTGTTATCAATAGGAAGAGTGTTTAAAACAAAGGATGGAAGCGAGGAAGAAACGCTTCGCTTAATTTACTGGGCTTGTGTCGCAAAATTCTCAGTAGCCACTGGATGCCACGGCAAAAACACGTCGCCAACCGCTGCTGGCTCGAGTGTAAGTACATCGCCGTTGTATACTGTGCGAATCTTATAGCCTTAGGGAGGGCAGCCATTTTGAGTCGAGCAGATTTACAGCGTTCATCTTGACATTATGTAGAACTTGTTCATAAAAGATAGACTGACCAAGTCGGAACAATGAAACCCTTACTCAGTCCTGCTCAGGGTCAGGCGGCAACTGCTGAGTTCCGACGAAGCTAAAAATGCGTGGTTTCGATCATAGAGTGGTAAAACGGTGTTGGGACGACCCAGGGGTAGTAAATGTGAGTGTGTCCATGGAAGAAGATTCTGCCTTGTGGCTGATAGAGGGCGACATGAGACCCCTATGGATGTATGAGATGACAACGGTACGGCATCTTCCGGGCAACCTGTCATCTGCCTCGGGCCGCGTGTCTGTGTCATGACAGGCTCGGCCGGTGTGCTTGCTTGCAGTTCAATGATGTAGAGCTTGAGAAAACCGGGTCCGTAGAGCTTACGAATACTTGGGCTGTCATTAGTGGCTGTGGTCCCGGATGCAGGGCAGGTTTGCCTCTGGATTTTTTAGACTATGGAAAATTGGGAATCGAAGGGGTTTACACCAGAGAGTTGATGGATGACGTTGAACGGTTGGATACGTGCTACCGTCGCTGCGGCTGAAGACGAAGGTAGAAGTTCGCCCGTTGTACGCGTAGACGGTGTGGATCTCGGATGACGACGTCGCCCGCGATGGCCAGGGTCCATCACCGTCCCCTAACCCATGCCTCGCCGCAACGGCAGTCCAATGGTATATGCTGCCAATCTTGCGGAGTAAACATGACACCTAGCCACTCTTCGCAGATTGGTGAAAATCTCAATGAAAACGATGTAGTGTCGATCTGTTAAAATCGTCAGCGGTCGTCGTCACCCGCTCCGGGGCTCCATCCGAGCCTTCAGGGGCGATCCTCGCCGGAGCCGCCCACATCCCGTCCCGCCAATGGGCGACCTTGTAATCACGGCCGCGTCCAACCCTTCACCGGGGACGGTGATGTCCGAACCTTCCTGAGCAAGAACCAAGCCACGACTCCGTGGCTCGCTATGGAGCGATCGCCGTCAAATGCCGAAGCCTCACCAAGCCCAGGGGAGCGGTAGGAAACGAGGGACGAGAGTGCTAGTATAAAGAGGCAGCTCTGTGTCCCGAGTACTGGGTTTTCTGACTCATCAACTCTGAACATCTGCCATGCTTTATTACTTGTACACCAAGTTTATCTCTCGCTACATCACTCTGGCACAATGGTCGGCATTTCCAAGCTCGCGGTAGCTCTTCTTGCCGCGTCCGCCACCGCCCATCCCGGCGAATCCCACGATGCGCACCAGATGAAGCGTGAGATCGTTGCTCGGGATCACGCTGCCAGAGTGGCCGCACGATTGCTCGGCTCTTGCGCCAACACCGAAGCTGCCCGTGCTCTGAAGCAACGGTCCATCCAGCGCCGCGCGGAGGTCGTCAAGACGCTCCGGGAGAAGAAGAGCATCAAGACTCGTATGTCGTAACAGTGTTTCCGTATCAAGGAGCGAATGTGAGATGAGACGACTAACACGAGGCAGCTCCCAAGAAGTATCGACGCGACCTCGAAGCCCTCGAGGTCTGGGAAGAGATCAACCACAACATGACGGGCGTGTCTGCCAACAATATGTTCACCGCACTCGAGACCGTCTTCGACGCCAACACTTCCTGCATCCTCGCTCCGGAGGTCACGGACGGACCGTACTACATCGTGGGCGAGTACCTCCGCAGCAACGTCAAGGAAGCGCAGTACTCGGACGGCGTCGACCTGTTCCTCGAGGTGCAGTACGTCGACGTCAACACGTGCGAGCCGGTGCCGACGGTGGCGGTGGACCTCTGGAACTGCAACGCCACTGGCGTCTACTCGGGCATCAGCACGTCGGGCAACTACGCGGCCGACGGCTACAACTCGACGTACCTGCGCGGCATCCAGCTGACCGACCACGACGGCGTCGCCCAGTTCGAGACCATCTTCCCGGGCCACTACGACGGCCGCGCCACCCACACCCACCTGCTGGCCCATACCAACGCCACCGTCATGCCCAACGGCACCATCTCCGTGTGGCACGCCCCCGTGGCCCACATCGGCCAGCTGTTCTGGCCCGAGGCCCTGCGCTCGGCCGTCGAGGCCGTCTACCCGTACAACACCAACGCGCAGTCCGTCACCAGCAACGCCGACGACATGTGGAGCATCGTGCAGGCCGACGCCAACTACGATCCCTTCCCACACTTTGTGTACCTCGGCGAGGATATCACCGATGGTCTCTTTGCCTGGATCCAAATTGGTATCAACGCGAGCGCGGATTACTCGGCCGACGACTACTACAGCGTGGCGGCGTACATTGATGCCGATGGCGGCCATGCCATGAGTGGGGGGATGGGTAGTGGTGGTGGTGGTATGGGTGGTGGCCCTGGCGGCGGCAATGGTACTACGAACGGCACTGCGCCTTCGGGTGACATGCCCACCGGCGGCGTGCCGCCTTCTCCTGTGCCCTCGGCTTGAGCGGTGGTAGGGAGATAGGGGTTACGCAACGCAGCGTGTGATGGAAGGGGACAACGGTAGAGACAGATCGTTCTAAGTATTTAGATGGACTTATCATTAATTCGAATAGAAGAGAAGGTCATGTACTTAGTAGTACTCTTCAGCCGCTTTTGTTGCCGTTGAGGCACAAGTACTGTGGAATTCAGCGGCTATTGTTTCACCACTGGTGCCACTGAGGAGCAAGGTACGTTCTGGTACCACAATGAAGAGTGTAAGAGACTATGACCAAAAGTTGTTACCCGCTAATGAGTTGTCCGTACGACTCATACATGTACGTAGTACGCACGACCCGCTCCGGAACAAAATCCTCAAGACGGTCTCTGCAGGTCCCTCTCGTCCCAAGTCCTATCTCGTCACCGGGCCCTTATCCCAGAGGCACTTGAGGGAATATAAAAGTAGCTGAACAGACTGAGGACGAAGTTAGTCTGCCGTCACTATTCGAGATGAGACGTGCATTTCTGGTGATCGCCTCGAAGTCGTCGGAGCTCGGTAAGTCTATCTCTTCATTAACGGGCTGGACGAGTTCCGGGGGCGGCTCTCGAGTTCATAACTATTAGCCTCAGCATAGCTTTAAACATCAAAGCCATAGTCTCGAGCAGAAGCATCCCAGAGTGTATCGCCGCCTTTGGGGATCGTCCGAAGCTTCGGCTGCAGTATCTTACTCGACGAGACATCAGGATCTATGTGCACGACACTATCGGTGGTCACGGACACATGCAGAGATTTATCAGTTGACACCCATGCGAGGCGACGATGCTCTTCGGAGATATCGTGCACAAGGCCTCCGGCATCTTTCTCTGGGTCATTCTTGCCTACAGGTCGGGTTTGTCTCGTTTCGCCGATTACGACCAGATTGTTGACACAAGACATCCCTGCCTGAATTCTTCCACGTCTGTTAAAAGAGTTGGATGATAAGTGTATATACGTCCCGCGGGATCAGCTACACCAAGCGATCGAAACCCTGAGGAAGAAAGAACGTGAAAGACCACCGGAAACCCCGGACAGCGATTCCATGCCATCTACACCTAACGCGGAGCTGGAACAGCTATGGATGGAAGATACGACAACGCCGACTAAAGCCAACTTCCTCGTCCCTCCCTACCTTAGTTAAGTTGTTCTCCGCGGAGCCACTCTATGAAGCCTCCCGCGGTAAAGCCTACCTAGGTCAGTAGTGGTATTCATGGGCATGTCGAGTTTAAACTTGAAATTTCGTCTGCGGCCAACCATGCTGAACCTTTCAGGAGATGAGGTTTCGGTTATCTGAGCCAGCATATACCTGTATTTACACACTCTCTCCGTTACCCTTTCCAAGCTGTCTTCCAAGTTCTGTCATTCCCTGTGCCGAATACCCGTAACTTCCAGGCTATCACGGCTATGTAGGGCTGTTGCACCTAGGCGCCAAGATGCCAAGTCGAATCCAAGAACTGCCAGGTGGGCCCAAGAAGTGGAGTCCAAGGTCTAACAACACTCGCCGTGGCGCTAGAACCAGACCTTAGCTCAACAAAGTTGAACCAGCTGCTGTACTTGGCGCAACCTGCTAGATCACCTGTGTCGCGCACTGCCTCAGTTGCGGATTGTCTGTACTGTACATACTGTGGTACCTGTCTGTGTGTATGTGAGAATCGCCGAGGGTTGCCGAGGTTCTTGTGTCTTGAACCTTGACCGAGCCCAGCCCGTTACAAACTTACAATCCCAGGTTGCCAGTGATTTACGCAAGGTAAAGAAAGGTGGGCGCCGGATACCAATAATCGGATTAGCTGATACCTAGTATATCTGGAGACAGGTATCTTGGCATAAAAATTACTTCTGAAATACATAAGAGTAGAGTAGACCGCTTCTTCCTTCCAAGTTCCGCCCACTTCTGTTCTGCTCTCTCCATCTTGCGCTTTGCAAATTCTATGACTGGTAATGGCCGCGTCGCCGCACAAGGACGCGATTACTACTACTAGTAGTAGCAGTGGCGATGCCCTCCCTCCAAAGGACAAGTCCAAGTCTGCGCAGGATGCGGCGCCTAATAAAAGTGTCGTTGAAGGCAATGAAGAGCTATTCCGGATCCGCTTCCAACAAGCCGGCCTGGCCGCCCAGCGATCCAGAGCCGGCGATCCTCGGCGCCAATTTCCCATGTCGGCAGACCAGCTCCGGCGACTCAACGAGGCGCGCAGCATTGCTGCCCTCCGGGCGCTGGGCGGCCAGGCCGAACTGGCGCACGCAATACGCAGCGACGCCAAGGCCGGCCTCAGCCTGGACGGAGATCACTCGGACCGTCGGAAGGTGTATGGCGAGAACCGGCTGCCCAAGCCCAAGCAGCGCTCGCTGCTGCAGCTCGCGTGGCTGGCCTTCAACGACAAGCTTATCTTCCTGCTGACGGCGTCCAACGTGGTCTCCCTGGCGCTCGGCATCTACGAGGCCGTCACCGACGACGGCGAGGGCGGCGACGGTGGGGGCAAGCTCGAGTGGATCGAGGGCGTGACCATTGCCGTGGCGATCCTCGTCATCGTGTTCGGCCAGGCCATCAACGACAAGCTGCGGAACAGGAGGTTCTTGAAGCTCAACGAGAAGAAGGACGAGAGAGATGTCGCCGTCGTGAGGTCCGGGAGGAACACCGTCATCTCCGTCTTTGACATCTTGGTGGGCGATCTCGTAAGGCTGGTATGTAGTAGTACTTAAACCCACTTTGGAGTCTCGCAGCACGCGGAAAGAAAGAAAAAACAGTGCTGACGTGGGGTGTAATGTGTACCGGTACAGGAAGCTGGGGATGTCGTGCCGGCAGATGGCGTCCTTGTCGACGGGTTCGGCGTGCAGTGCGACGAGTCTCCGCTCTCGGGCGAATCCGAATTGGTGGCCAAGATTCCCGTTCGCGAGGCCGTGGCCGAGCCCGTGGCCGAGGCCGGCGGGCACAGTGACTGCTTCATCATGAGCGGCACTCGAGTCGTGCACGGCGTGGGCACCTATCTCGTCACCGCCGTCGGCACAAATTCCGTGTACGGCCGGATCCAGATGAGCCTCCACAACGACGTCGAGGAGACGCCTCTGCAGCGCAAGCTCGGCCGCCTGGCAAAGTACATCATCATCGCCGGGTTCGTCGTCGGCTCGCTCTTCTTTACCATCCTGCTCATCCGCTGGCTCGTCCGGCTGCGGTATTTTGTCGGAACCCCCGAGGACAAGGGCGAATCCTTCCTGGACATCTTCATGCTCTCGGTGACGGTCGTCGTCATCGGGGTGCCCGAGGGGCTGTCACTTGCCGTGGCGGTCGCGCTGGCCTTCGCTACCACCCGGATGCTGAAGGACAACAACCTGGTGCGCCTGCTCCGGTCGTGCGAGACCATGGGCAACGCCACCACCATTTGCTCCGACAAGACGGGAACGCTGACCCAGAACGTGATGTCGGTGGTGTCCGGCGTCATTGGCAAACCGCTTGGCCGGGAGAAGCAGCAGGAGCCGCGGGTTTCGCCGCCAGTTACCGACGACAAGAGGCAGTCCGAATTCGAAAAAGAAGGGCCGACACCGATGGTTACAGGGGCTAACCTCTCTGGCACCACGCTCTCGGCCGACGTCGTGGAGCTGCTGAAACAAAGCGTGGCCCTGAACTCGACGGCGTTTGAGCAGGGCGGGCCGGGGACGTCGGACTTCATCGGGTCCAGCACGGAAAGCGCGCTGCTGAAGTTTGGCCGCGACCATCTCGCCATGGGACCGCTCGCGGAAGAGAGAGAGAACGCCGAGGTGGTGGAGCTTTTCCCGTTCAACCCCGTCCGGAAGTGGATGGCCGCGCTCATCAAGACCGGAGCAGGAGGCAAGCACCGCATGCTGGTCAAGGGAGCGCCCGAGGTCATCCTTGCCAAGTGCTCGACGGTCCTCAGCGCGCCCGAGGAGGGCTTGGCCTCGGAGGTACTCACGGAACAGATAGGCAGCGACCTGTCGTCGTTTGCGCACGAGCTCTCGGGCCAAATGCTGAGAACGGTCGCGCTCGCGTACCAAGACTTCGACGTCTGGCCCCCGGCCACGGACACGACCGCCGACGACGACGACGGGACTCTGACCTCCCAGACGGGCGTGGGCGTCGAAGCCGGCAGGGTGGACTTCGAAGGTCTCTCGCAGCACCTGACGCTGGCCGGCATCCTGGCCATCCGTGACCCGCTCCGGCCCGAAGTGCCCGACTCGGTCCGCAAGTGCCAGGACGCCGGCGTCTTTGTCCGGATGGTGACCGGGGACGCCTTCGAGACGGCGCGGGCCATCTCCCAGGAATGCGGCATCTACACGGCAGGCGGCATCGCCATGGACGGCCCCACTTTCCGGAAACTCACCTCGCAGCAGCTGGGCCTCGTGCTTCCTCGCCTGCAGGTGCTTGCGCGGTCGAGCCCCGCCGACAAGGAGAGGCTGGTCCGCCATCTCAAGCGGCTCGGCGAGACAGTGGCCGTGACGGGCGACGGCACCAACGATGCCTTCGCCCTGAAGGCAGCCGATGTCGGGTTTGCCATGGGTGTTAGCGGGACCGAGATCGCGAAGGAAGCCAGCTCCATCATTCTTATGGACGATAACTTTGCGAGCATTGTCAAGGCGCTGGCATGGGGGAGGACGGTCAACAACGCGGCCAAGAAGTTCATCCAGTTCCAGTTTACCATTAACATTACGGCAGCCATCTTGACCATCGTCTCTACCCTGGTCGACGACGTCGATGCCTCCATCTTTGCCGTCATCCAGCTCCTGTGGCTGAATCTGATCATGGATATCTTCGCGGCTGCCGCCCTCGCAACCGACTCCCCGACGCCGGATCTCTTGAAGCGGCGACCCGAGCCACGAAACGCCCAGATCATCGACGCCACCATGTGGAAGATGATCCTCGGCCAGTCCATCTACCAGCTGGCCGTGATCTTCTCCCTGCACTACGCCGGCCGCGGCGTTTTCACGGCTTCTGGCGCGGACGAAGGCGTGCGGGACGTGCAGCACCACACGCTTGTCTTCAACACGTACATGATGATGCAACTCTTTAACCAGCTGAAGTAAGTCTTGCCCTCCCCCGGCGGCCGCTAACCCGTCTCCCTCATATTGCTGTTCAAGGATAATAATGATGATTCCTTATCCAGCTGCCGACGGACGGACAACGACCTCAACATCCTTGCCGGCGTGCACCGCAACCCGTGGTTCATCGGCGTCCAGCTCCTGACGCTCGCCGGCCAGATTGTCATCATCTTCAAGGGCGGCAACGCCTTCCAGACGGCGCCGCTGACGGGCGCGCAGTGGGGCTGGTGCCTGCTGTTCGGCCTGCTGACCCTCCCGCTGGGTGCCGCCATCCGCCAGGTCCCGGACTCGCTCGTCGCCGCCCTCGGACGGCGCCTGCGCCCTCTCGCCTGGCCGGTGCGCCGCGCCGTGCGCTTCTTCCGCGGCCGGAGGGAGAAGTCTAGGAGAAAAAACAAGTCGGATCTCGAGCAGCGCATCGGTGATAGAGCGCCGTATTACTTTGAGGACCTTGAGGATGACGAGGAGAGGCGGGTGCGACGGATCCAGTGGACGTGGCACTGGCAGCACGCGGAGAAGGCCACCACCACTACAACAAATAGTACTAAAAAGAAGAAAGCCCCGACGGGCCACGGGATCGCCAGCGCCATGGCTTCGGCCGGCGCCGATCTGGCCAACCAGACGGTCGCTGCCGTCGGGCTTCCGCAGCGGTTGGGCCGGGCCGCGACGGGGTTTTCGCAGGTGACTACGACGACAGCGGCGACTGCGACGGAGGACGACAACAACGACGACCTTTACACGGGCGCAGGCAGAGGCGAGATTATCGATCTTCCGGCGGCCATTGAGAGGGCGAAGCGCGGGGGTGGCGCCGATACCGCCGCTGGCTCGTGGCGGCTGGAGGTGCACCCGGACACGGACAGGGACGATCCGGTTATTATGCCTGACATTATCAGGGCCCGTGTGCCGCCGAGCCAGAACGCGGCGCTCCAACGGTGGATGGCATAGTAGGCGTTCGCATATTGGGAGAACTACTAGTACTAGCAGAAGTGAGAGTAGGTCATCAATAACACGTCTATTGAGGTGCCGATCTGCCAAATGCCAATCTAATCCCAAACATGCAGATCCAAAATACCGTTATAGGATCAAACCATGTGCCACAACGCCAACGCTATGTATACTTGTAAAGAGAGCATGCCAACAATCCCGCCATCCATCAGTACCCGAACGGTGTAGCGCCCGCTCGGAACGGCCGTTCCAAGGTCTTCACCCGCCCGTCATTGATCTTCCACACGCCCTTGGTCCTGTCGTGATGCAGCTGCCATCCCATGCCCTCGGACAGCCGGTGGAACACCTCATGGCTCTCTCCCGGCACGGACCGAAACAGCAGCGGCTCCCACGCCACCCCGCGCCTTGCCTCGCTTGCCCTCATCTGCCGCTGCGCCTGCTCGACCTTGGTCTTCTCGGCCACCACTGTCCTCATGTCCCCAACCCGCAGGCCATGCAGCACGCCGGCCCACGCCCGCCGCGACTCCCACGGGTCCTGCGCCTCCAGCGGCGCAATGTCCATCGGCACGGGCTCGTTCTCGGGCGCATCCAGGTCCACGACCTCCAGCACCTCGTCACTGCTGCAATCCCGCACCGTCCACCCCTCGCTCCAACACCCGGCAACCTCAAACAGCGGCTCCTTCCTCCTCTTATCCTCCCGACGATACACCCTTGCCTCGAACGAGTTCCGCTTCCCGCGAATCAGCCCTTCCCCCCAGAACCGGCACTCGGTGACAAACCCGGCGCTCGAAACAAGCTGATACGTGCCCGCGATCTCGGGGTACAGACAACCCGACAAGAACCCGCGCACTTTCACGTCGGGGAGCGGCACGAGATGGTCCTCGTCGTACCTGTCGACATGCAGCGTGGCGTGCCCGACCTGGCGGATGTTGACGCTGCCGTTGAAGGTCATCTCGACGCGGGCGTAGCCGTCGGCGCGCACGCCGTGCGCCCGGTCGGCCACGTGCATGGCCGTGATGGGCGGGTGGTGCGACACCTGCTCGGCCACCAGGTCGATCGTGCACTTGCGCTCCGCGTCGGCCCACCGCGCGAGGAAGAGCTCGCCTAGGAAGGCGTTGAGCGGTTTGCGGATGGATTTGGTTTGGCTGGGCGGCGATGATGATGAGGTTGTGGTGCCGTCGGTAGAGGTAGTACTAGTACTAGTAGTAGGGGTCGGGTAATGGTCCACGCCGATGTAGAGCTGGCTGCGCAGTGCCATTAGGAACCAGCGGAGCACGAGGAGGGCGCGCTTTTCCGGGCTGGGCTCGAGGGCCGGGGCCGCGAAGACCGCGGGCCGTTCCGCCCAGCAGTGGCCTACTTCGACGACGGAGCAGGGTGCCAGCAGCGACGGCGGGCCGGTTACGTTGGCCAGGTCGCCCTTGACCGTGCCGAGGAACTGCACGGAGATCATTATCGGTCAGTGAGGCGGCGCACTAGTAGGATGGTTTGCCATAGGTACAAGTACTACACACCTTAACAAGTTCACGCAGGCGAGAGTGCAAAGATCTGCTGTCCATGGTAGGGGGTTTTGAAATGTAAAAATGGAAAATACCTAGTCGTCAAGGTGCTGTCTATTAATGAAGCCGGATGTTATTGATAATGGATCAACCTAAGGGATGTGGATATCACTTGAACTTGGAGTGATACATCAAAAGTTAAGTCCAGAATCACTCGCCTGAGAATGCTGAACAAAGATGCCCGAAACAAATGCGGGAAGCAATGGCACTTATAAAGTCGTAGTACGAGTAAGACCATTGTCCCCATCAAAGCCCGTGCCTTTGTTGGTTGACGCGCTTTGTTTCAGCTTCGTCTCACCTGGCGAGTCAGGTCCGGAGGCGAAGGGAACGGATCAATCGTGCCCGACATGACGCGGGACACGCAATCCACCGACGACTGGTGCCAGCAAGTCCTGCTATCCTGCGTTTTCCATCGGTCGTGCTTCTTGACAACCGCGACCACGTGGTCGCACCTTCACATGCAAGGACATTAGGTGCGTCTGTGATAGTGCTTGTGGCGTGGTGGGGCGCAGTCTCTCGACTCTCGACCTCAACCGAAGTGCCATGCATGAGCCCCAACATCCAACGCACGCGGTAAGCACGAATACACTCACCGATATCGCATATGCGATTGCAATCGGCCTGGCTTTTATAGGGTCGAATGATCGCAATGAAGTCAAGCCGAGTCAATCATCTGCCACAAAATTGATGACCGCCCTCGCCGCCTTACCCCTGTCGAGACGGCTAGTTGGGGTTAGGGTTGTTGACCATAGCCTCGGCGTCCAGGTGCTGCTGACCCACTGGGCCGGCGATATATGTTAGGGACAGGTGCACTGCCTTAGGTTAATAGAAACTGCGCTCTGCGGTGTACCCATCGAGTCCCCCCCCCCCCCCCAAGTCCGGATACCTTCTGCATATACCACTGACACCCCAAAAGGCAAATGCAACAAACCCCATTATCTGGACATCCCGAGGCCGCTGTTTACGCTCGGCAGTTCAAAGGGAGCTGTGACTGTGTTGTAGCGGGGCGTATGGGGCGCGCGGGTAACCGACCCGAACCCGGCGATTAAAGACAAATGAGACGGTACCTACTCCGTCTACACACTGTCTCCGGACGTGACCCCCTAGGCTCCTATAAGTTGCCTGGATCGATATTGCGTAGTATTGGTTTATAGTCCTATTTGCACTTTTCCTCGACTTTTACCCCTACCCAAGCAAGGTTGTGGAGGAGCTAAGCTGCCAAAAGCAAAACGGTCTCCGCTGGCGCTCCGCGGAAGCTAAAACAGCTCACCGGCCCGAGCCGACGCTACAGGACGGGTACGACGTTGTCGCAAGCTGCAACGGAGACAAACGAGACCGGCCGTCAAAATCGCAGTTTGCTACAAGCTCTGCAGTGCAAATCGCAATTCATTGTGACTCTACTCTACACGGAAGTCCATATTAGTACGGTGGAAGTGGAAGACTAGGACGCAACAGGAGGTACTTGTATGTACAAACCTAGGTACGCGGAAAGGCGGCACAAAGTTCCCATGCAATGCTACCATTATTTACAGCTCTCTCACCTTGCCAATTGCATGCACTCAGCCAGCCTACCTACCTTAGTGAAAGAGGCATCGCGGGAATATGGAGAACATGGAAGCAACTTCACATATCTGCATCTGCAATGCCCGTCGCCACGCCAAGTTTAGCTGCTCCTCCATTGAATAATACTACCTCATCCGGGGCTTGAGATGGTTGGTACATAACTCCGACTCCCGAGTCAATCGCGACTCCTGTGCGCATCCGAACTCCAATTCCATCCCGTCATTGGCAGGCTCAGCCCGCGGAGGTGAAGCCGCCGGGCCGGACCCTGCTTCTTGCATTTGTCTTGCATTGTGCGGGTAGTCAAAGCCAACGGTCACACCAGAAGAATCCCCCACATCTTTCCGTGCTTCAAATCGGCGGAGCAACCCCGCCGATCCAAGGATTTCCGTTGTTCCGCATCTTCCCCTCTCCGTTGATTTCCTATCCCGACAAAAGAACCTTGAGTAAAGAAAGACGGATTTTCGGCCGCCCGTGAAGATCGCAAACCCATTCCCTCGGTTCGGCTACCATTTTCGCCGCCATGGGAGATAGCGCCGCCAAATCGCCGGCCAAATCTCCGACCCCAGGCCGGGGGTCGCCCGCGGCATCGCCACCTGCGGCCGCAAGCCCGAATACCGCAGCGAGTCCTCCAGCGCCGCCCGCTAACACCGGAGTTCTGGAGGTTGATGTGGGTGGCGCAAGGGTCGGAAACTGGCCAGGGCGATACATACTGATTTCGTAACCCACAGGCTAGCTCTGACCGTGATGATACCGACTCTGCGTTCGGGCCGGTATGACCACAAGTAGTGTATTTTCCATTCTTTAGTAGACCACGGCGCTTACTGGTGCGATGACAGGGCGGCGACGTCAGTGATACGACATCGCTCGCATCGTTCATCTACAAATACCGGGAGCAGAATGGCCGCACCTACCATGCCTACCAGTCAAACGGCGAGTACAAGCGTAGGTGCCTTTGCCGAGCTTCTCTGTGAACACAAGAGTGAAGGCTGATGTCACGCAGCATACTTCCTCCCAAACGACGACGTACGAGCTCCCTCTGAGTCATGGCTGTTGAGGTGGGGTGATTGCTAACAGAAATGACCATAGAGAGAAAATGACCGGCTCGGTAAGACATGGCTATGACATTACTACTACCCCCCGGCTACTTACCGGAATGTAGACCTCCAGCACAACCTCCTCATACTGACGCAGGACAACCAATTGTTCACCTGCCCGGGTGTGAAGGAACGGCCAGTTTCCCGGGTGCTTGACGCCGGATGCGGAACCGGCTGCTGGGCCATAGACTTTGGTGTGTTTGTTGAGCAACCACTTCCAGTCTCACCAACCCTAGATGGAAAGTGCTGACTGCTTTCCAGCCGATGAGTACCCCGAGGCGGCTGTATGTATCATACGCGATTTGCGGGATGAAACGGAACTGACGATTCGCCAGGTCGTGGGAGTTGATCTCAGCCCCATCCAACCTGCATTGTGAGTGCACCCGCGGCTAGTGTAGTGCGAGGTAGCACAGTACACAAAAAAGGGTTGGGGCTAATACACGCTAGTGTCCCACCAAATGTCGAGTTCTTCGTCGACGATCTTGAGGAGGAATGGAACTTCGTCCACCCCTTCGACTTCGTCTATGCGCGCTTCCTGACAGGGTCAATCAAAGACTGGCCCAAGTTCTTTAGGCAGGCATATCAGTAAGCTTCGTCTTCCGCTCAGTGGCTCTGCTTGCCCCCCCTTGCCTTCCTCCATCACTCACCACAACCCTATAGACACCTAAAGCCAGGCGGCTACATCGAAATCTGCGACATCATCAGCCCGCTGAGCTGCGACGACGGCACGCTGACGGACGAGACGCCCATGCAGCGGTGGAACACCCTGCTGCTCGAGGCGACGCAGAAGCTGGGCGCGCCGCTGAACAGCGCGCTGGAGTACAAGCGGCAGCTCGTAGAGGCCGGGTACCAGAACGTCGTGCAGGTCGAGTACAAGTGGCCGACAAACACGTGGCCCAAGGACAAGAAGCACAAGGAGATCGGCGCCTGGAACCTCACCAACATGACGGCCGCCCTGCAGGCCCTGAGCTTGATGATCTTCACTACGGTGCTGGGCTGGTCGGTCGAGGAGGTCGAGCTGCTGCTGATGGATGTTCGCAAGGACTTCAAGAACCGTGATATACATGCGTACTGGCCGATGTGAGTTTATTGAAGCTATGCTGGTTTGGGAGAGGGAACTTTCGCTGACTGTGGTGCTTTGCGTCCAGATGGATTGTGTATGGGCAGAAGCCGGAGTAGGGTGATAAGGAAGAGGGCCCACGGTGGCCGCAGTTCAACCGGGTGCAGTTTGTGGAGTGTTCGGGCAAGGCAGTTATAATTCAGTGAAGGGGTTGCTGAGACGACAAAGGGGGGGGATGCGCTGCCTTCGCATTGCTGCTCAATATTTCGGCGTACATACAACCTCGCCTTTTCCTCTTATTCCACGACATACACTAAAATGCCGGGAGTTTTCTTGGCGTTGAATCACAGATTTGGCGACGCTGGGAGCATGCAACTCAGGGGCTCATCAGGTCACGCAGGCACACACACGATGTCTCGTGACTGAGGGGTTCGTCAGTAAAAAGAGCTCAGATTCCCCATCATCCGGTTCATCTATCCTGAGGCTCCCGCATCAACTCCGAAAACACCACCTCATGTCTCATGTGATGTGAATACAAAAGAGAAAAAGGTCTGTCGCATCCCGCACCTCCTCCTAAACCTTCTCCGAGGCCTCGACAACAGGCTCCGGCTGCACGCCGGCCTCATCTCCCTTCCTCTGCCTCGCGGCCACGGCCTCAATCTCGGCCACTAGGCGCGAGTCGCCCTTCTTGGTGTTCCACGGGTGCGGGCCGTCGGGCGAGAAGAGCAGCTCGATCTCCTCGAGCGTCTTGCCGCACGTCTCCGGGCACAGCACGAAGAACCAGGCGGCGGCGGCGACGCAGAGCACGCCGAAGATGATGAAGATCTTCCAAGTGATGTTGACGAAGGCCGGCGGGGTGAACATGCCCAGGGCGAAGTTGAAGACCCAGTTGCTCAGCGCGGCCATGGACATGCCCGTGGCGCGCGTGCCGAGCGACCACACCTCGGCGGCGTAGATCCAGCAGACCGGGGCCAAGGTCAGGGCGTAGACGACGATCAGCAGGTACGAGAAGGTCATGACCGTGTTGGCGGGCGCGCCCGGTGTGACGGCGATGACGATGTTGTGGTTGGGCGGGTTGCCGACGCCGCCGGGCACGTAGCGCGAGTGCGCGCCCATGACGCCGCCCACCACGAAGTGGCAGAAGCCCATGCCCAGCGCGCCCCAGATCAGCAGCGTGCGCCGGCCCGTCTTGTCGATGAACAGCCACATGACGCCCGTGAAGATGATGAAGACGGCGTACTGGATGCCCGACGTGACCATGGCCACGTCGCCCGTCAGGCCGGCCATGCTGGCGATGTAGGTCAGGTAGTAGACGATGACGTTGGCGCCGGCGAGTTGCTGCCACGCCTGGACCGACATGCCCGCCAGCGTCCGCTTCCACATGCCGCGCTGGAAGAACTTCCTCCAGCCCTGGCCGGCCTCGCGCTCGGCGAGCATGACGGTCTGGATCTCCTCCCACTCGGCAATGACCAGCGGATCGTCGATGTTGCCGCCGGCCTGGATGCTGGCCAGCGTCTGGATGGCCTCCTGGTCGCGGCCGACCTTGGCGAGCCAGCGCGGCGACCGCGGCAGGAAGGGCAGGCCCAGGATCAGGAAGAAGCAGGGGATGAACTGCGTGCCCCACGCGGTGCGGAACGACGCCGGGCCCTCGATGGACGCGCAGCCGTAGCCGATGAAGTACATGATCAGAATGCCGAACTCGATGGCCAGCTGCTGGATGATGACGAGCGAGCCGCGCTTCTCGGCCTTGGCGATCTCGGCCAGGTACACGGGCACCTGCGACGACGTGATGCCTACCGTGAAGCCGTTGAGCACGCGCCCGGCGATGAGTGTGCCGACGTTCTGGCACGCGACTTGGACGGAGGTTCCGATCAGCCAGAAGAGGCAGGCAAACATGATGGAGTCGCGGCGGCCGATCTTGTCAGAGAGCGGGCCGGCGATGGCAGAACCGACCACGGAGCCGGCGGCCAGAGCAGAACCGATGGCACCTTGGATCACATTCGCCGGGTTGTTGAAGTATTCAATGTACTGGTCGGTCACAACGATGGCGGACATGGACGAAATGTCAAAGCCGAACCTGAAAAACAGCAGAAAGTCAGTCACTGCAACATGGAGATTGGGATAAGGTAGGTGAGGCATGATTGAAAAGAAAACCCACAGCATGCCACCCAGGGTCGCGATGATGGCGACCAGCTGGACATTGTAGATCGTCGGGAGCTTCATCTTGCCCGATTCCCAAGCGAGTAGCTCTTGATGATTGTTGCGAAGGAAGAAGTAAGGATATCGAAAACTTCGGGTTGCAAGATGATGAAAGATGAAGAGTTCTGAGAAATTGCAGGAAGTCGGTGATGGCTTTGGGGAGAGGGTTCAAGTTTCTTTCCACCCGCAAAGTGTAGCAACTGCTTCAAGACAGTCGAACAGTCGGTCCGAATTTCATCCCAACTCCAGGGCGGTGAACAAAAGTGGTGTTACACGGCGGCTCGTGGAGCACCCCGAATGTTAATTTGTGGTGGTGAGTGCGGTAGGCCCTCAATGCACCCGCGAACCAGATCTTCTTCGTCTTCAACGTCGGCCTGCGAACTGCGAGAGTTCCTGCGAAGACGCAATGCACCTCCATCCTGAGCGCGAGGTCTGTGAGCTCTTGGGGCTATTTATTTGCTGCCAACCGCATCCTGCAATCCGGCAACCACCTCGGCAAGGACGTGAACCCTCCGGGTGCTCAACTGCACCCCCCGGGACGTTACATGGCGTGGAGATGCCCCATGGGACCGCTTGTTTGCGGGCTGGTCGTTCTGGGGTTCTGGGGTCTCCGCGATCCGGATCCCACCAATCACCCGCGCAAGACACCACGATGCAGCGGCCTTACTTGGTAGGGGGAGGATCGGCAGACCGAACCGAAGGGGCACAGCATGTGCCATCCAAGAACATGATAGGCGCGCTTCTGGCCCTTCTTCAGCCTGTTCGGTAGTTTCCATGGTTTGATGCCGACGGCTGCACCACCGTTGGTCCTTCCTCGTCCAACCTTTTCACCCTTCGAGTTTCTGGCCTGGGCTCGTTGAAAACAAAAACCTGGGGCCCCGCAACCCGGCTTGGCCTGCGTTGCGCCGGGCCGATTACCACCCCAGCGCACCTCCACATTGCCCCGAGATTTCAAGCTTCAGCAGCAAGCTTTCGCACAGAGGACTGACCATGAGTGGCACGCTTCTGACATCAGTCAGCCGCCGACCCCAGGCCATCCCCGCGAAGCTCGTGTCATGGCCCCCATGGAGAACCTGGAACCGGGCCAACTGCCAAAACCCGGGGCCGCGGCAGCTTTATCTTTTTCGGGCCAGATGCCCGGTCCATGGTTCTGGTGTTGCTTTATGCTCGGCTCCCTTGGCTTCAGCGCTGCTACATTATGACGCAGCCTGGGTTGTCGGCAGCTTGGGTTGTCGGCGGCCTGCTTCCGCTTGGCCGAGACTCGACAACAAAACACACAGAGAATCATTATGATTATTGATGAGTGGGATATCACACGGCATCATCGCTTCGTGGGTTCTATTTGAGAGTAGGAACATGTTCATCCGATTTCTAGCGCTGCATGACTCGGCACTCCTCGCGGAGGCCAGGGTGGCCCGGCCCGGCGCCGAAGGATTTCTTCGGTGAAGACCCGAGAGCCGAACTCCACCCGGCAACTCCAATCTTCCGGCAGCGGCCTGTTCAAATCTCCGCCTCCTTCGCCAAACATATTGTGTAATCCGTACGGATTACATGTGCACCGAAACCAGAGATGAAGGGAAACCCATTCTCGGATAGGCCTGTCATGTCACGGCCTGGAACAACCCGACAAAACAACAAAGCTTTCGGGCAATAGTAAGGAACCCTCTTGAATGCGTTGAGATTTCAGGATTGGGCACCGAAAATCGGGATTGTAAACACCACCAACAAACACTAGGAATTACTCGGGAGGTTAAATTATCTGGACGAGTTTCGTGTTTTATGAGACGCTCAAAACTAAAAGCCGCTGAAACCTGCAGTTCTCCCAGCGACCGTTGCGCTTTGTCTCCCGGTCCGAAAACACGATCTCGCCCATCGGCAGCCGGGTAGCGAGACATCGGGATGAAGGCTAAGAAGGCGCCGCTGCAGTGCTACACATCCGGGATGAAGATACACCTGTAGAACTCTGGGCCCTGGGGGTAGTATACGACCTTCTAAATATGACTTGCCTACGCCCGTACCACCACAGAGGTGACTACAGTCAAGTACTACGCTGAGATGTGCAGTGAGACACTGGTAGGAGTAATTGCTACATCTACCTAAGACGTTGCAACCATACCCGACAGCGAAACCTCCATCTGTCCACCCAACTGTCCGTGCGCGCTATCCGCAATGCACTGTGTCAACGCGCGACGTCGTTCCCTTCATTCCTCACCGCGGTTGCCGCCGACTGACTGTCGCCGGAGGGCACATGCTCATACAGGTGGCGCTTCGTTGGCGAAGCCGTCCTCTGGATAGTAAGACTAGAGGTAACCATTCTGAAGCGCCTGGAATGGATTCAATGAAAAATGGCCGGTGATGTAATTCTCCGTTACGGTGCGTTTGTCATAGTACTCAGTGGAGAATATTGTTTCATAGTCTGGCTGTGGCATGCTGAAGGTCTCCGCACCGTACGGCGACCGAAGGCTCATAGTACGGGGCTTCTTCTCCTGAAGCCGTTCCAAGGCCTCTTCCCAGGTACCACTGCGGAGTTCGATAGAATCTAAGCCAAGATGGTAAACTGAGTCGGGCAACCGTTTGAGGATGAGTAGCAGCTTGGAGAGATCGATGGCGACGTAGTGAAGACTGAAGTCTTTCAGGTTGTGTCGAGGCCCAGGTCCCAGTATTCTGTCCAAGTCTATGCTCGGCGATGGGCCATATATAGGCACCGGCCCGATATCCAAGTCCAGCTTTTGCAGGCTTGAAGTTCCCACGAAAGCGGATAAAAAGTCGTGGAGATTGTCTTCTTCCTGAACGACGGGGTAGCCATGGTAGCAGAAACGGAATTGCTTCAACTGCTGCATACCAGCTACGAAGCTGGCTCGGAAGTCGCTGGGTATCCGCGGCATCTTGTGCAGAGGCGGCCAAAGGGAGATGTCGATACCGCTGAGGGATACGCCAGCGAGCCGGACAGATTCTATCAAATCGACGACGCATTGATAGTCAGGACGCTCGAGGCGGTGTTTCATCGCATGTCCACCGCTCATCGGCTGGAGCATACGACGACGTAGCTGATCCCAGCTCACCTCGCTCCCAGGCATCATGAGTCTATCTCTCACGTCAAAGAGAGAATCCTTGAAGGCCATATCTCGCGCTCCCGGCATTCTCGCGATCGCGGAAGCAAGCGCCCGAGGGAAGTTCCCCTTGCGTATCAGCGATTGCTGCTCCTTCAGGCGCGCAACGTACTCCCTATGAGTCTCCTCTATGAATGCTATGTGACGTTCGTCGACCTCTGAGCGTCCGACGACGCCATCAAGAGCCATACGCAGCGTATCGACGATGGCATGTCCTTTTTTTGATCATCTCCGAGGCTTCCTCTTCCGGCATTTGCGCCACGACCCGAAGGACGCGCCCCCCTAAGTTGATCTCCTCCCCAAGTTCCTGCTCATGGTAGTCGATGAATGTGTTAAAGTCCTTGAGGTCCTCGTTGTAGAAACGGAGGTCGACTTTCACGGTACGGACGCCCTTCGAGATTGTGGGATGCCGAGAGATCTCCTCCAAGCGCGCAAGCGATGCTTCGGTGAAGCTGACGCGCACGACTCGCAGGTGAAGTGACGAGCTTAACTGGCAAAATCGTCGACATACCAGGCGAGTGTTCTTAATTTCATTCCCCCGACGACGGATGAGGGGCGGGGCGACTGGTTCAATGACATCGAGAAGTTCCAGGTACTCGAAAATCTCGAGCAGAAGCTCGTCGGGAAGATTGAGGATGTTCAGTCTCCTCAGATACGGGCGTGACAGTTCGTTGATCAGGCGCCTGAGATCGCTTCGCGAAACTTCGAGTTCGTCGATCAGGACGCCTCTCTTCTTGTATTCGCGACCGTAGATCAAGACTAGAGTGTCGCCGTCCAGCTCGTCTTGCTTTCGCTCGTCTTCGGTGAGCGTGATGAAGCCCTCCCGGACTGCCTGACCCCATGAGTTTGGACCTTCCTGGGAATACAGGTCCATGTCCATCAAGCGGTCGCACTCAAGCTGGATGAGTCGAAGCTTCTCGTTCACCGCTCCAAGATCTTCCCACGCTTTACTGAGGCGTTCCTTATCTGTGGCTGGTGGCGCCATTGCCGCGGGCAAATGAGATGCCATTAAGAGGGGTGAAATGTGCGTGACTGATAAATCAGTAAAATGCCTGTGTTAACGGACGCTGGTGATGTTGCATGTCTCCATGTGTGTTTTAGAAGAATGCAGAATGCACGATAGCGGATGGGTCGGGTTCCCTCGAATAAACACGCGCTAATAACGAAGTGTGGGTCCAACGTCTGCAGATGCCGAACAAGTTTGGCAGGAACATTCAGGGTCCTTTGGCCTTCAAGTTGTTGCCACTTGCCAATCCACCAACCCCCAGGACCGGATATGAGCGGTTTTGACGGCGACGGGACTCCAGGGAAACTTTGCGGAAGAGCTCCGCTGGTGAGCGCGCTCCATTCCCCTTGGTATGTATTTACTGTGTAGATACGATTCTAGCCGGGGAAATAAGCCGGGGGGCTTGGCTCGGCCTCCCCACCCCCAGATTCCCCATGGGCAGCGGCTTTAAATACCCGTGGATACCTCGGGTGTGCCGCAGAGATGCATGCGATAGCAGCTGGGCGCGTCTTGTGGTCTACTTTCCCGGGGGTTTAAGCGTGTATTTTCGAAGGAGGTCGTGGATGGTCCACGTGGAGATTGGGACCTGCATCGTTGGTAACATGAAGAGACACCAACTTGTGTCGGGGTTCCCGCAGAGCCTTCGCCGACAGGGGCCGCGGTTGGGATCGCGTCGTTGGTTCTCATATCAGCCGGCCAGAGCGTCAACAGGCGGACCCTCTCACCACATTGACAACGCGGGCAACCTTTCACCAGGAACTTCCAGCACGGGTTGGAGGGCAGCAATAGCTGTGGGGACGGCCATGGGCATCGTCGGGTTCGGCGCCGGCGTCCTCTGCATGAGGACCAGTGGCGAGAATGCCAACCCAAAACCGGATGGCAACACTACGCCAACGTACGCCAACCGCGCCGAGATGGTGCACGCCGCCGAAGAGATCGCCCAGGTGCTGGGCCAGGACTCGGTCAGCTACGACGCCGACGTGCTCGAGCACCACGGCCACTCCGACTGGTCGACGTCCAACTCCCCCGAGCGCGCCGTGGCGGTCGTCTACCCCAGGTCGACCGAGGACGTGTCGGCCATCGCGCGCATCTGCAACCGGCGCAGCGTGCCGATGGTGCCGTTCGGCGCCGGGTCGAGCGTCGAGGGCAACTTCTCGCAGCCGCACTCGGGCATCTGCGTCGACTTTTCCTTCATGGACCAGATCGTGGCCTTCCACCCGGACGACCTGGACGTGGTGGTGCAGCCGGGCGTCAACTGGGTCGACCTGAACGGCCACATCGCCAGCAGCGGCCTGTTCGCGCCCATGGACCCGTCGCCGACAGCCACGGTCGGCGGCATGGTGTCGACCAACTGCTCCGGCACCAACGCCTTCCGCTACGGCACCATGAAGGACTGGGTGCTCAACCTGACCGTCGTGCTGGCCGACGGCACCGTGATCAAGACGCGCCGCCGGCCACGCAAGACCTCGGCGGGCTACAACCTCACGTCCCTCTTCGTCGGCGCCGAGGGGACGCTGGGGATGGTGACAGAAATCACCCTAAAACTCGCGCCCATCCCCCAGCACACCAGCGTAGCCGTCGTGCCGTTTCCCTCGATCCACGCGGCGGCGGCGGCGGCAACGACGCTCATCCGCTCCGGCATCCCGCTCGCAGCGCTGGAGATCATGGACGAGCGGCAGATGGCCATCCTCAACACCCACGGCAGCCCGACGGTGCGCAAACGCCGCTGGGCCGAGCAACCAACCCTCTTCCTCAAATTCTCGGGCGCGACGGTCGAGAACTTGCAGAGCGACATTGCGCGCACGACCGCCCTCATCCAACAACAACTTGAACAACAGAGTAGTAGTACACAAGTCGTATTCGCCCGCACCAAACAGGAAGAAGCCGACCTGTGGGCCGCGCGCAAGGAGTCGCTCTTCACCATGACCAGCATGCGACCCCGCGGGTACGAGATGTGGTCGACCGACGTGGCGGTGCCGATCTCGCGGCTGGCCGAGATCGTCGAGTGGTCCCAGCGAGAATGCGGGCGGTTGGGCATCTTCGCGTCCGTGATCGGGCATGTAGGGGACGGGAATTTCCACGTTGCCATGATGTACGATCCGAAAGACGCGGAGCAGACAGAGAAGGTCGGGGAGTGCGTGCACGCCATGATGCGGCTGGCGCTCGAGATGGAGGGGACCGTTAGTGGAGAGCATGCGATTGGGATTGGTAAGAAGGACTGTCTTAGGGATGAGTTGGGGGAGGAGACGATTGATGTGATGAGGAGGGTGAAACGGGCGGTGGATCCGAAGTGGGTGATGAACCCGGGGAAGGTGTTCGACTAGCCCAAGGAGAAAGCCGTTAATTGCTAGATGGATGCGGAATGATATGCGAAGCGATACCGGGTACCAACAGTTGTTTTGGCTATAGGTATCGTAGAAAGGTCCAAGCAGAGTAGGTAGGTAGCCATCAACGCCCCTTAACACCCTCACTCTCGAGGAGAACAGTCACGCCGTCCCCTTATCAGCCAACCACTCCCTCGCCATCGCGCGCCCCGCCGCCCTCCCCGAGAAGATACACCCCCCGAGAAAGGTGCCCTCCAGCGAGTTGTACCCGTGCACCCCGCCGCCGCCAAACCCGGCCGCCTCGCCCGCGGCATACAGACCAGGGAACGGCGTGCCGTCGGCGCGCATGACATTGCTGTCGAGGTTCGTCTCGATGCCGCCCAGCGTCTTGCGCGTCAGCAGGTTCATGCGCACCGCGATCAGCGGGCCGTGCTTGTCGACGTCGAGCAGGCGGTGCGGCGGCGCGATGCGGCTGCGCTTGTCGGGCCAGTAGGTGCGCGCGTTGTGCACCAGCATGGCCTGCGCGTCCTTGGAGTACGAGTGGACGAACTGGCCGTCGCGCGTCTCCACCACTTCCTTGACCTGCGCGTAGTCCAGCTGCGGCGCCCCCGGCATCTTGGCAGCCAGCTCGTTCATGCCCCGCACGAGATCCTCCAGGTTGTCGCGCACCACAAAGTCGGCGCCGTGCTCGACGAAGCGCTGCACGGGGACGGTGGGGTGGGAGCTGAAGATGCGCTGCCATAGGAATTGCCAGTACGATTTGCCCGTCAAGTCCGGGTTCTGCTCGGATCCTGACAGGGCGAATTCGCGCGCTATTATGCTGTAATCCGTGATGAACCACGTGTAGTCGTACCCCGTGCTGCAGATGTGTTTTAGCGTGGCCAAGGTGTCGCAGCCCGGGTAGAGGAAAGGGGGCAGTCGCTTGCCCGTGGCGTCGATCCAGAGCGATGAGGGCCCCGGCAGGACGCGGATGCCATGGCCGGGCCAGATGGGGTCCCAGTTCGCAAGGCCCTCGGTGTAGTGCCACATCCGGTCGCGGTTGATGACGTTGGCGCCGGCTGTCTCGGCGATGTCGATCATGCGCCCGTCGACGTGGGCTGGCACGCCAACGACAAAGTTCTTCGGCACGCTGCCCAGCCGATCGACTGGCCAAACCGACTTGACCTTGTCGATGTTGCCGCCAATGCCACCAGACGACACCAGCACGGCAGACCCGAAAAGCTCAAACTCTCCGACAACCGTCCTCGACGACTTGACTCCCCTCGGAGAGTCGTCCGGCTCCAGCACCCGCCCCCTGACACCCACGGCGCGCCCCGTCTTCTCGTCCACGATCAGCTCGTCGACCATATGCCGGTGCCGGAACTCCACAATACCCTTCTTCTCAGCCTCCTTGACGGGCTCGGCAAAGACGCGCACCACCTCCGGCCCGGTCCCCCAGGTCACATGGAACCTGGGCACCGAGTTACCATGGCCGTCGGCGCACCCGGCACCGCGCTCGGCCCAGGGGACGTTGAAGATGAAGCCGAGGCCGCGGGCCTTCACGTAGTTCTCCATCTCGTCCGTGGCGAAGTTGACAAACGCCTCGGCCCACTTCCGCGGCCAGTAGTCTTCCTTGTCGCGGTCGAAGCGCGCCGACCCGAACCAGTCGCGCATCGCCAGCTCGCGCGAGTCCTGGATGCCCATGCGCCGCTGCTCGGCCGAGTCGACGCAGAACAGCCCGCCCAGCGACCAGAAGGCCTGTCCGCCCAGGTTGGCGGCGCTCTCCTGGTCGAGGATTATCGTGGGCACGTTTTGTTGCGAGAGCTCGAAGGCTGCCACCAGCCCCGCGAGGCCGGCCCCGACGATGATCACGGGCTTTGTGTCTGTTGTGTCGGGTGCCATTCTGTTTGTTGTTGGACCGAGAAGTTCGAGGTTTCGTGGGGTGCGGGGGGCGTTTGTTTGTGACGGGAATTCAACGGCAACGGGAAGGAGACTGCTTTTTGGTGCGGGTCAGCCACGAATTCGACAGGGAGAAAGGTTGACATTCAGAATTTTGGGATCAAACCATCAGGTACACTATCATTGTCAAGATGAGTGGCTGGATCATAGAATACCTGCTACCCAGCAAGCACGTCCGACAATTAGAAAAGAGTCAGCCTCGGTTGTCGGCGCTCATGCGCTGGTGGTCCGACTGCTTGCAGTAAAGTTGCCCTGTTAGGAGAGCGCAACGGCCAGGGGTTGCATCGCTTCGATTCCCCTTGTTTACCCCGCAAACTAAGGCCTTGGCGGGCCTTGGCACCAGGCCATGGAAGGCCTGGTCGGCCCACAAGCATCGAAAGGTCAGAAGATGCAAACACCAGCGATTCATAGAGTTGGATCACCACCAGGGGGAACTCATACGGAACAAGGAATAAAGAGGAAGAGAGCAATGAGGTTCAAGTATGAGGACGAAGACACAATGGAAGAAGAAGGAGAAGGAGGATGAGGAGGCGATAACGAGAAGATCCAAGGTTAGCAACTTCAAGTTACCAGTCAAATGGATCCTGCTCCATCTCTTATCTCAGGTCTATGTTCGACTGAGATTCGTGTTTGTTGTACGGCGTTGTCAAGCTGGAGAAGGCCAGGTACGCTGCAGGTGAGAACATTGCCGTGAGTCAAGGCCCTTGACAAGAATGGGCTTGTAAACTCCACGGTCAAAAGCAGTGTGGAATAAACGGTGAGCTTAAAAGTGAGGTGGTGGTTACTATGAAGTAAGGATTCGAAGCCAATCCAGAGCCATGTGTTATAGAAGTGTCTAGATTCCCAGCTATACTTGTACCTCCACGTCCATCCTCTTTTCATGCGCCTCTCAGCCCGAGGCAAAGAGGTCTGTCACAGGGGGCACATTCCCCTCGCTTGCTTCCCACGTCGGCATTTCTAGTAGCTGCCGAAACCTCATTGAGCTGTTGGGGTAACACAGGTCGAAGTGCGTCCGTCTCGCATCCGAGCTTCTAGCCTTCTACTAGTCGAATGGTACATGAGGTCCGGGCTGGTTGTCGATCCCTTGGCCCTGAACAACCTATGCCGAGAGGCGAGCTTCAATCTGGCTTCTGGTCCTCATGTGGACCTCATGAGAAACCATTCAACGTTCCCCTCATCAACTGTTGTGGGAAGGGAGCTAAGGACATTTGTTCCTCTTCTAAGCCCAACTAACAGCAGTACAGATCCCCCTACCGCAAGGGTCAATGAGGACGCCTGCAGTTCATATTAATTATAGGTAAGGTACCTACCTACCTACGTAACACAATCCCAAGCGTCGAAATGTATGCTCATGAGGCCGTATGGTTAATATGCGATTCACGACGTCCGCCTTATTGGATCGGCATATCACCCGAAACTGGTGTATCTGCGCTCACCTCCTGCGGCATTGGATCGCAGTGCCTCGAAATCGAACCAGGGTTTTTTTCCATTAGAATGAGGGGAAGTTGGGGAAGACGTCTATCATTGCTGACCCCGACAGTGACATTCCGCATCCTGCATTTTAACTCGTAGCAGGACATGTATCATGCATCTTCGGCATATTTCTTCTGCTAGCAGTCCACCAAGCAGCCAACTGCAGCACCATTAGCGCACACTGCCAGTTCAAGAGCGGTTCGTTCACCCATGGCCTCCCTGGCCTTGAACCGTTAAGTCAGGGTAACCCTGAACCAAGTACCGAAATTTGCAGTAGATAGTATCTACTAGATACGGCTAGCCAACCTGGGGGAACTAGCGATTGGGAACCTTTACCTTGGCGGCCTTTCGCATTCAAGTTTGGCGCACTACGGCCCCTTCACCCATCAACATCAGTGGGATACATATAGATACAATATGCAATCCCGGATCCAGGTGGGACTCTAGGAGACAGTCTCCTCCAACGTGCATGCGGGTCACACAGGCTCCAACACCCTGCAATCTTGGCAGAGAACTCATCTCGTTATCTCTCTTCTGCTACCTCCCCTGAGACGCTTCCCTTTCCTGTCTCAAGCCCATCCTGACAAGATCCAAGATGGCTGTAAGGCACGACGTTCGCAGGTGAGACGCATCCTTCTGAACATCCTACTGCAAGGAGGAGCACCCGCTGACCCAACCCATCACCAGCCACGCGCGCGAGGATGACGTCCCCGGGACAGTCAATCTGCAAGCGCAGGAGGGCGAGGAAACGCACTACGGCCAAGCGCTGTACCCGGTGCCGTCGCCGGACCCGAACGACCCGCTGCAGTGGCCGAGATGGAAGAAGCACATGATCATGTTCTGCTGCTGCGCCTTCTCCTTCCTGGGGAACTCGGCGCTGCTGGGCCCGGCCACGTACATCGGCCTGTGGGCGGCCGAGTTTGGCGTCGACCAGAACACCGCCGCGGGACTCGTCAACTACCCGAACCTGGTCTTCGGCTTCGGAAGCATCGTTCTGATTCCGCTGTACCGCAAGATCGGCCGCCGCCCCGTCATGCTCCTGGCCCTGGTCCTGTACGCGGCCGGTGTCATCGGAGCTGCCGAAGCGACCACGTACTCCGGCCTCATGGGCGCTCGCATCGTGCACGGATTCGGATCTGGTGTGTGCGAGGCGCTGCCGGTGCAGCTGGTCAACGACATCTTCTTTCTCCACGAGCGCGGCAAGAAGCTCGGCTGGTACACCATCGCGCTGTGTCTCGGCGCGACCGGCCCGATGTTCTCGGGCTTCATGCTGGCCGCGGGCCTCTCGTGGCACCTCTTCTTCTACGTCGAGTTCGCCTTTGCCGGGGCCCTCCTCATCCTCGCTTTCTTCTTCGTCGAGGAAACCATGTACTTCCGCGAGTCCCTCCCGCCGTCGAACAGCGGCACGGCCATGACATCTTCAGATATCCCCGAACATGAAGATAAAGCCGAAGAAGAAGAACCAACCACCGTCTCACACCACGAACTCTCCTCCACCACCAGCGCCATCACCGCCAGCACCTACCCACCACGCAAGACCTTCTTCCAGCAACTGCGCCCCTTCACCCGAAGCGCAATCGACCACAAGCCCTGGTCGGCCTACGTCCTCATGCCGCTGCGCGCCATCACCTACCTCCTCATCCCCTCGACCTTCTGGGTGATCACCACGTACGGCATCTTCATCGGCCTGTGCGGCTTCTCCTTCAACTTCGTCTTCCCGCTCAAGATCGTGGCGCCGCCCTACAACTGGCCACAGACCAGCTCCGGCCTGTCGGCGCTGGCAACACTGGTCGGCTTCGCGCTCGCCGTGCCCTTCCTCCCCGCGAGCGACATCCTGGCTGCGCGGCTGACAAAACGGAATGGTGGGATCCGCGAGGCCGAGATGAGGTTGGGGGTTCTGTTCCCCGCGCTGCTGGCTGCGCCGGCCGGGCAGGTGCTTTTTGGTGTGGCCGCCGAGAGGGATTTGCATTGGATATGCTACTTTGTGGCGATTGCGCTGACCCAGTGGGCCGGGTACTGGTATTTCACCGTGACGCTGGCGTATGCGGTCGACTCGCATAATGCGAACCTGTCGGAGCAGCTGATTGTCATGAACCTGGGCAAGCAGGCGATCAGTTTTGGGTTTGGTCTGGAGGTGCTGAATTGGATTCTGAAGCATGGGTATCTGACTATTATTGTGGGCGCGTTTATGCCGATCCTGGTGGTGAATAATCTGATGGTGGTGGTGTTTATGATTTGGGGGAAGAGGATTAGGCTGGCGACGGCGAGGTCGTGGCTTGCGAGGTTTCATGCGAAGACTGTTGTCGAGGGGGAGAGCCATTGAGGTTAGGTATGGATTGGGAAGGACATGGATGTGATGATACTGCTGTATTTCTGTTACACTCTCGGGTTGTAGTCTCATGGATCTGGTTCAATCTATGTGCACTGGAATGATGCTTGTTCAAGTAGTTGCTGTGAGTGGCAGATCTCCTTTTTCATCTTACCAACATAAGAGCTTGGTATCTGACCTCTCCCGTGTGTTGCTGCTACGGGATGCTATCGGGACGACCCATTCTCTGGCCTCCTCCATGCAGCCCTTCTGACCCGAATAAACAGCCCATGGCTGAACGAGGATACCATCGGAACCTTCAGTCCTCTTCCCTTTCCGGCTCGGGGCTCAGCTAATCAACAACGGGCTAATTCCGAACACATGCCCTGCAGCGTTCTCTCGACCTGGGTTCTGGACCCGGTACCGTAATAAAGGTAGCATTTTACCCGGTGAACGGTACCATGCACTAAGAGCATCGTGCCAGTCTAGACCCTCAAATCACCGTGCCAAGGTGGTCTCAAAGACACCAAAATAGCTCACGGCGGGTCCTGTCAATACCAAGTTCACCTTGAGTCGCCACCGTGGTCTCTCGTCTAAGCCTTCCGTGTCCTAGATATTGCTGGGTACTAAGATGTCCGAGAGCACCCGATCCCGTCGTCCGCGGCCTTTGTAGCTACAAGTATTACCACCAAGATGCAGATCCAGAATGCCTTCATTGTCGCGAGCCTGTCCCTCTGTGGGCTCATATTCCCAGTTCTAGGGGGTCCGACAGCCCCCAGAGACGGCGCATCAAAGGGCATGCCGGCATCAAACGTTATCCATGAAAGGCATAAGCCTGTCCATCTCGCCGGATGGGTCAAGCGGGAGCCTGCGAGTGCCGAGTGGATGCTCCCCGTGCGGGTCGGGTTGAGGCAATCGAACGTGGATAAGGGGCACGAATTGCTCATGGACATGTAAGTCAGGGAGTCTCAGGGGGTCGGCAACAACATGAATGTGCGCTCACGCAGTCGCCAGATCCAACCCCAAGTCTCCGAACTATGGGAAGCATCTTACAAGGAGCGAGGTGATCGACCTGTTTGCACCAGGCAACCGCTCGGTTGAGAATGTTAAGCAGTGGCTCGTCTCAAGGGGGATCCACGAGCAGAGACTCTCGCAGTCGGCGAACAAACAGGTAAAACGAGCACTTTCCATGAGAGACCGGGAAAGTAAAATGGGAACCGGGACTGACATTCGAGGCCTGCTGGCTTTTCGAGACAGTGGATCCAATTTGATGCTCCTGTCCGCGAGGTCGAGGAGTTGCTGCTCACGAAATACCACGTTTTCGAGCATGCCGAAACAGGAGCGCGCAATATCGCTTGTTCTCAGTAAGTTCGGTTCAATAAGTACGGCTTGCCGATGATATATTTCCTGACTTCTTCACGAAGATACCACGTTCCCCATAGCGTCACACACCATATCGACTACATCACGCCTGGGATCAAGCTAACGGCCGGGAGCTATGACGACAAGATCATGAAGCGGGTGCATCACCGGCGAGCCATTACCGAAGATGTACCCGGAAGGCGGCAGAAAGGGGGCAAAGGGAAAGGGAAGGGGAAGGGGAAGAGCAAGGGAAAGTGTAAGCCGGGCAAGCCTCCGGTCGATCCCGGTGAGGATGGCAGCCGGTTTCGTGTGACTGGGCCCTGCAGTGACGAGATCACGCCGCACTGCATTAGGGGTAAGTTCACATCTGAGATTTTACCATGGGCCAAATTCATGCTGATTGCTGACCCTGACAGCCCAATATCAGATCCCTAACGGCACCAAAGCCACTCGAGGAAACGAGCTCGGCATCTTCCAGGGGCTCAACCAGCATTACCACCAGGAGGACCTGGACACCTACTGGAAATACATTGCCCCGTAAGAAGCCTCTAATCAATTTCCCAAACAGATAGACTGATAGCCATACTGTAGTTGGGTCCCTCGCGGCACACATCCCAAGCTTAAGTCCATCAACGGCGCCCTCGGCCCAACCAACAACCGGTCCCTCGCAGGCGACGAAGCCGACTTAGACTTCGAGGTCGCCATCCCGCTGATCTGGCCACAGATGTCAATCCTCTTCCAGACCGACGACGAGTGGTACCAGCAGAACCAGCTGCAGCCCGACACCCAATACCCGGGCTTCTTCAACACCTTCTTCGACGCCCTCGACGAATCATACTGCACCCTCTCGGCCTTCAACCACACAGGCAACTGCCGCACGCCCGCCTGCCGCGATCCGGAGTACCCCAACCCCAACGCAACCCCGCTTCTCGGCGGCTACCCCGGCGCCCTGATGTGTGGCGTCCACCGCCCGACCAACGTCATCTCCGTCTCGTACTCGGGCACCGAAGCCTCCTGGCCGGCGGGTTATATGCGGCGGCAGTGTCTGGAGGTGATGAAGCTTGCGCTGCAGGGCGTTACCGTGGTCGAATCCTCCGGTGACTATGGCGTTGGCGGTGGGCGGTTGGATCCGCGCGCGGGCTGTCTGGGGAAGGATCGCGCGGTGTATACGCCGCGGGTCATGGCGAATTGTCCGTATGTGCTCAGTGTTGGGGCGACGGCGTTGGTGGAGCCCGAGGTGGGCGATGGCAAGACGCTGGTGGAGGTTGCCGCCGAGAGGTTTGCGTCGGGCGGTGGCTTCTCGAATGTTTTTGCTAGGCCCGAGTGGCAGGATGGACATGTGCTGGGATACCTGGAGCGGGCGAATGTGTCGGATCTGGGATATTCGGATGCGTCGTGGTTGTTGGGGCCCGGGTTGGATGGCGTGGGGGATGCAGGCGCTGCGACGACGGCGTCGCCGGGGCAGGGCAAGTTGTTCAACAAGGCCGGGAGGGGCTATCCCGATGTGAGTGCTATTGGTGAGAACTTTCGGGTCGTGCTCAGGGGGCATCCGAACCGCATGCACGGCACGTCCGTGGCGGCGCCGATATGGGCGTCGATCTTGACGCTCATCAACGAGGAGCGGCTGGCCGCGGGCAAGAGCACGGTCGGGTTTGTGCACCAGGTGTTGGTGAGTCCATACTAGTACCGTTCTGTTCTGTTCATGGGTTGAGTCGTGCTGATGTACTGTACACAGTATGAACACCCCGAGGTGTTTACCGACATCACTACAGGCTCAAATCCGGGATGTGGCGGAGACGGATTCCAGGTCAACGAAGGATGGGACCCTGTTACCGGTCTTGGGTGAGTTGCTTCGATGTCTAGTACTACATACGGTAGTTGAGCTATGCTGACACCCATTCCTAGGACGCCGATATACCCAAAACTTCTTGAGCTGTTCATGAGTCTGCCATGATTGCTATCTGAATCGCGGAGCTTGAGAGTCCATTATAGCCAGTGACTCCGTGGATGTATTTCTGCATTGCTTATTCCCCTGACTGTGGGACAGAGTCGCCTGTGGCGTATTTGTCTCCGTCGTTCCGTTAACCTCGCCGTCCTAGACCTAGAGAGAACTGGGAAATCATGATTCATACACACCGAATCCATCCGCTGAACTATCCCTTGGTAATGAAGAACCTGGAGGCTCTAGCCTTTGACCCTCCACCTCAACGTTGACCTTATTAACAGTACGTATCTGTGTGCACATTGAGACATATTGTACTAGTACTAATCACGAATACGCCCGTTCAAGCAGATCCACCATCTTCTCCAGCTCGTGAATGACATCCTTATAGATCGCCTTCTGCAACTGCGGCTTGTTCAGGTCCGCCCCGAAGCCAAAGTCGCACCACAGACACCTGGCGGTCAGATCATCATATCTGGGCCCATTCTCGAGGGCCTTGCAGCGGCCTTGCGGATGGTGACCAGGTCCTGTGTGTCCAAGAGCTCCCAGCGTCCGATCTGGAGCAGACGTGAATACTAAAGGATGGCAGAAACCAGGGAGCGAGAGAGCCCGGCTCTGATAGTGCTAGCCCAAATTCTTCCTTGGCTCACCTTTCTTCTTAGTGGCGCTCTTGTGCTACCAGCCCTTCTGCGACGGCCCTGCTGCATAGCCTCTGCACCGCCTCATGCCTGCACGAGTGAGGAGGTTGGGCTGAGTCCCAACTCCCAAGCCAAACGTTGCAGGTAGGCATCTTCACCCCGCATCCTCCTTAAGTTGGCGCCGTTGAGCTGTGAGCATCCATCGGAAACAAACCTCACTCGTACTCGGAGCTGGACCGTTGCTTCAACCACAACACATCTAACATAGCATCATGGAGCGTAGCTCAGATGCTGCCGGCGATGCTCCGCGAAAAGATCGGCAGAGGGCAGCCAAGCCAAAGGCCAAATCCGGGTGGAGCAACTGCAAGTAAGGATGCTCTTCACCCCATCCGAGTGTACTCTTGAAGGGTACACCTCGAATTATGTGTGGCTGCGCTGACGTCGAGATACTACTACTATAGTACTATTAAGCAGACGAGAATCAAATGTGACGAGCAGCGGCCTGCGTGCGCAAACTGTTTGCGTTCCAAGAAGATATGCTCCGGCTACCCGCCGTTCACTCGTAGTCCAAGCCCACCCGAAGCTGTGCCAGCAGCAATGGTCGACGAGTGGCGATATGCGCTATCCCATGACGGTGACCCAGAATCTTCGTCTTTCCTGCACGAGGAGTAACATTGGCTTGCGCGTCTCAGCGCCGCTGCCTTGAAGTTGTTCAGTCAACTTCTAGCGGCCGTGCCGCCCGTGCGGCCCGGCGCCCACGGCCCAGTGATTCGCGCACTGGAACGCGAGTACAGCTGCCTCAAACTGTGGTGTGACGGGTATGGCTTGGCATCTGGTGGCCTAGATGTCGCTCTTGTCGACTCCAGGAGACTCCGGCGCTTGACGGTTCGCCTGCTGGCCAGCATTTGCTCTACTCTAGCAAATACTAGTGCTGAGTCTGGCGCTGCCATCGTTACACTGTCCATGGGACTATCCGACTCAAGCTTGCCTCCCTAGGACTTCCTCCTGAGATGTCGTATATAATCTCGCTTGATAATACCTGTCGAGCCAAATTAAGAAAGCAAGCAGCCCTGACGAAAGACCTCGTTAAGGACGCGACGCATGCCATTCGTGACAATGACCACGCAGAGTCGGATAGCGACGATAGCGACGACAGCGAGTCGTTCGGGACGGGCTCTACGTCCTCTCAAGACATTATCCAGATGATCGAGGGCCTGAAAACAGACATCCAGTGTCTTGTGGCGCTAGGACCGAGATTCAGGGAGCCCTTCCTAGACAAAAGTCACTGGTCCGACAGAGAGGAAGCTGCCGCTCCGCCCCAGCAGACAGGCTGGAATCCCGTCGAGTTCCTGACATCTCGAATACGCCATCGTTACCCAGACGCCGATCCCGCCTTTGCCCAGATTCTCGGCCAGGCGAACTGGGAAAGGGCCCAGAGACTGTATACTGCGAAGGAGAAGAACACGCAGGACGCTACTACTAGTACTAGTAGCTCACAGAAACCAGTCCTGGAAGCTGACTCCGCATCAGTGCCTCCGGAGACGGTTATAGAGTCGGCGTTCCACGACTCGGGTCTAGGGAACTCACTTTCCACGGCCAACTACGCCGAAACCATGTTCTCGTACCATGGTACAAACGGCATCTCGATCAAGATTCCGCCAATCCCCGCCGCAGGACGACAAGGCAAACCGTTTGAGTGTTCAGTGTGTGGTTGCACATGTCAATTCGAGTTGCCGGCGACGTATCGCTACATGTCAAAGGCTTGGAAGTATGGATCCCTATATAATATATCACTATTATGTATTTCGCCGACAACGCTTTCCATGTTGATCTTTCTGCTAACCACCATGTGCCCCTGCATGGCCCATGTTTTCTCCGACCTGCAGCCCTACGTCTGCGTGGTCGTCAGCTGCAGTGACAGCAGGGCTCCGTTCCCGCACAAGATGGCGTGGATGAATCACCTCGAGCAAGAACGTGGCTTCGGCAAAGCCGGACACGAGCTAACATGTCCACTATGTCAACAGCGCCTTTGTGTACGTCACAGTGCCAAGGTGTCTCATTTTGCTCAGCACCTCGAGGAGGTCACGTTGATGATTCTGCCGGCAAACGCGGAACCCGAGGGGCTTGATGTCGAGGCGGTCGATAGCGAGGACGAGCCGATTATGTCCTCTCGATGGTTTCTCAACCGATATCGGGAGGACCTATCCGATGAGGAGGCTACTACTACTAGCAGTAGCCGCACCAACAAACCGTCGCCGACACCCAAAGCAGAGATGGCATCCCAGGCCGAGCCACACGTGGAGACTGGCAGTGCAGCGTGGTATCTTGGCCCACAACCACCTCGAGCCTTTCGGTGCTTGTTCGAACCTTGTCCTTATTGGTCGACGCGGGAATCTAACCGGAAGAAGCATATGGAGAAACCCCATCGTTGGATCTCCGACAGAGGCTCTGATATCGAGTCCATACTGTTGTCCGAGTCCATGACAGAAGAAAAGGAGAAAGCATCGAGTTACAAGAAAGTATCGGAAGCTACAGACCTGCCTTCGCACCCCTCGGTAGCGGGCCTCAGGAAGGGGTAAGAACGGGCCCAGGAGCAGCAGCAGAAGCAGCATCCGATGGAAATGGATCGGATTCAGAACCATAATGCCAACAGTGTGCCAGCGAACACAAAACGGGAAATTCGTGAGAGGCCAAGGGGGAATGTGACTGCCTCGGGAAGCGCTGTTGGGGACTCACGATAGAGTACTACTCGTTGAAGCTAGTCGGGTCTCTGTCGGTTCGCGTTCCTGTTCTGCTACTAGTGTATTGATCGCCGAAAGTCTCTGTTGCGATGAGATGGTAATAACGCTACATACTACTACTATTCGCGACCCATAGAGAACGTTTCGTGACAGTTCACAGGTATTAAGACAGGCACCCAGAGTGAAAATATCAAACAATCACTAAGGTAACACCATAAAAACTGCATAATCCTTCATACCCCATCATGGTATCATCACACCCTAAGGCGTCCATTCATAACTCCGAGTCATCACAAGCCCTCATCAGTCATCATCTGCCCTAGGCAAGGTCCTACGTAAGGTATGTACAGATCCAACCCCTATGTATATACATTAACCCTTCACTGTTCCCCTCAGACATAAAAATTACCTGCATGCTCAGCAATATACTTCGCTGACTCGTCCCGGAAGTCATCCGTCAGATACCCCGTGCTATCCGCAAAGAACTGGACCAGCCTGCGCTGCGCGCTCGTCCATTTTGGCCAGTTCTCAGCGACCTTGCTCTTGCTGCTGGTGCCGCCGGCCGCATTATTGGGATCGAGGTTGTAGATAAAGTTGGCATAGTAGCTCTGGATGGACTTGGACGCATAGTTGGGCAGGATGCCGTAGAACACCTGGAGGATGTCGCTGCCGTGGAAGGTGCCCATGATGGGCGTGCCGAAGTTGTAGCTGGCGAGGTAGGACCACGCAGGGACGCTGGGGTTGGCGACGACCGCCGCGTCGAGGAACACGCGCCGGGTGAGGGTGAAGACAAGGTCACCCAGTATCGCGGCCAGCCGCTTGAAGCCCGGGTATATCTCGTTAAGAATGCCTGTGCCGAAGGGCGAGCCGTCCCAGACCCAGGGCGAATAGGTGTCGACGAGCCCTTCGAGCTGCGTCTTGCTGGCACTCGTGAAGAAGAGGGTGCCGAGGTAGTCGACGATATCGGCGCTGGTGGTGACGTTGGGTTGGAACAGCGCGAAGAGCGTGCCTTCGTCCTCCTGATCTCCGATGATCATCGGGACCGCCGCGTACTTGCCCGCCTTGACCAGGAGATCAGGGCTCTGGGTGAGCACCTTGCCGTCTGGTCGGGGCATGTACGAGAGGGCAACCGAGCTATAGGACAGAATACCGGGCACCGAGGTTGCGGCGGCGAGGAACTTGTCGTAGGGGAGCGCGCGGAGGCAGGCGAGCGTGTCCTTGGACGCTGCACAGCCGGCCTTCGCGACAACGGCGTCGTAGACTATCTGCCCCTTGGGACAGTCGACAGGGTCCGCCGGGACAAGGCTCCCCGAGTTCATGATGGCTCCGCGGAACAGGGGCTTGCCCCTGTACGTGTTGTCGCCGTCGTAGAGCGCCATCTGGTCAAAGACCGAAATGGCACCGGCAGACTCACCCCAGATGGTCACCTTGTCCGGGTCGCCGCCGAATGCGGCAATGTTGTCAGCCACCCACTCGAGACCCATGCGCTGGTCGAGGAGGCCGGCGTTGGCAGCACCGTCGGCCAGGATCTCCTTTCCGGGCATGAATCCGAATCCGCCCACTCGGTAGCTGACCGCGACGAAAATGTACGGCTTGCCCATCTTGACGGCATTGGTCACGAGCGGGCCACCATCGTACATGGAGCTCCAGCCAAGCTACACAGGGCCATGTCAACAGCGGGATATCAAATAAGAACGGCCACAGCACTCACCTCGAAGCCACCGCCGAAGATCCAGAACAGCACGGGGAGCTTGTCCCCTGCCTTGGTGCCCGTGGGGCGGATGACGCTGATAGTCAGGCAGTCCTCGCTGACCTTGAGGGCCTTTTGGAAGAAGGGAAGGTTGACGACAGTGTCTATAACCTGGTCCAGGAAGTTATTCGAGTCTGAATCGGCCACGAACTGCGGGCACGCCGGTGCGATTCCTGAGGCGTCGAACACGCCGAGAGAGGAGTTGAGCTTGACCGGAGGTTTGAGCCTCAGCGGTCCGACGGGCGGCTGGGCAAAGGGGATGCCATTGAAGGCTTCGGTGCCCACCCGGCTGGCTCCGACGATGGTGCCCGACGAGATAGTGACGGTCGGGGCAGCCCGCTTCTCCATCACGTTCGTCGGCGGCTCTGGAGGTGCTGCGGCCGCCCGGCCGAGAAGTGCGGCGGTGAAGAGGGCAGTGATCCCCTTCATGGCTGTCTGTGAGGGTCTGCGTCGAACCGAAGCAGAATGGGGAGAAGGAACGACGGGTCGACGTTCCCTACCTGACTCTCGAAGCTGCCATCGAGGAAGGGGCGGAGGAGAGGCCTAATATAGCATTTCGGCAACTCATGATGGTTCGCATGAGCTTTTTAGCTCCGATGCTTTCCCCTCACTGTGGGCGGGACGTTCTCGGAGGATGGTTACCTGTATACACTACACCACCAAACACGTCTCAGTGTTGGTGGGATGCGGACTGGGGCGGCTGGACCACGGCACGCGGGCTCCGCGTCGGTCCAGCTGACCACACGGCGCCATGGAGCTATGGACAGGATCGGCAAGCGTCCGAGGACCGAGCGAAGCGCCGGTGCGGTGTCTTCAAGTCTCGCGGTGCCATCCAGCTGGGCATGTCCTTGGCGGGCTCCATTCCAAGATTCCAAGTCAGATTTACCCCGTGGGGAAGAGGGCGCGTGGGATCCATGATCGCTCCCTGCCTCCGGTATCCTCGGATCGGCGGCGCGGGTGCTCTCGACGGCCAGTGACAGGCTGAGCCTATGTCGCACTGCCCGTGTCACGTCGTACATCCATACATGGACTGTAAGTATACCCCGCCCAGCTGAATGTGGTTCGTTCAGAAACAAACTGTGACTGTGCCAACTGTGCCGTTCTCATCGTACAAAGGGAGCATGTGAGAAGGCGGTTTTGTGCCTGGCGCTAGACAGGGCCTCGGCAAAACCGTCGGCGGCAGAGCACGCGTGCATTAGTGTGGTTTGTTGCCCTGATTGGCAGGGTCGTCGGCGGTCAACGGCCGCAGTCGACGGCTGCCCCGCAGCATCACGGAGCGGTGACTGGATGATCATCACCGGTTGGCTACAGCCGCTACAACCGCTACACAGGCAGAACGGGGGTGCTTTAATTCCCTTAAGAGATAGAGCTTGCGTAGGGAAAATTCAGTTATGAGCAGGCGCGTTGGAGAGTCACGCTTCAGTCGCATGCAGTCTTACGTCAGAAGGGCGCGATTGCCGAAGTGACGCACATATTTCTATGCAGTGATGCCTGCCGTATCCGTATTGATGTGCGCTGCTGTAACATGGCGGCCAATTTGCACAAAATCCGATGGAAGCGGGAGGAACTTTGTTGGTGAGTCGAGGTAGAGTTTGGCCCTGTCGAAGAAAACGTGGGGAGCCAGCTCCACCGCCCCGAGTTTGCCGCTGTGTGGGGTGCAGATGGTCTTTGCGGGGAAGTCGCGACCTACTTCCTATTTCGGTCAGAGACCCGACGCCATTGTCGGTCGTACAAACTCGCAAAGAGACAGGGAAAAGTTAAGATAGCTCTCTCATAAGGGCTATATCTTTTAAAACACCTCAAAGAGTAAAAGAATACATGTCGACCGCGTAGTAGGAGGTAGCTCGATGGTCTATTCGATCCTCGGAGGCTCATGTTCTCAGTTCTCTCGACTCTACCTCAACTCTCGAGCATAGAGTCAGGAGGACTCGGGGGTCTCACCTTTTGAAGCAGTGGTCAGTCGCCGGAAGCTTTCCATACACCACACACCGGTTACCGGCGAAACTAAGCATATTATTCATCCTTTACTAGACTTTGATTTTGATGGTTCACAGCTCACTACGAGTAATGGAATGTACAATACAAATACATACACATGCACGAACTCCGGTGTAGCTCAGTATCTTACCGGAGGGATCGGCAGACGGCTGCTCCCGCTACCGGATCTTACACAATCTCTCGCCCCCTCTCGGGTCCATCGAGTTGTCCGATGCTCGTAATGTCATCTAGCCTCGCAAACCAGATCTAGTGTGTACCTTGGCGCTTTTAGTCTTCGCAAGACTATCCTCGCCGGTCAGCCCAACACCACGTAATTAAAGCTACTCCCTTTATTAATACACCCAGATGCATTAACCCCTCTTCGTTCGGCTTGCAACCCTCCTCCTTTCTCTTGTCAATGTGGGAAGCAGGCGCATGTGATGATGACTGAGACAGCTGAGCTGAGCCCACGAAGTTCCGTCGTAATCGTCGGTCAGCCTAACACCGCGCCCGCTCATGTCCACGTTTGTACAGACTTCATCGTAAGTAACAAATTACTCTTCGTGTTCGCATTCATCCTCGAGGTTCCAATGCCGACCCTTGCACATTCCTCAGACTTCACTTTCTACTACAACGTTCTAGTGAGTTCAGTTTCTACGCTCGCACGGTGACGGGCAGTGGCAAAGCAGATTGATATCTCAAATAGAACCCTGAGTGTAAATGTAAAGGCTTGACGCCGAAAAGGCATGAACTGTAATGATGACATGATCAGATTCGGGTCAGGGGAGTTGCGTATATCGATTCGACTAGCTGCATCACAGCAACGCCGACTGCGCCGCGGATTCACCTAGGAGAGAGCCGAGGGCCCCTCCCCCACTCCAGCTTGTTACGAGGAACGAAAGGATGATCTACCTCATGACAACATGTCAGTGACAACATCTACTAGTACTGGTTCAAGCCGGGCCATCAGGTAAGTAGCCCTCGACTTACGCCAATTCCTGCAATGTCGGGGTTTGCATTTGCTAAACTTCACTCGAAGCCGCAATTTTGAAGCTCAAGTCCTGCATAGATAGCCATTATTCTGTTCCAAACCAACACGTGGCGCTCTTCAAAAGTTCTTGTGCGAAGAGGGTGTCGCAGTCTGTTCGGTCCCTTCACTCTTTGTTCTCTTGGTGTCTGACTGCCCTCGCTTGCCGGGGTGCGGGCCGGGGACCTTTTTATGATGTCTCGTCCCAAACCCCCAAAATTCGTTCCGAATCTCATTGGGTCGGTAGTAGTTGGGCAGCAAGTGCATGGCGTCTCGAGCTGAGAAAGCCTTCTGTTTTGACACAATATCCGAAGCTTTGAGGTGTCACAATACCCGGTATCTGCATCATCATCGGCTATCAAAATGAATATACCGGCCACGCTGCTGTGGTAGTATCGCATCCGGGTTGTTATCATTGCATCTCAGCTGCAAATGAACACACTACCCCTTAACCAGCTCAGCGTTTGTACCCAAATGCTTTTTCCTCTCCACTTGTCAATCACAATCCTCAGAGTTCTTCTCCCTTTTGCTTCGCTGGAGTCGCTACCGAGAGCACGACAACATCTCTTGTTGCACCCCCGTAGAAGTAGTACTCTTAGAATATGACACGCTGGGACAGTCTAGTTGTATATACAATACGAGGCATATTATTTTTCTTTCCGGTTGCGTATACGGACCTCAGGGAGGTAGTTACTACTACTCATATGATACAAGCAGATCAGTAGAGGTGTTCAATGTAATATTATCAATAGCGCAGTCACAATGTGCAAGACATCTCAGATTGGAGAGAATCAGAAGCATGGATGTGAGAGTGTTTGGTAATGCATCGTGTGTAAGGGACTCAGCGGGGCTAGATCACTGTGATCATTAATGCGATCTGCACCCGGCGCTTGGCGGGCGCTTAGCTTCGCAGGGGATTGGGTGATGGTAGATCATAGGTTGATGTATGGCGTGTTGGTTCCAGGTCACTGGCCCCTTCAGCGTCGCAGGCTCACTGCGTATAATTCGGGTTTGTTGAGACAACTTGCACACTGTTCCCTTTTCAACGATTCCCATTCCCCTCCGGCATTCCCCCAGAGAGGCTGTTCAACCTTTCCCCGGCATACTGACGGATCACACTTTGCATAGCGACTAATATCCAACCCAGCCAGCCAAGCCACAGCAGCCAACGGGGATCACTATAAAGTACAATGATACCAATACTAAGCATCCACTTTGTCACCACTGCGGTCGCCGTCCTCCTCACCACCCTCACAACGACCGCTCGCGGCGCATCTCAGTGCTACTTTCCCAACGGTAGGGAAAGCAGCAGCGATGTGCCATGCGACCCGTCCGCCGAGGTGAGCATGTGCTGCCCGTCACGCGCCGCCTGTCTCTCTTCGGGGCTGTGCGCCAACCCTGAGACGGGTCCCAACCAGGGGATCAGCTACGCACGGGGGACATGCACGGATAAGAGCTGGCGGAGCGCCGTCTGTCCGCAGCGGTGTCGAATTAGTACGTTCTCTGCTTGAATTGCATCCAAGATTTCCAGTTCAGTGTTTTGCTTCGCGACTAGGTCACGGGGAGGAAGTTCAGGCAGCGAAGAGCTTTGGTGGTTACCGCTAGGTCGGCTGGTACTAGGGCTGACAAGTGGGTTTTCCAGACCAGGACACAGCCACCAATTCGTCCGCATACGACTTTGGCACAGACGGAGTGCAGGTGTGGGAGTGTGTTGGCCAGGGATACGCCAAGCCCGGGGCGTACTGCTGCGAGTCGGCAGGCGAGAGCACGCGTTGCTGTCGGACGCAGACGGCCGTTTTTTCGTTGCCCGCGGCGAGTGTAGGGAATGCCCTGGCTGTGCAGACACCACCGGCGGTCGTGACAACGATGAGTACAAGTTCAGGTTCGAGCTCCAGTTCCAGTTCGCCGAGTGAAACTGGCTCCACGACCACAGGTAGGCATTGCTCCCACAAGATCTCTAGCACGTCCGTCCGCTGACTTGGGACGGAATGCGGAACAGTAACGGTGACGGTAGGAACAACGACAGGCACTACAGCGGGTGGGAAGGAAGGGACTCAGACGGGCGGGGAGGACTCAGCTGGGGGTGGCCTGAGTGATGCAGCCAAGATCGGGTTGGGGGTCGGCATTGGGATTGGGGCGGCCGCGCTCATCGTCTCGGCCATCTTGGTGTGGTGCTGGAGAAGGGGGGGGATGGAGCAAGCGCCGCCCAAGAATAAGGGAACAGTGGCCGAACCCCACGATGCGTATTATAGCAAGCCATCTGAGTATGCAGTTGCAGAAGCGTGGGCGCCGCCGGCGGAGCTGCCTTGGGGAGAGGGCATTCGTCCGGCATATGAGCTTCCAGAGGGCTCAGCGGGGTACAGATAGCAATATGATAATGGATCACGAGCCGTAACGAGATATAATTTCAAAATAAATGCGACCAAGGTCAGAAAGTGCGGGAGGTAGACTGCTTGCCATGCACTCTCAATTCCTGCTTAGAGCCTCCCTTACAGCAGCATCCTCTGGAAATGGCAGTCGCCCTAGCGCTCTGGAGATGCTCCCTTCGTAGGAGTTGATAAGCCCATGGTGGTCCGACCATTTTCTGACGAAGCCCAGGGGCTCGCCGAAAGCAATTTCTGTCACTGCCAGTGTGGTTAGACGGAGTACTGTGCTTTGTATGACTGTCATGTACTACCAACCGATATTGTACGCAAGGAAGTTGATGGCTTCGTGGAATTTGAGGGCCTGGGTGCCGTCTGCCGCGCAAAACCTGGACTCGAGTTCTGTCTGCCATTCCTTGATCCGCTCGTCGATGTTCTCCTCGAACGGTTTGATTGCCGTCATTGAGTACTACTTGCGTCTCAGCTACTTGAATGTCGTTCACACCATAGGGGCCAAGGGCATTGGACAAGCAGCTTGCGCAATGCGCCTCCTGGCAAGAATATGATCTGCGTGGTGCAGTGTAGTCAGGACTGATGGAAATCCAAACCTCACACTGTACCAGTCAGACTTGTCGGCTCGGCGGTGATAGACGGTTGGCAGTTCATGCGGGAGGTTCACGATGACCGTGTTGGGACCGTAACGAACAATGGGGCCTGCACAGCGATGTGAGATGTTGCACCCCAAGGGGGGAATGCTCTAAGAGACCAATACTCACCATATTTCTTGTGCAGCTTGATTTGGTATTCGGACTCTTCCCACCTCCCAATAATATATCGCAAGGCTTAGTGGATGTTCGTCGCGGCCGCCAACTTGGGCCCTGGAATTCCAGACAGTTTGTCGCGGAACATCCGGTATAAGACCACAAGCACAGGCATGCCGAGCAGTACCAGCACTATGAGAAAAAGAGCTGCCATTCTCAAGGTTTAGCAGTGCGATGCAAAACAACCTGGCTGGGCAAGATCCGCGACCTACCCATCGGTGACCATGAGTTTGCTTTAATACCTGTAGTTACTGGTTGTTATGTCATGGCGAAAGTTTTCCGACTAGAGCCTGCACACTCTGCCATGGAATGCTGTGCACAAGCTGCCGTCCAGCGGCTGAGATACTCGGGGTAATGCTACCTCGGAGCGGTTGAGTATAGGTATGTATGTAACGCGGGAGGGGAGATGGTATCTAGCTGAAAGGCGTGCCATTGCAGATACATAATCTACTTTGCTGGAGGTTACAGAGATGCCATTGGTCAAATCCTAAAGATCTGCGACATCAAAGCTGCGCGTTTTTTGCAGTAACACCCCGTTGCCTCTGGTAGCTGCCTAGTGGATCAGAGCGACTGGGCCGTGGCATTATGAAGGCCAAAGTCGTTGAGGACGGACAACACTGTTGTTGTGCCAAACTGTGACCTTCTCGGCTATGACCTAGTTATGACCTGTGCAGTATCTTCTAGCTATCAAGGTCGGCGAGAACGGGATCTGTGCTGACCTGCCGCACATGGCATTTCACAACGATGCTTGTAAGATTTTCACGAAGACTCTGGAAGTGTTGTTCTTGGCGCCTTTTCTTCAGGGTATGCAATCTTGGTCCGTCACGACTCACAAGGACGTGGGGGTAACGAACGAAGACATGTTCCGCGTGGCGAACATGGCGCGGGATGGACACCGAGTATGTTCAGTGATCTGTAAGTTGTTTACGATGTATGATAGTAATAAGCACATGAATCGATCATGGTTGCTGAGAGGCGATCCCTGCCGCCACATTCGGGGTTGCATTTTGTAGCAATAACAAGCCGCCTAAGTAACCCAAGACTGTATCATGGTACAGTATAATCAGAATACAGCAGCCTATAGGAATTGCATGTCAATCGGCATGACTTCGGCCGCAGTCGATTTCTCTATCCGTGCCGGTAGCAGATCGGATATCGAGAGACAGTTGCTTCTGGCCTCCGGGTAACCCATCCTCGACGTCGTCCGGCTTACAACCTTCTGACGCCGCCCCAACATGTGAGAAAGCAGATGCATGTGATGATGCCTAATACGGTAATTCTTGTGTTCTCCCTTCCAACTTCTATGTAAGCTAATCCATGCTAGTGAACTAGGTAGTGAATTGGCCCCCTGCCCCTCCTCCCCTCCCAACAGGGAGAACCGCCGCCCGCATTGCGTCCACAGATCCATCATCCCATCATAATTTGTCGGCTGACCCGCCGTGTCTCAGCTCCATGACGCAGTCTTCAGCTACTCACTTCATCTCTTCTTCTTCTTACAGTCCAATGATCCATCCATACCTCCAATTCCCTTCCTCAGCCGCATAACACAACCTCCGACTTGATGACAACGGATATCGATCGGCCTGTCGCTTGCCGCTTGTGCCGCTTGTCAGCTGCGAACCAGTGTCACTGTCCATCCTTTCTAAATTGGACTATCTGCCCTCCCAATCCAGAATGACCAATGTAGTAAAATCCAAGGTTCAGAAACGCTCCTAGATTAGAGAGGTGCAATCCACTATGGGGTACCATTTTGCAGTCTGTCTCCCATTCTCTGGAGGCTCATACACATACTTTGTTCACTCATGAGCTCCGGACGTTCAGATTGGATGTCAGGTGACGTTCTCTAATAGCCCGAGGGACACAGACGACGGTGGGGTTAATAAAGCCGTGATAATTTAGGATACCTGCATATCAAAAGTGAAGAGAACCCGCAAAACCGGGTGAGCCATTGCTGGCCGCCATGCCTAAGAGCAACCAACCCTATCCAGCACCGTATGCCATATGCAATGCATCATGATGACTGTCGCCATTCCTGACCATGCAGTCCCATCCTGGGTACCAGATGGTTACCGTGACGCTTTGACCTTATCCCCTAAACACCTCTAACCGATTGAACCTTGCCAAGGGTATTGTCTCATTCCATCCCATAATTTCCGTAGCCTGTCCCGTCATGCGCTCATGCCAAACCCATGCATCGTCCCGTCGCTGCAACCAGAGAGGGTAACCCAATCCCGTCCGAGAAAGATCGATCTACGCTTTTCGTCAACATACTTCCAGAGTATTGACCGGCCGCCGTGCTGTTCTTCTTCTCTTAGTCGCAGGACTGAGCACTGGCCGGTCCTCTGAAAAACTGGCCTCTTCCTCCTCAAAACTGCTGTTCGATATTTGCGACAGCGGCTCCCTTTGCCCTCCGCGTCTCCGCTTGAGGCTCACCGGGTGGTAGGTCGGCGTGATCTCCGGTTCCACGAGCGGGTCCCAGAGGCCGATGTAGTCCGGGTCGTCATAGATCGAGTCGCCCGCGATTTCCCGTCCGAGAGCCTTGGAAAGCCGTTCCTTCAGGCCGAGGATAGGCCAGAAGCTGACCGGCGTGTACGTGATCTCGATTCCAGTCGCACTGTCCTCGTTGTCTTGAGGCGCTGGCGCTTTGTGCGGGAACATAAAGCGGTCTAGGAAGGTAGCCGTCACAGTTGCAGTGTAGACAACGAAATTGGGACTGCTGTTGTTGCCTTCGTCGTGCGTAATGACCTGCACTTGGATGTCGCGGAACGAGGGCGGCGGGATGCGGATTGTCTTCCGTCCACGCTGCGAGGACTGCGACGACGACCGCGATGAGGACTCCCGGTAGAAGTGCGCCTGCGCCATTGATAGCAGGATCGCGACAATGTAAGGGTCGTGGTCGGGGTTTGATGGCAGTAGCATTTTGGACCGGAGTTCATTGAGCCTGGTCACTGGCTCGTTTGCGCCGTACTTCGACCCGCGAAGCACGCCGTACAGGTTCTTGCGGACGGAGGCGAGCTGCGACTTGCTGATATACGCCAGCATTGGCATGCCGGAGTCACGACCATCTTTCGGCATCTGCGCGAATGAGGATGAGGGCAGTGTCGGGCAGGAATCAAAGGAGGTGTCGACGCTGTTGGGACTCTTCCAGATGCAGGGAATGCGGACCATTTTCCGAAAGACGCGGTGACCGAAGTAGAGGTTCAGTTCAGCGCCGGTTTTTGGGCGCGATAGGGTTGTAGGGAAGAGCGTCGACATGATGGACTTGATGGCGCGATTCTTGCAAAAGGCCCTGGCTGGCGTCGCGTCCTGCCGAACGAGGGTGTGCAACTCGTACGTCAGTATCTGCGCCATCTTGGAGGGGTCGAGTCGCGCGTTAGAGATGATGTTCGGGAGGGGCTTGACGATGGCGGGACGCTCGGTGAAGTGCGCGCCAAGCAGCTCGGAATGGAAATCGGTCCAGCAGATGGGCGCGACATGGAGCGCGGTGCCAGCGTGGTCGTGCAGAATGTCATACAGCGAGCCCGGCTCGGGCCGTGTAATGCGCCTGCATGGTCGCCTTCGTTGCGACGCGGGCCGATTTTGATTGTCGCCGTTGCCGGGCTGAGCGCGCTCCGGCGCACTGGCACTGGGCCGGTCGGGTGAGGTCGACATGTGAACTAGGGCGCGCAGCTGACCGAGAAAGCTGCTGTTGAACAAGGATCTGAGGATGTAGCGAGGCTGCGCATTAGCAGGGGGTCCTTGGGAGGGGCTCTCGAAATCGAGTGCCCAAACGCGCACGCGATCGCGACTTACTCAATTGTGAGCATCGAAGAGGAAGGCTGTTGTCGGTCGCCTTGCCAGGGGTGGTGGATTGCACCCGCTTGTCGCGATTCCGCCCCGCAGACACAGATATCGCAGAATCGCGACAAGAAATCTCTGTCGTTAAATGAATAAATAGTAGGTTTCTGGTTGAATGCACCAAAATGGATATCGAGGTGCACAATACGTTGAATCCTGAAAAACAATAGAGATTCAGTCAAATCGTCGTTCAGTTTCGCTGACAATGGAAGCCCGGAAGCGGCTGGGCAGGAATGTGCGGGTTTTTGAAGGAGCGCGACCGGAAGGGGGAATGGCCGGACCCCTCATTGCCCTCATGGTTTGCCCTGATTCCCGCCCTGCGGTGAGGCGATGCGCCACCAACAAACTCGATCCATTCTTGGCAGGTTCCCCAACGCGCTAGTACACGAAGTCCCGTGACAGCTGCCCAAATCCGGCTAGGCACCGACGTGTCCTCGAGTTTCTGGGACTCTGTGCCTTATTAACCAGCCACATGTCACAGAGCCCACATTGCCTTTGTTGGCACCGTTTGCAGTCCTTTATCGGACACCGCCAGTACCTAACGTTAATAACTGGTGATTCCACAGGAGCGAGACAACTGGTCCTTTTCTCCTCAGTCTCTCCATCTGAGCTGAAGGAGCGCAGGGAGTGTTTTGCCCTCTGACAGGTTGGCGTCATGAGACCCCGACCATCCTTAGCCGCCGTAAGCCAACGAACCATGTTACTCATCTGGGTATCACAAATAAGCCGCCGATACCCACCCGTGCCACCCTTGTGTTTTCTGAATAGTGTGGCTGCCTGTGGATGACGCACCACGGAGGTTCCCGATGCCAAGATCCCTCAGCCACGCGGGCCACACTCCAACCGCAACGGCCGACGTCAGGGTTGATTGAGCATGTGTTTGCGACGCTCAAGCGACCCCGCAAGGCTGCAATTGAGCTCCTGAATCCGAACACACCGACCCGATCGGACCTTGCTGCTCATTCCCCAGTAGTAGTAAGGAGCTCCCGCCAGGCACCCCTGTTGCCCACGATGCCGGTGAGTCTTGACGTCCCAACTGGAGGGCCATTTAATTTATTTGATTTCGCCTTTCGGGGCCAGACGCAATTTGCTAACCTCCGGGCTCGGGGATCACCAGGCGTACAACTCGGTCTTCAACGCCGCCGAACCGGCCCCGCGGCTGGTAGGCAACTTCCCGCTGTTTCCCTTGCGCACCAAGGTCCGGGGCCCTGTGTACCCGCTGCCCTTCCCGGACCCGCCGCTGCCCGCGAACGAGTCGCCCGACCCGAGCTCGGAGAGCTACGACATCCTAGACGAGGTGCTCGCGCTGTTCCGCGCCAACACCTTCTTCCGCAACTTCGAGATCCAGGGCCCCGCCGACCGGCTGCTCGTGTACGGCATCTGGTTCGTGTCGGACTGTCTGGCCAAGATCCGGCCGAACGCGAGTCTGCGGGAGGCGACCAAGGACGTGATGAACCTGGCGCTGGACGTGAATTTCGCGATTCCCGGGGACCCGGCGTGGCCTTTGAACCAGGTACGGATTCTTCCTGTGATGCGGCGGACGTCCGCCTTGTGGTTGACTGGAGAACTGACGGCGGTTTTGCTACCGCAGATGTATGAGCCGCCCCGCGACAGGCAAGACGCAGAGATCCTCCGGCAGTACATGTCCCAGGTCAGACAGGAGTTGGCGACGAGGCTACTGGCGCGGGTATACGACGAGGGTGACGCCAAACCGAGCAAGTGGTGGTTGAGCTTTACGAAGAGGAAGTTTATGGGCAAGGGGCTATGAGGCTCGGGAGCCTAGTATCGACCAGGGACCGGTTTGTTGCCACGAGGCGGACCATGATAGAGCGCCAGAGACAGCAAGCCCAAGGCGAAAGCCGTCCATCACAACAACAATCTTACTTGTACAATGGTATCTAGTGACGCCAATGCCATGGTGTAATACAGATGCCCAAAGCTATTGCCGATTTTCCTGTTCCTGGATTTCACGCCGACGCGGGGGTCGCGGCGTCAGACTCGACCTTCCGACGCTTGAACTTTCCTTTCGCCGCAATCTTCCCCTCCGCCGGCTTTGCTCTCCAGGCCGTAAGCACATACCCATCAGCCCCTCCTCGCTCCGTCATGAGCGGGTGTGTCCTGCCCGGCAGGACCTGCCAGCGACGGGCGCGGCTCGTCTGGATGGACACGCCCTGGAGCAAGGTAGGGTTGAGCGGAAACTGCTCGTTGCCCGGCCAATGCTCTAGCTCCTCGGTGGAAAGACCCTCGATTTCAGGGACACTCCCACTCACCCAGGCCGTGCGCCGCGGCACGCTGAAGCAATCGGCCGCAGCTGCCAGCGCCTCCACTGATGGTGAGTAGATGGCCACGGGCGCGCCGCCGGCGAGCAAGGGGAGAGTGTGTCGCAGGATACTGATTGGATCCATGGTGCTTGCGCAGACGAGGCCGGAAAAGTTCCCTGCCCGGGTGCTGTCGACGATGTGACGGATGCGGGCGTATCTCCTCCGCTTGCGGTGAAAATTTCCTCGGCGACTTGGCTTCCATGATGCGAGAGTCTCTGGTGACGCGGTGAGTGGCGGGGTGGAGTATGCCAAATCGAGCTCCGGTTTTAGGAGCTGCAGCCAGGTGAGAGTAAGGAGGTGGTTGAGTAACGGGTGCGGAGGATGGTTGGGAGAGGTGATGTCGAAGCCCCAGTAGTTCAGGAGTGAGAGGTTGGGCTGGCTGGCCCCGTGGATGGCTGTAATGGTGTTGGTTTGGGAGTAAGGGATTGCAAAGTCGGAGGGACGGGTCTTTTGTTGTTTCGGTTTCTTCTCCGCCTCGGGCTTCGTAGGCGCCGCCTGTACGTCCGTCATTTCAGTGTCATCGCGCTCCTGAGTCGTCTTCCCGGCCTCCGTCTGGTCAACGTTGGTCTCCTCCGTCTGTTCAGGAATAGCAGAGGTCTGCTCCGCTGCATCCTTGTCCTGTCCCTCCGTCTTCCCCTCCGTCTCTGCGTCCTCGTTTGGGTAGAGCACGCCCATTCTCTCGGCCATTGCCGCAACCAACAAGCCGCATGTGTCGTCCACCACAAGCCACCTCCCCCTCAGCAGACCCTCGTCTACAGGCACACAGGCCTCGTCCCCTTGGGCAACGGTGGCATTCGGATCCTCGAGCAAGACATCATCGCCACCGTAATGGACATTGCCCCAGCATCCGACGAGCCCGATCATCTCTGCCCTCATGTCCATGATCTTGCTAGCATCCCTCTCCTCCAATTGCCACTGCGCAAGGTTTGCAACATCGATAGGTAGGACCTGAAACCTCCGTATGTATTTCTTGGTCTTGAGCAGCTTGTACTTGGCCAGGCTGAAGCTCGTCTTCTGGTCGAGCGCTGTATGCGAAAGAAGCAGCTTCGCGATGACGTCCTTGCCGGCATTGTTGCCCTCCCGCTTCAGCTCCTCGATCTCCTCCTGTGTCAAGGTCTGGCGGGCGCTGTCGTCGATGATCTCGCGATTTGAACGCGCAACGACGTTCCCCTTCTCGTCGACCAGGCTAAACTCCTCCCCGTCGGTCGCGGAGATCACGGCGTCGTTTGCGCCCGTGGCGGGCGTGGCGCATTCGGCTGCTGCCTCGTCGGCGAACACTTCGGCATAGAGCTCTGACGTGGGGACGACCCGGAGACGCGAGAAGTTCTCGTCTAGTAACTTGTCTTGTAGCTCGAAGGTGAGATGATAGGGACGTCCGATGATCAAGTTTGCGGGGAACGAGCCGTATTTTCCTAGCGATATTGTCCTGGCCGGGGTGTCAACATGTGCCGGGAAGGATTGCGACTTGTGTCTGCATGAACCGGACAAAACTTACGTATTAGGAGTAATCTGGAGGACCTTGGTGCTGCCTGACGGGAGTTTGAGGGCCACCCAAGCATTGGGCCGAATGACGGATTGCATTTTCGATCGCGATCGCGTTAGACTACGGGTTGGTGCGCGCGTCTGCCTCGACTTGAAAAATTTCGGGGCGATTTGAGGCGAGCTTCAGCCTCTCTTCCAATTCCTATCAACGCTAACGTTATCAATGCGGGGCTGCCTTACTGGGGAATTGCGGTAGCGCGTCGAGAACCTTGACGGATTGGTGGGTGAGTGCTAAATAAGTTCAAAAACTCAACATGTGATCACCTGACACTTTGATTTTCATCCTCAACAGCCTGGTCCGTGTATCCCATGCTTAAAACATAACAAAGCTTGCTCCGACCGTAAAGCAGCTGGGAGTACAGCAATGATAACCAGACCGAAAGAGAAAGGCGGGACCCGTGGGGGAAAGGGAAACAAAAGAACGAGAAGAAGCGAAGAAGAGATGGAGGAAAGAAGGAACGGAAAGAACGGAAGATGACAGAGGAGAGAAAATACATGGCTGGTTTTCAGATTTACATTATTAGCGCTTGTTGAAGAACTACAGTACGGTACATACGAACAACGCCAACTGCTGGCCGGCTGCTACTGGACACCAAACACGACGCGATCATCATCCTGTGCTAGACACGGCCACTGAAGCATAGGCGATTTCAAGTTCCGCCCCTCAATTCATCTCGCTATGCGCGAATCTCCTAATCAAGGCAAGACCATGGATCAAAACGACCACAATAAATCCTCGGTCGTGGCCAAGCCGAAAGCTCACCACAAAAGGGGGCGCGCTGGAGAAAAAGATGCTAGTGGCACCGGGTCCAAGATCTGCTTACAACGGCAGAGGCAAAGCCCATGTGTTTGGCATGAAGCATTATGTACGGACCAATATCGCCATCACCTGTGCTCCGCTTCCGAAGCGATCAGTCTGGCAAGGCAACGAATTTACAAGAAGCGAAAGTCCTTCCCAAGTCGATCCACCAATGCACTCAACGAGTACCCTGATCAAGGGTATGCCCAGTTCAGACGACGGGCCAGCCGCTGGAGAAATTGATCTTGTTCCAGCCGAAGCGCTTCTGGCCGTCCGCGAAGCCGACACGGGTGTCGACGTAGTGGTAGTACAGGACCTAAAACGGTGCAAACAGAGTCAGTCATGGCCAGTCCACGATACACACATAATACCAGGGGCAGAAAGGCGGGAAATCTCTAGGCTATCTATACTGACCGGTCCGTGGGTAGGGTCCTGGTACACGCCCTGGCCACCGGGGCCATAGACCCAGTCGTGCGACTGCAGCACGACGGTCCCGCCGCCGGAGCGGCACGACTTGCCGTCCCTGTCGGTGAAGGGCCCGACGGCGGAGGTGCCGCGGCAGACCAGGATGCGGTACTCCTTGCCGGCGGCGGGCCTGTTCTTGTCGAAGCCGCAGCACTGGCCCTTGGAGAAGAACAGGTAGTAGTACGAGCCGTGCTTGAACACAAAGGGCCCCTCGATCGCCGTGTCCTGGGCGTCGTAGGCGACCTGGTACGCGGCGCCGTTGGCCTTGATCGGCGTCATGCGCACGCGGTGGATGTCCTGCCAGAAGCTGCCGAAGGTCAGGAAGTAGCTGCCGTCCCCGTCTTGCACCAGGTTGCCGTCGATCGCGTTGTAGGGCTTGCTCGAGTCCGAAGCTACCCCTGTCGCGCCCAGGTCGGTCCAGCTGCCGACGTCCAGGCTGGTCGAGCGCGCCACGCCGATGGCCGAGTTCTGCGACCCGAAGGTGCTGACCGAGTAGTACAGGTAGTAGTAGTCGCCCACCTTGGCGACGTCGGGGGCCTAGTTGTTTTCTTGTCAGCAATCAAGGTATGTTCTATTATTGTTCATTCTTTTAACAAAACGGACAGCTTTACCCAGAGGTCCTGGTTGCCCGGCAGGTTGATGGACGACCCGCTCGGCAGCGCTGCGCCCCGGTAGGTCCACGGCCCCGTCAGCGCCGGCGCCGTGTGGACGGCAATCTTGCCGCCGGTCGAGAAGCGGAAGTAGGTGCCATCGGCGCGGCGGATGATGGACGGGTCGTGGCTGTTGGTGCAGACTCCGCTGCAGGCCTCCGGCAGGGCGTAGGCGGACGCCAAGCTGGGGAGCAGGGCTGCTCCAAGGCCGAAGAATAAGTCGAGAAGCCGGGCCATGATGACAGCCGCAGGTAACTACCTAACTAGCTCTGATCCGCAAAAGATTTAGCAGGCGTTGGCGGGCGTCGATCCGAGCCATCGGGAGTGCTGTAATCCAACAGTCTTATATATGCTCCTCGCTTATAATTCTACAGCCCTAACTCGTATCACCCCTTCAGAACACAGATTAAGAAGGGGCTTCGCTTCTGTTTTCGGGTTCCGTCCCTTGTGGGCCTACACACCGTGGGCCGTGGACGCCAAGCATCGCAAGGTGCCATCTACCGGAAACAGGGGTGCCATGTTATCGCCCTACACACTATTCTTCCACCTGCGAGGGCTGAGAATGTCGCAGTTTTTCCGCCCAGTGGGGGACTCAGCGCCAGTGTGGGTGACGTTTCATGGTACACTATGAACTGTCAAGTCTTGGACGTCTTGGGAGTCCATTTGATGTATCGACGACTTATTCCTCAATGCAACCCCAGATCGCCCTACCGGCACTCCAGCTCCGGCACCTGAACTGGTTGCGTAGCCCGGTGGCGATGCGCGCCAATGAAAGATCTAGGCGAAGCCCGAACGTGCTTGTTTTTCTGGGGGTGCATTTAACGCGATTCGGGTTTCACCACGGCGAAAGGGAGACTTCGGGCGCCTGGCTCCGCATCTTGGCTCCGCTCCAGCCTCGGAGGCCTGCTCCTCCCCTAGTCGAGTTTCTCCGATTCCACGGAGTGTGCCGTTATTCCGTACCATGCGTGGCATGTAGATGCTAAGCACCATCTTGGCTTGAACCTTCTCTTAAAGATGATGGGAGTTGGTGAAGGGAACGTCGCTGGCCGGGTCCAAGCGGACTGCTTCCGTCGTTGTGTTCCCGGATCTCCTCTCAAACCGGCAACATGAGAATCGCTTCCATCATAGGCGCTCTTACGGGCCTTCTGAGTCTGGGCTCGGCCGCGTCCCTCACCAACCCTCTGAAGAAGACGAATGGGTCCGACCCTTTCATGGTCTACGCAGATGGATACTACTACCTGATGACCACGACGTGGACCAACTTGCAGCTCACCAGGGCGAAGACGCTGGAAGGCCTGAAGAACGGCGAGACCAAGGTTGTCTGGACCGACACCAACTCTGCCAGGTGCTGCAATGTCTGGGCACCCGAGATCCACAAGATTGACAACACGTGGTACATCTACTATACCGCAGGCAATGGCAACAACTTGGATGGACAGCGCCCGCACGTTTTGAAAGGTAGGAAATACCTTATATGTTCCCCCAAAATCTCGAGGAGGAATCCTCACAAATGCTTTCATTCAGGTGGCTCCTCGCCCTGGAGCACTAGCTGGTCCTACGCTGGCAGCTGACCAACGACTGGGGCATTGACGGCAGCGTGCTCCGCGTGTCGAACCAGAACTACTTCGTCTGGTCGTGCTTCCCGGAGCCGGACGTGCAGTCGCTCTGCATCGCGCCCATGACCTCGCCCACGTCGATCGGCTCCCGCAGCGTGCTCTCGCGGCCGACCAACGCCTGGGAGCGGGTCGGCAGCCCGCCGGCGGTGAACGAGGGCGCCGCGCCGCTGTACCACAACGGGCGCGTCTTCCTGGCCTACAGCGCAAGCTTCTGCTGGACGAGCAGCTACCAGCTCGGGCTGCTGACGTATAATGGTGGCGACCCGACTAGCAGCAGCAGCTGGACTAAGACGGGCCCGTACTTCAGCTCTGCGAACCGGAACTATGGCCCTGGACACAACGCGTGAGTGGATGGAATCTCGCTGAGACGATGAGACTAAGCATATGAATGAATTATGATCGGGGAAAAGCTAATGGTTTTATTTTTCAACAGATTCTTCACCAGCCCCGACGGCAAGGAAGTCTGGAATGTGTATCATGCGACGTGGATCCAGTCGGGCGCTTGCGACGGCAACAGGTATACGGCCGCTCAGAAGGTCAACTGGCGCGCGGATGGCACCCCTGACTTTGGCTCGCCGCAGCCGACGGGCACGGTTCTAGTTGGTCCGTCGGGGGAGTAAGAGACGGGCAGCAAGAGAGTGCTGTGCCTCAATACATCCCGTATGGCTCCATGAAAGCCACAATTAATGTGGATAGATGCTCATAGCTGAATAGAGGACGGCAGAGCAGGTAGGTCTTAGGTCTTGCTTCATTGCAGTTCTCTCAAAATGCCGTGACAGGAAGACGGGGCAGATGGCAAGCTCTCTGTTGTTCTATGAATCAAGTGTTCGTAATAACTCATATCATGTCGAACCTAGCTGAGAGCACCTACTAGTACCAGGTATTACTAAGTCGTGGTACTGGAAAGGAAGACGCAATACAGCGGTGTTACAAACTCATCTTGTGAACCTATTTAGACAAGGATACGGTAATCTCCATAGGATGCGTTAGGCGCTGTGAGAGAGTCCTAAGCTTACGCCCTGTAGTGGGAAGAGCGGAGAGTTATTCCTCCGAAAGCTACTAGTAATGCATGTCTATCGAGCCCACCGTTTGAGCAGAAACGTATCCCAGAAAACCAGAAAGACATAACCTCGGATTGAGGCTCAAACATGGAGCCATGCAATGCACCCTACCGATACCAGCCACTGCCGACGCCGACATGCATCAGGGTACTGAATATCCTGGACGAGGAGGAGACGCTCCACGTCTCGTTGCGAACCGTCGACTTGGCAGATGAGCCGTTCTTCTACGCCCTGTCGTACACCTGGGGCAACCCCCATGCAAACGGTGTCGACTTCACCGAGCACTTCAATGCCGTGAACGAGGAGTACAGCGTCTCGCAGAAGACGCCAATCCTGTGCGACGGGCAGGTGCTCGAGGTGCAACGAAACCTGCTCGACATCCTCCGCGAGCTCCGACAGCTTCTGAGCAGTCCGAACTCACAGTCACAGCCACCTCTCCTCCCGACAGACGGCAAGCTGTGCATCTGGATCGACGCCATATGCATCAACCAGAACGACATGGCCGAGCGGGCGGCACAGGTCCGGATCATGGATCAGATCTACAAAGCGGCCGCGCACACGGTCGTCTGGCTCGGACGAGCGGACCAGTACACGCAGGCGGCCGCCGCCACCATCGCCAGGGTGGCCGCCTATCCCCGCGACGTCTTCGCCGCCAGCGGAGCGAGCCCCTTCCGACGGCAGGATCCCGAGGTGTACGCCAAGAGCGGCCTGCCCTACACCAGCTGGATGGACTGGTGCAGCGTGGCGGCGCTGCTCAAGCGGCAGTGGTTTTCGCGCGTGTGGATCATCCAGGAGACGGTCCTCTCGCGCAGCCTGGTGCTGCTGTGCGGGCGGCACGCCATCGCCTGGGCCGACCTGGTCGCGGCGGCACGCAACGTCGCGGCGCGCTGTGCCGTGCTGGGCTGGAGCCCGAGCACCATGTTCCTGCAGGCGCACGAGATCGCCGTGCCGCTCGAGCACAACGTCCTGCGCCTGGCCGACTGGCGGGAGCACTACCACCGGTCAAAGAACAACAACAACAACAACAACGATAATCCAGAAGAAGAAGCCTGGCGCTTTACCCTCGAGAACCTGGTCTACGACACGTGGATCTTCACGTCGACGGTCCCGCACGACAAGATCTACGGCATCCTGGGCCTGGTCCAAGAAGAAGACCCGGCCGTCGTCCGCGCAGCAGCATGGCCCATCGACTACCAGGCCGCGCCGGAGCAGGCGTTCGCCCTGGCGACGAAGCGCATCATCGCGCAGAGCAACTCCTTGAAAATCTTGTCGTGTGTGCAAGATGCCTCGGTGAGGAAGATCCGCGCCCACCCGTCCTGGGTCCCGGACTACAGCCTGCCCTATTTCAACATGATGTGCAACGCCGGGCCGTTCTCCGCTGCTGGCAGCCTCCCCCTCTTCACTTTCTCACTTCTAAACTCAAATTCAAATTCAAACTCAGCTAGTTGGTCCACCCTCCATTTAAAAGCCCACCTCTTCGACAGGATAACCACCCTCGCCGCCCCCCGAAACCCATCCGTAGTAAACAGCGCCATGCTCCTCGACCCCTCCTGGCTGGACCTGACCCTCCTCCTCCAGACCCCTTACCCCCACACAAACCCACCCCAGAAGCGCACCGAGGTCCTCTGGCGCACGCTCTGTGCCGACCAGGACCAGACAGACACCATCTCGCCCGCGCCGGCGCGGTTCGCGGCACTATTTAAAGAGTTGCTGTGTGCGATGGTGATGGTGCGGGCTGAGCTGGAGCAGGAGGAGACAGAGTCTCGTCACAGCAGTGGAGGAGAGGGGGAGCTGGTGGCCGACGAGTGCGCCGCTTCGATTGGCGAAGCGCTCACCTGGGCGCGGGAGGCTTGGAGTAATGTGTTAGGATGGGATAAGGTCGAGTCGATGGCAGAGTTGCGGGAAAAAGCGAAGGGGCGCTTTGCAGGCCCCGAGTGTGGGTGGTTGGTGTACACGCTTGTCAAGCTGCAGGCGCTGGCTGTGACGGAGGAAGGAGGAGGGGCGGACACGCCGGGCTGGGAGGAGCTGGAGCGGTTTTCGGAGGCGCCGAGCTATGTCATGAGGGTGAAGGACGGGGCCGAGAGGCGGTTGGTCCTGCCGGCGGACGCCGGGTTCGCGAATTCGTTTCGACGGAGGTATGGGAAGCGGAGGCTGTTTTGCACCGAGAAGGGGTACCTCGGTCTCGGGCCCGCTTCGGCCGCCGTGGGGGATGTGGTGTGTATCTTGCCCGGGGCGGCTGGGCCGTTCGTCCTGCGGGAGTTTGGGGGTCGGTGCGATGGAGCGAAGAGGCTGCGGCTCGTTGGTGAGAGCTATGTCCACGGCATCATGCATGGCGAGGCGGTGGAGGCGGACGGGCTTGTGCTAGAAGACATTGAGCTGGTTTAGTTAGGTAAACCGCAGCTGACAAGATCTTCAATGTCTTTTCTTTCGTTGTCACGTCGTCTTAATTCTGGCTAGCGATCTTGTTCCTCGTTGCTGAGATCAGGTAGGTCACTTTGCCGAGTCTATGGAACCCGGAATGAAAGCGGCAGGTTCAGTCTGATATCCTAGGCCAGAGGTCGGTCTAGGCCACAGCGATGGATGAATCAGGGTAGAAAGCTCAGTACTGCACTTGATTGCCTGATATAAGGAGAGAAATAGGCAACTCAGCACTTAAACCAGGTTCGTAGTAGTAACGAGTGGAAGAAGAAAACGGGCCAATCCACCGGACAGACAATCTTCGCATCAATCCCTGAAACCATCCATCCCAGTGATCCAACCGATCATTGGCCAATCCTTGCGCCGTTGTGTAAACGAGTGATAGCGCCCCAATCCACGGCACACCCCTTTCCTTCTCACTAAGGTCAGGTAGGAAGAAAGGTATGATACCCCGTCAAACCTCCCCCTCCATCCTCCCCTTCCCAATCCCCGCAGCAGCAGCGCCCAAGCCAAACCTCCTCTTGACCGCCTTCCACGCCTCCACAATGGCCGTGTACACCACCACACACGCCGCCACGATCCCCCACTCCCAGGTGATGGCCTCGTGCTTGAACACCACCCTGTTGACCACGGGGATGTAAATCACAGGGAAGGCAATGACAAACCCGGCCGTGACGGCGCCAAAGAGGAACTTATTCTCCCACACCGTCCCTACCACCGACAACCACCAAATTCCCCCCTGTTTAGTGTCATCTTGCTCCCGGGGGTACATGGCAAACAGCGACCGTGTGAAATGCTTGGCCTCCCATGCGGTAACCAGCAGCAAGAAGGTCAGAGTGGCAAAAGTAGCCGCCCGCGCGCGGAACGCCACGTCGCAGGCGGCCGAGTAGGCCTCGTTGCAGTCGTGCCCGTGCAGGCCGTCGCCGACGCCGTAGGCGACCGACGTGAAGGCGGCCAGGCAGAGGCCGCCCATGGCGGTGCCATACACGAACTTGTCGGTGAGCAGCTCGCGCGTGAAGGGCCCATACGACGACGAGGACGACGACGAGGACGAGGCCACGGGACGGGGCGGGCGCTGCATGATGTCGGGCTGCGCGGCTTCGATGCCCAGGCCGAGGGCGAGGAAGGAGGAGGTGACGAGGTTGGCCCAGAGGATTTCGAGGGGGGATAGCGGGAAGATGGAGAGGCCCGAGGGGTCGCGGAAGGAGAGGCCCAGGAGGAGGAGGAAGACTTGCGCTATGTTGGAGACGAGGAGGTGGAGGAGGAACTGTCGGGGTTAGTTACTAACTTGTTGGGAGGGAAGAAAAGAAAAAAAAAAAAAAGAAAAGAAAAAAGACCTTTTGGATATTGTCGAACAGCCTCCGCCCCTCCTCGATCGCCGTGACAATCGACGCAAAATTATCATCGATCAGCACCATGTCCGCCGCCTCCTTGGCGACGTCGCTGCCGGTCAAGCCCATGGCAATGCCCACGTCCGACTTCTTCAGCGCGGGCGAGTCGTTGACGCCGTCGCCCGTCATGACGCAAAAGGCCTTCCGGCGGTGCATGGCCTCGACCATGCGCACCTTGGTCGTCGGGCTGCAGCGCGCCAGCACCAGCGGCAGCCGCGGCAGCGCATCGATCTGGGCGTCGCTGAGCGCGTCGAAGGCGCTGGCCACCATGATGTCGCCGTCCGGGGCCGGGGGCGGCGTCGTCGGGAGGATGCCGATCTCGTGCGCGATGGCCGTCGCCGTCTTGACGTGGTCGCCCGTCAGCATGTGCACCGTGATGCCGGCCTCCTGGCACCGCCGCACTGCCGCCGCCGACTCGAGCCGCGGCGGGTCGTACAGTCCCGCAAGCCCGAGGAAGGTCAGCTGGCTCTCGACAACGGCCCGCGGATCCGGATCGACCGAGTTGCCAGCCAGATTCTTCTTTTCTGCGCCGCCGTTGTCGTTGTCGTGGGAGGAGGCAAAGCCGCTAGTGGCATGAGCGTCGACGACGGCGGCCCTTTTGTTGGCCACGCAGAGCACGCGCAGACCCTCGGCGGCCAGCGACTCGGCCTTGGCCACGATGACCGCCCTTTGCTCGTCCGAGACGTCCATCAGCGGAAGCATGGCCTCGAGCGCGCCCTTGGTGTAGGCCGACGCGCCGCCGCCCCCCGTCTCGTCCGTGCTGCTGCCGTAGACGACCGTCATGCGCTTGTAGCACGAGTCGAAGGGGAACTCGGCCAGGAACTGGCGCCGTCCGTCCGCCACCACCTCCGGCTTGCCCATGCCAAAGCGCATGGCCAGCACCTGCAGCGCGATCTCGGTGGGCTCGCCCACGGCGGTGTAGACCGGCGAGGCATGATCGGCTTCTTGCGTGGGGGTGACGGTAATTACCGAGTTGTTGCACAGGGCGACCGTCTCGAGAAACGGCCTCAGCCGGGCCACGGCCTTCTCAGCCGCCGCCGCGGCGGACTGAGGCGGGAACAACACCTCGCCGTCCACGCGGACGCTTCCGCTCGTCGGGTCGAAGGGATGCGTGGTGTCCTGGATGGCCACGTCGGTGCCGTCGGCCAGCCACACGCGCTTGGCCACCATCTTGCCCTGCGTCAGCGTGCCCGTCTTGTCGGAGCAGATGTTGGTGACGCCGCCGACGGCCTCGAGCGCGGCCAGCTTGCGGATCACGACGTTGCCCTTGGCCATGGACCGCGTGCCGAGCGCCGTGGCAATGGTGAGCACCGCGATCAGCGACTCCGGGATCACCGCCACGGCCACGCAGATGCCGTAGATCAGCACCCCGTCCGTGACGCGCCACCGGCTTACCGAGAACACGATGACGGCCAGCAGGATGGCCAGCGCGAACAGCAGCAGCGCGAACTTGCTCAGCGCCACCTGCATCGGCGTGCCGTCCAGCCCGAGCAGCACGCGGATCTTCAGCCAGGCCTTTCTGGCAAGCGTCGGCTCTGTATTATTAGTATTGTTATCACCACCACTATCGGCCGTGGTGTTGCTGTCGCGGCTCCTCCGCAGCAAGCCCGCGATCTTGCCGACCTCGGTGGCCATGCCCGTCGCCACGACGATGCCCGTGGCCCGCCCCCGCGAGACGGTGCTCGCCGAGTAGACCATGTTGGTGCGGTCGCCCAGCGGCACGTCCTGCTCCTTGAGGACCACCTCGGCGTGCTTGCTCACGGGCACCGACTCGCCCGTGAGCAGCGCCTCGTCCGTCGACAGGTTGATGCTGTGCGTCAGCCGCAGGTCGGCCGGCACGATGTCGCCCACGTTGAGCTTGACCAGGTCCCCCGGCACCAGCAACTCGGCCTTGATCGTGTCGACCTGCCCGCCGCGGATGACCTTGCACGTCGGCGCCGAGAGCGCATAGAGTGCCTGGATGGTCTGCTCTGCGCGGAAGTCTTGGAAGAATCTGGGGGAGCGCGTGAGGATACAGCCTAGAAGGTATAAGGTACGATGTTCGCACTCACCCGACAACGATGTTGAGCAGAATGACGGCGGCAATCACGCCGCCTTCGATGTGATCATCGATGGCGAAGGAGAGCACCATCGTGATAACGAGGACCTGCCACTAATGAGTATCTGGATTGTAAGAAGTAGTAGCAGCAGACATGAAAAGAACCACTTACAAGAGTCAGGCTGTTGGACACTTGCCTCAGGAGAATCGTCCACACGGAAAGCCCCTTAGCTCCCTCAACCGTGTTAGGGCCATGCTGCTGCAGGCGACGGCCCGCCTCGGAATTGTCGATGCCATTACTGAGAAGTGAGCGAATTGTCACCGAGGGTTGGGGGAGTCAAGAATCAAGATGCAGGCGGGGAGGAAAGAAGTAAATAAATCAAAAAGAGAGTAAAAAAGGGTCTTTACTCAGCATGAGTCTCGAGCAGCGCGCAGACATGGGGCACAGAGAGCGTATGGGCCGATTCCGGCTTGAACACGCCGTCCGTGTCAACGGTGCTGGCGACAGAACCCCGGCCTACAGTGGCATCGGTGGCATCGGTACCATCGGCATCGGCATCGGCATGGGCATCGGCGGCATCGGTTTTAGCATCAGGGCCGGTTGACGTCCCCGCGAGAGTGGAGGATGCAGTAGTAATCGGAATGCACGCTACTTTAACAACGGAACTCTTGGAGCCACATATAGGAGGCTCCGTCTGCCCCTCGACGTCCTGGTCGTTCTCTGTCCCCATTCAATGTAGAGCGTCGCCGTTGCAAGCCCAGCGATGGTTACGCAAAGGAAGAGAAGGAAGAAGAAAAAAAGAGGAAAAGTTCCAGAAGCCGGGGAAGACGAGCCAGGGCTTATGAAGGTGCCCATGTACGTGTACCGAGCGTTGGCATCCCTTGGATCGGTCCAGGGTATCCGACCGCCGAGCGCCGCAGCCCACGTATTCGATCACACGGCGGCGCCGGAGCGGGGTGGGGGGTTACCTTTGGCCAACGGCGGACAAGAACCGGAGGGACGGGGCATATAAAAGGACTGTGGTGACAGATAGTTGGACTAATTCCTACAGAACTTGTGTAGGGTACTTACAGGGATAGAGTGTCTCGAGAGTGTGTGTATCAGGGAACAAAGCCACTTGAAGTTATCTCTGCGTTTCTTTATGGCTCGATGCGAGTTTCTACTGCCGGCTCATTTCCTATATGGTCTTCAAATCTCCCTCTCTGCCCTGATCTTACATTGACTACTTTCTGTTCCATCTCTCCCCCTTCTTCATCTAGCCATTGTTACCGCAAGCGGACTTGGTCCAGTGAGGGAACGCAAAGTCACAGTCAACTTATCCTCCCGGGAAGGAATGAGTGCCGGGCGCCGCCAAGTTGCGTGGGCAGGCTTGTGGCAGGCACGTCACCCAATCACTGCCTCTTCGTGATCCCTGAACGCGAATCCTACCTGGTGCGTAGCTGAGCTCTCAGTGGCCCGACCGGTTGATGGCTTGTCTCTCCCCGGCGCTCTTGGCGCTTTGTGTCTCCCGAGAAGCAAGGACCGGACCACATGATCACCTGCTGCTTGCTCCTCTTCCGCCCGCCACAGGCATCGGTTTTTGTTTTGGTTATCCGCATCTGCGAGTCTCCTTGCAGCGGAATCCTGCCTATTGCACCCTTTCGATATGCCACGTCAATTCTGTGCGTTCCAGGGTTCTGTTTTCCAAGTTATGTCCATCTTTAAGTTGTTTGCTTATTGCAAGCTGTCTGCTACTCTGTCAAACGCCAAACCCGCCATCATGCACCTCCCCCCACGTGCGTGCATACAGTACCCTGGTATCTTGATTTGAGCTATCAAACAACCGTGTAATTGAGCTACGGGTGATCATCCCACAGTAGTGTATATTACACGCTTGCATTGTACAATACCTAAGTACCTACAGTGTGTAATACCATAGCTCTCTTGAATACTGCACACTAGTCGAACACAGCCAACGGACTGGAATAACTACGCGTTCGTGCCGAGAAGCTGTTGCCTGCCTTCCTGGAGATCATGTTGTCATCATGACAAAAATGAGGCTGGACAAAGAAGCGAAGTGGGACTCGGATCATGAAGAACGACCTTGGCACCTCGGCGCCGAGCAAATAACACGATAACGTGAGCAATTGATGTCGTTGCTACACACCGCTTTAACACCCATCCTGAGTCAGGTCACTCAAGTGAGCTGGACAGCTCTGTAATGCGCTGCTGCAGGAGCTTGTTACACCGTAGTTGTAAGATGAATGCTTGAAACATCTAATATCTATCTATAGATATGAAAACTTGTTACAAGGATCTGTAAGACTATAAGTCAGTAAAGTAGATAACCAAGCATTCTTTCTCCCCTTCTTCCTTCTGCCACTCGGACAGCTCAGCCCATGCATCACCAGTTTCGACATGTACGCTTCCAACGATCCAGATAGAACGGTTTGAGATCGAAAGGCTTGGACTACCTCAACCAACCGACATCGGGACATCCATATATCATCTGGTCACTACTACAACCAAAGGCCATCTCCCGAGGTTCAAGCGTTCCAGGCGTAGTCTGAAGATACCTCGACGCCTCCCTGAGCTTAATTTATTGCTTTAAATTTGATACAGAGTACAGTGCATGTTATATATCTTGGCTGACATAAGTTGAGGCAGCTCAGAGTATACGGCGAACACACCTGCCCCAAAACCCAACTTCTACCAAGCGAGCCATACACGCAACCTCCCCGGATGCGACGGATATGCGGAAGCATTTTGCTCAATGCTATAACGCTCGGGGTTCGGCCGTGCGGGAGACGGTGGTAGTCGTCAGCAATATGCGAGGTGATTCGTGTTAGGACCTCGCAGACTCATGCAATACAACCCAACTTGCTGGAAGTACAGTAATGAGACGGGACGGGACTCGCAAGATCATTTAGCCTGCCCGCAACGCAGGACATGCTGCGGGGGTTATACACTGCTTGTAATTTGAATTCAATCATGCCTGCATCCTCTCACTCTTTGGGTTGGAGAGGATGGAGGGATAATTTCTTGGGCTGCTGATTCAAGTGTAGTCATCAACTGAATTCCTATTGAATTCCGTTATTTACTCCAGCTCGGCTTCAGTATAGTATTGCTTCAATGTGATAAACCGTGCTCGGCGTTCTAGGGCTTTTCACACTTGACAACGTAAGGTCTGGTTTCTCGGCAGCTTGTTCAAGTAATGGATGGTCAATCAACCACGATACGTGCGGAATCCAGGGGCATCAGTGAGATTGAACGGTGACTATGGCGTTCTGAGAAAGAACAGTTTATAAGATATCTCGGATTGACTCGATCATAGACAATTCTAGTCCATATGTACATAAAGGATTAGAGGTCCCAGGGACTCAGGGCCCTTCAAGCAAGCAATTCAATCTGTGTGACCCCTCGCATTCCACGGCCACCGTTGTCTCATGACGATCGAGCTGCCGTCTGAAGGCCGGGGCCATGTCTTCATGGTTGCCGAAGCCATCCATATCTTCCCTGGCAACTGACGATCACACAACTTAAGTATGCAAGAGGGAATGGGCTTGAATAAGTGAAAACGTGTGTTTCCATGAACAGACCTATCTATGTTGAGTCTAGATTCTTCCCTCGCCAGTCGCTCGGCGAGGAGCCCCTGGAATACACCTCATGAACCCAGTTCATCTCACCCCTGATATCACAGACAGGCCCAGGTGTTGCATCAGAACCCTGCACTACCCAGGGCGGGTATATGACAAAAGAAAAGCCCCGGCTGCTGGTGGCGGCCGGCTCCGTCCTCATACAAGCCAGCGACTCGGTCGTATCTGCCCGCTGGACCTTTTTATGCGCCTAATCGTATCGCGCCGTCGCTGTTGTACATTGCAACCTCAGGCGTGTATGTGTGGGTGCTCATATCGTATGATACGGGGAACTCATCCAAAGTCGTGACACCCATAAATCGTGGGATATGACACAGAATGCACCCTAGCATGCGGTTCGGTCTTCTTTTAGGTTGGATGTGCTTATGCGTATGGAACGTGTGGCGCTCAAGCAAAGAGTGCAGCGCCCCCGGTCTCGATAGCCTCAATCTCGGCAGCGGTCAGAGGCTGGCGGTGGAAGCGCGCAGGGAGATCGTTGCGGTCGAAGAAGACCCCTTGGGGCGGGGCGACGGGGCCGAGTTGCGCGCCGGCTGCGCTGCCAATGCCCCCATCGGCTTTGATGGTCTTGCGAAGAGGACCGAACTGCTGGGCATGGTCCCGGTATGCGCTGAATGACGAGTGCGAGGACTCGCTCTTGAAAGACGGCGGAAGCGAGTGGGTAGGTGACGCCGGATGCGGTTGCGGGGAGTGGTCAACGGATGCTGCCAAGATGCTCATGTCAGCCTTTACATGGCCGAAACTATGGACCTGCATTTCGGAGACATCAGACATACCAGGAATGGTGCGCTTGCCAATGAATCTGATGGAAGGAGTGCGCTCGGCGTGCTGAGCAGCCTGACGAAGGACTCTGGTGGCGAACATGGTCGTAATGTGGCGGTTGTTGACGAGAGAATGTATGAAGCGGGCTGGTCGAGTGGCAGGTTTGACGGAGGTGTTATCTTTTTGAGACTCGGAATTTTTCTTCTCCTCGCGACGACTGCTGTCCTAGCAAGATCTTGGGGCGCAGCAAGCAGAACCGGTGGGTGCTGACAAGAACGGCGTGAAGGACAGGTCGAGGGAGGAGAACTGCGAATTTGAAGTGGGATGACGAGTTCAAGGAAGGAAGTTGGGATGGGTGTGGTCGAAATCTGGGGGTTTTCACAAGCCAAGCTCCGAAATCAGTGCTGCGAGGGTAAGCCGCCACGAGCCATCTGAACGGTTCGACCAATCAGGTGATGGTGCTCCATGCCCCGGGCGCACTTTCGCCGATGCCGCCCGCACCAGTGGCCCCACCAGCTCGGTGCATTGCATCCCTCCATCCCTCCCATCCGATCTTTCGCTTCCCGGTTTCCCGACACCCGTTTCTTCCCGCGCCACTACAAGCGACCGTGCATGACGGGAAGCAAAGGATCCGTCAACTTAGGTACCTTAGGCTCTTTGGGAAACAAGAACATGGTAGTCAATTGTTGCCGCACTGGTTCGTCGGATGCATGAGAGTTGATGCTGCTGCTTCCCAAGTCGATCATTTCTAGGTGTCGAGGGCAATTGGTAATATCTCCACGTCGTGACCCACCCTTATCTCTGGTATCCCCCGCCATCTGCACATGGGCGTGATGCCCAAAGCTGCATGAGGTGATTCGGCAGAATTCTCAACAATACACTAACTCGCTGGGCCTCCAGCGAGTAAATTCGGTGCCCATGGAGTTTCTGCAACGTCAAACTGGGGCGCTTGTATGTATTGAACATACAGCGCCATACAGTAACCCGTACGTACCCCTGCACCCCGCACCGGCGGCGGGCATGGTAGTCTCCGTCTATAGTACCTACCCCGGCATTGTCGGACGCTTCGTGTGACATCTATATAAGACGAGGTCGAGGCGTTGTCAACCTCGGCACAGCAAACTGTCGCACATGGGCAAGCTCACTCTCGGGGGTCCGAATACCGCCGAGCATATCACACGAAGTGCTGGCTTCGTCAAGTGCGTATGTTTCGGCGACGACACTCAAAGGGATCGGAACTCAAATCATCCAATGCTTTGCATGCGACTTCATATTTCCCGAGAGCGCAGACGCATACGGGACTCGAGGAAGGACACGACACAGAAGACTGAGCTTCCAGCAGCCGCATACGTGGCCAGGAGCTTGGGCCGCCCAAAGCTTCATCAACCTTCATCAGAGTTGAGGTGGTCAGCTCGGTGTTCTTTCGACAATGCACTCACCAACTCCCAGCTCATGTTACCCTAACGCTGCTTCATGTTCTCCCATGTCTTCCCTTCTCCACTCTTCTTGTAACCGGTCGACTGAGGTCCCTCAATTGTGCCTACTGCCAAAGTCATGGATATCTCCGTCCCTTTCCAGCCAGAGGACCTTATGGTTCTTGTCAGGCGAGCTTGGGCCCTGAGGAACCTTGGAAGTGCGCAACTACCAATAGGACATTGGCTTTAGTGCAACTCATCTTGACTCGCCGCGGTGCCCCATCTAAGCAACCATGCCTGCCGGTGCACTTCGCAAGTTCGCCTGCTCGCCCTCGACGGCGGCGGCGCGCGCGGCTTGTCGTCACTCATGATACTGCACAGGCTCATGGCTTGTCGTCGACCCCGGCGCCCCGCCGAAGCCTTGCGACTACTTCCGACCTGATCAGCGGTACCAGCACGGGCGGGCTGATCGCCATCGTGCTGGGTCGCCTGGGCATGACCGCTGATCGACCGCAGTTATGGACGAACTTGTATTGACCGCTATATATCGCTTGGGCGTACTTTACGTTGTTCAGGGCCGGCGCCTGATTAGAGGAAGGTTACAGCCGATTTCAGACCCGTTTCAATACATGGTCATGGAGCCGTGCCAGGTGGCTCCGGCCGTAACCCGGTGGGTACCATTGCTCTCGACAGCTGCCCAGACTTTAAATTTACCGACTGGTCTTATCGATGGATCTGACTTGAACAGACCACGACGGACCCAACGCAAGCAGTGACGGAGAAACAATGCGCGCATAATGAACACGGACTTACTGGATACAGTGTTGGTCGCGAGCAAGGAAGCGACGATTCGGGGACAGAGCGGAGTTGAGGCCGCGGCAGGAAGCACTAGCAACATGAGGGGATTCGGGTCGGACGCGCAGGGGCAGGCGCAAGACGGGGAGGAGGCAAAATGCCCGGTCGACCACAAGACTCGCGAGATATGGCTACAGCAAGCCCAAAGAGCAAAAGAAGCGCGCGCTGCGCAGGGGGCGACAGCAACACCTACCACGACACAGACTGCTCAAGCGGCAACTCCAATATCAGCGTCCGCGCAACAGTCCACATCGTCCTGGTCGTCCTGGCTACGGCTCCCCTCCTTCTCCCGACCGTCCCAATCCGAACAACCGGACTCTCCCTCCACAGCGCGCACAGCACCACGAGCGCATCCACAACTCGGCGAAGACCGGGTCGTCTCCAGCATCCCGCGCTCCTCCGACCCAGGGCCCTCGGCCTGCCCCGTCAACCACGAGCAAGAAACAGGCGCCTCGACAAGCGGGCACTGGGTGTACCCGTCGGAAAAACAATTCTTCGAGGCGATGAAGCGCAAAGGGTTTGACGCGGCGGCGGCGGACATGAAAACCGTGGTGCCGATCCACAACGCGGTCAATGAGCGGGCGTGGGCCGAGATCCTCAAGTGGGAGGCGCCCTACGTGGCGCCCGTGGTCAAGGGCGGGTGCGGCATGCCGCGGCTGCACAGCTTCGTCGGGCTGGGCAGCGCCACCTTGAGCCCCAAGGCGCGCATCAACACGCTGCTGGGGTATACGGCGCCGTTTGATCGGCACGACTGGGTTGTTGACCGGTGTGGGACCAAGGTTGAGTATATCATTGACTTTTACTCTGGGAGAAGTGATGGTGCCGGGGCTGGCAAGCTCAATTTCTACTTGGATGTCCGGCCCAAGCTGAATACGTGGGAAGGAGTGAAAATGCGGGCGATGCGGGCCGCTGGGCTGGCATAAGAATGAGAGATGAATGCTCGAGCTGTGAAAACGGAGTCCCAACCATGTAGAATACCATAACTGTATTCGGTGATGTATAATACTACTCAACCCACTAGGAGAATCTCCATGCCGAAGGGGGTGATCTCTGGTCAAATGTATTATGATAAGGGCGGAATAAAAGACGCAAAGCTAAGCAATAAGAGGGGCCGAACTACCTACCAAGCAAAGGGCAGATTCGTCGTCGTCTGCGTGGTATCTCGATAAAAACATGTATCCCGCCCCAGTGTGTTTCCGTTTGCAGCACCCAAACCAAGCCAGCCAGCCTTCCAAAAAGAAACCGTATCCCGCCTGTCCGTTTCCGTGTCCTTCAAGCAAATAAACGCTGTTCTATGAACCTCTAGAGCGCGCATTGCACGTCATGTCTAGTCCTTCTTAGGCACCTGGTGGCTGTGATGCCGTATTGGATCCTTCTCGGACAGATGCAGCCCTAGAAGAATATCAGTATCAGCTTGCACAAGAGCAGCAGCGATGTAGGACGGACCTTTCCAACCGTCGCCTACCCTCACCCTGATAGGTAGCCTTGTCTCGAGCGCGTTCGTTTCCAAATCCCACCCCGCCGCGGTCAACGCGGCAAATATGCTCTCCTTCTGCTCCTCCGACACATAGCCCAGCGGCATCTCGTTTTCGTAATGGCTCTCCAAACCGTCCTTCAGAGCCGAGTCGAAGTGGTAGGCATGGTTGACCGCGTCAAACCAGGCCGAGAGCGGGTTCCTCGTCCCCTCCTTGAGAGCAATCCGCATGTAAAAGTAGCCGCCGTGATGCCATATCGCCATGAAATACGCCTTCGTCTCGAAATCATACCGATGGTAACCCCTTGGATTCCACCCCTTGAGCTCACCGTACGTCGCAAAGTCGCAAAACCCAGTGTACTCCCCGCTCTTGCTCTCCAAGTTCCCGCGCCCTTTCCGCAGGATACTCTCCCGCGCTGCGACCTGCGCGGGCGTCAGCACCGTCCCATGCTCGAGCCACTCCCGGAACACAATGGTTGCGCGCTGGCGGCTCAGCGAGCGCATCTTGACGCTGCGCACGGCGCGGTAGTTCATGGTCAGGTGCACGCCGGCCAGGAACATCATCAGCATCCACACCACCTGCTTATCCTCCACCAGCCTCACCACCAGCGAACCCGCCAGCATGCCCAGCAAGCTGACCACCGTCTCCTGCGACGCCTCTTTCGCATTCAGCTCCGCCAGGTTGCCCGTCAGCGCGAAGTGCGCCGACAGGCTGGCTTTGCTCGCGTTCGCCGCCACGCCACATAACGACCGCAGAACCCCCGCCGAGACGATCACGCCCAGCTTCGGGAGGTAGGGCAGCGCGGGCGTGAGCAAATCCAGGAACTGGGCGCTGTCGTTGAAGATATCGGCCAGGAACCGATAGAACTTGCACTCGGGCTCGATGGCCTGGCCCATGCGGTGCGCAAAAAGGATCGTGGCCACGCGCGAGATGGTGTCGCCCGTGATCTTGAGGATCAAAGCGCCCGTGGGCGAGGACGACGAGTCTCCCACGCCCAGCCCCTCGAGGACGGCGCGGTTGGCGAGCAGGGATGTGATGGATGACGCGAAGGCTTGGAGTGAGTCGTAGGTCTGGTAGGCCAGGTAGTCGTCGGTTACCGTGTGCGGGTAGCCCGCGGGGAGGAAGGCGTAGAGGATTGCTTTCGGGAGGGGCACTTCGGTTTTCTCCTGCGAAGAGGGGGGGAAATCAAGTCCGTCAGTGGGACTGTTCGGGTCATGCGACAGGAAAAAATGCAAAGGAGACCCGTCAAACCCACGGATTTGAGCTTCGTCGTCTCGCCGCTGTCAGTGTACGTGCAGAGCACCTCCCCCGCCGGGTCGATGTCGTAGAAGCTGCGGCTCATGGCGGCGCCGGCAGTTGCATGCTCGGGGGAGCAGGACGTCGAATTGGCGAGCAGAAATAGTTGGCGATGATGAAAAGGATCTGTGCCGGCTTCTTCGCTAAGGTCAGGTTACCGATTGTTGTTTGGATTAACGCAATCACAATGGCGATCCCGATGTTCCTTGGAGGCTTGAACGGGCCGGGGTCCCACTCGGCTTGGCGCCGCCAGGGGCCGTCGCGTGCCGCCCCAACTCCCCTGAACGGGCTGAATCTGGGGTAGCTTCAGCGGTTCCGACGGTTATAGGCCCCAGCTTCAGCGGCTCGACCTAGACCTCGAAGCTGAAACCGGTGAGCTTGATGCCATGGTTCTCAGTTGCTTGATTCATCATAAACCCGATGCATCAGATTACCACTGGCTCTATTCCTACTAGTCGAATAATATTTTACTCGTGTATTAAATCGTTTTCGGACCCAGTCAATCACATACCATTCCAGTCTCGCCTCGAGCACCCTCCCTGAGCGCAACCGGCCAGCTCATCTCCTCACCGGTTTTCCGTCTTCGGCAACTAGATACTCCTCCGTTTTGAGGGGTCCCTCACCCACCCCGGTCAAAATCACCCGGCTGACACCACCCTTCAGCAAGCCAACGACCCCTTCGTCCACGGACAATGTCGGCTTAAGGCCCTTGATGACCGCATCCTTCCAGCCATCGACCGCTCCGCCCAACACCTGGTAGAAGGTCCCCACGACCGCCTCGGTGTCCTTCTCCAGGTAGTAGATAACCGCGTTCGGGCCCGCATCAAACGTGTAGGCAGCCACTGTCCTCCCCGCCGCCGCATTGATCTGCTCGACCGCACGGATCGCCGCCCGCGAGACATCGTTCATGTAGAAGATGGGCGGGTACGTATCGGCACAGGTCGCGTGGAACGAGTTGGAGTCGCGCATGGTGACCTCAGCAAAGGCCGCAAAGTCCCGCTCGCGGATGGCCTTCTCCATGGCGGCCATATTCTGCGGCACGACGCGAGCAATACGCTCCTGGAACAGGCCCGACGTGGCAACGGTCTGCTGCATGCCCGAGGTCGAGCTGACGCCCTTCTTGGCGGCCGACACCACGAGAATCAGCGCGCGCATGTCGGGCCAGTGCGCGGCCTCGGCGACCTGCTCGGCCATCGAGTCGCTGCCGTCGGCCGCGCTGCCCATGCGCCACGCCACGTACCCGCCAAACAGGCTGCGGCAGGCCGACCCGGACCCCTGCCGCGCGATCAGGCTCAGCTCGGCCGGCGACGCGGGCAGCTCGTAGAGATTCGCGATGGCCCGCACCAGCGCGGCGAAGCCGGCCGCCGACGACGCCAGGCCCGCGGCCGTGGGGAAGTTGTTTTCGGACACGATGCGTAGCGGCATGGTCGAGAGCTTGGGCAGCGACGGGTCGGCGGCTTCGAGGGCGGTGCGGCGGGCGCGCAGCTCGCGGAAGCAGGCTTGTGTGCGCGCGCCCGAGACGTCGGACTGCTCGCCGTTGAGCAGGAGGGAGTCGCCCTCCGTCGCCGGGTACGAGGCCGAGCAGGAGGCCGTCGTCAGCGTGCGGAGGTCGGCCTGCGAGAGCGTCACCGACAGCGAGCTGTTCGTCGGCAGGTTGAGCTTGGCATCGCGCTTGCCCCAGTACCTGTGGTCAGGCAGCGATCAGTTTCCATTCCAGTATCGAGAGCGCTGGCAGGAGGTGTGGGGTTCGGGTAGGGATCCGCACTTGACCACAGCGATATTCACCGGCGCCGTGGTGCTGGCGCGATACACCTTTTCAGCCATCTTTCGTATTTGCTTGAGAAAAGGAAAGAAAAGAAAGAAGGGCGGGTATCTGGCGGGACACTGTTGGGTTGGGAGGGTTCAAAAGATCAGAGCGGTCAACGCCCAGAATACTTGGTTCCCTCCTTTTGGCGGGGCTATCTTGGGCCCTGAGATTGGCAACAGGGGTAGAGCTCTCGAATGGGTCTAGTGCGGGGCACAAGCCGGGATCCAAACTGCCTGCCGCGAGCTCAGCTCCACTTACCTTATTCCCCCAACGGCTCGACGAAGGATTACGACACGAACTCCTTGAAGCGTAGGTCAAGAAGGCCCTATCCGGATTGAAAGAGTCATGGGTATTAAGAAGTAAGATTACTCCCGCTGTCCGCTATTAAGATCCCGGCTCTGAGAACAATAAGGCACTTATCCTTCCTTTACCCAGCCAACCAAGATTGAATTCCTTCCTTGCTGCACGAGAGCAAGAGAGAGAAGAGATATTCTCCACGGAACAGCTCCGTCTCCAAGCTTCACCTGGACATGGATACCTTTTGGAAAGCCCATGCACTCACACGTATGTACCGGTGTGAGTGGTTCCTTGCGTCGCGTGGGCTGTCCCAGGGGCAGCTCCAGCACCCGTGCCATGAGCGGGTGCGTGACCCCCAATCTGCGAAGTCGTGGGCGTTCCCGTGGTGCTGGAGGGAGATTGTCAGACATTGAAACTCGTACGGTACGTGACCCAGTAACAGTAGGCAGAACTTACGCTGAAGTCCCGGCGCGGCGCTCCCTCCGTCTCTTGGTCCAATGTCTCGACACAACCCAGGCTCCCTATCGTCATCCCAAGTTAGACCGACATCCGACAGTGTGTAGGCGGGGAAAAATGTGAAAGTCTCACCAAGATGGAAGTGACGAGGAATGCAACCATCGCCATGAAGGAAAATGCCAGCGACGTTCGCCAGTGGCCGCATCCGGCGCTCGTGTTGCCATTGAAAAAAGGATTTCTCCAGAAGCCGCCCCAGTAGTATCCCCAGTAGTTGCAGAACCAGCTGGAGCTGCACACGGACGTACCGCTCCGCTAGGTGAAGAGTCAGCTTGAGTTCCGTGCTATGTCCTAATAAGCTCCTTACCGTGATGAGCAGGCAGAAGAGAACCAGCCACATAACGAAGAGGGCGAAGTCGAACGGGAACACCAGGAATGAGTATAGCAAGGGGACGATGAAGACTAGGGCAAAGAGGGTGCTGATGGATGCGACGACGAGGCCGTAGATGACTCGGCCATCATGCGAACCTCCGGCCGCGGACACCCGGTGGACGAAGCGAGCGAGGATGCCCAGCACGATGACGGAGCAGATGAGCTGGAAGATGCGCAGGGCCACCTGCACCCCTTTCGAGACGACGCCCATGGTGGGTGTTTGAATATCGATCGAAACTGCTGATGGTCTCACAGGTGGTGGTCCAATTATGCGTCGGTATTTGGAGGGTGTCCCAAGCTGTGTTGCTTCAAGAATGCTGAGGTGGGTGTTTGGGAGAAGATCCTCGCTCAGGGTCAGACCGGTCTGATCTTAAAATGCCATTGCCCGTCTCTTTGTTCCCTCGCGGGCCGACTTTTACGACCATCATCTGTGACCTCATTGGCAATGTCGAGCTTCCTGTGTTGTCATCTGTCATTATTCGATTTCCCAAAGCAGAAATCAGCCCTAGTATGAGTGACGATGGTGTCCCACAATGCCGGATGCAGTACACGATCGTAGACCGGAAGCAGACATCTCCTCACTCCATTACATCATTCTTTCGCATGTGAACACGAACTGTAGATCCTCTTCGGCGACCAGTAGACGCCCACTGGAGTAATAACACTCTCTTTAGCTTCGTCTCGGCACAGCGTAGCTCCTCAACACGGTCGACCAAATGGCTGCACGATTACGGGCGAGTGCCAAAATAGCAACCGTGACTGGTGTTCTGAGAGGAGGCACGTGTCTCTCACTGCATTCTTAATGATACTAGTTTACAATGTGCGAGACCGACATCTAGCCTTGGACCCTTATTATCCAACCGGCACTGTACACGTCGGGCCTCTTCAACTAGAGAGGCAAAAGTCATTAGCGCTTCTGGATTCGTAGTTACAAGTGCTCCAGATCTAAGTGCACCCAAAAGCCTCTCAACCTTTGAGTGCACAGAATGCAGTCCCAAACGAACCCAGAACGTTATTAGCCATACACCACTTCGTCTGCGATACGGAGCAGTAGGTAGGAGAAAGTATATAATTAATTCGAATAGAGTGAAACGAACCTCAGATGTCCGTATTCTGCCATCTTCAGAGCCTCATCCTTTAAACGAAAATCAATTCTTTACTCATCCCCTCACGTCACAACTTCTTTCCTACCTTATGGTGGCATCTTGAATTGGCTCACAGATGCCACACCACCGCAAGTGGCAATTAAACGGGACACCATACCATCCACCTCAACTCTTTCACGGCTCACGAGGGTACAAAAATCCCAAATATGACGTACTATAGTTGGTCAGTATAGAATGGCCCGGTTAGAACGAACCTCACCTCGCCTTATACCGCCATATGCTACCATCGCCAAATAATTGCCATGCCACCAGGGGTGCTACCAGCAAAGAGCCCGAGCGATACTGATTACCTTAATCAGCAGCAGTACATTGGCAGCCCGATTAGACTCAGAATGGTGAGCCGTTTTATGTAGTGTACATGTACAATACATGCATGTGAGGGGCGAAGCAAGGGCTGGCTGCTGCTGCTGCTGCCAGCCGGGGCAGCCGGGCCATGGTGCGCATGCGGAACCAGACCCTGTTGGACGCCACGTGTTTTAGATATCCGCGGGAAACCACTAGCGGTGTATCACTTGGACAGTTGCGGGGAAATGGGGCATCATCTGTGAAGAATCGTGAGAGATCGGGGGGTGGTCTCGGGTAGCGGCTCATGTTTCAAGGTGAGGGAGGCAAGAGCCAGGATGATGGCAGACTTGACCGCTAGCCATCAGAAGGATGGACCGGACGTGCACATATCTCAGGTACATTCGTATTCGTTGTTGAAGACATTTGGGGAGGACATCGTAGCTAACCTGACCTCGCACTCTATCCTTGGGCCATAGAAATTGACCACCCGATAAAATGCACGCTCTTCCACTTGCTCGTAGAAATAATAGCCCCTTGCCCTCTCTCACCAGTCTTTTACGAGGTGACTCCTCCCCTCTCTCTCCCTTCAACTCATCCTCCTCCGGCCCCAACTCTACCCACCACCCGGGCCGCTACCAGTCCGGCTCGTCAGGATCGGGCGTCCCATCCTTCGACCACTCGACCCGCCTCCCATCGATATACAGGGGCGGACAGCGGATATCCGCAAAATATGGCCCGCGGGCCATGATCACAGTCCTGCACATGCTTGTGCCGGCTTGCTACAATGTCATCTAGCTTCTTGCTCCTAATAACATGGCAGCTGTTCCTCCCGCTTGACAATCTAGTGGATCAGGCTGCCAGGGGGCTCGAGAACTAGCTCCGTACTCTTGCTCGTCGCATTCGTGGAAGAAGAGGTCGTAGCAGATGAACGCGTACGGCCGGTGGCTCTACAGCCGGAGCACGTTGGCTTATGTAGCGAAATGAGTAAGTTGTCGGTGCTGCCCGACTGCTGCTTCCGCACACGGCCCCCTGGTGACCTCTTCTGCCAGGCTCTGTACCCAAGGGATGACATCCGAAGAGTGGCCGAGACTGCGCCGGGCTTCAGCTTGGCGCGGAGAAGAAAACCGTACGCCGGGTTTGGTCCGCAAGGCCGCGCGGGTCTCGTTATCGATTTGGTACCTACATTTTGGTGTTTGACATCGTGGGACTCCGGAGGAGTAGGGAAAATGCAAGCAGTGTGTGTTGGAACTTTGATGATGTGATCAAGGAATCTAGACAAATGCGGGGGACCTTGATAGCCGGAGTTGGACGCGGTTGGGAAGCCCGTCCGCCATCGCGTTTGGTTGAGGTGGCTAGAAGGAGGTTCTTTAACGTGTTGGTGGAAGTTTGTCGTCCGTAGAACTAATGATCATAAGGCGATGTTGGACCACACTACTACAGTCCAGGTGAGAACGGAGATTGGAAACAATATGATACTTTAAGAACTGGTATGTGGGCACGAAACCTGCCGTTTTAGACATTTACTCCCATGACTACCATGTCTAGAGTTGATAGAAGGTATAGTATTAAGTTAGGTAGGCATTTAAACCATCCTCACCTAGGGAAAAGCACCACGGATGATAGTTTGTTGACTTCATTGCTTACTCCAGAACCGTCTGTCTTGCTACTACTAGTACTTAGTACTAGGTGGGAAACGGTGGCCGTCAGGTAAGCGGAAGAAGGTAGGTCTATGTATCCGAACTTACAAGAGATACATAAGTAGGTAATACAATGCATATAAGCGGGCCAGCGGCGAAACTGAACCAGCGTGCACGGTTAAAAAGGATTGCACGTCACAGAGGCGCGCGAAGGGCAAGAGTAAGCGGCCGTGGTTGCAGGGGCAGTGTGCCTTAGGTACCTTATGCCCCGGAACACGAACTTTTGACCCCGGCCTGCCCTCCCAAGGCCCCCGCGTCGTCCGTATCGGCAGATCGGGTACAGTACAAAGGCGGCTAGGGGGCGAGAGGTTGTGTAACGATATAGCAAGGCACTGCAGACAGCAGGGTCTCGTTTGTCCTTGGCTACCTGGTACATACATACATTCCCCGCAAACGTGTCACGCAAACGCACTTGCTCAGACCGATCAAACCATAGATTAGCACTATTACATAAATTTCTGTTTGTTTCTGTGTGGTAGGAACCCCCTCCAATGAAATGATCTGAACTCCCATTTGTTTTCCGTCTATTTCGAGCGCTCATGATTTGCCTGGAGAGAGACTTAGAGGACCTACGTTTCCTTCTTTTTCGCTAACCGCGCAATGCCCGCTCCAACCAGCTCAAATACAACTCCCCTCTTTCTCTCTTTGTACAGTGAGGTACAGTTAAGGTTTAGACACTAGAATTGCAAGAAAAAAACACAACAATTACTGCTGTCACTCGCCATGGCCGCAATTGGAGGCGGTTAAGGAACAGAGGGATACTCAGAATCGCTCGTCCAGCTTATAAAAGGAATGACGGTAACCGATGGGGTATCTTAGATTTTTGAGATGCAAAAAATCAACAGGAAATAGCGGTACAGAATAAAACTGAGGAAAAGGAATCCCCCCTGCAGCCTCATCATTAGAATCGTGGGCGTGTCTATCAGTATCATTCAGTCGTGTTGCAGGACCTCCAAAGTCCTTCCGTACATAGTAGGTAGTAGGTCGGGGCTGCAGCTTGGGAGGAAGACAGCTCATTTGCGTAGGCCGACCTTCCCAGCAAGGTTCTTGAGCCAGACGGAGGCGCCGGTCCGCTTCTCATCTGCTTGGCCCTCGCGGACCATGACCGCCTCGCGCACCATCGGCCCGACGATCTCAACGTCCCCGAGCTCCGGGAACTTCCCATCGTCGAGGTTGCGGGGGATGCAGGGCGGCAGTTTTTCCTCGGCCGTGCGCCGCAGCTGCGAGACGACATCGGGATCGTCTTTGCACTGCTGGCTCACCCGCTCGACGAGGTCGTCCTGGTTCCGCTGCCACTCGCGCTCGATTTCAGCCCACTTAGCTTCCGTCAAGGCGTACGTCTTAGAAGTTGACCCGTAGTGCTCCCCAGTGCGCACGAGGTGCTTGGCGTAGTTGGTCCGGGCGAGGTTCCAGTCGGCGTGGAAGGCCTGGAGCGTCGCGAGATCCGCCATCTCTGGTACGTAGGGCTTGGGCTCGATTGTGAAGTTCGCATGGCCGAGGCGGTCCGACCAGGAGTCCTGGTGGTCGAAGAAACAAGGGATCGGTGACGGGGCATCGCTGAAGGTGCTGGAGATCGTCCCGCGCCTGAGGGAGGAAACAGAGGGCTTGGTGCTGAGGGGCGGTGTTGCGTACGGTTTACTGGCAACCGATGACAATTCAGGGACGGGAGACGGAACCATGGATGGAGATTGCAGTGGTGATGCCTGAAGGGAGTGAGGCTGGGTGGCAGCAGCAGCCTCAGTCAGGAGAGGCGGTAATAGCGGCGTCCTCGCGGCCGCACGATCGCGTTCTACCTCTTTGCCTAGAAACGCGGCCGTAACGTCGACGGGTGGCGGCAGTACAACGCTCTCGGAGCTTTCGTAGAAGGAGAGCGCAGGCGTGGCGGGCACAGAGTCTTGGGCGCGGTCTGACGCTCCGTAGACTTGGCGCGACATGGACGACGATCTGCTGGAACGGCCAAGGGAGAAGCTCGGGCGGGGCTCGGAAAGAGAAGGGTCGGACGCCGGAGAGAAGGCCAGGTCTCGACGCCGGGTGGCGGATGCGGACCGCCAGCGGGACAGGCTCGGTAGCCGCGAGCCTAGTCTGGTGCTCCAGCTCGAGAAACCAGCATCCGATCCATGGCGTCGCTTCTTTTGCCTTGGGCTTGAGTTGAAGTCGCCGTCACTGAGAAAGCCCAGGTCGTAGTCGAAATCGGATGTCATGTAGGGATACATGGACGTGCTTTGGACGGCGTCGGTGTGGTGAGAGCAGGGGACATCGCCTGGTCCAAGCGTCAGCGGAAAGGAGGCGGAGCGTTGACTCCAACAGCACCTACACAAGCAATAATCCTGGAACCCGAGCTCATGGTCGTTATCATGCCTGGGTGGAGTCGTAGGTTCCTCTTCCTCCCTCTCTTCTTCTTGGACATCCGGCAGCTGCGATTTGCTTGGCCTGCTCGCGTGCAGCGACTGCGCCGGTGATGCTGGGCTATCGGCGAATTCGAGCGACGACGAAGAGCCGGATGACCTGAGGTGGTTCGTGCGCGAGAAGGTCGACGTGATGGGTGAAGGTGAAGTGAGGTCGGACGAAGAAGAGTTGTAGTTGTAGTACAACGATGTGGACTCTCCCAGGCTGTCCTGGTGTAGCTCCAGCTTCTTCCTTTCTTCCACGAGCTGCGGAAGCAGCAATGGCTTCAAACCGGACGACATCGAAGGCTTATGAGCATCAGGGGACTTCGCCACGAGCTTCCGGAGAGGATTGGGGGCCGGATTGTTGACGACGCGTGGTGGAAGAAGCGGTTGTTGTGATGGTGGTGTTGTTGGGAGGTTGCGATCAGGCGGCTTGGACGTGAGAATGGGGGTGATGGAGAGGCGCACAATTTGTTGCTGGGTCCAGACACAAGTTCACAACAAGCAACAAGAGGAGCCACTTCCAACGCGACCACTCACTGGATGATTGCTGGGGACGTGTGGCACCGACAGGGGTTGGGAGAATCGGGTTCTGGTCTGGCCGAGTTGTGCGTTGGTAACTGTTTTTGCGGGGCCGCTCGGAAGCCCAGCCTGGCGCAGATGGTGGCGGCCAGCGGCAAGGGTCAAGCTCTCAGAGCAGTCAGCGTTGGAGGGGGGGCGGCAGTTGAACTTGGTTCAAGCGAATGATTGCAGCATGACGAAGTTGGCGCTGGCCAACTTTGTCGCACCTAGCCGCCAAACGAAGCGCGGCAGATGCAAGAACAACAAGTTTTTCCCCGAGCTCGAGAGCTTCGTGGGTTATATGAATCCCGCGTGATCTCAGCTCTCGAGACAAGACAGTCGCACGGGGTGTTCTCCTCACCCCCGTGTTTCTCGTACTGCACACTTGGTGTGTCTCACGGGGCTCTTCACGACGAATGAGGCTTGTCCGGATCTCCAGGCTGCGCGGTCGGGCAGCGTGCGGCCGGGATGCTTCTACGTCGTCGAGTCGTAATGTTGCGTCCTCTTGGAGGTCTCGCGGACAGGTCGTCAGTCAGAGACTCAGAGGGCACGACGGACGTGGACTGTCGAAGCCCGGCACACCAAGTACCGGTGGTACTGCCACTGGCACCACGTGTAATCGGGCAGTTGTCTGCTCCCATCTAGCCGTGCTAGCATCTATCTGGAGCGGTTGGCGTGGGGTTGGGAGTTGGATGGGCGGGCGAGTGGTTGGCCTCTGGGCCAGCGACCTCGACGAGGATCTGGGACGCCGGAGCCGGAGCCTCCATCACCCAATCAATTGCTGCTGAGGAGTTGCAGGCCTGACAGAAGCTCCGCCTTTCCTTGCGAGTGGCCGAGCGGCCAGGAAAAACTGCGCCGCGAGGCAGTCGGGCAACCGTAGCGCGCGCGCGGGCGGGCCAATGGAGCCCGCCCGGTTCGAGAATCAAGCAACAGCTGGCGAGGTTCCAGTAACTAACCAACGCTAGCAGGGTCCGCAGGGCCAGAACCACGTGAATGCGACACTCGACGACTGCTGCGACCACGGCCGCGGCTTGTGGGGGAGCACCCTCTTTGGTGTTTGCGGGTTCATGGGGTGCAGCCGTGATTGAGGCATATGAATGGCTCGCCGGCAATATACCAGCCGTTATGTGAGGTGATGCTGTGTGTTAGCTTGGGGTTGGCCAGAATTCAGAGCGAGGTGGTGTGGTTCCCTCGCCCGGGCTTGCGTGGTGGGGCGAGAAACCAGAGCCACCCGCCCAACCCTTCCCGGTCCGGGCGGCCGGCCAAGATCTATGTGAGCCGGTCCGTGCACTTTAAGCAACTATTGAACAGCGGAACTTGGCCGGACCGCAAGACTCGAAAAACAAATGAGCCAGGCTCCTGTCAGGTTGAAAATGGAAGACGGGTGGTCTACTAGGTACTCAATATCATAATAAGAATGGTATACAGCATTAGATAATGAATCAGCAAGAGAGACGAGCATCGGTGGGATACAGGTGCAAGCGAAGGTTCCGACGGCGCGGTTCATTGATGAGACGAACTGGTCCCTGGAGCATGACTCGGACAATGACAGTTGCCAGCTGAAGGAATCGAGGATTCCTCCGGTGGGTCTTAAAATCCTACGAACAGCCTTCGATGCAATTCCATGGATTGTTGAGTTAAAAGCACGACATCTGACAATTGATGAGAGACCGCCGTCGTCAGACTGGCAAAGTGGAAGAAGTGGAATGGGAGCTCGCCGGCATTGACCCGGTGCAAAATTGGAGTCAGCGATGACGCAGAGGCAGGAGCTGTGGAGGAAGTTAGGAACCAATCGCCCCACTCTCATGGTCCGGACAGCCCCAAAAAAAGGCTCAGAAAAACTACAGCATGAGAATGCGGGCCGGATTCGGAAGACAGACTTCATCTCTACAATTTACTATGCTCTTGGATTGGGACCAGAGGATGCTGAGCAATTGGCTACGGCTAAATCACTGTCACTAGGCACCTAGGCTTCGCTCGCATCTACCTTACCTATTGGAGTCAACCCAATTTTTTCTGTCAGCAACCAACCCCTTTCCCTCAGTGACCGTCTTGGGAGGGCAACTCGGGCACCCCACTATTGCTGATTTGCTAAGCATCTTGCACATGCGCTCTGTCCTGGAGCGTACGGAGTGCCTTCCACGACGTGCGTAGCACGACTCCTTTGTCAGCCTCTGTGCGTGGACATCAGACGAGGTATGCTCGACGCCTATGTCACCGGCCGTCATTCGACATCTGTATGCTGTGACCTCTGCCACACGTCTCCCCTTCAAAGTCAAACCGCGGTTTGTCTACTAGTGCAGGCGCTCTCTTGATTTGGCACGGCCGTCGTCGAATGCGTCACCCTCCTCTGTACTATTCTACGGCTGTTGAACGTGAGTCGAACGTCACTCGGACCGCGCCACTCGATGTGCAAGGGACAAAGGGGGGTTCCATAGCCCGGACTCGATGATCGAAGGCCGTGCTGAAGAGCGTAGCTCTCTTGCACGACGCAACGTTGTGCTCCCCTCACCGGACCCTGTACTCAGCCTCGGTTGGCGGATCTCCTGAACATGGGCTAAAGCGAGTATGATGTTGTGTCCCATGGCTGTTGGAGTGGACAATTGACCATCTCGGCCACCACGGTTTGCCGAGCGCATCTCTCCTCCGTCCCTTCCCCCCTCCAATGCTGCACAACAGGAGTGCGCTGCCCGGGGAAGTCGGGGATGCCCACACCTAACCATATTGCCAAATGGATATTTTACTAAGATGACACTAGGAACGGGAACGAGTCTGGCAGACGCCATTGACAGCGTGGCGACACCCCATCCTCCCCACGAAACTAAACTGTCACACACATCCTGTGTTGCCGTTGCGCCGTGCCACGACGTCTCTTCTCAACCACCCACAACAAACTCCCACCTCCCTTCTCCGCGCGCGGGGTGGTTTGACAGTTCAGCCGCGACTCCGCGAGGGGCCGACGCGGTGGAAGAGTGCATTTTGTGCAGCTTGTGATAAAGCGCGCCCGAGCCATTGGGCTTTGCCCAATATGTCCCGTCCGGCTCCCAGAGAAAAGCAGTCCGTTCGGTTAGCACCACGCAACTCATGCCCGAGTCACTATGATGATGATGTGGTGTCCAATTCGTCGCGTCCTCGGTTCCGAACCACATAATATCGGGAAGGCGACGACGGGAGCTGCAGTCTTCCCCCGCCAGGGCGCTGTTGAGAAGGTGCACATTTTTTTTTTGAATGCTGTCAGGATGACGTTGGCTCGTTCGTTCACAATCTCCCGGCAGACCGGCGGCCGCACTTTGCGCCATATATCGAAGCACATGTCCGCTGCCAAACTACTAACGTTAGCGGCTTTGCCCAGCCGTTCTTGGGGACGATTGACATGCTGCCATGTGGTAGCCGGTCAGGAAAGAGCGTTCCATTGTCACTTCTCGTCCCTTGCATTAGCCTTTCCTCGAGGAGGGGCGCCCTGGGACCGGATTCGCTGGCCTGGCTGCGGCATTGTCGGGACGGGCCCGCCGCGGAGCTCGGCTCCCCTCTGGGCTGAAAGAAACGGTCTTTTCTTGGTGTGAAATGGCGCGTGTGTGTGGGCTTGTGGCCAACGAGATCGCTCCCGTACCTGAACGGACTAGTGGCACTTTTTTTCCTCTTGGGTTGGCTGCTTCCGAGATTCCATGTCCATGATGGTGGGCGGGCCCAGACATCAATGTCCGATGCGGCCCAGACTTTCCGTCTTTGACAGCCCGGCGTTACATCGAAAAGGCTCCAGTCCGGTGGCGGCAGCAAGAAATTTTTGACCCAAACTGGATCCCAACTTACACTGTCATGACGCATACCGTCTGACGCTCCGATCGCTGCCGGTCCTCCGGACCACGTACCGTCCATCGATCCGGGCCGTGTCATCGCGACCCTCTGCTGACGGGCCACCCAACACACTCTCTCTCCCAAGCCGGCAAAGACGCCGAACGAATTGCCGGATCTCATCGCTCACGCTGACCGATCCAACTTCTTCATGTCGGTTCGGGCCACGTAATCCGCTGTGATGCTTTTACTTGGGTTCCTAACCGCAGGCTACGGCCCGCCATGGACCAGGCGCGGGAGACGATGGGATAATACGCAGTCTGCCAGTCCCTGGCGAATGTGCCGGTTGCAACGGTCCCTGACTTCTTGTGCAACAACCTTCACAGCTCGGGTGGGCGGATGAGGTCTCCGAGTCCGACGGTCTGCCCTGGTCGTCAAACCGGACTTGATGATCGCAGCTCGTCTAGGATATCCGTCCCAGTCTAGATCCAGCGATCTCCGGTATTTCCTAGTGTAATGCATTACTCGGGGAGGAGGCTCGGTACATGGGACTTTGCCAACTACTACGTAATCCAGTAGTAGATTCAATGCAATACGGGCTTTTTCATCCGGCCCTCTTTGACACGCCCCAAGTCCAGATGGGCCTTAGCTACCTTATGCGTAAGTAGTTCGTTTAGTGATTACGCTTCCGTCCTGGTTAGCCCTAGAAGCCCAGCAATATCAGCGGTGTCAAAAACCCGCCCCATCGTACTACACTCGCTAGACCTGACACCAAGCCGGATTTCGGGTGGTTGTATCCCGAGCCAAGTTGCAGGACCCCAAGAACCTCGAATCTAGTCCTGGGTTTGTCTTCAGATTGTAATGCACACAGGACCACGAGACCTCCAACAGTGGTGATCTCTGCGTTGTCATCCTCCAACAATCCGACCAAGTTTTCGACCTCGTGATTAATGTATGCATCATGCTCGAGTGGCAATAGCTTGATCCGTCCCTGAATTTCTATGCCCTCGACATCTTATGTGGGTATACAAGGCTCACCTTTCTCACCACTTTTCTACCTAGGCGCTCGGCTCAGATCGCGGCGAGCGGGAACTACAGTATGGCCTTCCAATTTTTATTGCTAGCTGTCTTTTAAGCAGGCAGTCAAGGAGATGTTCGCCTTGACTAACAGATAGGAGAGGATCAAGAAAGAAATCGCAGGAAGTGGGGTGGAGAAAAGAGGTTGATATTGATCGGGTAAGGAACTGTCGGCGTTGTAGTTCGCCAAATAGCAATTAGAAGAGATGGCCTTCGGGATCCGTGATGCACAGTACCATGGGGCTTTGCAGGATGATGACCATGGGACTATGTTGGATGATCCACCTATATATAACCCCAGTACTATCACTCTACTAGACTAGTTCTCTTTCTCCCTTCTTCCTTTCCCTATCTTCCTTGTCCCCCCTTCTCCTTTCGATTCAGGGTTTTACATGGGCCATAGTCCCGTAGGACCTCGTATCATAGTCGCAAAAGGCCATCTCATCTGGAAGGAAATATAGAAAGGCAAGGAACTAGAAGGGTAAACAATAATTGACAACACTACCTTACCTTAATTTAGGGAAACTGTAGCCGGGAGGAACGTCTCCACCTGCTTGCTCGGCCCCTTTGTCTTGGTATTAACCATAGGTGACAGCATTATTGAATACTGGTATAGCACTAGATGTAACAAAGAGGCACGCTCAACTTTGACTACAGTCGATTGCCATTCCTGCACTGGTTTGGTCCTAGCCTACCATACCCTTTCCATTCGCCCCTGGCCCAGCAGCAGTCAAGAACGTGAAATCCACCCCATGCTCCGCCTGGTTGACCTCCCTCACATACAACCCCCTATACCCTCTCATCCTCTCCCTCGCAGCCCAACCCTCCTCCTTCCCCTCCTCCTTCAGTTCCATCTCCCGCCTCCGCTCCTCCATCCTGGCCTTTATCACCTCCTCCTCCAGCTCCACGCTCAACAACCTCTGCTCCACATCACACACCACCACATCCCCATCCCTTACCACCCCCAACACCGAACCCGGATCAGCCCCCTCAGGCGAGACATGCAGCACAACAGTGCCCCCCGCCGTACCACTCATCCGCCCGTCCGAGATCCTCAGCATATCCGTCACCCCCTGCGCAGCCAGCTTCCGCGGAATGGGGATGAGCCCGGCCTCGGGCATACCACTAGGGCCTCCTCCTCCTCCTTTTTCTTCTTCTTCATTGCGTCCCACCGGTCCGATACCCCTCAAGACGAGGACACTGTCCCTGTCCACGTCCAGGGCCGGGTCGTCGATCCGGTGCGCTAGGTCAGCCGGGCCGTCGAAGACCACTGCCTTCCCCCTGTGGTGGAGGAGTCGTCTGTCCTTGGAGGCGGACGCTTTGAGCACGGCTGCGCCGCCGGGGGAGAGGTTGCCCCTCGTGAAGACGACGAGTGCGGACGAGGGGTAGACCGGGTCGGTTAAGGGGCGGATGATGCGCTTTGTTGATGATGAGGGGCTGTCTACGTACAAGGACTGGAGGGTGGAGGCGGTGGCGGAGGCGAGTTCCTCGCCTAGGGTGCGGCCTGTCACGGTGCGTGCGTCGAGGTGGAGCAGAGGGCGCAGATGGTGCAGCAGCGCGGGCATGCCGCCCGCGGCGTGGAAGTCGGTCATGTAGCCGTCGCCCGAGGGCTTCAGGTCCAGCAGGAGCGGGGTGGTGCGGCCGATGGCGTCGATGGTGGCTGGGGTGATGGTGCCGGCCAGGGCCGGGTGGCGGTTGACGATGGCCATCAGGTGGACGAGCGCGTTGGTGGACCCGCCGACGGCTTGGAGCACGGTGATGGCGTTGAGGAAGGACTCGCGCGTGAGGATGGCTTGGGGCTGCAGCCGCTGCTTCTGCCGGGCGAGCTGCACCGCGTGCGTCCCCGTGGCTTCGGCGATGCGCAGGCGGGCCGACGATACGGCCGGGGCGGTGGCGCCGTGGATGGGCATCATACCGAGCGCGACAAGGAGGCACGCCATGGTACTGGCGGTGCCCATCACGCCGCAGGTCCCCGCGGTGGGGGCTAGTTCCTCGTTGAGGGCCGAGATGTCTTCAATATCCATGGCGCCGGCCCGGAACTTGGCCCAGTTGCTCCTGCAGTCCGTGCAAGCGCCAACCCTCACGCCTTGGAAACTGCCGGGCATCATGGGGCCCGTAACGAGATGGATGATGGGCTTATTGGCGGAAATGCCGCCCATCAGCTGAGCCGGTGTTGTCTTATCGCAGCCTGTGAAGTGTTTAGAAACTAGAGTCGATTATTGATATCGAGGGCAGCGTATTAGTGAGTATTGACCTCCTATCAGGACAACCGCGTCGACCGGCTGTGCTCGAATCATCTCCTCGGTGTCCATGCTCATCAGATTGCGGAGATACATGCTCGTGGGCGCAGTAAAGGACTCGTGCAGACTGATCGTGGGGAAGTCGATGGCAAGGCCGCCGCTCAGCTGGACGCCCCTTTTGACCGCGTCGAGGAGCTGCGGAATGTTGCCATGGCAGGGGTTGAAGCTCGAGTAGGTGTTGACGATTCCCACGATCGGCCGGGAAAGCGCGTCTTCGCTGTAGCCCAGGGCCTTGATGAACAGCTTGCGCATGAAGAGCGAGAAGTGCGCATCGCCGTACGATGGCAGCTTCTGCCGCAGCCCGACACCGTCCAGGTCGATAGGCGTTGACAGGTCATAGTCCGCGTTGATGGCTGAAGGTGGCACCCGTGGTTGAGCGGGCTCGGTTCTAGTCGGGCTAGACTCCATCACGGTGACAGAACTCGAACTCTTCGTATGGGTGATCAAATCAAAGTGAAGTTCTTGACTATTTCATTGGCTTTATTTCTTCACTTCTTTCTTGATGTGCTGACCACTTAGCCCACATATGGGAGGGCATTTGCGGAGAAGGGGTGATCCGCGCTATTGTTGCGTCAGCACCATCAAGGACAAATAGCGGGGCAAGCATTGTCGATGCAACTCTTGAGATGCATCGCTGCGGTGATGGTCGGTGGAACAGCTTGCGCAGGTTGAAATCAGCGGAAGGGATGTTGAACAGTGGGACTATCATACTCTGGACTGGAGGCGCGGTTGGATATAACGAGTAGGGGTATCGGACAGATAACAAACCGCTGTGAAGTCACCTCCCGGGCAATCTAAATTCCATCAGCGACCTCCGCGGATGTGCTTCGAGCTCGTACTTTCTTGGTGTGAGCCAAAGATGAAGTAGATTCTCATGCTGCCGCTCATCGTTTCCTCCCAAATGAACAGCCTCTGATTCCTGCCCCGGACGAATCCTTCACACGTGAGCTTCCTTGCCGCAGAGTGTGAACCTAACCCTCAGTCCTTCATTGCCCCGAAATCCCAAGCTTGACCATCAGCTCCTGGCGCGGCATCTCCAGAATGGCCGACAGGGTCCTGCCGTCGGGCACGCCGTCCTTGCCGTAGGGCCGCTGCAGCAGCTCCTTGATATCCTCGTACTTCTTCGCCAGCGCCTCCGACTCCCTCCGAGACAGGCTCTCCTCCAACAAGCCCAGGTCGCCGCCACTGGTATCCTCCTCCCGAATGTGAGGCTCGAGGTCGACCCAGATCGCGCTGAGCGACGAGTCGAAGCTGGCCTCGGTCGGACTGAACTGCTGCATGTGCCGAAGCTTCGCATTCATCTAAAATGATTTAACGTTTGTTTATTAGTCAGGCACTCTCTGCGCAAAAGAGACCGTTTGCAAGATTAGAATTTAGAACTCACACTGTCGAAGTCATCGGACAACCGCCGGTGCCGCTCGCCGCCTTGGGCGATGTGGTTTTCGAGAGCCGGAGCCACAACAAGGTCCTCGACGATCAGGTATCGGTCCAACGCCCAGATGAATTCCTCGGGCTTGCGGGCCTCAGGGTCGGCATTTCTGAGTTGGTGAAAGGCGTTCTTGATGAGCGCATGGTCCTGTTTGACTGCTTCTGAAATGCGCGCCATTTGGGGTGTGGGCTAGGCTTTCGCTTTTGCTTGAGTCTGAGATCTGCGTTTCAGCAGGGGATACTATCACGATGAGAGTTGCCTGGCACTCGTGCTTGATGACGTCGATGTTGGCGGGCGCGTGGTGTATTTCCAGGGTTGGCAGGTGGCACCGGTGCCACCTGAAGCCCATGAATGATGAGAGAGCATGCGAACCAGCTCCTGCTATGAGGGTTAGGGTTACCACCTGGTCATGCTGGTTTATTAATAAGGAATAAAAAATAAAAAAGATAAAAAAAATAAAAAAGATAACGTAGGTATATAGCGAAAGTTACATACATGCGAAAGTTACACTAAACCATACCAACGCGACATCTCACTTCTACACCCACTTCCTCTACAACCTAATATGCCTCAGAAAAACGACGAAAGCCAAGTTATCTTAGCCCTCCAGGCTCTAGAGAATGATCCGAAATTAAGTCTTAGAGCTACAGCTCGGATCTTTTCTATAGACCTAATGAAGCTCAGCCGCCGTCGGCGCGGTCAGCAGTCACAACACGATATTCCAGCCAACTCGCGGAAATTGACCGATTTAGAGGAGGCTATTATTGTTCAATATATCCTCGACCTAGATTCTAAAGGATTTCCTCCCTGCTTATCTAATATAGAAGATATAGCCGATCGGCTGCTTGCCGAATATAACGTAGGATACATCGGAATATATATATATATTCTCCTACTCCGCTATGCCTAGCTATTTACAAGGCGCGCCGGACCCTCTATTGCTATATACAAAGGAAAAACCGTGCCGTTTAGGCCGGGTGAAAACCTTTGTCGGAAGTAATAGGAAAGACATAGTTCCAGTGATACACGCTGCTGCAAGTAAAGAAAAAGGCCTTGGGAAGGCCTTGGGCCAATGGCTAGTAGGGTGCTAGCCCGGCTAAGCCGTGGCCACGGATGTGGCTAGCCGGGCTCTCTAGCTTCCAGTTCCTCATCGAGGTTCCGAGCGAGCCTATATTCCCCTAGCCGGCCCGAGTCCATTAGCCAACCCAGTACCTTCTTCAGAAGTCTTCGGTTCCGGTAGCCTAGGCCCTGTAAAACAAGGCTAAGGTCCCGGTGGGTGCGTATTAGTTGCCTAGGCTAAGTTCTTGGTATAGGTGGTATAGAGCACCAAATCACAAGATGCTCTACTGTCTCTCTGGCTTCCCCGCATTCGCAATAGGGGGTAGGCTGGTTGCGGGCCTTTTGTTTAAAAAGAAAGTCCCGTAGGCCTATAGCCTCCGTACGGGCCTGTACTAGTAGGGAGCTCTTGGCCTTTGTAAGGCCTTGGTGTTTCCGTAGGCCTTGGTTTGTGAAGAGAACTGTTGGTAGGCCTTCGTCGGCTAGCCTGGTTAGCTGTCCCTGGACCTGGGTTTTCCACCTGGCCTCCCAAGCTCTTAATAATGCCCAGTCATCCTGGGTCTTGGCCAATGGTGGGCCCAAGGCTTTAGCCTGGGCGTTCCATTCGGCCACTACAGCCGAGGCCTTTTCGACGTCTGTTGGCTTTTCTGGGCTCCAGGGCCGGCCCCGTAGCCTCCGGAACCTTCGTTGGAGCCTATTGCAAGCCCCTTGGATGATTTCCTTTGGTGGGCGTCTCGGGGCCTCTGGGCCTAGCCCGGCCTGTAGGGTAGGCTCGTTGAGCCGGCCTTCGAAGTCGGCCAGCCTCTTGTTAAGGTAGAGGTCTAGGGGAGGGATCCAAGTTTCCGTCTCGAGATTCCGTATAGGGGTAGTCTTATAGGCCCCGGCTACGATGCGTAGGCTTCGGTTCTGGGCCTTTGCTAGGTCTCTGGCTAGGCCTTGTGGTGAGCCGTTGAGTGTTGTAGGCTTGTGGAAGCTGGATGCCCCATAGGCTATTGCGCTACGAATGCACTTGGTATAGACCTCTCTGGCCTTGATTAGCCCCGGGCCCCAGGTCTTGGCTGCTATCCTTGATAGGGTAAAGTCTTGGGTTCTTAGCTTGGTAGCTATGCTGGCTCCGTGGGCCTTCCAAGAAAGCCTCCAGTCGAGCCAGACCCCTAGGAACCGGGCTGAAGCCGTTGGTTTAACCATAGTATGGTCATAAGGGTGGCCTGGTTTGGCTAGTCGTAGTGGTTCAGACCACTGTTTACGGCCTTTGTTGAAGTGGATCAGCTCTGACTTGGCCCCATTGAATTCCATTCCGTAGGATCTAGCCCACTGTAGGCATGTAGCCCAGGCTTGTTCTAGTTGCCGGCAGTTGATATAGGGGTCCCTTCCAAAGGCTAGGATGTTGGTGTCGTCTGCGAATCCCACTAAGCTGACCAGAGGGTGCTTTTCCTTTAGTACTTTATATAGCGAGGCTATATATAGTATAAAGAGGATTGGTGATAGTGGTGATCCTTGTGGCACTCCAGCTCGGATGTCGATTTCCGGGGCAAGTTGGCCGTCGAATAGGAGTGTGGCCTTCCGGCCCGTTAGCCACGACCGTAGCCAACCTACAAGCCACTGCGGGAGCCCGAGGTCCCGAACTGTAGCCAGTAACCGGGTATGATTTACCCGGTCGAAGGCCCCTGTGAGATCTAACTGCAATAGGGAAGCCGTAGCGCGTTGTCTCCAGGCCTCTTGGATCTGGGCTACCACAAGCCGAATGGCTAGGTCTGTTGACCTATATTCCCGGTTACCCATCTGCTCGTCGGGTAATAGGCCATAGGCTTCGACTGCCTCTGTGATTCTTTTGGTAACCACTATTTCCACTACCTTGCCAATGGTAGGAAGGAGCGAAATAGGCCTATAGCCTCCGGGGGTAAGATAGTCAGCTGGGGTTTTACCAGGCTTTGGGAGCACTATAGCTATAGCCTCCTTTAGCCTGGCCGGCACCCATTGTAGTTCGAGGCATCTCTGAGTGAGTAGTGCGAGGATCCTGTACAACGGCCTACCACAGGCCTTCAATAGGCCTATAGGGAGGTAGTCGTTACCTGGGGCCTTCCAGGGAGCGGCCCGGGCAATGGCATCTTGTATGTCCCTAGCACTAACCACCTGGCTTATTGGGATCTTCGGTTCCCACGGCTGGGAAAAGGTGGGATCTTGGATGTTAGAGAGGTCGGCTGGCGGGCTTGGAAAGAAACGGTTGGCTAGGGCCTGGGCCTTCTGGGTATGGGTGGTATAGCCGTTGATGGCCGGGAGCCTAGGGGGGCTAGTAGGCTGGAAGCTCTTGCAACGAGCCCACCGTTCTAGGCTCCAAAGGAGTGATTCGTTATGACTGGCTTCCTGTAGGGTAGACCTCCAGGTCCTTGTTCTAGCCTGTCGTATAGCCCTTGAAAGGTCCCGGAGTCTCTGGTTTAGCTGGGCCTTGTTATAGGCCGTAGATGCGGCTTTAGCCGTACGTTCGGCCTCCCAGGCCCCCTGGACCTTTTGTTGCACCTCGTTCGTCCACCAGGGGGCTTGAAATCCATTGTTAGGCTTCCTTCGGGGGGTGCTAGCGTTGGCAATCCTTGTAAGTTCTTCGACAAGCCAGTCGAATGCCTTATCTAGGCCTTCTACTGACTGGGTACGGCTCTGTAGGCCCTGCGGGCCAGGGTTATCTAGCCTGCAGAGGCCTGGTAAGAGGGCTGCTTCGGCCTTTACCCTCTTTTTATCCATCTTTTTCCAGGACCAACCAGGGGGGGGTGGGGCTGTAGGGGGGTGTTCGAGGTGGACCTCCACTACTTGGGGGTAGTGGTCGGAATCTCCTCTTTCCTTAATACCGTAGTAGGAGCAGGCAAGGTCTGTAGAGGCCCAGATTAGGTCGATAGTCGATGGGCGCCCCCGTTGCCTACCCTGTGGTTCCCTAGTTATAGTGCCCTTAGGGGTTACTAGCCTAAGGTCCCAAGAGGTGGCTAACTGGAGCAGGTTGTTGGCTTTGTTATCGTAGCGTTCGTAGTAGTCCCAGGCTGGGTGTTGAAGGTTGAAGTCCCCTGTAAGTATTATTTGGCTAGAGGGTCGGGGGTATTGTTGCAAAAGAGTGGCCGGTATTGTCTTGATTGCCGGGGGGTTATAGACCGACCAGACTTCGACCCCCTGGCTACCTTCATAGCCTGCGAACCGAACCCAGCACCAATGTTCAGCTACCCCATAGTCCCATTGGCTAAGGTCAATTGTCTTCTTAACCAGTATAGCCGCCCGACCACTAGGTTGATGGACTAGGTGGTACTGGCTACGTCGAGGGCAGTAGGTAGACTTAGTTTGGTGGTTGATCCACGGGTCCTGTATAGCTAGGACGTCGAACTTGGCCTCCTCTACTAAGATTTCTAGTGGTTGCTTGATGCCTCCGGTATTCCATTGTAGTATGGTAACTACCATGTAGTACTAGAGGGTTGGCTGGCTAGGTGGTCGGCTGGCTGGCTGGCTAGGTGGTTGGTTGGCTGGCTAGTTGGGTCGTTCTGGTTTGTAGCTTGGTTTGTAGCCTGGCTTATAGCCTGGCTAGTAGGCTGGGAGATGGATAGTCGGAGCTGCTTGGGATCTTGTTGGGCCTTTGTTGGCCTGCCCCGTGGTCATTTTCTAGAAGGGCCTATATCTTGGTCGTCGTGGCTTAGAGAGAGGGAGCCAAAGATAGGGGTTGTAGTTGCGGTTGTAGGGTGGGTTGTTCGAGTAAAGTCGAGGTCGAAGGTTAGTTGTTGTAGCTTGGAAGTAGTTGATTCGAAGGTTCTGGGCCTGTGTTGGTAGGCCTCCTTAGCTATAGCCCGTACTCGGAGCCGTTCTGGGCACTGCTTGTCCCTGGCCGAGTGGCGACCCCCGCAGGCTGGGCATCTAAACTGGCCTGTAGTATAGGTAGGGCATTGCTCTTCGCCTTCCTTACCACTATGCCCATGGGTTCCAGCGCCGCAACGGGGGCAAAGGGGGTCCTTTCTGCAGTAGCGGGCTATATGGCCCCACTTCCAGCACTTAAAGCACTGCGTTGGCCGTAGCGGAGCCCAGTATGGCTCGCAGCTAAAGAGCTGAGCCCGGTATAGGACCCCTAGATCACAGGCCTTTTTAGCCTCCTCCTGGCTAGTAAAGGCTATAACTACAGGGACCCTAGTGAAGTCTGGGTTATGGGGGTACTGGAAGATGATCTTTTCCACTGCCTGTAGCCTAGCCTCTTCTTGAAAACTAGCCTCTGTAGCCCCCTGGAGGTCAGCCTTCCGTAGACCCTTGACTACCACTCCATAGGTCCGTCGGGCTTCCTTTGCCTGGCTTCCGAAGGCCCGTTGAATCCAGTCGTGGTTGGTAGAGTGCCATTGCTTGGTATCTGGGTTGTTGAAGGTAACTACTGTATCTCCGCTAGGTAGTTTCCGGGCTGCAATAGCCCCTTGTCGGCTAGAGGCCCCATTAACGGCTTGAATGATTTCTAGAGGGGTCCTCTTGGCTAGGTCAGGTGATAGATGGCCCCCGCGAACAAGGACCTCGCAGTTCTGCTTGGCTGGGATAACCTTGGCTGGCTGGGCTATAGTGGCTTGTGGGGGTTCCCGAACTATGTCAGCCCAGGTTCGAGTAGCCTGGGCCTCCCCTGGTTTAGTTTCCCTTAGTGCCGCTCGCACCTCTTCGGCTACTACCTTCCGTAGGGTAGGTAGGTTCAACGCTGTAGCCGTAGCCTTAGCCTGGGGGGGCGGTGTGATGGCTTGCTGGTAGGCTTGTTGGTAAGCTCGTTGAATCTCCATTGCAAGTGCCCGGGCCTTGCCCCTATCCTCGGGGACCAGGGCAAGTAGGTCGTTGACAAGCCTAGTAATGTGCTCATATGTATGTAGATGGCTAGTAGACTTGGTTGTTCTGGCCGGCTTGGTTATAGTAGGTAGGGTCTTCTGGCTTGCATGTTGGCTTGCATGTAGCCCTAGGGGGTCAGGGGAGGTTTCCCCCATCTCAATGTCAGGTGCCGGATCCGGAACGTCGTTCATTTTCAGCTCTTCCTGGTAGGATGGGGCCTGTGGGGGCCTATAGGGTGGGTAGCGTAGAGGAGTGTGGGGGATCGTTGATAGGGTGGGCCGTTCGGGAGTAACCGGGTCCAGTAGGGTAGGTGGTCCGGGAATAACCGGTTGGTCTGTGCGTAGGGAAAAATCTTGCCTGACGGTCGGGTGCCCGCAACACAACGGCTACTTCAACGGCCTGTTGCGGCCGCGCAAGGACGGCCGCGCAAGTGCAACCAATACCGTTAGATAGAGCTCGTCGAGGCGGTTAGAATGGTATATGTTTCGAAGAGTTTGCCGCCCTTGCGGGCAAGCGGCGATCAAGTGGAAAAGAAAGAAGTTACTTAGGCTTACATCGGAATATATTGGGCTTTAACCTTTGTTAAACGGCACCTAGAGCTTACTATGCGTTTTAATCGGAAATATAACTACTAGAGGGCCTAATATAAAGATCCAGAGATTATTCGCGGTTAGTTTGCGCTTATACGGAATACAATTGCAAAGTACAGTATCTAGGAGGCCAACATCTATAACTTCGATAAGACTAGGTTTCAGATAGGTATTATCTTAACGGCAATAGTTATTATAAGCTCTAAACGGTATAGCAGGGCAAAGTCGAAGTAGCCTAGCAATCGCAAATAGGCAACGGTAATCTAGGGTGTCAATACAACTGGCTAGGCGATCCTACCGTTTATTATCATCAAGGGCAAATATTATCTTTCCTCTTAGTATAAGAATAGCCTATTGCCGAAGGACTAGGTCATTATAACATCCAAAAACAGTTAGACAACCAACGAAAGAGGCCTAGAATGGATTTAGTACTTTAACAAGTATACTAAAGCTCGAATAGCTAGGGTTTATTGCCTCCTAGTCCTCGACGGCTATAATAGCTACTACTCGACCGATTTCAAGCTCTATTGCAAGGAGAATAATATTATCACCCTCTATATACCTCCCTACTCGTCTTATATTCTTTAGCCGCTCGATATTAGATATTTTAGCCTACTTAAGATAGTATATAGCAAGCAGATCAAGGGGATAATATAGGCAAGTATAACCTATATTACTAAGGAGGACTTCTTTCCTACGTTCTATGCCGCTTTCTAAGCCGCTATAACTCCTGAAAATATTTAAGGAGGTTTTTGAGGTACTAGAATTGCTCCTTTTAATCCCAAGAAAGTAATCTTATAGCTCGATATCCGTTTAAAGATACTAACGCCCTTAAACTCGCCGCCTAGTAGTACCTACGCCTAGGTTTCCAAGACCCCGAACAACCTAATCGAAGCCTTCTTATAGTCTACCCTTATCAAGAATCGAATTGCCTGGCATCAAAATAGCTCTCTAACTAAGATTTTAAGGGCGGTTGATATATTTGCTAAAGGGACGTCCAAGGTCATATATCAGTTGGCATTGTTAAGGGCAGAGAACTAGAGCCTCCGAGTAGCAAATAAGGCACTAAGCAAGCGCCAAAGGGTCAAAAAACAACGGCTCCGACAAGGAGGATCACTTTCTGTATAGGATGCATAGGATCTATAGGGCTAGAGAGACGTTGAGGTACAGATTAAGGAGGAAACGCAGGCGGGTAGTGGTCGGAAGCCGAGGGTTGAAACACGCGCGCGGCATTGTGGCAACTGCGGCGAGCCTGGCCACAATGCGCGTACCTGTCAGATAGTTGTTGAAACGTCCGAGGAAGACGATTCCAAGTAGTTTCGTTCGTTTTGAGCTGGTTGGGTGGCATTAATATAGATAAAGTTAAGGGGGTATGGTTTAGTATAACTTTCGCATGCATGTAACTTTCGCTATATACTTACGTTAGTTAAAAACGATAAAAATAAAAGACATAAGAGAAATAAAAAGATAAAGAAGTAAAAAGAAAATAATAAAAATAAAGAAAAATAAAAAAAGAATAAATAAATAAAAAAGTAAAAAGGGTAAATTATAACTATAACTAGGGGATGATGAATTTAGATCTAGCAAGCTGCTAAATAGGTTGGTCCGACTCCTATGTGGCTTCTACTTCCAAATATACCATCGCAATTCATAATCTGTCCAAGCTTAACACGCAAACAACTAAAGATTTCGAGCAATGGCTAAAGGATAGATACTTTATAGACTTGGCCCTTCCTGTCCCCATCTGTTCAAAAACCTTTCGACAACCGAAATATTCTCCCACGAAGCCATCCTTTCCTCCGGCGACGCGCCAAACTTCATGTACGCATTCGGCTTCATGTACAATCCGAACTCGTACCACTCCAAGAACGTCTGTCCTTCCACAGAAGCCATAACCTCTTTTATCTCGTTCAAGAAAGCCTCCCTCAGCGGCTGAATTGCCTCTTCTAGAAGCGCCCCCTTCTCATCGTGCCCTAAGCCTTCCCGAAACATCGGCTCAATCAGCCGCGGAACGGCGCAGAGGAAGGGAAGACACGAGACGAACTCCCAGTCAATGACGGCGGTAAACTCATACGGAGAGCTCTCGGATACCAGCACGTTGTGCAGGCCGAGATCGGTGTGCATCAGGACCACAGGGGTCTTATCCAGCCCTTTCGGGAGCTGAGAGTCCAGTTTGCACTGTACAAAGTTGCGAATGGAAGGCAACAGCAGGGCCTTGTACTCGTCGATTCCATGTTGGGCTTCCAGCTTCTCGAAGCGATGCAGGATCCAAGCTCTCAAAAAGCTAGACACGGAATCGAATGGGCCCTCGACGCCGTCCTGTTTCTCGGGCCCGACCGTGATAGACAACAAGCCGTCGTCTGATGAGTCGCTGGGTAATAAGGAGATAACGGCCTCTCCAAAAACTGCACTATTTATTCTCGCGACTGGCAGTTCCCACAGAGCGGCAAAGGCGCGGGCATTTGGCGGACTATGGGAATTCTGTCCTCAAGGGTCGTCATTGTTTGCAGATGCCGTCCGCCTTGGCGCCGGGACCAAACCCGGTGACCTGGAGTTGCAACCCATCGCTGCGACGATCGAACGCAGTGGCGGGAAATGTCCTGGGAACAGGAAGCTCCCGTGACGCCCTGGCACGGATGTAGTACTGCAGCGCGTTCATCGAGGCAACGTTGCCGCGGAATCGCAGCTGGACGATGAGTTGCGGCCTGTCGGGTTCCTCGACGGTGACCTTGTAGGTGGTGCCGTAGGCCCCGTTGCTGAGGCGCTGGTAGGTCTTGAGCGTGCCCAGCTTGTTGTCACGCAAGAGTTGCTTCATCTCGTCGGGTTCGATCGAGACGGGTTTCAGGCTGAGTACATTGCTAGTCTTCTTGTCCAGATGAATGAGATGTCTGTCCATGGCCTGGTCCTCGGGTACAGGCAAGGCGACCAGCGCCACGACGTAGACCGCGCTGTCGTCGTCCTGGGTGACAAGGTTGGCGACTACGCCCTTCCCCTTAGCCGACCCTATGAGGCCCTGAAGAATGAGATCTAGGACCTTGTCATACAGACCGTTGTGATTGTCTGCCATAACTAGAAAACGCTACTGCGACATGTGTGTTTGCGAGTTGTTCGGAGGAAGGTGTCCGGTGTCGAAAAGGACAAGGCATTGGGATGCACAGGGTTCGCAGGTTTCAGAAGAACAGAAGGTCGATAATTGATCTTGACGAGGCCATTTGCAAAGCCCAACAGCCAAAGGTGCGGATGGTGCGGGAGGCCGTTGAACCCTGAGAATAACCTCTGAGCAAACTGGTGTCAACCCCGCTTTGTGACAGGAACCTCGTGAGGTGGCACATCGAACGCCTTGTTTGCCGGCAAAGCCAATGAAGGGCAGGCGAGAAATGGCGCTCCTTTCACAACGAGGGTGACATAGCACCTCAGACGGTAAAGCACTTAGTCATCCTTACGAGGCAAGGAAAAAGCTCTGCATATATGCACATCAGCAACTGGGATATCGACGCTGACTAGGACTGCGTACCTAGTATGAGAGTACCTAGTATCCTTGGCCTGAGGGAACGAAAGAAATTCCCTCTCACAAGTCGAGCTAATAGGCGAAGCGAAGCGCCGTGTTCCAGGTCTTTTCTTTTGGATTAATATCGGGCTGGATGATGTTCTTGCGCCAGAACAGGGTGTCGGGGTGTGGCTGCGGCCGTGGATCAGCACTACTACTTCTCCCGGGCCGCGTCGGGCGCCAGCAACCTCGTCTACCACACCATCGAGCACCGTCCCGGACCGGGGAATGCTCGCAATCGCGGTCTGCTGTTTCACTGCTTTCCACCTTACATTTCCAGTCTCGACATGGACAAGGCGTGGCCGAAAGTCGGCCGATGACGGGGATCAGGGCCATTGTTAGCGTTCAGCTAGATGACCGTCTCGGTAAAGCTCCGGTCACTCCCCTTTCCGGGCTTCTGCCCGACTAAGGGAAGCTCCCCTTTTCCGGACCGAAATATCCCCTCTCCGGAATGGGCAGGATGCCCACGCTCCTCCCATCCATGCCCGCCGAGCTGACCCGGTTCCCCCACCAGTCCAGCTTGACCGGGTTGTACCCGACGGCGAAGAACATTATGAGCGCTGAGATTGCAACCCCCGCCGTAAGCGCGGAGGAAAGGAGATAGTTGTACTTCTCCCACCACGCCAACCGGTGCCGCGGCAGCCAGTACATGAAGACGAAGGACAGGATAAACCCGGGCGTCTTGTACGACAGGTTCGACGGCGCCCAGTGCTGCACCCCCTGAATCACCAGCACGGGGTTCAGCCACAGCAGCGACGCCACCAAGGGGAACACGGTCTTATCCAGCAGCGCAAACGTCCTCTCGGACAGCCGACCCCTGAGCCTCTCCCTCACGCCGGGGAGGTACTTGGGCCCCAGCCCCTGCCCGACGAGAAACACGAGCGCGATCCCCGTGCCGATCAGAAAGCACCACTTGAACATCGGGTACATGGCGCCAAACATGCGCTCCGACCCCAGCAGGCCCCACATCAGCGAGCTGGCATACAGCGGCGCGCCGTCGTTGGCACAGGTGAACCGGCTGGGCTGGTCCGGCGTACACAACCCCACCACACTCCCCATGATGAAATTCTGCGTCGCCACCGCCACGAAGCAGGTCACCACGATGGTGCCGATCTGGCTGCGGAACACGGCCCGCGGCGCGATCTTGACGTAGTGCGCCATCTTCTGGTCCTGCACATAGTTATCCCCGTAGCCGGCCAGGGCCCACGAGCCGAGGGTCTGGGCGAAGAGAAAGGCGTTGGGGTTTCCTGGGAGCAGGTAGCCCGTCAGGACCTGGATGAGCGAGCCGAGGCCGAGGTTGGTGCCCGTCGTGGCGGACAGGAAGGACAAAGGCACGGCAAAGACCAGGTTGATGCCGATCATCAGGAAGACCAGCCAGATCGGGGTGTCGAGCGGGTAGAGGGAGAGGAAGGCGCAGGCCACGGCGACGGCCAGCGCGAGGATCAGCAGGAACCACCAGTCGGGCACCTCCGGGTAGCGGGCCATCAGGCGGGAGTGCACGTCCCTCATGCTGGCGGCGCCCTCGTAGTTGCCGCGGCCGTGGCGGAGCCCCCTCCAGAAGTCGGCGTAGGCCTGCCCGACGGTGGCCCACTGGTTGACCATGATGTACAGGAAGTAGACCGGGTAGAAGGCGAAGTTGGCGCCGACGGTCAGGATGTAGCCGGCCGAGTAGAAGGGCGGCGAGTAGGCCTGGTACCGGGCCTCGTCGAGCCGGTTGTGGCCGACGACGACCCTCTGCACGTGGTAGGGGGTGCCGTCGTTGGCGAAGGCCGACGACGAGTTGATGGGCAGGTAGGCCGTGTGGCTGACGTTGGCGTAGTAGATGGCCAGGATCACGGCGCCGCCCAGCACGGCGCCGCACCACATGGTGCACGTGGCGAAGAAGGGCTGGGCCAGCGCCGCGTACGAGCTGGTCGCCACGTTCCAGTCGAACGTCGTCACCGGGTTGAACAATCCCAGGCCGAGCGACGAGCCCGTCAGGATGGCGAGCGTCAGGTTCTCGGGCGCGATCCACGTCATCCAGTTGAAGGTCGAGAGCGCCGTGAACAGGTAGCCCGGCAGCCAGTAGTAGATGAACATGGAGACGGTGCAGACGTAGAAGAACCTGTACCGCGAGATGGTCCAGCCGTAGATGTTTTCTTTTGGTTCCGGGCGCGTCAGGGCCCGGTTCATGGCGATGGTCGGCAGGATCGTCGGCCACAGCGCCTTGACCGGGTAGCTTTAGAGTAGTAAAAGAGTCAGACGGAAAATTAGAACCTTGAAGCAAGATACGGCAAGGTTAGTATGGCTTACACGCTGAACCGCCGCAGGTAGCCCGCAAAGCCCATGCCCATCAGTTGGACAAAGAGGGTCAGCATCAGCTGGTAGCCGAAGGTGACGAAGTCCAGGCCGTAGTAGACGTCCATCTTCTGGACCAGAATCTGCGAGGGCTTTATTTAGTATACCCACTAGTACTAGATAAAATGAATGGATCTACTAGCAAGGAAGAAGCGGCGCCCCACCATGCCGTACGAGTTGGTCGTGTAAATGGCGATGTTGTACGTGATGGTCGCAAACATCTGCTCCTTGAACGTCCAGGGCCCCGGGTTGAGCGAGTGGCGCACGCCGAACAGCGTGACGCCCCAGTCCGGCAGCAGCCGCTCGAGCACCCTGCCACAGGGATACAGTAGGATCTGGATCACAGACCCGCTGAGGCCTTGCATGTGGAGCGGGGTTGTCAGAGACTCTCATACTCACGAAGAAATCAAAGAGAAAAGAGAACTCACTGATCCCCGGGAACCTGCTATTAAAGAAGGTAGACATGAAGGTCCCGACAACGGCCCAGGCGATGCCCAGAAAATAGGCCCGCGCCGTCTCGATGGGGACATCCGTATCATCGACGATCTCGGCCACGGCGCGGACACCCGGGTAGGGGGACGAGTACTTCAGCATGACGGCGTCGACGCGCAGGTCACGGTCGTAGCACTCGCCGTACCGCTTGGGCCCTTCCTCGAGCAGCCGGCGCATGCGCTCGCGCATCTCGGTCGGGAAGTTCCAGTCGTCGGCGTGGAAGCGGTACGACTCCGCGACGATGGCCAGCGCCTCCTCCTCCGTCATGTTGTTGACCCTGTCGCGGATGTACTCGCCCTCGCCGTTGGGCGCCAGCTCCTCCAGCAGCCGGTGCGGGATCTCGTCCCCGATGCGCCGGTGCGTCTTTTCCGCATCGTAACCCGGCGCCGCCGGTTCCAGCACCGTCTCGACTTGGTCGGTGGCTTCCGCCTTTCTCGCCATCGTGTGCTGTGTGTGTTGTGTTTCTGGGTGATGCTTGGGGCAATGGGCGGTTACGGGCAGGGTAGGTGGGACATGCCACCACAAGTCATTGTAATGTGCAAAGAGAGGGGGGAGTCTATAGAGAAATGACACGGCGCCTGCTAAGGTCCAGAACATGTCCCGTCGGCCGTCCATAAACCACTAAGATCCTCGTCCTTCGCCGTCGTGCAGTGCAGTGCAGTGAGACATTCCTTTTCCGGCTATGTTCAACGTTGCATCCGAACAGGATTGCTTCTGTCTGCGAGACAATCGGACACAATGCGGGGGTTGCAGGCATTCCGACTCGTGAGCTTCCCCGGCTCCCGTCCCATGTCGATCTGCCGATGTGCTACCGCTCGGCCGGAAGTGGAAGGACACTCAGGTATATGCTGGACTTTGAGCTGCGGACTGATACTGTAAATTGTACGCTGGCCGGTGTTATGTGGCGACTTGAATGTGACTGTGTAGAGGTAACACCGTAACCACTGCGCCATGTACATTAATCCTTCCGACGCCTCGGTACCAACTTATTCTGCTTGCATATCTTTCCACATCCTGTCGAGCTCCAGACCGCTATGATAAGCTTCCATGACCGTTTTGGATCCCCGTTCGATGATCTCTAACATGGTTGTTTCTGCGGACTAGATCGGCCCAGGGCCGAGAGACGTGTCCGCTGTCATACCCCGGCCGTGATGATTCTCTTACTTCTTATACCAACACCTGCAGATCGTCTTGTTGCTGTGTTGAACTGTGGCCTCTTGCGTGCCGCCGAGCCTGTCTACGCGCCAACGCTACATGGGATGACACGATAATGGGTGATAGACACATTTCGTTTGTATCCTGGTTGAGCGGCCCCTGATGTTGCGTTCATGCTCGTGAACCACCACACCCATCTCATCCGCGCCATTATCCTGACTGTTCAGGACTAAAGTATCGGGCCAAGCGCCGTCCGAACCTTCCCCAAGCTCCAGGTGGCCCCCTGAGATGTTCCTGGTCCGGTCCTAGTGGGTTGTACGCAAGAAAACGGTGCTGAATGAGGTGACAGGTAGTAGTGTAGCAGGCGGAAATAATGTGGAGAGGGAGCACTACGAGGCAGAACAGACAATCAAGTGAAGAGAGTACCTCGGATGATGCATGTCGACGACAACTGAGGGAAAGGGGCGTCAACTCGCAGTCTACGGCGCAGAGGAGACTACAATGAGTGAGGTGAGATATAAGTAGTATTGGATTCCTCGATATCACTGACATACTAATAGCTCGCGTAATTATAACAAAACTTATAGTCTGCTTCCATGCTGAACTAATTCCATGGAAGTAACCCTAACGACTGGACGCGTTGATATCCTAACAACAGTCCCTTTTCTGTCATTTATCCGGTCACCAATGGCCGACAGGGGCCCAACCTCTACCTGAAACCCAATCTTAAGCCGAGACATGCAACTGGCGGAAACGCGATCCGCAAAAGCTCGTTTCCTAACGTTCCTTTTAAGTAGACCGGAACCTGAGTTCCCGCAGCATTCGAGATATCAACCCGGGTGGCAGATTTCTAGGCATCAAAATAGATTGACAATCCAACCACCTCTTAACCCGGGAACATATCCTCCAGCTCCGAAGCTCACATGGTCTGCGCTCACTCTGCAGCGCTGCTGGGGCACCCTTTAGGCGGCAGTGGCCATTACATTGACGTTTGCAAGACCGCTATATAACCCTGATCAAGCCTCTCTCCTCGCTCAATGCCCGTCAGCTGTCAACGAAGAAGCAAGAACCTATCATAAAACACCCTCCCGGCAAAGTAAGGGAGAAAGCACACAATGAAGACCGGTCTGATCACAGCGCTCTTCGCAGGCGCGGCCCTCTCCTCGCCGATGGCGGCAGCCGACGACGGTCCGGTGTCGACGCCGTCGCCCACGACGCTGCAGCCGGGCGCATACTGGATCCGCGCGGTGGTGCCGCCCAACTACCACAAGTACCTGCAGACCAAGCCGGCCAACGTGGCCGGGACGGCCATCCTGGACTCGCACACCACGGCAGGGCAGTTCAACGTCGAGGACGGGCAGCTGGTCAACAAGGTATCCAGCCCGCCGCTGTACCTGTGGGTCGAGGAGCCCGCCGACAAGGCCAGCCCGCCGCCGCGCACCCTGGCCACCTTCTTCAACACCACCCGCAACCCGTTCGGCACCTTCGCGTGGCAGGGCGACACCCTCACCTGGTCTGTGCCCAGCATCAAGCGCCAGAACGTGGCCGCCTGGCTGGTGTGCGCCAACCAGGCGCTTTTTATCAACACAGGAGCGTACGGCTACCAGACGCCGGCCGGATGCGCGGACCAGACGGTGGGGTTTCTTTTTTTTCTTCTTTCCCCCCCTCTCCTCTTTTGTTTGCCTTCAGCATCTTCTGATATCTTTAACTGTATTACTGTGTTATTTGTGTGCTGCCGCTCGCTCGAATGAGGCTGACCGAGGTGTTTCTTGCCAGATCCATTATTATAACGACAAGACGGCAAATAACTGAGCTCGGCTGAGGGTTTGGTGGTGTGCTGCTTACGTAGGAGATCATTCTGCAGTTGCTGCGTCGCAGTCCGAGTTCTCTATTTAAGACGGCGGAAAGATAGATGAGCGTCTTCCATACGTCGCCGGACCTGTTGGCCGCCCAGGTAGCAATTCGTGACCATTGGGCGAGCGTTGAGACTTGATTAGCTTTGATGACCTTAGAAAAACACAGAGGCTTTCTAGGACTCAAAATGTGTCATGTATCTCGAGCACGACCGGTCCAATTTGAGATGGTCTGACCAGATGGCAGAAGGGGACTGTGGAACACCCGGAACCACCGTTCAATCTTAGTATCCAAGACAGCTTCCCCCAGTTTCAGCCAAGATTCCCGGAAAGTACTGTGCGATCAGATACATGAGCTCTGCGAGCTGTGCCCCTCAGCAAATAGGTAGGAGAACTATCCTTCTATAACTGCTTTTTGCAGGACTTGACCGCACAGAGAAGGCACTGTACAATACCTTACCTGGATAAGGTAATAATCAGCAGCATCACAGACAGTCAAGTCACAGATCCTCAGACACTACAAGGCCCGAGCCGACAGACGCTCCTTCTACTATGATTCAGGCAGAGCGCACCCGTATCAACTCTGTCCCGTCCGCAGGCTCTTCTTTTGTCGACGGCAAAACACTCGATCCGCCTGTCCGCAGGAGAGCTCAAGACGAACTGACCCAGGGCCAGGCAAAGACATTCCTTCCGTCGCGGTCTACTGATACTGTGTGGAATCGGCTCGCCGACGGGTCGCAGCGACCAGCTTCTCGTCCTTAGCAAGGCGAAGGCGCGCGTCGGCGGATGCTACCGAGTGCGTGCCAGGTGTAAGTTAGCAGTGGACGAGTTCTTTGTGCAAGCGTCGGTGCAACGTGCAAGTCGCTACTCGCTAGTTATCACACGGTATTTAAGGGACCCCTAGTCGGCGTTTGCAGGCAACGATGTCGTTTTGCCGTGTGACACTAGTTGGTGGTGACGAGCGGGAATCGGGGTTGGCTGTTCAGAATCAGAGATGCTCGGTTCCGTCACTGAATGATATGGCATCTTAATCGTATTATATGGATACGGATACGAGCAGCCGGTTACTGTTTCGGTGTCAAGGGGGACGATGACTCTGCTGACCCCGTATTCTTAGGTAAGGTATGAAGTTGAAGTTGCACCCATCCGCGCGGAGACTGGAGAGCGCGGAGACCCCCCGGGAAGGTCCCATCCCGGCCCTTGTCGATTTGGTGGGGCTTCGAATCCTTAAATAAATCGAGGCCTTCAACAATTGCCGGAGAGAACTCGACTTGAATTTTAAACCAACGACCTCTGTTGTACGAGCTCAACATCCTCTCGGTCGATATACTGTACAATACATTCCTATGCAGTTCAGCTCAAATTTCCCTCTTGGATGCGGATGCCGACAACTTTGTGTGTTGTCCGGCGTGACGAGATCAGTCTGCATTCCATGCCACGCGGCACCGATCGCTGCGCCAACGACTCCCAACCGATCGCATTGATCATTTCCTGGCTTTCCGTCGCCAAGATGGCATGACTGCTGAGGCGCTCCGGCCGGCCAGTCAGATGTTTGCTAGATCCTCGCAACGGACCGGCAAAGCCAGCCAAGCCAGCGCCGAGGACCTGCACCGCCGTCCGATGCCCAGAAAGCCAAGCGCCCGCCGAGAATACCAAGAGAATACCAAGAGGCCATGAAAGAACGAGAAACAGCCCCTTTCGTGTCATGGCCAATCCACCCTCAACGAAAGCATGTTTTCCCTCCTTTCTTCGTTACCGTCACCGTTCTCCATGGTGCTGGCGAACGCTTCACTCGTTTGGACCTAGGTAGACGACACTCGCTTCCCTTCACTTTCGCGACGCAGACATCGATTTTTTACACGACGGCGGCCTCGCCGACTTTTCGGGCCGGTTTGAGCATTTGTTATTGATCACAGCTGGGGCGTTGATCGGCCCGTTCGTTTAGCGCCAGTTGATTCGAAGGGGACAGCGGGGGAGAAAGATGGTGCGATTATCGCCATCAGGAAGTCCGGGGCGATGGCTCGCAGCGGCCGTCACGGCAAGCTGTTTGCTCCAGATCGCGCATGCAGAGACGCCTTACAAGATAGGCACGCCAGGTACATACTTCTCGAGCCTGCTTGGAAGCCAGTGGGAGAGGGCGGTGGTTGGACGGCAGACTAACCCGCAAAAATCCTAACAGACGAGATTCGCGAGTCGGCACGGGGCCTGGCATACGATTTGATGCTTCAGTACAAAGGCAACCAGACCGGTGAAATCCCGGGCATTCTACCAGGGCCGCCGACAGAACACAAGGGCGACTACTACTGGTGGGAAGGAGGAGCCATGATGGGCACGTACGTCGACTACTGGTTCTTGACGGGCGACACAAGCTACAATCACGTCATCTCGGAGGGAATGCTGCACCAGGTCGGGCCGAACGCCGACTACATGCCGCCGAACCACACCGCGTCGCTGGGCAACGACGACCAGGGATTCTGGGGCATGTCGGCCATGCTCGCGGCCGAGAACAAGTTCCCGAACCCGCCAGAAGACAAGCCGCAGTGGCTCGCGCTCGCGCAGGCCGTCTTCCACACGCAGGCGGCGCCCGACCGGCATGACGAGACGTGCAACGGCGGGCTGCGGTGGCAGGTGCCGCCGACGAACGCGGGCTACAACTACAAGAACACGATCGCCAACGCGTGCTTCTTCAACCTCGGCGCGCGGCTGGCGCGCTACACGCGCAACGACACGTATGCCAAGTGGGCCGACAAGACGTTCCAGTGGCTGTGGGACGTGCAGTACATCGACCACAAGGACTGGAAGGTGTACGACGGCGGGCACGTCGAGCACAATTGCACCGACATCAACAAGGCTCAGTTCAGCTACAACGCGGCGCTGCTGCTGCACGGCTCGGCCTTCATGTACAACTACACCAACGGCAGCCAGGTGTGGAAGGACCGCGTCGACAACCTGCTGGACGGCATCCTGCGCGACTTCTTCCCGGATGGCATCGCCTTCGAGCTGCCGTGCGAGGGCCGCCAGGGCGCCTGCACCGCCGACATGCTGAGCTTCAAGGGCTACGTGCACCGCTGGCTGTCGGTCGTGACCAAGGTGGCCCCCTACACGCGCGACACCATCCTGCCCGTGCTGCGCACGTCGACCGAGGCCGCCGTCCGCCAGTGCACCGGCGGCGAGACGGGTCGCCGCTGCGGCTTCTACTGGTCCGGCGGCGTCTACGTCGACCCGGCCGTCGACAAGACCAGCGGCGCCGGCGAGGCCATGAATGTGTTGGCCGCCGTGTCGAGCCTGCTCATCGACAACGCCCCCGCCCCGGCCACCAACGAGACCGGCATCAGCAAGGGCGACCCAAACGCCGGAAGCCGCAGTAGGGGCGTGTCGGAGCCGCTGGAGCCCATCACGACGGGTGATCGCGCCGGCGCTGCTATATTGACCATGTTGATCCTGGGGGGTGCGGTTGGGACCTGGAGTTGGATGAGTTTTGGGGATTGAGGGCGGGCAGGCCATGAGTGGGGAACTGGAGCTCGGGAGTTTCACTTCTTTGATGCATGGTGCGGAGATATATACCACCCAACTTCTCTTGTCCCCGGTTTTCTCTTTATGTCAGCTTTCTACATATGTTATTTGTGGGGGTCTGGGACGGCGTCAGATAGGACAGATAATGTTTGGGCCAGTTGTTTGTATTCAGACATCGAGTTTGCTTATCTCAAGGAAAGAGTATGACCATGAGCGCACCTTGTCCTCGAATTCATCATGTTGCATTGTAGTACTTCAAGTTCCTTGCCGCCGGGGTATGAGCGGGGGCTACTAAAGTCAAGAATCGGATCAAACAAAGATTGGGCGACGTTGACTCGAAAGGATGCTCTTTCTGATAATGTGTTCGACTGTTGGAAAGACGGAGGATACCAGTCTTAAAGACACTTTAGTTACTTTTCCGACTTCCTCTTCTAATTCTGAATACCTACTACTAATCAATCGATAGGGTTTGGGGTGTTCCGTTCTCAGCTAGAACAGGATATGGGCCGCACTCTCAGTACCTACCTCAGTTAATTGTCATACATCGTAAGGGGCATAAGCAAGAAAAAAAAAGGAAAAAGAAAAGAAAAGAAAAGAAAAAGAAAAGAAAACAAAAGAAAAGAAAAGAAACAAAAGGAAAGTAAAACAAAAAAAAAAGAAAACAAAAGAAAAGAAGACTCACTATGTCTAGAAAGATAGATATCATACCTGACTTCGAGAAATCCAACTACATGTCAGTGTATATGGACCGCATATTGCATTATCCACGGTATCACTCATCTGAGCCAGGTACTTTAGGTTTGCACTCTGGCTGAGCATATAGCTAGAATCTTTGTAGAGACCCACAACACCTGCGAGTTCATCTGTCGACTCCTTACTAGCGTGATGGGGGTGGGATGGCACGAACAAACACATGTCGCTGGATGCTCCCTCTTTTGGGACTGCCGGAACTCGAGACCACGTGATACGATGACTATATATTAGGTCGACTACCCAAAGATGTTACCCTTTTTATCTAACCTACATCATACCCTCCATGTACAGCATGCCAGCAATGCTGGCCGACGTCAAGGTGGACAGGACGCCGCAGAAGAAAGAAGAGATGGAAACCTTGACGACGTCACCGGAGCGTCGGGGCGAAATCTGCGAGAGCACGCCAATCTGGATACCCAGCGAGCCGATGTTGCCGAAGCCCTGTTTGCGAATTGTGTCAGAGGATCATCGTTTGAGGAAGTAGCATGATAGCCAGGAGTGAGAGGGCTTACGCAGCAGGCATAGGTGGCAATCAGCTTTGAGCGGGGGTTCATGGCCAAGTAGCGTGCCTCGCTAGTGAGGGCCTTGAAGGCGGCGAACTCGTTGATGATGACCTTCTTACCAATGAGCTCGCCCACCGGCCGAAGATCGGCATTCGGCACGCCCAGCAACCATGCGACGGGATACAGGAGGTACCCGAGAATGAGCTCCAGTGTAAGAGGGGTGTCGTCGGGCATGCCCCAGTAACCGCCCCACCAACTGAGCAAGCCATTGACCAAGCCGACAAAGGCGATGATGGTGAGTAGCATGGCCACAATGGTAGCACCGATCTTCAGACCGAGCCAGGAGCCATTGGTGAAGGCGTGGAGTGCATTGACCGTCTTTTCGTCTTCCTCGTTCTTGGGCACTTCGACCTTACCCGCGGTCATGGGCGTCTCGGTCTCGGGATAGCGCATTTTGGAGACAGCCAGAGTCGCGGGGATCGACATGATGCAGCTCGACACCAGGGCCTGCGCGTTGAGGCCCATGCCGATGTACGCCACCAGCACGGAGCCGGCAATGGTCGCAAAGCCGCACGTCATGATCTGGTGGATTTCGGCCATGGTCAAGTAGTCCATGAAGGGGCGGATCAGCATCGCGGACTCGCCTTGGCCGATGAAAGGAGTAGCAGCCGCGACGATTGCCTCGGCACCCGACACATGCAGGCTCCAGAAGAAGAAGACGGCAAATTTGGCGATGAACCACTGCAGGAATCCAACGTAGTAAAGCATCTGGACGAGCGCAATGAAGAAGATGATGGCGGGGATAACACCCGTCAGAAACCAGGTCTTCTTGACAAACTCGTCGTCGGTCAAGAAGGCGAGACCCTGGCCAGCAAAACCTAGCAGCTGGCGCGCCATATCGGAGATGAACTTGAAGATGTCGAACCCGGCCTTGGTGCGCAGCACGAAGACGGCAATGACGAACTGCGTCAGCATGCCGCCGATGACCGTGTGCCAGGGGATGCGCCTCCAGTCGCGGGACGTGACCGTGAGAAGGAACAGCATGACGATGAAGCCGAAGATGGAGATGGCACGGTTCGCCCGCGTGTTGTCTCCGGACTCCTCCGGCACGAAGCTTCCGATCAGAAAGACGGCAAAGGTCACGAGAGCAGCAATGGGCTTGTGCAGCTTTGCCGGAGTCGCGTGGTAGGCCCTGCCGGCGGTGTTACCCCAGACCCAGCGCACTGGGCGCATGACCAGCGACGCAGGGACGTGGAGGAAGAAGATCCGCAGGAGAATGGCGATGTAGATCAGAGTCGGAATCAGCCACCCTTTCCCTTCGGTGTGGCGGTAGAAGACGAGGCCGTAGATCCACCATCTGCAGCGGCTGGCATCAGTTTGGACGCTTCACACAAAGCAAAGCAGCACTGAGCGAGTGCCGGGGTGGGGACACGGACGCGGTGAACAGCATAAACGCGACAAGTTCCGCCAGTATCTTCCAATGCCGGTGCCAGAAGGCCTCCAGGGCCCCTCTCTCCCGTTCGGATTCCGACTTGGCTTGCAGCGAGCCAACCTTTTCGCTCTGCTTCTCCGAGTCGACGGCATATTGCTCGACCGGTGGCACGGCGTTCTTGTCCATGTCCGCACCGACCGCGCTGCTGCCGGCGCTGTGCTGCTTTTCCATCTGCTGCTGGTGCGTTGGAGCACTGACTTCGATGCTGTCTTGCCCCGCGACGTGGGCACGCGGTTCGGGGGAAGCCATGGCTGGACAGAGAGAGGCGGGTGAGCAAACCAGGCGCGCCTGCTAGTGGAAGCAAAGAGTTGCGCGACTGCGAAAGGTGTGCAACTTTAATACTGCGGATCCCTAGGGCAACGCTCTCCAGATAAGACGAATGAAGGCGCCGCATGGAAGATAAGATGACAGGGCATGCCTGGCATGCCGCCTGAGCCTCATCCTCGGGACTGCCCGCCGAGCAGACCGGGCAGGTGGGGAAATTTGGGAGGCAATCGGGGGTGTGGCACTGTGGGTGAAAAACTGACGGACAGAGATATGGTTGGGCCAGCGGGCACACGACGACGCATGATAGGGAAGGATTTCCGTTCGGTGTTACTGTGTACTTTCAGCGGGTCTGTTGCTGGTCGGAGTCGAGACGTTGGGCAGCGCAAGCCAGCCAAGGCTTCCCTCGGCTGCTCTCCAACCGGGGCTGACGCGTGACTGCGAGTGAATTGGCCAATGATGGCGTCCAGGGCCGCGCTGGAGGCGAAGAGAAGGGGTCCGCCCAGCTGGCCTTGCCGTGCTTGGCCACCGAAGCGTGTACAGTGCACTACGGGATCACCGGTCGTTGGCGGACAGATGCCACCTTCTTCTTTCGCTTGGTATCATACAGTACGTGCTATCTTATCACGTGCTTATCTTCCCTGTGTGGCGAGGAGAAAAGAACACCATGAAAGTCTCTCAAAGACATGGGATGACGTCAGCGTGATCTGCTCAACGTATGCGGCGCCTCTGAGGCCGCCAGAACAGACGGGACGGAATAAGTGCACATCGACATTCCCAAACTTGTGTCAGGGCTTCATAGTTTCTAGGCCATCGATTTCATTGAATCCCTTGTTGCCGGACCGCTGAATCGTTGAGTTTTCAAGGAAAATTTTGTGCGATAAGTTTCCCCATCCACCGACATCCCACCTGCCATTTCTGGGAAGGCTTCACGGATGGGACCATGCACCCCGCAAAAGCCGAGAATCCTTCGATTTCGGATTCGGTCACTCGGTGTAAGAATTCGTGTAACTTACGGAACAGATACATACCTACCACAGCACTTTCCATCCCAGCAAGGTGCAATCACCCGACATGATCTGGGGTTCTTATTACATACAACCCTCCGGGGTTACAAAGGTTAAATTTTAAGCTGGTTGGCGGGCTTAAAATTTAACCTTTGTAACCCCGGAGGGTTATACAGTCTTTCAACTAACCCCGGATTGTCTGCTTCCCCGGAGCAGATTCCGGAGATGGGTACAAGGTGGGAAGGTCCCCGGGGGCCAGATTAGCGGTCGACTCCGATTCGGTTCGAGATGCGCGGGACGGAAAAGTCCCTTGTGTACGGAGGAGATACCCACGGTTCGTTTTGTGGGATGATAACTGCCAAGGTACTACGCTGATAACGGCGCAGACAGTAGGAGCATGTGACCTGAAATTACCTAGCCACTGCTAGGTACTGTATTGTACAGACCTACATGGCAGAGCTATCAAGAGCATCGCCAAGTGGCGAGTTCACTTGGTGACCAAGGCCTAAGACACACCGTGTCGCAACACCACGATCAACACAGGGGAGTGTCGATGTGCGAGTAACAGTGTATGTAAGGTCATGAATGTACAGGTATGTAGGTACAATACAATACTGTACATACGTCCTACGTCTTGTCCAATGGCATGGTGTTTTGGAAATGCTTAGCAACATCGGGATGCTCAGGCGCTCACGCGACCACCCATAGCCAGGCATGCGAGGTACTGTCGGGTGTATTTCATACCTGGTCAAGCCGGGCCCCTGCTGAGGTGCGGAAACGGGATCTCAATGGAACCCTAAAAAGCTCACGTCTTTTCTGCAGTCTTGGGAACCATCCCATGTGGTCGACATGTGAACGCGAGGTGCGTCCTTCACAGCGTGCCGCTGCAGGGTGCCAGCCACTGGATCGGCGGAACCGAGATATCGGGCCGGACTGTCAGAGTACTGTAATCAATGGGGGGGTTTCCAGGATCGGCCCCTCGTGGGCCGTGGGGTATTGTACCGCCTACCAGCATTCAATGGATCGCCCGGAGGCATCAACCGTTCCCCTACGGCCGACCCTCGATCACCGATACCTGGTATGGCTTAAACTGCGTAAAAGGAGGCAAGGCCTCAGTTTAGAACAATTGCTGGCACGGTTATCGCCACTTCTCAGAGCCAGTACCGGCCCCAGATGTCGTAATCATCCCTCGTCCCTCTGAACTTGAACTGTATAGGGATGACGTCCTGAAACCCTTCCTCGACCTTTGGCTCCTTGAAGCGCGACGCAAACCCGCTGAAGGCAAGTTTCGGGAGGCCCTGGCGGCCTTCGGGATTCAGCTGTCAAAACACGGAGTAAGAGACGCATCCAAAAGCCGGAAGCTGTGAAGGGGACTATGTACCTTCTTGTTCAGAGATCGCACAGCATCGTTGTGTTCGCACAACTGCAGCGGGGTTCTGAACCAGAGACATCGGATCGGCACGTTGTGTTTGCGTGCAAGGGCCACCCATTGTGAACGAGTATCGGCATCGGGATTTGTGTTGTCTTCGCCATATTAGCGCGGGCAGGGGGCTCCAGTAAGTAGAGCGAGGACATCACCCACCGACAACCACGGAGTCTCCTTTCCGGAGGAAATCGGCTGCAGCCTTGAAACATTTGTCCTTGCTGCCCAAAGTCAGACTTGTCCAGTAGGCAGGCAGAGCATGAAACGAACCTTTTCAAAGTATCCTGATTGACTCTCTCGTATCCTAACGGTTTCAAGTACTTCCAGTAGAAGGTGCTCTTGCCGGCCCCTGGTGGACCGACGAAAAGTATGAGGTCCTTGTCGTTCGCCTTCTCGAGGCGCAGGCCATCGTCTCCTTCCTCCTCGACGAAAGGAAAGTTGGCCAGGTCAAAATCTCTCGAGAAGTCGCGCGGCTCCTCTCCGAGAAAGAACTCTTCCGGGGTTTGATACTTGATGCCAACGTTGTGGGCGAGGTTCCGATCGGAGCAGCTGAAGTCTTTTGGAGCGGCGCTGCGACCGCCCTTCAGCTCAGCGACACGGCCGCCGGCGTCGCCAACGAATACACTGTTCTCGTGGTCGATATCAGAGTCGGTCAACTCGTAATCGCGCTTCATCTCCATCCACATCCCAGGACGCGGTTTGCGGTAGATGTCTTTCGCCGTCGCAGCATACAAGGTCATCGGTATATCGAGCTGACTGAGTACGGCGTTACATTTCTGTTTGAACGCGGTGACCCTGTACTTCGCCATCTTTGGCCCTTTTGATTTGTCGGGGTGGAGATCCAATCCTCCCTGGTTGGTGAAGATAACCACTTGATACCTGAAGACCATGAGCATACAGCCGGGCGCAGCGGGTGTGACCGCAGTGCTTACCCTTCCTCATGATATAGGTTCCAAAGACGGCCGGGAACTGAGTGATGCCACCACTTCCAATCGCCGACACCGTCGGAGAAGCGCTTCCCCGACGCAGTCGTGATCAGGGTTGAGTCCTGGATGCGACGTGAGCTACCGAAACACACAGCGTGGGGAGCGTGGTATGTACGAGGTCGAATGCGGCTATCTTCCGCCGTTTTGACCGAGTCGCCTCCGCCGCGCCGGGCTCGTCATTCTCCGAGACGTACTTCGCGACGAGCAATGTTGCACGGGAGTTGTCTTCAGGACTCCTCTCTGTCCACGTCGTCCGTTCTTTCGCCTTCTGGGATGTCGGGGTGAAAAAATTCGCGACCGCGCTCTCTGTTTCATTGGTAAGCGGAGGCGATCAGTAGAAGAAGTCAGCCATATCCCGTACTGGAGATGGCAGCCTGGGCCTTGCGTTTGGGCGGGGGCGGGGAGATGCCGCGGTCGCTGTCGGACGCAGGGCGCTTCGCTCCAGCCGGCGAAGATGGAGGCTTTGCTGTGGGCGACATAGCCAAAAGTAGTACGGAGCTTGTTGACGATCGTTCTTCGCTGGAAATACCGCTTAATCTTTTTCACATTCGTGGGAAGTTGTTTGCGACTCGTGGCTTTCTAGGTTGTGTGTGGGTCAAAGCGGAAGCGAAGAGACGCGTCGAGGAGCGAAAGCACGTGATGAGCGGGTCACCTTAAACTCCGAGTCAGCGTCAGCCTTGTTAGCGTGTTATCCATCCGACCTACACTAGATTTGGCCTCAGGTTCACTCTGGCCTTACGGGCGTCAGCTCATCTCAACACAATCGGTGAGCAGCATGATATGAAGGTTAGCAGTGGTCAGACCTCTGCACCAATGTCAATACTCATTTGGTGGCTGTGCCACGACAAAAAAGTCTATGGAAACGTGTTTGCCCATATTACCCGACGGCCCGACAGCACTAAAAGGGACTCGATCAAGCAAGGTTTCCATGGGAGACAATCCTCTTTGGGTGGCAGAATTGCCAGCAGTGAGAGTTGGTGAGCATGTAACTAAAATGAGATCCTTGCTATCACACTCGACAGATGCTATCAAGGAGTTACATGTACAAATACATAAAATACAACACAAGCCCAATACCTGTCCAGAATACATCGGAGGTTTGCAATAAGAAATCATGACCCTTTGGGTCTAAAGAACCAATGCCCCCTAAACACCAAGCCAGTACCTCCCCAAACACCACTCCAGTAGATATCTCCCTAGAACGCCAATCCAATCTCCTTGGTACTCCTGAAGGTTAGGGCCCAACTAACGCCGCCTACATATATGTTACGAAATCAACCAAGTCGACCGCCAACCAATCGCTATGGTGACTCACCAATACCCCGGGAAATAAACGGGACCAAGGCCTCGAGTATAAAGGTCTCTCATTGGGTCATAATCCTTATTCTCGGCCGTGACTGACACGGTTGTGCGCGCGGGCCGGATTTCGGCGAACTCAGGTTCCGCTCCGGTTCGCTCCGGTTCCTCCCCGGCGGGCGCGCTGTCCGGATGCTGCGCGGTCCGCTCCGCGTCGCCGCAAGCGCCGCGCTCCCCCTGGACCATGCGCCTACGGTTATTCTTGGTCTTCCAGGCTGGCGTTCCAATGTATTTGATCGCTACAGTTGAATCACGGGGCCTTTGTCAGCAAAATTCCGGAAACAAACTGGACGAGCGGAAGCAGGGGAAGAAAGACCGGGAAGGGGAGAGTACTTACCACCGGGTTTCGAGTCATCAAAAATGCCCTCGACCTCCTCCAGCGTCTTGTTGGCCGTCTCGGGGAACAGCATGAACACGTGGACGGTCATGGCCGCGCAGAAGACGGCAAACACGACGTAGACCCTCCACGTGATGTTCGCAAAGGCGGGCGGGACAAAGTAGGCCAGCGCGAAATTGAAGGTCCAATTGGCCGCGGTGGCGACGGCGACGGCCTTGCCGCGCACGCGCAGCGGGAACAGCTCCGGCGGGTAGGTCCACGAGACAGGGCCCCAGGTGGAGGCAAAGGAGGCGACAAACATGTATGTCGCCGCGATGACGGCCTTAGCCGGGGCGCCCGAGATGGCCATGGACTCAGCGGTCGACGTAAACTCACCGGGGCGCGCAGGGCGCGAATAGACGGCAAACAGGGCCGCGTTGATGGCCAGCATGGTGCACATCAGCGTCGAGCCCGTGAGGAGGGTCGGGCGGCGGCCCCAGCGGTCCATCCAGAGCAGAGCCGGGACGGTCATCGCCACATTGACTACGAACTGGATGCCGCTGGGGAGGAGGACGCCATGGGCCCCAGAGTTTGCGAGGTTTGCCATGGTGAAGACGTACGTAATGTAGTACATCATCACGTTCATGCCCGTGAGCTGGGACCAGATCTGAGTGAACACGCCGATGGCCGTGCGGTTGATCATGCCGGGGGCAATCAGCTCGCGCCAGCTGGCATCAGCATTGTCGCGCTCTTCGTTGATGGCCGCGTGGATCTCAACGAGCTCCTGGCGGACAAAGGGGGAGTCAGGGTTGCCTTTGCCGTGAACAAGAGTAAGGACGTTGAGGGCATTTGCCTCCCAGCCCTTCTTCAAGAGCCAGCGCGGTGACTCCGGCAGAGAGAACAACCCCAGGGCGAGCATCACTGCAGGGATCATCTGCAAGCCCCAGGGAAGCCGGAAAGCGGCGGTCCCGTCGATAAACGAGCACCCGTAACAGATGAAGTACATAATCAGGATGCCCCAGGTAATGGCCCACTGTTGGCAGCTCACGAGCCGGCCACGGATGGTTGGCGGGGCGAGTTCCGAGATGTAGACAGGAACTTGGGCGGAGCAGATGCCGACGGAAAAGCCGTTGATGAGGCGGCCGACGACGAGCATGGGAATATTAACTGACGCACACGCGATAATCGAGCCGATGATCCTTTCGTCCCGTCAGTCAGGTACAGTTACAACCATATAGCGGCAGAGCCTGTGTACTGCGACTTGTGGCAGACGACGGCAGCCGGCCTGATTACCATGCAATGCATGCATCGGAGGTGGAAAGCGACGTGCATGGGTAGAAAGGTCGGTGGCACAGAAATGGCCGGGAATGAGATAATGAGAGAAAGAGGTGCCATGTCACTAACCAAAAAACTGATCCAATCTGGATGGTTCCCTTCCGACCGACCTTGTCGGAAAGGTAGCCGGAGAGCAGGGCTCCAAGGAGGGAGCCGCCGGGCATGGCAGCCGTGATGCCGCCTTGAGTCGAGTCGGTCGGACCCAGGCACCGACCCTCAGCATCTATGCCTCGCTGATTGAATTGGCACAGGTAAGGCTGGGTGGAGATAATTGCCGACATTGATGAGATATCGAAACCAAAAAGCGCGCCACCGATGACCGCGATGGCGGCGATGAAGTAAAGGTTTCCGATAGTCCGAACCATCTTGACAAATGTGGCTGCAGAACCCTGGATGCACGAACAGGCCAAAAAAATGTGTGGAAGAGAGAAAGTTGAAGAACGCAGCGGACAGCAACCGGCGAGCGAGCAGAGAACTTATACTACCGTACTAATTCACACGTTGGAACATCGGACGAAGGACCCGCCCCACCGACCGTGTGTGTCCAGCTTCGTCATAGAAGATAGATCTAACTTTGAGTTGCTAGCAGAATTGACCTGGACGGCCCTGTCGCTACAGCTCATGATGCATCCCGCTGGGATAGTAGATACACGAGCAAGCTTGCGGGTTGGCCGCAGATGAATCTTCATTCAATAGACAGTCAGGACTGGGTCATTTTACAAAGAAAGATGGAGCAAGTCTGCGGTGGAGAAGGAAACGAGTACCAGCTGATGCCCGGGCCACTTGCTGCCTCAGATGAGATGACGACAGCTCTGTCTTAAGGTCCGGTATAAGCGTCATGTTCTGAAAACAGGAGCTTTTCCATGTTCTCTAACTTTTTAAGTCCAGTGCCGACTAGTCCAAGCTCATCAGTGCTCAGGCTCCTCAGTCCTAGCGGAATAGTGCCAATACGGTCACCTACCTCAGCACAGTGTCGTCCGAGCATAAGTAGCGCAGGAGTTGTGGCGAACTTGCTCCGCAGCTCCGCATCCACAGCTTAGAGAGTGCGCAATTTGCCTGTTCTTCCCTCTCGGTTCTGCCCGTGAGAACAGCATGCATGTTCATCTCACTGGAACACTCCTCACATGGTCTGTGAACATCATCGAGCATTTGCATCATCCACAGAGTAACCGCACGGTCCGCGTCCGAGCTTTAGCTGTTCTAAGCTGTCATCAAGTGCGCCTGCGAAGCATAAGGCGGCCGGGCAAGTTGCAGTTAAGATAACTTACATCTTCATAGGATAATGTTAACGTAGGTGTATAGCGAAAGTTACATACATGCGAAAGTTACACTAAACCATACCAACGCGACATCTCACTTCTACACCCACTTCCTCCACAACCTAACATGCCTCAGAAAAACGACGAAAGCCAAGTTATCTTAGCCCTCCAGGCTCTAGAGAATGATCCGAAATTAAGTCTTAGAGCTACAGCTCGGATCTTTTCTATAGACCCAATGAAGCTCAGCCGCCGTCGGCGCGGTCAGCAGTCACGATACGATATTCCAGCCAACTCGCGGAAATTGACCGATTTAGAGGAGGCTGTCATTGTTCAATATATCCTCGACCTGGATTCTAAAGGATTTCCTCCCCGCTTGTCTGGTATAGAAGATATAGCCAATCGGCTGCTTGCCAAATACGACGCAGGATATATTAGAATACGTTGGGCTTCAACCTTTGTCAAATAGCACCTAGAGCTTACTATACGTTTCAATTGGAAATACAACTATTAAAGGGCCTAATATAAAGATCTAGAGATTATTTGCGGTTGGTTTGCGCTTATATGGAATATAATCGCGAAATACGGCATCTAGGAGGCCGATATCTATAATTTCGATAAGACTAGGTTTCAGATAGGTATTATCTCAACAGCAATAGTTGTTACAAGCTCCGAACGGCATAGCAGGGCAAAGTCGAAGCAGCCTAGCAATCGTAAGTAGGCAATAGTAATCTAGGGTGTCAATACAACTAGCTAGGCGATCCTACTATTTATTATTGTTAAGGGCAAATATTATCTCTCCTCTTGGTATAAGAATAGCCTATTGCCGAAGGACTAGATCATTGCAATATCCAAAAACGGTTGGACAACTAACGAGAGAGGCCTAGAATAGATTTAGTACTTCGACAAGTATACTAAAGCTCGAACAGCTGGGGTTTATTACCTTCTAGTCCTCGACAGCTATAATAGCTACTACTCGACCGATTTCGAGCTCTATTGCAAGAAGAATAATATTATCACCTTCTATATACCTCCCTACTTGTCTTATATTCTTTAGCTGCTCGATATTAGGTATTTTAGCCTACTTAAGATAGCATACGGCAAGCAGATCAAGGGGATAATATAGGCAAGTATAACCTATATTACTAAGGAGGACTTCTTTCCTATATTCTATGCCGCTTTCTAAGCCGCTATAACTCTTGAAAACATTCAAGGAGGTTTTCGAGATGCTAGAATTACTCCTTTTAATCCTGAGAAAGTAATCTTATAGCTCGATATCTATCTAAAGACGCTAACGCCCTTAAACTCGCCGCCTAGTAGTGCCTATACCTAGGTTTCTAAGACCCCGAACAACCTAATCGAAGCCTCCTTATAGTCTACCCTTATCAAGAATCGAATTGCCCGGCATTAAAATAGCTCTCCAACTGAGATTTTAAGGGTGGTTGATATATTTGCTAAAGGGACGTCCAAGGTCATGCATCAGTTGGCATTGTTAAGGGCAGAGAACTAGAGCCTCCGAGCAGCAAATGAGGCACTAAGCAAGCGCCGAAGGGTCAAAAAACAACGGCTCCGACAAGGAGGATCACTTTCTGTATAGGATGCATAGGATCTATAGGGCTAGAGAGACGTTGAGGTATAGATTAAGGAGGAAACGCAGGCGGGTAGTAGTCGGAAGCCAAGGGTTAAGACATGCGCGCGGCATTGTGGCAACTGCGGCGAGCCTGGCCATAATGCGCGTACCTGTCAGATAGTTGTTGAAACGTCCGAGGAAGACGATTCCGAGTAGTTTCGTTCGTTTTGAGCTGGTTGGGTGGAATTAATATAGATAAAGTTAAGGGGGTATAGTTTAGTGTAACTTTCGCATGCATGTAACTTTCGCTATACACTTACGTTAGTGAGCAGATAGAATTAAGCTAACCTTTGGTTAACATGTCCGTCTTATCTGCTGCAGTACGGTAAGGTACTTGCTAGGCCTCCGGAATCGCCTTGGCTGGGAGCCGGATTTGGCCGTTTTGGCAGCGAGGAGTTGGCTTGCTTGAGAGATGGTGGCCAACGCAAGTGTTATTAGCACCGTACTAGTACTTGCACACAGTAAAGTGGCAAGGCGTTACCCAACTACCCTCCCGCCATTCACCTCATCAGATGATCAGACTCCCAACGACACACTCACAAATCCATCCGCAATTGAAGGGATTCACACTGTCAAACAAAATCAAGGATCAAAAAGACCCAGGGAAAGACTTCACAATGGATTACGACTCAGACAGGGAGGATCTGCCCTGCCGCATGGTCCTCAAAACACAAGGCAACTTCAGATTACTCAACCCTCAGCCTCCCTTGACCGCGAAACTCGACAAAATGAAGGCTATTGCATCACGATATTTTAACAAAGGATGGGTGCCCGTAATACGCCCGGTTCCATCCCCCTCCGACGTCCGGCATGCCTGCCGCGCCATGGACAAGGGGCACAATGGCATATGGACAGGCAGTGTGTTCCACCCACCATCCGCAAACTCGGACCCGTACGACGTCTTTCCGCTCAGGCGTGTCAACGGCGTATCGTCCAGCCGGTTCATTGATCGCTTCTGCATCCGCCGCCGCCACGTGCCCCATGTGTCCCCCCTGAAGACCATGGCTGTCTTCACCGATGGCTCCTGTTACCACCAATGGAAGCCGCGCGCAATGGGCGGTTGCGCCTTCGTCATCAACCGCAACGGCTCGCTGGCGCCTTGCTCCACGCCGGGCACCTTCCGCTTCCCCTTGGAAAGTGTCGGCCCGGACGGCTGGGAAATCCCCGCGACGGCGAACCGCGCCGAGATCCGTGCCGTGGTTGGCTTCCTGGAGTTTCGCCCATGGATGGGCGAAGGTTGGGAGCGGATCGTGGTTGTCACGGATTCGACCTACGTGGCGAACTGTGCGACGCGGTTGATGCCGCTGTGGGCCGGGCGAGCATGGCTGATGGCGGCAGGGAAGCCCGTGGCGAACAGGGACCTGTTGGAGAGGTTGAGCACTGCGCTCGGAGAGTATGCGAGGGCAGGCTGTGAGGTCTCGTTCTGGGTGGTGCCGCGACGGTTTAATGGGTTAGCGGACGCGGCGGCGAAGGCGGCGGCACAGGAGGAGATGGCTCGACGTCCCGGCGTTCTTATTTGATCTACCGGTCGTATACATCCAATTTTTCGACCTTCTACTATCACAGCATCTGCGTTTAGGACTCATCCTTCCTGTTCTGTTTCAGTTGTTCTTTCGATTGAATTGCAAGGTCCTTTGGCCTGTGTTCTGGCACCGGTTGTTCGCAGGCTTCAAGTCGTACCGAGGATTTATCACCTAGATAGGTACTTAGCATGTACAACTAGAGCAAACAGAGCTAAAGCCAACCTAAAGAAGGGAAAATTGAAGAATTTGAGGATGAGGTTCTGCGTACGACGTTTGGCCGGACTGACCTGAAGGTGACAGGACTCGGGAGCAAGAGGACTCGGGAGGTTACCGCAATCGCAGACGTGAGGTGACGTTGGTACCGAGCCCCACGCTAAGCTCCATTAGGATAAGTTAGACAGTTTGGGGCCTTCGCTAGTGGCAGGTCGCAGGGGTTCTGGCGCGATGCTCAAAGACGAGGCACGCCGACGCTCCTTCCAAATTCCGAACTGGCAGGCTGGCACCTACCCCTCTCGCGCATCTCGAACTCCCCCGCTGTCGTCCAACGACGGAAATCCTCGCCATGGAGGGCAAATCGAAAGCGTCCCCAAAGGGAAAGTCACCTTCAAAATCACCGTCGCCTCCGGCCGCAGATAGCCCCAGCGTCCCGGGAGAAGAACAGCTCCGCGCAGATGTGAGTGAGACTATGACCAAGCCTCACAAGTGCCAGCGGACTACAAAGTACAAACCGCTCAACATATCTGGAAAATAACAGCTTGAGCCCGACATCTCCGCTTCTGACAATGATTCCGTCTTCAGCGAGGATAACCTGAGTTCTACTGCGTCTATCAACTCGACTATCCTGGCGTATCGCAGGTTGCATGGCCGGACATATCAAAACTACGAGGGGGCCGAATACTGGTACGGAACCTTATACTGCTAAGCCGAGCTTTTCGAATTGAAACTGACATAGGTCGTCGTATGCAAGGGGACCAAATGACGACAGGCAAAATGAGGGCCTGGATATGGCGTATGCGCGGAGAGCCTGCAATCACGCACGACATGGTTTACCGATTGGCAGCTGACGACGGTGCAAATAACAGCCACCACATGATGTACGTCGCCTTCGACAACAAGCTATTTCTCGCGCCTCTCGAGAACCCGCAGAAGGTACTGGACGTGGGAACGGGGACGGGCATCTGGGCTATGTGAGTTGCTGTGTTTCCTAGGGTAACCAACGATACGAGACGGGAGCGACTCTCTAAACAGGCTCCGAGCAGCGACTTTGCAGATGAACACCCTTCGGCAGAAGTAATCGGGACAGACCTATCGCCTATCCAGCCGTCCTGGGTGCCGCCCAACTGCAAGTTTGAGTTGGATAACTGCGAGTTAGCCTGGACGTACCCCGACAATATGTTCGACTACATCCACATCCGCGGTCTGGTTGGCTGCGTTCAGGATTGGGGGCGCTTGTACCGCGAGTGTCTCCGCTGTCTCAAGCCGGGCGGCTGGCTCGAGCAACAAGAGTTCGCGCTGCCTATCGCAGGCAACGACGGCCCCCTCCCAGACGATTGCGTGTGGCACGATTGGGGCCGGATCTTCCGCGAGGCCGGCGAGAAGATGGGCCGGACGTTCGAAGTGACGAATCACTGGGACAAGTGGCTGCAGGATGCGGGCTTCACAGGCACGCTGCACTTCGACTCGGTCCGGCTGCCCATCGGCGGCTGGCCGGCCGACCCGAGATGGAAGGAGGTCGGCCTGTTCAACAAGCTGAGCCTAGAGCAGGGCCTCGAGGGGTTTGCGACCTACTTGTGCACTCAGGTCCTGGGCTGGCGCCCCGAGGAGGTCACGGTCATGCTGGCCAAAGTGCGACAAGCGATCAAGAACCCGACGTACCACGCGTACTATCCGCTGTAAGTGCTTCCCCCGCGCGCTCAACCGCGCTGCCACTGCTGTGGGAAGTGCTTCTGACGGCGTATCTAGCAAAACCGTGTACACGCAGAAGCCTCTTGCGTCCTAGCTTTCCGTGAGCTACCTTGGCTTCGCGTAAATCGCGATGCCGCGCCGCGGAGAGCGCTAAGTACAAGCGGCAGGCGAGCACGGATTGGCAAAGACTGATCTAGGATTGAACTGTGGATTCGTATTACTGGGTTTGAATACGTGCCCATCTGCCAAAAGACTAAAGGCAACGGAGCAGTTTGAAAAGCAAGAGCACATATACCACGCACATGCACGTTCATTTCAAACACAAGGCAGATACCCTGCGATCTTATACTGGAAGCACCCACCCACTTAACCCGAGTCATGATAGCAAACACATGCTGAGTTCCAGGTCTATTCGGTTCAATGCCAGCACACATCTTATGACATTCGAAATCTAGAGATATTGGGCAGCAGTTTGTAGTGGACCTAGCTGCAGAACTCATCCCTGCCCACATTGAACCATTGCTCGAAACTCCACGTGCCAGAAGAGGGATCAGACTCATCAGAGCCTAGCCCACAAATGCTCTGATATTGATGGATGGTTGTCCGGAGCTAGGTAGACTGAGACCTGGCACTGGGATGAGATGAGGTATGTAAGTATATCCGCTCTACTTCGAGTGGTGTTGCTGTGTGTTGACATGGAGAGATTTACACTTAGTGTTGGCCCCTGCCACAAGCTCACGCACGCCTCACCTTCCTCGCTGAGGTCATGGGGAGATCATTCGACGTCACGTTCCGTGGTCTCATTGGACGCATAAGGCGGCACAGTGAGGGCTTTCTCGAGGAGATGAGGCTGCCGGACAGCAAGATGCTCAACGACAACCAGAAGGCTGCCCGCTATAGAGGCCACCCATGAACATCAGATATACAGCACTTCAGAGGTCTATTGACTCCTCCTTTCTAAAAAGACTTGATGGCGTGGCAATCGCTGCCGAAGGGAAAAGGGCGGCCAAAGAAGCAGGCAGGTTGTATTGCTTGTATTCTAACTGCGCAATGGAATAGAGGCCTTCATCAAATAAACCTGAGTATTCCCTCCAGATTATTACCCGACAGTACCTTATATCAATCATCCTTCACTGTTGGAGCCCACCACACCCTCACTCATCCCTTTCCTCCATACGGAGTACCCCTTCCCTATAATTTCACCAAGGATTAACCCAAGGCCGGCACTTATTCGCAGCGCAGAATCCGGAGCAGCACGGCCCGACCCACTGCCCATTGATGTAGCAGTCTCCGTACGTCGGCACACACATGCCCTGGCAGCTGACGCCAGTGATGGGCTGCGGCGGGCCGACCATGATCTGGTTGGCGCCGGTCGGCGAGATGCTGCTGGCGAAGGTGGCCTCGCCCTGGGTGTGGAATTGGCACTGGGAGAAGGCGTTGTAATCTGGGGCGTCGATTATGTTGATGGAGAAGTCGTTGTCTAAAAAGGGCATTGTCAGGACTCAGATGGGATATCAAAGAGAAAGAAAGGGTGAGAATAAGAGGAGGAAAGGCTTACTGGTTGGGTAGATGTTGCCGTCGGCGGGAAAGGCCATGTCGTACTGGACTGGGCCGCCGTGAAAGCTGAGGTGGACCGTTTGGACGTCGCGCTCCTCTAGGGGGATGGCGGAGGCGCTGGTCAGGAGGAGCCCTAGGGCGGATGTGAGGGCGGCGAGATACTTCATCACTGCGGTTTCTTGATCTCGGTGACAAGTTGGGTTTGTTGCGATCGTGGTGTCCGTTGCTATAGACAGTCGCACTCTCCGAATCGAGCTTCGATCCCGGTGCAGCTCTTGCCCATTTTATACCTGCCCTGCCACTGAGCTACCTTCATTCGCGTATCCGACCGTGCGTATACGCTTCCAAGCCCGGAATCGAACCCTCATGGTAGGCCTTCTGACGATGCAGACATCACCGGCTCCAAAATCTAGCCATGCAGGACGTTGGCTGATTTGGCCAACAGGTGTCCTACGGCAGGCGAATACGAAGTTGTTGCTTGGCACCCGTGCCGTAGCGTCAAAACTAGGACGGCAGGTGACCTTGGATCAGCCCGCATACATCAAGCCATCATTGATGTGATTCGATGAGCGACCCGACTCGCACGAGGGCATCCACTGAAAGCGGGATACAACCAACCCTTCAGCTTGTCCAGTCTCTTGGTACCAGATTATAATTTCGGCGTGTGCCAGAGCTTGTCAATCATTGAGCTCGACGCTCGTTGCGCAGAGCCATGGATAAACACGAGTCACCACGGGGCGTGGAGTGTAAGACGGAGCAACTCTAGCATCCATGCGTCTCAGACCTTCTTACTCGTCTCCTCGTTTTGAAAGGTCATCATCGGCTACCCATTCTCACCAAATGATACGCCTATCAAATGATACGCAAGGGGGGAGAAAAGCATTGATCCAGTGGTGAGTCCACCACGACTCTCTATCTCACGCTGAGGGATTCACCATCGGTATACATCCTAGCGCCACCATTGTAACGTATATAGTTTCTGTCTAATTCTTAACTGAGACCCATATCAATAACCTTACGCAACAAGAAGAACAATAACCCGACTATACTCCCACTCTCCCGAAACCAAAAAAAAAAAAAAGGGAAAAAAAAAAGGGGGTACCCGAATCAAAGAACATCAAGCGCTCTGCGACTTGATAAACTCCCTAATAATCTCCCTCACATCCCTAGCCTGCAAACCCAGCTCAGCATTCGCCGTCTCCTCCTCCTTCACGGAATGATCCACCCCATCGGAAAGGCTGTACCGCTGCAGCTCCTCAATGAAAGCGGTCCAATCGCCCCGGGCCCTCTTCTCGTCCCGGATGCGGGCGAGCTCCTGGCCGTTGGTGTGGGTCACGGCCAGCTTGATGCCGGCCTCGTCCTCGATGAGGCGCACCAGCTGGTTCTGCGTGACGTGGTGCTCGACCACCTCGACGTACCGGTTGGCCGTTTGGTCCGCGCGCTGCAGCACTGCGACGACCGACTCCGCCACGAAGGGCAGACTGGACGTGGCCACGCGCGCGTTGCCCGAGTCGACGATCATGGCTGTCTTCGCGGGGAAGTCGATGCCGAAGATGTTGTAGTTGGCCAGGCACTGAGGGGGTCGAATATCAGCATTTTTGTTTATATATTTAAATGATATCATTGACCTAGTGCTAAAAATGATGGGGTTGGGGGGAAGTTAGTAAATCAAACAAAAGGGGCTCACCCAGTCAAGAAACATCCTTGTCGCGATGCCGGTCCAAGTGAACCCCGGGTGCTGCTTTGCCTTCTCGATCAGGTAGTCGACCGCCCTGGTTTTGTCGCTCATCATTTCCGCCATGGGGCCGCTCAGCTTGCCTGGGCGCGTGTTGTGGCCCCATTCGGACGGGATGAAGCGCTTGACGCCGGCGGCCACGGCCGCGTCGATGTAGGGAGCCTGGTTGCCCGACTCGGTGGTCGGCGGCGTCATGATCACGACATCCTGGCCGGCAAATGCCTTGGTTAAGGCCTCGACTGATTTGAGGTCAGCCTTGCGGACCTCGACGCCGTCGGGGTAGGTCGACGTGGACGATTCTCGCGCGACGGCCGTGACCTTGAAGCCCGCCGCCACCAGAGCCTGGACAACTGGTTTGCCCACGCTGCCCGCGGCCTAAGGGGAAATCACATGTTACTGGATGCAGGCATTCGATCAAGAGAGATGTCGGCCACGTACACCAACAACGGCAATTGTCTTGAAAGACATGGTTATGATTGTGATGAAGGGATCTGTCGATCAGTAGAACAAGTCAGGAGAATTTAGGATTGCGCTGCGAAGCCTGGGAAAGTTCATGACCAGGTCGTGCATCATGGCGCCCTTTATAGTTTATACCGATTCAACGACCACCGTGAGGTCTTCGACAAATGCTAGTCGGGCTTACAGTAAACCCGTAGGAAGGAAGGCATTCCATGAGCTGAATCAGCCCACTTCGTGATGCTGCGATAATAGCTTGCGCAACGCATACAAGCCTCGAACTCGACCGAGCCGGAGTTAATCAGCGCCTAAGAGGACAACGCGGTGCCACGGATCATATTTTGTCCATCATAAGCCAAATGCTAGTTCATTACGTCCTATTTTGGCACACGTCTGATGTTTGCATGTGCTTCGCGTCAGCTATGTTTGCGTACTGTGGTGGGATGGGAAAGTTAGTGCCCAATGCGCACGTACCGACAGGGCTTATTATTGGTGGACCGTCGACAGACACGGGTCTGACAGCAGCTGGCAGCAAAATCCGCCAGCCCTGGTCGGTACCTGAGCAGGGGCAATAACTTTTGCTCCGTACCACAGTATGGTGACGACGTCTCGCGGATTTATCCCACCTGGCCTGCTGATCTGACATGCATTATAAATCATTACCTCGGAAATACGACACCTGAATCTCTTCATCCGAGACAAACGTGCCTCACGTTTAAAGACAGATGATGTGAGCATACCAAGTTTCTAAACATAGGAGAGAGGTGACAGATCGGGAGAACTCATATGGTGTAGGGTAGTTAAGGCTATTACTGTGGTATGATGGGTAATAAAAACCTCCATGCGGGGTACCCTCGCTGATTCAGGCAATGATACCCGCTTATTTCTATACTAAATATACCAAACCACTAGCTAGTATTTTGTATGCATCCCGTTGGCTGCAATAACAGCTTTGTAGCGCTCTGGCATTGAGGCCAACAGCTGCTTCAAGTAGTCGTCCGGCAATGCCTCCCAAGCCTCCTTAATATATTCGCGAAGCTTGTCATACGAGGGTCTTTCTTCAAGGCCATACTGTGACGAAACCACAGGCAGTCCTGCCTCTGAAAGGGTTCGCTGGTCGAAGGTATCTGCTGGTCGGACTGTAGGTCTCGGTGAAGCCAAAAGGTTCACAACAATGCAAGTTGCAATGTCTGCACAGTAGGGTAGGGCTACTCTACTGTTTGTATTGCTCACTGGAGAACTCCCAGAGTCCTCCAGAACGAGTGACTATATACTAGCTTTCTCCTCGAGTGCTCAGTGCTTTGATTTGGATGAGCACCGGGGTGCTCATCGTAATATGCCCCTGATCACTCTGATCACTTATGTCCTGCAGAGTGCTCAGCGATATTGGCACCTTAGCATCTTTGCCTGTCTCTGACTGGTCCGCCTGATTGTCCAAATGATTGGCTCGGGACGTCCTCGCGTCCCCACATACGGCCGTCTACCCTATAGCCTGCCGTTAGTTAATTCATGACACATAACGTATCTTATCAGCGAGCCGATCATATCAGCGAGCCGATCACTTTTTGCCGCAACGCGTCATTTTCACACCCAACATCAATTTTCTCTACAACCTAACATGCGTTCTCCTTCAAAAGAAGCCAGGGTAATCCTAGCGCTTGAAGCTTGTCAAAACAACAAAAAACTAAGCCTCCGAGCCGCAGCTAAGCTCTACGACGTACCCTATACAACCCTCCATGACCGATCTACTGGCCGGCTTACACAACGCGATCTTCCAGCCAACTCGCATAAGCTCACCAATCTAGAAGAGAAGGCGATAGTTCAGTATATGATTGAGCTATCTGCACGCGTATTCCCACCTAGACTAAGTAGGGTGGAAGATATAGCCAATCATCTGCTACGCGAACGCAGTGCGCCCCCTATTGGCAAGCTCTAGGCACATCGGTTTGTTAAACGCCAGCCAGAGCTCTATACGCGTTATGCCTATCGATACAATTACCAGAGGGCTAAGTGCGAGGATCCAAGAATTATTAGGGAGTAGTTTACGCTTGTACGAAACACTAAGGCCAAGTATAGTATCGTGGATAATGATATCTATAACTTTGACGAGACCGGGTTTATAATGGGTATGATCTGCCCGGGCATAGTAATTACGACCTCGGATGGCCGTAGTAGGGCAAAACTAGCCCAGCCTAGTAACCGCGAATGGGCAACGGTGATCCAGGGAGTCAATACACTTGGCTGGGCTATCCCGCCCTTTATCATCTTGGCCGCGCAATACCATCTCGCCAACTGGTATACCGAGTGTAACCTCCCAGCAAACTGGCGCATTATAACTACCGACAACGGCTGGACTACCAATATAGCAGACCTAGATTGGATCAAGCACTTCGACTTCTATATAGCACCTCGTACAAAGGGCAAAAAGCGGTTGTTGATCCTCGACAGCCACAAAAGCCACCACTCTACCGAATTCGAGCTCTACTGCCAGGAGAATAACATCATCACGCTCTGCATGCCTCCGCATTCCTCCCATAAGCTCCAGCCACTCGATGTTGGCTGCTTTAGGCCGTTGAAACAGTCATACGGTCGCCAGATTAAGGACTTAATACGCGCGCATATCAACTACATCAGCAAGCTCGAGTTCCTCTACGGCTTTCGCGAGGCCTTCTTTACTTCCATAACGGAGAAGAACATACAGGGTGGCTTTACAGGGGCTGGCCTAGTACCATACAATCCAGAGAGGGTCCTTTCTACGCTAGACGTAAAGCTTCGTATACCGACACCTCCAACCTTACGACCTAGCACTGTACAATCTTGGGTCTTCCAGACACCATACAACCCCCGAGAAGCCAAATCGCAGTCAACACTTATCAAGACTCGCATTGCCAACCATCAAAACAGCTCTCCAACTTTAATATTAGGTGCTATGGATCAACTTTCTAAGGGTACGATAGCTATAATACACCAGGTGGCCCTCCTTTGGTCAGAGGTCTCTTCGCTCCGTAAGGCCAACGAGGCACTAAGCAAGCGCCGGAGAGCCAAAAGAACACGCATGCAGCTTGGAGGATCACTTGCAGTACAGGATGCAAAGGATCTACTAGACCAGAAGGCCGTGGTTGGGGAGGTGGTACAAGAAACGCAGCCGGACGGTGGTAGTACAGGGGGGGGTCATACGAAGGTTCGGTGCTATAGTATGTGCGGCAAGCCTGGCTATAATATACGTACGTGCCAGGAGGTTGCAGAAGGGTCTGATTCAGCTGTTTCTGATGTAATTATAGTTGGTTTCTAGTGTTAGTGTATTATAATTGAGGATAGATGTTTTGGTGTGGTGGAAATTGATCGGCTCGCTGATATGATCGGCTCGCTGATAAGATACGTTACCGGTCTTCAATCCAGTCCTTCATCCAATTCCAATAGGACTCGATTTGGTTCAAGTCTGGTAAGAAAGGTGGCCACTCTATTATAACAATGCCTCTCTCCCTAAGATCCTCCTTCGTCTCTATAGCTATATGCCCTAAAGCACTATCTTATATCAAGATTAGATCTTTACCAAGCTATGCCTTATATATCTATATCCAGCCATAAATAATAGGGACAGTTCGTACGCGGTACGTCTTAACGTTGATCTTCCCCTAGTCCTTTTCCCAAAAGAGTCCAGGGCCTTTACCCAAGCCAAAGAAGCAACCCTAGAACATTTACCCTTCTTTACGTTAATGCTTTTCCATAATGCAAGTAGGATCCCACTCTTTGCCTTACCGCCGGGTAATATATTGCTTCCGATATGGCCCGCTAGTAACCCAAGTCTCATCGGTCCAAAGGATCTTTGCCCATTGTTCAAGGGTCCAATGTTCATGCTCTTGCACCCAAGCTAAACAGAGTTGCCAGGTTCGTTCAGTAATTGGTGGCTTCTTACGAGCAATTCACCGGCGGAAGCCGAGTCGATAAAGGGCATGCTTAATCACCCAAATGCCGAAGACCCTAGCGAAGATAATAGCCGAGAGTTCGAGGAAGCCTATTCGACGAGTCTTTTTGCTAGAACAAACAAACTAAATAAGCTCTTCTTCTTACTCTGGCGTTAATGTCCGAGGCCAGCTAGTACTCCGGTAGGCAGTTGCATTAGGAGCGCGAATTATAGTCCGGATCTGGGCCTTAATATAGCCAGTGATATAATAGATCTTACCTTAGCTTTTGGCTATATCGAAATATAAGACTCGAACATGTTGGCCTTGTTCGGTAGTCAACTGTTTCGTACTACTTGACTCTTATGGCCGTGCCATTGTATTGCTAGATTGTGTTGACTGCATTGACTACGTTGAGTGCGTCAACTGCGATGACTGCGTTAAGTGCGTTTAACGAGAACGAGATGGCTGTCGAAAAAATAGGGGGCTCGATAAGTTCAGCTGATTGGTCAAAACGCGTCGAGTGTTGTGACCCACAGGTACTTGACTAGGGGGTTTTCTTTATGCACGCGACCACAGTAAGCAAGTATGCAAGTTCCTGAGAGCAAAAAATGGGATAACCAGGAATCGAACCTGGGTCCTCTCGGAAGTTGGTCGTTGACCACAACGAGAAGTACTGACCACTATACTATTATCCCGTGTTGATTGGTTAGTCGATTGAGTCGACCACCTATCAATGATTACTGCAGGGAACCGGAGAGGGTCTTCATATGCAGCACAGGTGTTACGTAGTTGCTGCTCCTTTTCTACCTTGAAAGTCCAGAACTTGCTCTTTTGACAATTTGAACTTGGTTACACGTTTCACCAGTGATGGCAGTTTGAGGATCGGTGAGGTCTATTCTGCCATTGCCATCCCGAACAATGCAGACTGGCCTCACGCAACGTTGAACAACAGGAGCGAGGGGAGGCGTCGACTCCGATGTGGGTTCAACCTTTTGGCGATCGGCAATAGTGGTTTGTGTATTGGCTTTTTCCCGACACCTTACCTTGTCTACCTATTCAGATCAGTGGGCCAAGTTTAAGCTGGTCTCAAGCTGAGTGCCGTCGCTGCCAGCAGCAATGGCTGCAACACGAAACACCGCAACCGTCGCGATGACGTAGGTAAAGGTGCCGCTGCCAAGCAGGGTCCTGCCGATCAACGACACGACTTGGTGCCTTGCTTGAAAGGCGCATTGATGGAGACACAATTGGTGTTCATTCAGTGACACAAGCTGATGTAATTGCGGCTGCCAGGTGTATATAATACCCTGCGCCTAGTCACCTCACTCAGCATCACCACATCACTGTGCAACATCAAACCACCAACTTGCAAAACTATCACACTCGCCCATTTCAACCGACACAATTTTAGACCATCCACAACACCCTTCCATCAAACATGAACAACATCACCAACCCCGCGGGCGGCTCTGCTCTTGGCAACAACCCGGGCGCCATGGGCGCTTCCAACGCCGGCCAGCACAACGACATGGGCGACAAGGCCTTTGATGCCGGCGCCAAGAAGTTCGGACACGTCAACCCCGACACCGCCGAGAAGATCACCGACGGTGCCCGTGGTGCCTTCGAGAAGGCTACTGGGTATGTGCACCCTCTTACCTACGGCAGGGGCCAGTGGGTAAATTGGGAGAGAAGGAGATGCTAACAGGAGTTGGGAACAATAGCAAGAAAGTCAGCTCCAAGATCTCCAACTAAGCAGTGCGCATGGAGTATACTTGTATGATGGGGATGGCGTTTTGGGAATGTTCGGCTTTAGATTTTGCGGGCAATTGTCTACTGGGACTCGCGAGATGCGACTTATACAATATTACTTGTATCACCTAGATGATTGCTATGAGACAATGAAACATGAACAAGCATTGAAAGAAAGTGATATTCTCGTTACCGCTAGTGAGTTCTCATCTTCTCGTATCGAGACTTGAGTCCCAGATCAGAATGCAAGGCTCATCGAACTGACGCCTTCGCCGGTTGGTTCGATAATGACAGTATTCACAATTGCGCTGCTTACCGGCCGCTAATAATAATAAGCCATGGTGTTATTGTTGGATGGCTTCCTCTTATATCACGAGAGAGAACATTCCAGGGACTTCAAGTACCTGGTCATTACTACTCATCTCGAATTCGACATAGTCTAACAAACCAGTAGCTAATGCATTTCTCTTTCCCCGCCGGCTATCCCAAAAGTCTATTCAAGTGTATATTCAGAAAGGGGGGGTATATTTTGAGCAACCATCCATCCGACCGATCCGATATCACTCCGGCTTGCCAACACGGGTCTCGCACAGCTCCAGCTCGCCAAAGTACTGCTTCATCTCGGGCACCTCCAGCACGGCGCGCACGTACGGCTCCACGGCGGGGGCCTCCTTGCGCATGTCGGCGTCGACGACATACTTGGCGGCGATGTGCAGCGCGCCGACGACCATGACGTCGGCGAAGGTGAGGCGGTCGCCGACGAGGAACTTCTTGCCCGGCGCGCCGCCCTGCAGCGCCACGTCGACGCGCTTGACGGCGCGCTCCAGCACGCTCAGGCTGCGGTCGTAGGCGGCCTGGTCGAAGGGCCAGAACTTGGCCACGCACATCAGCACGGCCGGCAGCATGTTGCCCACGAGCTCCTGCTCGGCGAAGCAGGCCCACTGCTCGATCAGCGCGCGCTCCCGGGGGTCGCGCCCCAGCAGCTCGTCGGCCCGCGGCCCGCTCTCGGCCACGTACCGCGCGATCGCCTGGCTCTCCGTCAGGAAGAAGGTGCCGTCGGCCGACTCGAAGGCCGGGACCTTGCCCAGCGGGAACTTGGCAAGGAACTCGGGCGTCTGGTTGGTCACGCCCATCTGGAAGTCGGCCACCGTCTCCACCTCGAGCCCGTTCATGGCCGCGAGGGCTTGCACCTGCGTAGTAATATTAGAAGGCATCGAAAAATATAGGTGGGTTATTAGAAGGGGAGAGGGGGGGGGGGGTGAAGTCTTCTTACCCGCTGGACCCTGGGATTGTTGGGGTAGCTGTAGATCTTGCCGAACGGAGCCATGGTGAATGAACGGTAGGGTAGGTAGATGTGTAAGGATGTTGTTGAGTAGGAGTGAAAGAGAGAGTTGGTTCGATTGCGTGCTCAGGAGAGGAGATGACAACATCTACAAGAAAGCATTCTGGGGGTAAACCGCCGCCCTTAAATGGGCCGCATCCCCCCTAGCCCCCTCTCCTCTTTGCAAGATCTAGAGTGAACATCCTTGGGCCATCGCGACACTAGAGTAGCAACAGACCCCTCCTTCCAACATCCCTTCAAACTCAAAAAGCGGGCTTTCTCTAGACCGTCGGACTCCACCTCCCAGTCCTTTCAACGGCACTTCATGACCACCACGGCACCCTCCAATGGGCACGTCTCAGGAACCGGTCTACTGCAACTCCCATTTTCTCGAACATTCCACTGCCAGCGGGACGAAAGTCGGGAAAAGGTGCCAGCTAGGGAAGTGGACATGTGGAGTGGGATGGATAGTGGATTCGTCAGGAAACACAAAATTATCGGTTCCTTTTGACGAGTCTTACAAATCAAGGACCATAGTGGTTGGTCGCAGACCCCAGCAACGCGGCAACTCGGGAGAAACAGAAGAGCCGCGAGCTTCCTGTAACGTTATGCAGTGCAACCCCCCGGAGAGTCACCAAAAACGAGAAACCTAAGTTGAATGTGATAAACAGGCCAACTCAGGGGCAAAAATAACACCTGATAACCCCATGTGGGGGCTGTTTTGGACGAGCTGGGAATCGAACCCAGGACCTTTCGCATACAAGACAGTATGCTAAGCGAACGCTCTACCAACTGAGCCACACGCCCTTGGTAATGGTGATGTTGTTGAGGTGGAGGCTCGATGGTGCGACTCATGACGGCAGCCCGAGCTGAGGAGTGTTCGGACACCTCTCTGTTATTGTTGTAGGTCAGGAACCAGGCCCCCTTCCACTAAGTTATGTACACGCCAATATGTACAGCGGCTGCGCCCCAGAATACCTATGCCAAATCTCGACCACCGCGTCCCAAAAGGGGCGCCTCTCCGCCGCTACATGTCCTCCTCCCGCGCCACGCAAACCGGACACCCCCCAGCAATGCGATCCCTGAGCAGCCTGGCATGTGTGACCTTGGCCCCAATGAGATGCGCCGACGACAGGAACCTCTGGTCGGCATCAAGCCCGTTGAGCAGCGCATCGTCGGCCTCCTGCTTCTGGCCGGGGTGCAGTCTCTGGAGCAGATGGGCCAGGTGGAAGACGTGTCCGCACGCGAACCCCACCAGCGTGTCGTCCTCCCACTCGACAAACGGCTCGAGACACTCGGCGCAGTGTCCAGGCGTCCACTTCCTCGCCTTGGTGGTGGTGGTGGGGCGCGGTGGCAGTGACGGCTTCGTCGCGTCCCCGTTCGCCTTCTCGGCCGCGGCAGCAGCATCCCCGCGCGGTCCACCATCCGCGTGAGGGGGAGGAGGAGGAGGAGCAACGACCTCGAACTTGACCCCCTTTCTCTGGCCCGCCCGCAAAAGTCCCTGCGCGGCCGCGACCTCGCTGCGCAACACCCGCGCCACGCCCTCGCAGATGCTGTACTGGATCTCGTGCTCCTTCATGATATGCTTCAGCCCCTCGCGCAAGCCCTCGATCTCCAGGCCCTCGGGGATGCGCCGCACCAGCGTGATGGGGTTGATGGCGGTGCCGACCTCCTCGAGCAGCGCGCGGATGAAGCGCGGCTTGTCCATGCTGTAGGCCAGCAGGTCCTCCCACAGGTCCGGGTCGTCCTGCTCCTTGGCGAAGGCGATGGCGCGGCTGACGTCGGCGAGGCGGTCGATGATAAGGTAGAGCGCGCGTTTTGTCTGCCCGGTCTTAGAGTACAGGTAGACGAGCTCCGGGATGTAGTTCAGGGCTTCGCATTCTTGGGCGGCCTAGGGAATAGGAAGGGGGATGCGGGTTAGTACCAGAGGAAATGGTATCAACTCGGGAACGAGGGGGCGAGGAGATATACCTTCTCGAACGCGTACGCGGTTGAAGTCTTGAGGAAGTCCATGAGCAGGGACTGGTCGTAGACGGCGAAGAGGTGCACAGTGAGGTCGGCAAATTGATCCACTAGCGTTTGACTATCGGTAACGAGGCGGGCGTGCGACTCGCCCGAATGCTCGTGCATGCCCTCTCCGCGCCACAGACCCCGAAGGTAGAAGAAGGTGTAGGCATCCAGCTTCTTCTCCTGCAGCTGCGTAATGACAACCTCGGGCCTCACTAGGCCGTGCTGGGCCTCGTCTACGAGTAGAGAGATGGCCTCCGCCGTGGCCTCCTCCAGCTCAGCGTGGCTCATCTTCCCAACGCGATCTTGCGGCACGCGCAAGCCAATGAAGCTCGGGATGTCGTCCGCTACCGCATCCGCGAGGTGGCCCTCCTTGATCAAGCGCATCGCCGAATCGGCGTCTTGGAGCCGGATGTGGCATTTCAGCGCCTCGCGATTCCTGCCGTTGGCCTCGTGCAACTTGGCCAGGCTCTCCATGACAATGCGCCAGTCTCGCCCGACTTCGCCGTCCTCAACGCTGTCTTCGCGCACATCCCGGAATTTGAGCTGATCCTCCAGGGCCGCGGTGATCGCACCCGCATCATAGAGATCCGGCGACCATCGCTCCAACAGCTCCCGGAACCGGGGCTTGTTCGTTTGGATATAATGCCCGAGCATGACCTCGTAAATAGTCCCCTTCAACGGCGGCCGTGTGCGTTCGGTGGGTATGTAATTGGCAACCTCATCAAACTTCTTCGCCCCGGCGAACGTCCACACCCATTTCTCCCATCGGTCAGGCGTGCCGAGGACCTTTCCACAAATCTGTCCCGCCCTTGTCCAGTCGCCGGCCTCAACGAGGTCCTGTATCCAGAGCTCGCCAATCCGTCGCTTTTCCTTCTCCGCAGAAGAGTAGAAGGACCGCATGCCCTCGGCGGCCGACGCTGTGTCATCGTAGAAGTCGTCGGTGCTCTGGGTCTGTTGTGGGGAAGCGGGACTGACATCGGGAGCTGTGGACATGATCTCGGGATGCTGGTCAACCAACTCCCATGCTTGCTGGTACTGCTGGTGGTCTAACAGCCACGCCAGATGGTCGCTCAGATCTCGCCTCGTTGACAGCACACAGTCGTAGGGGCTATGGATGAAGATCTTGATCCCGGGTTTGAGGAGATGCGGATGTACCGAAATGCGTCCAGATCGCCCCGTAGCCGGGGTGACATTCGCCCCGGACGCCCCGTCACTGCCTTTGCTCATGACGCTCGCCGCGGAGCTGAACAGGGACATAGGGTTGAGCGCAGCGTTGAGCACATCAGTGCCTAGTCCCGCGAGTGTCTCCAGCGCACCGCGAGAGGAAGCCGCGGCAGCAGCATTGCGGGCGGGCAGGATACCCAGGTGATAGTCATTGGACGACAACCTCTCAAAGCGGCTGATGCTCAATCCGTCCTTGTCCACCTCCGCTTGCGATGACAGGTCAATGAGCCGCAACTCAGGTGGCTGGGCATTTTGCTTGCGCGGAATGCCTCCTCGGGGGCCGCCGCTCCCGATAGAGCTCTCGGATAAGGTCTGTCTGTGAACCCCCGATGGTTGCGTGCCCTCGTCTTCCTCTTCCTCCTCCTCCTCGGGTAAGCAGTACGCGAGAACCAGTAACAGGTTCTGGGTATATAACGAAATGCCGGAAATGATGCAATCCATGCGAAGTCTAGAGGGTCAGCGACGAGCCAGAGAACAGAGAGAGATTCCGGTCACCTACATTTTTACAATTTCTGCCCGTCCAGCGGACCTCTCCCCGGCATTCTTTCCTGTGCCAATACCGCCTGGATGAACGTGGATGATCCAGATAGTGCCTCCCCACCCCACGAGCAGCCGCTCGATCTTCTTGCTGCCCCTAATCTGCTGTTGTTTAAGACTCTCAGCTGCAGGGGAGAACACACCCTCACGATGATCCCCGCTGGTCTCGTCCGGCTCCACCGCTTGCTCATCTATCCACTCGGCCCTGCCCTTCCACACGCTGGCCATCGTCTCCCACTCACTCGTCTGTGGCCTGTCGATATGGCCGATACGCTGCCACGCGTCCTCAGCGTCGGCATGCTCGAGATGGAGCTTAGTGCGCATGATCTTGATGCCGTGCTCGTTTAGCCAGGCCACGTATCTTCCCGACAAAGACCACTTGATCGTGTTGATGGTACCCTCGCCCGAGTGTAAAACGGTGTCCTTACCGCTGCCTGCCCCAACCATGCTGCCCAACCAGCCGGCAGCTTGCGCCGTGGCTCCAGTGGTCATGGCCGTGCTCCGCCCAGTTGGCGCACCGACGGTCAGTATGAGCTGGCCTGCCAGTCCGCCGGACAAGTACATCCTATCGTTCTTGTACTCCGGCGAGAGAGCGACTGCCTGCACGGGGCGGGCAAAGTTCCGCAGCGAGACATCCTTGACATCGACCAGTGACTGCACACAAATATTGCCATCCATCGACGATGTTGCGATGTGGATATTGTTCGACGGCGTGTTTGGTACGACGTGCTGCTCCTTGGGCCTCCGGGAGGCAGCAGCTGGGGATGCATGGCTCTCGGAGGTGCTGGTCGCCGGCCGTAGGGGACTGTTTGGAACTGATTTCACGGCAGCCTCGGGCATGGCGGCACTGGGCAAGGGAGGAGAAAACGGAGATATCGAGACGGAAGTTACGGACGCGGAATGCGCGTGGTACACACGTAACGATTGGAACGCGGGTAGCTCGACGACATGCTGTAGCACATAAGCAAGGTTAGTGGGAGACATGACAGGAGCAGCGGGGCGTGACTGACGATGTTGCCATTGTGAGTCCCGACAATCTGTGAGTCAGGTCAGTAGGTGCGGAGGACCAAGAAAAGCATGGAGTGTTGGGGTATCCGGACCATCTTGTCCCCTGCGACAAGAAATGCACTTGTCGCATCGCCATTCCGGTAGACAGGGCCAAGATGCTGGGTTAGCCGTGCGTACTTCAGCTTCGGCTCTTCGTCTTCTTCTTCTTCGTCGTCCTCCTCCTCATCGTCCATTTCGTCTTGTTCCTCATCCCCGTCCTCCTCTCCATCATCGTCACCGCCATTCCCTACTCCTCTGCTAGGCCCCTCTACCGTTACCTCAGATGCATTGTCCTTGTCCTCGCGGTCGCCCGAGCCAGTCCTGTCGCAATTGGGAGACTCTGATTCTGTCGTGCTGGTGCCTCTGATGCCTCGGTCAGTCAGAGGTTCGGTGTTGGAGCTCTGTTCGGTCGTCGCATTGTGTGTTTCGTCGTCGCCGGGTCGTGGCGAACTTTCCGTCATGTTGATGCGGACGACAGAGACACCTTCATGGCGTATTGAGGTGTGGCGCGGATTCACCGGGTTGCACAAAAACCGAGCTTTCAGGTCCAATGTTGCTGCAGACAGTTGCGGCTTCCGAAGCTTGAGCCCAAGGCCGGGTGGTTTGTTTGGTGAGAGCTACGTCAGAGCTCAGGCTAACCACGCCGGAGTCACTAACAACTCCAAAGGTGCAGGGGCGCGGCAAGCTCCAGCCAATCGACTTTCCAGGTTGGGTCTGCCCCACGATCGGCGGGGCAACAGCATCCATGGATCCGCGATCAAACATGCCGTGGACGCGCCTTCCACCGATGCAATGGTTTCGTTCCCAAATGCAGTAAATGCAGTGCTTAAGGTGCCAAACGCAACCTCTTTGTTCGCTGTGGCCCAGGCTTCGTCGTCAATTCTGCAACGTCCGGCTCTGAGCGACATGGCCCCGACCGATTCTTCGCTGACACCCCCTGGTCGATTTTCGGTATAGGCGTCCAGCGATGGCTTCAGTCAAGTCTCTTGGCCTGCAACAACCCATTGGACTGCGACATGCGATTGAGGAGGGAATCTTGCCCCCGAATCCGCCCACGAGCTCTTACACTTGGGAGGTCATAGTCAGCAAGGAGGACGGCCGCGAGTACGAAGACGAGCTTCTTACCACCCGCGACTGCGTGATTTGGTCGCGAGGGGGCATATTCAGAAAGAGCTTCAAGTTCGACCCGGAGAGGGAATCCGTCACGCAAGCGCTCCTGGCTTACTTCCCATTCTCCGCCGATGGTCCGGACGTCGGTTCGCCCGCTGAGGGGCGCCCTAAGAGCACTTCTGACAGGGCTGCGCTGTCCAGAGCGCTGGTCGTCTTCCTCAAGTCACAAGCGCACATATACTTCCTTTCGGGAACCAGCCATGTAGTCCACATGCCATTTGAGGTCGAGTCGGCCTGTGCAGGCCCTCGCGGTGTGGTAATTCAGCGCAAACCGCGAGTTGACGGGGCGTCAGTGTCGCTAAGGTTCCCGAAAGTGCCTCCTGCCTCGTTCATCTCCCAACCGCCCCAGCGGAATCACGATCGGAGCGTCACCGAATTCTCCACCGAAGGGCTGGGTAACTTGAAAGTGCTGCCGTTACGCCAGAGCCTGACCTTGCAGAATATGTGGCAGCATCCCATCGAGGCAAATGACAGCCACTGGCCCCGTCTGGTTTGTCTGACGGATCCGCTGCTTGAGCTTGGATTGGTAGTGACCGAGGCCGAAAGGCCAAGAACCGGGAAAGGCCGGAAAGCCTCCACTGGACCCTGCTTTCTCAATCCTTCTGAAGAGATACTGCACATCGAGGCCGTCAAGGTACCACGTTCTGGAGGAGCAGGATCAAGCGAGCTCACCATCGCAGTCACAGTCAACCGCGAAGCAAACACATACACCATCTGGCGGCTTGGCTACCTCCAAAATGAAGATCCGTTCTTGGGAGCACAGAAAAAGAGAAAGCCTAAGCCATCCCGGAGGCGGAGTTCCATGGCACCAGGCCTGGCAAGCGGCGCGGCGACGCCCGTTCATCCATCGGTAAGAGAGAGCTTTGGAGCACCTCTTCCGGTTAAGAAGACAAGAAAAGGCGCCAAGGCGGAGGATAAAGACAAGGCGCTCGAAAAGGCACTGAGCTCCCTGGATCCGGAGAAGGGCAATGATGCCACCCGCAGACAGTCGCGACGAGTGAGCTCGCTGCTAGCCCGGGCCGACCTGTCCGCCTCTCAAGACAGAGCGACGTTCGCCGAGCAACCAATCCATCCTGGCCATGGGGGGAGACGGGCTGAGTCTCACGGCAGCCAGCGGCCCCGTTTGAGCAGCGGCTATGGCGGACCGAGCTTTGGTGGACCTTTCAACTTCAATCGTAGCGTCAACCACCTGTCCGAGCCACCAGTTGACAACCTACTAGAAGAGCTGCGTGCCGGGGGTGACTTCGAAGGATTCCATAACATGGGCCTCGACGACCATGACTTTGACGGTCTCGCCCACGAGATGCTGCTCACAAAAGTCCAGAGCGTTAGCATGGACACCACCAATGTTCGATACTCACTGTCCAGCAAACCCGCCAGAACCCAGGCCAAAGTGTTCATCCTCGCCGGCCCGCCAACCGCGGCCGATGACCAGGGCCGACCGCTGCTTTTGGTCGCTATCCAAGACCCCGTCGATAAGAGACTACAACTTCTAAGCCTTCACATTGAACAGACTGAAGGGCGGACGCCGCCCAACATTAAGTCCAAGAATTCGTCAATTCTGGACGACTTCAACATCATCCCTAGCGAGCCTAGGAGGGTCCAGAGTGTTGTTGACTCGTGTAAGATTTCCGATGGATACGAAACCATCATGATAATGTCAGAAGACAGGAGCGGTGACAGGGGACTCAGCTTGCAATCCCCATGGGGAAAGGTCACTACAGTAAACCTGCCCGTGCTGTACGTCGAGAGGCCAAGCAGTCTCGAGTATCCGGGTAGCTACAGAACCGGCACTACAGTTCGGGGACACCCACCTGCTGGCTTTGACTTGACCGGGACTCAGATAGAGTCACTATGCCACTCTAGCTCCCGCGGCGTGGTTGATCTTCGAGACAGAGAAGGGAGATACCATCGGGTCAGAATCCAGCTACAGCCCACGGCACCACAGGTGCGCAAGATCCTCGACATCTGTCGAAGTGTCCTCCACGCTTCATACGCGGATAGATTGGTAGCTGGGTGGTGGCATGTCATGCAATGGCTCCAAGAGATGCAGCTGCGAGGGCTCGAGCATCCAATTGCCGACATGGAATGGTCGGCCGTGGTGATTCTGCTCTTATCAAGCTTCCTGGTTCTCGGGCACAACAGTGAGACCTCTCTGCGGACGCTTGTCACCGAGACCATAAGGCCGGCCGCGAAGAGTAAGTGGGAGATGATGCAACTGCGCGAAGCCCCGAACTCGTCGGCCTGCCCTGCATGGATGCGCGGCAAGGCGTGGCAGTGGCTGCTCGACGGTGTCGCTGACGCGTCGAATACCCGTAATGAGGAGGGCTGGCCCTCAGGTGCTTTCATTCCCTTCCACGTCGGCCTCGCGAAGGGGTGGATGGCTTCCGCAGGCGGGTTGTCGGCGTTTGGCTTCGAAGGATACCTGCCAACGGCCCTAAGCAGGATCGGCAATCCTCGTGATATGGCGGCCTGGAGCATATTCCTCGCCCTGCACCTCCTCATCGAGGAACAGAAGCTCGATGTTATGTCGTCGGAGGACACGTCGCCGGGACAAAGCGATCTGAAAGCAATCCTCTTCCAACTCTCGAAGTGGCTCGGCTGGCAACGGTACGAGACTGTCTATGCGTTGGGCGCGCAGGCAGAGCCAACTTCAGCACAGGACTTGGGTACGTCCAGTCTAGCTTCCGAGGATCGCATTGGGACGCTGACCGTTGATTTAGTTCCGTTTGTCGTGACCGGGCTGGCCGAGCCTCCGTCTGATTACTGCGTCTTGAGTTGGATTCAGGGGCACCTTGCCACCGGCCGCGGCGCCGAGTTTCCTACATTATCCGACCTGTATGCGGCTTCGGCTCGCGATCCGCTCGGAGGGAGGGTGCGGGAGCAACTCTGGGTTAGCCTCATGCCTCGCACCGTGATGTTTGAGAAATTCTTCGCGCGTCTTGGTTCATCGAACAACCGCTATGAAGCAGTGGTGGCCATGCACGAGTGTGGCTTTACCCCTCAGGTCCTTGAGACCCTACCGGAAGCGATTCTCACGGCCTTGCAAGACGTTATCTCCATCTGTCAGCCAAGCCCTCCGCCCTCATGGCCAGAGGATCTCCTTGCACTTGTCGGCCGCACGGACATGAGCGGTCTGCTGCAACCCAGAAAGACCTGGCAAGCGCTCCCTTGCGAGGTCAACGTAAGTATCAACAGTGTGTCCATGCGCGAACGCCTGCTAATATTCACCGAGGCGCCTTCTCATGAGGCAAGGTGGGATTTCCGCATGCTGTGCCAGCATCTCGATGGGTTAAACGAGCATGTCGAGGAGACGGGGGCTGCAGAGCGCCAAGCCGTTGTTCGCTCGCTGTTCAGAGAGGATAGGAGACTAAACGAAGCGCAAAGCCTGCTATCGACCGTGAAGAACCGCGTTGTTCGGCTGGATTCCAAGCCGGGGTGGACCGAGGCCGAATACCTAGAGCGACAGAAAGAGCTGGTTACTACGATTGCGACCAGCACCCTGGCTATCCCCGCGGGCCGTGGCCTTCTGTACTTCGGCCTCCGCTACCCGCTACTGACCCAGAAGTTCCAGATTCCAGGGTTCAATCTTACGTGCCTCGTCAGGCCAATTAACAACACGGTGAGCGTGGACAAGAGCCTGTTCCCCGAGGAGAAGATCAACTGGGCATTCTTCCACCAAGGCGTCGCCGGTGGCCTTGCAATATCGCCGCAGGCCAAGGGCATCGACACGTCCTGGATCTTGTACAACAAGCCGGGGCAGGACCTCAGCAACCGCCACGCCGGCTTCCTGCTTGCCCTTGGGCTGAACGGCCACCTCAAGTCGGTCGCGAAATGGGTGGCCTTCAAGTACCTGACGCCCAAGCATACCATGACCACCATCGGCCTGCTACTTGGCCTAGCAGCGTCATATCTCGGCACCATGGACGCCCTCATGACCCGCCTCCTTTCTGTCCACGTTACCCGTATGTTGCCTCGAGGCGCTGCCGACCTGAACCTCTCCACAGCCACCCAGAGCACCGGTGTCATGGGCATTGGGTTGCTTTACTACAACAGCCAACACCGGCGTATGAGCGAGATCATGCTATCGGAAATTGAGCATGTTGGCGAGGGCGAGGAAGGAGAAGAGTGCATCCGCGACGAAAGCTACCGTCTCGCGGCCGGCTTTGCCCTGGGCTTTATCAACCTCGGCACAGGAGGCGACCTGAGGGGCTTGCGGGATATGCACCTGACGGAAAAGCTGCTCACCATGGCCACAGCTACGAAGAGGGTGGAGCTTGTACACGTCCTCGACTGGTCGGCGCCCGGTGCCGTGGTAGCCATCGCGCTCATTTACATGAAGTCGGAGGACCACATTGTGGCACGCAAAATCGACGTCCCGGACACGATCCTGCAGTTTGACTACGTTCGGCCTGACATTCTGCTCTTGCGCACGGTTGCGAAGAATCTCATCCTCTGGAAGGAGGTTGACCCCACGTTTGACTGGATCCGAGATGGCCTTCCAGCTGAGTACAGAACACGGCACCAACTCATCAAAGTGGATAGGTTGCAGAGCCGGGATCTCCCTCTCTTCTCGATCCTTGCTGGGCTGTGCTTCGCGCTCGGCCTACGCTTCGCCGGGTCGGCCAACGTCAGGGTTCGGGACTTGCTCATCCATTATCTCGACCAGTTTATGCGCATCGTCCGCATTCCTGTCAGCAACTTCGACAGCGAGTTGGCTCGAAACAATGCGCGCATGTGCATGGACTTAGTAGCTCTCTCCTGCGCAACGGTGATGGCAGGGACTGGGGATATCCCCGTGCTCCGTCGGCTGCGTGCACTCCACGGCAGAGACGACACCAACACCACCTACGGCAGCCATCTCGCCGCCCACCTTGCCATCGGCGCGCTGTTCCTCGGCTGTGGCACCGCGACCTTTGGCACGAGCAACCTCGCTGTTGCCGCTCTCCTCGTCGCCTTCTACCCCTTATTCCCAGTTAACGTCCGGGACAACCGCTCGCATCTGCAAGCCTTCCGCCACTTCTGGGTCTTAGCGACCGAGCCACGCTGCCTCGTCGCCAAGGATCTCGCCACCGCCCAACCGATCAATATCCCCATCACCATCCACCTGCAGCCCGGCTCGCCCTCCGCCGTCGCAGCGGCCTCCCAAACGGCCTCCGCCCCAACCGACCCGGAGGCCATGACCCTTCGTCGGCAGACCCCCTGCCTCCTGCCTCCGCTGGATGACGTCGCCCGCGTCGAAACAGACGCCGCATCCCTCGGCTACTGGGACCTGACCCTCGACTTCGCCCAGGGCCCGCAGCTCAGGGATGACTTCCGCAAGCACCACCAGACCGTCTACCTCCGCCGCCGGCCCGCGCACGAGAGTACCTTCCCCGCGACGCTGCGCGCCCTTGGGAGCAGCAGCGGTGCCATAGCTGAGGCTAGCGGCGTGGATCGGGCCGGGGAGGCGTTGGGGTGGGTATTCCATCTCGATGCGCTGAAGAACCTCACGCGGGCGGAGCGCAGCGTCGTGCTTGACCGGCTCGGTTCGGGCGGCGGCGTGGGCGAGGGGTTAGGGTCGACGACAGCTGTCGATGCGAGGTTGGCCTTGCGTGCCGGGTTAGATGTCGGGTCGTGGTCGAGGGATCGGCTGCTGGGGCTGAGACTGCTTTTTGAGTGGGCCGAGCGGAGGGGGATGTTTGCCGCCGATGGTGCTACCAGTGGTTTGAAACAAGGTGATGCGGAGCATGAGGCTGCTACGGGGAGTAAAGGGAAGAGCAAAGGTGCGAAGGGTGGTAGGAAATCTCGCGCGGGAAAGGGTAAGAAAAAGGTCTCTGTTGGCGTTGGCGCGGTGCTGCATGATTCTGAGAGGGGGGAGGGGCAGCTGCGAGAGCAGAAGGGCCGGGATGTGTGGGGTGGACAGCCGCCGTGGTGGTTGACGGATAGCGCTATTGAGGAGTTGAAGGGGAGGGCGTGGCTGGTTGGTCGGGAGGGGTGAATACCTTAGGTGTTTATGCTGTTGATGAAGAAAAAGACTGTTTGCCAGCTTCTGCAGATAATTAGAAGGAATGCATATGAGGAGCTTACATCTCACCTAAGGTGCACAGGATTCTACTTCTGCTACTGCTCCTGATCGGGTACTATATCTCGCTATGGTATGTCGTGTGTGCTACGCTTCGAGAGGCTGCATCAACTTTTTGCGTGTTCTCGTTCTCAGGATCTGAGTTCGATGACGACGTACTGTTATGAATTCGATATGCATCTCCCGGACCTGTCTCGCGTTGCTCTGCCAGGCTCAACGAAGATCCGTCTATGTACAGTTTTGAGTTCGGATTTCACCGGGTCACGGCTTGGCGGACAGACAAACCGGGCTCCTGCCTGTCAGCTGACTGTTCTCACGGAGGATAGGAATTCATCTTAATAAGGCTGGAACGGCCAGTGATTATATCAATGTCTGAGTGTAATGGCAGGACATACGAAGCAGGATGCCTCAAAGTCGTTGTTTCATTTGGCTATTCGCTGGCAGTGGCTCGGCACATCACCAACAACCTGGAAACGTCACTGCTGTCTGACCAGGATCTTCATTCAGATGACGACCGAGGCTGCTGCGGGGGAATTGCGATGAGACTCCAAAGCCAATCAGCCAGACTTCTTCATTTTCATTAAAAGACGCAAGGACATTGTGCATCTCGCGAGTTACGAGCTACGACAAATCGGTCTCGACGAGCAGAGCACAGCGGTTTCCGCCGAGGGCCCGAGCCGGAAAATCAAAGGGTGAGCAGCGGCGGAATCCGAGGGCTTACATATCCGCACATAGGGCCACATTCTTGCTCTGCGCTATTAGTTTGCCACTTTTTTCGTGGGAAACTCTGCTTGATGATAGCGACTCGAACTGACATGCGGGAGAGAGATGCACAGTGCCCTCCGTGGAATAGTACTGTGGTAGGCTGCGGGGGACGGTCAATCAGTCAGCGGTCACAACACAGGCCCCGAACCAGCCGTTGAGCGGGTCTGGACGAAACGCAGAACTCCGGAGACTGCGTTTCTGTTCAATGGTTCAACGCCTGGAACTGCAATTGAATGGCCATTCACTCTGCCTCTCCGTCTTGCGATGCTGGTTGCTCACGGTTGACAAGTGTCTCGGGAGTACAAAAACGCATGCGGGCGGCACCGGCTGTTTGAGTTTGCTGGGCTGATTGATGGCTGGTCGAATGCATGGCAATGGTGGCAGGCCGGAGAATTTAAGGTTAGTGCCTGGGTTGTAGATGGTACAATGCTCCTGGAGGCCAGTCACTACTTAAGAGGGCCCAACTGCCCACCGCCCCCTTGCGTCCGTCATTTTTCTCGTCTTGTACACTCAATTTACCCTCGTTTCCTTCAGTCCCTGCTTCATTTTCATGAGGGAGTTTGCGGTGCTCTCCTGCGGAGCAATCCCATCGGCGGCCACTATCCCTCCGGAAGTCTCTGCCCACCAAATCCAGCACCCACAAATTGCGACCGTACGTGAGGTGCTCCAGAGTGACGCAGTGATGGCAGCAAAACAGACGCAGGCGCGGCAGCCTGGATGAAAGCTAGCAGAAAGATTTGAGACGAAGCATTCTGTGTCGAGTCTTGCCGCCCTTTACCAGCGACGGCATTTAGGTCATTAGTACGGTCGACACCTTGCTCGCCCGCCGGACGGTTCACTCCCCCACACTCACACTTGGGCCCTCAACAAACGTCTTACATCTGGATTCGGTCTGAAGTCCGGCATGTGAGTGCTGTCCAGCCTGTAGTTTCCTAGCAATTCCTGGGATCTCGTCAAGGGCAAGGCTCTTGGGCGATTGAGCATTGAATCCTCAAATTGCAGGTATGACACACGACTGACTGGTGAAATGTGTAGGAACCTATGGTATCCACGTCGCGCGGTAACGCAGAGCCGAGTGGCGGGGCATCCTCCGAGTCCAGCGGTGAAGCTACCTGATGAATGTCGCCGGATTTTCTCCTGGCAGCCTGGACTCTCGGGACTTTCCATTGACATCACGGCCTCCGATGTCAGCTCTGTCTGCAACATAAAAGCCAAAAAATCACTGAGGCGACCCCTCCCAGTGATCTTGAATTAGCCTATCGGGCTGGCTCTAATCGGGACTGATGGCCAGCGCCTGGCAGTGGTCAAGGCTACCGCTGGGCGACTCCAGAGAGATTGCCAAACGCTTCGACCTGGGTGTCCGCTGTTGAAAAGCGTCTTTGCAAAGCGACGTTCACAACCGTCAACCGAATCGTAATAAATGCTTTGACTCCTCGCGTCTGTAGGGAGTCAAGGACGATGAAAAGACAGGATTCCGGCCAGGTCCACGGGCTTGAAGATGTCACACGCTAGCATGCTTCCGATTGGCTGGATTGCGGCTTGGACCCACTGCGCTAGACCCCTTAACATGGTCCGCCTGATCGCTGAGCACAAACTTGCCCAGTGGGAATTCCAAGCAACACGCGCCCGCCCTACGCAGTCGGCAGTGAGGTAAGACCTGCCCTTCCTTATCCACCCCGGCCTGCCGCTTCGGTTTCCCGACATTATCGGTCTCGTGGTTATCGGTGTCTGGGCTTCCTAGCTCGATGCGATCGAGATTGCGCAAAGCTCTGTTTGTTGGCTGGACGTTGACGACGCCGGGAAGGTGCTGCGAAATTTTCTCGCGGCTCGCTCCACGCGGACTCGCAATTCCCGTCGGGACCGGCCTGCTGGCCTTCTGATTGTACGTCTTGACATCGCCTCCACTCCCCCGTTCCGGTCTTGTGGCCGGCCAGCGTGCACTGAACCGAACCGTCGTTGCTTCTGCTCCGGATCGGTGTCGGTGCCGGGTATGCATTTATTTGCCTGGCGCTTCCGCCCCTTGGTGGCTTCTGTTGCTCTCTCTGCTGGGAGTGGATCCCCAGCCCCCGGCCTGCAGAGCACAGCCCAGAAAGCCGTCCTTCCATGACCCCCGGGCGTTAACTCACTGCTCCCCAACACAATCGCGCGTCGCGAATGCTCCATCGCGACAAGCCACTCCCGGCCCCCTTACCCATCTTTAATTCATCGCTATTTTGGTTGATGGTACTTGATCTGCACGAATCTCGTGGTCGCTGACGGCGCTGCAAGGAATTCACCTGATGGGCGCGACCATTGCCGTTGCCGCCCTCTTCCTCCGACCGACATGAGCTCCTGGATCAACGATTCCGCTGTCCCGAACCACAATGGCAACGGCTTCCCTCACGTTAACGACCCCTCGGCAGTTGCCGGGGCCATGATGGATCCGTCCTTCATGGGTGGTACTGCCCATTTCAATGCGCAATTCGCGAACCCCCAGCAAATGGTGATGCCCAAAGGCCCCATGCGCAATGCATCACCGTCGTTTCCCAACCCGATGTATCAGACCAACTCTGTCATTCCCTCCAAGCGACCCCGTCCGAGAGAGGAAGGCATGGGCCAGTCGCCACGCCCTGCGCCCGGCATGCTGCCGGCTTCGCGCGCCGAGACACCTCAGCAAGCCGCCTTCTCGGGCTTCCAGCAGCCTGGCATGCCGCAACAATCGTCGGGCCAGCCGTCGCCCTATCCGCATCTTCAACCGAATGGCTCGTCGAACGCGACACCATCGCCCATCATGGCCAATCAAATGCGGCCGGGAAGCGTTCCGCAGCGAGTCGCGTCTACCTCCCCACACCCGTTTTCGCCTGCCGCGCAGCAGTTCTCGCAAGCGTCCCCTATGCCGTCGGACAGCTCCCACCAGTTCATGCCGCAGAACTTCCCCCAGAATTTCAACCCTCAGTTTAGCACCGCGCAGTCTCCGTCAAGGCCATCGCCTGCCCCGAACGCAATGGCCGGGCAGATGATGCCACAGCAAATGACGCAAATGCCACTGCAGATGGGCCAAGTATCTCAACAGATGCAGCAGATGGGGGGACAGATGCCCGGCCAAATACCAGGTCAGATGGGGGGACAGATGATGTCTAGTCCAGGACAGATGTCTGGGCAGATGCCAGGACAACTAGGAGGGCAACTACCAGGCCAGATGCCAAGCCAGATGCCAGGCCAGATGCACAACATGATGTTCCCACAGCAGATGGCGCAACCTCGGAATGCCATGGAGCAGCAAAAGCTTCTGTACCAGATGCAGTTACAGCAACAAGCTCAGCGGACGAACTTGCAAATGCAGCAGATGGGTGCCCAGAATATGATCCAAGCGCAGCCGAACCAGAACCAGAACCAGAACCAGGCTCAGGCTCAGGCACAAGCACAGGCGCAAATGCGCAACATGGTGGCCGGCAGACCAGGCGGCCCGAACGGGCAGATACCGGCAGGAGGTATGAGACCGCAGCAAGGAGTTTCACAACAGCTGATGATGCGGATGCCTCCCCCAGAACAGTTCATGAAGCACTTGACGGCCTTCATGAATTCCAAGGGTCTGCCCCTTGATCTTCAACCTGTTGTTGATGGTCGGCCGGTCCCACTGTATAACCTCTTCCAATTTGTTTTCAACAAGTTTGGCGGATATCGCAACGCGACGCAGTCAAATGGCTGGATCCAGGTTTCCCATTGGATGGCGTTCGCACCGCCTAACCAGGTGGTGCCCGCCGTGGCGCAACAGCTCAGGACTGTCTACGAGCGGAATCTGCTCAAGTACGAAGAATTCTGGGCCACGCAGCAGAAGATGCGATTGCAACAACAACAACAACAACAACAACAACAGCAGCAGCAGCAGCAGCAAGGGGCAATGGCGAACGCACAGAATATGCAGCAAGGCACGCCGTCAAAAGCAATGCCTCCTGGGCAGATGATGCTCCCCGGACAACAAATGCAACTCCAGCAGGGCCAGACGCCGTCTCCTATCAAAGCCTCAGCGACGCAGCAAGCGGGCGTCAACGGGTTTCCATCTGTTCAACCTCCGCATGGGCAGCAGTCAATGCTCCCCAACCAAGGACACTCCCGCAATAACCTATCAAGGAACGTACAGCCGACGCCTACAGCCGACGAGTTTCACCTTCCTTCCCCTGCGCAGAGCAAAGCAGGGACCATGTCCCTGCCCGGCTCTGCCCACCCCGAAAATCACGGAATAGCGGATGACGCTGCAAGTTCGTTGAAGTTCCCGGCGCCGTTCGCAACAAATCCGGAAGAGTACATGCCCTGTTCGCGGGAGTTCACAACGTTTGGCGGCCTCGACGTGAATGCCCTCTGGAAGATTGGCAACGAGCTGGAGCGAACCAAGATCGATGTCCCGTTGCCGATCGATTTCGGGAACGTCGATATCCACGCTCTTACCAAAAGCATCCAGAGTGGGATACACGGGGAGGTTCGGCTGGCCCTCGACACTCTGGCATCCCTAACTTGCAACGACTACCACTTTGTCAGCCCGACTCAGCCGATCCCCATACCGCAGATCGACCTCAGGCATTGCGATGAACTTGTCGAGGCCTTGGTCGAGTGCGCCGAGGACCAGCTCGACCTCTTGGTGGAGAATTCCGAGGAAGCATCGAACGAGATTACCATCACTCCGTACGAGGACATTGTTCGTGCCAGCCGGGTGGAAAGGCTCGCGTTGCGTAAAGTGGCTGCTTTCGGCTCCCATGCATACACGCTCGATCGCGCAGTGGAGCGGCTCATCTGCATTACCACGATTCTGCGGAACCTGTCTTGGCGAGAAGAGAACCATGCATGCCTCGCGGACGACACTGTCATCAAGTTCCTTTGTGTCGTGATTAGGTATCTCGGCACACGCGAGATGCTTCTCAGGACCCACATCGACACGCTGGATCTGATGAAAGATTTGGTGACTCTCCTGTCGAACATAGCGGGCGCTGTTGAGATACCGGGACGCGAGCAGGCGTTTTGCCTGCTGCAGTTCCTACTTGCCTTTGCTCCTACACCAGGCCCGACATTGTCGAACGACCGGCTCTTCTTCTCTCTCTACGATCCGGCTCTGCACCCTTATCTTCCTCATGCGGTGGACTGTCTTGCGAAATTGCTCGCTAGATATGAGCCGAACAGGTCGTACTACGCGACCATCTTCGCGGCCGAGGCCGCTGTCAACTCCTCGCCCCCGTGCGAACTTCTCACTCGAGCGTTCGGCCTCGCTATATCGCCGATCCCCGATCATTTACGGGAGCCCCGGGCCATGAATCTGCCGTCGCTCGTCGAGGCCCGCAAACCGCTGCTGATGCAAGGCCTTCTCGCCGCCGACGTCATGGCTGGCTTGGCACCCGGGTTCGAAAGCGGCGTTGCGCGCACCTGGCTTGCCTCTGGCAATGGCTTTGCTCAGAACCTATTTCTCCTGGCTCGGCAGCTCAGCGCTCAGTTTGAGGGTCTGGCCGCCAGGACTGCCGGCGGCCAGCCTAGGGGCCAGCCAAAACGGGACCCCGACCTCGTCTACATGATCTCGCTCGCCGTCAGCATTCTCAAGCGGCTGACCGAGAAGGCGCGGGACCCCAACGACCCCACCGGAAAGAACAGCATCCCACCGGAGGTGCTTCCTGCCAAGGAGGGAGTGCTTACTGCGCTACAGCTGCAAGCGCAGGAGTGGGCGAAGGAAGGGGTACTGGCGAATCTGATGGACTATGCCTGCATGGCGGATTAAGGAGACTGCGGGCGCTCGGGATAGGCAGGTACAAGTACAGTTGCGAATGGGCTGGCGTTAGGTGTTGGGTAGCGAGCGAGTGTCTGTGCGTAGACTGCGTAGACTGCGTAGACTGCGGGCGAATTCATACTGGGTCTTTGAGCACGCGCATTGGCGGATGAACCATGTGGCCGAATCACTGGGTTGTCGCTTGTCTATAAAGCTGTGAACCGTAGTACGAGGAAGATGAGGTAGATGACATAGAAGCATAGCGTTGGAGGCGCATTAACAGCAGTACTTTTATACAATTTGTATTTGTACACATCTAGTCTGGCACTCTCCCTCTTTTATGTCCGTAGCTCGGCTCGAGCCGTTCGGTACAATCCAAGCGTACACTTCCGCCGTTGGGCCTCCGACGGAGAGCACCAGACAGGCATTATATCGGCAGGACAGTTCCCCCTTCCAATGCCCCATAGTGTTTTCCCTCCCCCTCTGATTACCCACACACAACCCTCTCCCGTCAAAGGACCGTCACTTATTCCACGTCCTTCAAAACCCCTGCTGCTCCAGCCACGCGGTGATCTCGGTCTTGCGATGTCCCTGTCTCATGAAGTTAGCAAAACTATTTTCTCCCCTAAGCGCCTCCCCCTCCCTTTTTCACCCCATCCCTCCCCTCTGTTCCCTCTTCCCGCTCTTTTCTCCTCGCGGTCCGCCCCCACACATGCTCTAGGAAAGTTCCGTCAACGCACCTCAACACGAAGATGCCCCGTCAGCGTGTTCAGCTTGACGTCCTTCTCTGTGATCTTCAGGCCCTCTGCCAGCGCGGCGCGCAGGGCCGCCCGATCCCCCTCGATCTTCTTGAGCAGTGTCAGCTTCTTGTTGCCGCCCCGCTTGGCGAGCTCGTACACGGCTAGGTTGCCTGATGGTGTGCGGGCGACGTGGAAGGGCGGTTTTCTTTGGTTTGGTCGTTGTTGTTGTTGTTGTTGTTGTTGTTGTTGTTGTTGTTGTTTGGCTGGTTTCGTTGCTTTCTTCGTTTGGTTGGGAACTGGCGGGGCTTTCGTTGGCGCTTCGCTGGTGGGTGCGGTAGAGGTCGGGGATGCACTTTCGAGAGAGGGTTGTGGTGTTGATGATGCCTCTGTTGCAAGGCACCTTCTGGAGGTGGTGAGGATGAGAGATGGCGCGAATTGTCGGGGCAGCGGCAGCGGCAGCGGCATCCACCGCGGAGGGGCAGCTATGGCCCGGAAGAGAACCGCGGGGCGCAACATTGTTTTGATTGTATGGTGTCGGGTCTTAGCTGCGTTGTCGTGCGAGTCCTCTGGATCCCAATCTTTGACGGCTTTCCCGATTCGGGTTGCGGCTGCGAAAATCGCCGGGCGGCGGCAGAATTATTCACCGCCCTCACCATGCACGAAAATGGACCCCGTCTCTCGTCCCGCTTGACCCACCTTCCTAAGTGCCTGCCCGCATCCGGACGCTCAACACCAACTTTCCAATTTTTGACCCCACCAAACATTCACAGGATCGCTTTCTCTTGATTGTCGGGTTTCTCTCCCCCTGCATACCCGACCCTCGACTCCTCCCTCTCCTGGGCGCCGCGTCCTCAAACATCCTCAGGAAGTCGGTTATTCGAACCATATTCTCTAGCGCATACCGATTACATAGACACAACCATGGCTTCCGCACCGACCGCCAACGGCGGCGTCGCCCTGTCCGAGTACGACTTGATCCTCAAGCTCGCCCGCCATCTCGACAGGCACATGATCTTCCCCCTTCTCGAGTTCAACGCCGGTCAGCTAGTCGACAACGAGACGGAAGAGGTCAAGGATGAGGCCAAGCTGCGCGAAATCACACAGGCGAAGTACTCGCTGCTCAAGAAGACCAACATGACCGATTACGTCGCCAACCTCTACTGTGAATTGGAAGGCCTCAAGGAGCCGCCCGCCGAGTTCGCCGACAAGAAGCAGAAGGTGTTCAACCAGCTCCAGAAATACGAGCAGGAGACAAGCAAGATTATCGAGCTCTTGGAGCGGGATGATGTAGTCAATAACCTGCGGAGCGACAAGGTTGCCAACCTGGAGTTCTTGAAGGGGAAACACAATGTAGGCCCTTGTCTTGCCCCTACGGCGCTTGGAATGATGGTGCTGACTGCTGGCCCTCGGGTGATAGGTCACAATGGAGATGGTCGACGCTCTTTTCGAGCTTGGTAATTTACAGTACAGCTGCGGCAACTACAGCGATGCGTCCGAGATGCTGTACCGCTTCCGAGTTCTCTCGACCGACAACGACAAGGTGTCATACGCGACGTGGGGTAGGCTTGCCTGCGAGATTCTCACTATGACCTGGGAATCGGCTATGGAGGAGCTGCAGAAGGTGCGGGAGATCATCGACTCCAAGTTGTCCCAGAACGCGCTGGCGCAGTTGCAACATCGGACCGCCCTCATCCACTGGGCGCTCTTCCCTCTGTTCAACTTCGATAAGGCGCGCGAGCCTATCCTCGACCTCTTCTTCAGCGCCGGTTACATCAACACCATACAGGCCAACTGCGCGTGGATCTTGCGGTACCTGGCCGTGGCCGTCATCACGAACCGCGGCCGGGCAAGGAACCCAGGCGTGCACCAGAAGCAGATGAAAGATATTGTCCGCATCGTGAAGCAGGAGGCGTACGAGTACCAGGACCCCGTCACGCGGTTCGTGCACGCGCTGTGCATCGACTTCGACTTCGAGGAGGCGCAGCGGCAGCTCGTGCTGGCCGAGGAGGTCCTCCGCAGCGACTTCTTCCTGCTGGCGCACGCCGATGATTTCGTCGACTCGGCTAGGCACCTGATCTTCGAAAGCTATTGCAAGATTCACGCGCGCATCTCTCTGAAGGATCTGAGCGCGCGGCTGGGGCTGGACACGGATGCGGCCGAGAAGTGGATCGTTAACCTCATCCGCGACACAAGGCTCGACGCCAAGATCGATTACAAGGAGGGCACCGTGGTCATGAACCACCCGCCAAGCTCAGTGTACCAGCAGGTCATCGAGAAGACCAAGGGTGGTTTCTTCAGGACGCAGGTCCTCAGCGCGGCGGTTGCAAGATAGAAGGAGCAGCCTACAGCCGAGGATGCCGTAGAAACTGAGGAAGACACGGAGGAGATTGAAGACTCCAATACCAGCAGGCCGACAATCCCGCCGTCGACATCGAGGCGGACTTGGCGGGGTGTGGCGCCTCGGGGCCGCAATCGCCCCCACGGATCGCGTGCCCTGGGCGCGATAGCCCGGAGTTGGAGGCTTGAGAGCCACGATAGACAGGCCTAGATCATTATGCAATGGGCGTTTTGCCATATCGCTGTGACGGGGCAGCGGTGGGTGGGCGGCGTTGTATTTATACCTTGACGGCGTCTCAAAATACGGCTACCGACTTATCATGGAACCTGGCTGTGCTACTTGATTCTCTCTTCCCTTGAAGTAATCTGATCCGTCCTTTCTTGTAGTCGCCTCAGGTATTGAGACCGGGCCCAATCCGTTTCAACAAACCCATTACGGTCTTGTATGGGCCGGGTGCTGTCAGCCTGTCAGATTGCCTTGAGTCTGCGTTACACGACTGGAACTGTTGAAACCCTTCCTACTTAGACAGGCCGAAAGAAACTAATTAGTAGGTAGTCTCCCTTGGCCAAAGACACTAACTCGTATACCAAACTTACCTTACGTACGTACGGATCTGTACGGAGCTGTACGTATACGAAGTTCACTCGGAAAACGCCTAGCCCCATTTATCTACATGAATTGCCGCACTTGTATGTGCATGGACATGAATCATCACGGATCCCCACGGCGCTGATAGCCATGAAGCTCTCACCCGTAGGGCCGGAGATCGCTTAAGGCAGTGAGATGGTGATCTGGTTCATTAAGGTACCATGACTATTTACACTGTGCTTCTTCCTCACCGACCCTGCAAATCTTAAACGAACTGAAATCGCATCTGGGCACGCACAACGGCTGATGTGCCAATAATGTAAATTGAAGCATCATCGAAGAATCACTTAAAGATGCCGAAGAGGAAGTTGAGCTCGGGAGGGAACTCGGAGCCCACACGAAGACGCTCCGCGCGACTCCAGAAAGCTGAAGAGGGTGCAATATCTACTGCAACAAAAACGGAAGCAGCTGGAGACAATGTCAAGTCCTCCGTCAAGCCAACACCCAAAGCTAAGAAGGGAGCCGAAAAGGTGATACTAGCAATGATTGCTCCCTCCCATATAGTAGTCGTGATGCTACATATTGCCTTCACACCCACGCCTCACATCAACCTCACCCGCATTGCGCACATCAACCCCATTGCTCCGAGCGAACTCTAACAGGACACTCAGAAGGAACCCGGGGTACCGAAGCCGTCCCCTAAGGAAGACATCTCCAGCGACAAACAAGAAATAGCCAAAGATGCACAGCTTACGGGCACAACGGCAAACGGCAGCGATGAGAAACCGAAGACGTCCGGTGGCACCACAGCCTCAGCCTCCGGCGGTGCAGGCGGGGAGAGAAACTACTGGTTGATGAAAGCCGAGCCTGAGTCGCGGATTGAGAACGGGGTCGATGTCAAGTTCTCGATCGACGACTTGGCCGCGAAGTCAGAGCCAGAGCCGTGGGACGGTGAGAAACAACTTCAGATCATTATTCGCTGGCAGCATGGAATAACCAAGAAACAGGCATCCGCGCTTATGCGGCCCGTAACAACCTCCGAGCCATGAAGAAGGGCGACCTGGCATTCTTCTATCATTCTAATTGCAAAGAACCCGGCATCGTGGGAACCATGGAGATTGTCCAGGAGCACTCACCCGACTGTGAGCTTTCCAGGTCTATTAAACCCAACATACACTCTGACAACGCTGCCAGTATCCGCACACGACCCCAAAGCACCGTACTACGACCCCAACTCAAAGCCGTCCGATCCCAAGTGGAGCGTCGTGCACGTCAAGTTTCGCAGCAAGTTTGCAGTCCCGATCGGGCTGAAGGAGCTGCGGGAGATGGGAGGACCCGGCAAACCGCTCGAGAACATGCAGATGCTCAAGCAGTCGCGGCTGAGCGTCAGCAAGGTAAGCGCGGCAGAGTGGGAGTACCTAATGGGTGTAGCCGAGCAGAAAGCAGCCCAGCAATGACTATAGCTGGGAGAGGAAGTGGTGGCCAGCATTGTAAGATTAGCCGTATCAACCGTAATGTATGTCCCAGGGGCATCAACTAGGAGACTCCAATGACCGCTTCGTATGTTCCAGTACCGTCTTGATAGCTTCATCCAGGCCTTCCGTGGCCAAGATGGCGTCAACCCAAACGACTGTCTTGCGCGCGAGGGCCTTCCTGTCCGTTGTCCCCTCCAACGCGACTTTCAGCCTGGCCAGTGACTCCCGCAACGCCTTGGGGAACGCAGCAGTAACAATGCTAACCCCAATGAGCGGCTGCCGAATCTGGCAGCTGCAAGTGCACGGGTGGTTGGGGAACAGTTCTTCCATCGCGGCCAGAACATGCTGCACGATCCTCTCTTGTGAGGATAGGTTGCTGAAGCCGGCGAACACGTCGAAGAACTGCTCGGCCGCCGCAGGCCCGAAGAACGGCTGCTTCCTCGCGATGTCGAAAATCGCCATCGGTATAGCGCCACTCAACGCCGGGCTTTGCTCCATCTTCCGTGTCGTCTCTTCGTCAAACACGTCGGGCTTCTTCTTTGTCCCCTGCCCCTGCGCATCCGGATCAGGCAGCATCAGCTCCCCCTCGTCGCCGCTCTCCTCATCCTCCTCATCGAACCGAATGATATCCCCTTCCTGGACCGCCTCGGTGGCCTTGATGGCTTCCAGGGCATTCACCCCTTTCCGGACGCCCTTGCCAGCCTTCTTCGCCTCCACCTTGGCCAACCACTCCATCTCGCACCGCGCATACTCCACCCAAAGCGCGGCGTCGCCAGTGCAAAACCGGCACCCCCGCAGGAAGTGCGCCCTCGCGCGCTCCATATCCCCGCCCTGCGCGGCGCGCCGGCCCGCGATTGTCCACAGCTGCGCGTTCGTCGGGTGCAGCCGCAGCGCGCGCGTGGCGATGCGCCGCCAGCGCTTGGTGGCCTTCGCCTGGGCGGCGAAGTCGAGGTAGGCCAGCCACAGCGGCACGCAGCCCGGGTGCTTGAGCACGGCGCGCTCGAAGATGCCGAAGGTGCGGGCCTGGCTGGCGTGGGACGAACTCGAGCGCGACAGGTTGAGCTTGCGGCAGCGCTTGGCGCGCAGCCGGTCCAGCGACCGCTCCCAGCTCACGTACGACAGGAAGTCGGAGGGCTTGGTGCCCGGCGAGAGAATCAGGTGCTCGAAGTCGGAGCGCTTGGTTACCAGGGTGCGGATTTCATCCTGGAAAATGCGTGGTTAGCAAGGAGGCCAATTGGTTATTGTTTGGTTGCGGACGGAATGGGGGAGATACGGACCTTGGAGAAGATCCCTTTCTCTTCGAACTCTCGCAGTTCGGGAGCAGCGCGCTCGAGATAAAAGCGCGCTTTGTCGGATACACCGGCCATACTTTTGATTGGCTGTTTCCAGAGGTAACCGAGTGTTCTCGATGGAGGTGGACGCGAGGGACAAGTTCAAGAATCGAAGCTTGCCATTAGAGTAACAGCTCTCCGTAGGAACAGGAACTTGAACTGGACTTTTTGGTGGGGGCAGTCATTTTGCCATTTCTCACCGCCTGTCATTTGCTACCCCTAGATCCACCCAAATCCTCCCTGGAGTCTCGGACAGGGATTCGGGGGATTTCATGTGGAATGGCACCCTGAATCGCACGCCGAGCTCTCCGTCAGCAGATTCGTTCACCTTTCGATCGTGAAACGACGCCTTTTTCTTGACGTTCTTTACTCTTTGTTTTGTTTTCCCTTTGTTCTGGTATCTTGCGATTAGCATCTTTGGGGAAATTGACATGTTCCAGCGCGCTTAGAAGAAGTTCGCAACTCGATTCGAGCAAGCTCCTCGAAAGTGAAATCTTTCGCGTGGCACGATGGCGTCCCGCTACAAGGACAAGGACGCCGGCGTCGTGCTGTCCTTCGGCGGCCAGTGGGTGAGCTGGTCGCACACCGCCGTTGCCTACCGTACGTTTTGGTGGTGTCAGAGGGCGAGCCCGTCTAATCGAGAGACTGACTGTCGCAGTTGCTTTCCTCAGCGCCCTCATCGTTGGTTCCGCGCTGCACTACCACAAGATCGTCCAGAACGAATGGTACGGCTACCCGCAAGAATGGTTCCCGTCCGTCTCCGCCACCATTGGCGACCGTTACCCCGAGCGCTCCATCTTCATGATCTTCATTGCCATCACTTCCGGTACGCTCGGCTCGAAACCTTTGACCGTCGACGGCTTCGGCCCCGACAACATTACTGATGGCGCGCACCAGGTCCGAGATTTGCCCTCGTCGGGCTGTGGTACCTGCTCACCGCGAAGCCCGGCCGCACCCTTCCTAAAGCGATCGCGATTTCCGGTGTCATCCGCACGCTTACATGCGGCGGATGGACCTACATCACCTCTACCGATGACCACGACTGGCACGATATACTGATGATCTCGTACATCGTCTTTACGATCCCCTGGACGACCGGGTGCATCGCCCTGAGCCCCCCGAATGCCAAGGCTATTAAGTACAGGAAATACCTGGCCGGCGGCTTCTTCGGCACGCTCGTGCCCTTGGTCTACTTCTTTATCCAACACAAGGTTCACCGTGTGCCAGGAGGTAAGATGGATAATGGTTTCGTCATAGTATCTGGAAATGCTAATGCCGTTGCTAGCCTACACAATCTACGCTTTCTTCGAGTGGTCTTTGATTCTCCTCGACGTTGGCTTTGACGCGGTAACGGCTCTAGACTTTGACACATTCGAGGTGGTCATAAGGGATGTCAAGGGCGCAAGCAAGGGGTATGTCCAATGGCTCCCACTATAGCACCTTCTCCTTCGTCCGCTTGCGGGCTTGGGGTTGTGTATATACTCGACATACTCCAATGAGATGTTGAATTCTTGTTCTTAACTGGGACCAATAGTGCCAACACGTCGTCTGTGCCCACTGCTGTTCTCGAGAAGGAGTGAGTACCCACCTTTCCCTTATGGTTTTTGCCGTAGCACGTGCCTAATGAGTGTGTGAACAGAAAGGAGAAAGCCACGGGCGGTGTCTTCTCTGCTGGATTCCGGCTGGGCGAGGCCCTTGACATCGCTGCGGATGTGTACCACGGCGTAAGTCCGTCCCTCAAAAGGGGGAAATTCGATCTAACGCAGCACAGTACGTATTCTGGTCCATCTTAACCAGCTTAGGCCTTGTCGTCTGGTGTAAGTCACAATTCAGCCACCTACTTGACCCTACTCAGCCTAACTCCTCCTCAGACTTCCCACTCTGGCACATGGGCATCTCTGGCTACGAGGCCCTTGTCATGTCAACAGTTGCCCCTGCGCTTCTCGGTGTCAAACCTTTGCGCTCCCTGATTATCAAGAACCAGCGCCTCACGCACCTACTTTCGCTCGCTGGTCTCCTGGCGTACCTGGTTAAGGATCCCGTCTACCGCCTCTTCACCGTTGGGCTCGGTGTCTTCATGAGTTGTCTAGGATGGGCTGCGACCCTGTACTCGGACTCGGCCCAGCCCGCCAAGCTGGAGGCTCGTGTCCTCGCCTGGACCATCGGTTTGCTCATGTCATCCGTTGCCAAGTTCGCATGGCACACGAACAATCCAATCTGGCCCATCATGCATGCCGCGAACGGTGGCTGGAACGGCACCGGCCTGGTTCTTGGTGTCCTCGCTGCCTTGAGATTCACACGCCGGGCGCCCCTAGAGAGCGGGAGCTACGTTGAAAACAATAGCGGTTCAGCATTGCTTTCTGCACTCGGCATCGGCGGCCTGTTCTTCGGCCTGCACTCGTTGCTTTCCGACACCAGTACCATGATCCTCTGGGTCTGGGATGGCTACCCGATCCGGGGCCCTGTGTCCAATGTTCACGCTTGGTACACCATCGCCGCCATGACCGCTGGCCTACTCATTGGCTCTTTCAGGCCGGCTTTGGTCACCACGTGGACTGCGTACGGTGTGGGCTGCTTGGGCGCCGCCCTGCTCACCCTCTTCCCCCGGTGGGTTGGCTACTATGGTGCGCTGACCATCACGGTCTACTTGATGGCCATATCCGTGCCCCTCATTGCAAGGGCTTCGAAGAAGAGTCCTGCCATTTCCTTCGGTCTCGGCTTTTTCATCTACAACTTTCTGGTTCTCTTCCACGTCTGGGTGGTCGCATATGCGTTCGTACCCGGCGGCCCTCTCGTCCGCGAACACACGGACTGGATCATGATCACCATGATGCTCCTGATTGGCGCCGGCATCTTCGATCTAATTTCGCAGCAAGCCAAGTCCGGCCGCAGTACCGACCGTCGCCGTGCTACAAACACGGGACACAGGAAGTACCATGTCGGAGCGCTGGGCATTCTCAACATCCTCTTCCTCTGCGCCAACTTCCTACGATTTCCGACCAACGACTACAAGCCCTACCACGCGAATGACCGGCTTCTCACCGCCGGCATCTGGACCATCCACTTCTCCCTCGACAACGACATGTGGTCGTCCGAGTACCGCATGCGCGATCTGATCAAGGAGCTCGAGCTCGACGTGGTCGGCCTTCTTGAGTCGGACCTGCAGCGCATCATCATGGGCAACCGCGACACCACCCAGTTCCTCGCCGAAGACCTCGGCATGTACGTCGACTACGGCCCGGGCCCCAACAAGCACACCTGGGGCGCCGCGCTGCTGTCCAAGTTCCCCATCCTCAACTCCACCCACCACCTGCTGCCCAGCCCCGTCGGCGAGCTGGCGCCCGCCATCCACGCGACACTCGACGTGTACGGCAGCTTAGTAGACGTGTTCGTCTTCCACTCGGGCCAGGAAGAGGATCCGGAGGACCGCCGGCTGCAGTCCGAGTACCTGGCCAAGCTGATGGGTAGCTCTCCCCGCCCCAGCATCCTGCTGTCGTACCTGGTCACCAAGCCGCTCGAGGGCAACTACAACACGTACGTGTCGGAGCGCAGCGGCATGCACGACGTGGACGAGACCGACTGGGACCGCTGGTGCGAGTACATCCTGTTCAAGGGCCTGCGCCGCACGGGCTATGCGCGCGTCAGCCGCAGCACCATCACCGACACCGAGCTACAGGTCGCCAAGTTCGTGGTCCCCGCGACCGACGAGGACAGCGTGTCGGCGTGGACGGCGCCCAAGGTCCTAAGGGATAAGCGCGTGCCGGAGCATGAGGTGCCCGAGGGCTGGCGCTTCCCAGCTCTGTTTAGGGGTGAGGGTGTCAGGGGGCATCGTTATCATGTTTTTGATGAACCGCGGTACTTTAACTTCTAGAGAGAGCACGGGGTGTGGGCCGTTGGTTGGATTAGGAACCAAAGTGGCGAGGTCCTGTATTTTCCTCTCCTTGTGTGCTGGTGCTATAACCAAATTCAAAGCTATCTAATCTTGGTAATTCTGTCAAAGAGCGCATCGTATCGAAACACGGAGGAGTAGACGTCAGCAACACTACACCGGGAATATGCCTTCGCTGTAGCCTGTGCCCGAGGGGTAGAAGGTGAAGTGCAGCTTCGACGGCCCTGCAGTTTGTTTCGTGTTCAGTTCCCCTATTCCTACCAGGGAGATCTAGAAACACAGCTCCCCAGAATACACCGGATATTACAAACATACGTTTAATCAGAATTAGGGATGTAAGTACGGAGTACTCCGTACATGTATCATTCCTTGGGAGAGGTGGATTGATGAAAGCATGCCAAGGACGGACCTCGCTGGTCGCGGGTGACGATCAACAGTGACATCACCACTTAAGTGAATTCCCACCACAGCAGATCCTCTATATAAAGGCAGTCCATCCGTCTTCACCCAGAGCATGACAATTTTCCCTTCCAGTCATACCACACCTCTGTACAACTTTCCTAGCACGCAAAACCAATCCACACCAATCCGATCTGATATTACCCCGGCAGGTACAATACACCATGCTGTTCGCCCGGCAAACCGTCGCGAGGAGGGCCTTTGTGTCCCAGGCCGCCATTGGTCAACAACGCACCTTCTGCCGGCCCCTTTCCCTCTTCTCTACCTCTTCCTCGACAAGAGCCTCCGGGAATTCGGGCTACGGACATTCCTCCTCGGAGTCTCCCCACATGCAAAACAAGGACCAGGTGCAAGCCGAAGAGCAGGCCAAGGACCCCAAGAAGATGGCGGATCTCGGCAAGGAAAGCAGCAGGTCCAAGCCCGAGGACGTGACCGGGGGGCTGCACACGCCGGGTGTCAAGGGAAAGAGCCGTGATGATGAGAGTATTGGGAGGGCGGTCAAGGACAAGGCCAGTGGTTGAGGGGTTGGTAGGCAACCGGGGGGTTGCGGTCAGGGGGAAGAGGGAATTGGGACGGATGGCTGTAAATAGTGGAGGTATTGTTTCATTAAAGAATATTCCTCTCAATGTCGAGATATGTCTATCTAGACAATGAAGCGAAGCTCGCTTGAAGAAAGGTGAGGAAGGTGCAGGGCACATGGTGGCGGTGCCATAAGCCTGGCATTCAGGGAGGCATTTTGTGGGCACCGACTTGGCTCGCACAACCTCAACCAGACAACCACCAACCGTCGGGTCCCGTACAATTTAAACAATTTACCACTGTGTTGTTAAGAGGTAATAACTTCCGGGCGATCGATAGCGCAGGCGGTTTAACTGCAATCCCTTCAAGCTCTCACAGTACCTGACACACGATCATCACATGGGTGCTCTTCCCTCTTCTAGACGACTACTCCTGTATCAAATAGGCCTTTCCAGCAATCTCCTCAGCCATGGTAGTTATCCGGCCATGTGTAGAGCAACCCGACAATCCCCTTCCGGGTTTCCCAAATGCATGCGGGCGGCGTACATGCTGTGTAACAGGCAATGGCTGGCGCAGGAGGCGAGGAGGCAGCCTGCCAGCAAAAAGCCTTGATGGGGTAGCCGAGGACGACCATCCGTCGACGCTTGTCATCCTCAAGCCTGTTCTCGCTTTCCCATCATCTCACCGAAGCCCGACTCATGCTGGCGCGGGCGGAGAAGAGCCGCCATGGACCCAGTCACAGCAGTCGGTCTCGCATCTGGCATTGTCGCTTTCATCACCTTTAGCACAAGCCTGGTCAAAGGCGCTATACAGATCCACGAAGCGCTCGATGGCAGCCTGGAAGAGAACCGGAGCCACGAGGCCATTGCGGCCGAAATGAAGCGCTTTGCGATTCGCCTACTCCCACCCGATGACTCGCGGCTGTCGGGGGAAGGAGAGGGAGCTGTGCGTGCTGGCTGCCGAATGCCGCGATTTGTCGGTCATGCTGGTCGACCTTCTGGGGAGAATCAAGCCGAAAGACGCCGGTTCCAAGAGCCAGGCTCTGTGGTCGGCGCTAAAGAACAAGGTGCACGAGAACGAGAGGGCGGACTTGGAGCAGCGTCTGGACTACTGCCGCAGTCAGCTTGATCTGCATCTGACCTTCCCCAACAAGACTTCCCTAGACGCCCTGGTCGAGGCGGCCAAGAGCGACGCCGGCAAGCTTGAGCGACTCCGCAGCAACGTCGAAGACCTCCGCCAGGGCATCCGGGTCGCGGGAATCAGCGCCGAGGCCCAGGAGCAGATCCGTCGGCTGGTGGAGGTGCAGGAGGATGCCTTCTCGTCTATCATACAAAGCCGGATTGCGAAGAGTCTGGCGTTCGAAGGAATACATGACCGCTTTGATATGGTGGAAGAGGCGCATCTCAAGACGTTTCGATGGATTTTTCACGACAGCCACGATAGCAGTGTTGATGGCAGCAGCTACGGCAGTAGTGGTGGCGATGCAAGTAGTGTCAAAAGCGGCGACTACAATTTCGAGGACGAAGACGGCGTTGCGCAACAGGACGCGGATGAATCCTGTGTCGAGAACCATATGATGTACTCTGCGGACGTCAACAACTCTTCCGAGAAGGGCGAGCCGGCTTCTGATAAAGACATAGCATCTACGAGCGAGGCTTCCCGTCAAGAGGATGCCGATTCTTTGCGGACCGAGAGCCCAAACCTCGACGAGACATCCTCTGACAAGGAGGATGAAGATGAGATGAAGCGTGCGGCCAGGGATAGGTTCATTAGCTGGCTCTCTTCTGGGGAGGGCGTCTTCCATATCCGGGAAACTGGGATCCGGCAAATCGACGCTGATGAAATACTTGGGCGACCACCCGAGAACGCGGGCCGAGCTCATCAAATGGGCCGGTAAGCATTCACCCGTCTCACACATACGGTTGTCTGCAAATAGCCATGGTGCTCACACTTCACAGACGGCCGAGATCTTGTGGTCGCAAAGTACTTCTTTTGGCGACCGGGATCATCGAAACAGAAGTCCCTGGACGGGCTATACCGCTCTCTCCTTCACGACGTCTTAGAGTCTCGTCCTGAGCTGATACCCGAAGTTTTACCAGAGCTATGGGCCAAAGCTAGGGTTGCATCGTGGCAGGTTCAGACCGAGTTTGCTATCTCAGAGAAAGACGTTCGGACTGCCTTCGCTCGCCTTGTCAGAAACACGAGTCGAAATGCCAAGCACTGTTTCTGCTTCTTTATCGATGGCCTCGACGAATACCAGGAGACGGCGCAGAACGACCACAAGGAGATGGTGAAGTTGCTGACCGGCTGGACCACGACTGCGCCACGAGACGTGAAGTTATGCGTCTCGAGTAGAGAGGACAACATGTACATGTACAACTTTTCGGACAATAAGAGGCTCCGGCTTCACGAACTTACGAGGTTCGACATGGAGGCGTATGCTTGGGAAAGACTGGATGACATCTCGGATCAGGAGGCAAAGCGCAGTCTTGTCACGGCTATTACCGACAGAGCAGAAGGTATTTTCCTTTGGGCGGCCCTATTGGTGAAGCAGGTGCGAGACCAACTGGAGAATGGCGCCGATTTTGCCGCCCTGGTGCAGGTGGTCGATTTGTTACCCGACGAGCTCGACGGCCTATACGAGCACATACTTAAGTCGCTCAGCAAGCCAGACCGCAAGAAGGCCTATCAGACGCTTGCTATCTTGGCCCTGTCCAGGCACTGGAGGCTGCCAGTGTCATTATTCGCCTGTTCCTTTCTCGACAAGTACAACGTCGACAAGATGTTTGCCGAGCAAGACGACTTTGCTGAAACGGGTCTGGATGGTATGGCCTATGAGGAGCACATCAAACTCAGCCGCAAGCGCGTGAACGGCTGGTGCAGGGGGCTTGTCGAGTCGGCAACGGGCTCCATCGGCTACGCTCACCGGTCCATCCCCGAGTTCCTCGACAACCAGGCAATCAAAGATGAAATGGAATCTTTCTTGGCCGGCTTTAGCGCCGCCGAGGCTCTTCGCCAGTTGACGCTAGCCTAGCTTCGGCTCATGTCCTTCCACTCCATGGGTCTAGTACGCGACTCCGTGTGGCTCTCGTTAGTCATGATGCGGCGAGCCCATAGCCTTGACCACGCGCCGTTCACCTTTCTGCGCCTTGTGGACACCGCTCTAGACCAGTCAGGCATATTGTGGCCAGACCTAGAGACGCGGACTGACCTTAACGCCGAAATACTAGTTTGTGTGCCGGAAAGGGGTTCGTCTCCCGAATACTACTCTGACTATATTACGGCTAGTACCATGGCTACTGCCATAGTTCGCATCGGGAGTGAACCGGAAGCCCGGTTTGGTAAGGCATTGCGCGGGCGTATACTGCTGAGCGCGTTGCACCACTGTGCGTTTCTATTCTCCGATCACGAGTATCCGACGTGGTGGATTGCGAACGAACCTACAGCCAGATACAGCACTGCTAAAATGATCTTTCTAGCGTACGCAGTATTCAGGCGGCAGCGGACGGAACAAGAAGTCAACTGGTCGATTTTGGATGCTTTGCTCGACCGGGGGTTTTTGACATCGAAGACACGAACGCGGCTCCTTCCAATGCCCGGGATTCTAGATAAAGCGGTCGACCACACCGGCTCTTCTGCCGACCCCAATGATGATCCCGGCACCGTCACGAACACCCCTGCCTCTCCCCATTATAGCCTCGTCGAGCTTAGCGTTTGGCAGCACTACTTAATCGTCGAGTGGCTCTTCCAGCATGATGCACTGTCCCTAGAGACTGAGTCGAAGTTGTCCCGTCAAGAGAAGGCCGCGCACTTCGGCGCGGTAGTACAGAGGTTTCTGCGGCGGGGCGGAGTCGGCGCCGAGTCGAGATTTGCCGTGTCAGTCTCGCCAGATGGGACCAGAGCTGAATTTGCTTTCTGGAACGATTCCGGAGACGGAGGAGGGGCTATGACGGAAACCCCCACCGTAACCTGTTGGGTTGGACTTCCACGAGGAATGCCCCTAGACAAGGTGAAGGCGAGAGACGTGGGGATCCGACCGGCCCCTTTACAGGGAGCTGGAGGGAACGGAAATACGTCTGCTCACTCAGGAGCTGGATCGCGGGACTGGAGGACTTGCCGGACAAGGAGGAGTTGTTGCGGCTTGTGGACGGGCACGAGTCTTCTCCCGGCGATGTGTGTCGGACGAAGCAGGAGGAAATATCACCGATTGCCGACTCCAAGAGCTCCGGATCGAGGACGCTACTGACCGTAGTCAAGGGTATGGGGTTTGGCTACATCATTGTGCTCACGCTAGGTAGGTGATGTTTCGACGCGGTGCCGTGTTGATATTCGCTGACAGTTCCCTAGCCGTGCCTCTAATTGCTATTTTGATGTCGGTTTTCTGGTCGGAATGACCCTAAAGAATGCTCCGCGGCTTCGAAGGGTCCCGTGACTGCTCTGCTCTCTTCATGGTGGCAGAGTTCGATTGGGTTTGGAATTTTCTGATAGCTACTACTCTACACTTTCCTGCCAGCACCGGTATCCGCTTTGTCTTTCACAGAAAAACGGTGTTTTGCAGTCGTTCGTCATGTTGAGCTTTCTCCTCTCACTATTTTTATGGAACATCCTCAAGACACAAGCAACGAACAGAACAAATTCTCTAAAGTACGCTTGACGACCACCAGCTCACTGCACTACTATCGCTACTGCTATATATACTGTATCCAGTCGTGGACAGCCTCAACTCAGCGTATTCCTCACCATAGCCTTCAGCGCCCCGTCGACATAACTCGGACTGCGCCACGCACTCCAGTCATGGTTCAACAGGCCCCAGCCCTCGTCATAGTCTTGAGTACCCGACCGGATGTAATAGCTGCCCGCCAACACCCAAATCGTCCACCCGGCCTTGATCGAAGGCAAGAAGCTGGCCAGGCAACTCGCATACACGCCCCGCCATGTGCTGGCGTCCATCTGGAACCCAAACTCGGTCATCATCACGGGGAACACATTCGCCACTGAATTACCACCCTGCAGCGCCTCGAACCCGTTCCGCAAGAGGTTCCCCTGCAGACTGGCGCAGCTGCCAATGCTGTTCTCGTAGTTGTGCAGCTCCAGCACGAGCTTGTCCGCGAAACCCGGCGCAAACTGATCGCGATTAAAAGTCGCCGTGCCGGGCGTCAAGGCTTGGCCCCGCACGACGGGGGTCAGGTAGGTGTCGAACGACAGGCCCGACAGGAAGATCAACAAGCCCGGGTTGGCGGCGTGCACGGCGGCGGCGCCCTGCCGCATATAGTCGTGCCAGGCCTGCCAGTTGTAGGACTGGCTGCTGAGCGTGCGGTTGTTGGTCGGCTCGCGCGGCTCGTTGCGCAGGCCGACGGACACGAGACCGGACCAGGTCTTGCCGCCGTGCTCGGCCATGTAGGCCAGCCCGCGCGTCCAGTTGGCTAGCGGGAAGTGGGTGTCCCCCCACCAGCTGTTGCCGTCGGTGCTCGAGCAGCACCACATGCCCTTGGAGATGTGGTTGTCTAGGTGGATGTAGATCTGCTGCTTGGCGAGCTCGGCGGCTACGGCGTCGAAGACCTGCAGTCGGGTTGTGGATGGGGTGAACTGTGGGTTCTTGGCCAGCACCTGGTTGAGAACCTTTATGCCGTTGGCTTGGCCCAGCGCCTGCACGAAGGCTCTTTGGATCGTGATGTCCCGGCCGCCGTTGGCGTAGATCTCGTCGACCATCTGAATGGCAAAGGTCAGGCGGACGGCGTTCATGCCGAGGCTCTTGATCTTCTGCACGATGGTCTCGATGGACTGGTACTGCAGCCCTTCGGGGATCATGACGTCGGCGTGGCCCGGCCAGTTGGTGCCCGCGTAGGTCAGGTTCTTGCCCGATGCGTCGACGATCCAGTGGCCGGACGTGACGAACGGGCCATTTGGCCAGGTGGCGCGTCCCGATACTCCTCCATCTTCGGTGAGTTGGGGGCTAGGCACAGCAGCGGCGATGCTGGCAAGACCTAGAAATGCAAGTAAGAGCCTCATCGCTGCGGGGTCCGAAGGATTGGTCGTGAGGCAAGCACCCGCTTGAAATCGTGGGCATCATAGTCACCGTAAAACCTGTGCGGTCCCCGGCTGAATATTATTTATCAGTAGCTACCTCATCATGAGCGGGGAGACTTCCGGCAACGGCCGATCTCTGAGACCTGACCGCGTGCCAGGGGGAGCAATGCCTCTTGATTCGAGCGGCTCGTGGATGGGCGCATATCCGGCACTATGTGCCTGTGCTATGGCCGCAACAGTCGTGAGATGGACATCTAGGTACGTAGGACGGTATGAATGCCCAGATCTGGCACCCGCTGGATGTTAGGGTTGGATTTGCGATCTGCCGGGATTCGTCAGTGACCTTTTGCCGAGTGCCGGAAAGAACGCCTGTAGCGCCCTTACTCACAAGACGCCGATGCCGAGTTGCATCGCCTCGCTTTTCTCCACGAATCGAGCTCGCCGGAATGTAGCACTGGCGACGACATTGGCACCACTGGTGTTCCTGAGACAGCGAAGAGCATCCAACCACATACCAACTCTTGCTTTTGACGCTTGGAAGAGAATCAACTTAGTGGTACACCTTAAACATACTCTTGCTAACCTTGACATCATCTCTCATCATCTCCTGATGAAGTTATTCACGCCTTGGTCGCCATGCAGCCCGAACTTCACCCTCAGAGCTCCCGCCTCCGGAACTCAACCATAGGCCCGTTCTTCAGACTCGTAAACGTATCCACGAGTTGGAACTCACCGACCTTGTCGCGACCCCATTCCGCGCCGATCTTGCCCTCCCCGGGGTCCGCAACGCCCACCGCCTTCCGCACGTCATACAAGAACAGCACGCGCGCCAGCGTGATGCTCATCTCAACATACGCCAGCCCCTTTCCGATGCACCCGCGGGGTCCGATCGAGAAGGGACAGAAGGCGCTCTGCGCCAGCGCCACCTGCGCCTCGCTAAAGGGCTCCTCCTTGTCGACGATCCACCGCTCCGGTCGGTACGCAAACGGATCCGGGTAGTAGGCCGGGTTGTGGTGGATGGCGTAGTGCGGCGTGCCGACGATCGTGCCTGCGGGGACGGCTTCGCCGTCGATGGTCATGCCGCCGGAGAGGACCTCGCGGGGCAGCAGGCCGCCTACGGACGGCGACAGGCGCATGGCTTCGTCGATGCAGGCGCGCAGGTAGGTGCACGACGTGAGCTGGGCGCCCTGGTGGATCTCCTCGAGCGAGGCGAACTTGGAGCGGACTTCGGCTGTTACCTTGGCGAGGGCGGCCGGGTGCCGGACGAGGTAGAAGAGAGTTGCGGCCATGGCTGTGGAGGTTGTGTCTGAGCCTGCAATGATGCTAATGGGATACGGGTTAGTGAGCTGCGGCGAGCAGGGAGGCTTCTGGGGTCTAATGCTTACAGAAGGTTGGATTCACCCCAGAGTTCGGGAGTCGAGAAGCCCTCCCCGGTTTCCGGGTCACGCGCCTTGAGGAGGTGGTAGAAGAAGTCCCGCCGGTCCGTCTCGTCCCCCAGCGCCGTTCTCTCGGTCAGTTGTTGGCGGCTGTACGCCATGTACTTGGCTCGCCCGGCTGCGATCCTGTGGAAGAGGATCTTGTCAAGGCTGAGTTTATTGATAATGGGCATTGTTCCGCACTGGTCCCGTTAGCGATCGATCTCATAAAGGATTCCTCCGCTCGGAATAGACACATACCAGGAGATGACGCTGCGCTGCAACGCCGACGAGATCGACGGCGTAACGGTTGTCCGGGCGGTCGAGCATGTGGAAGGCCTTTCCGAAGCAAAGATCGCCCAAGATATCCATCGCCAGCCAGTTGCACCAGTCAGACATGTTCTTGGGCGAGCTCCATCCCTTCTTGTCCTGGATGGCCCGACCATAGTCGCCAATGGCCTCGCAGAAGGTCCTGATGTTGGCTAGGATATAGCGTTCGACCTCCTTGATGGCGCCGTCCGAGAAGGCGTGCGAGAGCACACGGCGCTTCCGCGCATGGAGGTCCTTATCCCGCGCATTGTGCGTGTTCGGGGCCGGGTGCACAAAGGCGTCGTAGAACTCGGCCTTCCGCACATTGGCCCGGAAGCCATAGATGTCCTTCAGAGCCGTGTTGGAGTTGATCGAGAGCGAGTTGGGCCCGAACCGCACGACTTTGCCATACTTCTCGTGCATCCGCCAAAACTCCAGGTGACGGTCGCCTCTCCAGGCGTAGTAGAGCATGTAGGCATCCGTGAGCTTGGCCAGGAACGGGCCCGGATACTTGGCCAACGGGTGGAAGAATAGCCGGTACACTACGAGACATGCTGTCTATAGCGTTTCGTCAATTGTCAGCGCGGGGTGTGGCTTACACCGTCCCTCCCAAGCGGCAGCACTTACGTAGAGAATGCTGGCTATCACTAGTAGGCCCAGCCAGAGCTGGACATGGGCAGCGCTAACGGCCATCGTGAAGTCGGCTGATCGCGGCAAGGAGAACGACGCAACGTGGACTCACGGAGGGAAGCTGTGGAGGGAAGGGAAGAGGACGCTTTTGAAGAGGTCATGACTGCGTAGTAAGCGACGCACGATCGCCCTGGGGAAGACGGGAGACGGTACTTGCCCCGACCGCATAGTGCCGTCCTATTAGTCAAGGAATCGACTTCCAGGGCAGTGATGTCGAAACTTCCATTCTATCCATGGATCCTCTCCCGTCAGCGTGCGGCGGAAGGAGCTCGGCTTTCCGCGGCATAAATGGTGAGGGCACGGCGCTTTATCAGCTTATCGTCGGACTGGCAGCCGCGACATGGATGTCCACATTCCTGTTTTGGTCCTTGCTCGCCAATGAGTGCCGACGACGAATGCTCCATCAAATGCGATGAGAATGTGCGGAATGCGAGCGGAACAAAGGTTCGGCTTCGGTGACGCACGGCTCTGGTTCATACCGGTTGCGGGCCCGTTGTCTGATGCAACCCCCGTGAATGCCGAAAACCGGGGTACTTGTACATGTATTGTATTGTACAATACGTACTCTACGGATTCCAATACGTACATTACACGTATTTGGTATAGAGGACGACGGATTGTATGAAGGGTAGTATTCCGTACAGCGTACTTCCGTACATTAACGTCTGCTTGGCCGATGTAGAGTCTAGAATACCTCGTAAGATGCTAGGTTGTTATGGGGAGTCTTACATCCTTCATTATCCCGCATCTGGGACCGATTGAGTGTTATATGCTGCCGAAGATTGGCTTTCTGTGTTTCTGCGGTTTAACGTGGCTGATCTCCAGAGGACCAAGGGACCCGTGGACGGGATGGGGTTGCTGGTCTTGTGACCTTGCATTGGCCGAAAAAGTGCCGTTAACCAAATTCCTCATTCTCCTGGGTGATTGAGTAAAGTCAAGCAATGGAACAACCAGAAAAGTAGAGGAAGCCAGAAGAAGAGGTAGAAGAACATAAAGAAAAAGACAAAGACGAAGAAGAGGAAGGTAAGGAAGTAAAGAGTACTAAAGTAAGGAGGAAGGTTGAGAAGACGAAGATTCAAGCGATTGAAGAAGACAAGGGAACGATAAGATCAATAAAGAATAACTATACTATAATGAGACTATGAAGAAGATAAAGAGAGTGAAGAAAAGATGAAGAAGATGACAACCAAATGAACTTCTTCCTTCTAAGCTTAGTGTACGCTTATTTTGGCAAGACAGAGAGAGGTGACGGACATTGGGGCCGGTCGGAGCTACGGCGGGGTCGGTCTCAGCGGTGCCGGCTTGAGGCCCACTCTCCGGGTGGGCCACTGTGCGAACCGAAAAGCGCATCTAAACAACCGCCAAACAACAAACAACGACGACTCGACAGGCACCAAAGATGACGGTGTGTCGATTCTTTCAGCAGGGCTACTGCAGATACGGAAGTACGAAAGCTACATTTCCTTGTTCTTGTTTTCGCTACCCTTGCGCGATACGCTCTGCTTGCTGCGTCACGGTATCCTGGATCGCGATGTAGAGGGTGGTGTCGCGTCGCGTAAGGGAGCATCTAGCCCGCAAGACACCTAGCTGATCGCAAATCCCAGATAACTGCAAATTCGAGCATCCTCAAGGCGGCCAACAAAGTTACAACCGATTCGGCGCCCTCGGGGGCCAGACAAATCAGGGTTCGGGTGGGCGAGCAGCAGGTAAGGCGTTGCGCTGCTGCAATTATCTCTTATTACTGACAGATTCTCCGTTCAGATACCCCGCCATATCCCGGGTTGACTGTCGATGCCATCCAACGAGACCTGTCAAGCGAGCTGCCACAATGGATCCTGTCGTGTTATGGGCCGGGAAGGGATGCGCCCGAGCAACTTTGGGGTGGCTATCCGCGAGAACAGAGCCCTGAGGAAATACGGATGCACTTCATGATGGGGCAAGCGGCTGGGAACCCCCAAGCAGCTGTAAGTGCTGCCAAGCATCAGAGCTGGGTAATGGGAGTTGCGGTTGCTAACGCGTTACAGCTTAATGACATTGAGGCAGTTTACCACAACGCAAGACAACAAATCCAGCACGCCCTCACCAACATCCCCGCAGCGATACAATTCATCGTTGATGCTGAAAAGAAGCATCCGAATCGGATCGATATATGCAAGGGTGCAAGTGGAGGGGCTGCTTCTGGTGGTCCTTTCGGGAGCGCGGCGAACGCTTATCCGAAGCCGCCCCAGCCGGCGAATTCCTTTGGCGCGCCGGCTACTCCTGCGACCACTGTTGGCGCTTTCGGGCAGCCTTCAACACTCGGGCAAAAACCAAATCCGTTCGGTGCGCCGTCAACAGGCTTCGGCCAGCCAGCCCAACCGGCAGCATCGGCCTTCGGGCAACCGTCAACACTTGGGGGGGCATCAGCGTTTGGTAGAACCGGAAACACAGCCTTTGGTCAAACTAGCGCGCTAGGCTCAAAGCCTAATCCGTTTGGAACGCCAGCGCTCTCGCAGCCGGCGCAACCTGCGGGTGGCCCGGTGTTCGGACAGTCAGGGTTTGGGCAGCCAGCAACTCTTGGGGCCAAGCCGAACCCCTTTGGCGCTCCAGCACCTGGGCCAAGCCCCTTTGGGGCTGTAGCCAGCGGTGCGGCTACCACACAGCCGCCGGCTAATCCGTTTGGCCAGCCAGCACAGCAGGCCCAAGCTACTGCCTCCCCTTTTGGCCAAAGCGCGCCTACTCAACCTGCTGCCAATCCGTTCGGCCAGCCGGCGCCTGCCAACCCGTTCGGGCAACCAGCAACAGCTCCGGCGAACCCCTTTGGTCAACCTCAACAGCCGCAGCAGCCGCAGCAGCAGCAGCAGCCAGCGACCGGCCCTTTCGGCGCCCCCTCCACGGCCGCTGCTCCCCTCAACCCCTTTGGACAACCTGCAACAACCTCACCCTTCGGTGCTCCCGGCACCAACAACGCCCCCACAACTAGCGTATTTGGTCAACAACCCAACGCCGTAGGGTCCACCGCCGGGTTCGGCGCACCAGCGTCTACATCTGCAGCTTCGGCCTCGCAGGGCCAAAGTCCCTATGGCCCGAACGCCACCCGTCAGCACCCCGACATATCCGCATACAGCTCGAAAGGCCCCGACGGGCGGCTGCGCATGTTCAAGGGCAAACCGGTGACCTATCAGGAGCTCAAACCGGGGACGAACCCCGTCCCCGTCATTCGTAACTTTGACGGGAGCGTGGTCAGAATCTGGATGCCGAATGGAGCGCCGGCATATACAGCAGAGACGGAAGCCGAGCCGGCCAAGTACGAGGATCCGAATGTCATGCAGCAGTGGAAGGCTTTCGTGGAGACGGGGAAGTTTGCTGGGGGGGTCATGCCGGAGGTTCCGCCGAAACGAGAATTCTGTACTTGGGATTTGTAGAGGCCATGGATTGGAAAGGAGGGAGGAGATTGATGCCAGGGCGCGGGAGGGTTTTGTTATAGGAGACATGGTTCGGCGTTTGTGGATATGTATCGGTTTATGGGCATTCCACATACAATCACCGCCTGGGAGGTCCTTTGCCAGTTTGAATTGAAGGTTGATGATATAGATGGCGTTTATGGCTGATAGCATCTGGGAATAACCATGTGTCGGAAACTAACCGTGGTTTGATAATCCGTGATGTCCATCTCAACCGGCAAATCCACCACGGGCCATCTTCCTCGCCCGCTGGTCCCGCCGGTTATGATTTGCCCGGCTCCCCTTATTTGCCTCTTTCCTCCGCCGCGCAATCTCCGAGTCCGCAGGCGGGCCAGTTGCGGCACCACCTCTGCCTCTGCCTCTCCCTCCTCTTCCTCCACCACCCCGCCCCCTGCCCGGCCTACCACCCCAGCCTGGCTGCCCAGGACCCGCACCGCTCGCACCATCTATCCCGTCCTCCTCAACCCCGTCTCCCCCTTCATCAGCACCCGCACGCCACGACGTCCTCCCCAGTTCAACCTGCTCGCCACTAAACTCGCCGTACCTGGCGTGCAACCTCCTCTTCAGCCCGGGATTCCGGCCCAGCATCACAGCCCACCCTTCCACCGCCTCGTCCGTCATGCCGGTCTCGTCTCGCAGCCTCGCCCTCTCCTTCCCGCGCCGCGTCTCGTTGTCACGCGCAAACAACCCCGGACTGGCCTTCCACGCGCGGAAGAGCGCGGCCTCCGTCCCCTCTGGCAGCACCTCCTCGGCCGTCGGGGTGTCGACCGTCCCGCCGACGTCGTCGGCGTCGTAGGTGTCGTCGCGCTCGTCATCGTCCGAGTCGAAGGCGGCGAGCGCGGAGAGGATTGCCGCTTTTTGGGGGGCTTTGCTGCGGTCTGCCAGCAGGGTGTCCGCGTCGCCGGGCCGCTTGCCGATGTGCAGGCGCGAGGCGTCGGCTGTGAGCAGGTCGAAGTCTTCGGTGTCTGAGGCTAGTTGCGGAGGTGTGGGACGTGGGTTGAGAGAGCTGCGCCGAGGGAGGGTGGCTTTGGTAGGTTTCGCGTCGGTGGTTGGGGTGCCGTGGTGGGAGAGGTCTTCGCTGCGGTTGGCCGACTGTAGGTGAGGAGGGAGGAAACCGTCCAGGAGGTGGGCGATGACTTCCTCGGCGTTATCCTCATATTCGTCCAGGAGCTTGGAGATAAAGCCCGAGCCGAGCTCTGGGAACAGATCTTGAACTTGAGAGATCTGACTCATATGGTGAACGTGGATTTCTTGCTGGGCTTGGGCTTCGTCAAACTCCGCGAGGCCCTTGCCTTTGTCGACCTTGCGCTTGATCAGCCGCTTGGGCTTGGACACACCACCTCCGGGCTTCTTGAATGCGCCAAGCTCAGCTAGGACGGACTTGGTCCGACTCGAAGCGCTGCCGGCTTCCTCGATCTTGCGTTCAAGCCGCTGAATCAAGGGTGTGGAGGTCACAAGCTCGGCGACAAGAGAATCGTTGACATTGAGAGGCCCTGCTTTGTGCGCGTCGGCAGCAGCCTTAAGGGAATAGAGCTGGTCTGTCAGAGCCGAGAGCTTCTGTCCCTCCGCCAGGCCGACTAAGCTGAGGTAGGTTGTCGCAACTAAGGCCTTCCTCAGCGGAGGGTTGGTGATCTTGTAGCAGCTGATGAGGCCATCGACGAAGTCGCTTCCAGCAAGGAAGAATTCGGCAACCGCCGGGGAGGCACGGATCAGGTCGTTCACCCTCTCCAACCGCTCCTCGATGCCTTTAAGATCGCCTCCATTAAGTCCGGCATCGAGGTTTCTGATCAAGAACCTTTTGAGCACAGCCAGAGATGAGTCTAGATACCCTTTTGAGGTTGCAGAAAGACTGTCCAAAAGCGCCTCGGCCTTCCTTTTCCCGTATACTCGACTTAGGTCAGCGAGAAAGTCCCACTGAGCAAGCTCAAGAGGTGGCGAGGAAGACTGAAGCAATTTTGTAATCAGAGCTAGACAGTCTTTGAGCAGCCTCTTCGCCGAAGAAGATGACCACAGGATATCAACGCCGCCTAGAGCAGTCTCCCGAAGAAGAGAGACGAGAAAAGCTTGAAGAGAGCTGTCCTTGGCCGATATGCTCAAGAATTCCGGATCAGATAGCGATAAATGGCTGTTGATAAGAGCGAGCCAAGCATTCAGGCAAGCGACCCATTCATCGGAGAGAAGCTGATCCCTCCAGGCCGCAATAGGGAAGAGTGCGAAGGCGGGCAGAGTTGACGAAGCCATGATGTTGAGGTCAGGGGCAGGGGTAGTTTGCTGCAAGGACAAACAAGAGTGGCTGATAAAACACCAGGGACAAAGTGAGCTGCACGCCTTGAATGCTGGCTTGATGAGGAAAAACGAAAGGGCCTCTAGTCAGAGGACATGAACAAGACAAACCAAGAATTCGGTGTTTCAGGAAATCATGATCTATAAAAGCACAACGGTCATTGCCTCTCAAATCCAGTCAGCATTCCAGACTCGGTTTGCCTCCAGATATGCACGCCGAATTGAAGGTCACCGAATGTGTCATTGCCCGTTTTGACAGGGATGCTTGGCAGCAAAGTGGGCCTCCGCCACAACGCACTGGAAAAGCGCCACAGCTGCGTGGCTCAGCCATGCCCTCGCCAAGACTCGCCCCACCACATCGAGACCTCACAAATTATCTTTGAAAATGGGAAAAAGTTCGCGATCCTGAGCTATCCACCACAACGTGCGCAACCGCTGTTAGCCTTCATCACTTTGCCGAACCGGTATGTTACCCTGCTCAACGTCGCTCAGTCCCTGCCCAGAGGGCAGGGAGTCTGAACGAGCAATACAAAGACGGTAAACTGACCATCGCATGCAGTCGACGATCCTCGCGTTCGAGTCGTGAAGGCACCTTCTAAGCAGTCAATCAAACAAGTCACAAACTCGACTCTCAAGACCAATCCGCCAAGATGTCTTACAACAAGCCCGAGAAGGACTTCGGCGAGGCCCCGAAGGTCCACAAGATCCGTCCGTAGCCCGTCCACCTACACACACAGCGCTGGGGAAAAACGACAGCTGACGATGGGAAAACCACAGGCATCACCCTGACCTCGCGCAAGGTGCAGGCTCTCGAGAAGGTCTGTCAGGAACTGATCGAGCGCGCCAAGAACAAGGACCTCCGCGTCAAGGGCCCCGTCCGCCTGCCCACCAAGATCCTCAAGATCACCGTACGTCCCCCCCCCCCCCTTCCTTATCCCTCCATGCCGCTCGCCAATTTTTGGGGCGTTCGTAGATTGCACCGAGAAACGGGAGGGTACTAATCGAATCGCTGGCGAAAACAGACCCGCAAGACCCCCTGCGGTGAGGGTTCCAAGACCTGGGACTCGTACGAGATGCGCATCCACAAGCGCCTCATCGACCTGACTGCGCCGACCGAGATTGTCAAGCAGATCATCATCAACATTGAGGCTGGTGTCGAGGTTGAGGTTACGATTGCTGCTTAAAGAAGGTAGACGAGTGGTACAAACGCCAAAAAAAAAAAAATTAAACGCGGCCCTCGCGAAGGCGCAAGCTTTCGGGAGTTACTCCCAGGCATCTGAGCTTCACTGCGTGCTAGCAGCATGCTGCGGTGACAAAATGCAATTCGCTGGTCCCGGTCAACGTGACCCAACCCCGTTTTGGTGAATGTTCATTGGCCCGGGGAATACATGACGCGAAACGGAGAGCTCATTCTACAATGTATTATTTACCTGGACGGCTCGGGCTCTACTCTTGCCTTGATTCTATGAGTCAGGAGGTTGCGCTACCGCCATTGGGCTCCCTTCACTGACTGGCCTTGGGGTCTTGAAGCGACGGCGGACCCTTCCTAGCCTGAGGTCTATCCCAAGAGCCCGCGCACTGCTCTTTCATACACGGCCGGGGCTATGTAAGTCCCCTCGAGCCATCTGCTGCCCTTGCCCGTCTGACTCTGGCTGAACTGGCGCCTTCCATGGAGGATCTGCCGGTTGTTGAAGATAACGCAGTCGCCCGGCTTAAGCTTCATCTCGACTATGTTGCTAGGAGACTCGGCGATGGCCTTGAACTGCGCCGCCGCGGCCTTCCACCTGCGCAGGTCCTCGTCGCCCTGTTCATCGGACCTGAGTCGGAAGGATTCTTGGAAGGGCGGCGACCATCTGGTCTCGCTGATCGTGTTGTTTTTGTCTGCTATTATGGTGGGGTGCGCCCTGGCGAAGTTATGGCCTCGTTTGTGATAACCGAAGAAGGATTCGACGCGCGTAAGAACATCATAGTGCTCTGGATAGGCTTTCTTCAGCTCGTATGCGGCGCGGACGCCGTGGCTGAAGAGCGACTCGCCGCCCTCGCAGTCATTGGACTGGCAATGAAGCAGCTGGAGTTCGGGGATGGGGTCCCAGTACATGAGATCCTGGTGCAGCCCGAGGAACTGGCTCGTGTATGCCACGTTCTCGGCCCGCGGCTTTGACTTGACGTCCCAGGTCCAACCATAGATGGTGTACTGCTGGGCTCCGATCCGGCTCGCGACGCGTTGAACCTGGCCCTTTTCTTGGGGGACTCCCGTAACGAAGATCAGCCCTGTCTTGTTGAGGTCGCCGAAAGCAGCCCGGAAAGCTTCATGGTTGTGAAGCCAGTCCTGGTAGCTGATGCGGCACCGCCCGTCCGCCAACAGGGCTTCGTACTCTGCCCGGTCCCAGAGGATCCTTTCCGGACCTTGGCTCGCGGATTTATACGGCACCTGAGTATCTTTTTCCTGCCAACTGCGAACCATTTCCGTGGGGAAGACGGAGGTATGTGACCCCGCGTCGCTCAGGGGGTCATTAGCCCAAACCACCTTCAACTCGCCGGAATCCATCAGCTCTGCGTGCTCCACAGCTGGATAGTCGGGCAAATCGGTGGTTGAAAAGCTCTTCTGTCCTGAATCCGGGTCGACGCAGTGGGTGCAGGGGCATGCATCGCGCAACCAGAGAAGAGACAAGGTCAAGTGTGGGATCGGTGAGTCGTCGGCTGCGCGACGTAACAGCGTCAGCATCTTCGTGTCCCATTTGACGAGACCGTCCTGGCTTTGAAAGCTGTGCTTCGGAGAGCGGTGCTGTTGTATCTCCTCTCCAAGGCTCTGGTTGATGGCCTCGCTGCCTGTCTCGACTGCAGTGTGGTTGTAGCGGACTGACTGGCGTGAGCGGTCGAGGGTGAGTTGGCTGGCCACGCCATATGTCGGCCACGAGGCAATTTGGGTGCTGTATCGCCGCCAGGGCCGAGGCAGCCCAAGACTTGACGGCCGAAGATTGGGACGACGGGCAGTGAGACGCTCGACACGGCGCGCAACGCGCAGCGCTCGTTCCATGTTTGGCCGGAACGAGAAGTGAACGACGGTGACTACGGAGGCACAACACTGAGGTCGGGCTCGTCTTCCCGGCGATCGACGGCGGACCTTTCACTGGTGGGTTGCCGGGACAAGATGCCGTTGTCGTCTATTTATTTACTCACTCCGAGGGTAAGACCCCACATCTTCAGCCGAACATCGTGAGCCGAACACGACACATGAATGCGGGGTTGCACGCTCGCACTCTCTGTTCCGGCCGTCCGTGCCGGAAAACGGGAACTGAGCAGCGGCAAGGTTCGAGTACTTCTGCGAACCTACAAAGGCTGTCTTTCTTTGCCCGCTGCACTTCTGCGAAGAACCAAGCCCAGTTGGTGTTGATGCTATCGGTTTGCAATGAGCCGTTCCGCTCCCGCCGATGTTGAACCCCTGATCTGTACATCCCGCTCTGACGTCATTCGCTCCCGTTGTTCCCCTTGGCCATCTGAGCATCTGTCCTGATTCTTTTTCAGTTTCAGTTTTTGGACATATACGAGTGCTCATTTTCACGAAGTCACATCTCGGTTATCCTCACAAACGTATTTAAGCGTGATCACATCACACACACTACTTGCAGAGTAATAGGTTCGGCTGCGACCCCACAGCCACAAACATCGTCATGGACCCAAATCCCCTCTCAGACCGCGAGAAGGCGCTAGAGGACAAGTGGATTAGAGAGAAAGAGTGTGTCTCTCATGTTTCCATTTCCCCTTACTAGTATCTATGATAAATTCAATAGGCTAACACAGCTACACGGCGCAGGAAACAGATGGCAAAGGAGAGAGCCGCAAAGAAGGAGTCAAGTAAAGACACCAACACCGGCGCTATAGTCAAAGAGCAAGAGTAGGCGGGGCAGGCGAAGTGAGAAGAATGGTAGTAATCACGTCTTCCTGTCGGGGAGTACCAGGAGAGAGATAACAATCTGAGTTGATGTTCAATCGGATTTGATCACAACATCCCAGGTTTGAATGATCGACCCGGCCCTTTCGCTCTTCAGCTTCCAATGGCCGAACTGAGGCAGCATGACAGATGGATATTCTAGGTACCTTAGTTTGGGGACTTAGGGGTGGGACACCGGGGGATGACTGAGCATGAGGGCCTGGACATGCCGAGGTTGGGACTATGCCATATGGGTCATTGTTCCGCGGGACCGGGTATCATAGATTCATAGACCCAAAAGGCCTTGGCTTTCCGCCCAACAGACAAACGCCACATGCTACCAGTACTCGCCAGCGGCAAGGCTTGAGCGCGGTTTGAGCGATGGCGTCGAGGAACAGTCACACATATCTAAAAAGAAAACAGAGCTTTCAGCAAAGATAGTTTTATTTCGAATTGCAGGCTGGCACAGCCAACTCCCTCTATAGTCTATCCCGGACTCCATTTCCTTACGGCCGGCCCGTGCCCAGCAACAGGTCCATCCCTCCTGTTCTCTTCAATCAGGTGGTCGAGCGCATAGCCACTGTTGAGCTATAGTCAGCACAGCTCGTTGCTGACAGCTGTGCTACCCCAGGACGATTCAAGAACGGCCAACCCATTGTTGAGACGTCGCTGGAAGCCGAGGAAAGGTCCTACAGGGGGAGGCCAAGGCAGACTTCTGGCAGTTTCTCAGGCGCTTTCTTGAGTGGGACCACGAGAAGGGGCCATGTGCCCATGAACTGCTCGGATATCCGTGGCTGACTCGGAGGGATGAGTCCGAGTCGGATGAGGAGGAGGAAGAAGGAGAAGAAAGAGAAGACTCATAACTTGGTGTATCATGTGTAGATACTCATGATCAAACGGACCGTTGGAGCTCAGCTGGTTTTGAAAATTTGTCTGTAGAGCATATTAGCAGCCTAGGTTAGCGTGTGGTAGTCCGGAGATACCTCAATCTTGCATCCTTGAAGCAGACTGGCTCGATGCGGCGGCGTTAGACGCTTTTCGACTAAGGGGCTGGGGAGAACCAAGGGGATATGCCCGATAAGCTGGCAACCCGCACATACGGTTAGACTGAAGAGATGGTGTTAGCTTATAGCTATCGCCTTTCCCGTAATCGTAAGTACCTGGAGTAGACATGGTGGTGCGCGTTTTGCCTTGGGCCCTTGGCGGAGGCATACCGGTGTTACAGGCTTCGCCCACATCTCTCCCCCACGTTACACAAGGCGGGCAGGGAGGCTTACATGCTCGTCCGATTGACGGCCCCAAAGTCAGAGGTATGGAAACGATTGAAGATCATAATTCGGCTCCAACTTGACCGCTTATGAAACGTCGTCGCCACTATTCCAAGAAGTGGATAGCCTTGCAGGACATAAACCAGGCGCTGTTTCGGTGTAGTATAAGCCCCTCGGCATACCTATTCCGCTGAGTCATTAAGCCTCTACAATAGGAGGCATACCTGTCCATGGTGCTCCTAATTGGCCACGAGTCCATGACGAGCCCAGAGATGGCCCTGTCAGCCCCCTGTGCTCCTGGTTTGTGCTGTGGGCCTCACGGCCTCAGTGCAGATTGGAATCCAGCTGGCGTGCTGTATGCCCCCGAGGGGCTCACAACATCACCGTAGGTTGGGTGTTGGACGCCAAAGTTTGAAAGTATGCCCTGCTGCCAATCTCATAGGAGCTGTGTATTTAAACCATGGTCTTCATCACTTCCTCCTGCCATGGATTGTGAACGGAGTCCTTACGCCGCCTTTGCTTATATCGACTTACTATTTAGTCAACTCAGCAACAGGGCCAACTCGATCAGCTTGCACGTCTTGAACCCTAGTGACACGGTTACCAAAGTTGCTGTAAGTCTTACCGCAAGCTCTTGGAGAAAGGGGCTTGACTTCTGACGAAGCACGGCGACGCACTAACACAATAGTGTGTATAGCCTTTTTGACGATTACCTTTACGCTACGGTCCTGACACACCCTTCCTCCACTTGGGTACCAAGCCCCTTCCGGCCGCTCAGAGCAGACCACCAACCTCCACCCACATCTCGGCGGCGAAGATGCCTCTGCATGCATCCTCGCGGGGAAAGTCCAGACATGGCTCTCGCGTTCCCGCAGCATCCAATCCAGCTACGACGGGTTGGGACCCGCAGCAAAGCACGATCGACCCGCGGCTCTTAACCGTTCAACAGCCCGTAGTTGACTTCCCAGTTGAGGATCCGTTCCCCAGCAACTCCTCCTATGTTGGCGTCTCAGACACAGATCAGCAGTACCTGTATCCGCCGGCTTCAGGGGTTCCAAGTCTTGCCGCAGGCGTGTAGCTGCCTCACCACAGAGACATGGACACCTCTTATGCCCCAAATACGGTCGTTGACGCCGAGCTTGACTCTCAGTTTTCCCACCTCACCATGGATTCATCACAGGTTGATCCAAACATCAACCACTCCGCGCCCTGGCTTGATCAGACCACAACCTTCTCTCCAAATCCTGGAGCTGGAGACTTAGGCCCGCAGTACCTTCCCGATAACACACTGGCATCTCCAATGAGCGCCCAACAGACCTCCACCGATCCCTATCCATACCACCTCGACAGCGCATCCTACCACATCTACCATCCGCCGGATGACAGCGCCGCGCAGGCTGGACCATCTTCATCATTTTCCAATGCTACGGCTGCAGACTATCCCTTCATCTGCGACCAAGACGGATGCAACAAAGGCTTCGAGCGTCAGTGCGACCTGACGTACGGATTCCCCTCCATAACCCCCCCTTTTTTTTTCCCTTTGTCTTTTCCATCTAGAGCCACAAGTGACAAAAAGGCTAACGCCAATAAACGCCCCATCACAAAATAGCAAGCATAAAAACAATCACTCGAAGCGCCGAAAGTGCAAGTACTGCGACGCGGGCGGAGCCGAAACCAAGGACCTCAACCGCCACATGTGGACGCACCATCCCGATCTGGCGCGTGAGTTGGGAGTGCCCAGGGAGCTGGACCGATGCTCCAAGTGCGGATATGCGGCGCGGAAGGACAATGTGAAGCGGCACAAGGACAAGAAGGGCCATTGGTGATGGCACCTCCTCTCTCAGCTCTACTACCTAGCACGACAACCGAAGCATACCTTACCTAAGGGACCTTGGTAGAGAGTGTATGGCCGCCGGATTTGGTTTTGGATCAACCGCAGCGCTTGCTGTTCTTTCCCTTTCAAGGTTTTCTTCCTTCTTACTGCTTTCTAAATTTACTTCTCGAAAGGCTTCTTTCTTTGGTTCATTGGGCTGTTGTTGATAGGGTCTGTTCCTTTCCCTTTCTTTTGCCCCCTTTCCCGGCATTTCTTTTCGGTTCTGTTCTCCTATCTCCTCTCCTTTCCCTCGATGACGAAAAGCGCGATGGCCAATGTGTGTTAACATTTGGGACTTAGCTATGATTGGAATGAGTGCAATTTAGATGTGCACGGCGAGAAAGATACTGAGAGGCAAGTTTGTTTACATGATAGTGATGGAAGAGATGGGGGAACTTGGTCTGGCTTGTGCTTTCTGATACAGAGTATGCCTCACAGTTGTCATGATGGTCTATTATAGTGTTCTATATCGTTTGTGGTGTTTCAAGTTTCAAGTCGAGATTGATATCGAGCGCTGTCTGTAGGCAAGGCATTGTAAGCAGCTATTTGCATGGAAAACCCAGGTTATTCGCAAAGCCAATGATTCGCTACATAGGAGACGACTAGCTAGAAGGTATCGTAAAGTGCCTAAGCGAGATATCATACAGAGGTTAAAGCCAATCGCTATGGGTATGAATAGAATCCCGCCCTAAACGCCATCCACCATTGAAGCACACATATTCCGCGGTCTTCAATCCGCACAGAACATAGGAAACAGATCGTTGCCAGGGGCATAACAGCCTCACTCAAACCGTAGACTAATGAAATAGGATCTGTAAAAAGACTGCAGTGCAGTCAAAATTCCTAGCCATCGCGCTGGAACCAGAACTTTCCGCGCAACTAAGGCTTCCTATTGGGCTTCTCACCCCTCTCGACCTGCGACATCTGTCCCGCGAGGCGGCCAAACTGCCATTCGGGCAGCGAAATTCCGGTCTGCTCGTTGATGGTGGTCATCAGAGGGGGGAGCATCTGGTAGATGTTACGCATGGTCGCGACGCTGCTCTGGTTGCCCATGCCCTGCGCGCCCTCCACGCCGGCCTCGGCGCCCGTGTTCCACACGCTGATCTTGGGGTGCAGGCCACGGATGGCCTCGGCATTCGCCTTGGCCAGCTCGACATACGTGCCCTTCTCGATCATCATGTACTGCAGCAGGCCCGCGGGGCCGCCGAACGCCTGGCTCATCTTGGCGTAGGCGTCGGCCATGGCCGTGATACCCTCGGCCTCCTTGAGCTTCTTCTGCAGCAGACCCTCGGCGTTCTTCACTGCAGCGTCGGCCCATGCCTCGGCGTCCTGTCTGGTCTTGTACGCCTCCGCATCCGTGTCGATCTTCAACTTGTACACGCCCGCCTCGGCCTCTTGTTTCTGCTTTTCGAAGTTGGCCCTCGCGTCGGCCTCCACCTCGTACGCCTTTGCGTCCGCCGCCTGCTGCTTGGCCTCGCGAGCGATGGTTGCCTTAACGACATCGGTTGCGCGGAGACGTTCCATCTCGGCGGCGGCGCGCTTGATCTGCACCTCGCGCTTCAGGTCTTCGTCCTGGGCCTCGGTCTTGCGCGTGGCCGAGATGCGCGCAATCTCGACGTCGCGGTTGAGCTCGGTCTTGCGGGTGGCGAGTACCGCCTCGGCGGACGCGCGCTCGATGTCGCGTTCCGTCTTCTGCACGGCCGTCTCGGCGTGGATCTTGGCGATCTCGCGCTCCTGCTCGCCCTTGCGCTGCGCTTCACCGACGTTGCCGCGGAGCTGTGCCTCGGCGACGTCAATTCTAGCCTGATTCGTTGCACCCTCATGGGCCTTGCGGCTGAGGGACTCGAAGTAGACCGAGTTTGGCGCATCCTTGAGCTCCTTAACGTTGGCGTTGTAGATCTTGAGCCCGAATTGGTCTAGTTCGCTCTGAATGTTGCGGAAGATGCGGCGCTTGAAGACTTCGCGCTCGGTGAAGATTTCTTCCATGGTCATGCTCGAAACCAAGACACGGGTTTCGCCTTCGATGATCCCCTTGACGATGTTCTCGAGGAACTGGCGGTTGTTGGCGCCCTTGTTGGCGCCGGAATCGGCGAGCAGCATGGCATACTTCATCAAGGAATCGCCTCGATCTTCGCGCCGATGGTCGTGGACATGCTCGTCTCCTGCGGGGGTGCCGTCACTACCGGCGCCGGAAACGTGATGCTCGGGCTCGTAGTGGCCTGCCCTGGTGTTGGCACCGCGTTGGTTGACATCGGGGCCAACTGTGAAAACAACCGGCAGCAGGAACTGCAGCTTCTCCTTGGTCATGGCCTGCAGGTTCATGGCATAGTCGTGCGGCTGCACGCTGAAGCGCATGCACCGCTGGAACGGCCAAACCCATGCTGCCTTGCAAATCTTGACTGTTGGACAGAGTAATCAATGATTAGCTTGGTCTCCAGCTAGAGTGTCCTGCCGGAACAACTCACCATTCTTGACTCCCATGCCAGTAATGGCAAGGTACTCATCAGGAGCTGCGATCTTGTAGGAGGCCATTTTGGTGTTCAAGGTGTGGAAGAAGTGTTGAATGTGCGGGCGCGAAAAGTAATGACATACACAAGGCGCTTTACTATGCGAAAAAGGACGAGCCAATAGGTTCGTAGTAGTCTGCTGTCCCACCTCGATGGAAAGGAGTCTTCTCAGGGGCCTGGGTTGATGTTATATGGACAAACCCCTTTGCGATAACATTAGTGTCCACGACAGAGCCTCACTTGGCTCATTTCTCGGCTGCATGCAAACAATAGAAGCAGAGCCTCAGCCGCTCATCATCTGACCTGTGACACGGCTAGAACGGAAGTTCTCGGCAAATGGGGTCTGCCTTGTGGTCGGGATGGGCAGTCGCGACCGTGGCTGAGCACATCGTGGCCACAACGTGCAGTTGCCAGTCACCCCATTCGTGCCTAACCCACCGCGGCATCCATCATTCGGCGAATGTCGCGAAAAGCAGCGATTGGTAGCTATCTACCTAAGATAGGTAGCCAAGGATCTATGGTCATGGATGAGACGGTCAAAAGAAGAGCCGCACTCAACTTTCACCGCAGCGGACTCTCAAGTCTCAATCGAGTGACCGAGAACGTTGCAGTGAGCCTACCTACCTTGAGGTTTGCTAAGCAGTTTGGCCCCACCCAACGACAAATGGGCAGCTCGGTGCCGGTTTCCGTGTTAGCCCCTCACCTTCCCAGAGGTAAGTTTCAGTGTTTGTCCGGTATCGAATTAGGTAAAGTTAGATAGGTATCTCGCATTACGGGGCGAGCCACAGGCAGTTTCCTGCCGCACGTTGTTCAAATCTGCTCGTCACAGCTTCAACGTGAATGGCATGCGGCGCAATCGGTGGCCCAGAAGATGCGTGCCGTGGAGGAATGCGACGTGGCATGTTAGGTAGCTGGAGTCAATGGATTTTGAGCTATGTGCGGCTGGCCACCTTCCAAAGTTGTTCCAAATAGGGAAGTGACACTGGCAGGATGCAGATTACAGATTGCAAGTACTTACAATGATTGTGGTGAAGAACGCCTTCTATGCCTTCCGAAGTTCCGAGATGCTTGGATCGGTCCGGCTCTCCGGATCCGACGAATTCAGGGGGGAGCTACTGACCCCACTCTTCCGCTAATCTGACAGCGACGCAGGCCGTCACAGGGACAAACTTGACCGGGTGCCTTGAGCCAGTGAACACAGCCCCCACGATCTGAACCAAGAACTCTTACTATATGCAAGGCGCATCAGCCAGTCATTTGATTGCGGGGTCCTGGTCGTTCTCAGCTTTTCGGCAGTATCACTCAAGGCGAACCACAAGCCACTCGCGAGGAACAAAGTCTAGCTTCACGCCATTTTCATCGCCGCAACACTGCGTTGCTTGGGACTGTTCTCGGAGTCTAGACAGCGCCTTGCTGCTTCAACTTTGCCTGGAGTCTGTCATCCTTAGCAACACAGATAGGCCGATTCCTGTCACCTTGATGCCTACAGCCTACGGGGCTCCCGTCTGGCTTACGAGCTGCGATATCACCTGAGTTTGGCAACACAGTGATGGTCATCGATGGTTTCACACCTACCCAGCGCCTCTCCACTAGAACTACCATCTGGGACGCCAAATCGATCATCCAACCAGGCTTAGTATTGAAACTCTAGGTTCCTACCTCACGAGCAGAGCCGGGCGCCGTAAAGGTGATCGGCGTATCATCAGTCCGGCGCTTGCAGCGCGTTAGCACTGATGAGCCAGACGACAACGCCTTCTCACCGGACGGACATCACACAGCCAAATCACCAATCACCCACCATGGGTTTGCCATCCAATGAAGACCTTCCCCCATCCTATACCGAAGCCACCACCACCGCCGCAACCGCAAGCACAAGTCCAGCAACACCAACCGGCCTGCCGCTCCCCTCCCCGCTGACAACCCACCTCCGCACGCTCCCCGCCCGGTTGCGCGCCACACAGCTGGCGCTTCGCACCGCCCAAGCCTCGCACGACCTCGATCTCACCACCCTCCTCATCCCGCACGTTGAATCTTTCCTCACTGACCTCACCTCCGCGTCGCGCGTCCGCCCCGTCGCGGAACTTACCCTGGTGCCGTCGACAGCCATACCCGATGGATGGGCGATGAGCGGGGCGGTGGAGAGACGGCGCGAAGGCGAGATGGTTAGGGTTCGGAGGGTGGATGTCGGGAAGGTGGGCGGTGGGGAAAAGGGTGGGAGGCGCACTGACGGCCGGGAGCACGGGGACGATGATGATGATGATGATGGCCGTGATGGATGGGCAACCTCCCGCGGAAAGGGAGAACCAGGGTTTGATGAATGGGGCCGCTTTGACTCGAGCGATGCTGCTGCCAGCAGCGGCAGAGCGAACGAGTGGTGGTTCCGCGACGAGGATATGGCTCGCCGGCTGGCGGCGTATCTTAGGCCGGAGGCGAATCTTGAGCGGAAACATGTGCAAGCCGCCGTCGTGGAGAAGAAAGCGGAGGAGAAGGCGAAGACGGGCTTGTTGGGCCGTTTGGGCTTGGGAGGAGGGAGGAAGAAGAACGTGGAGCAGACTCTGTCGCCGGCTGCGCCTTCGCCTGCGTCACCGACACTGCCGAGCCCCCGGGCGGGCGATGAGGATGATTCAATCAAGATGACGGTGCGTGCTGAGGAAGTCACCTTCCGGAAGGAGAACGAGTTTGGAATTTGGGAAACCAGGACCGGGTGGGGGATTGTGGTGACTGTGAAGGTAAAGGCATGATATCGGTTACCTAGTTACCAGGTATTGTACACGCCTGCTCACAATGAAAGAAACACTTAGGCATCTTAAGTTAGTGCTACCTTACGTTGATTTCAGTTGGCTAGCAAATCATTTTGCGGCCTCCTAGCCGCCTATCTTATGTTAAGAGCATATGTCGGCATCTTCGCCCTCTCTCACGGTCTCTGGTGACGTCCTGGTACTGACCTCGCTAGCTCTATAGGCCTGGCTTTTCTGCCAGGGAACGCCAAAAGTGTGAGATTGATTAGAAGGGAAAGGCGCTGAGATCCATTGAAACTAACCTGCAGGACAGGAAGGTAGCCATGAATACGCATCCTGGGTTCCGGTGAGCTCAGATCAGCAGCTGCATCAGACTCTTGTTCGTCGGGATACCATGCTGAAAAGCGGAAGGGGCGGAGCGGCACTGACATGGTAGGAATTTGGCCAACGTATATACAATCAACGTGGAGAAGATAGGCGAGTTTGCCACCGACAACACGACTCGTCATAGAGGGTCGCATAGTGGACAGACACCCACATGAACGTCACACAGAGCCAGCTTCCAAGCACGGCATTTTCGGGAACATTGGTACTTGCATACAGAATAATTTCGATGTCCAGGGCCGCCAAGCAGGCGGGGATGGAGTGAACCGTGACCAGCCACCACCCTCCGCCTCCCGATAGTGTTCCTCCTACCTCTCTCGGAACTTCCTGACTCAAGCCGGTGTAGCGCGCTCCGAGCACACAAAAAACTGTGATGTCTGTCATTGCGTGGTCCACTGCGTCTGTTCCCGTCGGAAGACCACGAAGGCCGCTGTGCTAGCGTTGATTAATGAGGCTTCACAAGGCAATGGTCCAAGCTACGGCCAAATAGGTCTATGCCTGACCACGCGATAGACTCAGTGTCCGAAGGTCATGATTCGACATGGCCTATCTGGGACCATGTGGGCGCGACCCTGGTCTACACCGAGTCCGGGCCGGGTAGGGTGACCGGCTTTCAAGGGTAACCCGATCAAGCACGACGAGGGCCTCAAGAGCCACTAGGGGATTATTACTGCCGACAAAAGCGTCTACCACGATGTGCTGGGGGCCGTCCAGAAGACCATCTCACTATGGGACTGGTGCTAGATGGTTTGCTAGCTCCTTTTGGCAGGATTGAACTTTCAGTCACGCTGCTCCATGCAGCATTGATACTCCACGGGTAGCATAGTCCCGGGCCCCTTACTTGCTATGGGATTTGCCCTTCCCCCCGCAACCAGGCTTCGTTTTCTTCTTGAGCAGGGTCAGCTCGTCCCCAATGCCGCCGTCTCCACGGACAAAAGTCCAGGTGAGCGCCGTGGCGTTGTGCACAGCCAGCTTCATGAAGCCGTAATGCTCCTGGTCCACCACGGCAGAGATGTCCAGGATCTTGTCCCGGGCCAGCGTGCTGTGGCTCTCGATGTTGCCGGCCATGCCGTTGATGATGTGGGCCATCGACCTGCCCGGGTTGGCGAGGTAGGTGTGGTTGTCGACGACAGAGGCGCGGTCGATGGTGCCGTTGGCGCCCAGCGGCCACAGCCGCTCGTACCAGTGGATGTGGCCCGACAGGTAGGCGTCCACGCCGTGCTGGAGCAGCAGGCCCTCGAAGGCGGCGCGGACCTTGGCCTGGTAGCTCGACACCTCGGAGCTGTACATGGGCCGGTGGCTCATGGCGATGATCCAGGGGGTCTTGGTGCGGTCGACCTTGGCCAGGTCGGCGGCCAGCCACTTGTACTGCTGGTAGGCCTTGTTGTCGTCGTAGCTGCTCTCGACGGTGCCGAAGGGTCCGCTGTCGGTCGAGAAGGTCTCGTCGGCAGTTGGGCGAGTCTCGCCCGGCTTCAGGTCGCGCGCGAACGGCCGCTCCGGGCTCCCCGCGTAGTCTGTCTCGCCGTCGATGGCGACAAAGTGCGCCAGCCCGTAATCGAACGAGTACCAGAAGTTCCCGACGCCCCCCGTCTCGGCGCCGGGCATGCGGAACCGGTGCTGGAAGGCGGTGTAGTTGCTAGCAGCTTCGCGGTCAGCGCAACCACAGCATTGATCTGTTGGGGGAGAATAACACACCGCTGGGACGGTGGACAGCTGTAGTATGTCAGGTTCGACTTAGCCGCCGTTGCGTTCTTCTCGTCATTGTTGAGGTATGCAGTTAAGATGTTACCTGGGCCGTCAAACTCAGCGCAGGACGCCTCGTGGTTGCCGGGCAGGACCATGTAGGGCACTTGCTTAGTAACGTTGTTGAGCCATTGCTGCCACAAGTCCCAGTTGGACTCGTAGAGCACGCTCATGTCACCTCCGTGCGGCCCGCCCTGGTTGGCAACCTCGCCGGCCGGGAGCGGAGCATTGTATTCGTCGGGGACGGGCGCATCCCCGGACAGCCGGGTGGACGTACCGTTGTAGCAAACGGGCCAGTCGTCCTCGCAGGGAAGAATGCCCGAATACCAATCATCGGCATAGGAAATGTCCCCGCCGTGCCAGGCGAAGGCCACATCCTGATCGACGGCCTGGAGGAGCTGCTTGTACGTGCCGCCGGCGTTTGTATAGCCCATGTCGGCCAGCACGGCCATGGTGAAGGGAGTCGAGTCGCCGGCCGCACGGGCTGTCTTGAAACTCAGTATGTCCGACGCGGTTGTGCCATTGGCGGCCTGGATCTTGTAGTAGTACGTGGTGCCGGGTTTCAAGTCATGCAGTTGGACCTCGTGAAAGAACTGGCTGCACTGCGTGACCACGACCTCAGAGCACGGAGGCGTGCGGTCATAGCTGGATGGTTCATGTCAGAAGAACGCAAACATACACTTTTGACTTGAGCGAAAATTAAATTCGTACGTATGAGTGGTGCCGGTGGCCTTCTTGTTCAGCCTGGAGGGACGGGTGCCGAAATGGACACTCGGAGCTGTGCCCAGGCCGAACGGAGTCTGAAAGTGGACGTTGATTCCCTTGGGGAGGTACGACAGGGAGATGACGTTGATGCTGTTCGTTGGGTTCGCCGTTGCTGGTGTCACCGCCGGAGGCTCAACTAGCCGCGGGAAACCCTTCCCAGTCCCGTTGACAGTTTGGTCGACCCAGTCCCCGACGGGAACGTCGGGGCCGGTGTAGGGATATGCCGTGTCGACAGTGGATGCCGCAGCCCCGAGGTTGGCTGAAAGGGCCAAGAACGGCACTGCGACCGAGGCAACGGTCGGCCTCATCGCAACTCGCAGTGAAAGGCGCAACCCAAGGTAAGTTGTGGGTTTGGTGGCCGCGGACGTCTCAGTCAAGTTGTCAACACACGTCAAGGGTAGCAGGATACCATTTTATACAACCGGATTCTCGGTATGCTCCGGCTTGACCCACGCATCTTGCAGATCGTGCAAAGGGGAACCTCCCGGCCGTCCATGCTGTGTGTTGCATTGCGTCCGAGCAGTTCTCAACTTCTCATCGGTGGCAACGGCTTGATTGCTTTTCACACGAGTACCAATCATCCGCCAAGACCTTACACGTGCAGGGGCCCAAAGCTTGTTCTCGCGGGATGACGGGGCAGTGCCCCACACAGCAATCTCCGACCAGCCAGGACCTGCCTAAGATGGATAACTGACGTTAGCTCGAACAGAGAGGTTTGGTGCGTTTAACTATCACGCTGAATCCGGCTGACCATTTGCCCGGCTCGAGTATCCTTATGTTTCGGAGCTAAAGAGACGGTCAGACTTGGTCCGAGACCGGCCTTACCGTTCTGGTTCTCGCTGGGAATAAATCAGTGTAGAGTGTCGGTGTCTCACCGCTTCGGGCATTACTACGGAATTGAAGACTGTTGATTTATCCACAGGACTAGGTGGTTCTATGATTTATCCCTCTCTTTTTTACGCGGGTGCAACAACATGCGTCGGGCGTCGTGGATGCGGTTCCGATCGTCTCTCCATCAGGTACTAGTATATTATCCTTGGCGAGCATACCTGATGGTACGGTGGTCCTCACGTCAGCTACCTTAACGGTGTCAATGTTAGTCATCGCCGCGCAGCGGTCAACTTGATCGGGTTGCAATTGGCATCCTGCAGACCTGCAGTCCTGCACAGCAGTGACTATCTTATGTACATACGGTTATTTAAAGAGAAGTCTGGCCCATCCCAAGTGACTGGACCATGGCTGACTTCACGCATTCAACATGGAGTTGTTGTATCTCGTCAGCTCTGCGCTTTTATGCACAGGAGCCGCAACTGCGAACGCGCAAGTGCACGTTACGGACAGAAGGAACGGCGTGACATATGATGGACTAGAGCGTAACGGAATTGAAGTTTTCCTCGGCATTCCCTACGGCGAGGACACGGGCGGCGAAAACAGATTCAAGCCCCCCAAGCGGCACGTTCCCCACCGTGGGAGCACCGTCAACGCGACAGCCTACGGTCCGTCATGTCCTCAGCAGCTCGGAGAATGGGCACCGCCCATTTCGCTGGGCAATATCACCGACATCTCGGAGGACTGCCTGAACCTGAATCTGGCGCGGCCAAGGGAAACGCGAGCCACGGACCGACTGCCCGTGATGGTGTACATTCACGGCGGCAGCTTCATAGCGGGCGATAACCACGATCCCAGCATCTTGCCCGACGGCATGATCCTCGAGTCTGTGCGCAACGGCTGGCCGGTCGTGCATGTTGCCCTGAACTACCGTCTGGGTGGTAAGGCGATCCCGATTTGTCCCTGTCTACCAGCTACCTCAGTATTTGCACCGACTAATCATCACGATACTTCAATCTAAGTCTTTGGGTTCGCACAGTCCGAAGCCCTAAAGTCTGAAGGCTCCGAAAACGCCGGCCTCCGAGACCAGCGACTCGGCATCGAGTGGGTTCGCGACAACATTGAGCATTTCGGAGGTGATCCGCACAAGATCACGATATTTGGACAGTCCTCTGGCGGTGAGTTGAGCTGTACAACGAAGTTTCCGGGCCTCATTCCTGACTGAGTTGGTGGCCGCTAGGTCTTGCGGTGGGCATGCAGCTCATGGCCTATGGCGCCAGCAAGCCGGTTCCTTTTCAGCGGGCTATCTGTCAAAGCCAGGCACTCGAACCCGGAATCACCGGCAACTTCACTATCGATGCTATGCAGGCCGTGGTGGACTACGTTGACTGTGGTGACGCAAGCGGCGATCTGCATTCGAAGGAAACGGTGGCTTGTCTGAGGAATCTGGATATGGAGACTCTCCTCAATGCCTCGCTCGCCACATTCTCATCCGTCATTTCTAGCAACATCGGCGATATCTGGCTTCCTGTTGTCGACGGCGACTTTCTTCCGGCTGCTCCCTCGATACTTATCCGGCAGGGCCGCTTTGCCAATGTCACCACCATGATCGGCTGGTGCCAAAACGACGTCACCTTCTTTACTGACCCTACGATCGAGACCCCGGAAGACACGCGCAAGTTCATATCTTCTTACGTTCCTGATCTGACCAGCTCCAACGTGGACAAGCTGTTGTCCCTCTATCCGGTCTCCGACTTCGTGGCCGAGGCAACAAGCACGCTCTCCAGCGAATTCTTCCGCGCTGCCCGGATCTTCCGGGACATCATCATGACCTGCCAGCCGATATGGTACGGACAACACATCGCCAAGGCCGGAAATGACGTTTACCTGTACGACTGGAACCAGACAATTCTGGAGCCCATCATAGACGAGGCAGCTGGCCGCACCGGCTTTGGTCCAGTGCACACCTCCGAATTCGCCTACATCTTTGGAAACCTCTCTCACTATAACACCAGCGGCCAACCGTTCCATCCGACACCAGACGATTACAGACTGGCGGAGCGGGGCTCGAGGTCCTGGTCTACGTTTGCTGCCACGGGTCGACCTAGCCTACCTGGCCACGACACCTTCCAGGGATTCAAGCAGGCCTTTCCTGCTGGTGGGCATGACGTGTATATTTTTGGGGCTGGGGGCCCCTCTGAAGGGCTCTCTGCCATTGACGGAGCACGTTCCAAAGGTCCCATGCGCGTGCAGAAGCTGAGGGAAAGGTGTGCTTTCATCAACTCGCCCGAAGTGATTGAGCAGTTGAGATATTGATACCGGACAATGTATTGTACCTGTATCTATCTATTCTATCTTCCTCTCCCTAGCCAGTCTGCTCACACCGAAGCCCAATTACCCCTTTAATCTAAATTGAAAACTTGAAGTTGAATAGCAAATCAATCATCTTCTCAACCTCAAATTAAACTTGTGCTAGTAAGCTTAGTGGTGTTCACGAAGTATGTAGCTACACCTTTGAGAGAGGCACGAGAATGCAGTCCATACCTAAACAGCCCACCTAACATAGCCACAGAGTTGCTTACATACGACCGACTCAATAAACGTCATTTTAATGCTAATGAATAGTAACCCCCGCCACTCACTTCCGGTTGCGACATGGCTCACACGACAACCGTGGCCTGTTGCGTTTCTCGACTCTCCCGGGAATGGTGTTCAAGGTGGAAACGAAAAGACGAAGAGGGAAGACGGCAAGTCTCTGTAGCGATGGATTCAACGTCCACAGTGTCAGCAACCATCATCGCCTTGAGTAGGGCGTTGTGATAGGGCATAATAGTATAATCGGCCTTATTAGCGCGGAGCGGAGATATTATCCCCGGCAGTACTACCCCTGCATGCTCTGCTCCGGTCACAGATCAGGAGGGGATGGTCCTAGACTCAAGTTAAGAATACTTACCTATAACAAAAGCTCAGAGACAGAATAATGGCCATTCCACTGTTAATGCCCTTCACTAGCAGCAATGCTTATCCTTTCCTTGTCTTTCCTTCTTCCCGTCTAACCCAATGTCCATTAGCATTCTCTAGGCTTCAATCTCTCTCGTAACTCTCCTCGAAGGGGGGCGAGGAGGCGGAAGGGCAGGAGAGGGTGGAAGAGGAGAGAAAGTGTGAGCAATCTGTTCGCAAATGAACAAAATTAGTTCCATCTCATTCCGTATATTTACCAAGAGCTTTATCACAAGAGCTAAACTAGCCAAAGCGAATCCCGGCACTAGGCTCCCATGTCCTTCCCTGCCTCCCTGTTCCAGCCTGCGCATTATTGCTATTGGTACTTCCAGGCCCGGCAGGAGGACTAGGTTGCCCGGCAAACCTGATGCCCATGTCTGGTCTCCAGGCGCCTTGCATACTGGAAGTAGCGTTGTTGGAGATGGGAGGTGGCATTGGCCGGGGTTGTTGCGGCGGCACATGATCCGCCCAGCTCTGGATCTGCGCCTCGGCCGGCGGCGGTGGTGCATGCACACTTTGTCGAGAAACTTGTTGTTGTTGTTGTTGTTGTTCTTGTTGTCGCGGTGGTTGGGCGTAATAAGACGTTGACGCTGATGGGGGTGCTGGGTTAAGCGATAAGGAGGAGAGAGAAGGCATGGAGATCTCGCTGCGAGATGTTAGCAGGGGATTGGCATAACTAGGCATCGGTGTAACATGAACTCACTCTTCGAGCGCCCGAGCTTCCTTTCGTCTTTCGTTGACCCACTGGCGCGCCTGGTTTCGGAACTGCTCGACGATCCGGTTGAGGTCGTTGTAGAACTTTCTGCCAACCTCGACGTTGCTCACTATCTCCTTGTATTTGTAGTAGGCGTTGTCCAATCGCTGCAGTGCCTTCTCCCTGTCGTGGCTCCCTCGTTCCCCTATGCTCCTTTTTTGCGCCTCAAACTCCCGGTTGACTCGCTGAAGGTCCGCAACCGCCTTTTCTTGATCTGCACGTTCCTTGTCAACGATCTCAAGCTCGGACTCGTACAGCCTGTCCAGCCGCTTATCGAAGAACTCCTCAAAATGTGCTGGGACGATGGCCGTGTTGGGGTACGTCCTCTCGAGTCGTGCCGCTTCGGCTAGGATATCTCCCTTTACGTCGTCGGCGCGACTTCTGGCTTTGAGTGACTCGACGCGTTTCCTCCTCCTCGACTCAAGCCGTAAGACGTCGTTGTAGGCCGTTCGTAGCCGGCCAATTGCTGGCTTCAGCAGCTCGGGAACCTCGGTTTTCCGGCTATTGGGGATGTAGTCCATAATCGACCTGTCAGGTCCCGCGAGTACGGCCAGCGTGTCCTTGACCGCAGCAAACTTCTCGCGCACCACCGCATCACTGGAGGTACTAGATGCGAAGTAACCCTCGATTTCAGCTGCTTGGTTCCACAACCTGGCTCCGCCATTGGGACTCGGCTCAGCTCGAGACTCAGACCGAGTCCAGCGCTGTATTCCATGTTTCCGCCGCATATTCTTGTCCTCTTCCTCTTCAGCAGCCAGCAGCGCCTTGCCTTCTTCAAATATGGTCCGATCACTAGCGCAAAGCTTCTCGATGTCTGCGAGTCCTCGCTGAAGCCTATTGATGGCGTCGGCCTGACGAATCTCGTCGGCGCGTTGGACTAGTGTGCCTGGGAGCCCTAGTGGCTTTTCTAGAGCCTGAAGCGAGCCCGGAAGGTTCAGACTTGACAAAACGCCATGAAGCTGATCTGTCAATGTTTCCAACTCGGCGACGATGTTGTTGCTGACAAGACGGTCTCGCCGCTCCTCGTAAATGGAGACTGCGAGATGAACGGAGAAAGGGACTAGCTTGGTGAACAGCGCGGGACCGAATTCGGCGTGGTCGCCAAAATACTCATACGGCTTAGCAACCTGGGGCGGAACTCTGGCGACAGCCATGTTGGCGCGCTCCAGAATCTTCAACTCGGATTTTGGTGGAACGATCTCTGGCTAAGTGTCAATGATATTACTGGCCAAGAGGCGGAAAGGCATGGGACTCACGAAGATAGATGACATCGTTGTCCTTCTCGGCTCGCTTCAAGTCCTCCTCCACTCGCCTCTTGAGCCCCTGGAGGTCATCGACGACAGCCTTGTTGATGTAGCCTCCTTTGCACTCTTTCAGTCCTTCGTTGACACATGCCACAGCATCAGCCAGACGCGCCACCTCCTCACCGTACCTCTTCTTCTCCAAGCAGTCGCAAGCAGCGCGATATTGGGCAGCGGCGGCGAAGTGGTGATGCTTAGCGCTCATGTGGTGGATCCAGGCGGAGCTGACGGCCTCGCTGCGCATGGCTGCCTCTCCAGCGAGATTGTAGAGATCCGACACTCGAGCTGCCAACTTGGCGATTGAGGCATCCTTGTATCCGTCCATGACCGCCTTCTGCCAAAAGCATTCCTGGCTCTGGGCCAGGAGCAACTGAGTCAGACACTCCAATGTGGCCTCGTCCATGTCATCAGGCGGGTTGGCCATGCGCAGCTCGGGGAGAACTTCGGTCTTCATATGGCTCAGGACTCCCGCTGCTTGGGAGAAGTAGCTCGCTGCCGTTTTCAGACCTTCGGTGGAACTCCGATTCGACGAAAAGGCTAGCTGGGAATATAGGGCGGCCAGGTTGAACAGGACGTTCATGAGTTCGTACTTAAGGTTGTTTTGGACAAGGGGATGTTCGGTGTGGTAACCGAGGGCAGGATACCATGTGAAGTCGATCCCGATCTGTTGGTACCGAGGACGGGTCAGCTGTCTGCGCCTCGCTACGACAACATCGGCAGCGTCCTCACTCACATCTATGGGAAATTTCCCGCTCATCCACACTAGCTGGCCCGCGTATGTTTGAAGCTTCTTGATGCCGCTGGGGTGGGGTTCGCGCACGTTTACAGCATCGCGGCGGAGGGAATCGATGACATCGAGGTCGTGACGGAACATGCCAGGGTGTTGGTCGTACTTCTTGGAGATGTACTGACGGATCGACGACGCGAGCGATATCTGCGTCGACTTCCGAAACGGAAGCGACAAGACATTGGACCTGCAGGCAGCCACAATCGTCAGTCTTGAAATGCTATCACGTTCGTCGCCCTACTCACGTCGTCATCCTCAAGTATGCACCTCGTGCCCTTGTTGCTTGTAGTGCGCCGATCGTGTGGTGTTTCGAACCCTCAACTATTGCGTCTGATGTCATTTGGCACCCGGGCCGGGCCGTGGGAAGTTGTTGTTCGGTTGTTTGGCGGGGCAGTTTCAGAGGGAGCTCCACAGCCAAGGAGTGGGGCCGCGCGGGGGGTTGCTCCAACTCTCCATCGACATAAAAGATCGTACCTCCCTAGTGTACAACACCTACAATACTGGACATACCTACAACAATCCCACCTTGAAAGTGTTAAGCTATAAGGGATCAGAAAAGCAGATCAATTCTAAAACAGTAAGGGAAAGGGAAGGGAAAGCAGAGAAGAATCAAAAGATGAGGGTTAATCATAGTGCGTGTTCCACTCATGGGTTTAGTGACGGGAATTCCGTCCGGTCCTGATGCCATCACAATCGCTGCTGATACTGTAGTTAGCGTTTTTTGGCTGATCAAGGCAGGCTCGAGCGCTTGCCTTGCCTCTAGTTAGTGCCTTGAATACCAGGCGTCAAAACCCCTTCTCTTACTGAGCGGATCTTGGTCAGTTTATTAGCTTACCATTTGGTTTCATGTTATTAACCCCCTTTCTCTTCGCGCTACCCATTTCCGTCACCTTCCCTACTTCGATCATCGTGAGAGGCGATCCAGCCTTAAATGCTCTCTCGACGTCAAGCAGGCACCGCGACCACCGCGTAATCGTCGTTGTCCACCTTGCTTTAACGTTGGATCTCTGTTGCTCCCCGACAGATTGAAGCCGAGCAGGTTGGAACTTTGGTGGTGAATCCGACAGAGCCGACCTCAATGTACTCCGTACTCATCTCCAGTCCTGCGGGGGAGGAATGACCGACCGGACAAGCAAAAGCTTCCGGAGTGCAGCGCAGCAGATATCGACTGCCCATTGCCAACTTCAAGCTCCCCTGAAGTCTCATGACGGCTGAACGCTTTAGGCACAAATCACCTCCTTGTGCGGGCTGCATGTTTCAGCTCGGACGGAGGCGAGACGCGGTCGCCGACATCGTCAATATCATTAATCCCTGAGCTACCGTGACTAGTCCGTCGGTCGTGAAACATCGACTGATGCGGCGACCCAGGCTCCAGGACCGGCTTTGCAGCCACCGAAGCCGACATCCGGCCAGAAAATGTCTGAGTTGTTCGGCAGCGATTGGCCCGCGTCGGAGTGGCCCAATTACTCGAAGAGCTTGGGCGTGGCATCTCCCCAAAGCCTCAACCCTCAAAAGCGCGAAGAAGCAGAGCCCCTGGAGCTAAAACACCACGGGTTGACTTGACCGCCAGCCTCTCGCTGTTCTCAGCGCTCGTTCTCGGAAGCTCGAAGAATGCGGACGAACCAACATTATTCATGCTCGCGAGGACGCACATAGGGGGTCTCGGTTGGTGCTTCTGTTCGGTCCCGACTGCCGAAGCCCTGTTGTGTCACCACTGCCCCCGCTCTTTTCGACTGGGCATGCCGACCGTTACCGGGCGGTCAGGGGAAGGAAGCTCAAGTGTGGCCCTGATAACCCTGCTGCTGCTGCGGTAATTGCTTTCTGAGGTCCTGACAAGCGTGCCTGGTTACGCCATCAGAGCCCACTGTCTGAGCACAGCATCGAAACCGCTTGTCTTGTCCGCTGGATGCCTATAGCCTCGTCTTCGTGTCCGATAATCCTGTTCATGCAATCTGGGGAGGGCAAGCAGCGCATGCTAAAAACTTATACGCTTTGTGTTGCTGTCTTGTATTCGATTTAACAACAGGGACCCTCTTGGTAGTGTGACGCCCCTAAGATGGATGAAGGCTGAGGTTGAACAACCTGCAGCCCCCAATCCTGATTCACTGGACTGCCAGTAATTTGGGACCCATGCCATGGATCTCTGTGGTGTTCCGTCCAACACGGAATGCTGGTTTGTATGTAGGACCTCACACCTCGTCCTTCTCGCTAGAGCCATGGGGCATGCCTGCTGTTTGATGATCGGCTAGACCGGCCGCAAAAGATGACGCTCTTTCATACCGAGGCACTCCTCGTTTCCCCTCGGGCCCGGCACCCTCATCGCCAATCCCGACTTTCACAACCTCGATTCATTCGTCAGGCCCTTCGACCCAACATGTCCTTAGCACACAACCCGCAGAATATACTGGTCCGGAGGTTTGTCTATCCCACGACCGTGGTTGTGGATGTCCATCCTGGACATGCAGGCTTGAGCCTTAGTGCCAGTCACGCAAGCCTCCATATGTCCCGGAGGGGCTGAAATACTGCGGGTTTTCATTCGCTCGTCAGGCAACCGGGTCCGGACATCCCCAACCCAATGTCCAAAGCTGCCTTGCACAGAGGTACGTTGTCGCTCGTCGTCACCGCTGTGAGACATGTGTTGTCCGGAAACGGGATATGTCACGGCATTCTGCCGCCGCGCTCTTGTCGTACCGGCTGATATCGGCCAGTAGCGTCAGACAGAACCACTGCAGCTTCTGACACGCGGTGGTGGCGTCGCGCTTGGGGGACGATATCGTCGAATAAGGGCACCGCTCTCAGCCACGGCTATTCGGACGGTGCAGCTTCGCTTTCACCTGCTGGCGTCGGGGGGCAACATCTTGGACAGGACTGAAGGGACCTAATCAGAGCATTAAACAAATGTCACACTATGAAATCGACAGCCTTACCATCCTAATCCGCTCAAATGGACCATCCTAAAGTGAGCTTGATAACTACTGTATCTTGAATCCTCGGGTTGGAGGTTTGGAGCTCGGCCCCGTCTTGACCCATGTTGCTCACTCCAAACAAGGGCTCCCGGGTCCCCAGCAATGGATGGTCACATCGCATGTCCTAGGCAATGCGACGAACGACTCGTTTCTCGTGTCGCACATCATGATGGATGGTAAGAACAGGATGAAGCAGCACATCAATCTTTTCTCCTCTGACGGGACCCCGCAGACCGGGATGCGGAGGTACCTGGGACCTTGCGCATACCCACTATTTTGACAACCTCAGACTCTCAGTAGCTTCCTGAAGACCTCGCCCTTCCGGATTCTCGCCACACTAAGGTCCTGGCGACGAGCATGGCTTGCAGGATGGCTACCAGCTGGCCGGAGAGTGCTGCCCATCTCTCTGAAGTCCTTGACCCTGTATGTATTGTACAACATGTTCCCAGATGACAACCTAACTTTGCTTATTTGGGCAAAGGCTTCTCTCTGAGTCCAACCAAGGCTCGCCCCGGGTTCCGGAACGAGCAGCTCGACCTATTAAGACAGGTGTGGTCCGCTCTTGCCTATTTATGATATTGGGGCAGGTCCGACCCGTGGGTGGTTTCCATTAGTATCGTGGAGGTTTCTCAGGCAAGAGCACACCTTACCAATCTACCGACTTCTCTCATCATCATTATCAGACCATCCGTCGAACATCAGGCCATTTTTCGTGGGCGCCAGGCTCCCTCTCTCTGAAGATGGAAGGCCTTACGCTCCTTCTGCTCTATCTCGCCATCCCGAGCCTTCTGTTCTCTGCCGTCAGGCAGGTTCTGTCATGGCAGAAGAGTCTCGAGTCCCAACCCAGGTTCCCTGGCCCTCGGCAGTTCCCCATCGTGGGCCGTGTCCATGATTTGCCGAGATTTTCTCTCTGGTTGAAATTCAAGGAGTGGGCAGACGAGTATGGACCGATCTACTACACCAGAGCGCTAAACTCACGGTTCATTATCGTGTCGGACGAGCAGATCGCCGAGGAGTTGCTCGTTAAGAGGGGTCATATTTACTCAGGACGACCACAAATCCGGTCGCTTATTAGGCATAAGGAGGGTCCTGTGTACTCGGCCTTGATGGACCGCCATGGTAAGACAGAGAACCACAACTCGCACTGCAGGACACCATTCGCTGATAACCGTCCCAGACATCTGGAAGACGCAACGAAAGTGGACCCATGCGGCCATGGCGGAAGCGTACAAACACCACTTCTACGGGCACTGCGAAAAGGAGATGAAGCGCTACTTGGGATTGCTACTACTCGACCCGGCTCGCTTTCTCGACTACACGCGCGAGTATTGTGGCCGTGTCATGTCGCGCTTGGCCTGGGATGACGCCACGCAGGGTCGCGCCAATGGCGACAACGCCGACCGGACCCTGCACTGCATGAGCGTGTCGGGCCCTATCACTAACACGATGACGCCGCTGTGGCACCTGCCCGCGCTCGTGAATCCGTGGTACAATTACGAAGTCAAACGAGAGCGGGAGCTGCGCGCGTGGTGGATGAATAACTTCCGGCTAGCCAAGGACAGGATGAAGAGGGGTGATCTCCCAGATGATACGTGGGCATACCGGTACTTCGAGCAGCTGAAGAAGGAGGGCAATGAGAGTCTCGACCAGACGGAGGATCAAGAGGGGTTCGCAAGCTGCATGATCGGCTTCCTGAACCTGGTCGGTGTGGTTACCATCAGCGGGCCGCTCAAGTTCTTCCTCATGGCCATGGCGCTGCACCCGGAGTGGCAGCAGAAGGCGCAGGCCGAGATTGACCGGGTCTGCGGTGATCGCATGCCGACTATGCAGGACTTTGCCCATCTCCCCACAGTCCGGGCCTGTTTGAAGGAGACCGTTAGATGGAGATCGGGTGTGCCGCTGGGTGAGTGAGCTCTTGTTGATTCTCTCACTGCTTCCGACTCATCATGATTTGTCAGGTGTCCCTCATCAAGCAGAGTGCGACGACGAATATCGCGGGGTCAAGATCAAGAAGGGGACTATTATCCTCGCTTGTGAATGGTAAGTTCAGTATTTTTCCTTTTACCCCCCATGGATCACTTGCGATGCTCAACCGTCGACCAAGGACTATCAATCGCGTACCTTCGAAGTACCCCGACGGCGACAACTATCGGCCCGAGCGCTGGCTCGAACCTGGCTGGCCAACCTACCAGGAGCCTCTCTCGCGTTATCCCAACTTCCGTGAAGGCCAGGCGATGCACAGCTTTGGTTGGGGCCGCCGCACCTGCCTGGGTCAGAACATTGTCGATGACGAGACATTCGTGTTCGCAGCGGCCACTTTGTGGGGATTTACTCTGGCGCCGAAGATATGCCCGCGCACTGGAAAGCAAGTGCCGATTGACAGCCAGGCGACCAACAGCCACGTCATCCTTGAACCGGAGCCGTATCAGTTGAGTATCAAGGCCCGAGGCGAGGAGAGGGGAAGGCAGATTCTGGAGGGGTACCATGCGGTTATGGGGGAGTTGAAGATCTGAAGAGGAGGAGAAGATGTGCGATACCGGTGGCAGAGTATTTGGCCTGGGTGTCATTTTGCTCCAAGCTTTAGTTGGCCCGGCGGACAGGGAAATATTGTGGGCATCGTGGAGGCTCTCTCTCTTTTCACATCTTGCTCCAATCTCTTCCAGTTTCCGGCATATCATGCCGTGGCTACCATACATCTAGCGTCTTCGAGAGCTTAAAGAAGATCTAGTTAAACGCTCGACGAAACCTACTTATGATGCGAGTCATTTCTTGTCCTGACCCAGGGATGTGCCACCGTTCAGGCGTACTGTGGTGCTGTTAGATTTCTGTTAGCGACCCAGTACACAATGGTGACAGGGAAAACGGGATTTACCGGGCGAGCAAAAACTAAATCAGCTGTCCAAGTCGGGCGATCACAACCCGCAAGTCGATTGGGATGCAGTTAACTTACCAAGGGTCCCGCTAAGTTTAACTTGTCCAGGAGGCATCGAGTCCATCTATCTGATCAAGTCGTTCTTTCCATCTGTTATCCTCTTGCTTAGTTTGAGGTATCTCCAAGTCATCCCTCCTGGGCTGATGAAGCGCTATCTTCGCCACATTCTGGCATTGGTCTCATCCAGTTTCGATCAGCTCTACGAAGTATCCTGTGCTTAAAAGGCTTCCTCTGCAGATTCGGCAACAGACCCATCGAACAGCCCTTCTCGTTTGGTAACTCACGACCCAGTCCACAAAGACTAATATCGGCAAAAGTTCCCCTTGTATCGCCCGGGAGCACACGGGATGAACGGCTCTAGTCTGCAGGTGCCCACCGAGCAGAAGGGGTTAGCCGCTTTCGCCCTGTTGTATGCCTAAGGGGAGGGTTTGTTTTGAGCAATCAATCTGCTCAAACTTCGTCAATGAAGTGTACTAACAAAAGAACCCGGCATAATGCGGGTAGCCGTTAGCAGCTTCAGCTATACCGCGGGGACATGCATGCAGATTGCTCCGTGAACGGCCAGCTGACGGAATGTCAAGTTCGGCCCGTGATGCGGACATCGACAGAGAGATCATTTGACGCGGATATCCCCGAAACAAGACACCTCGTTACGCTCCGGCTTAACCGATAACAAGGTTCAGGGCTTTCTTCCTAAGAGTATGCGGAGGTGACACCAGCCCTTGTTTGCATTAAGCTCGGACCCGAGACCGTATCACTTCAGCAACTGATGAATCTAGCCCAAATCACGGCGATGACTAGCCGAGGTTGTGTGGTAATAGTTTCTTGGGTGAGAGACATGTTGAGTTCGAAGGTGGTATTCAGGAGCGGTTGGCTGCGCAATAACAAACAAAGATCACACCTAAACCCCTCCCTCTGGCAAGAATAGCCCGTATACCAGCATCGCCACTAGATGGAATGGCACGGCTGCCATCTTCTCATCCCTTTCTCTTTTGCTTTTCCTTTTTTTTCTTTCCTTGCTTCTTTCTTTCTTTCTTTCGTTCTTTCCCCCCGTCCTTTCTTCCTCTTATTAACGAAGTAAGATGTACGACTTCTTTTGACCTGGTGGTGCCCCTTTGAAGTTGGCAGCGCTTGGAGGCGACATGAGCATCCACGGAGTAGAGAACACAGAGTAGAATAGGTCGTCAAGCAACCGGCTGGACTGGGATATGTCGTAATTACCAGCCAAGCACGGGTCTGCCGACGTTACATCCACGGGATACCCTGGATAAGGGAAACAATGAAAAGCCGGTGTTTTATTCCATCAATCACCGTCGACCTATGCGATTCCGACACCACTTGTGCCCACACACGGTCCTGCATCCCACGCTACCAGCCCACCCGAGTGCGATCTACACGTCCGCCGAAGTCTGACAGTCCGTGTAAGCGACTACAGTCTACAGGGAACGGGAATTGGCGAAGGGTGGCCATCCGGTACGAGAGACGTCTAGTCTTATACCACCAGTATAATAAGGCACCGAACTACCAGTGCTGCTCGGGGCCTCGCTCGTTACAATGCAAGCCGAAACGGTTGGCGATCTGTGTCACCATGAAGTTCTCACTCCTTGCCCTCTTTGGAGCAGTCTCTCTTGCTACGGCAACACTCCTCGTCGTTAGTGAAGCAAAGCCACCAGCCTTCTTCCTCACCGGGGATTCCACCACGGCCGTCAACGGTGGCTGGGGCGACGGTCTCGTCGCCACTCTTCGAAATGGCGCCATGGGACGGAACAAGGGACACAGTGGTGCCACAACAGCGTCCTTTGTGGCCGGCCGCAACTGGACGACAGTGCTGAGCCTGGTTAACGACAACAAGGCCAAGTACGACTGCTACGTAACTATCCAGTTCGGGCATAACGACCAGGTGCGGTCTCGTGAATGGAACCTCAGTCCCCGAGATCACATTATTACTGACGTTCGATTTCGTGCCCTGATGTAGAAATCCACCTCGGGCGTCAGCATAACGCAGTTCCAGACCAACCTCCAGAACATGGCCAACGAAGTCAAGTCAGCCGGTGGAACGCCCATCATCTTGACATCGCTCACGCGGCGCACCTTCACCAGTGGCATTCTAGACGACAGCCTAGCCAACGTGGCCGAAGCAGCCAAGAAGGCGGCCACAGCTGTCGGTGCCACTCTGCTCGACCTCAACGCTGCATCGAGGAAGTATATTCAGGCCATCGGCTCCTCCAACGCCGACAAGTACAACCTAGCACAGGGCGACCGCACCCACCTCAACGAACATGGCACCATCGTCTTTGGCCGCATGGTCGCTGACCTCATTGTGGGCTGGAGGCTGGCGCTGTCCGCTTACATCACCCCCGATACTGAGCTGTCTAAGAAGATTCAGCAGGGGGTCTATGCTTGATTGGGAGGGGAAAGGGGAAGGCATTTGGTCTCTACGAAACTGGGTGCAGTTCCCTAGAGAACTTCGGCTTATACGAACAATACCTTACTAAGACCCAGCGGCATCTAAATGACCTGAGTCTCCTGCCGGTACGTTCACGTGAGATGGTGCATGAGTCGGGAAGTCAGTGAGATTCAAAGCCGAAAATAGCACCTTAAAGCCCAATGATGCTAAATCCCATGATTCAGTGATACATCGCTCCTATAAATCCACAGCTTTATGACCCGAACTGTTCTAAACTACCGAGGTGTACAAGAGCCTGCACGTAAAATGTATCCCAAGCAATGAGGAACAAGACCAGCCCTACCGATATTGCAGCAACCACTTTCTCTCCTTCTACTTTCCACCCCTTCTGGACCATCCTCTTCCCCCTTACAACACATTCACAGAACCCGCTAAACTAGGCAGCAGACCGTCACAGCGAGGCAGTCCTCAGCCCGAAAAGACATTGAACTTGACGCAGGCCACACGCTTCGCCTTGTCCGTATCCAGATTGTTGCAACCGCTCTTCATGGTGCCCAGGAGCTCGCCGGAGCAGCCCTCGGAGCCCTTCTGCGAGAAGCCGGCCCACTCGCCTCCGGCCAGGAAGACTGAGTGGGAAGTGTCGTCCATGGTGACCTCCTTCAGCGAGGACGAGTGATGGCCGAAGTTGAGGCTGTCCGGGTTGCTGCAGAAGCGGCGTGAGATCCCATGGTCAGCGATGTTTTCGTCCCGAGAATTATTATCCGGTCATGAGATCAGAGATAGTAAGTAGAATTGGATTTAGTTGCACATACCAGTCGCCGGACTTGTACTCGTTAGCCTTTGGCAGTTCAGCTTGAGCCAAGGCAATGAAGGCGGGGAGGAGGATGAGAGCGAAATGGCGCATTTTGAAGGACAGGGCGGCGTGAATTGTATGGAAAGCGGCTCCGTGATTTGGAAGGATGTAGCTGGATGTTGATATTTGATGTTGATGTTTGATGCCGATATGAGAGATGGGAATACCCAGGGGGAAGTCAGGGCTTTTATACTAGTTCTCTTACTACTTCAAGGTAATCAAACTCTGCCTCGTTGGCCCATTGTAGTAAGGTACAGTCCAATCTCTTAGGCTAGCATGTCTCAGGCCAAGGTTAACGTAGGCCTCGGACTTGGAAGTTCGAACCCACCAGCACTGTCAGTGAAGAGGGCTGCTGAGCTTGGGAACTCGGATCAAGGGTTAGGCCTCGGAATCAGGAGTCAGAATCCACCGGCGCTCTCGGTGGAGAGGGCTGCTAAGCTTGGGAACCACTCTCGGACCCTGAAGCAGCCCAACCAACAAACAATTCAATGTTATTATGGCTCGAATCCGGCACACCCATGACTTGACCGGGCCGTCAGGGCCACGGCTGGACCCAACACAGGAACCGTAGGACGGCATCGGGGCCGCTTCCGATGCCAACGGAAGCCGCTGGAGAGAACAGCTGCTGCAAGGGAAGCTATGAGGTAGGTAGTACTTAGAAATCCAAAGATAGAACCAAGGCGTTTCGGCCTTGAGGTTCACCTGTTTGGCACCCATGATTCCCAAGAAAGGCCGCCTTACATTCGGCCACACAGCCCTCTAATAGTATCCCAGCGCCACTGTTACACGCTAGAAGGGTAGTCGTGTACTTGTGGAGAATGGGTGGGAGGGATGAGAGAGATGCGGAGGAAGAACTCGGGATACAGCATATAAATGTATATGTCCAAGTCCTTAAGCATTCAGCCTGGCAAAAAATGATGGCTTGCTAACCAATTCTACGCTCTATGCTCTCTTCCTGTCAAGAATCAAAACTCGATGATCGGTTTAATGACCTGCATCTGTTAGCGAAGAACCTCCGTGAAGACATTCAAAGGTTCCCTCTCACCGTTCCGGCATGCATATCCGAGACAGCCTTCTTGAGCCCAGCCACTGGATAGACCTTGCTAATTCTGTCCACCGGAAACTTCCCTTGTCTGTGAAGGTCGATAAGCTGAGGGATGAACTGTTGCTGGTCAGCACATGAACACCCAGAAACCAGCATGGAAGGTAGAACCAGGGACGGATTTATCCTGACCTCTGGTGGATGTGAGTCGCCCTCTGAGACGGTCACCCATTTGTTCATGCCGGCAAAAAAGGCCCCGGGGTTCACGTTGATATTCGCTTCCCTCGGCGGCGCACCCACCGACGCCGCCGTTCCTCCAAAGGACAAACACATCAGCATCTTCTCGATAACGGCCGCCACTCCGGTAGTGTCAACCGCAAAATCCACTCCTTGACCTCCTGTCACGGACTTGATCGCCGCGACCACGCCGCCGCCTTGTAGCTTGGAAGAGTTGATCGTTTGCGTGGCCCCAAGCTCCTTCGCGAGTGCCAACTTCTGCTCCACAATGTCGATGGCGATGATCTGCTTGACCGGGATGCTCGCAGCAGCCATGATGGCCGCGAACCCCACGCTTCCGGCCCCGAAGACCGCTACCGTCTGATCCGGCTTCGGCTTGAGGACGTTGAGGATGGTCCCGGCGCCGGTCTGATAGCCGCAGCCCATCGGGGCGTAGAGCGCCATGTCGTCCGGGTAGGGGCACTTGACCACGCAGTTCTCGCGGACCGCGGAGAAGCGGGAGAAGGAGGACTGCCCGAAGAACTGACTCCGTACCGGCTGGCCGTCCAACAGCAGTTTGGCGGGGCTGCTCCTGTCCGGGCGTGGCGTGGCGGTCAGGTTGAGCGCCGGGAACGCACTGCACCTGCTGAAGTTCCTGTCTTTCACGCAGTGTCCGCACTCCCCGCAGGCCGTGAAGGAGAGCAGTACCGGATCGCCGACTTGGAGGGATTTGTCCGTGACTTGGGACCCGATTGCACGGATGATACCTGCGCCCTCGTGTCCCGCAATGGCTGGGAATTCGAGGAGTGCGCCGAGGGAGCCCTCCTGCAGGTAGAAATCCTGTAGTCATGTGGCTTGGTTAGGCTGGCTGCTGATCTGAATAAAGATAGCAGGGCTTGACTTGCCGTGTGGCAAACACCCGAGTATCGCATCTCCACCAACAGCTCGTCTGGTCTCAGGTCTTGGATGACAATCGGAGTCATTTCGAACTCGCCCCCGGGTTTGTTCACCACCAAGGCTTCGGTCTTGAGTGGGAGTTGCATTTTGACTCGGGATTGGTGGATTTTGTGAATTGGATAATTCGGAGCGATGGTTTTGAATGATTTGCGGAAGTGCAAGGTAGGTCGATGGTTTGGTTTGACGACAACTGGTTCTCGTACGAGTTGGAAGGTAAGGTATTGTGCCTTAAGTAACTTATGCCATTATGCCCTCACTCGGGAGCCTGAGGAAGAAGTTCTCCGTGGGTTGGTGTTTTGAGCTTCAACCGGAGAAACAATCGGAACCCCGCTCTCTCAGAGATTCGGGTATCATTAGGTGCATACTGTAAAAGTCATGTACCTACCTACGGTATCTATGGTAGGTAAGTTCCATGTGATCTGGATGATGGCACCCACTGGGCACTTTGCATCACAGAGTCGCTTAGCTTCACAATCCAAGTCTACATACATGTTTTCGCGTCGATTGCTGGGCAAACGCTCAGCTAAGAGTGATATTTTCTAAATTTTGAGTGGACGGTATCGAGGTCCAGTGGGTCTTCATTTTCCTAGGTACAGTACATGCACAATACAAAGCCCGGATACCAGCTAGTAAGGTCCGTTCCGGCGCGTCGAACAGACGCGCTTTGGTATGGGTAACTTAGGTTAGTATTCGTGGTTAGAGCTTCGGGATATCTAATTAGGGATTCGGGTGTGTTTCATAAAAACAAGGCCGTTGGACTACCAGGTAGCCAAAACATAAGGCGCAACTCGGAGATCGAACAGAATACCAGACTGGCAAGTTCGCCAAACGAAGATAGAAATACGCTATCATAAAACTCTGCTCCTTTTTGTTCGATGTTGGGTAGCTAGTGTCTTCAGCCGCATATATAGCGGCTTTCAAAAAAGCTTAACGTCCATCGAACCCACGAAAACAGTTTGCCCTGCTGGGACAGGCCTGGAGTCCTCTTTCATTAACACTTCTGCAGAAAGTTTCTGCTCCCCAATCTGGATCAACCCTCTGCCGAAAGAGTTCTGCAGTTTCCATCCTATCCTTCTGTCCGCCTCTACTGCCGGAAAAGCCTTGAATGGAATGGCTTTGTATTCACGGCGTTCCGCGATGTCCCCCTTTTGAAGTTAGCTATCGCGATAGCTGTAAATACTGATATACAAGAACCACATACCATAGGCATGGTGTAATATTCGTCTCCCAAAGATATTTCGAACAGCGTGGCTTGATGGGATGGAGGGATGCGTTCGAATCCTAGCTGGAGGAGATTCGAGTCCGCCAGATCACTGTTAGAACGGCTAGAATTGGCTGAGAAACCCTTGATAATGCGAGAAAACCCAGAGCGACCTCCGCATTTGCCGTGTAGTATTCGCGATGCGGAGAATCTACCCAAGGTGGTTAGTTGCCAGCGAAATATTTTCGTGTGGCTGGCCAAAAGCGTCGTCAGTCTTCGTCCTCGGTTAAGATTTCCCGCCGAGCCTTTTTAGGTGGCTTCACGGCGGCCGAGTGTTTACTAACTTGTCATACAAAGCGCAGATACCGGAGCAACCTTGAGACGAGCAAAGGTCTCTCGGTCAGGTGCTTGAATATCTGGTAGTTCAAGTTGAGGCATTCATAGGCTGTAGCGCTCGGCTTCAGGCGAGGGAACATGCCATAGCTTACAGTTCAACCCCTGAATGATTGTTAGCGCGGAACAAGCGACAGGGGCTGAAATGCTAGGGCTGACCCCTGGTCGCTCAAGTCAGGCGCTAACATTCATTCAAGGGTTGAACTGTATATTCAGACTATACTTCGCTCGGCTATCTTCTTAACACGGAATCACGGATGGTGGTGCTGAGAAAAGACTAAGATTTCAACACGGATGGACCAGCTTTAGCTAGGAAGCGCCGTGGAAACACATATGAGGTAGGTAATATTATCCTACCCCGCGTGGTGGTTGAAACTCGTTAGCTTCCATCCTTTCGATTCCTTCCCCGCGTTGATTGCCGTAGCACCGATCCGATCACTTGGCACAACCCCAGACCCGCCATCGGCGCTAAGTTCAACCCCAGGTTTTCTCGCGAGGACCCCTGTTCTAGGATTGCAGCCAGGCATCTTCAACATGCCCAACACACTGCGGGGGAAGCACTCGAACAGGGCGGTCCACCAAGGCGACGTTGGCAGTCACAATCATGCGGTGATTGGTGGGATCGGACAGACTTGACCCGAGCTTCGGCTCCAGAAGCCCCAGAAGATCACGACTCGGCATCACCGTGCGACTTGAGCTTGTTGTTGCCCCCCTGAACTTGCATGCCATGGCACCGAGAATAGAACCGTTGCATGGACCGGGGCCGCCTTCTGTGATGCTTTTATCAACGGATGAACCATGCGTCCGACATAAATGCAGCCGTATACCTATCTCCCTCCGATAAGCCATCCATCTTCCCACCAGATACCCCCAACATACCCAGAACCTACAGTTAGTGTGAGCATGGGCGACTTCTGGAAGAGGCGCTCACTGCGCGTGCGCGATGATCAGCGGACGAAGGCGGCCGAGCTGACAGTTCGAGAGTCGCTGTGGCCCCTCACACTGGTCACCATCCTCTTCTTCCTCTGGGGCTTCAGCTACGGCCTGCTCGATACGCTCAACAAGCACTTCCAGATCACGCTGGACATCACGCGAGCCCGGTCGTCGGGCCTGCAGGTGGCCTACTTTGGGTGGGTTTATGGGCCCCCCAACTGAGAGTGAGGGATGCGAAGCGAAGCTGACTTCCGGGCAACTCAGGGCTTATCCTCTTGCCTCACTCGGCCACGCAGCATGGATCCTCCGACGCTTTGGTTACCGCGCCGTCTTCATTTGGGGCCTGTTTCTCTACGGACTCGGGGCGCTGCTCGCCATCCCCGCCGTGATTAACCACTCGTTTGCCGGCTTCTGCGTCTGCATCTTCGTCATTGGCAACGGGCTCGGCTCGCTGGAGACGGCAGCCAACCCGTACATCACGGGTACGCTTGTGTTACCTTCCATGGTACCTACTTACGCCTTATCGTGACTTGGATGTTAACTACCTAGGTAAACGTCTCTACAGTCTGCGGTCCTCCTAAGTACTCCGAAATCCGCATCAACATCGCGCAAGCCTTCAACGGCATTGGCACCGTGGTCGCGCCCGTGCTGGGCTCCTACGTGTTCTTCACCTTCGACGAGATCACCGCGCTGCGCAACGTGCAGTGGGTGTACCTGGCCATCGCGTGCTTCGTCTTCCTGCTGGCCGGCGTCTTCTACCTCTCGGTCATCCCCGAGATCACCGACGCGGACATGGCCTTCCAGGCGTCCGAGACGCACGCCAACGACGCTGACGTCCTGCCCTTCCGCAAGCAGTACCGCCTCTTCCACGCCGCCTTCGCCCAGTTCTGCTACACGGGCGCGCAGGTGGCCATCGCGAGCTACTTCATCAACTACGTGACCGAGACGCGCGCCGGCACGTCCCCCTCGCTGGGGAGCAAGTTCCTCGCCGGCTCACAGGCCGGCTTCGCCGTCGGCCGCTTCGGCGGCGCCGCGCTGATGCACTTTGTCAAGCCGCGCAAGGTGTTCCTCGTCTTCCTGACCGCGTGCATCGTCTTCTCGGCGCCGGCCATCACGCAGCGCGGCGATGCCGGCATGAGCATGCTGTTTGTCGTCATGCTGTCCGAGTCGATCTGCTTCCCAACCATTGTCGCGCTGGGCATGCGCGGCCTGGGCCGGCACACCAAGCGCGGGTCCGGGTGGATCGTGGCCGGCGTGTTTGGTGGCGCTTGTGTGCCGCCCCTGATGGGCGCCGCGGCGGATCGGCATGGGACCGGCCTCTCCATGGTGGTGCCCTTCTGCTTCTTTGTGGCGGCCTGGTCGTATGCGCTGGCGGTGAACTTCTGGCCGTGGTATAGGAATACCGTCGATGCATTCTCGGCCACTGATGTGGGCGTCAGACCGACGGAGGAGAGGCCGGTCAAGGACGGTGCCCGGGACAGTGTTGGGGGTGGGGTCACGGTCCCAGATGGGGAGAAGCCCGGGGCTGTCAACTTAGAAACAGTATGATAGAGGCGTACTAGTAGATACCTACCCGGACGCAAATAATAGCTCTACTCATCTGCACTTGCTACCTACTCGGCTTGAGTACGGCACCATAATGTCTTGTGGCATGATCCTCAAGAAAACGGGGACCATCCTCGTGGTGCGCATATTGGATCTCGGACTGAACAAGGAACAAGCAAAGCTGGGCATTTTATTATGAAGTGTAAAGGAAATAGCCCTCCAAGAAGGTGTATTACATCTCCGTGCTGAACCAAGGAGCTTTAGCTGCCTTTGCGCTGAACGTATCTTAAGGCTCGTCTTGCTTGCTGCCCGCCCCCTTGTCAGACTCAAACGCCTTGAGATTCGAATCCACGGCGCTTAACATCGCCGCCGTAGCCTCGGCTTGCCACTTCTTCAGCATCGCCCCTGGCCCTTCGTTGCTGTAGTCCTTTGCACTGGCCTGATCCTTGTGGTACTTGACGCGGATGAACTCGCTATCCACGGTAGCCGGGTCCAGCGCGAGAGAGACAAGTGACCTGAGAGTCAGGGTCTTGGGCACGAGCTTCGGGTGCCACTCCACCTCGTGCAAGAACTGGATGAGGTCCCTGTCGTTAGTGACCACCTCATGGCCGCGGCTCTTGGCTTCGCGGAAGATGTAAGGCAGGCCGAACCACTGGCCGGCGATCTTGTAGCGGTCGTCCGCGTAGCCCAGCTCGTCGTTGTACACGGCATCGGGCGTGTATCTCTGCATGCACTCCACCGTGGCCCCGATCTCGTAGAGCGAGATGATGTCGTCGACCAGCGCCTTACGAGCTGGTGCCAAAGGGAGCGATTTGCTCGGATTGGGGGTGTAGTCGCCCGTTGGGTCATTCTGGCGCGGCTCAAAGCACTTGCCCGGTAGCTTGGGATCGGTTGGGAAATGGACCTTGTTAGATTCGCTCAGGCTCTGCCCCTGCGAAGCAGCAAGCGTGGCGGTCGTCATCCTGGCAGTGCGGCGTAGTAACAGTCTTAACATGTTTTCATGGTGAGAGAGAGTGAATCAGCATTGGTATCCTCAACATCACCTTCAGACGTCCGGAGACAGGATTCGATGACGTCAATGTTAAGTTTTGTCACTAGCGTAACATGTATGTATTTGTACTGTAACTTGTAAGTGTCTCTTGTTGCACAGTAGAACCTTCAAGGTCTTGAAACAAGAAGAGTTCAGAATGCAGGCCATGCGTGATAATCCTGACCACCATTCATTGCTACATCTCTGAGTCTGTCGGTGAATACCAATCCTTTCAAGTACTATACCACAAGAAGCTAACAGCTTTGACGGTCCAGCTTTGTAATACACAGCGTGTGATTGGCCAATTCGAAACCTTGTAATTCTGGCAGGAAATATTAACGCGAGCTGTGGATCGTCCAGCCAGTGGACTTACACGTGTATATAAGGTACGTCTACCGTACCTAGCTTAGGGAAGACAACCCACGGAATATCAAGGCTTATTTTTGAGACATCTGTGTAACATCCCGGGCGCATTTTGCGAAAGAAATACTCAGCAGCAGATCAGGGGAGGAGTACCAATCAAGCAGACCCTAACCCTTCGTGCCTGGCTCGTTTTGTTGTGTCAGGCCATCCGCCACACAGGGAGCATTACAGGGAGCATTAGCACGGCATCACCAGACAACGACGACATCATCAGGGATGCCGATGAGTAAGCGATGCGGATCTTAGGCGGTATATCTTCAAAAACAGAAAGAACCTTTGCACCTCGCAGCCCGCCAACCGACCGGAACCTTAACAACACAGTTACTCGGTGCGGAATTCTGAATCTGAGTTCCGCATCCTTCTCACTCTTACCCTCCCCATCTTCAATCACAACCACTCACCAACCCACCCTTCTTGAGCTCTTCTGTGGCCATGGCTCAACAATCAGATCTTACGCCGCTTCTGTCTCGGGGTCTGCAATCGCCGGACCGACCATCGCCGACGCGGCTCCGCCCTAAGATGGCCAACCGCCTCTCGTCCAGTGCGCCGGACCCGGAGCGTCCCCATGTCGAGAAGCACATGGGACAGTACGACTCCATCATGCGCGACGTCATCATCGGCTTCTCAGACGGCTTGACCGTCCCGTTCGCCCTCACCGCCGGTCTGTCCTCCCTCGGCAACACCAAGATCGTCATCATGGGCGGCCTGGCCGAGCTCTGTAGCGGCATGATCAGCATGGGCCTCGGCGCCTACCTAGCCGCCGACACCGAGCGGCAGCATTGGTATGTACTGTTACGACTTCCCTAACAAGTGGAAGGGAACACTGCCACTCCAACTTGACAGTAATTAACCCTCTTCTTGCAGGGACGCGGAATTCGCCCGCGAGTGTTCGGAAGTGGACAACATGCCCGAGCTGGAGCGGGCCGAGATCTACGACATCCTCGCTGACTACGGCGTCTCCCACGCGGCAGCCGAGCCGCTTGTCCGGGAGCTCACCGCGTCCAAGGACCGCTGGGTGCGCTTCATGATGGACTTTGAGCTGCGCCTGCCGGAGCCCGACGTGGGCCGCGCCTGGATCTCGGCGGCCACCATGGGGCTGAGCTACTTCGTGGGCGGGCTGATCCCGATGCTGCCTTACTTCTTTATGGACAGTGCGCAACGGGCGCTGCTGGCGTCGGTCGTTATCACCGTGGTGATCTTGCTGGTGTTTGGATTCCTGAAGAATTGGGTTGCGATCCGCACTCGGAAGGCTGGGTTCTGGGGCGCGGCGCAGACGCTGATTGTTGGCGCTCTGGCCGCTGGTACGAGCTACGCGATTGTCAGGCTTTTGGACAACGGCGGTAGCTCGTGAGATGGTATGCCTTCGAAGCTGCATACCTAGACAGTGTGGGATACCGCGGGAACCGAGCACCTGCTCATACTCTGTACTTGTACATTACATACTGCTTATACCACCTCGATACCTACTTCGGAACCTTAATAACGCCCTTTCCTTGCCAAGACTTTCTCCATGCTTCCGCACCGATGTGACACCTTAGCTAATAACCATCATGACAGCATTGTTAGCAAAAGCACAAGGGTGGGTCAAAAGGCACTGGACACCATTACCTTACTTTATCCCATGTTTGAATTCCCTATCGACATGTTTCGAATCGCACAGATCACTGGTATTATCTCAGAAATGTGATCAAGCTGTCATCAAGGCCTTTGGTCTGCATCTCTAATAGCTGTCTACAATTAGCGTCGGGGTGCTCCTTGCCTCGGTCGACATCCTTTGTCCAGTTCCGCTAGTCGTGACTGGCACCGGCCGGAAACGAGCACAATCCTCCTCCATCCACTCCGCATCCTTCAAACAAAGAATACCACAAAGGCAAACCAGACAGAAGACTACTGCTTAGCCATAACTAAAGCACCTAAAATGGCAGCTCCGACTTATCCTGTTCTAATTAAAACGCTTACAGCCACCAGTACAACTTACCCCATTCAATGATATCAGCGGTAAAGCTCATGAGTAATCTGGAGCAGACATCAGACGAGCCCCGCTCTCACCCCTCAGCCATCCCCAAACCCGCGAGACTTGCCCGTACCGAGCCAACAAGGTCGAGAGCAAAGGCGAGGTCTTCCGCCAACATCAACGCAATGGAGAGCAAGCGGCCAGCATATACCGGACGAGTGACTAGGTCGAGAGCTGCGCCAGCAGCTGGGCAATCTGCACTTGATCCGCCCTCGCAACCGCCCATGGCTGACTCCAAGCCGCAACAATCTCAACCTACGGGCGACTCTTCCCAAAAGGTCGTGCTAGGTCCAGGAGCACCACCCAGGCGCGCCGCCAGAGGCAAGAAGAAGATAGGTTCTGAAGTCTCTGATGGAAACCCCCGTTCTCCGGTAAAGGGCGCCAATGGACCCATACGGAAGCGAAAGGGAAACGCTCAAAAAGAGCAAGAAGATGAAGAGGCAGCAAAGGAGCCATCAGCAGGGCCTGCAGCCAAGTCGGACGCGGCAGCCACCGGCGCCCCAGCCACAGGTCGCATTCCGCCGCGAGCAAACAAATCTGCTTCCGGCATCCGTCGCCCCAAGGCCAGCGACTTTTATGGCACTCCTGATACTCCGGCAACTGACGGTGGAGGACTAGATGTAGCCGTTCCCATAACGCAAGAACACCAAGAGCAGATTGTGTCTGGACCATATACCACTCGGCTCAAAACTCCGCCATTCCGCTGGGACCATTACGGTATCTCCGACAAACCCGTGCATCAGACCCCTGATAGCAAGCGGAAGACCATGGCCGGGAAATCGGGGCAGGAAGGCAAGGACAAATCGACGAGAAAAGGGAAGCTACCTGTAAAGCCTACTCGAGGCATTTCACGGCAGCATGTCCCGAGCCCTTGGCTAAGAAATTCTGCATCCGTGTCCCTTGAGCAGGATGTTTCACCACCGTTGACGGCGGAATATAAGGGTCTCGATGGGGAGGAAGAGGCAGACCCTCATGACAGGGAAATGGACAAGGACTACATCCCCGTCGGTCCTGGACCAATGCCGCGAGTGCCAAAGCTTCTCAAAGGTCCCCGGAAACGGCCCGCCAAGCGGCGTCCATCACAACCTGTCCCCGGGGATGCGGCAGAGACTTCGGTCATCTCAGATGCCGAAGATACCCCATTCCCCACGCGCTCCACGCCCCGGAAAGAGCTGGTACCAGCTCCTCTACCACCGGCTGCTCGACCGTCAAGGCCTGTCGCGGAAGCGAACCCAGATATCTGGAACATCGACCCGCAAAGCATAGCCATACGCGGGAGACGCGCATTTCCCGCTCGCCCAGGCAGCGTCTACTGCGAAGTCTGCTTCCGGGACGAGGTTGCTCGGTGGGTCAGGTTCCGAGACAACATAGTCAAGATCCTGCACTTGTTGGGAGGTGACTCCGCGCTACAGGAGATGTGTGACCTGTGGCAGGAAGTTAAAGACGCTGAGAAAGGTGTGATCCACGAGGAGGTGGTGCGGCAGACCGAAAACGGTTCAAGAAGAAGGCTAAGGAGCCCGCCGCCACCTCCAGAGCGCGTGCCGGCTGCTGGTGTTACGTCTGACGAGGGCGACCGCCCAGTTGGCAAACAAGCTCAGCCAGAAGGGGGCAGGATATCGGCCAAGAAATTCATCATTGTGTCCGATCATGCCCCGCCCACGGCAGCTCCCCATTTCTACGAGTACCCGTCTGATGTTGTTGGACTTGTGCTGCTTCGCGTCTTGACTGAGCGGCCCAGGTCGAACCTCAACGAGGCGCAGAGGAAGGAGGTAAAGGATCTCCTGGCTAATTCGCGGGAAGAGATCGGGATGGATGTCAAGCTCTTCGACAACCTGACGTCGTACTGTAAATGGGTACTCGTGCACGGGAGAACGACACAGCCGAAAGCTGATATCTCGGGGCAATCGGACCCTCATCGATGGTGGTGGGAGTTTGACGACACACTGCAGCTTGCCTACCAAGGGCTCCCAACCGCGCCGCAATCGCCATCCTTCTTCGCGGAAGCCTTGGCGAGGAAGGCTGGAGACGCCGCCATCGCCAGACCGACCGCAAGGGAGGCTGCCACGGCTCGTGACGGCGCACCACTACAACACGGAACCGAGCGTCTCGCTCAACTCCAGAAGACGCTTGGGATGGCTATGCCGGACAAGCTCTTCCTGAAATCCATCGGCGACCGAATCGCGCAAGCCAAATCGGACATAGAGAACAGCATCCAAACAACCACCATTGACAATAAAAGCAACAACAACAACAACAACAACAACAACAACAACAACAACAACAACAACAACAACAAGCGCCCTAGCCCTCCGGAAAACCAAGACGCATCCCACCTTCCACGCCGCAAACGTCTCAAACCCAACAATCACTCTTCTTCTTCTTCTGGGGCTGCAAGAACAGCAGCAACTCCCCAACCCCGCAACGCGCCGTTCCCCTCTCAGGAGGTACCACTACTAGTACCTGCTCGACCCACCAAAAGAGTTGAAAGCGAGAAGGGGAAGGGAGAAGAGACGAAGAAAAGCAGCAACAACAAACCTCTCCTTCACCTCCCCTGCCAGAACTGCGCCGAATCCCTCGCCTTCCACCACTACCGCCGGTGCCGCCCTTACTCTGCCACATACGACGACGACGACGACAACGACGGCGAAGGAGGGGGAGGCAAGCCGTGGATCAAGCCGCTGATGTGGACGTTCCACCTCGATCGGGAGGCTGCCGCACGCCGCGTGAGGTCGGTGGACGAGTTTGTTGCCTTTGTGGAGGCGGCCGAGTCGGGGGGGAGGAGGGTGCGGACTCGGACTGTTATTTTTCCTTTTGCGTTTCCTTTTCCTTTTTCTAATCGGGGTTCTGGGTCTAGTGTCGGTGGTAGTGGTAGTGGTAGCGGGATTGGGCCTACTACTAGTAGTAGTACTACCAGTGCTGTGGGAGACCGGTCACAATCCGAACTCAGGGGGCGGCAAGGAGAAGGGGAGGTGCCGGGCATGATGATGATGAAGGTCATGGTGGATATCACTGCTGGCGAGACCAGGGTGGTAATAGTTGAAATGATAAAGGGGTTTTTTGATGTTCTCTGTGGCCGGATCGGTCAAGACACGGGCCCTACGGGTAGTGGCCCTGGTGATGGTGAAGGTGAGGAAGGGAGCAGAAGTAAGAGGAAAGTGCGGTTTGAGCCAGGCCCGGTTGTGATGCGGCGTGTTGGGCCGGCCAGGCCGGTGGGGATGTGGGAGACGTGGAGGAGCGGGCGGCTAGAGGGCTACCGGTTGATCTGAGCGTGTTTTGTGTTTTTTTCTTTTTTTCTTTTTTTTCTTTCTTTTTTTTTCGGAATGCGAGGGTTGAGAGGTTTAGTTGAGGCTACCACTTTCTTTTTTCTTTTTGCACTTTTGGACTCAAAAAAGGCGATAGTTACCTAGGATGGGCGGTGGGATGATGGATCTGGTCCCGCATGGAGAGCAGTGGCTGGCCCTGCCAGTCAGATTCATTATTAGTAAGGGACCGTACAAACGCGGGTATCCTGTCTATTTGACAAAGACCTGCACCTCGGTCGTCTTCAATATCCCCGGACTCCTGCCAGCACCGACCGCCTGACCAGACTCGCTCTTGCTGGGCCCCATAGCCACGGCGTGAGACGGCGTGTTCACGCCCAGAATCCTCTCCTCGGACCCCGACCCCGACCCTTCGCCCGAGTGTTTGTAAAAGGTAGTGTTCGTCGAGCCCGGGCTGCCATCTCCTCCGCCCTGGATGCCAGTGCGACGCTTGCTCCCCCGCTTCCGGTTCTCCTCCAACTCGAACTCGTCCACGTTCACGCCGCCCTTCTTGTTGTTGTTGTTGCCGCCGGTACGTGTGCCCGAGCCCGTTCCGTCGTTTTCGTCGTCGTCGCCCAGCCTCCGTGTACCCCGGCGCGTGCCGCGTCCGTACCGTGATCCGTATCCGCTGCCGACGCCGGGCGTGTTGTTGTTGTAGTAGTAGTCCCTGGTGCTGCCGAGCCCGAGGAGGCGTGTGAAGAGGGGCTTGAGAGACGGGGCGCATGCGGCGATGATGGCTACGTTGAGCTGGAGGCTGTTGTTGTGGTTGGTGGTTGTCACAGTGATTAGCTCGCCGATGGCATTTTTAAAAGGGGGGTAATAAACATAGGTAAATAAGGGGGAGGCCATGACTTACAAGCCCCAGAACTGGACGTCCATGGCCCACATTAGGTCTGTCATTTTGAGGAAGTTGAACTGGTAGTAGGCCTTGACGATGCCCATGGCCACGGCACTGTGTGAAACGGGTCAATTCAGTCCGGGGAGAACATGGTTGAAGGGATAGTGAGACCAAACATACAAGTAACCGAGACTCAGGATAACGACGAGGTAGATGCGGAGCTTCCGCTTCATCTGCAGTGTCCAGATGATGGGAATGGGAAACACGGCAAACAGGACATCGGTGAAGATGTTGAAGCTTGTGTTGATCAGACCGAACTTGACGTAGAGATCTAGGGAGTAGCACCCGCGGGCGTTCGCGAAGTCCCAGTTCCCGGCCACCGTGTCGCAGTGTAGAAACATGGTCATGCAGGCCATGAACGTGTAGGCGATGACGAAGGCGATCGTTGCCCAGACCGACCACTTGTACCACTTGTTGGTGCTCAGCCGGAGCAGGTTCAAGCCGATCGCCACCTTGACAAGTCCCAGGCCGATGAGCAGGGCGAAGATGGACAGCCAGAAGTTCGCCTGGCCGAAAATGAGTTGGTCGTCGAGTTGCACCGTGATGTCGTGTTTGCCCAGCCCGTGGAATGACATGATCACCAGAGGTATCCATCCTCCTCCTATTGTGAAGAGCTAAAAGAAGTCAGATAAATCATCTGAGAGTAAGGGGTATGGTGGTTCTCTCTGAATATCCATGCGCCGTGCACTTACAAAGCCAAGTGCCATGACAATGTCATCGGTGCCCGGAGACTTGACCAGAAGAACGCGGCAGTAGATGCGCAGGGCCACAAATATAAGAGAGATGGCCTGAAATAGGGTAAGGACCGTCATGAGTTTTGCCACATTGCTCTCAGCCGCATACTCGGCCGTGTACGTGGGCGCTGGTGGTATACCGCCCGTCGACGGCGATGCCATGGCGAAGGTTGCGAGACGGTGGAGAGCCAAGAAGGCCGCTGTGAGGAGCCGGGAGCGATCGACGTTGACAGAAAAGAAAAAGCATGGGATCGACCGGATGTGCACAGGGTTGGCCGCAGGTCCGTGGATCTTCAGAAGGGGGCTTCCCCGGATTTACATGGCACGTAGACGAGTAGTATGAGGCGAGCGGAAACAGAGGAAGAAATGGATGGGCAGGAGTTCGTTCCAGTCCACCAAGTCAACACCAGAAAGGAACGGGCCAGGGACCCTTATTATCCATCTCTCTGAAAATGCCGTAGGCCATCTCTCCGAGCTGTGTTTCACCGAGTCTTCCCTCCCTCCCTCAAACTCCAACAGACTAGCGTCGCTCGGACGGATTGTGCATTAGCTAAAAGGTTTTGTGTGCCCAAGCTCAGGTAGCAGACACGGCCGACAACGCTAGAAAGGACACGGACCCGAGACCCTCCCCGTTGCTTCGCTTCTGCAGAGCTTCGGGTGATACTACATTACCTGCCCGTACCGACTGGTTGGCTAATAACGTGAAGCAGGTACGATACATGCATGTGTGTGATGGGGTGCAGGCCATGCAGGGGTCGTTGCGTGACCTGCGTCCCCTCGCACCGGGAACTTTTCCGCTGGGCTTTTCGCACAGGATTTTCCCTCTCCTCTCTCTTACTGTGTAAATGCTCTTTACCTACACAGTAGATACCTAGGTAATCTTTACGTACATGGACGGACGGCTCGTGGTAGCTGTTTGAGCGTGTAAACGACGCCAGCCCATATGGTATATTCATGTACCCTGCGTCGTACTATGGTCCTTCGGAACTTTCCACTTGTTTTGCATCTCGTGGACCGTAGAGACCGGTGCCTTGAGCATTATTGCGTGCTTGCTGAATGAGAACAGAGTGGGAGTCTTGCCCGTGCCTGCGTTATTTGACCGGTGTGAAGATATGTACCTTACATTTACTGTACATACCACCTACTCGGCTGCGAATTCAACCGGGTTGGTTGTCCCGCTGGGCACATTGGCAACTCAGCACGTGTCCCTGGGCGCCGGGCCATCGCCATAGCAAGGTATGGACCGTTTGGGGGTAATTTCCCTTCCGACTATTCTTCTGCTCCCTACCAAATAGGTAGCATGGAGTCAGTGAAGGCTTCCTCAAGGGGTCTATGGGGGAGAACTACTGCCTCCGGGTTGCTTGACATGCTGTACAGTTTACATGCTCCCGACTTCCGAGTCATGCCAGCGGATGATGCCGAGATGCTTCAGCACAGTGGTCATCACTAGCAGGTAAGTTTTGTAAGGTATGTACTGCCCGTATAAGGCAATACAGTTCAGGAACGAGACATCTTTCTCCGAACTCGCAAAACCAAGTGAACGCTTCGGAGCCGTCCCGAAGGCCCAAACAGATGAAGAGCTGGCAGATTAGCCTTAGCTGTGACAAGGTTCTAGCGTGCCACTAGCAGACCGGCCACTAGCCGATGTTACCATGGAACAACTTCCGGGTCATCCGATGCCGATTCGCATCGCGCTAGTGGCGGCCACGCTAGAACTGGAAGCTGGGCGTCGTAAGCACCCGACGGAGGAGGATCGGCCCGGATTGTTTAGGGGATCTTCCGGAACAGCCGCCTGCTCGCACAGGCCCCCAATAGGTAAAGCCTAAGCGAAAACAACCCACCCCTCGGAAGAGATTCCGAAGGGAGTAGGTCTGTTACCGAGGAATGACAGGCCTCCTAAGAATGAACGGCCCTGTGCACTAGATATATGTAATTTGTCTGCCATTCTTCCCTTGCATTGAACAACCTAGATATACGGTAGCGGACGTAATACGGTGGACTAGGCAAGCTCACGAGTCACAGGCTTCCCGTGATGAGAGACTTCGCTCAAATTTCGAACCTATTATCCGTATCTCCCTCGCTACCGCGGGGCACAAAACACTAAACTGTACTCAGCCTCCTGCATGAGATTCATTTCGTTGGTTGCACGGAAACGTCCAACACCATGGTATCCACTCGGACACCGTCCACCGTTCCAGAAAAGTTCCCCTCGTTGTCATCCCGGCCTGTGTTTCCTTCGAGGGTAACTGCTGCACATTGGACTATCAAATTGCGGGACGGGTGTGTACAGTACCGGGCATCACGATTTAGGCTAATGACAACCAGGATACCTACATAGTGTGAGGATAAGAGTGCATCAATGAACAAAGTGTAGAAGAATCTTACTTATTTGTTTGTTCGTTCACTGTTCTTCTCAATCTCATCTCAAAACATCTTTCCGGGTATCTCTCCTGTGTACTCCATAGGCGCGGACTGTACCCCAAAATGGCCATGTATCATCCTAGTAGTAGTACAACAAGACAAGGTTTAGATTCTTCAGATTCCATGGCATCACAGCCCCATGAAAATACACACATCAACACAGTTTCTCCGCAGTTCGCCTGGCCAGTGACCCCGTCTGAGATCCCTCGTTGCGTCCAGATTCTAGACCCTCAAAAACTGTACACTACATACATTCGGTAAGTCGGTATGCGGTCCGTATCAATATCCGCATGCATCTGTACGGCACAGCGAATCCCCCGGTCTTGGCCCCTTGGGAGCAACTGCCCCACAGAGAACGACAGCAACCACCAACAGACAATGCAATGGTCATGCAGGGACATACACTAAGCCAGCTCGGGACGTTGGACCGATGCATGTGAGACGGGCGAGAGTCTGGACATCAATGGTGGCTCGGTTATCCGGAATACCTACCTGGACTAATGAGGGGCGGAATAATATGGAAGCTTTGCCCTGACGTTCGACGCTTCGGTCTGGACTCTACCTATCTCTCTTCGAGCCGCGGCAGAGGCCCTATGAAAATTGAGTGACTCCATCAGTTATTCCTTCGTCTCTGTCGCTTCCGTTAGGTACTCGCCCGATAACAGAGGCCTGGGGTGCAGCCGGCAGCTGTCGGACGAGATCAGGTGTCCGGCCATGCGGCTAGCCCTCAGGTAAATGTCGGATAGTAACATGGAGCCGTGGGTCGATTCCACCAACATGGTCGGTGATTGCGTTGCAATGCCAATATATACCATGTCAGACTTTTGGATTCGCCACGTGGGTTAGGCGAAGCTATATGTATCTTGTACCCAAGCAGCAGTTGCTGTCGCTTCTTTCGCCCCCAACCTTCCCCGTCCAGACCGTCCGCAGTCTCACTCAGGAAGCCCGTGGTCGAGATGCATCTGGCCACGCACCTCGTCGGTCTCCTCGCCGTCTTCTCGGCCGCGGAAGCCTACAAGCCCGTCAAGCCGTGTCCGGCGCCCACCAAGGACACGGATCGGCTCGCCGCCTTGGCCCTAGACAACCTGAGCCGCTACCAGAAGTCAATAAATCCCAAGGGCACATGCACGGTAGCCAAGGCTGCACGGCGCAAGGAATGGTTCGCACACATCAGCCACCTCTCCCTGAGTCCCCAACACCGCAGTTCTTGCTAATGAATGGTGGCGATGCCACAGGGGCTCGCTGAGCAAGGCCGAGCGCAAGGACTACATCCGGGCGGTCAAGTGCCTGATGCAGAAGCCGTCCAAGTACGATCCGGCGGCGGCTCCGGGGGCCAAGACGCGGTACGACGACTTCGTGGCCGTGCACATCAACCAGACGCTGTCGATCCACGGCACGGCCAACTTCCTGTCGTGGCACCGCTGGTTCGTGCACACGTTTGAGCAGGCGCTGCGCAACGAGTGCGGCTACAAGGGCTGGCAGCCGTACTGGAACTGGGGGCGCTGGGCCAACGACCCGCTCCGCTCGCCCATCTTCGACGGCAGCGACACGTCCATGAGCGGCAACGGCGCCTACGCGGCCCACAACTGCACGCCCGCCCTGCCGACGGGGCTCAACTGCATCCCGCCCGGCAGCGGCGGCGGCTGCATCTTCTCGGGCCCGTTCGCCAACATGTCGGTCAACCTGGGGCCCGTGGCGCCGACGCTGCAGGTGGCTGGCACCGTGCCCGCGCCGTCGCTGCTCGCCTACAACCCGCGCTGCGTGCGGCGCGACATCACCGACTGGGTCAGCACGCGGTGGACGACCGAGCAGAACACGACCGACCTGATCGTGCAGAGCGGCGACATCGGCGCCTTCCAGACCACCATGCAGGGCGACTTCCCGCGCGGCTTCTACGGCGTCCACGTGGGCGGCCACTTCACCTTCGCCGGCGACCCGGGCGGCGATCTCTTCACCAGCCCCGGCGACCCGGCCTTCTGGCTGCACCACGGCCAGATCGACCGCGTCTGGTGGATCTGGCAGAACCTGGACCCGGCCAGGCGGACCCACGTCATTGCCGGCACGCTGACCGTCAACAACTCCCCGCCGAGCCGCAACGGCACGCTCGACGACATCATCGACCTCGAGGTCAACGCCGCGCCGCTGAAGATCAGGGACGTCGTCTCGACGGTCGGGATCGGCGGTGGTCCGCAGTGCTATGTTTATGTATGAGTAATATGTAATGCGGGTTAACTAGAGACCATCCAGTGTACTTGATCCGTTCCCTGTTCTGGTCGCGATTATAGTTAGTAGATACATTAGGATGAACTCGGGGAGGTTCCGACTAGATCAGTACACCGTCTCCGTGAACCCCACAGTATCAACCTCCCCTCCGACGCGCGCTGAATTCAAAGTGGGCTGAGAGATAAAGAGTATCTGATTGAGTCTGCGTCAACAAAGGAGGGGATACTAGTTGCGCTGAGTACGTGGCTGGTAATGGGCAGGAGTTGCTAAGCTGGTGACGTGTAGATTCTGGCAGGGAGGTGTGGAAGTGCGAGGTTAGGGCGTTATGAATAGGCCTTGCTGGTTATATCTCAAGATGACTGCCGGATTCGTGGTGATTCTAGAGCAGGCCAAGTGGTCGCTTGATGGGGCGACGCTGCGGTACTGGGTGAAAAGCCATGGGAGAGCCGGAAATGGGCATAATCGTTGTTCGGCGGAGTCAACCCCCGAGTACTAGTATCGGTGTTATTTCAAGCTCGGGGTACTGAGGTGCGGGAACCGAATGATTCCGCGGTCTATCAACCTGCGTGTACCCGCAGGAAGGTACTTTGGGTGGATGACGATGGGAATTGCGCCACGCATTGCGTACGCATCACATGACGGGCATTGGGCAACTTGGTCCTCCGTCAGGGTTCTGTAACTTTAGCCCGTCTGTGTTATATTCCCACCGAGAAAAGCTTCCCGTCCACGCCATCCTCCTTTTCAGCCGAAGAACATGTAGTGTATAATTTATATCAACTGCTGAGTGGTGTGTGATCGGATTCTCCGTGATCCAGATCGGCATCCAGCACCTCAACCTTGACACCTTACTGGACACTTTGATCAGATCAAATTGTGACCGGCCTGCACCCGACACACTTCTAATACTCTACCGAGTTGTGGGGGCTCGAGTGAAAATGCCATTGCTGCAAGACACAGGGGATTTGCCCCTCTCATCTGAAACAGCTGGAGAAGGGTTCCAGAGCAACCCCGCCAATGACTTCATCGGTGGAACTAGGGTCAGAGGTTGGAATGCTCAAGCAGCGAACGGCCACAGATAAATGAAGTGCCATAGTGTGTATACACTACCAGGCCGAGGATATGGAAGCCCGAGGTCCGGCCGCCCTCCGTTCGATGAAACCACATCCGACGAGCAGCCGCGAGCGAACAATCAACCTGCGGCATGGTGACTGGATCTCGCAACCGCCAGACGAGGTTTCGGTCCAGCAAATTGGAGGAGACTATTCGTGCAAATCTCTGTTTTCTCGACACAGAGGCCCGGTCTCGAAATCAGGGACGCAGTTGAAGATCCGCCGATCACATTCCGGGTTGTGACATGGCAGCGCGCCTCCGACCCGGGCGGGTAGCCACAGTCAAACGTGCAAACCTCCGGGCCGTCGGACTGTTTGCTGCTCCAGGTTATCAAAATCTCTTCCGCTCGCTATGCATTGTACCTCTCGCTGCAAGTACCCAGGGACAGGACGCAGCAGCCTGAGGCCTGCACGGCCTGTTCCTACATAGAAGCAACCTGAGACACGGAAGGTGCCGCTGGAAGCCATCCGAATCACCCCATGAGCTGATTCGCTTCCCGTGCACTTACTGTGTGCGTGCAGCATGATAGGTAAGAAAGGCCGTTTTAGCTTAGGTCTTGGTGGATCTTCGATACACGTTACCCACGATGTGTACGCGTTCACCATCCCGCCTCATTGGATATCCACGTTCCTCAGCAACCATGTTTCCCCTGTCGATCGTCTATGCACCCTGGCTGTGTCCTGTCCTCGCCCTGGGCTATCCGTGGATAAGTCACCAACTTTGTAACACCCGCCCATGCTGTGCTCCGTGCCACTGCTGCTGTCCTTTTTGAACTCTTCCGCTTGCCTTCAGCCCACTACTACTTGAGGCCCCCATTGTCTCTCCATTGCAGTTGATTCTTGGATGTGTGGACGCAGGGCATCGGTTCCCATCGCCACTACCCGCTTACGACGTGCCTGCCCTCTTCGCCGTTCCGGGGGAGGTGCCACATCAGCCTGTCGCGCCTTCCCTATCTGTTTGGGCACCACCTGATCAACGGACGGTCCTAGCACCACCGCCCAGCTTCGAACTTCACTGCAGTGCGTCAGCAGGCACTGCCAACAGTGACAATTGGAAGCTTTTCCCTTTCTCGCCAAGGCCGCTTCCTCGAGACCGTCTGACCCAGCACCCAACCTTTCAGCTCGACGTCAGTGGCAGTCTCGACTATGGGTGTCTCAATAACCAGGTCGCACCGATGTTGCAGCATGCGGAATCCCATCGCAAGGGCGCTGCTGTTGACGCTCCTCATGTTTGCCATCGGCGGGATACTCCTTCGGTCTGATATGGATGTGCGGTCGGCGCTGCTCAAGACGGCCGCATCGGCCAGGGAGGCCATGTCACTGCAGAAACCGCTGGCTTGGGAAGGGAGGGTGGAGGCCCCGCTTGAGCAGGATGGTAGCAACACGACAGAGGAGGCGCCGACAACACTCTCCAACTCTTCCCGCCTCATGACCTGCGACTACGACATGGAGCGGTTCAAGAAGTGGCGCGACCTCTACCATCTCCAGGACACCTTCGAGTATGCGAAGCGGTACATCCAAGTGACTCGGCAAGACATACCCAGGAAGTCCGTGACGAAGCTGGACCAGGACTTCCTCGTCGATGCCGTCAAGGTGGTGGACGTGAACAAGCAATACCAGGGCGAGCAGTGCCCGGAGCCCCTCCTGATCCCTGTTACGAAATCACCTCTCCCCTCGACAGCCAACGCCTCCGACTTCATGTTCGGCGTCTCCACCACCTACAAGCGGTTTACGGACCCGCGGACGAGCCCCATCAACGAATGGTCTTACTGGCTCACCGATAGCAAGGGGAACTCGAACGGCGGAAAGCTGGTGCTAATGCTGCTAGACGCCTCGGATGACGAGCTCGCAGACGCCCACAACAAGCTCGCTAAGATCGGCATTGATGTGGACGTCTATCGCTCCGATCCCAGCCTGATCATGGCAGTTCGCTACCTGGCCCTTGCACCGCAGATGTACAACCATCCGGACCGCATCAATAAGAAATGGCTTGTCGTCTGCGACGACGACACCTTCTTCCCCTCCTTCCACGCACTCTCGGATAAACTCGCTGAATACGACCATGAATACCCCATGTACATCGGCACCTTCTCGGAGGACGTTAACAACATCCAACGCCACGGCTCCCAAGCATTTGGCGGTGCCGGCGTGTTCCTGAGCGTCCCCATGGCCAAGATCATCACCGAGAGGTACGAGACGTGCAAGACGGAGGAAAAGATCCAAGAGGCCAACACCGGCTGGGGTCCGCAGGGGGACATCCTCCTACGAAAGTGCATCTACGAAAACTCGGAGGTGAAGCTCACCCTGCTCAATGACCTGTGGCAACTCGACTTGTTCGGTGATCCCTCGGGCTTCTACGAGTCAGGCATCAAGCCACTGTCATTGCACCACTACCGCGGCGGCATCTGGCACATCGCGCACCCTTGGCACTACACGAAGGTGGCGCACGTCTGCGGCGAGGACTGCACGCTGCAACGCTTCCAGACCGCTGATAATTTCATCATCTCCAACGGTTTCAGCGTCGCCTACTACCCCAATGGTATTGACTTCGACCTGGGGCAGTTCGAGGCGACCTTCCACCCTGCGCCCGAGAACAAAGGGTGGAATCTTGACTTCAGGATGGGGCCCCAGCGACCGTCACTGCACAAGACGGGACGGAAGATTTCGTGGGATCTCCAGGACGCCACCGTGAACGAGGACGGTAGCGTGAGCCAGATCTATGTGTGTAAGCACGACGACTGGAGGTGGAAGAACCCTGATGGCACACCCATGATCGACCTGGATGGCATCATCGAACTGGTGTGGCTGCCGGAGAACTGATCCAGGAAGATTGGTCTCCTTCGTTTTGCTTCTTAATCAAGGCTTCGGGTCGGGTTCTCTCAAGTCGATGGGTCATTGCTTTTTGTTTCGCTTTCGGGGTTGCCTGGCGAAGCGGCCAGGGGTGAGGGAGTTCTGCGGACATTCATATAGATGGCGTTCTACCTATTTATTTTTGGTCATGATCATGGCAGTTAACGGCGCTGCGGGAATGCTCGAGCGGGCGGAGGTAGTTGTGTTGAACTATGTTAGCACTATGCAATTCAATGTCTATCACTAGACGGACAAGCTGGCGTCCTGCCCATGGTGTAACGCCCCACCCACCCTACCAACCGTCTCCATGTCGGCCCCCGGGCAAGCCCGATGGTGGTTTCACGTAGCTCGAACTCCTGCCGACACCTATGTTGGGCGGTTCCTGACACCGGCACCTACAGTCACCTTGTACGTCCTCCCGCTCCCGGAAGCAGATTGGCCGGCCGTATACCAGAGATGTGTCAATGGTAATCTCCAAGTTCGGGCCGAACTATTCTCGGTTTACGGCGGCCCAACCCCTGACCGCGCACGATGGCTCGTGGGTGAACGGTACGGCAGGCTTTATGAGTACGGCTACGAAGCGGCAAGAGGGAGGGTCTCGCTGAAGTGGATATGAAACGACCTCTCTGTAGAAGAGGCCGGGTGTTTCATATTGCGCTTCCACCTGGAGCAGCGCAGACCAGATGGCACCGTGGCCCGAACTGCAGGACCCGCCGAGTCAGACAGATTCCACGTTCTCCGCTAGAACGACTTCCTGATATTGCCCTCCGGCCTACATAATCCCCCCCAACTCTGGACAGCGGCTTTCTTCTGTGCAAGGCTGGACTACGACAAGCCCAGAGAGACATTGAGGTACTAATATCACGTTGAGCGTGAGGCGGGCAGGCCCAGGACTAACCATCCACCACAACACCATGATCATCATATAGGAAGAGGGTTGGCAGAGATGAGGAAGGAGGCACGCAACTAGCAGGACTAGTGGACTGACTGGGCTTTCCTTCGTGATCAGAGTTGCAACTTCTTTTTCGTCACCAGTATTAACCTTGATCCACTTTGTGAACCGTCTGTGATTTTGTAAAATACGAAGAAAATAGGGCTCGATGATACGGTAACATAAAGAGGTAAGCATGGCGCCTTAAGTACTAAGAGATCATCTCATGTAGCTGACGGAACTTTAGGAAACGTGTCCGGCCACCTAGTAGTAGCCTTATATTTTAAGCAGTGCTGTACCCTAATCACGTTCTCCAGAGGCTCTTACCCAGCTCTTATAGGACAATACTTTGGGGTGTCAGCTCGTCTTTGCAAGGTGTGGTCATACGGGTTGAAAAGGTCACGACTAAAGCAATACGGTAGTGGCTTTCAAGTGACTGGGTACCTCTTCTGCTGTTTTGTTCTTAGACAGCCGCGAATCTTACAAGCAGTTGGGCCGGCTTAAGTGGTAGGAGGACCGCCTCGCGACTGCCTCATTCCGGCTTGAACCTTCGTGGGTAGCTAGCTGCTCTTGCAAAACGAGTCATGAATTTCCAAAAGTAAACTTCTCCAGACATCTCATCGACCCATAAGGCGTTTATTCTATCATCCGGAAGTGTTTGGTTGTGGAAAACGGGCCTACCTTTCTAAGAACCTTATCATCATCCTGCAAGCGCATGCTCGGCCAGAAGATCCCAGAGCTCGACTCTCCAACTAGACTACCGCCTACTTGTCTCACTGCGCCATGGCGACCCACTCATGGTTTTGGGTCAGTGAACAGTCTGGTTTAGCGTCAGTCGCCGCAGGAAGAATAATACGCCCGCCACTCAAGGTTGCTCTGCTCATCGACTCCGCAGACGCTGGGCTCCACGAAAGCCTTGCGCGTAACCGGCTCCGAGTCCGAGCCGAGCTGCGACACGGCGACGGAGCGGGGTCGCCGGCCGATGAATACCGCACTGGCACCGGGTGTGGTAGGTTATGCTGGTACGACGCGTTTATGCCCGGTTGTGAGGCGGGGGTGGAATGGCACTGGCCGGACCTGGCAGTAACGCCAAACGAGTGGCTCAAAAGGTTCAAGCTGCGCTTCTACCTGGAGCAAGATCAAGGAGACGGCGAGTGGGTAGAAGTCAAAAAATCTGGCTCCTGTCGACTCAAACCGAGTCTGGGTCTACTCTCTGGTAGGAGCCCAGTAGAGCAGCCTCCCTACATCGACTTCCGACATGCATCAACCGCTATGTTTTTTGACCGCCGCTCTTCCCCCCTGTTCAAAGGTTGGACCACGACACGGCCACAGAGACATGACATCACGCTGACCCTGAGGCGGGCAGGCTTGTGACCAACCACATACACCAACAACACCAACAGTCATTACACACCAAGAGCCTGCGCGGTTGGTAGGAGGCACGTCACTGGCATGGTTAATAAGGGGCTGGGTGTTTTCTTAGCCATTAGAATCGCCATGTGTTTACCATCAGCAGTAGTAGCTTTCCGCACTGTGTGAGCCAGGTGCCCCCGTCGTTGTATTGTACAATACAATACATATGTTCAAGGGAGAAGCGCTGCCCAACACTACCTAGGTAGGTAGCTTAACCCTTCGTCGTGGAGCCAATGTCTCCCCATCGGATGTTAGAAAACACGACATGAGTGTCCGGGTGCTGAGACTGAATATTGGACGGGCTTCCCTGGCCGCTGGCGCAGGGTCCGTTGTTGCCGGAGTCGAGCCAGGACATCTGCTGGGCAGCATCGTTCCAGATGCTCATGGCCAGCACCACTATGATGGTAAAAGATGATGTTAACCATTACAATATCCCATGCACAATCGTAGGTTGGTAGTAGGATAGGTTTTGAAAGCACCAGTACTTACTCCCGCGATCCAGCGCCTCGCCCATGCCAGTGAAGCCGCCGGTCGACCCCTCAGAGCCGCAGCTGGTAATCGTGCCGCCGCCGGCAATCTCGCGGCCGTTCTGGATATACTTGCGCGTGATCTGCGTCAGCCGGCCGCCACTGGCCGCAAACTGCGTGACAACCGTGAACGGCTTGCTAGTGTCGACGGTCTTGCCGGGGCCCCAGAAGTTGCGGTTGCCGCTGGCGTAGGGGTTGTAGCCGCAGCCGGGCTTGTCGCAGGTGTTTGCCCTGCACGGGTGCGGCGTCATGGCCGTGGCCATGGCGTTGGCCTCGAGGATGTCCATCTCGCTGCAGCAGTAGCCCTGGCACTGCGCGTCGCAGTACCCGTCGCCCGCCGCCGCGTTGCCGCGCCCGTCCGCCGCCATCTCGGACAGGTACAGCGCCCCGTTCTCGCCGCAGGGGAGCGTCGAGTAGTCCACGTCGACCGTCAGCTCCTGGTTGAGCAGCTTCATCATCGCGTACTTGCCGTCCTCGCCCAGCAGGTAGACGCGCGGGGACGCCGGGTTGAGGTTGCCGTTTGTCCGGACGTAGTGGTACATGGTGAGCGCGTTGCCCGACGTCGAGACTCCCATCGCCGCATAGTCGGCCAGTGTCCTGGAGCCGGCGGCGCCCTGGGCGTATTTGGCGACCCGGTCGAGCACGACCGATGTGTTTTGCTGTACGCAGCCTCCCGAGGTGGTGCATTTCCATGTTGGCAGCAGGGGGTGCTGCTCGGCTGCTTGTACGGCAGGGAGGCCTGTCAGCAGCGAGGCCGTGAGTATGATGAGAGAACGTCCCAGAGACATCTTGTATGCTTGAGACAACGCATCCTGTATAGCGTCGGGCTGATGCGGTGGGATAACAGACAGGGCTTTATATGCTAGTCTGTGCCTATCCCAGCCCAGATCCTAATTCCTAACTGATATAAAGCTCCAATGTAGGTATGGTATCCGGCTGATATGACGGCCCTCATATTAATTAGGCCTGTAGTGCTTGTTAGACGGTATATCTCGGCCCGCCAACCGAGCGCTGCTTTACAGGGAGCTGTGCGGAGAGGGCGGGGACAGGGTACTCAATATAAAACACGGTAAAGCTGGAGATCATCCATGCGGCCAATCCCATCCTCGTGTCAGCCACAGTCATATACTGATCGTCTGACGGGCTCCGGGGCCCTGCTCCGAATCCCATAAGCCTGTAAAGGGCAGCGGATGGTAAACAGCAGGCCGCATCTTTCGGTCCTTATGCCTCGTACGCTAAGTATTAGACGAAACACGCGGGACTGTTCTACTTGAGTGACTGACATTCAAAGGCTTAACGGCCCATAAGTCCCCGATACGACAGATTCCGAGCGTACCTTACTCGACGACCGGAGCTCAATATGTACGACGGGCATTCGCCTCCACCAATAGAAAAATGCCCTCCCATTCCGACGAATGGGTTCTGCTTCGGATGAGTTACACTGAGCATGGTTCCTTTGTGGGTTGAGAATGGTAAGTCACTTGTCATATGTCAGCCCTTCATTCAATAACGCTTCGGCTCTGCTCTTGAAATGATCACAACAAGACATCATAATCATCACTTCATCAACTACCACTTCAATACCTCTCCACCGCGATTGAACGCACCGAAAAAAATGGGAAGCCAAAATCGTAAGTGATCTGCCATGACAGCGCCACCTAATGCTGTCCGGTCTTGCTATCCCGCCCCGCATGCGGATACCTCTCGTCCTCGACGTAAGCAGGTGGCAGGTCCTGGTCACCATGCACCTCTGAATACACCGGCGGAGGTGGAGGAGCATGCTCCGAGTGTGCCGCCTCAGCAGCAGCTTCGGCCGCCTTGGCAGATGCCGCCGCGGTCGGAGGTGGTGGGTATGAAGAGCCGGTTGACGGGCCGGCGCCAGCGCTGCTGTTCCCGACATTCAAATTCTGCATCCCGGCTGTGACGCCGGGGACCCCGCTCGAGGGTGGAGGAACCCAGGTGCTGGGAGGAGCGCCGGTGCCTGGCGGAGGACCATAGCTAGGAGCGGGTCCCGGCGCGGCCGCGGGACCAGGGGCCGGAACGGGTCCCGTCCCGGTGGGGCCGCCGACGCCGGGACTCACGGGACTACCGGGTCTCTGCTGCTGCTGTCCCCTCCACCCTTCTGCGCCCCTCAACACCTCAAACAAACCTCTCGCAGCATCAGGCCACATACCAGGCGGGCCCCGCGCCGGAACCTCTCCCTTTAAGATCCTGCCCACCGGCACAGCCTGGCCATAGAACTTGGCATTCGCCCCCTCGCGCTCCGCAATGACTGTTCCGTCGATCTGCACACCCGCAAACAGACCCCTCGACTTGACGTAGCTGTACACAGGCCTCTTGATCGCCTCCCGGAACGGGCTGGGCCGCCTCTCCCTCTTCGCCTTCTCCTTGGCGTCTTCCTCGCCCATACCCTGCTTCTCCTCGGGGACCGGCCCCGTCTGGAAGCGCGTGTTATCAGCCGACAGTGCGGGCGGGGACAGTGTCGTTGCCGGGTATTGCTCTCCTGCTTTCCCTTTCCCCTTTTCTTGTTCCCTTCTCTCCGCGTCCCGCTGACCGGCTGGGACGCCCCAGTCCAGCGCGCCGCCGGCCCCGAACGGCCCCGCGGTTACTGCCAAGTCAGAACCCAGGCTCAACCGCGTTTTGGTGAACATGTCGAGGGCCTCTCGCGTGTTGATGACAATCACGCAGTCGTAGATGTCCACGCCGGCCACGAACCCGGCGCCGATGCTGGTGATCTGGATCCCGCTGGGCGGCGACCAGCTGCCGTCGGGGAGCCGAGCGAGCAGGATGCCGCTGCCGCTGGAGCCGGTGGCCTGAAAGCCGAGGCGGACGGCAGTGAAGATTGCGAGGCCTTGTGCGCGGGCGATGACTTTGGAGGGGATCGTCAGGAGGACCCGGCCTTTCTTGGTTTTGTTGGACGGGGAGGAGGGCGGCTTTTCGCCGGGTGGGACGCCGGTGGCCGTTGTTGTTGCGGGGCCTGTGGTTGTGGCAGCGACAGTGGGCGGGACAGTGTCGCTGTAGATGCCGTCCTCTGAGAATAGTCATTAGCATTGGACATGTGTGTGTGTGGGTGTGATGGTTGGATTGGACATACTGCAGAAGCCCCTGAGGATCCTGGCGGCCTTCTCGCACTCCTTGTCAAGCGACTCGGGCAGGAAGCCCTCGGCGCCGAACTTGTGGGCTAAGGCGTTGACTGGCCCGGCTACTTTGCTGCTGAATGCCGCGCCGAATGCGGAAAGCCTGTTCGACTTTTTCTTCGCACCTTCGCTATCGCCCTCGTGATGCTGGTGATGGCTATGGCCCCATTCGGGCGGACGTTGGTCTGTCGGCGACGCGTTGTAGATGTCTTCGTCGTCCGCCGTTGGAGGTGGCGCAAACTGCGGTTGCGCGGGATTGTAGCCTGGAATCTCGTAATCCGGAATGGGTGTCTCATCGGGATGCTTCGGCGGCGGGGCTTGCGACGTTTGGATGGGCGGAGGGCCTGGTGGAGGAGGCGGAACATACTGCTGCCCGTGCTGGACGGCCGGGTTTGCCGAATGCTGCTGCTTCTCGTTTGTACTCATCGTCGATGCTTTGTTGTGTCTCGGGATATACTTTGTTTGGTGGTCGCGGAATTGGTCAGTTGATGCTCCCAAAAGACTGACAGCTGAGTGTGGTGGTGATGAGTGAATTATGTAGGGGAGTTCTGAGGTCAACACGCGGCTTGTTTGACTCGGGTCACGGGTGTATGGCTGGCTTTAACTGTGTTCAAGTCTGGCTGAAGCTCAATCAACTTAAGCCATCACGGTGCCGCAAGGTAGAGGCCTCCCGGCATGGTGCTCAATGTGGAGATCAGGGACCAACTCTCGCAAATGAGGGGCATGGTGTTTTAGTTGCGACGTCATGCCGTGGCTTAGCTGTGGCAGCCGCGCGTTCAAGCCGATGACGCAATTATGGTATGTGGCAGCGTGGCTCCCGCATCATGCGACGAGGACTGCACGGACCGCATCGGACTGGAAAGTATTCAGTTCCGGCCCGTACTTCGTAAATACGTATCGTATCAGAAGTGCTTCAGATTAATGGCGCGCTCAAAGCCTGCAGAGCTGTTGAACGGATGGTACTAGGTCTGTGTGTCGTTCTATTACACTGGTAGGATCGACTTACCTTGGTTCCTGAACCTTGACGACAAATACCGACCGCAGTTACAGCGCTTCTAACTGTTGAAAGCCCAGTGGTATGGTATATAAGTAAATATGCTTGTATTGTACTATACATCCTGTAAAGCCCATTACACTGCAACAAGGCGCAACTCGACGCCCAGAACGCGGAGATTGGGACCTAGCATAATAAGAGCACTCAATTGGGTTATTAATCTGGTACAGGCATGTACGTATATGACGATTTCACATTCTTCTCTGTTATCCTCTCTGCATGGAGAGGCATTTATAAACCTAAAGGTCAAATTCTCAGAATGTAATTTACGGATCTTGACAGGAATGCATGGTCACTTACAAACATGACAGATTTTCATTACGCTTTTACCAGACTGCCGAACATTCTGAATTCCACTGCCATCGTACTTTCCCGAATCAAACAAGCACCGGGAGACGACATCGTGATCTGCACAGACAGTACTATTAACTACTTACTAGTAAGGTAGAGTAGTACCGCACCCATGAGCGAATGCTGAGCACCGAATGCCACGCGGTGGTTACGTCTTCAGCGCACTGCTTGGGATGCTTTGAACTGGTGCCAGTTCCAGTGCGCTCAACGGTCAACATCGTGGTAATACGAGCAACTGACTGAGAGTTGTCACATTAAGACCAACCTGAGGGCTGCTTATCCCATGCTTGGAAGTTTCTACGAATACTTTGACCCGCTTGGAACAGACAGTCGAGATTCAACGACCTAGATCCATCGCATCAAGGGCAATAGACCTTTAACATGCTAGTGAGTGAGGCATGCACCGACTGCGACTCCCATTCCACCTCATGCCGCCGATGGACATTTTGTCTTGTACTTTTCAAGTTCTCCGTGCCACGCTGTGCTGACCGGCCGATTCCTGAGGATGGAGGAAAAGGTGGTGAGACCGTCAGACAGATTCGCTGACCACAACAGCGCCCCCCTCCTATCAATCTTATTAGGCACCTGCGGTGGATGAACGGGAGGCTTGCAGAATGGCCTCATTCCTCCGCCGGCGCCTGCATGCAGCTCGGCGCCAATATTTCGGTCAATACTCAATCGCGGAATTCCGACGCTACAGAGAAGTACTCCTTTCCTTATTAGTCTCGACCTGCAGATTCCAGTCTTCTCGAGCATCAAGTTTCGACTGACCGACGGGTATCTGGCAGCAGTTTAACAATATTGACTGGCGAGTGATAACGATTCCATTAGACGTGCTGGCCTGAGAACTTCGGTCATTGTGCTTACAGTTCAGGTAGTACGTCAAGATGATTGGGGAAATCCGCGCCTCGCTGTTACTGAGACACTTGGCTTGCAGTTCTGGTCACACGCATCATGCAGTGCGAAGAAGCTCGGAGATAGCACGATATTGATGTCCAGTTGAAATGTGGCTGGCTGCCAGATATGATTCTGCGAGAGTGATTCGATCAGCCACCTCAGGTTCTCGGACCACCGCTCGGGGATGTCGCTCCACCCCGCTGGTTGGACGACTGGGACAGAATCTGCGACATTGCGCATGCGAGACGGGCTGTGTGTGTGTGTGAGCGAATTTTGGTGTAAGCGATTGGCATTGGAACCCGAGACTAGAATAAAACGGAGGGCCCTCAGCTTCCTAGCAAACGCATCCCTCGTGGCGGGACATCAGCTGACAGCTCCCAGGTTTTGAGAACTCGCACTGGCAGTCGTCAGCCCGTCGAGTGTCTTAGCAACCCATATCAAAGTACCGTACAACAAGACAAAGACCTTCTCAGATTCCCAGCGACAAGAGATATGACAGACCTATGGGCCCGAATGAGAAGAAGCCTCCACCGACGACCATCGCTTTGAACCTGTCCTCGCGAATCCATATGGGTACTGTTGTTTCCGGTGGATGACAAATCAGCCACTGGCGACGAGGAGAAAGAGGGATAACGTGTCGTGGGAGACATGGAACTTGTGCCACGGCCGTTCGGCGTCAACGGCAGTGCAATGGTTTGAAGGACAGAGGACGAGGGACCCGACCACAAGAACAAACCCCGACACAGGATGTGAAATTGGAGCAGGCGAGAGGAGGCGCCAACTTGGGATCGCCTCTGATGGGCGTGGTCCATCACGGATCCAAAGTGCTCACTACTCGGCCTCAGGTCTGCAACCCTTCCAATATCATAGTGGAGTCGACTCCGGGCCCGCGACATCTGCACTCGGGCCTTTGTTCAGAAGGAAGGAGGATTGCATACACAGGAATGCTCGCAGGACCATCCCACCCGGCTAACTGAGCTAGTCCAAGACGAAGTGTCACCATCTTGGCGTTGGGTGCAGCAAGCCTGGTGGAACTTTCATTGTCCCTGTTCCAGCGGGTTGACCTCGCAACTCAACCTCCCGGCTCCCGGTCCAAGCAGTCATGGCTAGACATAGGAAAGTGCCTGCTGCGGCATATGTCGGATTCCAACTTGGAATACGGGGGAACATGATGAGCGAAGGCTGAATAACAAATTTGTCAAGTCCTCTATTGGTTTCAGGGCGTTGTCCTCCCACACCATTCGAGGTTGTTGTTCGTCGGACCGGGCAACACCACCACCGGGGGATTCAGCCTTCGCTTCTATGTCGGCGGTTGACAGTGTCGATGGGGGGAGGATGGCCGAGAGTCCGGGCAACCGCCAAGAGGCTTCATTCGGCAGTTCTCATGTCGCCACCGATGGGAACGTTCACGTTACGTTCCCCCCAATCTGCCTCGCCTGGACGCTTTGTGATGGTGTGGAGGAGGCAGATATGGCTTGTGCCACGGAACGTGCGGAATGTTGAAGAATGCTTACAAGCCACTGGCAGGCTGCGATGTCGAGATGATCGTCAATCGGTTCGGGCTGACGTCCTTCGATGGTGTACATCCGTACCGCGACTTCCAAAATCCCGGGCGCAGTTCTGGCTCCTCCCTCTCGCTTCCTGATGCACACCAGGCGGCACCCATCCGACTTGCCGTCCCCCTTGCAGAAAGTCTTGGCAGCATTTACGAGGAGAGTTCACCGACACCGGTCAGGACTTTGTCTCGCGCATCGCTTGCGGTATCCGCGTCTTCCGACACGAAGGTTGAAGCAGTCGTCTGCGTCCCCTAAAGGTCGGCTCGGCCGGGCTCGGAGGCCTAAGGCGGATGGCCTACTGAGCGTCATCGTGCCCCTCTATTGCTTGTAACCCCTTGCGCCCCCTGGAGGTTTTGTGCGTGGTTCGAGGAGACCCACCGTTCCCGTTTTCGGAACTTTGGCCGACCCTGCAGCAGCAGGCGCACGTGGCCGCAACATGGGGCCGGGCCTGTTGCGAGTTCCAACGGAGAGACGGCTTGTGATTAATAGACCCAACCAACACGGCCTGAATCGTCAGACGAAGGCCACGAAAGGGAAGGTGCAACCGGCGGCTTACGTATTCCACTGGAATTGCTGCCGCAGAGGCGGGTGCACGACGGCGGGGACCTTGCAGGCGCGGGCTCCCGTTGCCACACAAACCAGACTCCAGAATAAATGGGGGTCACAGGATCGGGCGGCGCTAGCCAAGAGGTCTTCAGCCCAGCAGGAACATCCCGCGCAGGCTGTCGTTCAGCTGGGGTTATCTCCATCCACGCCGCGTTCCTGGCCGACTGACTAGGGTAGGACCCCGCCACCCACCACAGCTGGACTACCGGTGTACCGACTTCACGCCTTCTCCGGCTCTTTCTAGAAGAAAGTCCTCCTGAACCATGGGGAAATCAATCCGGGTAGCGCGCACCGAAAGCAATATCTGCAACTACCGGGCAGAGTGGTACTGCATGGTTGCCGCACGACAGCAGAACAATTCAACAATCTCACCCTGCCATCCGGCATCAATGATCACGGTGATCAATTCACATTTGACAGGCACACCCTGCCATTCTTCGGGACGGCTCACTCCCGCAGTGTGGACTGGGATCCCAGATGATAAGTCCCGCATGGGAGTCCCCCACAACCAGTGCTCGGCGGCGGCCCTGGCGGTTGGAGGCACGAGTGGTGCAGCTTTGTGCTCGCCAGGGTCTGTTCCGCTCGCCGCGAGACGACCTGCAGTCCGGACGCATCGGCTGCAAGGATTGTGCAGAATAATCGATACTGCAACATGCACACAAAATGTGTACGCATCACCTATTGAAGCTAGGCGTGTGTGGGCCAGAGGTTGGAGGATTCGGTCGCTTCGGCAGGTGACGGCAGCCATCTCAGCCAACCACGGCCTCGCTTTCCCGACTGACGAACCGCTCTGGCGTTTTCTAATGCGTCGCAGTGCTCTCGTGCGCAGTAGCGTTGACAACTGGCATGTTCGGACATAGCTTCTAGTTGGAAGCCCACGGAAGTGTACAAACGATCTCCCGACTGGGCTATTCCAACGCTCTCGACTGGTGTAATCACGCCTGAACTCAATGCCGGTGTCCCATATTCGCGACGGTTAGCAGGCTCGAGTGTGACAAAAAAAAAACCAATATCAGGTTCGGAGGGCATCTAGTACCTACGACACATCAAAAAGCATCAAGAGACTTGAGCCGCTCCAATTGCAATTGGATACGGTCGTGTAACACTGTAAGCAGGCTGACCGTGGCACTCGGCCAAGAGTCTTGGATCGGACTTCGTTTTATATTTAGCAACCAAACACGGCCCGGGAACGAAGTTGCCCTGTGCATCATGGAATCCTTTCCGGATCAGCATGACGCAGCTGTCCACCCCGCCTTCTGAATGGCCCGATAGCTGCGAACCCCAATTCTGTGCGATTCGGGGCCTCAGGACGATCCGATTCACGCTGGGAACCTGGGGTAGAACCGTAGATCCCTTTCTGTCGGGTCAACGGTTGAACTCCTGTCTATATCGCAGTGTATTATGCTGGAAGGGAGATCCAAACCAAAGCCACATTGCAGACGACACGACGTCAGTACCGTGACACAGCATCGCAAGGTCTCTGTCTACGTGACCGCCGAGTCGAGATTCGAGAAGACGCTACGACAGCAGGATAAGAAGTACGACCTGACATGGGTGTCACCTCAGCCGCCGTTGCTTGGCGTCTGTGGACTACGTTGCAGTGGCCGAAAGCCATACTTGTTCCGATCTAGCTTCGCCTGCAGAAGCATCTTCTAACCTTCAGTCTTGTGCGCCATTGGCAACTCGCGAGGCGTCCGGCTGACTGAGCTTGCGGCCGGCGAACCAACCAATCGTTACACAGCGTCCTCGGACCTCAAACCAACAGGCACGAGCTCCGCCCTTTCGCCGGAGTTAGCGAGCTCATCATGCGCGGTGGTTTGACTCATGGGCGATGGGTCGTCAATGAGCTACGCTAGAGTTGAGGCTTTGGCATTCTATCCCGGGTTCAAGCTTCCGGGAAGCTCGGGTGAAGCCTAGCTTCCTCCACTACACCTGAGCAGGAGAGCTGCATACTACCTAGTTCCCTTATTAGTCTGGATCCTCTGCGCGTTTGCCGAACGTTCTGCAAACTGACCAAGGAAAGCCGTGTTCCATACGGGTGCCCTGTCAGATGCAGCTGTGCAGGTCTAGTGGGCCATCCGGAGCGAAGCCCTGGCGCCAACTGTGTACGGTATGGATGATGGAGGGGTTATGATTACTTACAAAGATCTGACTAGGGACCACCTGTGTTTCGATATGGGTGAATCGACGAATATGCCTGCTAATAAAGACACGACTATCCGCAGGGGGTTACATTACCTCCCCGACAAACCACTGCCAGCCAATGACGGCCCGTTCCAGGCAGAAGGAGACGAGCGGGCGTTTATATAAATGCCATACCGGTAGGGCATAGGTTTCCTCACAGCCTGGTGGTTGCTCGGAGAGAATCACACCCCCGACGTGACATCGCTCTGTAGACTAGACCGCCCTTTCTACTGACCCGCCATGATGTCCTATTGGGTATGTTTCGCTCAATATTCCCCCATTGTCTTGACAATGGACCCTGGCGATCCCGGCCGTCGATTTCCGCACTGCTGCATGTGCCCTGCTAGTTCTTTTTCTACCTGCATTCGCTTTGGTAACTCCAGGTCCCTGCTAAGATGTCTGTCTATCGTCACCTGCAGTGCTGCGTCGAGAGGATTCTATGGAGCTCCGCAGCGCCTCGGACGTGCGAGTCATCTCCGCGTCATAGACGCTGTCAGACTCGGTTTTTTGTCCAATACCTTTCACTTCTAGAAGCTCTTGTGGTGTCAGCTTCTTGGCCACTGCATCATCTACAAAGTCCTGTACCAAAGATTGCGCGGTAACGTGGAGGACTCCGACAAATCCGAGGCGCTTTCGTGGTGTGCTTACATGTTCTATCTCGATGCCCACTGGATTCCACGGCCGCGTACGGAACTTGACTGTTCGATCACGGGACCTTATGCCATGTGCTCCTGCACAGCCGCGCCGGTCAGGAGGCGGAATGCCACACCCTCCTCTCATACCGGCCCGTCTCAACCCCTGTGCGTCTACAAGCTGGAGTAACGGCATGCTGGCATTGGGAGCACCACTGCATACTAGTCCCTTACAGATTACAGCAAGCCTCATGCTAGCCAAGCCAATACTTCTCTTCAGGAAGTGGTGGGCTCGACGTGCTTGCGTAAGGTACTGGTAATGATGCCCCTGGATCCGGAATAGCTGAGGGGAAGGGATGGCTTCGGCGCGGCCCAGTCTCACCTTGCACATACGTCCCGTCCATCGCCAGCCACGCTTGCAGGAGTTCGCTGAACTATCGATCTCGGTTATGCCCCATCGGCCTCGTTGCCACTCGAGGCGAGCAGTCGTACAGCAGCCAGTATCCACGCCCGACCGTGTCGTTCTCCGGCAGTTGTCGAATGAATGGAAGATGGAGAGCAAGTGGCATCACGATCAACCAAAGGTGTACGGATATCTGATGTCAGGTACGCTGAGCGACGTCGCCTTCTTACACCACCACCCGGGCATGCGGGATGCCTTCTAGGCGCCCAACCATCAGGGACTAGTCACGAGAGGTGCAACAGTAAAGCAATATCACACTCACCGAGCCGCCATCACCGCCCAAGGAGTCGCATCCATCCCGAGCGTCACTTCGGCGTAGCATTCATCCACCTCGGCCTCGTCGATGTCCGAGCCATCCCACGCGCGACTGAGCATCTTCGGCCCTGAGTGCAGTGGAACGTGGAAGAGGGAGGGTGTGTCGAATACGAGCAAAGTGCCTTGGGTGTCTCTACCATCTACTGGTATGTGACTCCTCATGAACCGCATCGATGATGGTTTGTCTATATAAGGGACTCTCGCCCTCAGCCATCATGAGCTTCATCTTCTGGCCCTCACCAAGCCATCTGGACACCAGCTGTTCAGGGCAGACTCCTCCTTCCTTCCCCCGTTCCACTCAATCTCCTGGCCCTCTCTGCTCAGACGCTGTTCTCTTGCTTGATCGCTCTCACCATGAAACCCTTCCTCGGTGCCGTGGCGCTGGTCATGGGCATGCTTGCCCCCAGCGTCATCGCGGCTCCTCCGGCCACGCCCGCTCAAAGGGACTTGCTCGTGCCGCTTGAGCAGGAACAGGAGTCTGCCCTCCGTGCTCGGCAGGCTACTAGTGCTAGCTGCAACACTCCAAGCAACCGGGCGTGCTGGAGCAACGGGTTCAACATCAATACCGACTACGAAACTAGTACCCCCAACACGGGAGTCACTCGGAAAGTGAGTTGTCCCTTGCTCGTAAAACATGATGATGATGGACGTCCACGGGGACTGACAAGTACCAGTATACCCTCACCCTCACAGAGACCGACAACTGGCAGGGGCCTGATGGCGTCGTCAAGGAGAAAGTCATGCTCGTCAATGGTATGTCAATTACCTACTAGTAGGGCTTGCGGGTGGGAGCTGTTACTATTCGGACGCCCGCTAACTAATGACCATTCAGGCACGATTTTGGGTATGTAGCGACGGGGCGGTGGATGGCTGGATCGACTGCTATGGATAGCCAAACTGACTTCAGTCTAGGGCCCACGATCCTTGCTGATTGGGGCGACAAGATCGAAGTGACCGTCATCAACAACCTCAAGACCAACGGGTAGGTTCCCACTTCTCAGAGGGCCTTTTGGTTTCACACTTCCAGCTAACCATTCACCAGCACTTCCATCCACTGGCACGGCATCCGCCAGCAGAACAGCATCTACCACGACGGCGTGAACGGCGTCACAGAGTGCGCCATCCCGCCCAAAGGGGGGAAGAGGGTCTATAAGTTCCGCGCGCAGCAGTACGGCACCAGCTGGTACCACTCGCACTTCTCGGCCCAGTACGGCAACGGCGTGGTCGGCGCGATCCAAATCAACGGTCCAGCCTCGCTCAACTACGACATCGACCTGGGCGTCTTCCCCATCACCGACTACTACTACCGCACCGCCGATGAGCTCGTCGAGTTCACCAAGAACAACGGCGCGCCCTTCGCCGACAACGTGCTGTTCAACGGCACCAACGTGCACCCGACCACCGGCGCCGGGCGCTACGCCAACGTCACGCTGACGCCAGGCAAGCGCCACCGCCTGCGCATCATCAACACGTCGACAGAGAACCACTTCCAGCTGTCGCTCGTCAACCACTCCATGACCATCATCGCGGCCGACCTGGTCCCCGTCCAGGCCTTCACGGTCGACAGCGTGTTCCTCGCGGTGGGCCAGCGGCTCGACGTGACCATCGATGCCTCGAAGACGCCGGGCAACTACTGGTTCAACGCGACGTTTGGCGGCGGCAACTTCTGCGGCGGCTCCAGCAACCCGTCGCCCGCGGCCATCTTCCACTACGCCGGTGCCCCCGGCGGCCTGCCCACCGACCGCGGCGTGACGCCCGCGGACCACCAGTGCCTGGACAACGTTAACCTGACGCCCGTGGTGAAGCGGACCGCGCCGGTGAACAACTTCCAGAAGACGCCCGGCAACACGCTCGATGTGCATCTCGACACCACGGGGACCCCGCTGTTTGTGTGGAAGGTCAACGGCAGCACCATCAACGTCGACTGGGGCAAGCCGGTGCTGGACTATGTCATCACTGGGAACACCAGCTATCCGTCCAGCAACAATCTTGTGCAGGTCGACGAGAAAGATGCGGTCAGTTCCCTCTCCGTGTCTCTCTCTTTCTGTCCCTTCTCCTTACTCTCTCCTTTCCCTTGCCCCCGGTGGCACCGAACTGTGACTAACAGACCCCCAAAGTGGACATACTGGCTCATCGAGAACGACCCAGACGGAGGCTTCAGTCTTCCGCACCCGATGCACCTCCACGTAAGCTCTTCTTCCCCTTTTTCCTACCCTTCCCAAAAGAAAAACAAACCTTTCCCCACATTCCACCCTCACCCTCATCATACCTAATCTAACAATCCTCCACCTACAAGGGCCACGATTTCCTCGTCCTCGGCCGCTCCCCGGACGTCCCCCCCGCAACGCAGCAGCGCTTCGTCTTCGACCCGGCCGTCGACCTGCCGCGGCTGAAGGGCGCCAACCCGGTGCGGCGCGACGTGGCCATGTTGCCGGCCAAGGGCTGGCTGCTGCTGGCCTTCCGCACCGACAACCCGGGCGCCTGGCTCTTCCACTGCCACATCGCCTGGCACGTGTCGGGCGGCCTGAGTGTCACCTTCCTCGAGCGGGCCGCCGACCTGCGCAGCAGGATCCCCGACGCCGATAAGCAGGATTTTAATCGGGTGTGTGCCGAGTGGAATGCCTATGCGCCCTCGGCACCGCCGAAGACCGATTCCGGTTTGAAGGCTAGGCGGCCGTGGGTGGAGAAGAGTGAGTGGATTGTTCGTTGATAAGGTCCTGTCCTGAGTTGATTTGGATATGTAATTGTGTTTGGGAATGGGAGACTTGTGGGGGAGATGCAATGGTTCCTACTCGTCGAAGACAGCGTTTGTCGTGGATTTGCGATTTCAGTGCGTCTCACCTAGTACTTCTGTCCTTCTCGGCTCCGACCCGGCCAGCAACGAAAGCTTGGTCACTTTGTCTTGTGTGGAATTTTTGGCCCGGATAGAGGAGTAACAGAGAGGGTCATTGTTGTCAGTTTATACGCTGTTCGCAAAAAAGGCAATACGACCTCAGTCCCATTCAACATCCTCATCTTTGTCCTGTTGCGGTGAATGAACTGCGATGCGGGGAGGAATCGAGGCGGTCTTGTTTCGATCGTTATCGCACTTTGCTGAGAGATCAGCCAGCAATTTCCTTCAAGCGTGAAATCCTCGGTTGAACGAGCCCTCGTGGAAGCTAAAGGGGGAAAGTACACCTAGGTATGGTGATATGATGTTCCATGGTAACTGCAAGCTGCAAGTTTCTTTACAATCTGCTGCTACTATGTAATGTTTATCGCTTGTTGTTCTGGGTGACAAACATATTTTAGACGGGAGTGGCTTGTCTGCCGACTCCCATGCAACGCGCTGCTCTATGCAAATACACCGCAATGAAGAATGACATTGTCATGGTACACTTCCCAATCCAACGATAGGACAAAGTAAGCAAGGTATTGCTCATATCACAATGTGGCGGTCTCGGACTCTCAACAAAGATGGGAAGGCCGCCCAATAGCAAACAACTGGCCCTGTATCCCATTGTTTACCGTACTCACTGCTTCCATTCATGCGCCTTGAAAGCAGTTCCTATGCCACAATGACTGGGTCGCACAGTCTGGGCATATATAAAGTTCAGGACTGCAGGTGATTCATACGGAGCCAACCCCAACAGGCAACAACCCCAAACCAGCACCAACAAGTCCAACTTATTATTTTCTTTTCCGAGCCCACAGCCCGGAAAGCCCTCCAGGATGTGCTCTTTCATTCTCGAGCAGTGGATCTGCAAGAAATGTCGCAGCACAATCGAATACGAGCGGGTCAGCCAACAGAGCTGCGGCAAGTCTCCCAAGAAGTGCACTGGAGCCAAGAAGCGAGGGACTGCTGTCTGCTATGTCAAGCCCGACGAGTGCGACAGATGCTCTTGGGGAAACTTTGGACGCTGATGAAGAGTGGTATGAGCACCAGGGACATCAAGCTACCTAGGTAATTTTGACTGCGATGAGAAGACAGTGAGTGTGAGCGGCTTCCAGGGCTGCCAGTACAGCTTGCGCTGTGGATGGAACGCCGGTAGCTCATTCCGAGTGGAATGAGACTGACTTTGAGAAAGTCAATTTAAACTGAGTAACCTTACTACTTAAAAGTTACTAGTAGTATATTCGCCCACGAAGGGCGAGCCAAAACCGCAAACCCAAAAGCCGTTTCCTTACATAGACTTGCCTCAAATCGATACTATTTACTAACATATTTGCAACATTCGCGGTTCATGTAACTACGTGAGCAATGTTTAGCAGAGAGTTCTCGTCATCGCATTACGTTTGATCAATATGAATGTTTGGTAGAGGGTGCCGCATACAGCCAATATTGCTTGGGGTCAGCCTGGTGACCTGGTCTGAATCCGAGCCCGCCAATTGTTGTCATTTGTGCTTGAAATGGCAACATGCGTAGAACTCCATCCAGCTGACCGGCTGACGCCCAGGATCCAGGACTATACCTTCTTGAACGGAAAACCAAACTTCACTTCTGGGAGGGATTCATATACCTCTTGGTACCCAATGAGATGCTACATGATGCTCGCACTCGGCGGATGCGTCCGCCCCGGATGACACGTGCGAGGCGAAGGCAGAGAGAGCCCAGCCCATTCTCTCCTCTCGACTTCCAAGTGACCAAACACCTAAAGTGTTAGTCAAGCCATCCGTCCGTTTGTGTATATAAAGGACCATCAGTATCCCCCTTCAGTCCATCTCCCAACACCCGGAACACCCTCTTCACCATCCAGAACCCCACAGCCCAAAGCATAGTAGCGCTCTCACCTTGACCATAATCACACCAGCCCCATCACAAGAAGTCACGGCTACAACCCAAAAAAATAAAAATAAAAAATGAAGAGCATCGCCGCCATCCTGCTCACCCTGGCAACCGTCGCCACCGCGGCCCCCAGCATCAACGCGAACGCGCCCGCCGACGCAGCAGCCATGCTGTCGTCCCGCCAGGAGTGCGTCTACGACTGCGGCTGCAGCAGCCCCAACTCTGACACGGCTGCCTGCTGCGCCGCCGTAGGCGGTACACTCGGGAACGAAGGGACGGTATGTGTCTTTCCGAGCTGCCCATATTCCTTTCCTCATTTGTCCCTGTCCTGTCCTGTCCTGTCCTGTCGTTGCCATGTTTTTCTTTTTTTTTTCCTCTTTTCTCTTTTTCCATGATTTCTACTATCCTGGACTAGTGAAACGTGCGCCCCGTCCTAAAAGAAAAGAGAAAATGACTGACATGACCGGGTGAATTCCATCATCTGGGGATATAGCTATGCAGTGATATGGCCTACGCCACCGCACAGGCCTACGCGCAATGCTGCGGCAGCTACATCTGCTTCAAGAGCGCTCGGGACTGCCCTGATGTTGTTAAAGGCTAAGTCAGTCATTGACAAGTTGGGCATCTGACGGACGAAATGGAGATACGGCGGAAAGGGGGAACGATGGGGGTTCATGAAAGGTGGGACTGAAGGGATGCCGACGGATTTGATCCTTTCAGTTGTCGTTCTAGTCAGATGCAAAGGTTGATCGCAGGTCAAGTACAAACAATACAGCGAGAGGTTGAGCCAAGTCAGAATACACTCGCAATGCAACATGCAATGATGCAACTTTAACCGTCCAAATCGCATAGGATGATGACCCAAGTCTAACACTGAAGTCCGACTTATGAACAACGCGATGAACAGCTCTATCCAATGTCCAAACCCCAAGCTTCAAGACTGCCCGTAACGCCACGCTAAAAATCGGTATCACGACATCAAATGGCTCCCTGAGATATAATCCGTACAGAATCTCGGACTCAACATTACCCAAAAGGTTATAAGCTTGAATCCTAGCCAACCACCTCAAGAAATCTTTCAACTATCCACATCACGTTACACCTTAAGGCTACACCCCGCGTCCAAGCTGCTCCCCAAGGTCCGGCGTATCCGGCGTCGAAACAGCCGACATATCCCCGGCACCACCTGCATGGCCGTGACCATGCCCCTGGCCTGGAGCGTGATGAGAATGATGCATACCGCCAAAGTACCGCCCGCCGCCCCCGCTCTTCGGCGTACCTGCGGCACTGAGCGGACTGACAAGATCTTCCACCATTCCCCTCTCAGCCGCAGCCCCCATCTGAGGCGTGCTAGGCGGCGCGACCTTCATGCCGGCCGGCGCTCTATTGAAGCCTCTTGTTGTCGTTGGGAGCGGGCCGATGGTATCTCGATCGCTGTCCCCGTCCGCGGTATGTTTGGCCTCCATGCGGTCGGGAGGTGCTCCGACCATGCTCATCATGGTCATAGCCAACGTCATCTCGGCGCTGTTGTTGCTCGCATTGGTGCTGCTCGCGCTGCTGCCCTCGGTCATGCTGTCCGGCTCGGCCAGGTTGTTGTGTCCGGGTCCCTGCGGGCTCGTACCCCGCTGGAAAGGAAGCGGAGCTGTCAGCGGCGCAGATGGTATCGCTCGCTCGTTGGGCTCGGCCTCCTCCGCGATGGGATCAAAAGCGGGAAGATTAGGCAGTTGTGGCGGGGCGCTCGGGATGGATGGGCCGGGGCTGGTGCTGTTGACGGTGCGCGGGCTGGCGATGCTGCCGATGCCGGGGCTGACGCCGCCTATGATCTTGGGCGATAGGGGCGAGAGGTCAGCAACCATGGCCGAGGCGATGCCAATGGCGACCGGGGACGTCGGAGTAGGAGGCGGCTGGGAGCTGGTTGGCTGTCTGTTGATGGCAATGGTGTTCTGGTTGTTGGTAGGCGGTGGAGTGGTCCCCCGGCCGACGGTGCTGGCTAGCCGCCGTATGCGGCTTCCGAGTGACGCGGCGGGGACGGAGACGTTCATGCTCGGCTTTTTCTTGGGCCCATGGGCAGGTAATGTCGGGGTCGAGCTGCCCTTTTCCGCTTCCTTCTCCTTCTCCCTTTCCCTCTCTTTGGCTTTCTCCTTGTCCTTATTCTTCTGCGTCTCCCTCCCAGTCTGCGGTCTCAGCTTCGACGCGATGAGCTCGAACTGTTTCAGCATGGTCGCGTTTTCAACGATTTCCTCCATGGTGACCTGGAGATTGGCGTCGGCGCCAGGAATATTGACCTTGGGTAGCTCGCGGTTGAGTTGCTGCATCATCTGAAAGGCTGGGATCAGGCTTCCCCAGAGGTCAAAAAACGCCGCGTTGGGGATCTGAGGCTCTGGCACCCCCAAAGCTCGCGGGTCGAGAATTGATGTCCAGGTATCGTGGATGACCTTCTGAACGGCCTTGATCTGGTCCTTGCTCAGACCTTTTATCACGCTTTCAGCCGCTTCCGCATCCTGCTCTGTGGACGCCTTCTTCGGCAGCGGGATCCTCTTGACCATGTTCCGGTACTGATACCCACAAGGGATAACAGGCTGCATGAGATTGACGCTGGTGAGAAGACCAATCGTGGAGCAGAGAAGACGGAGTGCATGCTCGGCAATGGTCTCGGAAACGCGGTCGGCGCAGAATGTGATGGAGATCTCGACCCGGTTTGCTGGCCGTACCAGCGACTTCACGAACAGGTCCGGCACGTCCTGCGCCTTGGATTCGTGGATGGTAAACTTGCAGGACGCAGTCCCAAGGTGGAACGACTTGGGCTCGGACGGGGTAATGGCGGTATCCTCGTATTGGTGTTGCACAAGCGTGCTGAAGCGCGTCCAGTATGGCCAGGGCGTGCACTTCTCCACGATCGTAAGAGTCCCCAGATTTTCGAACGGGATGCCGGCCATGCGCTGGGCATGGATATACTGCAGCAGGTTCAGTGGAGTGAGCGCCGTGTCCGGGAACTGGACCCGCACGGGCGTGGCATTGACAGTAGGGCCCATGACGCCGGCAACCGAGTGACCACCGGGAAGTCTGACGTGGCGTCCGTCAATCAGCTCGCCAAAGACGACATCCGAGGAGGCCGAGAGATTGGCAAGGACCATGGCCCACGCGCCCTTCAGGACCGTCTCGAACGAAATGCCAAGGCTCGAGAGCGAGCCTAGCGGAAGCATTGGGTTCCGAATCGTCTTGACATTGGTCGACACCTGGTACGGATGGGTATGCGTAACGACTTGTGTCATGACGGCGCCTTCCAGCAAGGTCCGCCAGTACTCTTCGGCCCCCTGCGCGTTGGCAACATGTGCTGTGCGCACAAACTCGCAGAATGTCGGGCGGCGAGGCGGGGTTTGTGAGCCATCGTAGAGTCGCTTCAGGTCCTTGACAAGCAGTGCAACCGAAAGGTCGTCGTACTGCGCCTTGGAAAGCCTCAGGATGAGAATCGACTGTTTGCCGCCGTCGAGGAACATGAATTTGGTCATTGGCGTCTCAAACTTCGTAGGCAATGCCTGGTCTTTCTTGATCACTTTGTCCAACATCGTAGAAAGCCGCCACGTCGGCGTGTACTGCCGCCGGAATTCGATGCCACTCGACTTGATGACGGCCTGGTACACTCGACGGTTGTGCGGGACAAAGGCAGTACGCAAGATCGGATGTATCACGGCCAGGTTCTTACATGCCTCCTCCAGCTTCTTCGCGTCGACAGCACCCGTGAAATTAAATATGAGGTAGTTGATGTTTGTGCGCCCTTGAAGCATGCCGGTTTCGATATACCGAATCTGCGCCGAGGATGCCTCTGCCGCATCCGCAATTGCGCTGCCGTCAACGCCGATCTTAGGAGCGATTACCTTCTCGATGAAGACCTCCTTGACCGCGGACGGGTTAAGCTGCACGGGCGAGGGCGTCGTTGCCACGGGTGCCGGGGACGCCTCCTGGGTGACTTGTGGGGAATCCGCAGGCACGACCGCCCTGCTGAGCTCTGTTAACGTAGCATTCTGAAGAACATCGGCGATAGAGATGGAGATGTTCTCATGACGGCAGGCCGCAACCAACTGGGCCGCGATAATGTCGTCACCACCGACGCTGAAAAAGCTGTCGAGCGCCGAAATTTTGGCCTCCTCCACCCCCAGTACCCTGGCCCAGATAGCTCGCATCTTCTCCTCGCTCTGCGTCAGGGGTAGCGGCTTGAGGTGCTGGAACTTGGCCTCGTTCGAGTTCGGGATTGTTGCCAGCGCCAAGAGATCCTCCTTTGTCAGTCCGGCGATCATCTTCTGCAACCTGCGTCGATTCACTTTGAGGGACGGCGTGATGGGGAGGTGCTTGACGGGAACGAAGACCGACGGAACCATGGACGGAGCGAACTTGTTCTTCAGCCCGACCTCAACTAGTTGCTTCACCATGGCAAGCTGCTCTTTGGTGGCCAGGCTCAGCGAAGTGAGACTCTCCTCGCTATCGAAACGATCGCCAAGCTCGATGAAGGCGGTCAGGAGGATATCGTTCTTGGCCGGACCCCGAAAGATAACTGTTTCGACTACGACATCAACACCCTGTCCAAGGCAGCGGCGCAGATACTGCTCGATCTCGGTGACGTTGATGATTCTGCCGTCAGCATCGACGTCGTCCCGCTTGCTCGAGATGAACTCCATTAGCCCCCCCTGCGTGTACCGAGCGCGGTGTCCTGTCTTGAAGTGCCGCACCTTGCCACCGGCGGCAGGGCCTAAGGGCGACATAGGGGTCATCATCGACTCCCGATTCGGATAGGAGAAGCCTAGTGTGGGACCCTCGACGACCAGCTCTCCCACCGCCCCAATTGGCATGCGCTTCTTGTGGTCCTCTGGGTTGACGATCACAAGGCTTCCCGCAAACGGGCGGCCAATGCTTCTCAGATGGTGAGGGCCAAGAGCCTCGAGAAAGGCGATACCTAGCGGGCACACATCCTGGGGCCCGTACGCCAACACCACATTGACCTTCCCATGCCAGATGCTGTATGTGTCTTCGTCGAGGCCCCGAGTCCGAAAGCACACAACCTTAAGGGATGGCAGCTGAGTCGGGTCCACCTTTCTCGACAGCAAAGGGGTCATGTACGACCAGTTGACCTGCATCCTGTTCACGGCGGCGCCAAAGTCTTGCAACCTCTCGACGGCCGAGGGAATGCAGACACAACCGCCGTAGACGAGCGTGGTGAAGATTTCGGTAATGCAGATGTCAACGTTGAAGGACGACAGCTGCATGACACGGCTAAGCGGTGTGATTCTCGCTGCCGGCCCTTGTCCCAGAACAGCAGTCGCCAACGCTGCGTGAGTGAACGTCACGCCCCTCGCTTCGTTTGATGACGTCGGGACAAAGAGGATGCATGCTGGGTCTGACGGGGCAGCCATCGATGTCAGCGGCCCTTGGCCTTGCGGGAGGACGTTCATCAGCTCATCCGTCACGATCACGACCTGGTCGAAGAGGTTGCTGAGAACCGACGCGGCAAGCTCCGAGGAAATGGCAACCCTGGAGTTGAGACGCTCGAAAATGGGCTGAATCATGCCAAGCTCTAAGGAATCTATGGGGACAAACGCCGCACCGGACCTAGGACGTGTTAGACTGGCGTCTCACCCGGGGAAATTTTCATCAACGGACGACCTACTTGAGAACAGCCACCATAGCCACGGGGGCAAGCTTGCACTTGTCCATGACGACGGGTACGACGCAGTGAGGACCAACACCGGCGTCGACAAGATGGTGCGCTAGCTTGGTGGCCTCCTCCTCGAGCTGAAGGTACGTCAGAGATCCGTCCCAGGCGCACACCGCCTGAGATGACGGTTGTATGGCAGCCTGTCTGGATACGAGCTCGTGGACTACGTGCTGCGCCTGCTCCATCGCTTGCGGTGGCGCCTCTGCATCCCATGCCAGGATTTGGGCATAGTCCCTGTCGGTGAAAAGGTCAACCAAGCCGATCGAGACGTCGGGCGACGTGAGGATTGCGCGGACTGCTGTGCCGAACGTGGTTGCCACGTTGATGGCCTGCTCCGGAGACATTACGCGCTGCCCGATATCCACCACCAGCTTCCCCGCCATGAAGCGCGTGTTCATCACGACGTCCACATCGAACGTCTGCTGCAACGAGATAGGCTTGAGCTCGAAGGTGGTCCGCGTTGTGAACTTGCTGTTCAACCCCGCCGGCTCTTCGGTGAATGTCAAGCAGGAGTTGAACAGGCGCTTACCGCCCTTCATGCCCATGCCATGTTGGAGCTCGGCCAATGTGAAGTGCTGGTGGGCTAGACTGGCTGACAGTTGCTCCTCCACCATCTGCAGCGCCGCGGCCACGGAACTGTACGCTCCAAGCTCGTAGCTGCAGGTCACGGTATTCGAGAAGGAGCCCACTGCATGTCTCATTCCCAAAATCGAGTCGTCACGGCCTACCGTCTGGAATCCAAAACAGACCTGGTTGGAGCCGGTAAAGCATCGCAAGATGAGGCCCCATGCCAGCCGGAGCACGGCATCAACGGTCGTCTTCTGGGTCCGAGTAAAGCCGGACAGCTGGTATGATGTGATGTCCAGTTCGACGCAGGTGTTTACAAATCGGAGCTCCTCTGGCAGAACAGTGAGTCGGGGGAAATGGCATGGTGGGACGCCAGTAAGCTTATCGCGCCAGAACGCCAGGCTGCTTTCTTGTCGGACGGTCTTGAGGAAGTAGAGGTAATGCGGGTATGAGAACTGGTCAGGTTCGGTGATGGCCCGTTCCGTTGCGTATGCTCGTCTCAAGTCGTGGAGAAGGAGATGGATGCTCAGGGACTACAAAAGCTGTCAGTTAAAAGCGTCATTAACTACTGTGCCAGTACAACACCCACATCGCATAGGGCTGTGCTGATGTCCAGCTTGACCAATGTCCTGGTGGGCGCCTTGCACACCGTAAGCCGATGAAGTGGCTTGCTCTCCGTCGGCCGCAGATTGGGAAGGTTGCTTAGTTCATAGACAGGGTCCTCCGTCGGTGCTGTGTCAATAAAGAGCATCTCAGGCGAGGCTCTTCGAAGAATGACCTTGTCCCAAAGCCCCGTTTCACTGACACTCTCAGTGAAGATGGTTCGCAACGCTGCATGTCGCATGGTAACCTGCTCCCAAGCGGTGCATATCCTGGCGATATCGATCGGATCGCCATTCGAAGACGCGAACTCGTAAATGGCATGCAGATAGCACGTGTCGGGCCGCTGTGCTTGGCTGATCAAGATGCTTTGCTGAACTGCGGTGACCGGGTAGATGGTCTCGACATCACGGACACTGCCAAGCTTGAGCGTCGCAACACGGTCCTTGTTGAACTTTTCCAGTCCTTCGTAAGTCACGTCAAGATGAGGAACGTCTGCGAGGGTCAGCTCCTGCGGATGGTATCGTAGCCTCCCGATCGCCTCGAGGAGGAGATGCTCGTAGTTCTGGACCCATTGAGATATGCGTGCCTGATCTTTGGAGAAGCGGCTGTACAGAAACTTGACCTTGGCGCTTCCTTGGTCGACCATGGCGCTAATCTCGAACAAGGCGATGCGCCCGACATTGCCACCGATATCCGATGTTGATGGCGCCGAGGTCCGGCTGGGCATCGCGAGCTGTTCTAACACTCCGTTCTCGCGGTCCAGGTGCTGGAGAGAGCCGGCATAACTGAAGATGATCTCAAATGGCCAGTCTCTCGCTATCAAATCCTCCTTGTCATAGTGGTAGAAGCGCGAAGCGAAGTACTGAGCGCCGCGGGCGGGTATGGATCGCCGAGTGTCTTTGAGATGGCGAAGGACGTTGATGAAGTCGTCTGAAGTGTCTATCTTGAGGCTAAGTGGGCAGAGGGATGTGAACCAGCCCACGGTCTCGGAAACGTCAATTTCTGGGTGGTTCCATGTATCTCGTCCATGTTCCTGGTTCCATACAACCGGGACCGGTCTGTCGTGGAAGGTCTGGGCGAAGGACAGCATGAGAGCAGCGAGATAGATGTCAACGCAGTCCGTTTTGAAGACTTGGTTGCAGGAGCTCTGTAGGATGTTCGTCGTTTCCTGATCCAGCGAAAAGCTCACCTCGAGGGCATCGCCGTAAGCGTTCGGCGTGTCTTGCAAGCCCCAATAGGCATAATCGCCGGGTTGAATAGGGAAAGGAAGAAGATTCCTGGGGTCCGGTTTGACAGCGTCTTCCTTTTGGAGGTCTACCCACTGGTGAAAGGGCATTGACCGTTGGGACAGCAGATTCCCGTTCTGTAGCAACTCGTCCAGGTCATGGACGATTATGCGCCAAGAGAGAAGGTCGACTGCGAGATGGTGCGCCGCGAGGTACACCAAGTGTAGGCCATCGTGGGTTGTGAGGTAGTCCGCTGCGAAGACAGGCCCCATCTCGACATTGATCGATATCTGCGTCCGCTCAATGATGTCCTCCAGCTCGCGCTCGGACCGGATCGCACTATGACATAGCGTGTAGGATCCGGCCACATCGGGCAAGACCCTCTGGACCCATCCATTCAAGCCTCGGCCGAAGCGGGATCTCAACATCGGGTGGTGGGCCACGACGGCCTGGATGGCGGCCGAGATGTCCTCAAAGGAGAAATGCTTCTTTAACCGCAACAGCAGGCTCTGGTTGAAGCGATAGCTCCCGTCCAGGGCAGGCCTCCGCTTTAAGTCGCCTCCCATTGCCGTCTGGAAGTACAAGTGCTGCATCGGGGAAAGATCGAAGCAGTCGGATATCTCTTCGTCCCACTTATGCGCCAAGCCACTCCGCGATTCTGCAATAGCGGCCAGCTCCGACAAGGTCATCGACCCAAGTGCTTCGGAAGGGTTAATGTGGATGGACTCGTGCTTGCAACGGGCCGCCAACTCCATAGCCGTCATCTCATCACCGCCGAGCTGAGAGAGAGAAAAGTTGACACCGATCTGGCTCTCTGGAACATTCAGGACCTTGCTCACTAGCTTCTGCATCGACTTTTCCATTTCCGTTGCGGGCTCTTGTAGTGTTTCCTGGTGCTCCAGGCTCAAGGCTTGGTGGTAGACATTCTCATTGATGTTTTGCGCCCATGTCCGCAACCGCCGCATGTCCAGGTCGCCTGCTTCGGTAAGTGGCATCCCATCCAAAACGATCCAAATGTCGGGCACATCATCGGGTGGAAGAGTGGTCTCGGCGGCGCGTTTGAGATGGGCGACCTGTGTCCCCGCAAAGAGCGCGTGTGACTGGGGTATCAGGTTGATGGCGTGTGGGCGCTGGTTCGTCGAGTGGGTGCCGCGGAGTGTGAGAAGAGCGACGAGCTTCCCTTCGAGTAGACCTGCCTTCGGGCGTACTGTTGCTATCCTCCCAACCTCCGGCTGCGTGCCAAGCGCCTGCTCAATCTCTGTCCTCTTCCCAAGCGGCACTGCTAAATGTCCCTGGCTCGGTTCTGGCATTATCGACATCCGGCTCGCTCGGTGTACCTCTAATGGCGCGATCATGACGCCCTCGACGTCGTCGATCTGGGGATGTCGGCTTTGCGGCGCGCAAGGCGTAACGCAGGTCTGCAACTCGGCGAGGGTCGCGCATCGGAGGATATCCTTCACCTTCACGTCCATCCCCGCATTCATGCACGCCTTCCGCAGCGCTGCCGCGCTCTGCTCATCGCCGCCCAAGTCCCGGAATGACTGGTTCACTTGTATCCTGTTCGTCGCGATGCCGAGTACCCGAGAAACCAGAACCAATAGCCGAGCCTCGGTCGTTTCGTCCTCCAACAACAGCCACGATGTCGAAGCGTCGATGCGCGGGATCGTGGGACTCGAAGCGGCGGCCATGGCGAAGGCGGGCCCCCGGAAACGGTATATAATACACAACTTTAAAAAGATGAGTAATGCAAACACCGAATGGGTATCTCAAACAAAAGAAAACCAAGCTGGAGGGGAATCTCAGGCACTGGGCCACATGGCGCAGTCGGGCGTGTCGGGCAGTTGGCACGGAGTTCGCGGTCGTCGCTGCACGTCGAGTTCTCGGAACCGAATGTCGGGGACAACGCAACAGTCAACTCCAGGCTGGCACGCACACGAGGGGGAAAGGGCTACCACCGCAAGCGGGGCGAGGTACGGGCGTGCTTGACATGTACCGCACCGTTGGCCACAGGGTTGCAGCCAGGCGGATGCGCGAAGTGTCTGAATCAGTGAATCCAATTCACCGCGCCGCTCTGAAGACCTTGGCAACGGCACCGAAGCTTCAGCACAGTGCAGCAGGAGCCTTGCGAAGCTCCCCATCTTCAGCGCCGGCGAGCCAATCAGGGATCGACCGTGCGAAAGGCTCAGCCCCCGGTCCGCAGCAGACCCTGGGCTGATCGCCCGATCTGGGCTGGCCAGCCGGGGCTATCTTGTGCGGACATAGAAGGTGCGTAACGGGGGCAGGCAGGGCAGGATTGAACACGCGAAACTGCTGCTGGTTGACAGTTCAAATGACAGAAGATGGGATGAACAGCTGCGGGCCCGCGAGGGGAATTCACCGATTAGTGTAGTTCCACGAGCATCCCCTGTTGATCCACACTACTCCCCTTCAACTGCTCCATTTTGTGTCTTGGGACTTTAACCATGTCGCCCCCACGTTGGGGTGCAAGTGAGCGCCGAGGTAATATGCCGTCGCTTGCATGCCGCGATCGAAGATAATGCAAAAGCGGAGAGACCCGACAATGTCTCCGTCGTTGCAATCGAACATGGAAGATTTCAGGTGATAAAATCGTGGCTGAGTACTCAGGCTGAACACGGGCCGCGGCAGTGTTTCGATCCTTAAAAAAGGAGCTGCTAAACCTGAAGCAGACCGGGTTTAGTTAAGCGCCGGCGGCTGGCGGCAGTTTGGAGCTCGGTTCACGCGGATCAAGTGTCCCGCATACATCAAATGATTCACCCCACCCGATAGCGCATGTGAATTCGACTCAAAAGATCCCAAGACAAGCAAGCTCTTCAAAGCTTCGCCTTCGTGAAATCCCTTCCTTATCCTTTCCCCGTATCGCGCGGGTCAGTTGCTTGAAAGTTCTGTTGCCATCGAATTCGCGCTGAGGATCATACTTTCTATTTTAAACTGAACCGGGTGCACAAGCCGTGTCTCAAATGCAGAAGCACAAGCTGGATCCATTGCCTGCCTGGCATTGTCCCGACTGGCTACTCTTACCCTTAAAGGGTGGCAAAATAGTAATTCTGACCGAGAGCGTAAGGTTCTTGACCATTGTTCAATTACATTCACAACAAGTGATTATTAACGATGTACAGCAGAAGAAGAAAAATAAAGGTCTGCCAAAGAATGTCGGCAATATGCAAGATCCCCAATGCCATTTGCAAGTCTCTGCCGTGAAGCCTCCCTGACACAGCCTCGCTCTCCAAACGAACCTCCTTTATTTCTTGACATCAAAGCGATCCAAGTCCATAACCTTCGCCCAGGCCGCAGCAAAGTCGGACACCATCTTCTGCTGTCCCCCGGCCTCGGCATACGCCTCGGCAATTGCCCTCAGCTCAGCATGCGAGCCAAAGACGAGATCGGCGCGCGTGGCCGTCCACTTCTTCCCCCCCGTCGAGCGGTCCTTGCCTGTGAACAGCTCGCCACTTGACTCGGGCGTCCAGACGGTGTTGATGTCGAGCAGGTTGGTGAAGAAGTCGTTGGTGAGGGTCCCGGGCCGGGCCGTCAGGATGCCGCGGGCGGAGCCGTCGTGGTTGCAGTTGAGGGCGCGCATGCCGCCGACGAGCGCCGTCATCTCGGGCGCCGTCAGCGTCAGCTGCTGCGCCTTGTCCACCAGCAGCGCCTCGGTGCGCGCACGGGCGTATCCCGACACGTTGCGGTAGTTGCGGAAGCCGTCGGCCTGCGGGTTGAGCAGCTCGAAGCTGGCCACGTCCGTGTCGGCCTGCGTCGCATCCACGCGTCCGGCTGTGAAGGGCACCGCAATTTTGTGGCCCGCCGCTGCCGCCGCCTTCTCGATGGCTGCGTTGCCGCCGAGGACGATCAGGTCGGCCAGAGACACCTGCTTGCCGCCCTTCTGGGATTTGTTGAAGTCGTTCTTGACCTTGTTCAACTATATGCAGACCGTGGTGTTAGCCCTCGACTCGCACATGATCGGGGGCAATAAGGACAATACATACAGCGGCCAGAACGGTCTTGAGCTGCTTCGGGTTGTTCACTTCCCACGAGACCTGGGGCTCCAGAGCGATGCGGGCACCGTTGGCACCACCGCGTTTGTCGCCACCTCGGAAGGTCGAGGCGGAACCCCAGGCTACGGACACAAGGCTCGAGATGGATACGTCCTTGTTGGCAAGGATACGTTCCTTCAGCTTTGCCTGGTCAGCCTCGGTGATGGTCGGGTAGTTCGCCTCGGGCAGAGGATCCTGCCAGATGAAGCGCTGTTTAGGGACTTCGGGGCCAAGGTAGCGGGTGATGGGCCCCATGTCGCGGTGGGTGAGTTTAACTATTTTATCCCTTTCAGCATCATGCGGTTACGCGCAAAGGGGCTCGACAAGCATAGGACCTACACCACGCAGCGGCAAAGGCATCGGTGAGGGCCTGGAAGTCCTCCGACCAGGCCTTGGCGATCGGGCCGTAGATTGGATCCTCGCGCAGAGCAACGTCGCTGACCAGCATGGTCGCCCGGCGGAAGGTCTTGTTGAAGGGGTCGGGGTATTCAAGCGCGCTGTCAAGGGCCTCGAACTGAACCTCACCGGCTGGGCTCTTCACCGCTGTCCAATTGTGCTTGAACAAACTCTTCAGGAAGTCTGGATAAAGTTCGGGTAAGTCCACATGCCACTGAGATATGGATTGAAAGTGAGGAAAAGGAGTAACTACTTACCATTTGTCCACTTTGTAGGCGTCCTCGACCAGATAACCTCCAGCCCGCTAGTGATCGTATCGCCAGCGTTACCACTCCCAAAGGGGTTCGCCCAGCCGAGACCTTGCTGCTCAAGCGATGCACCTTCCGGCGGAGGGCCGACGGCTGGAACGAGCTTAGTTAGTTCACTTCTCCACTGAATCCTTCATAACAGGAAATCACTCACCAGCGGCAGCCGCGCCATGGGTCTTGCCGAAGGCGTGACCTCCAGCAATCAGGGCAACGGTCTCAGAGTCGTTCATGCCCATGCGGCCAAAGGTCGTGCGGATATCCAATGCCGACTGCTTGGGGTCGCCGTTACCGTTCGGGCCGGCGGGATTGACGTAGATGAGGCCCATATGGGCTGACGCGAGAGGCTTCTCCAGCTCAGCGGCACGTGCGACATAGTCGGTGCTGCCGTTGTATCGAATATCGTTGCCCGCGGGCACGAACGTGGTCTCGGAACCCCAGTAGATGCTCTCGTCGGCCTGCCACGTGTCCGGGCGGCCCGCGCCAAAGCCCAGAACGGGAAAGCCCATGTCCTCGAGCGCTACATTGCCGGCCAGGATGATAAGATCTGCCCAGGAGATGGCCCTGCCGTACTTCATCTTGATGGGCCACAGCAAGCGCCTGGCCTTGTCGAGGTTGCCGTTGTCGGGCCAGCTGTTGAGCGGTGCAAACCTGATCTGGCCCATGCCGCCGCCACCGCGTCCATCCATAGCGCGGTAGGTGCCTGCGCTATGCCATGCCGATCGAATGAAGAGACCGCCGTAGTGCCCGAAGTCTGCCGGCCACCAAGGCTGCGACTGCGTCATCAAGGCCTTGAGGTCTGCCTTGAGTGCCCTGTCTGTGGCATGTTAGTTATCATGCTTCCATACCCGAGGGACAGAGGAGTTTGTTCAAGTGTTGTACTTGCAGTCGAGAGTGGCAAAAGCGGCAGCATAATCAAAGTCTGCTCCCAGTGGGTTCTGCTGTGGTGAGAACTGGCGCAGCACGTCCAGCTTCAACTGACATGGCCACCAGTCATGGCTTCGGGTGCCGCCGCCGGCAGCATCACTGAGTGTTGGGCACTTGCCGAAAGAGCTGACGAGGACGTCGAGGGACGAGCCCACCTCTTCTCTGGGGGCCAAGGAGTCTCTTTTGTTGGCATTGGCGAAGGGACAACCCTGGGCTGACACCAAGGGCAAAACCAGGCCGAATATGAGAGACCGGACTGAGGGCGCCATCATGGAAAGGACCGTGGCGAACAGTAGTCACGTTCTGGATGAACCGACTGTTGTTTGACCTGTAAGAGAAAACAGATAGGAGAAAGAAAAAAGTCTGTGATATCGTTGTGGGGTCAAGATGTTAAATATCCCACGTGTTGATATGTTGCCCACTAGAGAAACTGACCGATGTGACGGATCGTCGATGTGCATTCTGCTTGTGCATCTCGGATCAGTCGAGTGCCCACTTTCGACAAGGTTGAGCACACACGCCACCGATACGCTTGAAATAGCACGCATTGTTGGGGCCGCTAACTACGTGCCCAGAGGTTTGTTGCAACAACATGAAAGCTGGGGTGGGCCCTGGCAGGTCTGAGTAAGAAATCTACGACAAGGGACGGGGAGACAGGCTTGGTAGTCAGCAACAGCAGTCAGAGAGTGGCAGAGACTCCAGACTGCAGTGGTCTAGATCCAGGGGGCAACTCTCCAATGCAGTTATCTTGTCAAGAGGGTTTCCCGGTCCCTGGGTCCGAGAGGCAGTGGTACTGGTGATAAGACCGAACTGTTGGCTAATCAGCGTCAGATACTCGTAGACTTGAGGCTGAAGTTTAGGAAGGTGCACCGATGCCCAGAGGCGTTCGGACAATAAAACGGGGCTCACCTGCAGATACTGAGTGGGCACCGGCATTTCAATCGGCATGCCAAGGCCGGACCTGTTCCGCAGAACCAATGGCGCAGGTGCAAATGTGATTCTGCAAAGACTGGCGCTTAGCAATGGGAGATTTGTCCAGAGACGGAAGTCGGTAATAAACCCCTGAGGTGGTTCCCGTTCGTCACGGTACAGCCATCACACGTGTTGGGGTCGTCGCGAATATATATCATATGGAGACCAAGAATCTATTTTTGTCAGGCGCCTTGATTGGCGGGAATCCCCTCTTTTTCAACTCATTCAAGTGTGTTGTTGTTATTCAGAAGGTGGTATCCGAGTCGTCGGGAGTGACTCGGGACACCTCATGCCGGCAACTGGTAGTCAGCAGAAACGGCGGAATCTCATTTGCGTAGGGCTACAGTTCAGTCACAACTGTCCCATCTATAGTGCCTTGGCACCCCCTACCTCGGTTCGACCTTGTCTACAGGTGAACAATGCGACCAACGTCTGACGAGTACGCCTGGACTGCTCGCGAATGGCCTCGGAATCCGTATGATCTTCTCCCCTCCAAGAGCGAACCGAAGGTACTATATTTAGGTCGCAGAAAGCAGTTCGCCCCTGTCCGGTGGGAAGTAAGGTAACGCATGGTAATATTCTAATAAGCCTGCCGAACCGAGACTGACAACAAGGACTTTCTAGATAGTTAGCGCTGAACTTCAACGCTCCTCCTAGCTTGGGATTATCATGATGATGAGGTATTCTTTCCACTTGCGTACTATCGTGTCCCATGACGGCCCGAACGGGTTCGATATGTCTTCGTTCTTACGCAGGCCCACAGAGGAAGCTAGAGGCTGGGAGACTAATGTTATTGGAGCGCGCCTTGGACGGAGGTTGTCAATCTACCTCCCACGGTGCGTAATAAGTTGCACTTCTGCCTAGGATCTAGGACTCTAAAAGACAATGGCCCGAGTCATTTGGCCCCCGTCACTGATTCTCCCCGAACAGGTGTACTGAGCATACCAATAGCTTCGTCACACAGGACGCATGTATCAGGTCGTAAAAGCATTCTCTACAGCCCTTTTGGCATAACGACATAGGAAGTCGGATGTCCCTGACCCTTCGTGCCGTGACTGACCATGCCGTACAAAACAGACTTGTATTCCCAGATCCACATCGACTCAGGTAGGTTAAGTATCAATACGCTGTAAGGATATAGGCAGGTTACCGTATGTTTGCATAATCTTTCGACTGTGTAGTTCCTATGAACCAGACAGTAACTAACGTGCCATCGGAGCTATCGAGATCTCACTGATTCGAGACTAGTAAAATAGAAAAATTGGCACAACGCGGCACCGGATGAGCAGCACTCTTACGACTGTAAGCAACAGAAAAGGGGGACGCACCCAAGCTGAGCTTGGTGACTACGCCATCATGCCTCTCGCAGGCCGCTCACAGTCTCGCAGAAATCCAGCCCATTAACTGCTCTTCACCACCTGATCCGGAACATGCACGCCACGGTTCCAAACGCCGTACTACTTGCAAGCTTTAGGTACCTAGTTCGACCTATAAGAAGTCAAGCAAGTGAGTTCAGTCGAAGGGGGAAAAATGGGGTGGGAAAAGAGAAAGAGAAAACGGAGTGAAGCAAAGAGAAAAGAAACAGGACAGAATGCCAGAAGGAAAGAGAGGAGGTAAGCAAAAAAGATGCTCTGTCAGCAGGCGCATCGCATCTTTTCGGATGACGACGGTTGCTGGTCACCGAGTATTTTACCCAGGCCAGGGGGAGCATGATGCGTGCCTGGCTCCTGGTCGTGTCACCCGCGTATCCCCGTCGGGCACTGGCTATCAAGTGGGGCCTACTAATAAACCGGACACAGTGCGGATGTAACTGACATTCGTCCCATCGCGGTTGCACGTGGGTTGCTTGATTGCGGTCAAGGACCCGAATGCAAAGCATCGCGGCTCGAAGCTTCGCAATGTCCACTAAGATCCTACCTAATGTATGAGATCAAAATGGGAACGCTATCATTGAACCGATTGCAACCACAAGACCCCGCGTCAGATTCATCCGGACACATTCCGCACCACGTGCTCAAGGGACTGGGAATGCTTGTGCACTCCGGCAAGGGCAGCTCATCAACTGGCTGGCATCCATTTAAGTGGCAAGCGTCACCCGACGAGCGCACTGCAAAACCACTGCAGAGTGTCATGGCAAACGATGGAACTTTGCCCTGTGCTGTTGCACTCGATCATACCATCACGCTCGACTCTCTTGTCTCGGGGATAGCAGCTGCAAGACCAGAGCTGAAAGAACGAACCGCATGCCAATGCGAGCTTGAGCGAATAAATATTCAGAACATCGGCACTGCAAAGACTGAGCCAACTGATCGTGATCGGTGCTGGTGACAAAACGATGCTCGACTATGTGTTAAGGGTCCTCTTCGCGGTCACTGCGCTCTCTGGTGGAGTCTCCGGCTTCCCCGCGGCCCCCGGCCCCGGCCCGGCCGGACAGTCCCACATCACATCGATGGGAACTTCCGGACAAAGTCGCTTCGGTCCGCTCCGTTTCCGCCGGGACAGGACTTTCCATGTGTCCATCTTTGAAGACCTTCACTTTGGCGAAAGTGCGTTTCGGTCCTCTTCAATACCTCCCCCAGGCAAATCTGCTGACATGAAGGTCGTTGCTCTTGTCAAGATGCCTGGGAGTCCTGGGGACCGCAGCAGGACATCCACTCGGTCAAGGTCATCGAGACAATCCTCGATGCCGAGCCCCGAACTGACCTCGTCGTCCTGAACGGCGACCTCATCACCGGCGAGAACACATTCATCGAGAACAGCACCCACTATGTCGACCAGATCGTGCACCCCATGCTCCAGAGAGGGCTGACCTGGGCCTCGACCTACGGAAACCACGACAACGACTTCAACATCTCCGCCTCGGCCATCCTCGCACGCGAGCGGCTCTGGCCCAACGCCCGCACCAGCCAGATGGTGTCGGACCCAAACGCCGGCGTGTCGAACTACTACCTGCCCGTCTACGCAGCCGACTGCCACCCCGGCAGGGAGCGGCACGGCGGCTGCCGGCCGGAGCTGCTGCTCTGGTTCTTCGACAGCCGCGGCGGCTTCGAGTTCCAACAGCGCGACCCGGCGACGGGTGACCGCGTCGGCAAGCCGAACTGGGTCGACACGCGCGTGGTCGACTGGTTCCGTGAAACTAACGCTCAGCTTGTCCGCGCCGCGGGCGGACGCGTCATCCCATCCCTAGCATTTGTCCATATCCCCACGAACGCGTCCCTTGCGCTGCAGGAAAAGGGGGTGGACCCACACCGCCAGCCGGGCATCGACGACGACAAGCCGCTGGCCCAGCAAGCGCAGGGTTGGTGTCCTGACGGAGTTAACGATGGAAGCAGGTGTGAGTATGGCGTGCAGGACGTGCCGTTTATGCAGGCCATTGCCTCCACGCCAGGCCTCATGGCGCTGTTCTCGGGTCACGACCACGGGGATACTTGGTGCTACAAGTGGGAGGGCTTGCTGCCGGGCATGACGGTCGAGGGGTGTGGTGTGAATCTCTGCTTTGGCCAGCATTCCGGGTATGGTGGGTACGGGAGCTGGATTCGCGGCGCGAGGCAGGTGGTTGTGTCGCTGAAGGGGCTGGAGGATCTGGCTGTCGATACCTACATTCGCCTCGAATCCGGGGATGCTGTTGGCGCCGTCGCGCTCAACCGGACCTATGGGCAGGACTGGTACCCGGCGACGCCGAACGACAAGACGAGAATGCCGACGGGTGGCAGTTAGGTCTATGCGCGACTTGCCATTGCCTGGCGGATAAAAGGAATAATGATACAGTTCTTTTCCAACAACAATAAGCCGGTTCTGGAACTACTTGAATGTGTTTCCTGAGGCCCCTTAACTAAGGTATACTTGACTCGACGGAAATGATGAGGATGATCCAGCACGACTGAAATCCAAAGCAGTTTTTGGGCCGGGATGCGTCTGGGCTTGGTAACCGGACTAACGCATCTCACATTCGCCGTTTCCCGAGGGCGGTTTCCCCATCTCAAACGGATCGGCTACACCACACGGCAACCCGACACAATACAAAGGCTTGACGAATTTGGCTTGAATGGTGTATTTGCCGCAGTCGGGGCTTTTTGGGACATCGTGTATGAGATTCGATATCATTGATGATAGTACGCCTCGAGGGTGTCTCTTATTCTCCTTCATTGGGATTCTCCGGTGCGGTCGGAACCTTCGAGATCTCCTGTGAGATCTGGCAATAAACGCTATCTGGAGAAATAGTGCCTTACGCACTGCAGGCGATATCACTTGGCGTACCTGTGCACTTGCTCAACGCCCAGCTTCTCGGCTTCGTCCTCATAGGGGAGTACCAGGTTCGGTAGTCTTGGGTGTATTGAGGAGACGGCAATCTTCTCACCTCACATGGCCAAAGCTAACGATTGTAGCCTTGCTGCCTTGGTCAAACCACTTAGACTAAGTCAACCAGCTGGCTTGGCTAAGACTGAAATGTCAGCTGGCGCAGCAAAGAGACAGCAGGTTGCTGCTTCAAGCTCGTTAATGCGGCCTAGGAAGGTGCGATGTAGATATTACAAGGTTGTTTGTGTGACCAAATCAGGTTATCTGGACGTTTCGGCTCTGGGATGTCTTTCTCCCAACGCTCATGTTCTCTCTCTCACTCATAACTCAGCTGACTTGGAAGTCAGTATCTCATTCTCGGTCGCTTGGTGCTGGCCTCACATGCCTAAATAACTCACTTCGACCTGCGTCAGCCGGCCTGTTGTTTCCCAGGTACGTGTCTTATGGGCACTAATGCACAGTACGGTACCTTATCTAGGTGGTAGGTAGGTATCACCTCGGCTTCCCTCACGCAGGTTGACCCTATCACCCTGCAGTAATTTCGGTTCCTGTTTCACCGCTAATCAACTTCCCTTTGTCAGAGGACGTGACCAGTTTGTCTTCCATTCTCCATCTTCTATCTAGAAGGAACTCGGAGATATTGTAATTCCCAAGCGCATCGAAAACATGGCATCCACCGCCAACGCTGACTACATTCCCCGCACTACCGAGTCTCTGTTCGGAGGTGCCGAGCCAACGACGTGGGGAATCGGTACTACCGGTATCGCCGGCCCGGACATGCGGGATGGGAAGCCCGCGGGAACAGTGTTCATCGGCATCGCGTCTCCCGGTAAGAGTCACGTATTCGGGCCGTTCAACTTCCCTGGGTCGAGAAAGCAGGTGCGGGAGCTCACCGTGTTGGAAGCGCTGGCGAGGTTGAGGGCCGAGTTGGTTGCTCGCGCTGAGGAGAACAAGACCAAAGTCGTCTGTAACATCTGATTAGTTTGGGATGGCTTCCGGGAAGTACGCATGAGACGACCCGTCCTGATCCAGTCAGTCGATAGTCTCAGTGCCTCGGACTTTTCAATGAAGGTACTAAAGTATTGCAAAGTGAGATAAGATGTAACTGTGTCATATCCCTGCCTTAACTTGCCATTTAAGCCAGAACAAAAACCAAAAACACTAGGTACCAAGACGAGATTTACAGCTCAACAGAAAATTCGAACTGTGCTTCCCAGCTGACAAAGTCCCGCCACAATCATTGCTATCCAACCCCGGTTTCCATCTTGGCAGTTGCTGATGACCTTGGGCTCCAGGCTGTGCTGGGCTCAAGCGGGGAGCTCTTCGTGCGAGCGTCCAGTGGGAAGCTCTGCCCGCGGCCGGGAGTTTTCGGCAGGAGCCTCTGCGTAGGGGGATTCAGTGGGTAGCTCTACTCGAGAGCGAGGCTTGGGGACGAGGGGACCTGGACCGTTTAAGGCCCCGTCCACCTTTCTCGTAAGCCATGCCAGCTCGTTGTACACCACTGGCCTCCCGGCGGACTGTATGTTCTCCTTGGCCGTGTATAGGCAGTTTTGCTCAACCTGTTCTGTACCAACGTCAGAAATGGACGGTTAGATTGATGAAAAAGAGACAGGGGTTATCAATGCTTACCAAGCCCCCATGGCATCTGAATGTACCCTCTTTTGGCCAGAGCGGAGAGAACCTCCTTGACCCATACACGGCTGTTCCACTGATGCTCTCCATCCGGTAGGTGCTCGTTCTCCATCAGGCGGACAGCAGAAGCGGCGGAGTGAAGAGCCGTCAGGCCGGGTGAAGTAGCAATCTTCAAACAGACCACCATCCTCGGGGCCTTCGTAGGGTTTTCGATCTCGCGAAGCTCCATGCGGAGATCCATGATTGGAGGGTTGGCATCGATGACGGAGAGGAAGTGGCCGTTCGGGGCCGACCTGTCGGTGATGTACAGACCCCAATGCTGTGTCAGGCAGGCGGTTAGCTTGTGAGACTTGTCAGCCCTTTCACGGATATATGACCTACAAATTCGACATTGTTGTTCGCGCCCTGGAGATACTGGAGTGTGATGTACAGGGTGTTGGGGGAGATCATGGTGTTGCTGGAGGAAGGCTTGACAGGCCTCGGCGAGTGTAGGTAGTAAGTAGCTGATGAGGGGACTCTGGTCAGATGGTGTGATGTATCACGAAAGCAGTTGATCCGAATGAAGGACAATTACAGACAGTGGCAGACGGTACTATGGCAGCGGTGATGCGTCGACACGAGGGAAGGATCTGATACCTACCTCATATATTCTTCTTGGGTTCCTAGTGCTCGGGGCACTTCGGCAAGTCTGCACTCTGCACCCGTTACCAAGGCTGGCACACGCAGCCGGGAGTTATGTGAAACGTTCTCCTAAGCTGAATCATATTTCAGGGCCTGTTTACCAATTGTTGGAACCGGTGACGCTCTTCCTGCAGTTCTGCGCCGCCGCGTTACCTGACGGCGTCTAGTGATAGCACCGAATATGATAGGTATTTTAATAAGTTATGCCTTAGGACCGGGATCTTGCCGCCCGCGGCTGTTGAGTCTTGACTGTAAATGAACATTCGGCCGGCATCTCAGGAGGTACGTAATTCCATTTGTGCGACTGAATCAGCCCGGTGGTCTCATGACTTCGCCCCATTAAGCGCCTTCAAGACATTCGGGGTGTCACCAGTTTAGCATTTCCCCGGGCAGTGAGTAGCGTAAGCGCTGTTAGAGGTTCCAGAGTCCCAATCGACGATTCGACGTTACATCCGGCGGCTCATGCAGGCGGAATGTCCACAGCTCACCGAACCGACCTAGCCGGAACTTTGGCAGAGGCAAAGAGTGCGAATGCGCGGCCGATGGCATCCCATAACATTTGTCGTACGACACATTGTTCACGGTAACGCCCCAACTGCGTCCGGACTCAGAGTCTCAGACTCCGGAAATGCGAACGCAAATGTTCTATTGCCATCAGCACAGCTGACTTGGTCCCAACTCTATCCATCTGCCTCTAGCTAGGCACCCTTTAACCAATCCCGATCCTTTACACCGAAAAGAGAAAAGACAGACAAAAAGAAGGAAAGCGCTGTGACCATGCGTCCCACCTCATTCATTTCAAAGGGTTTGGGCAGCGCAGTCGCCGCCGCCGAGACCGCCGGAGCACAGACGGGTGCAGCCAATGCCGAGCTTGTCGACCGGCGTGCACTCGCCATCCTTCATCCTGGTGAGCAGGTCGCCCTTGCAGCTCTTGCCGTCGTTGCTCTGGTAGGCGAACCACGTGTCGAGGATGGCGTCCGTCTTGATGAACTTGGCGTCGTCGGGGATGATCGCGTCGCCGCTGGAGAGGCCGTTGAAGACCTTCTTGCCGATCTCGTCGTTGCTGTGAGCGAGGGGGGTTGGTATATTAGTGAGTAAAAGAGTTCATCATCTGGATAGTAGTCTTCCTATAAAGCTGCTGTTTTGTTTTTACTCACCACTTGTCGTCGGTGAAGAACTTGGTGGCGGCGCCGAAGGCAGTGCTGGCGAGGCCGGCGACGACGAGGAGAGTGGCGGTGGCACGCATTTTGAATGGTTGAGGGGGGTTGTTCTGCTGAGTAGCGAAATCGAAAAAGGGATTGATGGGATTGGTGTAAGCTGGTGGAAGTGCTCTGTGTAGACTGTTGAGTGTTGATGGAGTAGTCGATGCTGTCCTAAATTCGATCTTTCGAACGAGGGGAGTCGGCCTGATATACTTCCCTCCGGGCGTATCATTCACATATCCTATCACGCTTCACTGAGGTCTGAAAGGCTTGCTATTCCAGGACCTCAAGCAGGCCATGGCCACCTCTCAGTTACGCGACAGCCTCAATGTCCGTCTCGGCCCCGTCCCACTGTCTCGTTTCAACTGGCGAGGCCTCGGTCTCGGGCCAGTGCCTCCTTTCAACCCACGTCGCTGACAACCATAGAGGGAGCGGGGCGATAAACAACATGCTGTACCCAGGTAGTTATGAACCCACTCACAATAGCAATTTTGACAAAAGTGGGTTTCCTCCCAGAAGAGGCTAACTACAACACGTATCTTTTGTCTATATTCCCTCTCCGCTCATGGAAACTTAACAGGATTTCGGCGGCGCCGCACTGGGAGGTTGTTTATTTGATAGGTGGTGTGATCCTATCCGCTGACCCACCCAATCATCAGTGCCAAGGTTGTCAGATTGGGCCAACTCTACTGGTTCATGTTTCGAAACGGCATGATTCCATAAGGCAGCCTTTCAGTGGAAATAGGCTCTTGTCAAGAATATACTCGGCCTATTCTGCCGGACAGGATGCAGAATGGGCTGGGATCTGCGTGGTCCTGAGGCCCATCTAGGGGACTGGCTTTTATTAGAGGTGGTTGCTGTCTTCTCGACCCGCTTGCAGTGTCTGATTCCGTGACCGCTCTACGTACCTACGTAGAGTTCTTGCTGGGCCTCTCAAAACGGCCGAATCCAGCTCCCGCTTTTGGGACGCCCAGCGAGTAGTCCTTCGACGTCATGATGACACCTGGACGGGCAGCGGCAATGAGGTGCACTCCTGTATAAGGCTTAGGTTTGTTAGACACCAAAACCAACGGGATCCATCCGAGATGGAAATGGTCACGGTACGTAGGTCCGCAGAGTGACGGACGGCTGATGAGGACATGAGGTACTAGTATTTTTGGAGACTCCGGAACTAGAGCAGTAACATTGGCTGATTCAATGACACGAAGAGAAGGCGGATGGCGATTGAGGAAGAAGTGACATGTCGTTGGCCGTTCTAACAAGTCGTAGGTAAACCCGTTCTTGCTACGGAACACAGCGAAAGAGAATTGATAGGCAAAAAACCTAGGATTGACGGTCAAAAGTGAAGTAAGTGGTGTGCGCGATCCGGGATTCGAACCCGGGTCACTCGCTATTCCACGTGAAGATGGGAAGCGAGAATTCTAACCACTGAACTAACCGCGCTGAGTGCTTATTGTTAATGGGCAGAGTTGGGGCATAACTATAGGATAACCACTAGCAGATGCCTCAAATTATTCCACATTCACAAAGATGGTGGGTTTTGAGACACCCTGCGAGCTACCATTGCGAGGTATGTACCATACCATACCTCACACCATGGACCCCCGCCAGGCGTAAACAGGCAGTGCAAGGTATAGGGCGCGTACCTACGAGGACCGACGAAACACTACACTGGCAACTGGTATTCGTCTTGGCTTCTTCGTTGACCTTGCAGAAGCTACGGATACGTATTACATATTCAACCCTATCATCACAGTCTAACAACATGTCCCCAAACCGCTTGACTCGACATAATGGTAAGAAGGTCAACAGTAACCGATCATACATTCGATGGCTTTGGTCCTTGACAGCATCACCTTCTCAGTCTCCACAGAGGCCGTAAGTGCTGTACGCCATGCAAGCAGGAAGAGAAGGATGCATATGACAAAAGGCGAGAGAGAAATGGGTATGGCTCATGTCCCAACCAACGCCTTGGCAATGCAAAATAATCATGCGAACCAAAACCCGTCGGAAAAAGAAGCATGACCCGACAGGATGGAGATAAAGAGGATGCCTTAGAGGCGGGGTGGATTTTCGAAAGCGGAAGTCTTGCTTCTAGCGGCACCGCCATGCTACTGCGGTCTGCTGGCTTGTTTGGCCTGATGGATCCCGTCAGCACAAGGCTTTATACCTTCACACTGGTCAAAAGAGGAGACCACATACCTTCATCTGCTCAATACGAGCCTTCAACTGGCTCGTGACTTCTGCAGCTCGCTTCCAACTCTCCATGCCTGACGTCGCACTGGTCGTGCTTGTGGGCGTATCAGATCTGCCACCGGCGCGGCTGCCGGTCCTGCTCCCTGTCCTGTCGTACAGTGGCGGTGGGTAGCCCGCCCCACTGACCGCACTATCCGCACTCCTGGGCTCCTTCTCTTCGAAACTGGCGTCTCTCCTGAGCCCCTTTGCTGGGCTCCCGCGGCCGCTGCTCGCAGTGCTGCCGGCGTACCTAAGGTCCGGGCTAACCTTGCTGCGCGGGTACGGCACGCCCTCGCCGTTTTCTTTCTCCTCGCTAAATGTGCTGGCAATGCTCATGCGGTTCCTACCCGCGTTGGACCCGTCACGGTAGATACCCCCGTCGTCGTGCGTTGGGCTCATTGTTCTGAAGCCGAGGCCCGGGGAGCCTGGGCTGCCGGGGTTCCCGGCAGCGATTTGCGCCTCGGCTTTACTCAGCGCACGCTTCAACCGGTCAAGCTCACGGCGTAACCGGTCATTAGTCTGCTCGGCGGCCTCAGCATCACTCCGTGCCCGGACGAGCTGTGTCTCTTTGGCCTTGATGGACAGAACATCTCTGGTGTGATCCTCAATAAGGCCTGCATTCTGGTTTTTGAGCTCTTGAATCTCCGACATCAACTTGGAGCGCTCGTCCCGGGCGTCTGCAAGCTGCTTTAGTAAGCGTTCGTTGGCGTCCCGCAGCTCCTCGAGTTCGGCGCGTTCGATTGCTGTGAGACCAGATGTGGGTGTTGGAGACGGTGGTGCCGCCGGGATAGCTGGGGCGGCGGGTTTTGCTAGAGAGCGAGCTGCAAGACCCCCCCGACCAAAGCCCATACGCGATGCCGGCTTTGCAGGAGGCGGAGATATCGGTGGCTCTTCTTCCATGGGGGGGGGAGATTGAGCAGGCGCCGGGCGTCGCGGCGAGGCCGCCCCAGGAGCAGCCAATGTCCTCCTCTGAGGGGCTTTGAGACCTCCTAGGCCTGGTTTTGCCATGCCAAGCTTGCTTCCCGGACCGGGACGTGCTGCAGGCGGGGCCGCAGCTGGAGGTGATGGGGGTTCTGGAGGAGGTGGTGCAGCAGCGGCGGGCTTCTTCATGCCCGGAGGGCCCTTTCTGACACCGCCGCCCATAACCTTCTTTGGACCGCCTCCTCCCGGTGGCCCCCGGGCAGCTGGCGGTGGCGGCTTTGGCTTGTCCTTGGCTTTCACTTCCGCAGTCTCATAGAATTCCTTGATCTTCGCCTTGCGGATGTCGTCGAGACCTTCGAGGTGAGGGTTCATAGCTCGCTCACCGATAATCTTCATGATGGTTCCCAGAATCTCGGCGCCACCCGAACGGAGGGCCTCGCTTGATTCGGAAAGAAGCTTCTTGGCGGACTCGACCATGCTCGCAATCTCCTGTTTGCTGGGAACGTCTCTCGTCGTTCGGAGGCATCTGACCAGGAACTTCATGGTGCCCTCCTTCACTTGCGGATTCTTGTGCACGAGGAATGTTGTGATGTCCTCGAGACACTCGGTGAGATTGGTTGTCAAGAATACAGCATCCAAGGCCGCTCCCAAAGCATCAGCCACTGTCTGCTTCTTCTCCTTCAACCTTTCCATGATCGGCTGCATCACGGTAGAGCGGTACTTGGAGTAGCCTTTCCGCAACCCCTTGGCGAGAAGTTCGATGCATTGCGCCGCTTGCGTAACGACTGCAATATTTGCATCCTTCATGCATTTGGCCAGGCAGCGGTTGACCTCCCCAAAGTCGGCCTCCTTGATTCTGGGCACGTTGACGACGGCGTACAGCGCTTCGAGCGCCTCCTTCCGTTCTTTCCATTTGGACGATCCCAGATTGTCGTAGAAGTCCTTCGGGATTTTGCTAATGACGTCTTGGGGCTCCGCCAAATCGAAAGCGTCCACCTCGGCTGGCTCTTCCGCTTCTCCACCGTCGTCCTGGTACTCGTCCCCGCCACCATCCGCCGGAGCACGCTCTTTGGCGGCTTGTTGCGAGCGCAGCAGACGTTCTTGCTTGGGTGGCCCCTCCGCCTTGATCTTCTCAAACTGGGCCTCGAGATCGTTCTGCTGCGTCGGTTTGAGGTCGTTCCAGAACATTGGCTTCATAGCATCGCGCAGCCACCGGTAGAACTCGACAGCCAGGTTGGTGGCTTCGGCTCGAACATTCTTGTCTGCGTGGCCAAACACCTTTGGCAGAACTTTAAGAACCGGTTTCGGGTCTGCAATCTTGCACCCATAGTTGTGGTAGATCTGCACTAAGCTCCCCAGTGCTGCGGCGACAACCTTCGGTTGCTTGTTGGATAGCACAGGGAGAATTTCCTCGATCACAGGCCCGGGAACGTCGACCTCAATGAAGAGAAGCAATGCCTCGAGTGCCGACGCCTTAGTGGCTGCTCTGGTAGATGAGAGGCATTTCTCAACAATAGGTGTCACGGCATGCTGCCGTGCTCGTAGGGCACCGTCGCGGCCGCCGAACTTGAGAAAGGCGCAAAGAGCGGCAAGGCCTTCTTGCTGCGCGGCGACGTTCGAATCTGCTGCCGCCGACTTCCATAAACTCGGGTCCTGGGTGAATGGTCGGAAGGCAGGGTCGTACTCGTCGGGTGTCTTCTCGAACTGCTGGGCCGCTTCTTCATATGCCTGCTTTCTCACTTTCCAAACCTTGTGCACCCAGCGATCTGTTAGGGGTAGCGAACTATAGTCCTCCTCATCAGCCATGCTGAGCCGAAGTCGGAAGATAGTAGAGAAGGGGTTCGGTCGTTGGGCCTTGAGGTAGGACTGTTCTGACCGCTTCACGGGTTCGGTGCGGCCTAGACAAACAGTCTTTCTGATCAGTCTCCGTAGCCAAGCGGGCTTCCTGTGGCCATTCATATCGGCCTGCGGAATTGCAGGTAGGCAAGGTCACTGCAGAAGAGGTTGTCCTGGTCTTCGGCCGGGTGGGAACAGGGAGGTGACAGACATACCGGGCAAGTGTGGATTGCAGCTGCTGTTTGTGTCTGTGCTTTATGCGTGATTGAAACCCCGGTCGTGGGTTTCGGCTGTTCCTGCTCGTTTCGCGCTCACGTCCTATGCAGCGCAGGGCAAGCAATCGAGCAATCGACAACAGGAAAGAGGGTTGGCGATGGTTGTTGTACTTGCGGCTCAATATTTCTCTTCTGCGCCCAATTGCGGGAAGAGTCTGCAAGGGGATCCTAGCTCTACCGGTTGCTAAGAGAACGGGAACGCCTAAGATCGGGCAATGCCGCAGTGGAAGATCGGAATGACTCTTCACTGTATTCTTTCGGCAACTGCAGTGTCAACGCTGCCAAGATGATGCCGATAAAACTGAATGACTGCAAATGTGCTCAAATATCACGCCTCAGCAGGAATTGTTCGGCACTTGCACTGCTGTTCACTGCGTGGCTGCGGGGCGCGCCTGGTTTGGTCATTAGGCTTGTTGACAATATGCCAACTCAGCTTGGGTCTGTGCATTGCCGGAGAAACCCAATGTCGGCAAACTGGAGGGGACGGCATGCTCATTGGCCCCTGCAGCCGGCAGCCGGCCAGTGCCAGCTGGGAGTGGGGCCCTTCCCCCCGGTTGACAGCTCCAACAAGGGGCAGCCACTGCAGCGACAACATTGAACAAACCCACCGCCAATTCTTGTCTCCAGCTTGAGTTCCCTATGCACAATCTAATCTACCCCGCCGTCTCGAACGATAGAGATCTTGATCTTTCTGGCGATAAGCGGAATCATCGTTGGACATCCACAGGACCGGGAATTTCACCCGTCGGCCTCCCAAACCGCCTACCCAACCCATTCTCCCAACCAACCGCGAGGTCCACTTTGGTGCCCCTCCTCCAGGGTGGATCTGTCCGTCGTGTCCGCGTGCAGCTTCCTCAGCTGAAACGCTGCGTCCTCGTCTGGTTGCCAGCAGCATCTCTACAGCTATGGACCCTTGGCTCGACCTTGCTGGCGCGAAATCAAGTTAGAATAATCAGAAACCGAACGGCCATCGCGATTTAGTCTTTTCCGCGCGCTTCGATTCCACACCCAACCTCAAAAAGGAGCCGCCGCGATGGCCCAGATATTGACACCTCGACAGGCGGATGAGCTGTAGGTATTGTATACGGGTCGGAGCGGGATCTGGTATAACTCAGGCCGCAGAAGCGAGACTGACGGGCGACACAGACACCGGGCCCTCATCGCCTACCTGATAGCCAACAACCTCACAAACACCGCATCTGCGCTACGAGCTGAGCTAGGGCTTGGGGAAGATGTTTTCGATACCGCGACAGCGAAGAAATATGAAGGCTTATTGGAGAAGAAGTGGACAAGTGTTGTCAGGTTACAAAAGAAGGTGGGCGGCAGTTCAGCACCCCCTCCGCTCGCCCTCGTCTCCGCGCCCTCACGCGGGCTGCCGCACAGCTGGCTGACGATCCTGTTTTTAGATAATGGACCTTGAGGCCCGCAATACTGCTCTTCAGTCAGAGCTCGACAACGCGACGCCGACTTCACAACAGAACAAGGATCCCGTAAACTGGCTTCCCAAGTCGCCAGCGCGACACACACTCCAATCCCACCGAAATCCGATAACATGTGTCGCCTTTCACCCAGTATTTTCCTTGCTAGCGTCAGGCTCCGACGACCAGACAATCAAAATATGGGATTGGGAGCTCGGCGAGCTAGAGCGGACAATTAAGGGCCATACCAAGGCTGTTTTGGATGTCGATTTTGGAGGGCCTCGTGGAAACACGCTCCTCGCATCGTGCAGTTCCGATCTCACGATTAAGCTCTGGGATCCGTCAGACGAGTACAAGAACATTCGCACCTTACCTGGTCACGACCATAGCGTCAGTGCTGTGCGATTCATCCCATCCGGCGTCGCTGGCGGCGCCGGCAACCTGTTGGTCAGTGCGAGTCGGGACAAGACGCTCAGGATATGGGATGTAAGCACGGGATACTGCGTCAAGACGTTGCGGGGACATGCAGAATGGGTACGTGATGTCAGTCCGTCTGTTGACGGCAGATTCATCCTGTCGACAAGCGACGATTATACGGGCCGGCTATGGGATGTTTCAATGCCGAACCCGGAGCCGAAGACGACACTGATCGGCCACGAGCACGTCGTTCTGTGCTGCGCGATCGCACCAGCAACTGCGTACCCTCACCTGGCTTCCATTGCCGGGGTGAAGAAGCCGCCGGCCACCAGCGCTGTGGAATTTATGGCGACTGGGTCGAGGGACAAGACTATCCGGTTATGGGACGCCAGGGGAACATGCATAAAGATCTTGGTTGGGCACGATAACTGGGTGCGGGGCCTTGTCTTCCACCCAGGGGGGAAGTACCTGCTCTCGGTCGCCGACGACTACACGCTGCGATGCTGGGATCTTGCGCAAGAAGGCAGATGCGTTAAGATCATATCGGACGCACATGGTCATTTTGTACAATGCATCAGATGGGCTCCTTCCCTGGTGAAGGACGTAGCCGTGGTCAACGGTGGTGACGGGCAAGGCGGGGAGGCGAATGGAACGCCCAAGCCTGCTGAGACCGGCGAGGCGCAGATTCGCTGCGTCATTGCAACGGGGAGTGTGGACCTCAACGTGAGGATCTTCGCAAACTGAGAGCTTTGTGGACGACGGACGTCAATCGGCTGATGAGGAGAGCCGACGAACGAAAGCCGCAGCGGCGGCGCGATCGAGGAGCCGTAGGAGCAAGGCGATGCCTCCCTGCCATAGCATACGGCAGAAAGTAGGAGCCTGCGTTATGAGAAGAAGCCCAGTCAAGGTCAGTCGGTCGGTGAGAGATTCAGCTCAGGGGGCCAATTTCTCACAGAATATCCAGACGACTCGGACGACCTGCGCCCGTGGCATGACCCATGCCCTTTGTGAGGTTCTGGATTTCAGATAACCACAAATCTCAGATTCACCAGAGACGATAGCGTTAATAGATACCCCGAATTTCAAACGAACAATTCATTTCTCCTGCATCTCCGAATAGAGTACATCGACGACAGCTTAAAGCCGATCGGCCCTTGCACCCAACATCAAGCTTTACTCATGGGCTTGCGTCTTCACCAGCCCCTCTCAGCGACGACTTGATCTACACATTCGCTTCCCATTGCGCCGGCACAATTTCCTTTCTTTACTCTCATGAGCCCATCTGCCTGTGTTCAGCTCAGCATAATGAGACTCAATGAGCACCAATGGTGATTTCGGGGGCAACTTTGCATGGTATCTATCATTTGACGAGATGACAGAGGGCGTAGGGTAGGTATCTACCTCGCCATCCCCGACTCATCAGAACGAACGACGTTTGCCCTGGGCCTGTCGATCTAAAGAAGCCCCAACCAACCATCATCACCCGCTGCATCTCATCCGCGTTTTACTTCGCCACAGAAGGGATCACTGCCCCTAAACGCGCGACCAGAACCACAACACCCTCCAGTGACCCGCCGGCACATCAAGCTGCTGGCCGCCCCAATAGTAGGCCCAGAGCGGGATCGGATCCGTGTCCTTGCCCGGTACTATGGCTTTCATGTCGTACCAGCAATTAATGTTGCCCTGGCAAACGAACGGGTAGTTGAAGCCGCTCTGCACATTAGGGACAGGCCAGTCAGTTTCCACATCCCAAAACCCGGTTTAATCCCTCCTCGGGTTTAAAACGGAACAATACTCAACGAATACAAAAAGACTCACAATCGTATAATAATACTCCGCCAGCCCTCCAAGCCCAGCCGGGTCCGACTCCGGCCCACACGACCAGGCATGCGTATCACGACCATAGATACTATCGACGTTCAGCGGCATGTTGGGGTTCTGGAAGCTGCAGTTGCCCAGGCTGGTCGACAGCGTGTGGTGGGTGTTGGGGTCGTCGGCGCGCGTGAAGACGGCGCAGTCGTCCAGCGTCAGCAGGCCCTGCGCGTTGAGGCAGCCGATGCGGTTCGCCACGGGGTCGGCCGTGCTTATGTCGGTGCTGTTGAGCACGTGGATCTGGGCGCGCCCGACGAACTCGGACACGGAATCGCGCGAGACGACGGCGGCGACTCGGGCGGTGCTGGCGGCCGGGAGGGAGAGCATGGCGAGGGCGCTGAGCCCTGCCGCGGCCCAGGTTGGAAGGAGTCTTGTCGGGTTGGAGATCATGGTTGATGGATGGGTCGGCGGGGGTGGGAGAGGCGTAGTTGGGTAAGGTGCCTATGAGAATCGAGAAAAGTTCAAGTCAGGGTGCTCCTCTTATATGAATGGGTCAGTATCGCGATCCAAGATCTCGGATCCGACTTCATGTGATTGCTGCATGGCACTTTGGACATCGACATTGCTGGAACCCCTCGGCCCGGGTATGATCTCGGGAACGGAACGGGGGTATTACACCCGAGAAGCTCGATCGCATGATGCTTCGGCGCTTTTCTGCCTCTGTCTGGTCCTGCAAGAGTTCGGAGTCTTACTGTCTTCGGACTGGGAAGCAAGACGTCCCCGCCTTGACTAATGTATTACATGATTTTAAGTCCCGAAAGTTCTGATCTAGCGTCGTATCAGGCCCCAGGCAACAGTAGCATTGGCGATCCTTCGAAGCTTAGACCTTCCTCAACTGCCACCGAGTCGTCCGATTGCTGGCGCGGAAGAACCCGTTCCCTGCTTACTCATTGGTTTCACTCGAGATTTCGGATGCTAGGAGGATTTGTCACTACCGAGCGACTTTGTACACTTCATGCTATACTCACTCGATCTTTTTTGTTCTCCTCTTTTTTTCCCTTTCCTTTCTTCTCGGATCATGGATAAGAATTGCCGCTGGCTGACTAAAGTCTCCTATCAACACATGACGACCCGGTCCTAGTCCCTTGAGGCTTCAGAGCCCATATATATGGCAATCAAATCGGTCCTCTTGGCAACATCATACGAGCGGGCAGGCTTCTTGTACGCACCCCGTTCGAACCTGCCGCCAGTTGTGTCCTGGGCCCTTGCGGTCCGAGCTGCCTCCTCGTCGTCAGTCATAGCATTCCCTCCAACTGCTACCAAATTCTAGTAGATACGTTATCGTAGCCCCCATGGCGGGTCTGGCATCTTGAGGTCCTTGTACAAAGGGAACTCGAGGCAAACTGGGACACCGGATGATGCAAGGAGCCCAATGCTGCCACATTCCAGGAAAAGGCACACAGGAGCTTGACAAAACCCCGGAGTTAGTGCATAATAGGTCCTTTAGACGCTCAGACGATGGCGTACAGTGTAGTCATAGATGAGGTCAAACTTGGAAGCGTTTCGTCATTTCCCGAGAAGCAATCGACCTCTCACCGTCACGGCTGAAGAAGGCGCCAACAAAATACGTGACCTGCCCTTCTACTCCCTGCCCGTATCTCTCGAGGCTGCTGGGATCCGCAAAACTGAATGCCTACGGGTCAGTGAGCTGAGTAGCGGCATACTCGCTGGCCCTCTCAACCGTGGTCGATGAGGCCTTCAAATCGGTAGACATCATAGCCGTGGAGGACGAGCATGGGCGACGTCATGCCCTTTGCCATAGCCCCGGGGTGAGGTCCGATCGTCCGACTGTCAGCAAAAGAAGGCACTGTGTGAGAGTGTGACTTGTGTGGGGTATGACTCACCACTTTATCACTCTTATTAACAAGACATACCATACCGTCACCAGAGCCCGCGGCTTGCGCGTCTCAGATTCCCTCGGCCGCGGTACCACATCTGGTCAGGACTCGATGAGGTCAATGGGCGCGGTTGGTTCGAGGGTGCATTGGTTGTCGTGTTAGAGCCTTCCGGGTGAGAACGTTTGGGTATGGACCGCTAGCCTGCCCAGGGCCTGATGGCTTCCAAAAGTTGCTTTCTCAGGGCCATATCTTGAACAGATTTTGCCAAGGAAGCTCGAAACCTACGTTGGTTATTTACCTACCGGTAGTTAAGTTGATATATTTGAGCATCAATTCTAGACCCATTCTTGGCAAGTCCGCAGATCAAGACACTGGTCTGCCTTATTAACAGTCCGTTCCTCGCCTTACTTTGCCCGTGAGGTTGCCTTCTCTTGTACTTGTATGCCTTGCCTTGTTGGAGCACTGATCGGAACGAATTCTTCCGCATTCAGCAGCTTAGGTACTACCTACGATGTAGACATCCATTGTATATTCCCTTCGTAGAGTGATGAGGGCATGAGAAGTCTTACCGTGTTAGATACGGTGTGCTATGACCAGTACATTTGTGTGGCAGCAGGTGGCGGGAGCGGTGGTGGAGGGCGGTGTGTTGGCTGTGTGGTGACATATATGATATAAGCCGACTCGTGGGATCGGACTCTGGGGCCCGCGATTCTCTCGCTCCCAACCTTCCACGACACACTTACAGCCCATCCGTCATTCGCTTACTCCCAGCCTTACATATCACATTCACAGCCTGTTCGTTACTCGTTTGCTCAGAACCCAATATCAAACAATAATTGCTGCACATCCTGGATTCTGGGCGCCCATCATCATGTCTGCTCCTTCACCCGACCGTCATGTCCACGCTCCAACTCCAGCAATCCCCCGTCCGCTGCAAGGCGTATGGCGTGACCGTTACGCGGCTCGCTGGCCTACTCGGCCCTTAACGCTCAATCCACGCCAAGAGCAAGAACAAGAACCACGAGAAGGACAACAACAAGATGCAACGCACTCCCAAGACGGAAGCCGGCTCCTCCTTTGTTGGGAACGTCAGGATGAAGAATCTGGGCCCTCTACTAACGCCCGCAACACACAAGAGAACTCTTCCTCCTCGGAGTCCTCCCTGATGAGCCTGCCTCCCGAGCTTCTTCTCCTGATCTTGGAGTACGTCGGCCTGAGGTTCTTCCGCGAGGATACTCGCCGACTCGCCGTTTGCAAGGGGTGGTACCAGGTCGCCCGACGGGTATTTGCCAGCGAGCTCGTCCTGAGGTTGGACATGCTGCCGCGTTTCACCAGCGACGGTGGACTCTTCCGCCGGATACAGTCACACGTGAGAGACGTCAGGCTGTCACTCGGTCTCGAGGATCCGGTCCCGACCATCCCTAAGGACGTTCCCTTCTTCATCCAGCTCGATCGAAAAAAGTACATCGATCGAATTTTACCGTCCGACAGGGACTACCACGTCCTTCTGCCCCGGGCTGCGAAGAAGCTCCAGCAATGTCCGGGCCTGCGGTCTCTCAGCATAGTTTTTTGGTATACCCCCGCGTGGTATGAACTGATACTCGATCTCGGTCTCCTCGACCTCGAGCATCTGACGTCGCTCGAGATCGACGGCATGGTTCTTCCCAGCTACATGAACGGCCGTCAGCAGTCTGACTGCTTGGGTTGCCGCATCAACAAGCTGCTCCCGAAATTGCGGCGACTCCGCTTCAGGATGTACCCGCTCTGTCACGGGCTGCTGGAATCATCGACGGTGGTTGAGGAAGGTAGGCCTATTCCTCTGGAGGAGCTGATAGTCAACATTGACTATCACGAGGCCGGAGCTCGGTCTAAGGAGGCTGTATTCCAATATTTCAATGAATATTACCGGTGGCACGATGGTCAACCCATGCTACCCCGCGGCGCCGCTTCTAATGCGCCCATCCGACAGCAGGCGGCGGTGCTTGCCTGGCACATGGCGCGACCTAGAATGGTGCGAGTCATCCAGTACAACGCCAAGACCGGAAAAGTGTACGCGTTCGACGCCCTAACGGGGCGCAGGTCACTGCTGCCGCCGAACAAATACGGATGGGATTGCGAGGGGAAGGTGGTCGCTGGTCAGGACGACTGCAGCGTTTGGGAATGGCGGAAACAGGTCGCACAGTGGGTGCTTGGGCCGCAATTGGAAATGATTGATCGGGGGGTTGGTAGAGCGATCCGCGAATGATGTAGACTTCAGACGTTCAGAGTTTAAAGAACGGGTTGGCTCCCCTAATATGGAGAGACATAGCATGTATTTTATAAACTTCTCCGGTTTCCCTGGATTTGTGTTTGGTTAGCGAAGCTTGGAGTCGGTACCCATCCGAATTCGCTGGATCTCATCCAGTAACGGCCGATATAAAGGAATTTTCATCGTATGATCACCAAGCGGGTTTAGCTCAGTTGGGAGAGCGTCAGACTGAAGTCAACTTCAGGAAGTCAATCTGAAGGTCGTGTGTTCGATCCACACAAACCGCATCGCTTCTCTTTTGCAGTTTCCGGGTCCATGCTTTTCACTTTTGGTTTTCGCCTTGCATCTCATCGTTCCGGAAAATTTGCATTTGGTGACCCTACGGCCAGATCACATTTCATATTATCATCACTATGGATACAATTTCGCTCGAACATATACTTCCTAGGTAAGGTAGGTGGTTTCCTTCAACATTACATGTGGCCGAGACGGACAATGAACATGAACTATCAGTAATTCAGATACGTCGATCAAACTGAATCTGCAAGTGCTCATGCTATTTACTAGTGATACAAGTGCTGCCAACTCTCTTATACACGCACAGAGCTAAACCGACCGAACTCTCGCCAGAAAGCCAACGCATGACCCATCAGACTCATTAACATTACCTCTCGTTCCAACCAGCGTGTTCCAGCCCGTGCGAACGGCCCAACGTTCTCCCCATAACCCTATAAGGTAGGCTGATACTCCGTAGGTTACGTTGACTCAAACCTTACACCCTCCGTCCCTGCCACAGCCCCGAACCGGATCTCTCTACTTCACCGGTGTTATTCTGACCGCTGCCGGGAACCTGGCCACTGAAATACCGAGTAATATCGTTCTCCCGGCCGCAGTGCTCACACGGATGCAGCACCTTCCCGGTGGTGTTCCCACCCTGCGCACCACCCAGAATAGGAGCGCCGCCATCCTTGCGTGCCGAGGAGGCGGAGTGAGAGCCTATGGTAGACCCTGCAGCCCAGGACGAGGTAGCAGCCGCGAGCGCGGCATTCCTCTCATTCCCGCTGCTGCCTGTTTTTGTGTTTGTGTTTGCGTTTCTGTTGCTGGTCACGTCCTGAACTCTGTCACTGAACGACTTCCCATTCTCTTTGACATTGCTGGTTCCGTCGACATCCCCGCCACGCAGTTGGGGTTGGTGAGCTTGTTGCGCCTGGTGGCTGTGGCTATGGCCGGGTGCAGACGCCTTGTACGCGTCTGGCATCACCTCCGGGCTCATGTTCTGCGCCGCCGCCGCCGCCGCCGTCCGGCTTTGGTATTGGGACTGCTGATGGTGGTGGTCGTTTTGGTTATGGCTATGGCCCGGTGCAGAAGACGAAGACGCCCTGTAAGAGTCCGGCATGACCTCCGGACTCATGTGCTGCGCCAACTCCGCGTGGGGATAAGTCGGGTTGGCGGGGATTAGTCCCTCGGCTGCGGCCGGCGCTCCTGACAGGTCCCTCAGGGTTTGGACGTGGGAGGAGGTGATGTCCACGGGTGGCAGCGAGGGGGGCTCCTCTGGCAAGCGGGGGTTACGCTGGCCGCGACTGACTTGGTCGTGGGCGGCGGGCCCGCTGTGGTGGGTGGACCTGGGCTTCACCTTCACGCCAGAGGGTGTGCCGGATGGGAGGACATTGTACTCGGCGGCGTCCTCGGCATCGTCTTGCCTAGTCGGAGAGGGGCTGCCGGAAGATTTGTGCACGTGGTAATCGCTGGTCTCGCTTGCCTTCACATTGTTCCTGCTAGCACCGGTCTTGGGGGCACCGGACGATGCGAGCACGTTGTAGTCTCCTCGTTCGTGAGAAACCACATCCTGCCTTTCAGGCTTAGCAGCCGAGGCCACAGCGACGCCGGAAGCGGTGCCCGAGGCGAGGGTCTTGTAGTGTCCCGGCTCGTTGGTCACAATTCCTTCGTTGGCTGACGGAGCTGCTTTCGCGTGCTGCACTCCTGACTGGATGCCACTAGGCAGGGTGTTGTAGGGGCGATGCTCGGCTGCTGCGTCCGCAGCCTGTTCACCCCCGGACCAGGGTGGTAGCGGCGCCTCTCTGGGGTGTTCGAACGGGGTGGAAACTTGTTCAACCTGCCTTGGCGCCTCGCCTGCCGGCCCAACTCCGCCAGCGTCAGCGGTCAGCGGCCAGTTTGGAGCTGTTGCGTCCCGGGGATGCTCGCTGACGCTGTTCTTTCTGCGGTGCAAGAGGCCGAAGGCTCCCGCACCGGCACCGACGTTATCTTTGCCGATGCTAGAACGCTTGTTGCCGTCGGCCTTAGAACGTGACAATGATCTCTTCCGGTCCCCGGTTGATCCGCCCCGGGTGTGTTTCTGTAGCCGGTTCGGGCTGTGGGCTACTGGGCGGCCTTCCCTCGCAGTATCACCATGATCACCGGCAGACTTCCTGCGGTGTGCACCCGATTCTTCCTTGTCATTGTCCTTGTGACGGTGGAAGATGCCGAAGAGCTTGTGCTTGGTGGGAGAATCATCCTGGTGGGTGCCAGCATTCTCAGCTGGAGACCTCTGTCTGGAGCGTCGGCGGTTCTCTGCTGTATGGCCTCCAAGACTCCGGCGGCGTTCTCTCCCGGTTACCGGGTATGTCTCCTTCTCATCCTGAGACCGTTGGGTTAGGCGGGTGCTGTCCTCCCTGCGGTCGCGCAGGTACTGGCCGGCGGTAATTCCCGCACCGACGCCTGCAGCTCCCGTGCCCTCACCGTGATGCTCGGCAGCTTTTGGTGCCAAAGGAAACGCGCGTTGGGGGCTTGTATCATGCTTCGGCTGAGAGCAGACACGTTCTTCATCCCGAGCTTTTGCCTCGGCAAGCAAGTGGACGTCGTCCCGAACGGCAAGCTCAGGCAGGAATCCCGGAGCAATGCCGTGGGCATTCTCTGGAGACTTCCGTTGCCGCCCCTCAGGAACTTTGGGCCAGGGGGTATTAAGCAGGTCATCAGGTTCCCGAGCGTGCGCAGCCATGTTGGCGGCCTTGTCGGTGCTGCGCCGCGGGCTGTGGGAGTGGCGCTTGGACTCCTCGTCTCGGCTGCCATGGCCAACTACGGTGTTGTAGACACCACCGCCCCTGGGATAGTCGCCGACGTGGCCGACAATGACGGCTCTGTCTGGCGACTTTGACTTTGGTCGCAGATGGTGATGCTGGGGGTGGTCATCGACGGCACTTCCGTGACCTGCTACCGAGTTGTACACGCCTCGGGCCGGCTCCTTCGGCACATCACTTTGGCTGTGTGCGCTCTGGCGGTGCTCTCCCCGGTCGTCGTGGCTGGCAACCGTTTCATCCGAGTACTTCGACTCCTGCGGCGGGGGCTGCTCGCTCCGGCCGTCGTGGCCAGCAACGATGGTCTTGTCGGAAGACCTGGACCCCGGACGCTGGTCCTGCTCCACCTGGTCGTCGGTACCACTTCTGTGCCCTGTCACGGCGTCGTAGACAGTAGTAGCACCACCCGCCGCCGTGCTGTAGACGATAGCGGCACCAGTTCTGAGAGTGTCACCGACCTGACCAGTAACCATGGAGGTGTCCGACGACCCGGATGTCGGGTGAGAATGTCTCTCCTCGGCCGGCCCAGCACGGGCGGTTCCGAGGCTCGGCAACGAGTCGTACACGGTGGCAGCACCACTCCTCAGGTTATTGCCAACATTGCCAACAATCCCGGGCCTGTCTGACGACTCGGCTTTCGGCTGCGGGTGGCTTTGCTCAGTCCGATCAGAGCTGCCATTTCCGAGGCCCGGCACCAAGTTATACACGGTGGCAGCGCCGCTTCGCAGAGTATGGCGGACCTGGCCAGCAATCCCGGAGATGTTGGATGGGCCACCGGTAGCGTTCGGCTGGGGATGGCTTTGCTCGGTCTGATCAGCGCCGGCATTGCCCTGGCCTGTCACCGAGTTATAAACGCCTGCCACCGAATTGTACACGCCTTTACCGGCCTGAGCGGGCAGATCACCCCAGTACGGAGTAGACTCCCTGTCAGATTGCTTGCTCTGGTCGACTGCCTTGGCGTTGGCAGGTCTCGCGGGGTCAGGCATTCCTTCTGCGAGGTCAGGGGCCAGTTGCTTCGTCTTGTTGCTGCCAGATATGACGTCGTCATCGGCGCGCTGCGCCGACAATGTAGTCGATGCTGCACCCGTCTCCAACCCTTGATTGCCATCACGGCTGAAAGTAGTGCCGCTCCCAGCGACTTCCTCAGGGACGGCTGTTCTGGACTCTACAGGTCTAGCGGACTGGATCGGCTCCGAATCGGTCAATCCCACGCCGGAGTCGGTGTAACTGTGGCCGCGGGTGTCACCAGACCTTTGCAGCTTGTTGAACTGACGATGCTTGTCTGCCGGAGTTGGAGGCTGCGGAGTTTCATTTGGAGTGGCGGGGACTGAGTCGGGGAAAGACCCCGGGAGCATATCGGTTGCCATGGTAGCGCTTGCGTCTCTATTGTGCAGGCTGCTGTGGGAGTGGTGGCAGCTGGTTGAAGGGATGTCTGTATGTACAGTACTACCTGGGTACTTAGGTGGACAACCGAGGGGTGCTGTTGTAAATCGCTCAAGGTGAATCAGACTTGGAAGGGCAGTATGTGTTGCTGAGTGATGGCGCTCAACGGAGTTGGACTTATAGAATAGACTCTGATTCCGTCATTCCGGTCATTTTGGAGCAGGCTTCATCAAGCAGGGCAGACTGCGGCCTGCCGGTGATGCCATCACATCAATCTTGTACGCGGTGTCCAAGAACAAACGGCACTGACATCATTGGTGACTCCGAATGGTGAGCCGGGATTGGTCAATGGCGGGGCCGGTGAAAGATGGACTGACGTTCCCCGCCACGCTTGTCATAAAACGACCTGGTGGGACCAGGTATGAGACGAACTTGGGCACTCCATCACAATTGAGATTCCCATTCGTAGCCCCAACTCCTAAATCGCGATGAGCTCTAGCTGATTTGCCCTGAACTTTGGCTACTTCCTTCCTGAGCTGTGGTGGTCCCACACGCAGCAGATCCGATGACGCAATGCGGAAGCTGTGCTGCGGATTTGCTCGTCTGATTGATATCCATACCGTGACCTCTGCTTGAAATTTGATCTGCACGGCGTACTTGAAGGACTTATATGCTGCTAATACAGGATCAATTTCCAAATCCCAAACGTACCGGAAAAGCTGCAGCAAAGTTCAGAGTCAAACTACCAGTTCTATTAGAATATGAGATCTTCTGGGACATTGGTTTCTCACATTCATGCGTTGTGATTTAAAACACTGGATGAGCCGGGGCGGTTTCCCCTGTCTGAGTCGTCCGTTGACTCGCCAACAATGGACTCAATGGAAACTAGAATTCATAGTGAAGGGGGTATCCGGGATAAGAAGGATATTTTGGAGTGGAATGCGTGTATTGTGATCCTTAAAACTACCGTGTCTCAGAAACCTGAATAAAGAACGAGAAGAGACGTCTTTATTTGTTGAGAACCGAGTGTGTTCTAAGCTTTGTTGAGCAGGTCCAATGCGGAGTCCGCACTCAACGGCAGTCCTTTACTTCCTCCTCATATATGGACGGCCTGATGCTGCTTCGAAGATGGCCACTACACCCACAGCTTAAGCTTTTACGGACACTCACCCTTCCAGCCGATGTGATCAAGCAGACCAAACGCAATGGACTCGATCCCGGCAGGGGCAGCAATGCACCTCCACAACAGTTATTCTCTATGTGGTCTGCAACTTCTTAGTCTTTTGATAACTTTAGCTACTAGGTGACCTAGAAGTACACACCCTAGATGCTCGCGCCAGCGGCACCGTCCCTATAATGGGAGAACACCCTTCAAGTAGAAGACAATACATTAGAGGCAAACGGAAAAACAAAATGAAAAAAAAAAAAAAAAAAGGAGAGGCTATCGCGAATCGAACATGTGGTCCTACAAAGGACACAGCAGGGTTGCGCACGCGGAGAGCGTTGGACAATTTTTCACAGCTCAACCACTATGCCATGAAGAGTTTCATGACGATGTGTGTGTGGTTGATGTGTGTTGCGGGGGTTGTTGGAAAGACCACCTACCACGGGAACGTAAATACCCGTTCTTGTACATCACCACCACCTTAGGGCCATAGAAGCTGTCTCACCTTTCCCTTCCAACTTCTTATCATGATAAGGAACGAAGGAAGGCAAGGAGAACCACTGGGGTGTTTGCAGATATCTTCTAATTCCAGTGAGCATGAGTGAATCAGATCGGTACGCTCGCAGCAACTTGAAACCTTAACAGGCTCAACAGTAAGTTACCGCAGCGGAAAATGCCATGTTAATGAATAGCGCCAACGCCTTGATGACAATTTACAGCCCATTGCCAAATGCAATTATGTGATGTAATGCACCATGTACATCGCTTCCGCTGACCCTCCTCCCCTTAGTGTCCTCACCGCAGAAACCTTTCTCTTCACTGTCCAACCCCCTTCCACGGCAAATCCCCGGAATCTTTGCCCTTATCCCCGATGTGCTTCCCCTGGGACTGGCTGACGCTCCCGCCGAGGTCGTCGCTCTTGACCTTCTGCGGATTCCGCTTGCTCTGCGCCGTCGGGTCGGCGCTGTGGATGCGCGTGTCCTTGGGGTCGTACTGGCTCAGCTGGTCCTGCTGCTCGGCGTTGCGCGCCGTCTGGCCCCCCGTGCCGGCCATCGACTGCAGCGTCCCCGAGACGTCCATCTGGCCCCTGGCGTCGTTCGCCGCCCGCGGCCGCGGCTGGTTGGTCCCGCCGCCGGTGAAGTAGAGCAGCCCGCCGAAGAGGCCGGCCGCGATCGCGATGGGTACTGTGCGGTTCTGTCCGCGGCCGAAGAATTGGGACATTTTGAGGGTTTATTTAGTTTGTGGTGGGGTGTGTTGTTGAGGCTTTGCTTTAAGAAGGTGCTGGTGCTCTTGGGGGAGCGCCTGAACGTGGATCGGTTCGATGAAGCGGTTAGTGACGATGGAGATGTAACCCTGGGTCGGTGACGATATTCTGGAAGCCGGTAGCTCAGAGACCGAAAGTCGAGTATGCGGATGTGGCTCGATTCTATTTACAATCAGTGCAGGTGCGGATCAGAAGAGTCTTGAGCTCGGTAGCTCAGCTTGAAGACCGATGATCTAATGGTGGGGTGTGTGCCGCTAAGCCAGGATCATGATGACAATCATGACATCAGGATCCAGACAAAGTTGGGTGACCGACTCCCGCCAATTGAAAGGTGCTTGCTGTGCCCTGAATATCGCAGAGCACTGCAGCAGTTGCAGCATGGCATGGGCTTACCGGGCGAGAACCTAAGGTATTGCGGGATGGTACATGTATGACGTCATAGTAAACACGCGCCCGGGTTGCAGGTGGCTGGGTTCCGGGGGCTCTCCAATGTCAGAACAAGGGGCACGCCAAATGATGGTTTGGAAGAACAAGATAAAGAAGTCAAGCAAGCCAAATTCCATTAAAAAGAAAGTGGAGGAAGGAGAAAAAAAGAGATAGTTAATACTAGAAGAAAAGAAAGATAGGGAAGGAAGAAAAGAAAGCATGAAAGAGAAGAGGTTAGTCGTATCTATCCGGCTAACAGCAAAGTTGGTATAAGTCGTATTTTGTCTAGTCGGTGAGGGGCTACTGCCCGGACCTGTATGGTAGACGGAAACTCATTACCTTGAAAAGGGAAAGGGAAACTGGGACATCTTAAGTGACTTAGACGGACTCAAGGAGTTAATTCTACTCCATACCTAGGTACTGCCATGGCTTTGACACCCTCCTCACAAAGGCCTGGAGTGTTGCTCGGAGTATTTGAGTTTCGCTATAGTTCGACAACTTCGGCTGCGACGGCACCTGCCACAACCAACAGCAACATCAACAGCATCCTCCCCAGCCAGGAGGACACGGGCAATGTTGATAGTAACAGACCCTTAGATCAGGAGAGGTGGTGGTGTTCCCGGCGGTAGGAGCTCAAAGCAGTTCAGGTCGCAACGCCGATCCCAGACCTCCCAGGAAAGGACCAGAGCTTGCCTCAGACGCTCGCTGACCTCGGGGTATATAGTTTGACACATAATGCGTGGCAGCATGTCTAATATATGGATCCTCCTGCCCGGATCCTGCACTTCGATTGCGGCAATGAAGAACGGGAGGCTCAGTCGGTAGTCCAGCGGAGGGCCGTTGTCTTCTGCCCGACTGCGCCCCGGCGATATTCCGAGACAGAGGGTATCGATGTCTGTGAGGATTGCCTGGCGGAGCTGCCTGGATTCTTCGTCCCGCAAACCAAAACCATAGCGTAGCCGATGTATGACCAGCAACGTCGCGGCCCGGAAGATTTTCGCTTGTGTCTCGATAGCCTGGAGCTCGTCTGGCGTTGAGGCGAGGGAAAAGTGCTCCGGCGCTCGCGGATCCCACTTGACCACCGTGTCTTCAATGTTCTCCAGCTCTCGCAGTAATGTCGCCCTGGCTGTTGCAGCATGGCCCTGGCACTGGCTCCCTAACGTCCGAAGCTCGTGGCGCAGCCGGCAGAGATCATATAGCGGCGCGAGTAGCTCGCCACATACCCCGACATACTTATCCACACCCCGACTCGCCTCTGTGCTCACCTCAAGCCGGCAAACGGGCACCTGTCCTAGCACGAGACAGTTGACCACATCCATCCACACCAACGGCATCAACCACGCATCCACCTCGGGCACCCTGCCGGTCCGATGTCTCCATACCCACTCCTCCTCCTCCTCCTCCTCCTCCTCCTTCTTTTCCCCACCACGGCGACGGCGTGTGTTGTTGTTGTTGCTGTTGTAGCCGCGTTCCACCAAGCCAAGCGTGAACCGGCACACCTCATGTGCCCACCGCCCCGAATCCAGCAAATCGAAGGTGACCAAGCCCAACCCAAGGGTCAGCGCAAGCACCGCCTGCTGGTCCCCCAACCCTCCCGCACCGTTCGCGACCAACTCGCTCTCCATTCTTCTGAGGGTCATCACCGCCTTGGCACCGTGGCTATGACAGCAACAACAACAACAACAACAACAACAAGCTCCGATGAGTTCAGTGTGTTTGGTGCAGGTGTCATTTGCATGAGGATGATCCTCGCTTGGAAGTGGTGCTGTCCTCTTCTTTTTCTTTTTCTTCTCCTCTGCCTGGCTAGCCTGGTCTCGCGCAAAGCGCTTGGCGCATGCCAGTAGGACGTGCAGCAGCGTGTCCGGCGCCGCGTGGAGTGTTGTGTACAGGTGGGCGAGCACACCGTCTGCGGCGGAGGGGGATACTAGGCAATAGATAAGTAAGGAAGGTAAGTAAAGCAATTGTCAAACGGACTACATAATGCTAGGAGTAGCAATATAACAAAGAACAAATATATATCCGCTGACATCGCTGTTCTTGTTCGTGGTTTTTCCGTGGGGGGCGGGGGGAGGGGGAGGGAGGGCGGAGAGAGTTTAAATGCAACAAGCGTTGGACATACATACGCAGGAAACGAGCGATGAGCCGGCGGTTGGTCAAGTAGGCTTGAAGGAGGAGGCATTCGCGCCGGGTCAAGCGGGTTGAGCCGCCCGGAAATACTGGCAGGAGGGGGTTGGAGGTCGGTGTTGGCGGTAATAATGCCAGGACAGCATCGTCACTGCTGCTACTATCCGGTGGTGGACAGCCAAACCACACAAACTCGGTGCCGGCCCGGGGCTCCGAGGAAGCCGTCTCGGTCTTGCGCGGTCGTCCGCCTTTGGTCTTCTGCCTCGAGGTAGTGCATTGGGTGCCGAGTCTTTCGCACCGCGAACAGGCCGCGGGGACGCGTTTGCTCCGGAAAGTGCATCTCTCTTTCAGCGCGTGGCATCGGTCGCATGCCAGGTCTTGATGTTTGATCATGCTGTTGGCCGATGCAGCCCGAGATTGATGAGGTGTTAGTGTTTGTAGGCAAGTGGGAGACTGGATTTAGATCTGCAGCCTGGACACTGCATCAGTATCAGGTTCGGCCGGGTGTCTAGTTTCCAACAGTCAGTCAGATACCCGAAGCGTCACATTGACGAAGGGCGCTTACAACAGCTAGCTTACTGCGAAGCATTTACCGAGGAAAGCGATTTCCGTGATGCAACGCCGTTACTTCTTATCGTACATACCAGGGGTTGAGTGTGGTAGCGTTCGGGATCCTTTCGGTGTGTCTTCAGCTGGTCGGCCCTGTAAGTTAACGTTCCGTAAAGTCGGTCGATAAGGACAGTGAAGAAGGACGGGGGCCAAAGTTAGAAGTTCGCGGGCAAATACCGTCGATAATTGCCGACTCTCCCTCCGCGGGCCCATTCCCAGAACGGGCAGTCGATCTGCCCGTTCGCTCTTCCGACTGGCTCAGCCAAACGCGGGGAAGATCAAACCCAGATACGGGGTTGAGGCCCGCCCACTGGGGCCCTTGGCAGCATGGCAATGACTACCACAGTAGGTACAGCATCACAGGAGTGTCCATGGGTACCCGGTAGACTCGCCGGCCTGAGCCGGAGGGTTTTCGCTGGATTTGTTCTAGCGCACAGTCGAAATGGTCGGTTTGCAGTTCAGCCCTATTTTGTTCCTTACTGGGCAGTCTGGGCTTCCCCAGAAACCCTCATGATAATGCACGATAGTATGCCACCCGACCGGCGCGTTATGACCTAGAAGGGGAAGGCCGTGCCAAGTCCAAGCATCTCATGTGCCCTCGGACGGCAGAAGAGAACCTTGCCATGCAAGCTGATATGGATCAGAAGTTCAGAACAGGCGTATAAGTAGGAGGTGGGCTGGCCTCGATCAACATGAACTAGGGATTCTGAGCAATACATTGCCGGAAGTCGACTGGACGCTCCTTACACATTTAGCAATGTACTGGCCGGCTTTCTCCGCCTTCTCTCTTGCCTGCCTCGCCGGGACGGCTTGGGCTCAGCAGCCCATTTGCGATGTGGAATGCCAGAAGGGCTGCAACGATGAGTGCCAGACTGCCATCCAGTCGGCCTTCGACGGCGAGTCCAAGCAGTGGGTGGGCGACATCATCAGCGACCCGTTCTATACCACGCCGTCCAACATCACCGGCGCTGTGCCCGGCGATATTCTTCGCTGGGAGGACGTGCCGACCAAGCAGCTCACCAACAACTGGACCATTCCCGCGGGCCTCAGCCTCTCGCGTTTCATGTATGTGACAGAGGACATTGACAACTCGTCCATTCCGGCCACCGCTTGGGTCCTGCTCCCCTTCCACCACAACCTGCCAACACCAGGCGAGCCCGGGAAGCTGCGAACAGTCGTCTGGACCCACGGCACCGCCGGGCGCAGCCGCCTCTGTTCCACAACCAACAACAAGGGCCTGTACTACAACTGGCAGGCGCCGTTCACCCTCGCCGAGTCCGGCTATGCCGTCATCGCCCCCGACTATGCCGGGCAGGGCTCCGACATCCCTCAGGGGTTCATGTACGAAGCCGGCTTCCTGCACGCCGCCGACGTTGCCTACTCGGTTATCGCCGCCAGGAGGGCCATCGGCGGGATCCTGAGCGACAAGTGGGCTGTGTTCGGCCACAGCGAAGGCGGCATGACGGCCTGGCGCACCAACGAGCGCCTGGCCCTGCCCGGAAACGAGCGGCTGCACAAGGCCGGCACGTTCGTCGGGGCCGTGGCTGCGGCGCCCGCCCTGCGTCCGCAGCGGCTGATCCCGCTCTCGTGGGAAGAGACCGGCACCGGCGGCGGGCCCTTCTCCGTCTACTTCCTGCAGTCGCTGGCCAGACTGTACCCAGACCAGATCAAGGTCGAGGACTACCTAGGCGAGACGGTCCTGCAGCGTCTGGGCCTGCTCGACAGCTCCTGCTTCGTGACCGGCTTCACCGCCGTCGGGACGCTCAGCCCGGACGCTACCTTCGCCAACAAGAGCTGGCTGGACCACCCCGCCACCAACGACTGGGCCGTCCGCTACAACGGCCAGGGCCCCCATCGCCTGTCGGCGCCCATGTTGGTGGTTCAGGGCGTTTCGGACACCATCACGCCTGCGTCGCTGACCGTGGAGGACTTCAACCTCACGTGCTCTACGTACCCGGAGAGCGTGGCCCACGCTAAGCTGTATCCTGGCATGGGCCACGGGCAGGTGCTCGAGGCGGGCCGTGCTGATATTGCGGACTGGCTGGATGCGAGGTTTAACGGCAAGTGTCTTCGGAAGGGGTGCGTGGTGGAGGAGATTCGGCCTTTGACGGAGAGGTATGCCCAGGGTGAGCTGTTCTGGGCGGCGGAGACCGTTGCTTTCTAGGGTTGCATAGGTACAATGCCTAAGGTACAGATGGAAGGCGGATCCCATCATAAGAATGAGGAGGGAAGTTCAGATAGTCAATATCGAAATTACTCGATTCCGAGTTGGAACAAAGTCAAGAGCTCAAAGTACTAATTATAACTTGGCCAGCTACCAGTCAATAGGCGTTTGTTGTGGAATGCAATACCACACGATGTATCATGTCCGCAGCAATGCGTATTAATCAAGCCCATTGTTCTCAGTGGCTCTAAGTTCTTATGCGACGGTACGAAAGCAAGGAGGCCCCCCATGAAAGCTACCAGGAAGAGGCAGAGTGCAAGGCAGAGCTCGAATCCGCAGGCACCTCGTTAGGCAGACTCGTCGCGAAGTCGTTGGTGTGTCGCGCTTCACCCAGCCTGTAGGAGGGTCGCTCCTCCACCTTTCTTCTCCAAAGTCACGTTTCTGAGGACTCACGCCACAACAGCTCCGTGGATGAGAACGCCCACTCAGACCATTCTCTGGTTCGACACATCCTGCATTCATTGACGCACCCTACTGTGCGCCCCTCCGGCTCGCGGCCAGCCAATGCCGCGCGCCATTCTCTGTACGGCCATACGGTAGAGGCGAGCTGACTGCTCTGTTCCGTGGCTCCCGCAGTCGATGTAAGCCTGTCGGTCTTTATCTCTGGGACCTCAAGATAACGTGTTCCGTGATCCTGTTAAGGTAGAGCACAACACATGCTATCCTGGAGTCTTGGGGATACTCAACGCCTTCGCTCCCGTAAAGTTAAGAAAGTTCGCCTAGGCCAGGGATCTCTGGATGATCATGGCGTTCTATGAACCGCTTCTACGTTTGAGCGAGCGACTCTGGTTCAGACTTCTGGAGATAGAGCCCGCGTCTCAACTATGCGGCGCCTTGCAAGCCACGCTCGCGACCCATGACCTCAAGCACCCTCAACTCAGGTCCCACATTCTCCTTCCATTATCATATTCAGGGGGCCTACATTTACCATCCAGACGGCAGGTCGCCTATTACGCGCCAGACAACGGGCCCTTGCCGTCTCTTCCGGGTTATATACCATGCGCCCCTCAACGGGTTCCCTAGGAGCTTGTAGCATCCTTCGCCTTATTGGGATCCCACGCCCCGTCGGTCCCACGGTGCCGCATCCATCGGCGCAGTATTGCGGTTGGCAGCCTCAGCTACGGGCAGCGACCGGCCGTGCCAGGGGTTTCCGCCTCCGTCTGCTGTCGGATGGTCATCCGCTGCAGGGCTCTGAGACACTGGCCCGGGCAGAGCTGCATCGTGAGAGAAGGAATGGGAAAGGAGAGATCGCGGGAGACTGGAAGAGAGCAGGCGTTTTTATACTGGCGCCGTTGATTGGTCCATTCTTATGGTTACACGGCACAGTTCACTTTCCATCATCACATGAGTGTGCCTAATAAGACGGAGTGATTCCTGTCTGTGGTCTGTTGGTGTCTCGAAGTCGCCAGCCTTATGGAGGAGTAGACATTGATGTCTAGGTTTTATCGGGTCAAGCTCCTTGGACCCCCCGTTCGCGGTTACTCTGTCTGTACGACGTGCGTCTGTACATACTGTACGATACCTACACACCACTGTAAGTAATTAGTGTAGTGTAAGCAGGCCTCCCATGGCCCACCCCCCCCGGTGATACCCTATCGGCGATCCACGCCCCATGCCTGTCCAAGTTGGTACTTAAGCTTGAGAGATATACCTACACTATAGGATGCCGCGTTCCGCGTCCTCCACACGTAAGCATTGGGAAACGTGGCGAAGCCCATTCCGCTGAGCTGTCCATTAAGAAACATTCTTGAGGAAGACAAGGTCCCAAAGTTAGTTACACCGCAGCGGCGCAGAATCCACGCTCAGGAGACCCGGGAGTGAGGGGGATTCAGGGTCCACAAGCGACAACCGAATCGGCCAACCGAAGCTCGTATATGCGATTCGACGTGTCGTGAAGTGGAGCCGGGCGTCAAAATCCCACCCACTGGTCGTGGTAACAGCCAATGAGTCGACGCGAACCCTAGTCCTTCTCGCGGCGTGGTGTTTCGACGCAGTAAGCTCGAGCAATAATACTACACAGTACACGTGCGTGAGCTCACTTTTCGCGGTATTTAAAGGGAGAAGGCCAAGCCTTTCCTTCCCGGCTTGGCCGTCCCTCTTGGCTCCCTTGGCTTTCCTTGGCCTCCTTGGCAATCCTCAAGTCTTTTGAGATAGGTAAACGCCCAATCACATCAGTCTCGGCCCCGAGCATCGACAATGCCCCCTTCGCAAGCCCCAGAGCCACAGCCTCCCATGGCGGCCGTCGGCGACAATGCCGTTGTCGTCCAGCAGCCGGTGCGTTGCAGCAGTCTTTCTTTCTTTACCCCTTTTTCCTTCCGTCTTGCCATTCCATCCTTGCCACAACCGTGCCTGCCCGGGGCTGAAGTGAAGTGGGATGCTAATAACTGATCTCGAACTGCAGACCCCGGAGCCACAGCCCGAGATGGCTCTCCGCGGTGGTGAGGAGGCGTCGTGCTCGATCTGCGACGGTTGCTGTTCCTGCCAGGAAGCCTGCTGCTGAGTCGAGCAAATTGCGAGGGCGTCTACCGGCGCGACCTCCTCCGACGTACCCCGATCAGGATATACTTGTTGGATGATGGAAGGCAAATAGTACTGTGCCGCGTGTGTTGCCGTTGAACACTCGAGGGTTGAGACGGATGTTGGTGTCTAGGTACTTGGTGTTTGGTTAGAGTCAGGCGTGTAGCGCTTATTCCCGGGAATGTTATCATAGATACATACAGTGCAGCCAAAAGAGTGCCTCTACGCCCTGCCCGCGTGTTACGCATGTCGATGTAGCGTCAGTATTTCCGTCGCGGGCTTCAAGTTCTTAAGCGTCTCGTATGGCAGACGTTTGCCATTCAGTTCTCATCATACATCCTCTGATTAATCTAACCAAGGCCGTTCCCACGCCTTCAAATCATTCTCCAACCGAAGGTGAAGGCACCGAGAGACTGCCCATATCCTAAAAAACCAATAATAGATTCCCCCAGGACGGCTCAAATGCTGCAATCAGCTCCCTCCCTCACAATTCCGTACTCCCTGAGCATGCCCGCAACATTAATAAATCCTCCGATAGTAGTGACGACGATAAGCCCGACCAAAACCACGCTTACCCCGATGAACGCAAAGAACAGGGCGTACGCCTTCGAACTGGTGCCGATTTTCACCTCTTTCGTCGTCCATAGCAGAGTGGACACACTGACCCAGAAGTCTGTCGGCCATCTCATGACGATGCCAACAACAAGCCAGGTCATAATCCATCCTCGCTGCGTCGGAGTGCTCTCTCCGCTGTCGAAATGGGTCAGGAGGCCGGCCACAAGAAGCGGGAGACAGCTCACGATGACCGGCGTGAGATAGCTCCGCAGGAGGGCACAAAGGCGGACAAGCCTCCCTTCCCCGTGGGGCGAGGAACTGTAGCGTTTGTATGGCGTATACCGCGGGACTATGATCTCATCGCCATGCTGTGCGCGGACGAATCTGACAACGGGAGGATAGGTGTTGCTCCCGGATATCCTTTGCAGCAGTTGGACGCCGTCGGCGGACCTTTTCACTGCGTATTCCAGCACGTTAGCATCGTCGTCCTCATCTGACACTTCCGGCTCTAGCATGCCGACCACGCCGTCAAACACACCGCCGCGCCTTCGCGCCTCCTCCATCTCGGGACTGTCGACCATATACACGGTCGGGTATTCGGCGGTCGCGATCTGCGCAACCAGGTTCCAGAGACTCATAACAAGGTAAGGGACGACGGTCAAGCCGAAGGCCGCGTAACCGTAGCGTTGGATCTGGTTGCCGCGGGAGTTGTAGAGTGTTAGGGCGGCACTTCCGGCTTGGAAGATAGCGATCAACGACTGAATCCAGGTGTAGTTGGAGCTGATACCCGGCGGCCTGCCCTTCATATCATCGCACTCCCGGCTCGGCTCAGCCCATAGGACCTTGGCCTCGTGGTGGACCGCGAACCACGAATAGCCGGGCGGCAGCAGCGCTTTGCCGTGCAGCTTATGTGGATTCCGTAGGGTATGGGCCGAAAATGACCCTGGCGCGGACAGCAAGTCGTCGTACGAGAGGAGATCGTCGGACGAGACAGATACACCGGCAGTCGTCGGGGTGGCCGACTCAGACGTGTCTACTAGGACACCGTCTCTGTGTGAGGGCCCCGAATGATCGCCAACGCCTCGGCCTTCCGCAAGCAATCCGGATCTTTCAGCTTCGACCATTTCCATGGCCACGCTGTTCCCAGGCTTGCGCCCAATCGGACTAGGCCCCGAATGTGACTCCTCGCGGTAGAGTAGACGGATGATACCCAGCGCTGACAGCGCCGCCAGCACACCACTGTCGTTCTTGGACCTCTTATCCCCCCTCTTTATACCATTGCAGCCGCTCAGTAGTACTGGCCTAATCCGATCACCCGCCTCCGGCCTCCATTCCCGGTTCCGAACCAGCAGGCGGAGAGCCCCCGCGGCTACCGCGCGCTCCAGCTCGTTCCTGTTTCTTCTGAAGCTTGGATGCCGCAGGATCCAGAACAGAGCCCTGCTGATCCCCGACGAGGGAAGGAAGAGGGCGAGGGCCGTCCCCAGAACGATATCCAGCGTGGACGATCCGGGGTACGTCCTGAAGGTCGCGCAGTGGGCGAGGTAGTTGGAGGCGAAGAAAGTGAAAATGGGCCAGGCCGTTGCCACGCGGCACTGTGTCGCATCTGAAGGTTGACCCGCGTCGAAGCGTGGGGGTTATTCCGTGATCGGGGCCATAGTAAAGTGAGAATAGGCACCACTAGTGGTATCTATCTCGTCATCTCAATACTCGATGCCATGGACTTTGGGACGGAAAAACGGCTCCAGAACCGACGGGGGAAGAGCAGTGCTATTAGGTATCAAGGCAGGCAGGCCTGCAGTTGCCCCTGTTTTGGTTGCTCACATTTACATACGCGCCCTGAAGACGGTCCAAAATGTGAGACAAATGCATGTGCAGAGACGGAAACACAAGTGAGGTATCAGTTTCTGCTGTTGTTGGCGGAGCTCACAGTGTCACAACAAGTGTCACACAGACTCACACTACCGTCTGTGTGACAGAATTGCCGCTCTCAGGACGCCAATGGCGGCGACCATCTCGCTGGGCAAAAATCAATGTCTTGCTTCTTAGACATGGGCGGCATTCTGGTGGCCCGACCAAGAGTAGGGGGCCGCGCTAACATGGGGGGCGTCTTCTAATCTAGGCATCGTACGAGCAGGTCCGATCGCCATCGAGAAAGTCCAAGTTGTACCTAGTCACAGGCAGAGAGCGGAGATTGATGAAGTTGACCCAGTGAGGTTACTGTTCCGAAAGGAGATGTAGGAGTCCCTTAACGTTGTTGTTGAGTTGCTATTCATCGCATCCCGTTCTCCCTCTACGTACATTATGTTCGCCTCGCGGACGGGTTCGACCAAGATAGGGCGGAGCGATACCGGGTTCAAGCCGGGCTGTTTGCAGCCGGCTTTTGGAGATACTTTGATACCAACGGTAAGTGATCCGGCGCTCATTGACATACCTGCGCTGTCTATGATGAAGCCTTGCAAGAGTAGGCGCCGCGGTCCCATTCGGACGCAGCCTCACCTTATCGCTATGCATTTGCCGCCTTCTGGGCAGCTGTCGCCTTTGCCAACGTGCCCCTCCCGCCACCGCTCGACCACCCCGGCGTGACCAAGGGCTTGCTGCTGCGGCATCTCCGCTGGTGGGCGCGGCATCCCGACATTTCAACACGGACGGCAAGCGCAACATCGGCTATACTTATCCAAACATGTACATGTCGGGGAACTACAACTTGCCATAGTCCGTCTACTGGTGTGTGAAGAGCTTTATCGTGCTCTACCTCCCGGAATAGCATCCCTTCTGGAATTCCCCGGAACTGCCGCATCGCCTGTCCGCAATCCACGGTCCGTGCCGGGATCTGCCGGCCGTGGAGCCGCTGTGGCCCCTTCGCCATATCCTCTGCAGCCTGCCAGAGCACCACTTCATGCTGTCAGCCGGCGAGTGCACCGAAAAGGACCACAAGGGACGCGAGGCCAAGTACGACAAGTTTGCCTACACATCCGCCTTCGCCTTCAGCGTGCCGAGCGGATCCCTTCTCGGACAGCTCGTGCCCGACAGCACGCTCTTTTTGAGCATCGACGGCGGCGAGTCGTGTCTCTCTCAAGACCTCCATCAGCGTCGGGGACGGGGGGGAGTTGCCGGCCTTCGTCACCAACTGGAAGCTGTGGCGAGACGTCAACTTGCATGTCGAGACAAGCCTGATCTCCCCCGCGAAGAAATGGGTAGGGTGGCATTTCCGCATGCACACGCTCACTTGGCGCCCCGCACGGTTGGCCGACAGCCGAGTCCGGTCCTGGCAGTACATCGATGCATGGTTCTCCATCTCGACGGAAAAGGACGGCGTTTCCATCTTTGAGACGGCGTGTTTTGGCATGGAACCCCTACGCCACGCGGCCGCATCGTCTCTGTCGGGGTGGTGAGCGGACAATGACGCCGCCTTGGTGATGTCACAACCAGGCGCATGTGGCGCCGCAGTGGTGACTATCAGGGACCAGCAGACGCGGCAGCCCGGTTTGGGTAGCAACGGATCCAGCAGCCACACGTTTCAAGCTGCCGCACTACGGTCCGATGCCAACACCAACCTCATATCATCGAGGACCATGCTGCCCTGTGTCCGACACAACTTTGAATTCTCCTCTACTGATATGCAGGAAGCGCGTCAGCCTGATCAAAAAATGTCGGCCACATTTGCCCTCGCGGTATTCGCGGTGGCCCAGTCTCCCGGGTTCGGCAAGGAGCGTCAGTGGTCCCTGTGGCTCGACAAGCAGACCGAGATTCACTTGCTAGACACCAGGACATTGGATATCAGATGAGGGCACGTTAGCAGGCAATCTCCCATCTGGCTTGTCCGTATCGACTTCAGGCTCCTTCACCATGTTCGCTCCAGGTTTGAGAAACCTCGTCTCGCCCATTGGCTGGTTGGCTATCCACCGAAGCATGTGGTACGCATCGGTTGTTGGTTCGTCGCTTCGGAAGTTGAGAAGCCGGGACTGACGCAACATGAGGGATTGGCCATTGAAGTGGAACTGCGTGATCCGGCCGAACTGATCATGTTGAAAAGAAAACACGAGAGCCTATGTATTGCCAGTTGAGCGGAGCCAATGGAGGGAGGGGTTTCACCAGGAAAGGGAAGGGCTCACGGGCAAAGTATGGTGTTGGCGAAAGTCACCTCGACGGAATTGTTGCTTCAGGAGCCAAATGGCAGCGGCCACCTCGCTCCGCAAGGCATCTTGCTCACCCGACTCGGTGCTGTCCAGAACCGTGGCTCCAATGTGTGGCTTATCCGCTGAGGGATCCTGAATGAGGAAGACCATGCTAACATGGAAGCTATACGGGCGCGGGGGATCTCCGACAAGCGTACCGCGCGGGTTACGAATTGGATGGTTGCATCCAGGGGGAACCAAGTTGCACGTGCTGTTTATTTAGCGGGGAGGTTACCGCACGAGAGCCGTTCTTTGACTCGCGAATGCGGGATGGGAGGACGTACTGTAGGCAATCCCAGCCCAAGCCATGCCAGACCGCCGGGCATGTTACTTCGTCGGGATGACAACATCCCATCCCTGTCATCTCCAAGAACCATTCCAGTCTGAAAGCGGCATGTGTCATGGGACAGCAAAGCGGATGCCGGTCCTCTGGGTCATAGCGGTTGCGGCCTTCGAGATCTTGGAGACGTTCAGAAAAACTAATGTAAGAGAAGAGCCCCGCCGGCATCTCTTTGGCCAGGCGGGGAGGCCACCAGACGCTCCACGTTCGGCGACGAATTCGACCGTCTTTTGCTGTGCTTGTTCGAGTGTGAAACGAGGGTAGAAGAACCGCGGGCCAAAATCGACAGAATGTTCCTCCACGTCGAGCGGCGCAAGGTTCCGTATGTTGAGCGCTTGCAGGTGCTCGTCGCTCAGGATATAGACATCGTCGGCAAAGCTTTCAATTTCTTCATACACGCCATCAAGACATTCAACGGATTGGCGTTTGAAGTCCTCGATTTTGCGATCTGGCTCCATTGCAATGTACTCCGTAGGGGAAAACGAAAGGGTTAGAATGAGCTAGTATGGTTGCGGTAAATCGGTTGTACACAATGGTTGGTACGACGAAAAAGGATTGAGTTGCTCACGGGTCAGGAAGAAAGCGCAGTTCTGAGGTACATGAGACCCGAATCCGATAGCCAATCAGTCGGGGCAACCCGAAGAGCATGGGGCGAGCGGCTGCGATCTGGGAGTCAAATTTTCAATCAATCAAATTCCCTCTTCAACTCAGTAACGTAGAGAATCATGCATGCTACATGAGCGATACCATTACAAAGACGGCAACTTGTATTAGCGTTGAGTAGCGACTACGAGCCAATTTTTCCGGAGCCCAGCCCAGATTCGATCCGAGTTCCGACCAAACAAAACAGGAAACCACAAACCATAATTGGATCCAGGCCTCGAGGCTTGCCCGACAGTGATGCAGTTGAAATAAAGGTACTAGATACCCTCCAACTCTCTGTCGATGCTCCATTCGTCTACCGTTCCTCCAAACTGGGTTGGATTTTCAAGCTGTAACGCCTTGAGGGATCGTGTATGGTTCTAAACTTCTAATTGGCACGCGTATCTCTTCTGTTTAAAGAGGCGGGAGATACCTAGGTAGCCACTTCATTCCGAACTCAGCGGAATAGGCCCTGCCTTCCAGCACCAGCTCAGGTGATACCGTCTTGTTGATGCTGCATATGTGGCGGCGGATCGATGGTGCTCGAGAGACAAAGCTCGGGTTAAGCTACTGTACTAGGAGCTTGGTATCTTGGAATAACCTGGAAGTAGTATATAATGATACGCAAACTTGTGGCCTTAGCTTGCTGCACCATCAGCGGTTCAGCAGCCAGTAGAGGAATACAGTGGGCTGACCAAGGCAGGTTGGTATGTAGTGCACAAACTATAAACAGAAAAATGCCTCCGATGGGTGCCTGTATACCACCAGCTCAAAGACGCCTTGTTTGGGTCCCGCGGGACTCCCACCGGCTTCAATATACTCATGATGTAAAGCAACACGCCTTACGTCTCCCTCGCGCCAGACCGGGTTGACAATCGCGAGCATCCCCTGAGGTCTCCCTCCCAACATACACAAGAACTATGATTCACAACCCATAGTCCGAGTCACGATACTTCGAGTATGTCCAACACTCAAAACTATCCCGCCGCCCAGCCTCACCCACATCATCCCACCCTCCCAATTACCGATCGTTCATGGCAAAGTATAACAATATCACAGGCCACCCGGCCGACATCAGAAAGGCGGCGAGGATGCCGAACAGGTTGACGCCCCGCTCGCCGTCTCTCCCCGCCCAGCGGCGCAGCAGCGCGACGGCACACCAGATCATGCCGATGCCGTAGAGCGAGCAGGCCCAGAGGATGCCGAGGATCGTGTCGCTGGTGCGGTCCCAGGGCGCGAGGGTCGCCTTGGAGGTGTCGGCGAACTTTTCCGAGAGCGAGAGGTTCTGGCCCATTTTGACGGTTTTGTGGATGGGACTGTTCGGTTTGAAAGGTCGAAAGGGTCCGTTTGTGGTTTTTCTTACGCGGGATGAGGTGGTTTTGTTGTTGATGACGCAGGCAGCCAGCCGACCAACAGGTTTCGATAAAACTTGCGTAAAGAACAGGTCTGACCAGCGACTCGAGAAATAGATTGGCGTATTACAACACGCAATATTAAACGAACGTCGTAGAAAAAGTACGAGTCAGTGTCGAAGTGAACGGGACTGCGGCTTGGCGACCAGCACTCTCTTTGCCCAACAACGAGCGTCCTCCCCGAGACCGTGAAAGAGAAGCAGTTCAGAATGAGGAACTATCAGACATGGGAAGAGAGAAGGGAAGGATCAACTTGAAAGAAAACATTGGCCAGCTTCTGGCCAAAGGCCCGCAACAAGCGCCATGAACCACAGGATGCGGATCGCGGAACTTGGAAAGGGAGCAAGTCTGGAGATCTTACACAGGGGTGGGCCGCTGGTGATGATTGGTCGCCGCCAAGAGGTGCGACAATTCGCGTGCCTCGAAACCTTGAACTTGAGACGAAAGGTGAGGCAGCCCCCAGGTCACAAGCCCACAACCCCTGGTCAGGGTAGGAGCGCTAAGCATTTTTAAGCTTAATCGGAAACAGGCTGTGACACCACCACCACAGCACAGCCTTTTATGGAGATCTTGGAACTTTCCCATCATGAGATGTTCACAATCGGATCGTGCTTGAGCTAGTACACTATAGTGTAGGCTCCTAGGACGAGACGAAAAATCAGGGGCAAAGCTGCAATATCAGACGACAGAATTGACAACACTTTTGACAGAATCACGTGGACCCCATTTTGCGGGCCATTACCCTGCCAAGCCGCAACAAACATCCGACGTTGACCTTGGCACTTTGGTTGGCACCTTGTCGACACCATGCGATTCCATGTTTCAACTTTCAGGCCTCTCGCAGAGCGGATGAAATCCAGATCACGCGCATCACGGACATACGGCCCTCGGTTGGGTGTCTCCCAAGACGTAAATAATGTTACGCCACAATGAATCAATTCATTTCTCACCAAACAACAATAACTCGAGCATATCGTCATCTTCCACGCTTCGCCATTACATTGCCCACGCCGAAATCACAGCAGACTGGACCGCACCAAAAACAAACAAAACAAACTCAATGGAAAGCTTCAGCGTTCCTCCTCAATCATAACGTTATATCATGCAGACCGTATCACGCATTATATCTCGTCACCTTCCTCCACCCTCGACCCTTTCAGGTTCTCTCCACGCAATCTTTCTCTCCCCCGTCTCCTCCTCCCCAGGCTCCCCTACACCTGGCTCAGAACCGCCTACTCCAACCCCTTAAACCTCCGATTAAACTCATCCACCGCAACCGCCACCATGCGATAGATAAACGTCCTCCCACTCTCCTCACCGATGGGTATAAACGGACCATTCGTCCCGCCACGCAGCGTCAGGCTCAGCCCCGTGCGCTCCTTGGCAATGGTCTGGACATCCTTGAGCGGGACGTCCCACTCCGTCTGCAGGCGCCTGCTGCGCACCAGCAGGATGCGCGCATACGTCACCATGACCACCATGTCCTCGGTGGGCAGCTCCAGGTGCGCAATGTACTGCTCGTCAAAATACTTCCCGTTGTCGACCTGCTTGAGCCAGCTCTGGCCGAGGGCCTCCCGCTGGTTGTAGGGGCGGACGACGCCGTCGGCGGGGATGTAGCGCGGTAGGCGGACGCGGTCGAGCTCGGTGCCGTCGAAGACGGTGGTCGTGTTGCGGACGCCCTCGGAGACGTTGGAGGCGAAGTCGAGCACGCCGATGGCCGGCTTCGTCGCGAGTCCCACCACGCCCTTGCCGATGCCCTTAAAGAAGCCCAGGGCGCCCTCCTGCTCGGCGCCCTCGAGCGGCTTGCGCGCCAGGCCGCCCACGCCCGAGGCAACCGAGGTGAAGAGGCTGTTGGCGCCGGCCGTGACGCCGAAGAGGGCGTGCTTGGGCCGGTTGCGGGCGCGCGTGATGCGCCGGCGGTCCTGGAATTGCTTGTCCATGGTTGCCGCGGCGAGGCCCTTGGCGAAGCTGCCCGTGACTTTGGAGATGGAGTCGGTGAAGCCGTAGACAGACTTCTTGAAGAAGGATCCTGCTCCGCGGGCGAGACCGAGGCCGAAGTCTTCGGGCTTGTCGGACATGATGAGACCCTGGTACGGCTCGTAGAAGATGTCGGCGAAGCCTGAGCTGATGTTGTTGAAGAGCCCCACTGGGTTGCCGAGGAAGTCGGCACTGCCCAGGATCTTGTGAATCTGGTACAGCGCTTCCTGGCTGTAGTGGTTGGAGATGTTCTGGATAAGGACCGGGATCGAGACGCGCACGTTCTCGAGCATCAGCGCGTTGAACCGCACGGGCGCATCGTTGATGTTGCCCAGGGCCATGGTCATGACATTGAAGAAGAACATGACGGGGTTCTTGGACGATGTCTTGTCCTCCACGTTGACTCTCTCTGTCCGAACAAACGAGAGGTCCAGCTGCATCGGTTGGATGTTGAGGACCTCGAAGTAGATATCTCTACCCGACTGCTGCTGCTTCGGCTGCGGTATGTCGATGTTGTCGTCACACAGCTTGTCCTTCTCGTCCGTCGACGACCAAGAAGCACCGGGAATCTTGGAGAACTCCAAGACTGCGTAGATGAAATCCTCATCGAGCTCCACCGTCATTTCCTGCAGAAGGACAGTGGCGTACTTGATGTACTCGACACCGTACGAGTCGTCCTTGACACGGGTCACCATGGCGTGCAGTGATGGATGTGCCTCGACCTCCTGGGCCCTCTTTGGAACCACGCTAGGGTAGAGAATCATGGGGAAGATGCCGCCATAGAGCTGGTTGTCGATCTGGATCCACTTCACCGCCAGGCTCACGGTTTGATACAGGGGCGAATCGCTGTACCGGAGCTGAACATCCCTGAAGGTAATGTAGGCCAGTTCTTTCAGCTGGGAGTTGATGAGCGACACGCCGATCCCGGACAGGCGCAGCTGCGCCCTGAACGTGGTGTGTGTGTCAAGCTCTTTCGCTTCGAAGCCTTCGCGGCTGCTGGCCGAGCCTGCATTGGATCGCTGCCGGTACAGACTCTTAGACTGCTTGAAATTGGACAGTATGAGGGTCTGCGTTGGCCCGTCAGCAGTCACGTTGATGTCGATGATCTTGGTCTGGCCGTTTGTGCCGATGAACTTCATGGGCATTAAGTTTCCGATCTCGGCTAGCTTCACATGCCGCTCCTTGTTGTACGCGCTGATGCACACTTCCTTGTACTTGGCAGCTGGGAAGTCCCACGCATACGGCATGATACTCCGTGGCGGGAGGCGGTACCGGACCGGGCGCCATCCCGAGCGGTCCTCGATTCCATCCTCATCGATAGTGGGGTTGACCTGATAGAAGGTGAACTCGGTGTCGCTCTCGTTGCGCATGGAGAATGGCCAGTTTCTCTGTTCCATGCTGAGGTTGAGGAAGATGGTAGCATCTTCCATCAGAATCTCCACCCGGATAAGTCTCTGACGCTGGCCTGCCCTGGCAATCTTGAGGTGCGTGACGCCCAGGTCCGAGATGTTGAATGGGGCGGTCCACTGGTTGTCGACGCCGGGGTAGCAGAGGCACAGTTGCTTGACTGCACCTCTCTGGAGGTAGTGAAGCGGCTGCAACGACCCAGCCTTGAGCGTCATCAAGCTCGAGGAGCTTGGTTCGCGGATGTTGATGTCCTCGCCGAGCTTGTTCTGGATCACATATCTCGGAGCGAGAGTCACCGTCTTGATCATCTTGTATTTGCCCCGTCCTGAATCCACGGTAATGCCGAGGTGAGTCTCTGCGTTCTTGCCCGCAGTTTGGAGGACTACTTCGGTGGTGCTGCCGATGGCGTCGAAGCTTTGCGGTTTGCTCCACTCGGAAGTACCAGCCCTCAAAACTGCTCGGTTCCTGTGGTCATCGCTGTTGAACGAGAACATCATTGGCCGTGCCTTGGCCTCGTTTCCGTCGCCGAGGTCGATGAGCGACTGGCTTGCCGCCGCCGCCTTCGCGTGTTGCATGAAGCCCTTGTAGCGGACACTCACGTCCAACCCGGTCTTGTTAAGGACGACATATGGGCTGTAGACCTTCACCTTGAACGCGCCGCCGCCGTCCGGGATTCGGAAGTAGTGCAGCCTGAGGTTCAAAGCCATTCCGGCGTCGTCTCTGCACACAAGGTGGGTTTCCTTCTTGAAGTCCTCTGTCGAGCCGGCGTTGATGATGGCAAACTCGCTTGTCTTGAACGTGGTGTCTTGCATGTCGACGCTCAAGAGCAGGAGGTGGGACAGCTCAACGACATGCACGGGGCTGACACCTCCCTTGCGCAGGAAGTTTGACCAATCCCTTTTGGTGTTCTTATCGTAGATCCGGTACTTGAAGTCATACGGCAATAGGTTCTCCAGAGTGACGGGCGCGGAGAGCTTCACTCGCATGTACGGATAATTCCTGTTGCTTACGGTCAGCTGCTCTCACGTGTCACCACAGAACTCATGGAACATGGCTTACCTCGTCGTGGGGTTGGCTCTGTCCCACCGAGCCGACATCTGGATGTAGAATGGCTCGCTGTTTTCCCCTTTGCAGACCAAGGTCTTCGTCGGCCGCTTCAGCAGATCCTTCCACCACAGCACGTCGGTGCTCCACCCGTAGCCAAAGCCGGGGTCGGGGCGGACGAGCAAGCTCTTCAGGTATGCGGCGCCGACCGGAGCCGGCCGGCTCTCACCAGGCGCAATCTTCTCAATCTTGAGTAGATGGCCTTCGCGTGCATCGTACACGCCGAGCTCGACCGGGAGATCGGTCTCGTTCTCCACCAGGAGTGGGCTACGCAGCGTGACATACTTGACGTTGTCGGTGCCGAGCTTGATCTCAACGAGCAACTTGTGCAAGACTTGGTCGGCCTTGGGCTTGAGCGCGTAGAGGAATTCGCCTTCTCGGGTGAGCCGGATGTTCTTAACCATGTCGAAGCCACTGCCCTCGAGCTGGACCGACACGCTGTTCGCGCTGCTGCTCTCGGTGAGCAGGCTCTCTCTCATCTTCTCCCAGTCCTCAAAGCTCCATGGAACCTCCTCTCCATCGGCAAGATGCAGGGAGATGGGTTCATTGCTGCTTTGTTTCTTTGCCTGGAGGACAACGTCGAAGCCGGTGTAGTTCCGAAGCCGGTAGGGAGCCTCAACACCGCGAGGCTTGGAGAGCACATCTTGGTCCTGAGAGAGGAAGGCGAAGGATTTGGAGAAGAGGGCGATGCTGGCAGTTGTGATGGTCACGTCGAAGTTGCGCTTGGACGACACGTCAACCGACAGAATGCCGGTCCTCTGATCTCGAGCCACCCCGAAGCCGACTTGCCAGGGTTCGATGAGAGGCTCCCACGCGGACTTGGCGAAGTTGTAGACGTTGGTGTACATCTCGATCGCCGTTTCGGCCTTCAAATTAGAAGACCAGTTTTCGGCATTGGCCGTAAAGTTCTTGACGCTCATGTCGAGGATGGGAAGTTCATGGATGTCACCGAGAAGCACAACCCGGACCCCGTCCACCGTGAGAGTGAGCTCCTCGTGCCTCGCAGGTGGCTTGACAATATCGTGAGGCGGCGGGGGGACTCCTCCCACCTGCAAGGCGCTTCCCGCGCTATTGCTCGTTCGCCTCGTGCGCGCGGCCACCGTCGACGTTCCCTTGCCACTCGCGGTCCTCTGCTTCAAGCCGGCTGCCTTGAGTTGCTTAGCCTTCCGATCCGACGCCTTTGCGACCGCGTCGACAGACTGGGCCCCTGACAACTCAGAGGCCTTGGCGACGGTCTGCATAACAAGAAGGATGTCTCGCAGCGACAAACGCAGGATGAGGGGCTCAATGTCAGCATGAATTTTGGTCACTGACGGTTGTGAAGTGTCCATGGATACCTGCACCGAGAAGTCGTCAATGATCCTCAGTCGGGTGTCGTCGAAGCGATCCATGCGGCACAGAAACATTCCGCACTGCGAAATCGTGAAGGTAAGGGCGTGCTGCTGCGACAAAACAACCTGCTTCGTTCCTAAGACGATCGCTTCCGAGCTCGCACTCAGCGGATTGGCGATCAAGATGACTTGAGCATCGACTACGTTGACCCGATACGCAAATGTCATTCTTGGCTCATCCGCCTTCGACTCCTGCTGCTGATTGTTGGGCTGGGTCGCCCGACCGCTGCTGCTCCCGGAGCGCCTTGAAGAGAGTTGGGCGTGCACAGACTCGCTATCGCTCATCTCCTCCGGACTCTCCAGCGGACTCTTCTCAGGAAATCCCGACTCGTTTATCTGGGTGCCGACTGTGACGAATTTCTGGATAGCAAAGACGTAATCCAGGGCAAAGATGAAGCGGGGGCTATCAATCGCAACCACGGTGATGACGTTTCTCTCTTTGCCGCCGGACATGGTGATGCTAGCCATAAGCTGCTCAACGTCTGTGTTGCTACTCGTCATGATGCGTCGGAATTTGTTGGTCTCGCGATGCCGCGTGTCGTAAATAGTTAAAGCCTGGATGACAAACTCGGCCTCAAGGCTGCCGTTGGAGTCCATCCGTGTCTTGAGACGACTGGAGTTGAGGCTGAACTTTGACAGACTGGCTGCAACGAGGTCACCGACAGGAGCATCCTCTGGAGCGTTGATCAACTCCAGGCCGATCTCGTTGACGGTGAAGATGAGGTCCAATTTCGTCCAGGCCTCCCCGTGGGTTCCGAGTTCAGGGCTCATGTCGATGAGCTTCTCGTTCGTGTTTCCGCCGCCGTAACCGGGCATGGTTCTAGCACGTTGGAGAGTGGCGCCGTCAACATCCCGCTCAGCCTCGGCCGTGTGCTGCTCAGAATCCCCGGCAAAGGCGGCCGGCGCTGATCTAGAAATCTCGAGGAGTGCACTGAGCTGGTACGGGGTGATGCGCAGGTTGAAGTCTGTCATGGAGCCTTGGATCTCCAGTTCTGGCCGCTTGACGTTGTCCTTGTGCTCGGCATATGTGATATTGAACCCCAGGTCGACACGGTCGATGAGTTCCAGCTCCTCCTCGCGGTCACCGGTGTAATGGAAGTTGGAAGTCAGTCTGATGTTGCGAATGCCAGCTGAGAGTTTCATGGCTATGTCCGAGTCCTTTGAGTCATCCAGTGGCGCGAACTTGTTCTGGGCGTAGATCTCTCCGAGATACGCCGTGACGACATCCCGCTTCGGCCTCCCCGGGACGAGCGCGCGGGGGAAAACGACGATTGGAGTCTTGACGATGACGTCGAACTTGATCCGGTTCTGGCTCTGCTGAAACTGGTTGGCCTGGTTGGCAGCGGCTTGTCGTGCGGCATTGTAAATGGCCTGCATTTTGCCGAATTTGACGAGGAAAGCCACAATCTTGCGGAAAGGCTCTTCGACAAAGTTCACCTTGACGGAGCCGGCTCGGAGATAGATGGATGAATCATAGCCCGGATACTGCTCAAACTTCGAAGGATCAAACGTCTCGTAGCGGAAGTCAGCAAGTTCCTTGCCTTGGATCGTAACGAGCTGACGCAGGCTGGAGTCTTCCGAGACACCGAGATTAACGTCGTCCACAAGGCTCAAATCCCCGAGCTTTGTCGAGACCCGCATCGATCGGCCGAGGATGAAGACGCCAACATCGGCATGGTTGAAGGACAAGGTGGCCAGCCTGATACCGTCGTTATTCAGGATCAGACGGATACTCTTGAGGTCCACCTTCACTCTGATGGCGCCGGTTTCAGGCTGCTCGCCTGGAGAAGGGGATTGCTCTTCCGCCTCGGCGTCGTCCTGGGACTCGTCGTCCGAGATGGCCTTTTGGGCCGTTCCATCGGAAGGTTGGTTGTTAGTGAACGTGACGAGGATAAAGTCAAGAAGTGTGAGCAGCGTTTTGCGCGTCACTACCAAGTTGATGGTAGAGATGGCGACATCAACATTGGTCTCAATTCCTTCGTAGACGGTCATGAACTCCGGCGATTCTTTCTTGACCCGCACAAACTTGACCAGCACGAGATCTCTTGCCTCTCGGCGATCGTCGACATCACCGGAAGACACGATCGACTTGAACTCGGCCGGCGGGTTCTCCACGAAGTCATCCATGGTGACCGAGCCTAGCGAAACCTCGGCGCCCATGTCATACGGCCGGAGATGGAACTCGACACCGAAGTGCTCGGCAACGAGCTCCACAAGCAGCTGGTCGGGACTTCTCCTATCGGGATCGCTGCGGTACAGAGAGCCCTTGAGTTGGTCCACCGTGAACTTGAACTCGACAATTCGCTGCTGTATCCTCAGCTGCTCGTCGGACGAGCCATCCTTGGCATCCTCGAACCTGTCATCGTCGTCGTCATCGAGGTCGTCATCGATGACGATGGCCTCCTGCTGGGCTGGGAATGACAGGAACTGCGACGATAGCCTAGCCTCGGTGCCCCTCCTCGGCCGAGACGATGCGCTGCTCGCAAGTCGTGGTCTCTTAGTGGGTGTGTCGTGCTGTGGGGGCCGCGACTGCTCGTCGCTGTCAAGCTTGGGGATGGCGGCATCGATAATCCGCATCAATGTCTTGTATTTGGAATCGGATGCAATTGCATGAAGAACAGGCATGTGTCCAGATATCCTGAATTTGGTGAGATTCGGGGCTCGGGGGAGAATCGATGCCTCGACAACAAAGTCGACGTTGATCTTGTCAACGACATGGAACATGACGTTATCGTCCTTTTCCACCAGCTGTTGCTTAGTTTCTTCCACGGACGGCCCAATTAGAAGCTGGGTCGAAGTCAACTTGACGAGGAAACGGTCGTACATCAGCGACTCCAGCCGTTTAAGATCTTCGTCGGTGTATGCCTGCGACTGCTTGGACTGGATGTCCTTGCTGGTCTCCTTGTCAACAAGCTCGCTTGTGACGCTGATGTGACCCGCATCGAGAATCAGGCATGGCGACCTGTCGCTCGCGATGGTTTCTGGGACGATGATAAGAGGGGCCTGAAGGTCCAACTTGGCGTTGACGGTCTTGTGCTCCTCGAGTGCGAACTGCAGCCCGGCTCTTGTCTGCTCACGAAGGCCTTCAACCGTCGCGCTCGCTGTCTCCATGAGAGCATTGATGGATTCCATGTGGCGCTCTGGGGGCCTGAAGAAGTCCACAACGCCGATGACGACATTTGGATTCCAGATGATCTCCAGAGGCCTCAGTTTGGCAGTCACAGCAATATCACCCTGCTCATCCAGGGGGTTTTGCTCCAGCTGGAATTGGAAGAAGGCCTCGTCGCTGATCTTCTCGAGGTCCACGATGGACAGTCGCTTTTGTGTGCTCCCTGTTGATGCGTCCTTGACTCTGACGATCTCCTTGTACAGGCTTCTTGGAGTCGTGCCATCATTGACTCGAAGGCCGCCCAGGCTCAGGTCGACCAAGAAGGAATCGGGCCGCTTGAGGCCCTTTGCCTTGAAGACATCGAAGTGGAGGCTGATGAGTTCCCGGGTGGCGCCCTGCGGGCCCTGTTTGAGGGTGAAGCTGCCGGTGCTCAGGGATGTCTCGATCTGCATCTTGACACTGTCTCTTGGCACGTCAACCTCTGCAGCGAGCGCTGTCTTCTCATCCCAGTCGATAACCTCGTAGAGCTCTCTCCGTTGCTCCTCTGTCATCTCAGTGTTCTCTGTTTCGTCCTTTACCTCATGCTGCTGCGGTTTCGCGCCCCACACCCAGGACAACCAACCCTGCTGTTGATGCTGCTGCTGCGGTGGCGGGCGGTTCTTGAGCGCTTCGGCATTCTCTTTCTTGAGCTGGTTGCGGGCCAGGGAGCGCCAGAAGCGGAGATCCTCGTAGCTGAGCTTCCACTCTAACCTGTTCAGGTCGTCGCTCTCTTCCGGCGTCAATTGCTGGCTCTGTTTTGTCTTCTTGAATAGCTCAATGTAGCGGAGCCTGTCATCTCTGCGTTCTCGGAAGTAGTCCCATGACCACCGGCGGTTCCGCTCGTGGATCTTGCCCAGGATGGCATCGCCCGCAAACCTCAGCCAGGCACGCGGGTCCTCCTTCGGCGTGACACCCTTGGGCTGGTACTTCTTGTATTCCTGGTGGCGGATAAAGTAGTGGAAGAGGTCAACCATCATCAGAGCGTCACGATACTGCTGGTCGTCCAGCACTAGGCCGATCTCGTCAAAGAGCAGGTTAGCCTTGAACTTAGGGACTTGTGGACTCCCCGTCTTGTCGAGCTCGAGCTTTGCCTGGCCCGAAACGGGCTTCAGAATGAACTGATGACCCGCAGAGTCGGCAGTTTCGCCTCTCGCGATCATGAACTTGAGGTTCTGCAGCATTTCGTCGTGCGGGGTGGCCTCGACGCCCGGCGTTCGCGCCTCTCGGCCGGGGCCCATTAGCTTTGTATCCGTGTTCCAGTAGACCGCCAGAGACTCCAAAGTGGCCAGCTTGTGCGTGGTCTTGGAGGAGTCTTGGATGAATGTTGGCTTCCACTCCCCGTCAGTGCTGACAGCGCTGAACTCTTCAAGCGTAACGCCCAACGCGAATGGATGGCCCGGCGCGGAGATGGCATCTTCATAGCGGATGTGGATATTCTTGACGCTGACTTGCAGATTGTCGACGATTTTGGTGACGAGGCTCTCGGTAAAGCTCTGGGTGCGTTTCTGCTCCTCCTGACTGAGACCCATCTGCGTTCTTTCCTTCAGCAGCTCAGCTGAGTCGAGCTTTTCCATCTTGATCCTCTGCTTCCGGCGCTCCTCCTCCTCTTCATTGTATTCGGCCTCCTCCTTGGGCGACGCGAGCAGGAAGACATCCTCGATGAAGACCTTGACAGGGGCGCCGCGGAGGTTGGACCATGGGATGACCAATGTAAGGTGCCCTAGGTGCCCCTCCACGACGTTGATGGGGAGCTTAAGCTGGTCGAGAGCCTCACGACGCAGCTCCAGATTGCTGAGCTTGACATCTCCGGACCAGATGCCGACCTTGAGCTGTGTTGGGTCAAAGTTCTTGACATACATGCCCAAGAAGCGGTTCAACAGCCCCGCGACCAAGCCCTCCAGCATCTTGACGGTGGGGTGCCGTAACCCAGGCGGGGGGGTCGGAATGTGTGTCTATCGCGCGCGTTGCAAGGGCTTCATGTGGCGGCGCCGTCAGGGCGGGGAAGGAACAGGGTATTGGAGGACGATGTGTGCGTTCGTCAGAGTATTGCTGCAAGCGTCTCGAATTTGTGTACCATTCGATTCGGGCGGTGCGAGGAGTAATAGTACTGTCCCAATGTCAGCATGTATGATCAGACTCGAAGCACAAAGGTGGGGGAACCACGGAGAGAACGGACACCCAGGGAAGAGCATAAAACTCGCCTACATCCGTGCAGAACTGGCAATGTCCTTGGCGAGGAGTTAAATCTGCCTCTGGATTGCAGGCGAGGAAGTAAGCAGGCAGCAGGCTGGTTTTACAAACTTCTCACGTTGTCTGCCCATGACGATAGATCGTCTCCTTGCTCGGTTGCTGCCCACCCGCAAACCCAAAGCTCGAGCCGCTTGACCCTTGGCAAAGATTTGGCACCCCAGGGGGTGACTGTTTGCTGAGCAGCTGGTACCTAGGTAAGTACGGTACCTAGTTCTTAACGTCCCAGTTTCCAGCAACAGTACTACCCAAGGTACCCTTCACTATGTGTGGGCTTTAGGTGCAGTCTGCGCTAAGAATTGCGTAGTGTATTCCGCTTGCTTTCCCATATGTTAAGAAAGTGCATTACACCGTACTTGCAACCGGTTCGAAAATGAACAATTGGAAACACCAGATGATTAGATTCACGGATGGGGTCCGTCTAATGGGCTCTTGTTCGCTCCTTCAGACGAACCCCACTTTGAGAACCATTACGTCATAGCTCGGCTGCTTGTCCATCGCAGCTACCAAAACATGGAAACAGTTGACTTGCTTGTCCCACGGCTACTAAGTAGTAGTTCAGGTCATTTCTTGGTGTTGCTCTCGGGTTGACCATGCTTCTCTATTCTTCGTTCGGCCAACACCATCAGCTCACCTACGGATTGTGCCTAGTACACGATCAGGCCAATCTCCGCTCTCAATTGCATACGCAACCCCCGTGATTACTTTCCCCTAACCACTCGCTGTAAACAAAAGGAGAAGAACAGACAAGCCAAGAAATCCTACCATGTTGTCCACCGCAGTACGAAGGGCCCAGCCCCTGAGCACCCGCGCTCGGATGTTTGCCATCAACGGTCGAGCACAGCGGTCGGCCCCAATATCCTCTCTGCTCGGCCTGAGCCCGAGCCCAAGACCGAGTCCGGCCCCGGCCACAGCTGGGACATATTCCCGCACTACGTTCTCTACAAAACCGCCTCTGCAGCCAAAGGGGATCGACAAAGATTTCGAGAAGGAGGTCGCACAAAAGAAGCTCGAGCCACGGCCGGAGGAGGTCACCACTCAATCGAGCGTCCGCCATGTCATGGAGCAGAGCCAGGCGCCGCCGGAGCAGACTCCGGATGTCATGGTGGATCTCAAAAACGATCTGGTACGCCGCGTCCCGCCTGTATGCTGGATTCGGGGAAAGAATGTCTGACCTCCGTTGCAGAACACAGTCAAAGAGACGTTTGCCTTGGGCAGCGTTCCCCGAGAGAACTACGCCCTCGGCCTTGCCGGTACCCTCCCTTATCTTGCGACGTCGCTGTCAACAGTCTTCCTCTCATGGAACCTGAACATCGACTATCCGACCAAGTCACTTCATCTCAACAGCCTTCTCTTCGACCATGACGCGGCCACCTACTGGCTCCAAGTGCTGGAGCCAATCCAGGTCGGCTACGGCGCTGTCATCGTCTCGTTTCTCGGCGCCATACACTGGGGTCTTGAGTTGGCGGAGAAGCAGCCCGCGCGCGACCGGACACGGTTCCGGTACGCAATCGGTGTGCTGGCGCCGGCCGTAGCCTGGCCAACCATCTTCATGCCCACGGTGTGGGCGTTGACGACGCAGTTTGGCGCGTTCGGCGCGCTGTACTTTGCAGACGCCCGCGCGACCGCGAAGGGCTGGGCGCCGCCGTGGTACCAGACGTACCGGTTCGTCTTGACCGCGGTTGTCGGCGTTGCCCTGATGGTCAGCCTTCTCGGTCGTGCCAAGGTAGGTGAGGGCCACCCGCGCCTGTCAAAGGCCGACATCGCGGAGCGGCTGAAGGGGAATATCAAGACTGAGGACTACCGGAAGTGGGCTAAAGAGGAGGAAAAGGAGAAGGAGAGGGTACGGGAGGAGAAGAAGAAGGAAGAGGAGAGGAGGAAGGAGGCGGAGAAGAAGGCCAAGGAGGAGGAGCAGAAGAACAAGGAGCAGAAGGGGGACCCGGAGAAGTCTGAGCATAAATCCGGCTCAGAGGACAAGGACAGCAGCAAGTCGGATGACAAGCAGAAGGGTGGAGAGCAGCAGGATGGGAAGCAGAAGGAAGGAGAGAAGAAGGATGGAGGGAAGAAGGATGGAGAGAAGAAGGATGGAGAGCAGAAGGATGGAGCGCAAAAGGATGGAGCTCAGAAGGATGGAGCGCAAAAGGATGGAGCTCAGAAGGATGGGGAGAAGTAAGGTATAGTGTTGGGAATACCCTTTTGTGTTATTGCAGTTAAGCTTTCGGGGACCGCTGTCATCGATTGGGGCACTTTGCAGCAGAAGCAATTCTATTTGTCTTGTTAACGGTCTCCCATAATCTATTGCGATGAATCTTCCAAACAACAGCTTCTTGATATCATTTGTCTAGCCTATACGTTCGGTTTGCCTCCTTTCTGGCGCGTACCTTCCCCAACATCGACGAGTCCTTCCCTCCCCGATCCAGTCAAAGGCAAGCTCGAGTTCCCTCAACACATACCTACCAGTAATGTAAACTGACGGAAGGAGCTGAGCTCCTGACCACACCAAGTCTCGTGCTGCACACTTCCGGGTCGCAATTTGGCCAACCAGCATCGAAATCCCAACATCATCGATTGTAATGAACGCAGTGCTACTCTACTTGCACCGACTAAACATCCTCCATCAATTTTCTCCACCAGCATCGAGTACTAGTAGCTGGGTTACACAGCATCATGGAGGCGGACAACGGGAGTCCCGACAATGGGAGTGCCGATAATGTGAGTGCCGACATCGGGAATGCCGACAGCGGGATTGCTGTCAACTGGGAGTCCTCCAGTTGGGATGCCGACAGCTGGGATACCGCCGTCAACGGGGTTCCCGTCCACGGGAATATCCTCAACGCCCAACCAAGCCAACCGGGCGCAATTGGGCCTTATGGCTACCCGCTGCGTTTCGCGGTGCGGGAACTACGCGCGCTTTTTGCCAGCGGCCTGAAGATCTTCGCCGACAACGACCTTGCGCAACCCCTCCGCTACATCGGCGAATACGAAGGCGGGCGCCGCCGAATCCTGCACACCAGCGCGCACAAATCGGACAACAGCTCGCCGCTGGTCTCCATCCGCGAGAACTGGCCGGCCGGATCCCCCCCACCGCTCCGCCACGTCGAGACCTTCACCATCACGGTGTACAACCGCCTCGGCGTGCCTCCGTCGATCTACGGCATGGACCACATCCGCTGCCGGCCGACCACGTACGAGTTCTCACTACCCTTTCAGGACCCTGTTACCGGCGCCCTGTCCGTGAGGACCTTCCAGTGGCGCCGCGCACCCGTATGCCACGAGACGCGCGGCATCATCCCGCAGGGAAAACGGCCCGGGCCGCACACAGGCCAACCTCGCCCGCCCGAAGACACGTCCGACTGGGATCGCAGGCGCGGGTTCGTCCTCGTTTAGGTGAACGGTCCGAATCGGTTCCCGTTGCCCCTGGGGAGCACCCCGCCGCGGCTGGGGTACACGAGGATTGGCGAGGAGATCGTGGCGTCGTGGGCTGCGCCGTTTGAGCGGACGACGACTCGGATGGCGTCGCTTCTGCCCGGGGCAATGCCGCTGTTCTACTTCCAGTTCTGGGGGTCGGGTGTGGGCCAGCAGCTCGGGGAGGACTTTACGCATATTGCTGTGATAACGGCGCTGGCCACGTATTTCGATGTCTGTGTGGAGAGCAAGAGGAAGGATGCCCTGTGGTTGTATTGAAGGATGCGCTGTTGGGCGTGAGATGCGGGTGTGTCTGAGGGCTTATTCTTCCAAGTTAGTTATGGGTGAAACATCGGTTGAAAAAAAGGATTATGAGCATGCGGGAATGAGCGTTGTTTAGGAGTAATAAGTAGTTTTAATAGAAAGCGGAGCATCATTCAAACTCTGGGTACCGGCTGTCCATACTACATGAGTACATGACAGGCATTCGAACTGTATTACCAACTACTAGTACCGGCTTACTCATCATCGCTCAAGCACTATCAAAGAACCTAAAGATATGTCGCTAAAATGGAACACTGTACAATACATATTACATAGCAGGATCGACACTGAGCGGCGATGCTTTCTCTTCCTCTCCCCAAGACCACCGCTCACGCCTTCTTGACCGGCATCAGCTCCGGATACTCGGGCAGCTTCCATGGGCCATTGTCGTCCGACCCAAACCTCGTGACCAGCCGGTCAATCCGCAACGTGGAAATCAGCCAAGCGATCCAACTGATGAGTGCAATGGCCCATGCGCTGTCGGGGAGGAAGAGGCCGGTCCTGCGGTCGATGTCGATATCCTGAACGTGGTCTACCAATGGCCGCAGCTTCGTCTCGTATGCCGCCAGCGCAGCGGGGATATTATCCCACGGATCGGTCTCGCCCTGAGCCCCCCCACAAGCCCGCGCAATCTCGCCAGCCAGCACGTAGGCACCGATCATGGCCAGCGACGTCCCAAAGCCCGTGATGGGGGAAGGGCAATACCCTGCGTCGCCGACCAGCACGACCCGGCCTTCGGACCAGCTGTCGATCATGACCTGTGCATATTCAACCGTGTAAAAGTCGTCCGCCTCGGGCGAGTCGAGCGCGTCCAAGAACCGCTGCAGCTGGTGGGTGTTGTGCATATCGGCCCTGAACACCTTCTTCCAGGCCTCTTTCTTCTCCGCCACCGTCCCTTTGCTCTTGAGCACCCTGCTCAACTCCGGGCCGTGCTCACTTTCTGCGTGCGCGCCGAGATACACCCGCAAGCAATCCGGCCTGTCCCTTCGCGTCAAGACATGCCTCCGACCAGGCAGATTCATAATCGTCGCGTACGCCGGGTCGCCCTCGCGCGGCGGAACGGTATAAAACGCCGACAGCATGCCAATCGGCCTCAACCTGTCCGGCCGGCCATCGCTAAACATGCGCCGCCGGATCTTGGAACCCAGCCCGTCGCACCCAACAAGCAGATCATACTCTGCCTCCGTACCATCCGAAAGCCGAACGTGCACGGCCTTCCCGTCCTTGACCGACCGAAACTCCTCCACCGACGTACCAAACACATACTTGACACCCTCGAGCCCGACGGTGGCCTCGTACAGGATCTCGCACAGATCGCCGCGCATGATCTCCCACTCGGCCGAGAAGCCCTGGGCGCCCTTGCCGGACTTGTTGGCGGCGAAGTAGGCCTGCACCTTCCCGCCGCGGCGGTGGACGATGGCCAGCCCGGGCTCGTCGACGGTGCGCGCGCGCACCGCCGCCTCCAGCCCCGTCGCCCGCATCGCGTCCAGCCCCTGCCCGCGCAGGTCGATCTGCTGGCCCGAGCTGCGCAGCGTCGGGTGCCGCTCCACCACCGTGATCTCGTACTTCAGCGGCGGCGGCAGCCGCGCGAGGTGCAGCGCCAGCGTTGGGCCGGCGATGCCTGCGCCGGAGATGAGGACCCGGAGTGGAGGGGGGTTCCGGTTGTTGTTGTTGGCGGCCATTTGTGGGAGGTTTTGTTGTTGATCTTTTTTTGGTGTTTTGATTTGGTTGGGTCAATGTGATGTTAGCTAAACAATTTAGAACTTGAGAGGTAGATTGATGATGATGAGAGGATATGGAAGAGGATCATGTCTTCGAAGTGCAAAGGCGTTCTGTTATTATACCTCTTGAGTTATCCCCGAACTTGGTTCGGAGCAACCCTCAACATTCGGTCGGCAAACGCACGAGTCCGAGGACCGAACCCGGCCGTGTTATTGCCAGGGCATCAATGGACTGGTCCACGTATGTTACGAACGTATGGGAGGTTGCAGCAGGACTTTCGAATTGCCAATCTAGGTGGGACTCCGTGGGAGGAACGAACGCGACCACCCGCCCGGCGCCCGACTCGGGCCCGGGCGAAATGATAGGATCAACATCGTCACGATCCTGATCAGACCACCGATGTGACACTAGCACTTATGACAGCACAATCGAGGTGGCGGAACGGTCGCGGAGAGCCCGCGTGAGCTTGTTCATCGGAACGTCACGCTAGCCTATGAGGCGAGCATGGGGTCCCGAGCCAGTCCCAATTTAAAGCTGCATGGTGGTGCGTCATTCCATCGCCCATTCCAGAACCCGACACGCAAGCTGAATGTCACCCTCAATTTGGATCCCCCTCAGCCATTTGTCAAAGTCGTTGTTGTAGTGTAGTCTCGGATCTCCGACGGAATAGCGATAGAAGGAGGCTCTGCGAGCCTAGCGTGTAAACATGCAGCGTTGGAGGTGAGACATCCTCGGTCCATCCGCGGAGGTTCCAGGGTAACACAACATCCGGCACTTCTGAGTTCTGACTCAATGCACGACATAATGGATGTTGCTACGTTGAGCATGGCACATTCTTGAAGCGGCTCTTGGATGGCCCAACCAAGTGCAGATCATTGGATGCTTCACTCCATGGACAGCCGCACAGGGCGCACCAAGCCATTTCCGTGAGGCTCGTCTACGCGAGTACGCGTCCTACGTGGTGCAGGCGGTGCCAATGAATGTCGACCAGCCCTAGTGAAGCTCAATAAGAACAAAGGCTAAGCGAGAAACGGAGGGAACATATGTCATATTTGTGCATGACGATCCTGGGACCTCCCGGATACTGGTGGATAGAGCTGAAAGCCTGAAACCGGAGGAGAGGAGAGGTATACTAGACTCGGACTTTAAAGTCGAACGATTCAAGGCTAGCAGTTGTGCAATACTGACGACAGCTTGCAGCTACCCTTCACAAGTCAACGCTAGGTACTCCCATTGCCATTTCTTTCCCTAAAGTGCCCGCGGCCATCTTCGAAGTCGGCGTGCCATGTTCGCAAATTCTGCACCCAGCATACTTGGTATCTTTCGGTTGCCTATCAGTAATATGCCTCAGCATCACCGTCTTGGCAGAGAGACAGTGTCCCTTATCAGAAGAGCGTTGTGCTTAGAAATGAGGGGATATGAACTTCAGGTGAACATGCGTACTTTTGGGTGTCTATATTTCGTATGATCCCACGGACGGCATTTGTCTATCCGCCCGTAGAAGACAGAAGAACGGAAGCAAGGAGGGAAGTAGGATATGAGGAATGAAGGAATGGAAGAAATAAGGAAAGAAATGAAGCGGAAACAAGCAGACAAATCAAATCATAATACCGAAGAAGAGAAAGGAGCAAAAGGAAAAGGGGGGGGCCAAGGCGAAGAAGTTGGAGGATAGCAGATCAACGAGTACCTGGAAAGAGTAGGCGATGAGTCTCCCCATCTGTCGACTTCAGCTATAAGTCGGTCCGACATCAATCTTTGCTCTACAAACTCCTCTAGCCAGACGGAGTTGTGGCACGAGCAATGGCGGAAACCCCCGAGACAGAAGCTCAAATTGAGGCCCCGGAATTCAGGACCGTCTATCCCGCTGCTGTGGGAGTACGTCGTTGACATTGTCCCGGGATAGGAATGGCGATTTATAACGGCGGAGTGAATAGAGTTTAGAAAGACTAGTACAGTCTGACGTGCGCGAGCCCAATCCCGGGCTCCGGCCGATTGGTAACCGAGAGCGACATCGATTCCTAACTCTAAATCCCGGACGATGGTGTCAACGGCGATAATTACTAATAAGCCCCGCAACATGTTTGGTTTGTAAGCCACATTGACTTACAAGACCAACATGGTTAAATGGATGGTAAATGACCATTCTCATCCGTATTCCTTCACCCAATATGTCACTTGTCTTCCAAAGTCATTAACAATTCAATCCCAACTCCCATCATGTCATCTACGCCCATCCGCGTAGGCATCATCGGCCTCTCCTCGTCAGCCACCACCTCGTGGGCGGCTGACGCCCACCTGCCCTGCTTCGACACGGCGGCCGGGCGCGAGCGGTACCAGATCGTCGCCCTGTGCAACAGCAGCGTCGCCGCCGCGCAAGCCGCCATCAAGACGTATAACCTTCCCCCGGACACCAAGGCCTACGGTAGCCCCGCCGACCTGGCCGCGGACCCCGACGTCGAGCTCGTCCTTGTGAACACGCGTGTTGATAAGCACTTCGAAACTACGCTGCCCAGCCTCAAGGCGGGCAAGGATGTCTACATCGAGTGGCCGATCGCGTCGAACGCGGCGGACATTGACCGGCTTGTCGTGGCCGCCCGGCGCAGCGGCAGCCGGGCCTTGGTCGGCCTGCAGGGCCGGTGGGCGCCGCCGGTGCTCAAACTCAAGGAGCTGCTGGACAGGAGTGAGGAATTAGGACTTGGCCGGCTGCTGAGCAGCGAGGTGCGCGCGTACGGCGGCACGAGGGACCGCGAGATCTTGCCTGTTGGGCTCAAGTACTTTGCTGAGAGAGCGGTTGGCGGGAATCCCATTACGATTGGGGTTGGTCATGGTGGGTAACCGGTTTTGCCATCTGCGCACTGACACTCCTCCGACCCTTTCCCATATTCCTGCTGTTTCTTTCTTGACCTTTCTCTCTCTCCCCTCTTATTCGTTTCTCTCCGTCCTGTTTCCCTAGCAGGTGACTGACAAATCCGTTCTCAACAGTTATTGATTATGTGCAATCTGTGGTGGGCGAGCTGGTCCCAGGTTCGGTGCACACGCACCTGCAGCTGCAACGGCCAGAGGTCAGAGTGCGCGATCCGGCGCAGAACGACAGGATAGTCGACACGATCCGGTCCGATGTACCCGATTTGCTGTCCCTCCACGGTAAGCTTTATCAGAACCACTAGCAGTAGCCCACCTCACTTACTAAGGTTATCATAGGCACCGTAACCTCTTCCCGCACACACAACCAACCAGCGTCCTTGATCTTCACCTTCCGCCGCGGCCAGCCCTTCCCCGGAACCCCGGCATTCACCTGGACCCTCCACTGCACCGCCGGAGAGATCCGACTTGTCGCGCCGTCGGGCATCAGTCTCCAGGCGGACGGCGCACAGGACGTGACCATACAGCTCCACCGGTTCGATTCCGACACGGTTGAGGAGGTGCCGTGGGGGTGGGATGAGCGGCAGAGACAGGTGCCGTTGAGGGCGAGGAGCGTGCAGACTGTTTTGTATGCGTATGCCGATGCGAAACGGAAGGGCTTTGGAAAGGATGAAGGACGGGACGGGTGGGTTGAGCTGGAGGATGCTGCTGTCAGGGCAGCCCAAATTGCCGGGTGGTTGGACGGATTTCAAGCATGATTTCCATATGGGAGCACCTGATTGAGGTAGGTACATGAATCTTTAATAATACCAGGAACTTCGAGTTGCATGCGCCTTGGATGTGGGGAAGTGGGCGATGACTTGGTACTCGAAGGCCAGTAGTATGATCTAGTTCCTGTTATAGTCTCTATCTCCATCAAGTTCAACGTTTTCTTCAGAAATGTAAAGCTCGTCGAGAAGTCAAGGTGAAGCGCACGGCCTCTCGGACTATCTATTTCTTTCCATGCTTCTCCCAGACGACGCCTACTCTATGGCCAGTCTAGCACATGAAATATTAAGTCAGAAGCATCTACCGGTGGTATGGTGCGGTAGCCGGGGTACCTGCATTCCCTCTCTGGACGTAGACGCCCGTGTCACCTGTGTCATCGTCAACGGATTTTCTGACTTGAACCACTTTGTATAGGACGACACCACTTGAACTAGCGTGTGTTCCAGGGAAAGATCCCAAGGCTACCTAGGTACCTACGCACGTGCTCCGGTAGGTATCCTGAGCTATCCTCTGCGTTGCGGAGTACAACGTGACACCTCTCTGACCACAAACTGATAGGTCCAAGCCACCCATCAAACTTGCCTCGTGACTCACTGTTCCTATTGTACGCAGGGGATTCTAGTCTGTCATGTCGAAGCATTGCTCTCATATTAGTTGGGACGGCCGCTCCGATGCCCGACTACGATCGAGCCGTTCCCGGCATGCCAAGACTCGGCATGACCCACAACCCCGGGCCGTCCGGCCCCAAGGGATGCCCCATCGTTCGCGAGATGTGGGCCTGTGGCTGGCGCCATGGATGACGTACGCACGATCCATCTCAGCTCCTTCGAAGCGACAAGGCACAGGAAAGCGGGAGCACCAATGCTGAAGATTGGAGAACATCGCATATTATTGATGTAGGAAAGCGTCCATTTCGAGTAGGCGCATTGCTGAATAGTTCGAGCGCAGGAAGCTGACGGATGGCTGTGCGGTACTACAGTGATCCGGCACGCCTTCCCGCTTCCAACCAACAGAAGCAGCTTCCATGCATGATCCGAGCCAATAATGCAGAAGGATCAATATGCGGCGTCTCGCTTCCAGCCCCCCCGCGATGCGGGTAAGCAGGAGGAGCAAGGCAACCAAGATAGCGCTGCCAAGTTTCTTGTCGGGGTGTCTAGAGAATTTCTATCTTTGTGGTCTCATTTTCCCCGACCGAACGGAAGGACGCAGCACGTGTGCATACCAGGCGCGACACTTTGCAATCTCGCCATCGTGACAGTCCGACCGGCTTGTATTGTACCTCTCGCCTACAAAACGACGGTATAGCTACAACCACCGATGCTGGTATTCCGACTATTGCGCTCGTGGGTTTGAACGGCGTCAATCCGACCGCACCAACGGAGAATCCATAGGTACAGCAATGCTTATAAGGATGCCAAGTCGCCGGACGGCGACAAACCTCGTCGCCGGATTACTGGTGCTTCTCGTTTTTGTCGGTCTGGTTCTGCCTTCATCACGAGCAACAGCCCGTGACCTGTTGTTTACCAATGGGGAAGCAGGCGCTGGGCCAAAGCAAGAAGCTCCTCCCAAGCCCAAGTACAAGCCGACTCCGACTTACTTACCGCCCCCTATCAAGGATAACTTCCCCCTGCTCGCGACGTCGACGCCGCCGCCAATACCGAAATGGAACCAGCCGCGCAGCGACATGCACAAGGAGTACGACCTCCCCGTTGCCCCGCCGCTCTTCATCGGCTTCACCCGCACCTGGCCGCTCCTCCTCCAAGCCGTGGTTAGCTACATCACTGCCGGCTGGCCGCCATCGCAGATCTACGTGGTTGAGAACACGGGCGTGCAGCAGGCGAACGCGCGCGGCCAGCTCTCGCTGCAAAACCCCTTCTACCTGAACCACACCGTCCTCAAGACCCTCGGCGTCAACGTCATTACGACCCCGACCCTGCTCAGCTTTGCACAGCTGCAAAACTTCTTCCTCTCCCTCACCTACACCCACGACTGGCCCTACTACTTCTGGAGCCACATGGACGTGCTCGCCCTCTCTTTCGAAGACGGCCGCGCCGGCCTGACGCCGCCCTACAACCAGCCGGGCTACAAGACCATCTACGAGTTAGCGCTGGCCGCGCTGCGAGACGCGCGCGCCTCGGGCAAGAAGTGGGCTATCCGCTTCTTTGCCTACGACCACCTCGCGCTGGTCAACCCGGAGGGATACGAGGACGTGGGCGGCTGGGACACCATGATCCCCTACTACATGACCGACTGCGACATGCACACGCGCCTGACAATGCGCGGGTGGGGCCAGGAGGAGGCCAAGGCGGGCATCATCACGGACGTGGCGGCGACGCTGGAGGATCTGAGCGCGCTGTACCGGGTTGAGGGGGTCGAGGTGCGGTTTACGGACCCGAATCCGCCGCCGCCCAAGAAGGGGGAGGAGAAGTCCAAGATAAGGAAGAGATGGTGGTCGCAACCAAGCTCGGAAGGCACCAGAGACGACGGTGAGCAGCTGCCGAAGGCACGAGAAGATGCTGCGGTGGGCAAGAGAGAGACGGCGGCTTTGCAACATGAAACAAGGGATGAGGATCCAAACCTCGCCAAGTGGCATGCGCTTCGCAAGATCTCCGATAAGATGTTCCGTAAGTCATTCTGCCCTCTCCCCGCTTCCCTGATCTGGGTCTTCAACTCGCAGCCGGTTATTAACCCCTTTTGTGCACTGTCGCAGAGCACAAGCATGGCGACCGCGAGCGCAACACATGGCAGCTGGGCCAACACGGCGGGGAGGGCGAGCCGTTCTACTACGACGCGGCCGGTTTCGCCGAAGCACTCGACCTCATAACCGAGACGGGCAGAGAAGTGTTCAGACGGAAATGGGGACACCGCGGCTGCGACTTAATATCCGGCGCGGGTCTGAAGTACGACGATGCATGGAAGGTCAAGAAGGATTGGGAGAAACGGTGATGAGTGGTGTCTTGATTGATCTTCAACAGAACTGGATGCTGGGGTTCCGGATCGTAATAGAAACTCGGAAAGGTTTGGGGGATGGTTCCAAGCTCGATAATGGGACGATAACTGCTGGCGCGCGAAAAGAAATGGATACCGCAATCGATCGGGGCGTGTTTAGACTTGGCAATAGGGGATTCGGCGCTGGGATCTATCAGTAAAACAGTCAGTTGGAGTATATGGCTACGATTGATGTTGGCTATCACGTTCATGATACGGAAATGAGCGGAACAATGCTGTGGACTCGGAACTTGTAATGTACATGTGATCGAGTTCCGGAGGCGAGGCACGAAGGTGCGAATTCCGGAACAATGCTGGAGCGGAGAAAGACGTGACGCTGTAATGTGTCACACTCCGAATCCCGGCGATCTCTCAAGCTCGTTGAAGGCAATAATAGCGTGGAGGTGCGGTAGACCGTAGTTGTAGATACTGAAGCTCGGCGGTGGTGAGCTTCGCGATGCAGATCCGACAGGTGAATGTGTGATCGCCCGATGCCCTTCCGGAGGAAACCACCCAAGATCTGACTTTGCGATGTCGGGGGAACGCGTCAACGGGTCGATTCCCTGACGCCAACACCTTGATGGTCCAAACAGACATTACGTCATTGCTAGTTGGTGGGCCCGCAACTCAAACCCTCTGAAAGACGATCAAAACGCGCGGGGGTAACTCTCCGGCTGCTTCGATTGTCGGCGGAAAGGAAAGAAAACTCTTCAGCGACGTGAGAGAGTGATCGCTGTTCTTGACAGTTTACTTCGCTCATTGGCTCATGATCGGTATTCGATGCGACGAGTATAATCGAAGGGTGATTTACGCTTCTTCCAGGTCCGTACAGAATAGATAGGGCCTGTGCCGCTGTGCGCCTGGAGCAGATGCGCTTATTACCCAGTCTCAGCCAGTGCCTTGGCACCTCGTCTCTGTTTGAGTCTGTATTGTTCCATAAGGTACCTAGATTCCATGCATTGTAGATCATAGTCACCTGTTTCTTTGCATACTGTAGAGAAGGGTCATTCCACGGCCTTTCCCTCATTCACGAAATGCTTCAAAGTCACTTCGGTCATTGTTTTCGAGTTATTTATTAGGGTGCAACGGCCGCTGTTGTCGGCGACTGTGGAGCTGGAGAAAACGGAGGGAGTCACGTAACGGAGTCATCTTCCTACTACTCAGTACTACTATTAGTAGGCCTTACACACTCGGCGCAGGATCCCGCGATTCGCCAACCGCTATGCAATCCTACCACAGTACAGGTAGTTGCCGTAGGTGATTGTATAGATGTCTATTAAAAAGAAACTCTGCATGCCCTTGGCGGCTTTGGAATTGCACTCCTCCGTATACGCACCCAGTGAGCTGTGAGCGAGGTGACCTACGCCCCCTGTCGCAATAAAGTCCTAGAGACTCTCACAGGTCGCCACCATTGTCATGTGCAACAATGTAACACAATTCTGCGCATCAGGAGGACTGACCCTACAAGAGTAAGGTGCTGAAGCTGACACTAGCATCCCGAGGAGGGTCATTCGCATCGGTTTGTGCCATGTGTTTCTCGGTTAGCGCCGAATGAGCAGCTCAAGCGCTCAGCCCTATCGGCGCCCTAGGCCATTAGAGGAAACGGAGTCGTTCCCAATGCCTAACTGTCGTGGCACGGCCTCAGAAGACATTCACGATGGGCTGACAGCAAAGACGCCAACTCACAATCCTTTTGACACATCGGTAACCTCGGGCTTGATCGCGTCGTAAGGCGCAGTATTGGGATGTCTTTGCGCACTCGGTGCACATACCCAAACCATCGGCGTGCGATGTCCGAAGGGACCGAATCTTCAATGCCCCGCCTCTGTCCAAGTACCTCATCCCGATGTCTTCAATCCAGTTTGTTCGCCGACAGCAATCGGGGTGGGGTCAACGTACATACAAAGGTCACACTTATTTGAGCGATTCTGGACGGTTCTGGCCGTGACCTCCCGATCAAAGCTCGGAGGTGATCTGGCCCAGAAATATGCGGGCGTCCTCCCCCAAAGTGGTGCTGTTGCCCGATGATGCGGCAAGCGGGGCGACAGCAGAAGGACTGCTTAAACATAGGTATAGTATGTGAAATTTTCCATGCAAGGCGAAATGGTGCTGTAGCGGAGGTGCCGTAAGTGTCCAATGACATCGCCAACCTGATTCAGGTCGAATTTTCCTTGGGTGGCGGCAACAAGGCGGCCTCTCCAATGATCGCTATTCTCATACTCTGCTGCTCAAGATGTACAGCGGTCGAATCTCGTTGACCTCGCAACTTGACCTCAGACGAAAAAGGCAAAAACGTCATCGACATCTGCAACAAACTTTACTCGTGGTTTCCCCAAGTCTACTACTAGTTCGCAGTTCCAAGGTGTAGACTGCAAATCTCTTATAGACGCAGCACTCCATTGCTACTATAACCTTGGTCTGTTGCACAGTTCGCACAGGGGTAGCGACCCGCATCTGACGCTCCTGCGTACAATACCTGCACGACATATCAACCCGACATCCTCCGCACATCTGGAACCTACAGTCACGAAAATTCGAGATTTATCTCATCAGGCCGACCTCCGTCGGTACGCTTCGACCGCGGCAGTCCTGTCATTGTCCTGAACTCGCAGGTGGCATTGTCCTGGCATCCCTTTCGGGCAGGTACTCGAAATCTAGACTGCCCCACGATCCGTTTTCCCCGTAACACACACCACAGCGCAGCGGCACCACCACCTCCGACAAACCCCGCCTGAACCTTGTCACCCCGCGTTTCCGTCACTTGACTTACACACCTGCGACAGGCTGCCGACAATTATCGGTACCACCCAAACAACCGCAGATTTGAGATATATACGAGGCAGCCCTCCCTTCGCAACCGTGAAAGCTAGCACAATTCTTTCTGGTGTCGCAACTACGCCCAACAAGCGTGTTTGACTTCCAGATCGAAGTGCATCGCCTGCAGGCCAAGCTTTTGCTGACTTGCATCACAATTACTGGTCGGACAGGAAACCAACAAAGCCACGACAGAGGGATTGTTGTGTGGACACCCGAACCCCTCATCGACAACGATCTGGGCTTTATCATCAAGGACCCGACCGAGCTGACCCACCCTCGCCACAAACAAAGGGGGTTATTTTGGATTTCATTTTCAGCTCTCGACCGGGCCTCAATCACTTCGCTTTTCCAACCACAATCCTCCATGTCTCACACCAACCGCATACAAACCACTCAAGTGGCCGCAATGTCCTCATCGGAAACGACTCCAGACCGCACGCCGCAGCCGCGCACAATCATCCCGGACATCAATGTCCCAGACCCAACTGCCGACGAGATAGATTTGGCCGGCCAGTCATGGGTGATGGCGACAGTCATTGAAGACGACGACTTGATGTTCGGTGGCAAGCCACTGTGTGACTGGTATGAGGAGGACAGAAGAGCGCTTAGCTCGTGCATCGATGAGGAGCAGACGAGAGGGCGCCCGCGCGAACGTGCCCACATTGAGAGCCACCATCACGACAAGGCGCACCATCATCATCAAGTTAAACATGAGCGAAAGGTGAACGAGAGAGCGGCCTCGTGTCCCGCCCGCGATTGATGCTGGTCATCTTCGCCTCGCCATTAGGGACCCCACCACACCGCCAATGCGATGATCACGGGCAGGCTGAGCTGATGTCAGCCGCGCGCCGCCAAATGACGACTCCGCCGGGGAAGGCTTGTGGCACCCCGAATTCCCAAGGTTACCGAACATCACCCACACAAGCTGCCACCACTTCCCTATCACTCGGCACTTTTCGCCTTCATCCACATCCACCACACCATTCAACATCGCTTTGGCAATCACCTTTGCATCGTTCTCACTGTCGCACCGTTCATCTGCTCGCACCGTTCATCTGCTCGCACCGTTCATCTGCTCGCACCGTTCATCTGCTCGCACCGTTCATCTGCTCGCACCGTTCATCTGCTCGCACCGTTCATCTGCTCGCACCGTTCACCTGCTCTCTGCTGCATTCTACACGGCTTCCGGAATTTCCATCGGGATATCAAAAAAGCAACAACGGGAATCACTCGCACTCGCATCGTCGGCCTCTCAGGGCTTCATTACAGGGCTGCATCCTTGGCTTATTACCGTTTTGATGATACCAATTTGCCTTTGCATGTTTTCTTTTTTTGGCTTAAGCCATGGGTTACACAACTCGAGGGGGCTTGTCACGGTCTCGCAATGCCAGGCTTGGTCATATGGGCTTCGATCTTTTTCTGGGGGGATGCATTCACATCATAGAGTCTCGTTGGCTTGGGCCATTGTTTTTCTTGAGTCTCCTGCATTCAAGCATCTTTTCTTGCATCTTGGAATCTTGGGAACGGTGTTTCAAGGTATACCTTCAAGGGTGTTCATGGTGGCATTCAGCCCAGGCAGGCTAATCAACTGGGTGGGAAGGCTTCAGCTCTGGGGACGTCGGCTCATCTTCGCATGGGACGGATCGCTCTTACGCATGGTCAGTGGTGTGCTGGGACTGTGCTCTCGTGGCCTAATAATCGAATTCAGGAAGTTCAATAACATCCGGTCCCTTTATGCGGTGGTGATACCGTCGTGGATAACGTGCTCTTGTGTCGTAACCTAGGACCTAGGTAGAAGAGGCGACACCTACCGCTACGGAGAGATCCAAAGTCGGGTTTTGCTGAGCAGCGAGTGGTATTGCCTCTGCCAAACATGTTGCTTAAGCCTGCTGAGCTAAGATCCTAATCCAATCCGGGAAAAGCATCGCTAGAGAAAGAAAATCCAATGAGAGCAAGACGCTCCCAAGTCCACCAAAAGACCTACGCCCTTATTCCTCCTTGCTCGAGTCCCTAACCTTAATCCACCAAGATCGCATGCCACACCGCCCTCCGTGTATCTGCCGCCCCGTGCGACTTGCACGCCTCTAAGTGTTCTGCTCACTGAGAACTTAGAACCCGTCCTTCTTTGCGGATATAGAGGACCAGCCGGCCATCAGCGGGGTGTGGCCACACAGCAGTCCAGTCTGCTTGCTCCAAGGTGAAGGGCAGATATTCGTGGTCGAGAATCCAGTCCACTTTGGGCGGTTGCGGATCGAGTCTGCGAGATTGAAAGTGTGTCAGATATGGGGCGTGCTGGTGGTAAAAGACGGGGGGAGGGGGGCGGGGGTGATCCTTGGGTCGATTGACGTACGGGCGAGAGCTATCCAGCCATAGAACTGCGGCCGGCCGACAGATATCAAGGATAATTTCTTTGCCGGGACATCGGGGTCAATGGAAACAACAAAGCTTTGGTTGTCGGCCTTGATGAAGCCCTCGAGCGGGTGGACTGTCGAGTCGATGCCCTTGTGTCTGAGCACCGCCTGATCCAACTCCCGAGACTCCGGATCCTGTGCCAGAATGGAGATTTGGCCGGAACTTTTCGCTTGCAGAGTGTCTCGTACATCGAGTAGGAGCCCGTGTTGAACCTTCTCTGTATTTGTATTGTTGGTTGCTCCAGCCACTGTTCGACCGTGTCTGTGGGGGTACCGTTGCATGAAACTTCCCAGTCCAAAGCCGAGGATTGTAGTAACCGGACCGATTGCATAGTGGCTGAGCGTGAAGTACAGGGAGCGGCGTGCCGGGCTGTTCATCCATCGTTCTTGGACAATAGCGTCAAAATTCGCGATTCCTTTATCTGCGTTATCGGCGTGAAGTTGCGCATACCGAAAATCGTAAATGAATATGACCATCTCGATTTTATTCAGTGCCCGAGTCTGGAGGAGCTCCTCCAGGTTCGGGGGGTTATGAAACCTAGCAAAAGGGCCACATCTGTTGACAAGCCGCGGCGCCGATGTGATGACATCTGGAGCAAAATCCCCATTCATCATCAACCTGAAGATTGGCGCGCCGGTCCTCATTGTCAATTCACGGGATTAAAGGTTGTCGTAGATATTTGCCGCACGCTCAAGTAGGTGTTTTGAGTGCACGACCCTGAAGGGATGCGGGCTGATATGAGGCACTGCAGATCCTGACATGGTGCCGGTAGAACGCATCTCACGGGATGGGTTAGAACTGCTTGGTGCGCCGATGGGAAAGTTTTGTTGTGTCCTTGGTCTGCCCTGTGTGAATGCGAGATGAAATTGTAAGTGGAACGTGGAGGAGTGGTGGACTGCTCCTTCCCTTGTCATAGACCTGCAGAGTGCTGTTCGGAAGGCAGGTTCTCCATTAGGGCTTGAAGCAATCTACACGCACAAGGCAAGGAAGGCGCTCGCGATTACCACTTATTCAAGCGAAGCGTTGTCGTTCTGAGCCTTTCCCTACGTTACACAGTACACTGTGAACACAGAGAAAGCGAGGAAGGAACGCTTCGCTTGATTTACAGGGGAAAAACTCTTAGGAGGCCGACCGGGGCGAGGAACGATACGACGCTTCGCTTGACATTTACTGTGGCCTGCGTTGCGAAGACTGGGTCCAGGACAACACAGGCTAACAGGTACAACACCACGGCCCATACTCTCGCTCCAGTTATCCAAGTCTTTGATAGGTGGCCGTGATACTGTCATATAATCATCGTATGTACCTAGACATGGCAGAATCTGTTATGTCGTGGTACAGATGGATGTCGCTATTGCCTACAGAATGCTCAGCCCTGCTGAGCGGGAATCAGTGACCCTGCTAAATGGTCAAATGCCTGAAATACCACGGCCAAAAAGGGGTAACCCTATAGGCGCAAGAGATCTCTGAGTCCGGCAATCATCAGATTATCCTCGTGTGCCCCCTTTCCCGTCCACATACTTGGTCTAGCAAGCATCGCATCGCATCCATTGTGCCCCTTTCTTTCCTTTCCTGTCCCTCTGACTCCCTCCGTCGAAGTCGGCTGCAATTGCGAGACGCCTTAGGTATGGTTATTCCTTATGTAGAGGGTGAGGGGAGAATCGCACATCCTGTCCCCATTTCCCATTCCGAAGCCGCCCAATGGGACGGCGTTGCAGTAAGTATATAGGAAGTTGGCGATTCGATCCCGCTCAGCCCTGTAAGAGAGTCTAGTTTTAGAACTGCCTTTCCGCTTTAGTATGTACCTGTGCAAATGAATGTTGAGGACTAAGAAGAAGGAGAGGGCTTGTTTCATTTATCAACGTACGGATCGGGTACGGGCCTGCCCCGTGTTATGACGGCCGCTGGGAGAGCGACATCAACAAGGATTTCTTCAACCGGGATATTCGGGTTGATCGAAACGACGACGGTGGATTCGTCAAGCTCCAAGAACCCAGCAAAACTGGGTGATTCGTCCCTTGGATACCGTACACCCGCAGCGCCTCGATCTCAACGTCGAAGTACCCTTGATCGTGAGACCTGACGATAGGGCTGTCACCCTGCTTAAGTCGAATCACGTTCTCAATTTCACACAGTAGCATGTGCCGAGTCCTGCTCCTTCTCCTCCGCTCCTGGCCGTAAGGTGACCTGGAGCTAAATTCGCCAAGTGCAATGCTGATTACCTTGGTGACATTGGGGATGTCGACAGAGGTCAAGACGTCGGAAAACCAAGGGTATAGTGGACTTGCCCTCAACTGAAGTCTAGCGTCGTCGAGCCTGCGGCGAGCGGTTCGGACATCTCTGTTGATATCAGGCGGTTGCAGGTCCCAGGTGTAGGAGACGAGAACGAGATCCATGTAGTTGCAGGCGTGATATCTCCCCAACAAAAAACCGAGTGTGTGGAAAGTCACCAACGGATCCCGTCTTGTGAAATTGGCGCTCCCCACGCGGACTTGTTCGTAGACGGTTTCTCCGGCTTCTCCGCCGGCTAGCAGCAGCCTTGCACACTGTAGCACAATGTCCTCTCCGTCCTGTTGCGGGACAGAATCTACCAGATGCTGGTAAATCGTCGAGGCGGGCAGTAACAAATTCCTCGAATATAGTCCGAACCCCATTGCGTTTCCGAGCAAACGCTCGTTCTCCGCCGCCCTCCAAGCGTTCCAGGCGTCCATGACTGGTGGTTCGAATGCTGAGAGTATGCCAGTTGAGATCTGGGAAATAGAAGGGCTAAACAGACAGAGTAACTTTCCGTATGGGGGTCTAGGATGTTCTCTGAGTGCTCAGTGTGAGGGATAGCTAGTGACTGTTCAGCGTAAGGAAGAGCTAGTGATTGTTCAGTGTGAGGGAGGGCTAGAAGGATTCGTGAGTCTGCGAGAGGTGGCTGTTCCTTTTATAGTCCTCTCGAGCAGTCTCACATCGCCGCTCGCTCCCGGCATTTCACGTGGTGTTTCGCATCCTTGAGTTCATCTAAAGTGCTAAGGTGTGTCTGGCATAGAGATGTTACTACCTATCAGATGATTTCAACTTCGTACCTTACCTTATGCAACACAGCAGGCGGGTTAGCTCTGCACAAACAAAGGGTACAAAATGGGAAGCATACATTGTTAGGCTACAGTATACAGATGAACACCAAGATGTGATGTGGGTGGGGGGTTGTTTAACGTCATTAGCTCCAGGAGGCGACCGTATGTTGAGCAGGACTTCGAAGGATCTATGATAGAAAGGCCATGCACGTAGAGCTTGGTGTCTAATGTACTCGTATAATGCAGTAAGCTATCAGATCAACACAATGCCACTAAATGTTCACCAGTCTTGACACCTGAACCTCCATTGTTAGAACAGATAGGATGGTTGAATATAACATATCACAAGGTGGGTAAAAGCATCTCCGCTAAGATCCGGGCTATTAATGGGCGCAGACTTTGGCTGAATATACGTGGTCAGGTGTGCGTGGGAAACGTAGCTGAACTTAACACTGCGGTAGGCATCTCGGGTCCAAAGTTGGGTTTGATGACTAGGACACCAGCACGCCGTTAAGTGGAATATGCCACTATGAGCCACGAGGATGATTAGCACCTCGTGCTTCAAGCACCGTGATGTTCAACTGTTTCTTTAGTGGGAGGAGCGCAACAGCCAGCGACACCTGGTGGTTATTACCTTACTAAGTATGGAAGTGAGCATACCACTAGGCGTTATTGGATGAAGCTAAGGTACCTAGTATCAAACTGAGCCAGAGATTCCGCCGATCCGCGCTTTCGATCATGCTGCGCACCTTTCTAACCAGCCGTAGGTGCTCTCGAGGCCATTCCCCTTCACCCTTCTATATGTAGTCCTTGAAGAAAAAGAACAAAGCCTGCCTAAATCATCTAAGTCTGCATGGTCCTCATCCTTCACTTTGCGCTACACAGCCCTCAAGCCAAAGTTCATTCGCCTGGTCGCCGCATCCGTCCCATTCCCGAACGATCGGAATACAAGGCCTTCAGTGCTTCGTTTCCGGGTCAACGGACACGTAGAACTTCCTGACGATACCCTTACCGCCGCTAAGCATCGGAGAGTGAGTCCCTTGGATTCTCTCTGGAAACCTGAGGGCTGCAACATTCCGAGTGTCTTGGTTGTTGCCCCAGCAATCGCCGAGAGATAGCCTAGTGTGGAGGGAGATGATGCACTCTTCGCATGTTAACTCGGGGCTAAGGGGAACCAGGACGGATGTCTGTACCTTCTCTTCATTGAGATAGTGTCTCTCTGAAGGGATCTGTCCATTACCATGCTGCTTATACAAATCTCGTATGGCGTGCTTCCCATCTTCCTGCTTGCCCTCTTGGCCGTTACCGTAGCAGTCTCCCTTCCCGTATGGCCCGGCGCGCTTGGACAGAGCGGCATCCTTAGCAGCACCCTCGAAATCCCCCCATGCGGGTGCGGCGAAGGTTGTGCTGATCGCAGCGAGAAGGGTCATGATGGTGGCGTAAAACTTCATTTGCCGGTTGGAAGTCAAACACTTTGGGACAAAACAATGGGCTAAACCAAATGTTCTGGGCAACCACAGAGGCCGGAGATAGAGGTTGTTGTGCTCGTCGAGCCTGTGTTCTTAAAAGCGGGACTCTCTATGCCTCGAGAGGTCCCAACTCCGGAGTCCGAGTCCTATCTTGCCCTCAGCATCGACCAAGCCTTGGACGTCTTGTTGATTGAACAACACATCCTGGCAGCATTACCGGTCAGTTTGTACACGCCATTGGCGCGAGCCGTGGCCTCATCATCGGACCTCTCGAAATCATCCTAGCACATGGGGTTCTGCTATTGTAATGTCGTCGTGAGGGTATAATCTCATTTGACGGAGTTTTCACATTAAAGGCTGTGTTGAAGTCGGTCGGGGGGGAATCATGGAGGGTGTTCTCTTCCAGTAGGCAGCATACTCCTAATTTCCCTTGTTGGCGAGGCAGGTGCTCGGAAGGGAGATCACGATAACTGGGGAAAGAGCGACTTACAACCCTGACTCCGCAGATGTCAGGGTGCAGCACTGCAACCGGCGGATTGGCCACACTGGCGCCGTACCGCGACTGGATCCTTGTCGAATTTCATGGGACTCAAAAGACGAGTGAGGCAGCTGTGTGCTGTTCCCTTCAACTCATCCATTCTAACTGATCTGGAGACGGTTGGTATGGTGTCACAGAAGGTCGACTTTTGGCTCAGGCCATCCATCTTGAGACTTGAGCATGGTTGGCCTGACGCTGAGCCCCATCACAAGAAAGAGAGCGCCTTATGAAGCTGTTAAACCGTCAAGGCACTGCTGAGGGAGCCCGCCACAACCTGCAATACACGTACCCGACGTTAGGGCCAAGCAAACCAAGGCGAAGATATCGCGTCTTGGTAAAAGCTTGGTTTGCCTAGCCGGTTGCCCGATCCGCAGTGTTTACGAGGGGGGCCTGCTGGGTGTTCCGGGCGCAGACTCCGAAGATGATGCGATATCGCTAACATGGTAGCAGTGGGAACGGAAGATCCTGTTAATTAAAGGGGCTCCAGACTCCAAACCTGTGGTTGCAGTGCATGCTACAGTGTGGTGCGGTGGACCTAGACCAAACCCGGTTTGGATGGGGATGCAGGCCCGTCGCCCCGGTTCGAAGTACCGGCTTTTCCTATCAAGGCCCGGAGCGGCCTTTGCAGCACCCGCGAGCCAAAACCACCAGTTGCCCGATTGAGTACCACGGAGCCTCGCGGCCAAGAGATGGGAGATCCCATCCGATCGATGCAACCTTGGCTGTTGAAGCGGACCGTACCCTCCCCTCATAATAAATAGCCAAGTAGTAGTTTGTGTTTACTTACTCTTTATTCAACTCTACCCTCTACACTTCTCATCTCTCTAGCCTCTGTGTCGTGCTGGGCCAGGCCTGCAGCAAACCATCCGCAGCCATGTTTCGCCAAGCCGCTCTCGTCGCCCTCGCCCTCCCCGTCTCCTTCGCCCAGATCTCCAACGATTTCGAAAGTGGATGGGACCAGACAGCATGGCCCATCTATGCGCCGGACTGCAACCAGGGCGGCAAGGTGAGCCTCGACAGCTCGACCGCACACAGCGGCAAGAACTCCATCCGAGTCGACGGCGCCGGTGGTTACTGCGGGCACGTTTTCTTCGGCACGAATCAAGTTCCCAGCGGTGATCTTTACGTCCGAGCCTACGTGAAAGCGTCCAAGGCCTTCACCGACTCGCACGTAACGTTCATCACGATGCCGGATCCCGCCCAGGGCAGCAACAAGCACCTCCGCATCGGCGGCCAGAGCAAGATCCTGATGTACAACCGCGAGTCGGACGATGCCACCCTGCCGGATCTCTCGCCGCAGGGCATCGCCGCGTCGACCGCCCTCCCCATCGGCAGCTGGCAGTGCTTCGAGTACCACGTCGGCACCGACGGTAGCATCGAGACGTGGCTGAACGGCGAGGCCATCTCCGGCCTGACGGTCAAGCCGGGCGTCACGAATGCCAATGCCGGCCAGTGGCAGCGCAGCTCGATCAAGCCCAAGCCATCGGCTGTTTACTTCGGCTGGGAGTCGTACGGCGGCGACACCAACACGTTCTGGTACGACGATATCGTGGTCAGCTCGGCGCGCGTTGGGTGCTCCGGCACGGGTAGCGGTAGCCCCGGTGGGGGTAGTACCAGCTCAGCGGCCGGTCCTGGCCCGTCGACGACTCTCGTCACTTCGACCACCACCTCCACCAGCCCTGCGCCAGCTACCTCGACCACGGCTAGCGGCTGCGCTGCATCTCAGTGGGCGCAGTGTGGCGGGAATAACTTCTCGGGCTGCACGTCCTGCGCTGCCCCGTACACTTGCAAGTACATCAATGACTGGTATTCCCAGTGCGTGTGACGTGGTGGCCACGGGGGAGGATGCTATCTGTACATAGGTGTTCTGCTTCTTGTCAATACTTGTGCTTGGTCCTGTGGATACTAGTACCATTGGCCACTGAGTGCAGTATCTCCCGTATACATTTAAATGTATGACCGGTTTTGGACATTTCTTTGCCGGAAGTGTCATTTGACTTCGTAAGCATCCTTTACCTAACACTGACCGGGCAAATGCTTCCCTCGGCATGTCGACAATCTAGCTGCAGCCTGCAAACGCAAACGAATGCGAAGAGGCCTGCTCCTCGATGCCTCGTTACGACGGCCGCCTGCGTCTCCTAGCCTCCTCTGCCTCGGGTTGCTGCACCTGCATCAGCTGTCAATTCATCGGGTTCTCTGTTTGTTACAATTGCTGATTGAGCTGTTGGCGTGTAGACAAGTAGCCTGGAATCATCGGAGTGCTGCAGCGACAAACGGTTATCCGACGCATCGTTGGTGTATGACGTGTCCCGGTGGTCGAAAGATTAGGATATCGGAATCTTGGAGCACGGGGAGTCTGTGAACGAGCATGCATAATCCCGGCAAGGGCGTTTATGGTGACAGACATAACTGTTGCAACACCCTCCATAGAACTTAAATGCCTCTGCCTTCATGCCACACATCTTCACTCCTCCCGCATACGTGAGCTACTAAGATCACTAAGATCTCGTCACGCGACGCTATCCCCTGGGTTAGTCAAAACACGACACCTGCCTCTGCGAGCTTACAACTACAAGTCTCTGTTGAAGATGGTGTTGAAGATGGTGTTGGAGATGGTAAGCATCCATTCACCCCATCATCAGCCAAATAAGCCACCACTCACTGAAAAAGTCTCAGGATCAGCCGCTTTCGCACTTGCATCTCACCTCGTTTCCCGAGCGTGCTCCGTCCTGCTTCCGATGTGGAAGGTCCAGCATGCGGCTCACAACCCGGCAGTCGAATCGCAAAGGGAATGCAGGACGACCCTATTACAAGTGCAAGCCTTGCGAAAAGTTTCTCTGTTTTGCAGACTCCCGAGGCAACCACCGGAAAACCCGCCATGCGAGTGCGGCATTCCGAGCAAGGCACAGGTGGCCGGTAGGGAGAAGAAGGTTCCTCGCGGGCTACATTATGTGTGCAAGCGTGGAGAATGCGACTTCTACAAGCCGCGCATGGGCGGCAGCGGGAAGCAGCTTGCGGTGGAGGATGACGATCTTCTAGATATGTTGGCTAAGCTTAATATCGTTTAGGCTCATCTGTGATGCAGTGCATCTAAGTCTTCGGAATAAAGGTACCGACTACGCATAGCTCTGTAGACTTCAAGCTTTCACCAGCACTGAGGCACTAAAATGGGGAGGGGCCCAATGACCATCCGATTGCGGCATTTTAAAGCTTGAGAGGCATGATGGACGACATCTTGCTGTACTGATTCACACGGATGTTACTTATGTATGCACTTGTACATGCACAACGCCCTACCCAGGCACCTTCAGGATGTTATCGACAAAGACCACTTGGCCGGTAGCGATCGACCGATTGGCCGCAATGCCCGTCAATATCGAGGCGGCGCCGTCAATGTGACTTGCAGCCCGCATGTACTCGTCCGAGACCGGCTCGCCGAACAGGTCCTGTAGCAGGACATTGTCACCACCGCCATGCGCACCCCTGCTTGCCTCGATCTCGATCTCCCTCGGCGGCGCGAACAGCGGCCGCAGCAAGATGGTCCTCTTCTCGATGGACCCCTCCAACGACTGGTCCCCGCCAGAATTCACATAGCTGTTCTCGACAACCTCCATCTCCAGCCTGCCACCCGTGCCATTGAAGTTCACCCGGAAGCCCTCCCACGGCGCGTAGGCGGTGAGCGAGTAGGTCATGACCGCGCCATTGCGGTATCGCACCAGGAGATTCATCGTGTCCTCGATGGAAATCCCATCCCCAAACACGCTCTGGTCGCGATAATACCCGTCCTCGTGCTCCGCATCCAGGTACAGCGCCTTCAGCGTCGGAACACTCTCCAGATCCAGAGCAAACGGATCCCTCTTGGCAACCTCGCTGCCCCTTGCTCGGGAGTAGAACTCGGTCACCCCCCTCGACTCTGCGTTCTCCTTCCCGTAGAACTTCAGGTCCGCCTGTGCGTACACCGACAGCGGCCTGGTCTGCAGCCAGAAATTTACCAGGTCAAAATGGTGCGTGCTCTTGTGCACGAGCAAGCCGCCGCTGTTTCGCCTGTCGCGATGCCACCGCCGGAAGTAGTCGGCGCCGTGCGACGTGTTGAGCAGCCACTCGAAGTGCACCGACGTGACAGTGCCGATGGCCCCGGACCGGAGCAGCTCGAACACCCGGGTGTTGTGCGGCGCGTACCGGTAGTTGAAGGTCACGCGCACGGAGCGGTCGGTGCGGGAGACAGCCGAGAAGATGGCCTCGCAGCGGGGGGCGTCGATCGTCATCGGCTTCTCCGTGATCACGTTGCAGCCCAGCTCGAGCGCCCGGATGATGTAGATGTGGTGCGTGCGGTCGATGGTCGTGACGATTACTTCGTCCGGCTGGGTGGTGGAGATCATCTTGTCGAAGTCGGTTGCTGGGAAGGTTGGGACCGCGCCGTGGCCGAGGGCGGTCAGCCGGCTGTTGGCGTAGTCCATGCGTGTCTGGTTCGTGTCGCAAAGGCCGACTATGCATGAAGTGGTGCGGTAGTCGGTGGCGATGGCTGTGTAAAAGAAGCTGGAGCGCCCGCCGGTGCCGACCAGGGCGTAGCGTTTCTTGGTGGCCATAACGACAGTACGGTAGGTACTCAGTCTAGGGCAGAAGGTTTCCCAACTTCTTCAATATGTCAGGCCAACCTCGAGCAATGTATCATCTCCAAATCCAGGAGCTCAAACTGGAAAAGGATGTAATCGAGCATGGCGCGGTGGCCCACTGATTGTCTGTGACTGAGACGGTACTAATAGTGATACCGCATGTCTGGTTGCTCTTTGCTCTCGGCCGAAGATGTCCCACCAACCGAGACTCAGGCTGAATGTCGCAGAGATCTACCCATGGGCACAGGTGCGGGGGAGGAGAGCGGGAGGAGATCAACTGAACTCCTCTGTCCTGATAAAATTGTATTGTGCATCCATCAGGCTCCCCACCAGGGAGTCTAACGAGAGTTGAGCGGCCCAGATGGAATAAAAGAAGATATAGAAAAACAGACAAGACGAGACGAAGAGAACAACGCAGAACTGAAAGGAGAAGATATAAAATGAGACCTAGAAGGATCGAGAAAACGAAGAATATGAAGACTAGGTGATGATAAAGAAAAATGTGGGGGTAAGAGGAAAGAGATAGAGAAGAAAGATGGGGCTTCAGTCAAATGAATTCGACGTATGCTGTACGGTCTTTTTGGCCTCAGGGAGCCGGGGGTATGGGGTAGCTTATCCGGCGGAGGGTAACCTTACTGCAGCCCAAGGGTGCATTACAATGTACTGGAACTAAATGGCAGACTAATGAAGCCACCGGTGAACTCCCTGGGTCGTGAGAGTCGATCACGTCTGGGGATAGCTAGGAGCTGCTTCCGAAACGCGCCCTCGCATACAGCCTGAATTAATCCCCCAATCAGCCCACACGCCGTGAGAGCAAGCGACTGGCAAACATGCCTCGCACTGGAATGTCGGCGGGATCATGACTGACATCAAAAGCCTAGGACCGGGAAGTACAGAATGGCAGCTCTTGGCCGTCGAAACTGTCGTGTCACCAACCACTCCCGAGTCCTACTGCTGCCGGCAGTCAAGATGTGGCACACTTTCGGCGTAAACGATGGCGATCGGTATGTTGCTGACCCGGTTGCCGGCTGCTGTCCATGCACATGGCAATGCTGGCTTGTTTTGAAGGTCATTAAGAAGATAATATCCGAGGAGATCTACTCCAGTCGTGTTGGTTTTCAGCCAGTTGCCTCAGCTTGATGCGTCATCTGGGCACTGCTCATTGCTAGATCCAAAGGGCTCTCACTGCCCCAAAGAAACATGAGCACGATGACTGGATCTCAACCCCAACAGGGAGGAGACGACATCACGCCCGCTCCCCTCCCAAACCACAATGGCGTCCCAAAGAGCGAACGCCGCGACAAGGCTACCGACTTCTTGGAGACGCATAGTGCCGGCAACACCTCCTTCACCTACGAGGAGGAGCGAGCGGTTTTGAGACGCATTGACATGCGTATCCTGCCGCTCCTCCTCGGTGCCTACTTCTTCCAGCAGCTGGACAAGAGCTCTCTGAGGTTGCGTACCTATTCACCCTGCCTTACCTTACTTTATCGCTCCACACTCCATCTCACAGATCCATCCATCATCCCACATCCATCCAAGCATTTTCCATTTCAGCGATTCATCAACCCACTACTACTAGTAGTAGTACTACTCTAACAAAGAAAATGAAATCAGCTACGTCTCCATCTTCGGGCTCACAACCGACGCCAATCTAGTCGGCAAGCAATACTCCTGGCTCGGCTCGATCCTGTACCTAGCGCAACTCGTCATGCAGCCGGTGGCGGCATTCGTCCTGGTCAAGCTGCCGACGGGCAAGGTGATCGCGGCGGCCATCTTCCTGTGGGGCGCGTCGCTGGCGGCCATGTCGGCGTGCGCGTCGTTCGGGTCGCTCATGGCGCTGCGCTTCCTGCTGGGCTCGTTCGAGGCCGTCATCGCGCCGAGCTGTGTCGCGGCGACGCAGATGTGGTGGCGCCGCGGCGAGCAGACGCTGCGCACGGCCTACTGGAACGCCATGAACGGGCTGACGCAGATCGTCGGCAGCTTGTTTACGTACGGCCTAGGGCATATTGACAGCAGTCGGGTGCTGTTCAAGTATCAGATTATTTTCTTGTTCTGCGGGTTGTTGACGGTGTGTTACGCGGTCGTGGTGCTCGTGCTCATGCCGGATTCGCCGATGGAGGCGAAGTACCTCGGAGAGAGGCAGAAGGTCATTGCGGTGGAGCGGCTCAGGGCGAACCAGATGGGTGTGGCGAGTAGGGAGTGGCGGTGGGATCATGTGTGGGAGACGCTGTGGGATCTGAAGACGTGGTGTTGGTTTCTCGCCATCCTTTCAATCTCGTATGTGCTCCCCGTATTGTTTCAGATTTGTTGGTTTGATATCAGTATGATGGATGGATGCTGACACGGCGTATGTAGAATTGCCAGCGGCGGCATCAGCACGTTTGGCAGCCTCATCGTCCGGGACTTCGGCTACACCAACTTCAACGCGATCCTCTTCAACATCCCCTTCGGCGCCATCCAATTCTTCGCCATCATCGGGTCCGCCTGGGCGGCAACGCACTGGCAGAGGAAGGGCCTGACCATCACGGCCATCAGCGTCCTGCCCATCGTTGGGACGATCATCATGCTCACTGTTCCTCGGACGGGCAACAACAAGGGCGTTTTGCTGTTCGGATACTATCTGGTATCTTGCATGGCGGCCATCACGCCCATGATCTACGCGTGGCAAGCCCAGAACACGGGCGGCGACACCAAGAAGAAATGCACCTCGGCCGTTGTGTTCATTGGGATGTGCGCAGGAAACGTCGTTGGGCCGCTGCTCTTCGATGAGAGGCAGGCTCCCTTGTACCGGCCGGGACTGATCTCCAACCTCGTCATGTTCGCTTTTGTTGGCGGCATCTCAGCGTAAGTACTACTAGTAGTAATATCTTACCCATGCACACTTTGAAGGCACGGCTGATTCAAGCTTCGGCGCTCACAGTCTGACCCCGATCTACCTCATGTACCTCAACTGTCGGCACGCCAAGCGCCGGGAAGAGCTCGGCAAGAACGCGGCTATGATCGATGAGTCTATGATGGGCAATAAGATGGAGCACAGCAAAGCAGTCGAGATCGAGGACGGGGGTGGCCATGGATGGATGAAGACGCTCGAGGAGGATAATGCGCTACGGGATATGACCGACCTGTCGAACGAGGACTTTATCTACGTGTACTAAATTTAAAGAGGCGGCGCCGCGAGGAACATCAAGTCAACAAAGGCCATAGGGGCTGGATGGTGAAGAGGGGATCATGACAGACACCCCCCCACAGCTCATTGCTCAGTGCATATACTACTAGGAGCACTACTGTTCTAACAAACCCACAGGCAAACCATAAACCTCCTTTCGGCCTCCGTAGCCCCGGGTTGCCGTCCTTTAGTCCTTATCGTTCATGAACCGCTGCAGCCACTCGTTGCGGCCTGTAAAGCTGCGGCACTTCTTGCCAAAAATCCTACAAAAGAGTCGTCAGCATTAACTTCGAAGTCACTCTCTCATTGGATCAGGACCCACCACAGCGGAATCGTCAGCAGCGAGACAAACACAAACAGCCCGCCGAGGATGGAGAAGACGATCAGCGGCCCCTGCTGCTCCAGCCACGAGTTCACAAAGTAGGTCAGGCCGAATGTGAGCAGGTTCCTAGCATTGATGGCCACAAACGCCTCCTCGTTGTGCTCCTTGTAGCTGTCGATGACGTAGCCGAACACGCAGGTGGCCGAGAACACCAGGCTCATGTTGGCGAGGCCGAAGCACAGCACGGGGCCGGCCCAGTGGGTCTGGTACTCGACGGTGGCGCCGAAGCCGAAGAAGCCGACGACGCCGAGGACGAGAGAGACCACCATCAGCGGCAGCCGGAACTCGGGCTCGTAGATGCCCCGGTTCTTCTTGGTGAGGTAGACGCAGATCCAGTCGTTAAGCGGACCCGAGACCAGCTCGCCGATGATGGTCATGATGAAGGGCGAGAGACTGATGAGGCCCGTCTGGCTGACGGTAAAGTTGTACGGCGGGCCGACGAAGATGACGCCGTTGACGACCGAGAAGACGACGATCCAGGTGATGACGGTGCCTGCAGACAATTAGCCACCGAACGTTTATGTCAGAGGGGACAGGCAGGTAAGGTCAGGTATGTTTGTTTTGCTCACCGTAGACCAGGAATCCCCAAAACACGGCCGGGTAGAAGAACATGACGCACGGTCGGACGAACGGCTTCCAGCCGGGTGCTTTCGAGTAGCGACCGGTCCAAACCCGGAGCGATTGCCAGTACGTGTGCTTCTTGGGGACCGTCGGCGCCACAGTCGACGCCTCCTCCTTGTGGCTGGTGTCGCTCATATCATTCTTCTCCAGCTTCACGTGGCGGACGCTGCCCGCCTCCTCCTTGTCGCTAGCCGAGGAAGCAACCACCACCACCGTGTTCCTCCGGTACGCCGTCTCGGGGACCAGGAAGAACACGGCCATCATCAGGACGCCAAAGAAAATGGCACACACGCCAAACGTCCACCGATACCCATCCTTCTCAATGATATATCCAGCGACCAGCGCACCACCACTGATGCCCGTCAAGAGGAACAAATTCCAAATCGCAATCCTGGTAGCTCTCTCGTGGGTGAAATACAGATCCCCGATCGTGCACTGCACGAGAACCTCGTAGGGCGCCATGCCAATGCCCGCGACGATGCGGCTGCCCAAGAACGAGCCATACTCCTTGGTCACGGCGCTCCAGACGCTGGTCGCAAACATGATGACGATGGCGGCCAAGTACACGGGCCGGCGGCCGATGATCTTGGCCAGCGGGTTGGTGATGAACAGGCCCAGGCCGATGGTCAGGATCAGCCAGGCCGTCGACTGCGCGAGCACGTCGATCGTGATGTCCAGGTCGCGCGCGATGTCGACAAAGCCCGGGGACAGCATCGGCCCGTAGGCGCCGACCACTGCTGCGGAGAGGCCGACGATGAAGAGGATTAGCTCTTTCTTCCATTGCGGCCACTGGGGGATATTGATTTAGTGGTCAGTTACTATTGGCCGTATTTTAGTAATGTATATGGGGGTGGTTGACTAACGTTCAGCGGGTCGTTGGGATCGTCGGACGGCTGGGGGACGAGGATGACGTCCTTGAAACGCCCTGTGCCGTGCTTGAGCTGCTCGCGGGGTATGTCGGCATACTCTGGTGGCAGGTCGTCCTGGTCGGACATGAAAGCTGAAGGGCCATTTTGTCAGCGGATGTAGTTCTGGCTGCCGTGCGACAGTAAATGGGGAAGGAGCTGCTTTATTACCCGTGCCAGGCACGATTTCCATCTTCTTGCAGTCCAGGATTCCGAACGGCATTTTGGCGACTATAGTACCTGAACCAGGTACCGAAGAGAAAAAAGATAAGCAAAGGGAAAAGGAAAAATCTCTGGAACTTCAGTTGGCACTGATCGTCGTGGAGGTGTGTGCTTGTTTATTTATGCACACCCTTGGCATCCGCCGGGAATCATCTTCAAGCTGCGTGAGGAGAAGGCCGGGAATTGAGATTGGGGTCCAGAACCGGAACGCGGGAAACACAAGCTGCGCACGCTAGTGCAGGTTACGCAATGCTACGCTATGCATATTGGGGTAGTAGCTTCAATGCAGCGGTTTGACTTTCCAGATGGCTGGCGGAGATGGTTTTCCAATCCTTCCCATGCTCATAACCTCACACACCGCAATGGTTCTCTGCAATATCCGGGGTAAGACTAGGGTGCCGCTTTCCGGTGCGGAGCACACCGCAGGCTTGAACTGCATGCCGAGATCCTGTAGCGTGGGAGGCTAGGCCTTTTCAGAGAATGGTTTCCTTCAACCCTATCGTGATAGGGTGTTCATGGAGTCTGGGTAAGGATGCCCGTAGCGAGAAAGCGGATCCCCTGTAACAACCGTGACTCCTTCATCCCTCAGCTAAGTCCTGATCAAGCTGGAAGTGGTTGCGAGGCGCCGCATGCTGTAAAAGAAGAAGCCATCTTGCTGGCTGGTATCAGACACGGGGTCTTTGAGCCCAGATTTGTCGCATGTGGCGTGGCAGCTGGGATTCGGTTCTCGGCATTCCATCAGCTACACACGTTGATGTTGCAGTGTATGGCCCTTTTATTTCTTTTCTTCGAATAGCCAGTGATTCTGACCGACTGACCGCCAGGAACGAGACCAACTCTACCCCAGATTTTAATCGGCTAGGTTCGGACGCCAAAGGAACTGATGGGAACCGCGACAGGATGTGGAGTTCCCGAAACCGCAGGTCCACTTCCCCATGGGGTAATCTTGAGGCCTCCACTGCGAACGAGCCTCGATGGGCGTCGGTGGGGTCACTATGACCATGAATAATACTATATATATCCCGAACAATCATCGGATCCTGACCCAGAAGATTCTGCTGAAAATATTTCAAATCTTTTCTGTTTTGGAAGGCTGAGCAGGTGCACCTTGTTATGGCCAGGCACGGGTGCCAGCATCATAATTGACGATGCGCGATGCCTTCCCGTCTTGTATCTGCTCGGATATGCATTAGGGGCATTGGAACATCTGTGAAGATGGGAAAGAAAGGCTCTTGGTTATTTGTGTTGTGTTGTTTTGTTTTTCTTTAAGGAACTGAACCCAAAATGTTTGCCTCCAACTTCTCCTGACGAGCCACCCTTCAAAAAAAGAAGCACCTTATCGCTCGCGGCAGACAAGCGAAGTATAGTACCAAATGTTCCACAACAACCCCAGCCACATTACCCCTGCTTCCATGAGAACCTTCTGTCAATTCATGTGAATACCTCTATTCGAAGTACGAGAGAGAGAGAGCTCCTAGCAAGATAAGTGTGAGAAGAATAAGGTCAAAAACAGTGCACGAAGATGGTACAGGGAACTTGCACTCACAGGAAATTGTGGTTTTCCCAGTGGCCAGCCAGAACGGTAGCCGACTTGGAGTTGCTTGTCCTTAATTCGCTAGGCTGTATTTATAGATGACGATGTTGGGCAGAGGAGTGTCGAGCAAGATCATGAACTCATGGACGAAGGAGTACGAATGGGACTTTACTGGGATCGTCCGACTTGGAGTTTCTGAGTACCCGAGTCAACAGCTTGAAATGGGTTGGTATCCTCGGCAACAGGGATGTCCGAGTATCAGGCACGAAAGGCCCTCGCCGCAGTCATACGGTGACGGTAGCCGTAGCCGTAGCCGCATGTACTGTTACGGTGGCCACTTCGAGACTTGTTGAAGTGACGATGGCGGTGGTACCGGTGTGTAGTACTGTTGCAACCACGGTAACGACTTGGACCGAAACGGACGTAGAGGTTGCACTAGTAGTAGTAGCTGACGTAGAAGTCGCACTAGTCGCCGTTGATGCGGGCGTATCGGATGCAGAACTTGCAGCGGACGCAACAGGCATCAGCGACGGCGAGGCGTGCACCCACATAACGGTAGTGACTACTAGCAGGCTGATACCCACCAGGGCAAGTAAACAGAGGACTAATGCCCGTCGCCTGGCGTTTGGCTCCATGGGGGCACTGAGGAGCAAATCCACGAGTTTCTTGTGTCTCAGGTAGACTGCCCAGTAAGGTTGATAGAGAAGTTGGAATCGTTGGGCTGGTGGCGCTGCCGGAGGGAGTGGCAAAGACAAGCTATAAATGCTCATCCAGTGGCAGAATCTTAAGCGGTCCGATCTAATGTATTGTAACACCTTTTCAGACTGACTCCAGTCAGCTGAGTGACGGTGTGGCACGAGTGCAGCCTGCGTGGCAGAGGACAATTAACATGGGCAGCCATCCTTCTCAACAATCTCAGTTGCCTCTCTGTCTGCATCTCCATCCCAAAACAGAAGACCTCGCTGAAATGCGAGACCGCCAGGGTGCGCCGTACACACAAAAGATATCATGTGGACTTGCGAGGATGCATGACCAATCATCTATGCGTCGCCTGTGCCCACCATTTCCATCCTCCTTGCTCAAAAACGCCACCATCCCCTGTTCCTCCCACACATCACGCCACAAGCGTGGCAGCACAATACCAATGAAGTACCACATCACTGCCCTTGCGACAGGTCTAAGTATTCCCCTAATGGTATTAGACCCTTATACAGACCAGAAGGTTATAGAACTGCACGCCACAGACAGACTTCCAACAGGAATGCAGAACCCCTATTCCACTCCAGTCTTTCATCCATCTTTCAAATCCTCACACTGACACGGCAGCTACCTTCCATAACTCTCTCCCCCCCTTCCCACCCTCAAGCCACGTACTCCCTCTCCCTAACAGTCATGGGCATCCCGCCGGCCGGCACGGGCACAAAATCCATGACCTGATAGGCCTGCTCGCCCATGAGCGGCAGGGTCGGGCTGCCCTCGGGGTAGGCCAGGGCAAAGTCGAAGCGGCGGCAGAGCACGACCAGCGCCAGCTTGATCTCGATCAGCGCCAGGCCCTGGCCGATGCAGCTGCGCGGGCCCTTCTCGAAGGCGCGCCACGCGCCGGGCGGGATGGTACCCGGCGGCGCGAGGAAGCGGTCGGGCTTGAAGGCATTGGGTTCCGGGAACAGATTCGGGTCGCGGCCGAAGCAGGTGTGCACGACCCAGAGCTATACATTATATACACCAGGAGGGAGGGGTTAGTTGAGTGGCGAGGGAGGAAGCGGAAGGGAATATCTGAGGTTTGGGGGGTGCTTACCGCGTGGCCTTTTGTTGGGTATATCTTACCGTCGAAAGTTATTGTGTGGCTGCAGACTGTGTGAGAAGAGTGATACTTTGGAAATGGGAAGTTAAAATGCGCGCTTACTTGTCTCCCGCCTTGCGGATTGTGGAAGCTGGGCTGTAGAGTCGCAGAACCTCCTTGACGACGGCTGTGGTCAGGGGCAGCTCGTGCAGTTTGGTTGGGTTTTCTTCCAGGATCTTGATCGTCCCCTCGCGCGACGGGCTAATTAGTTCGTCATGTTCCGCCCGGACCCGGGCGAGGATGTCTGGGTGTTTCGCTAGTTCCAGCAGGCAGTACTACGACGAGATGGTTAGCGTAGCAGGTTTATAGGGAGCAGAAGTACGGCTTACTGCGATGGTACCGGCCGTGGTATCATGACCTGCGATAAGCATGCCCTTGGTACTGTGGTTTTGTAAGCGGCGCTCGTTCCTCTAGGGAAGAAAAAGAAGGAAAGGGAAAAAAGGAGGAGTAAAGCTCACTTGTGAACACACTGCTCCAAAAACAACTTATCCAACCTCTCTCCCTTATTCGGCCTCTTCTCCTCATCATACTTCTTCAAAAACAAATCGATCCCCGCCTCCGTCTCAGGCGCCTGGTACGTGCCGGCCTCCCAGCGTTTCTTGATCTCCTCCGCCAACAGGTTATCGAGCTTCCGCGAGTGCCAGCGCAGGCCCGGCAGCTTGACGTACTTCTCCCAGAAATTGAGCCCCTCCCAGGTGAACTTCATGGCGGCGCGGAACTCGCGCACGATGGGGTGGAACTCGGTCTCGTCCTGCGCGGCGAGCCGCACGTCGAGCATCAGGTCGCCTATCACGTCGATGGTCATGGAGATGAGCCGGCCCAGGATGGGGAACGGCTCGCCTGCGGCGGCGAGCCTGGCGGTGATCTCCTCGAAGACGAGCATGTGGTGCAGCATGCGCGGCACCCGCTGGAGCAGGTAGGTGGTCGAGAAGCCCGGCGTGAGGGTCGAGCGGAGGTGCTTCCACTCGGGCCCGTTGCTCCAGAAGACCGAGTGCCGGCCGACCAGCTCGCCCATGACGTCCTGCACGACCGAGTGGCGCGGGAGGTTCTCGGCGTTGGTGAGCTGCGTGGCCACGGCTGGGTCGGTGATGATGATCATGGGCGCGAAGATGGGATACCAGTCCAGGTAGAAGACGGGAGGGAGCTTGTACCGCTGCTGGATGGCGAGGATGATGGCGTGCGGGTGCACTCTCTTCGGCAGGGAGCGCACCGTCTGCCGGAAGAGAGCCAGGTGGCCGAACCACCAGGAGTGTGGCGGTTTGGGCTGGTCCCGTGTTAGCTAGGTGCTCATCTCTCGCCGGTGCTGATGGGCTTACCAGGTCATTGTAGAACCTGCGATGCCGCGTGACAGACCACGCTGCCCAGGTAACAAGACAGACAAACAGTATAAGCCGGGTGGTTGTTGTCAGCGACTGCACATATTGGAGGAGCGTTATTTGCTGTGTCTGCGTCACAACAGTGGTGTTGTTTCCTCTGGATAGGGTATGGATAAGGTCTTCCATGTTGTTAGCTCCGTCCAGTGTGTAGTTTGGCGCAGGAGGAGGACTCACGGGACCGTCGTCACTGAGATTTATCGGAGGGCTCAGAGTCTCAGACGAGTTCGCCAGAAGCTCCGGATATGCGGCTATCCATCACGGAGCATGGTCAGCCCCCTATACTGTACTTAGTCGGATTACTGCGAATGCCAAGGTATGGGATTTCTGCACGTCAGCTTGGTGTCACATTGAAGGATGGCAGATACCATGTACGGTAGCTCCGCAGAGAGGCGCTTCAATAACGCGACATGGAATGCTCTGTTTGCACCCCTTGGGGCCTTGCTATAGATACGCCTTACAAGTGGAGTTGACGGACGAGAACATTTCCAGGTTTCCCATGGTTCCTTCGCCAGGGCTGACTGCAGGGCGATTTCTACCGCTTATTATCTCCAAAGGATGCTGCTGGCGGAGCCGCGGAGTCATGCATGTTGTCAGCAATGCAGGCAATCCCAAGATTCCAAAGCGAGCCTAGACTATAAAATATGTACCAGTCTATACTCGAGAGATTTGGAATTGCCAGAGTCTTTGTTGCAGCACGTCCGCACTGGCACACCCTCGCTGACCATGGCCACAACAGTTCTTACAGAGACCCAGGGAATCAATGGGTCCGTCACCGAGAAAGACCCTCGGATGACAGATGAGTTCCAGACATACCGCGTGGGCTCCGGGCCGCAACAAGACGTCTCGGCATACATCTTCTACTCAAAGGTCTCTGCAGACGGCACCAAGCCGACAGAGAGGGATCTGCCATTCCTGAAGGGCGAGTTTACGGATGCGAGGAGAGTCGTCATCCACGATGCCCGCGGTCAGGGCAAGAATCTCGACGAGAACGGCTTCGAGTACATCACGCATCCGAAGCCGGAGGCCGACTACTCGGACCCCAACAGCGTCAGACAGGTGTACTACCCGGCCATGATGATGCAGTTGATCAAGCAGAAGTGAGAATCCAACCCCCGGGGCCCTTTTTTCCACCCTAGGGGATCCTAGAAAACGCTGACAAGGGGTTTTTTTCTTTTTTTTTACCACCAGGCTGGGCGCTTCCGAGGTGCTAATCTTCGACCACCGCGTGCGGCAGTCGTCGTTCAGCACCAAGTACGGCACCGAGTACCAGTCGTACACGGGCCCCGTGATCCGGCCGCACGTCGACTTCGCGCCGGTGCATGCGCCGGCCTTCCTGCAGCGCATCCGCCCGACGAACCATGCGCAGTACGCGGGGCGGCGCTGGCAGGTCATCAACTTCTGGCGCCCGCTGCGGCGCATCGAGCGCGACCCGCTGGCCGTGGCCGACGCGCCCACCGTGCCCGAGGCCACCGACGAGCTGGTGCATCTCGCCTACGCCGGCACGCCGCGCCAGACCGAGACCTTCCTGACGCTGGCCGGCGGCAGCGAGGGCGCCCACCAATGGTACTACTACCCGCACCAGGAGCCCGACGAGGTGCTCGCCTTCAAGATCTACGACAGCCATCCGCCGAGGGAGAATGCGCGCTGTGTGCCGCACACCAGCTTTCGCTGGCTGGACGTGCCCGAGGATACGCCGCCGAGGCACAGCATTGAGATCCGCTGCTTTATCGCGTATGATTAGAGGTAGTAGTACTGCTGGTTGGTTGATTGGCTGAGGTGGTTGGTAGGAATACTGCGCAGTAGAATACAGGTAGTCAGGGTTGAGAATGAGAAAGGCTGAGGACGTAAGGCGCTAGTGTCTCACTGCATGCATGCTATCTGTACCTAGTTACTCATAACCACATATGCGGTGGCCGAGTGTTTGGAGTGTAACAGCAGGATTCAATATTTCCGTGCTACCACACAAGCTGCAAGATGAAGCGTAAGAAGGTATTGGTTGGTTAAGGGGGTCTATCAAGAGCTGCAGCAGTTATTTGTAAGCGAGACCCAAGGCCATTCACGATCCATCAGTCACGGTCTCGACTCTCTTGTGACAATACCTTATCGAAGAACTTTGATAGGAACGTGGACGCTCCGTTCCCATTCGGCGGCAATTGCCGTACAAGATTCTGTGCTCGAAGCTGCCGGCCCCAAGTCCCGCGCTGACGTCCATTTATTTAGTCTTACATGCAGTCAGTCTTAGTCAGATGCCGCGCGGTAAGTCAACCTGATAGGCAAACCTTATAGGAGCCAAGGGAACGGAATGGGCCGGGAAATCTGCAGAGAGCTTGTTCCTCGAGGTCCGAGGTTGCAGTCGGAGTTTACAGCCTTGCGCTTCATTAATCGCCTTAAACTTAAAGTCCGGAGAGGGAGGGGGGTGAAGCATGCGGGTAGCACAGCCGAAGTTGCATCCGCAAGCCCCGGCTTACGGTCCACACCGAGGTAGGTAAACAAACCCCTGACCTCTTCCTTCCTTCCCATCACATCAGGAAGATCAGTACATCGTACCTGAGCACAAACGTGAGCATATTGGAAGCTCGCCTAATATTTCCTTAACCAAGCTACAACATGCTGCAGTCATGATCCTATCGCTCCAATGCTATTCAATGCACCATGCACATCTACCAAACTTCACTTTGCGCCCTATCCACCCACACAAGCTGCAGTCATCATTCCTATCTCTCCCAAAATACCCTGCAGCATGCACATCTACCAAACTTTTCAACATCCACAACAAACAGCAGTCATCATCCTATCTCTCCAAATATCACCCATTCAATTTGTCATGTCATGCACAGTGCCATCCCTCAAGGCAACGTCCCGCGCAGCACAGGCCCATCATAGGCCGGCAACACGATCGGCCGGACCTCCCTCAGCTGGTCCACCACCTCGCCGCCATAGCGCAGCAGCTCCCCAAAAGTCCCCGGCCGCGCATCCGCATCTTCATTGCCGGGGGCCTCCCAGAAGGTGGCCAGCGGCGGGGCCAGCATGTAGCCGTGCCCGTGGTACAGCTTGAGCAGCGTGGAGCTAGACAACAAGTACTCGACCAGCGCCTTGGCCTCGGCGTGCAGCTCCGGGTCGACACCCCCGCCAACCCCGCCCCCCACCACGTCCACAGGTTTGTTGATGTCGCGCGGGCAGGTCAGCAGCGCAAACAGGCGCGCCGTGTTGAGGCGCGTGCGCACCTCGGCCGCGAAGGCCTCTTGCATCGGGTCGAGCAGCAGCACGTGTTTGCGGACGTACTCGGGTCCGTTGAAGGCAGAGGTAGAATCGATGGTGACCTTGAGCTTCTCCCACGCCAGCAGGTTGACCCAGTAGTCGAGCAGGCGCTGCTCGGACCCGGGCTGGATGGTCATCAGCACGCGCGGGTTGATGGCGGACGGCACGCCATCGAAGACCGGGTGGCGCGAGAGCCCTTCGCTGGAAGAATTGCTGTTGGAGTGTCCCGACCATGCGGCCACCATGATGCGCTGCCAGCGCGCGAGCAGCTCCTCGCCGGCTTGCGCGGCGATGCAGAAGTTCTGCATGCTGCCCCAGCTGTTGGCGCGGTGCTGGTGCGCGAACCCGCCGATGCGGTACGCCGTCGACGCGTCGGCGATGGGCTGCCACAGGCTCTTGTCGATGTCGCCCAGCAGCATCACCCCGACGTCCAGGTAGATGCCCCCGTAGCGGTGCAGCAGCGGCAGGCGCACCAGGTCTGACATGTGCTGGCCCGAGTGGGGGCCCAGGTTGCTGCCGCCGCTGCCGTTGGCCACCACCGCCTCGGGAACGGGGAGGGTTGTGCTGTTGTCGTTGTTGTAGTCGAGGTAGTGGAACACGTTGGCCGGCGAGCCGCGGACGTTGTCGAGTACCCGGACCGTCCAGCCCGTTGGACCCAGCTTGCGCACCCAGCCAATGATGTTGCGCTGCTGCCACCCGTGCAGCTGGGAGAAGCCCTTGTCCCAGAAGGCCCAGATGTTCTTCTGGGACGTGACCTCGCGGGGCGGGCTGGTCAGCGCTGCAATGATCTCTGAGTCGGTTCGCGGGTCCTGGGCCGAGCTGGGACGCAGCCGGGTTCCTTCGGGGAGATCGTGTTGCCAAGACATGTTTCTGACGTGAGACAGGTATAGTACCTTATCTGTGGCGGGTGGATGAGGTGGATCGGAGTTTCCTAGTTGGGTAATAAGTGCTTCGGTGAGTGGTAGTAGAAAGGAAGACCTAAAGGAATGGAAGAACTGGCTTTTATGGTTCGTAAGGTGCTCTGATTTCCAGCCGTGGCAAAGAGCACAAGACGGAAGGTTGATATTCGGACACCCTGATGAAGGTCCCATCGTGTCTAGCCCGTAAACGTAGTATCCGCTTCCTTTGGGGCTGACGAGCTTACCCCTACTACGAACATGCATTTGCTCCTACACCGCGGACCTGGATACTGTCGTGAGACGCCCAGTCTCACGCAGCGCGTCTTAGCGAAGTGCTCCTTCCAAGCCACATCCAAGCATCTTCACGTGGATACGATGGAGTCTTGTGTATAGAATGGTTGGTTGTATAGCGGTCAGGCATTCAACATCTCGATAGAGGAATATCCTGAATACGCTCTTGCAGAGTCTCTGACTCAGAGACGCCGTTCGAGGTCTCCTGTACGGAAGAGCCACACCTCCTGGAATAGACTATGTGATTGGTAATACTAAGTTGTCTGTGTGTGTTGCCCACGCCCTGAGGACGCTGCCCAGTCTGTTTGATCCCACGGTCTAGCCGCTTTCGCCTGTGGAGCGAGGGAGCAAGGCGTACCTCGACAGATGGCGTAGCGAATCCAATGATGGAACAACTTGGTCTCGATAACATGCTCAGGTCCAACCCGCCCCGTCGGATGCTCCGTTTCTCAGTGTGAGAGGGACCATTCCTCGCCCCCGGGCATGACTTATATGCCGTCTTTTCTCTCCCAGGTGTTGTGCTTGATATCCTACCACATCGCCAGCCTCTCCTTTGAATTACCGGACATAATTTCAACACAACAGAATGAACACGTTTTTATTTTTTGTCACGGGCATCATTGCCTGGCGACTGTACACTACCATCGCCCACCTCGGCACCGTGCCCACGAAGGTGCCATGGGTTGGGAGCACCGGCTCTCTCCTCTCCTATCTCTACTCCCAGCTCAAGGCCATTCAAAGCACCCCGTCGACCATCAGTGATGCATACCACAAGGTGAGTCCCTTTCTCTTACAAGATGACCCACCACGCACCAGACTGAGACATGCATTAGTACAGCAAACATGGCTCGATCTGCGCCATCCCGCTGCCCTTCAGCCGGCCCGAGATTCTCATCCCGCGCTCACTCATCAAGTGGATGATATCGCAGGACGAGAGCCAACTGAGTCCCACCCCGGTCCAGTACGAGGTTGTTGCGGTGAAGTATGCCTTCGTCAACAAAGAAGTCCACGGGGACACGGCCGTCTACCAGGTTCTCCGTACCAACATGAACCGCCAGCTGCCGAAGCTGATCCCGTCCATCATGGAGGAGCTAGCCACGCGTATCGATGAGCAGTTCGGGACCAGCGGCGAGTGGCGGGAGGTGCCATCGCACGAGCTGGTGAGGAACGTCATTGCGAGAGTCTCGTCTCGTATCATCTTCGGCGAGCCGCTATGTGAGTTCCCACGATATTAACAAAAGTACCACATAGAGAAGAACTAAGACCAAATCACAGGCAACGACGTCCAACTCCTAGACAACATTGACAAGTTCTCCACCTGCATCGTCCCCAGCTCGCTCCTCCTGCGCTTATTCCCCCCCTTCCTGCACCCACTGCTCTCCTACGCAACCCACTCCGGCAACCGCATCTACAAGCACCGTGCCGCCAAGGTTTTGGCGCCCTACATCCAGAACATGATCAGCACCATGGAGGAGGAGGGGGAGGAGCACAAAAACAACAACAACAATACTACTAATAATAGCAAACCTCCTCGGAGGAACGACGTGCTCACCTGGCTAGTGGCCGACGCGCTGAAGCGGAACGAGCCCCGCGCGGGGCTGGTCGACCGGCTGATCTGCCGCGTGTTCGTCACCGTGTTCGCCTCCATGGAGACCACCACCATGACCATCAGCCACGCGCTGCTCGACCTGTGCGCCGCGCCCAACGCGCCCGACGTGTGGGCCGGTCTGGCCGAGGAAGGCCGGCGTGTAATCCCGTTGTCGTCGTCGTCATCATCATCATCTTCTTCTTCTTCCTCTTGTTTATCGGTGCCGCGGCTCGACCTGGCGAGTGTGAATGGTCTCGCCCGCGCCGACAGTGCCCTGAAGGAGACCCTGCGGCTGCGGACGAGCATCAAGGCGCTTGCTACCGAGGTTACCGCGCCCGGCGGGGTGGTGCTGGAGGGGTATGGCGTGAGATTGCCCCGGGGGGCTAGGCTGGCGGTGAGTGCGTGGGGATTCACAGGGATAAGGCCATCTATGGCGAGAATGCGGATGATTATGATGCCTTTCGGTTCTGTCAGCCACTAGTACTGCCTGAGACTGAGACTGGCAAGGTGGTGGTGGTCAGCAGCACAGCGGAAGAGGCGGGCGACGGGAAAGATGCCAGTGGGGGAGGCGCCACCGCAACCAAGACCAAGACCGAGACGACGGGTGCTTCTGCTGCGAAGATCGACCTCATGGTCTCGGCCAGCGAGAACTATCTCCCCTTTGGAATGGGACGGCATTCTTGCCCCGGTCGCTACTTTGCCGCCGCCGAGCTGAAGCTGTTCCTGGCCTACCTGGCCGTGCACTACGATCTGCAGCTGGCGGACGCTGGCCGCCCTGGCTTTGTTAGCATTGGGCATTTTCCCCTCCCGCCGCTGAACGGGAGGCTTAGGGTCAGGAGGAAGACTCCTGTTCCGCTGGCCACGGCGCGGGAGGTTACGGCTGAGGTATAGAGCCCGGTTTTGATTACCGGGTGGGCTTGGCTTAGAATCTGGATATGAGCTTCATGGCCTTAGTGAGGAGCACTCAGAACTCAGTCATGTGTCCCATTTGTTTTGCTATTACCTGTTTTGGTGTTTATGGCAACCACCATGCGAAGAGCCTTAGATCGGTCACGACAAAACATAGCTGCGAGCAGGGTGCCACTGTGCCGGATTGCAGAGTACCTACCATGTATCTCCGCGATGTTGCCATCAACTAAATTCGCAAGAGCCATTGCGACGTCTGTTTTTTCTTTCAATAAGGGCGCGGGATGAATCCATTGTCAACAAGCGCTCAAGGGTTCCTTGGCACCTCCTGAATACTAGATACTACCCGCCTAAGGCAGAGTCACTCTAGCTGCCATAGGAGGATTCTGCTGAGAGTCGATAGTCCGACCCTTCCGTCTAGAAACCGTCGATTCGATGGCTGCTGGTGAACCCCGCTTGGTCAGGATGCTGCCTTGCTGACAGGCACGGGACATATCACTCTGCAGGCTGACATAATATGCTGCATATCCTGGGCTATGCGCGCATCAGGCACACACATCAGCCTTGCTCTAGTGCTTACATCCCGCGTATCTCTGCTCCCACCGATATTTACCTACCCGGTAGGCAGTAGCTCCATCCCAGGATGCCGCGATATATGCATCTTGCCCAAAGACACCAACACTTACTATAGTCTGACAGATTCTAGAGCAGGAGCAGGAGCAAGCAGATCCTCCTCAGCGCCTTCCTCGATCTCTCTCTTCCGCTCTCTTCCCTTTCCAAGCTCAATCTAACTAAACCAACACCACCTACGTTACTTTAGTTCCCTATCACCTTCCAAAATCACTCCATACAAAATTCCCCATCAAATCCAAAAAGAAAAAATGACAACAACACCTCCCCTCGTAGAGCTCGCCGACGGCTTCACCATCCACACCCCCTCGGAGCGCGAGGCCCGCTTCATCTACAACGAAATCTACGCCGACCACTGCTACGACGTGCCCAACCTTCCCTCCTCACCCTTCATCATCGACGCCGGCGCCAACATCGGCCTGTTCACGCTCTACTACAAGCAGAAATTCCCCTCGGCCACCATCCTGGCCTTCGAGCCCGCGCCCCAAACCTACAGCACCCTGCTGCGCAACCTCCGCCTGCACGGCCTCGCCGACGACCCGCGCATCTCCACCTTCCGCTCCGGGCTCGGTGAGCGCGAGGCCGCGGCCGCCACCTTCACGTATTATCCCAACGCGCCCGGGAACTCGACCCTGTTCCCGGACCAGAAGGATGGGCTGAAGCAGCTGGTAGCGAGTAAGTTCCCCGAGCACGGGCAGCAGGTGATTGACGCGTGGCTGGGCAAGGAGGAGGTGGTGGAGGTGGAGGTTCAGCGGCTGTCGCATTTTCTCTTGGAGTTGGAATCAAGAAAGGGGAGGTCCGAGGAGGAGGAGCAGGGTGGGGGGTTGAAGGTGGAGAGTATTGATCTGCTCAAGATTGATGTCGAGGGGGCCGAGTTTGAGGTGCTGGCGGGGCTGGATGAGGAGCATTGGCCGTTGGTGAAGAACGTTGTGTTGGAGATTACCACGGTTGGGAATGAGGGCGCGGTGGAGAGGATGAGGGCTTTGCTGGAACAGAAGGGGTTTGTGGTCACCGTCGAGGCGGCGCATCCGGATTGGTCTGAGGTGATAGTCCTTGTTAAAGGTACCAGAGCTTGATAGATGTTATCCAGCAGTCGGGGTCGAATGGTACCGGGGTCAGCATGAAGAAGGCCCTGTTGCATATTTGTGCATTGCTAATATAAAGAGACCGGAATACCTGGTATGAAACCGGGCAGACTTCATCCTGGATGACCATGGAATATGGGGGCAGGGTGATTACTCCGTAAAGGAGGAACCTTGTGGCCCCTTTGGATGACACTCGACGGCTACCTCTTACAGTTTATGATGTACCCTTTGCCCCGTCGGAGCATGAGCAGAAGGAGTTCCGATGCTTACATAAGGCCATGCCGCTGCCTTTCCCTGAACCGATCTGGTCTTCGAGTCTCGAGTCACGCGTAGAGCAGATCCAAAGATAGTTTGGGCTGTCAGGCCGTTTTGGTAAGCCGTAGTTATAGGGTTAGGTAAATTTACAACTAGAGAATTATGGTTATAGCTTTTAAGTGGCTGGGAAATTCTTCTGTTTTAATCTTGGGAAGCCGCGAATCTTACAAACAGTTGAACCGACTTAAGTAGTAGGAGGACCGCCTCGACACTACCTCATTCCGGCTTGAACACCTATAGGTCGCTGCTCTGCTCTTGCCAAACGAGTCCTAACTTTCCAACCGTTGAGTTTTTCCTGACCTCTCGTTGACGATAAGGCGTCTATTCTGCCAACCGGAAGTCTTTGGTTACGGAAAATGAGCTTATTCTGCCAGTAGCGATACCCGAGCTTACTGGGAGCGTAGAGGATAGAGTTCTTGTATAGCTCGGGGAGTTTGGTAATCGACAGCCCCTTAACGAACCCCGAGAATGGAATAGCAGCGCCATATACACCGTGGTTGAGCAGCCGGATGTGCTCAGGGGCAGATTCTCCGGGCTCGAGATCTAGCAGTCGAATCATAGACAGTTCCGCGCACCATCAGACTGTTAGTCAGAGCCAACAGCCTGGCTAACCTAGCGTCCTGGACCTGACCGTGTTAAAGGGTTGATATTCATCTCCCTGTGTAGATGGACTCTTATTTTATTGTCAGTATTGCCTTAGGGCGACATCTTGGTGCCTCTACAGAGGGAGGTTATGATACCCGGGGTCTAAGATTCACTTACGGACAATATCTATTGTAAGTAAGACGGCGAGGTACATGACCTGTTCGACAAGGTCCCTGTTACCAAGACCCGTATATTGTCAGCGGCGACCACCTCTCCATCGTGTGCTTTATTGGCGAAGGGTACTTACCATCCACACTCGGTATGAAAACTAACATAGTATACGATCGCCCACCAGCCTGCGGGCAAACCGAATCCCCCCTTGGCCAGTCTCTTTGCGTCCCGATGTGCCAGCAGGTCGCATTTGCGCTTGATATTGACAGCTCATCGATCTCCCGGCTCAATTTGCGGAGCCGGGCCCGCGTGAAGTAGGTCCGGTCGGCGAAGGACGGGACGCTGGCGCGCATCTTCCACGACAGGCGGAATCTCGGCTTGGATCAAGCGCTCTACATACCTTACGATAGGGGCTGTTGAGTGGACAAGCAATGCCAGCGGCTGGATCGTGTCGTTGGGCGTGATGGATCGACCATACTCCTGCTTGCCATTGTTGGCCGGGTCCTCCTCGACCACGATGGGGAGCGGCAGGATCCTGCTCCTTGCACGAGTTGCTCCCGCTTGTGATGGTCAATGCTGTTTCTTATCCAACTTGTTCGCCACGTCCTAAACTGGTCCTTCCATTGGCGGAGCCTGCTTGGGAGCTGATTCTCGGATGGGAGTATTGGCCGCTTACGCTTCGGGCGGGATGGTAGGAACGGTAGGGTCTCAGGTACCTCCCTATCACCCTCTGCCGGAGACGAGTAGCCCGGTGACTCCGGAATTACCTCCCTCCAACCTCGTTTTCGGGGCGTTGATGGTAGGGCGATAGGGGGTCCCTGGGACACCGTAGCCCCAGACTGTAACACCTGGAGGCGAGCTTGCACGGTGGCCTATAGATGCCATTAGTCTATAGCCTCATACTAGGTAGACACTATAGAAAGTAACGCACGGTATGGATCTGCTGTTGGATGGAACAGGAGTTTCCTCTTGATCCTGAAGTCCTGGCGAACGCTGGGGCATCCTGGAACACGGCATGCGAACTGCAGCATGCTGGGGGCAAAGGAGGGACTCCGAGGGGTACCTTTATCCTCGTATAGTATGGCCAATGCGGTATTCTCAACCAACGTACGGATGTCCTTCAGAGGAGCTATATATAACGTATCTTATAAGCGAGATGAACATATAAGCGAATTGAACACTTTGACCGCGACGCGTCTTCTCTCCATACCACAACCAAAATCCTCTACACCCAACGATGTCTTCGGCTTCAAGAGAGTCTAGGGTAATCTTAGCCCTTGAAGCTATTCAAAAGAACCCAAAACTTAGTCTTCGCGCCGCAGCAAATATCTATAACGTCACAGTCAATACCATCCGAAACCGACGCGACGGCAAGCCTGCACGACGCGATACTACGCCCAACTCGCGCCGGCTCACCGATTCCGAAGAGAAGGCTCTTGTTCAGTATATAATTGAGCTATCTGAGCGAGCCTTTCCCCCGAGACTACGTGGTGTAGAAGATATGGCCAACCAACTGCTATACGTATGCGACGCGCCCCCTGTCAGTAAGCTCTGGGCGTATAACTTCGTCAAACGCCAGCCAGAGCTCCGGATATGTTATACGCGTAGATACGACTACCAGAGGGCCAAATGCGAGGATCCAAAGGTCATTGGCGAATGGTTTACCCTTGTACGGAACGTTAAGGCCAAGTACGGTATCGTAGATGACGATATCTACAACTTCGACGAGACTGGGTTTATAATGGGCATTATCTTCCCAGGCATGGTGGTAACAACCTCGGATGGCCGTGGTAAGGCGAAGCTAGCCCAGCCTGGCAACCGCAAATGGGCGACCGTAATCCAAGGCGTCAATGCCCTTGGCTGGGCTATCCCTCCGTTCATTATCTTAGCGGCGCAATACTACCTCGCCAACTGGTATACCGAGTGCAACCTCCCGGCCGACTGGCGTATTGCAACCACCGAGAATGGCTGGACTACCAATGCAGTAGGCCTTGATTGGATCAAGCACTTCGATTACCATATAGCGCCTCGGATAAAGGGCAAATACCGGTTGTTGATCCTCGATGGCCACGAAAGCCACCATTCAACCGAGTTCGAGCTCTACTGCCAGTAGAACAACATTATCACGCTCTGCATGCCTCCATATTCATCCTACCTCCTCCAGCCACTTGATGTTGGCTGCTTTGGGCCGTTAAAGCAGGTGTACGGTCGCCAGATCGAGGACTTGATACGCGTGTATATCAGCCACGTAAGCAAGCTCGAGTTCCTTTGTGCCTTTCGTATAGCCTTCTTTGCCTCTATCACCAAGAGGAATATATAGGGCGGTTTTATAGGGGCTGGCCTTGTACTGTACGATCTAGAGAGGGTACTTTCGAAGCTAGATATCAAGCTTCGTATACTAATACCCCCAACCTTACGGCCAGGCACTATACAATCTTGGGTCTTCCAGACACTATACAACCCCTAAGAAGCCAACTCACAGTTAACGCTCATCAAGACTCGCATTGCCAACCATCAAAATAGCTCCCCGACTTCGATGTTGGCTGCTGTGGACCAGCTTACCAAGGGTACGATGGCTATAATGCACCAGGTGGCCCTCCTTCAGGCAGAGAATGCTTCGCTCCGCAAGGCCAACGAGGCGCTAAGCAAGCGCCGAAGAGCCAAAAGAACGCGTGTATAGCTTGGAGGATCACTTGCAGTAGAAGATGCAAAGGATCTACTAGACCAAAAGGCTGTGGTTGGGGAGGTGGCACAAGAAATGCAGCCGGATGGTAGTGGTGCAGGGGGGGCTCGTACGAAGGTTCGGTGCTGTGGTGTGTGCGGCAAGCCTGGTCATAATGCCCGCACTTGTCAGGAGGTTGCAGAAGCATCTGATTCAGCCGTTTCTGATGTAATTATAGTAGGTTCATAATGTTGTTGTGTTGTAATTGTAGTTGACTGTTATAGTATGGTGGGAAGTGTTCAATTCGCTTATATGTTCATCTCGCTTATAAGATACGTTACTGTTAGATAAAGAATGTTATAGAGTTATATGTACGATCAGATCAATATCGAGAACTGATGTGATATCCTAACTTACTGTATGGCCGCTACGCTCGCCGTCGTCGCTGTCATCGTCGCCGTTGCCGTTGCCGTGGTCGTGGTGACGGGCAACTCCCCTGGCCACTCGGGCAAATCACCTTCGCGCAGTGGGCTCACATCAATGGTTTCTTGATCCATCCTCGCTACGCTTTCAAGTGGCAATATTGATGTATCTGCTTAGGTAAATAGAGTATCGGTTGGCGGCAGTTCAGACAACGAGACAAGGAGTCAGTTATAAAAGACCATGAAGAGGTTCTGTTTTCTGCAGGCCGTGACATGGTGTGGATGTCCCTTGCTACCTAAGGAAGGAACAGTAGAGTGAATCTCCTAAAAAGGAAGGAACACTAGAGGGAGTTGGTAGAGTCTCTGGCACTACGGCCCGAACTTTGAAAGATATACCTAGCACTCGATTATAATAGCACCGAATGTCGACGACCGTATATCTCACATTCATATAGCGATTTCTATCTGACCCTCACTTCCTGCTCTTGCTCGTCTAATGCCTTTTGGTTCAACCTCTGAGCCTTGGCCTCGCCCTCGGTCCTGTCGGGCATCGACGACTGCGGGCGGAAGGGCCGATACGTGAATGGCGGCCTACATTGGCAACGTATTAGGAGCTGCCAAGCTGGAGAGCGGTGTATCACCTGGTATTGGACGCGTCCTCATTCGGATGCTTCGTGGTGGCGTCTGTCAGGGTCAAATGTGAGGAATTGACTCCATTGTTGACCTCGTACCATATGTACGCTGGTGTCAGACAATGTGACGTCACTGCGGGCATCAACAGGAGCTCCGGGCCAAGCACTGTGCTGCCGCACGGTATTTGCTGATTCTGCGACTGTGTCCGTACTAATTAGTAGATCCCCGCCAACGATCGGCGCTCAGCTCAGGGCCTCGGGCTGTTCCGCCCGCATCTTTCTCGATTACGTGGTACAGTGTAGTGTGCACGCCCAGAGAGGCACGCAAAAGGGGCGTTGAAGCCGGAGGAACCGCCATTCAAGGTACGGACGGCGCGGGATGGCATTCCCCAATCTTTACGCGCACCGCAAGGTGGCAGAGACGAAGGCGAAGTCGTGCGACATTTGCTACAAGCTCAGCTCCAGCGTCCTGATCACCCCGGACAACAAGGTTCGCTCCTTCCCATCACAATCCTCCGAGCGCGTCGCTGTCGCTCACGAACGCTACGATCTGACACTGCCCAGGATTGGTTCTATGTCTGTCCCGCCCACCTTAAGGACCCGCTCTTCTGCACGCCCAAGATCGACGAGGCCGCCATCGAGGCTCGCAAGAAGCGCGAGCTCGAGGCCGAGATTGAGCGCGTGAAGAAGGAATACGAAGAAAAGCAGAGGAAGAAGAAGGAGAAACAAGAGGAAGGCGAAAAGAAAGACGATGCGGCAGAGGACAAGAAAGACAAGGATAGCAAGCCCGGAGAGGACAGTCGGAAGAGTCCGGACAAGAAAGAAGCGACCAAAGATGATGCCGCTCCCTCGCCAACGGAGGAGGAGGAACCTCGTGTCTTTGAACTAAAGAGGTGAGAGAGCGTTGTCGCACTGCTATCCCTGGCGTCCGCTGACCGGTACGGTATTAGTACATTCTACCAGCAACGGATAAACAGGAAGAGACAAGCAGAAATTGCCAGGCGCAACCGCGAGCGGATGCAGGATCCGACCTTCTTCCCTTCAGTTCCCAAGAACCTTCCGTCATAACGAGTCTCCACTCTCCACACTTCACAGACCCAGACGGCAAGTACGTTGCTATTGGGTAGCTGGACCCCAAGTACCTCGAACCAAATCCCCATCTCTGTGTGGCATCTTACCTCTAGCTTTCCGCTCAGCCGACGACGTCCTTCCCTTGAACGGAGTCCCTCTCAGAGACGAATAAATGGGCGTTGCTACTGATCGGGTCCGATCTGTCAAAGTACAATCGCATTTTGGCATTTCTGGCCCCCTGGACAACCTCTCATTTGATACACTTGAGGCAGCGGGGGCTCGCCAGGAAAGCATCACTTTGCATATTGCGTCCCTCCACCAGTTCAGGCCGCAATGTACAGCACAATATTCCGAATATGAAAGAGTTTTGTTTTGTCGGGCCGAAGAGAAACGCCGACCGCACGTGGCTTCTTTTGCATCGCGAGCGACTGGCCAGCGCAGATACACACTCTGCCTCTCCTCTTTCCGGACTTGGGACTAAGACTAAGGTAGTCACGACATACAGCCGTTAGGCTGTCATAGACTCACAAGTCATAATACACATGCCGCGGTTGGTATCGGAACTATCACCCCGCCCCAATCCACACTTGAACACCGCAGTCAGTATGCGTGTGCGGCTAGCGGTTTCGAGCGAAAAGGCGCCGGTGTTTGGGATCAACGGAGCCGCTGCCTCTAGCCAGGGTCCTGTCAATAACGATTCCTCTATCGATATTACTTATGGCGTCGACAACTTACGGCGGCAACAATTACCAGGAGGCTCCCCGGCTTCCGTCCATACATGACACAAGGGTCCATGATGAATTGCCGTCGTGGTTGGCCAAGCACAGGCGTCCCCAATGCCGCCGAGAACCCGGATGGAGAGACTCTTGGTTATCAGCACGTTCGGTGTTGTTGGGCATCAGCCACGCCACGTTTTCCGGCACCGGTATAACCCGGCCCGTTAAAAGCCATCGTCACACACTGCCCCGTGACAGTGACGGTCGTGATGTGGGACTCTACGTCGGGGACAGTCGCGGGGGTGGTCACGCTCGCGAAGACGGTCCAGGTCGTGCTGATGGAGGTGGTTGCGGTCAGGAGCGCTCACTCGATATCGGTAGAGGCCGGCGTTTCATGAATGGGTACGGTCCTGGGCTAGGGGCAGGGTCAAGCGGATGGCTGTGTGGCATTTGGAGGGTGTTCCGGGGCTGCGTACCTGTACTACGGTAACCGTGCTGGTTGTATCGCTAATAGACGTCCCGGCCACGGCCACGACGATATCCGTCATGGTGGAGGACACCGTCTCCGTCGACGTTCCGGTCGCAGTCAGGATGACATTTGTCAACTAGGGTGTTATACACGGTCGGAGTCGCCGTTACGGTCATGGACAAGGCTCCAGATGTGACGTCGGCATATCCTTCAGTCGTTGCCCGACACTCAGCAACTCGGAAATAAAGCTTGGCTCAATGATCCAGCACCAATTCATCATAGGCCTCTCTTACATGTCCCTTATGAGTTGGTAATGTTGAGTAAGAAGATGGTTGGCGGGGTCATTTGAGAAGACGTTTTGACGTCACATATACTTACACCATTGCCAAATTCAGCTTAGCGTCACTCGTACTATTTGGTCACAATTTCCAACACAACTGGTTGCGACCGTCAATTACTAGTATCATGGACGCGTCTGGCCGACGATAGAGTTCTGCCGCTGTAAGATCATTTGTAAACTTGGGCTACAATTACCGCACGGCACGATCGCGACTGCGGCTCTTCGGTCAATCGGTGACTTTCTATTCCTCTGCGACTCCTGCCTGCCCCCCATGGCGGCGCAACTCGACACCCACACCCTGGGCCTCGTCTTCCAGTCGCGACCAGACATCCTTGCGGGCATCCAGAACGCTGCCGGTATGCCCTACCGTCTCCTGCCTTCGTCAAGACCATGCGCTCAGCGGCCCTGAACGAACAAGGACAATGACTGCGCAACCTCCGGATCTCGAGACCCAAGAATCTTGACTGCTAACGAAGCGTGCGGCGACGCCTTGTCGAACCAGATACCCCAGCGCGTACAAGTCTGTTCAACGACATTGCCACTTTTGTGTACGAGCGGCTGGCCTCAGCTGTTGATCTCGACGATGGGCCCTCATCGAAGAGGAGGCGCGTGGATATCGCACAAACACAGCGGAACGGACAGACGGGGAGCAGAGCGTTGCCCGCTGGGTCGCAGCCGGCTGGCTTCAACGCCGACGCTGCTGCTACGGACCCCGTGCTGCTCGAGGTGAAGGACATCTCGGTTACAGCGCCGCAGCGCAAGAAGTACGACCTATGCTTCACCAAGAATTTCCTATATGCCCGGGCGCCGGGGTCTTCAGTCCCGGTGCAGGGAATTGCGTACGCGTGGACGGATATCGGTAAGTATCAGCTGCTCGCCTTTTGGCCGCGAGCTCGCATTTAACCCACCTGTCCTGTATCATTAGACCACGCGTTCTACCTGCCAGTCCCCGACAAATCCCAAGTGCAGTACAATTACGTCCTCCTCCCGCGGGATAGCTACCTCCCAACCGCGAAACAAGCGGGCGCCGCACCGGGCGACAAACAACAGCCGCTCGAGCCACTCGTCTTCACCGTCCCAGCGACGGCTCCCAAACCCGGCAGCATCGCCGGTCCATCGGCCAAGACAGCCGAGGCCGTGTCGGACACCTACAGCACTCTCTTCCACTGGGCGCTGACAACATCACTGCGCGCGGCGGGCAACCACGCCTGCCAGCTCGTCGCCTCCGACCCCAAGATCTTCCACAGCGTGGCGCGGCAGCCGCACCGGCCCAACGAGAAGGCGGTCCACGTGAAAGCCTTCCGCGGCAGTAAGGACGGCTTCCTGTTCTTCCTGCCGACCGGCATCCTGTGGGGGTTCAAGAAGCCGCTGCTGTTCCTCCCGCTGGACCGCATCGTGGCCGTGAGCTACACGAACGTGCTCCGAACGACCTTCAACATGGTGGTCGAGCTCGACAACAACGATGGCGAGGAGGCCTTCGAGAAGGAGATCGAGTTTGGCATGCTCGACCAGGAGGACTATCAGGGCATCGACGAGACCTATGTCCGCCGGCACGGGCTCGCCGACCGCAGCATGGCTGAGCAGAGGAAGGCCAAGCGCCAGCTGGCGGAGAACGCCGGCAGCAAGAAATCGGCTGCTGCTGCTGCTGCTGCCGGGGATGAGGAAGGGGCTGGTGAGGGAGGTGAGGAGGATGGCTTGACCGAGCTGGAGCGGGCCCAGCGCGAGGCCGAGCAGCGGCTACAGGACGAGGAAGACGAGATGGAGGAGGACTATGACCCGGGAAGCGAGGGCGATAGCGAAGGTGAGGGGTCAAGTGACGAGGATGATGATGATGACGATGATGACGCCCAAGGAGGCTCTGACGAAGAGGAGGAGGAGGGTGAATGAAGTAACCCGCTGGACGCCTCGCCCTCGGCAAGATGTCTGCTTGTGGAAAGCATGGCTTCTCCTGCAGTACGAGCCCGAGACGAGTGGTCTGGTGTTCCGAGTTAGGCCACGTTATGCGTAATACGAGAAGCTGATCTAGTTTCGGGCTCTCTTTGCTCGCGCCCTTCGACCTTGCTCAACCCTCGCCCTTCATCATGCACCCTCAAAGACCTTCGTCCCAAAAAGGGGTACGACACTTGCGAACCCCTGGCATTCAACGAGGGACCTTGCGCGGGAGCTCGACGGGCCAATTCCGCTCTCTTCTTCACCTCCTAGTGTACGGCCGCTCAACTTGTTGGTTCACCGAAGGCACTGGAAGACTTCGGCCTAATTAGCACTCCCCACGCTAATTGTAAAGATCTCTTTACCCGGGATAGGCGTCGAGTGCGGCGCTTTTTTTCCAGCCCCATCGGACTTTGACACACGCGGGGTAGGGCTACATCGTGTCAAACGGTCCATCAGGGGTGTCCCCTACGCTGGCTTTCTTCATTCGGCCTTATGCGTCTGGTAGTGTCGTTTAGGGCCGCGTTAGCGTGATGGCAGTTTTAAGCGTCATGGAAGCGGCGTCAACGACTCTCGGGTCGTGTCGGCCTTGAATTATATCTGTAAATAATAAGTTCGGTTCTTGGCCGCTTTGAGCCGTTCTACTACCGGTATGTGGCTGCTGGAACTGCCGTCTTAGTGTAGTTGTCTACAGAGGTTTTAGTTCTCAGACGGTCTGGAATGGTGGTGGATATGGTGGATGTCGATCCGAGTTGAGGAGGCCTCCCCCTCCCTGAAGATCTCTTCCCGGTGCTCTGGGAGAGGTGCTTAAAGTGAGACATGTCAACGGAAAATGCCGTGACGATCACCTGAACTACTGAGTTGTGGGCTCAATAGTCCCAGAGAGGCGGCACGTCCTCGGGCAGTTTGGATGTAGTGTATGGTGCATGGGGTAAAGTGATGGTGGGTGTAGTGGAAGGTCGACGATCGAAACCCCTTCCGAGTTTGGATCCTGCACCATGCCCGGGTCGTACTTTCCGTACGAGCCAACACCGATTAAGGTACCTAAATGCTGTATTTCGTATGAACCGTATGTACCGTATGTACGAGTACGAAGATTATTATATACCAGTACGGACTATAGTGGCACATCTGTAAGTGTTTGTATTGTTTATACGTACGTATTGTACAGTACATTCTCATACACTATAATACAGTACATACGCCCAGGACATATCCGTACATATAAGTCCGAGCAGAGGAATAGCGGGCCTCGCGCACTGCCAGGGCGTGATACGAATACTTCCGTCTGCTTTCCTTCTGCTTCTGCACTATCCCAGAATGGAGTCTTCATTGGGGAATACTCGCCGAGAATACAACCTGGGCTTGCAGCGCGACTGCTGGAGTCCCGGACTTGATTCGTACTGTGTGTATTAGACAACACATACAGTAGTACGAGTACCAATCCTCCTCACCTTTCGTCCCGGGCACCCACCCGGAAGGATTTGCATCGCGTTCACCTAGGTAAGCGCTAGAATCTCAAAGAAACCCAGGAGAAAGATTCGCGACAAACACCAACGGGAAGACCGGGGAACACCCGGGTGGAGAGCTGGCGCATTCCCTCACCGCCAGCACTGCGCTGTACCAAGGCCATACTGTGTACACCAATCGACCATGTCTTGACGGAATTACCCCGCAACCTAGTGTACATGTACATACACAGTAAGCATTTCGAAGCTTGCGGGGCGATTGACACCCAGGACATGCAATACGTACCGGTAGATATTTGGTGATGAACTGTACATACGGAACCGGAGTTGCATTCATGGTATGTTGGAAGTTAGTGAAAGCCGGCTTTGCCTGAACTGTTCAAGGTGCTCCTGCCAGCTATCTGTGCTTTTGCCATGTCACCATGTGGGGACACCCTGCATTGAAGTCTCAATTACCTACTCTACATAAACTTCCACAAAAAGTAGGACGGACGGAGAGATAAAGAACTCGGGCTACGTACGGATATAATGTGGCCCGTATTGCCCCAGGCCAATAGCATCCCGTCGGGATTGCCAGGGCAGCCTGCTTGTTTGGCCCGACCCTACCATAGGGCTGAGATGGAAAAAAGCAAAAATCACGCGGACAAGATCTGACAAGTCCCCGAGAGTGATCAATAATCGTCCGGTACAAGTCTCTTGCAGCACAACACTCTTGGGAGGTAGGCTCCCCCTGAGCAAAAGCGTTCAGGGGTAAGTTGGGCTTCATTGAGCCAGGAGTCTGTCAACCATTGGGTGTACCAAATCCCCCAGGTATTGAACCAATGTATAGAAATGGAAAGGACAGTGACTGGGCATTAGATACTCTATTTGCATGCGTTTTTGACCTAGTTGTGACGAGTTGTGTGGTGGACTGGTTGTTGTGGATGTGGAACTGTTTTTCTTGTCCTTCTTTTTTTGTCTTGTGTGAGACAAGTCTGTGTCTCTTGCAGCACACAACCTGTGTTGCTTACTCACAGGGAAGTACCTCCACATATTTGCCACACCTGCCCCCGTTTCCCTGCGGTTGTTGGCAGCTGAACTATAAAGCTGAGCTCAGGTGAAGTATCACACCTTGCCAGACATGGGCAAGTCGCCGACTTCGTCGTCTTGGGCTTCCACGTACGGACGTCCCGTGCATATATATTGGGCCTCAAGTCTTTCAGCTGGATCTAGCAGTGCGGATCTGGGCAGAGAGGGAAAGGCATTTCCCATGTCGGACATAGAGTACGCGTGGACGCATCGTCATCTCGTCCTTGCATACCTATGTACGGTTTGTTTTTCCTTCTTCCTTTTATATTGCCTTGTTTGGCAACCGGAGCGGATGCACACAGCGGCTTCCTCGGACTCGAGACCCTTTTGCCGGTTGCAGACCGCTTAATGCGCGGTTTATTTGTCGTGTACGTACCTTAGGTACGGATACCGGCGAGGTCTCTGTGGTTGTACTCGTCCTCGTGAGTAAATACCAGGGACATACGTAGTTGCTGAAACAGGTAAACCGGTCCACAAGGCACCGGGGCCTGCTGCTGTTTCGGAAATTGGAGTTCATGTGCTGCCATCAGTGCCGATCGCCTGCTGCTACCTAGATGACCGCCCCCTCCTCTGCCACACACAAGGGGCCCTAGTGCTGATGGGCATTACTCGCGTGCCTCGGTTCTGGGAAAGGCAACGCTCTGTGAAGCGGCTCCCTGCTTGCCTCACCAACTACGAGTTGTGTGTATGTACGCCTTGGCTTTGGTGCTTTGCATGACTACGGCCGACATCTAAGGCAACGTTACCCATTTCTCCTTGCTTTCTATCCAGCGCCACAACCACCACATTGGTATTTGCTGGAGCGACCCTACATGTATGTAGTACATGTACATTCCTCAGATACTAACGCCCGGGCGTGCACGCGTATATAGTACGGGACATAGGCCCAAAGGTGTCGGCCATGTAGTAATAAGCAGCTGAGGCAGCAAACACTTCTGCTATACACAGTATGCCTGGTACCCTACGAAGCTTTGGTGGAAGCCACCTGACGGAGGTCTACATTATGACGTCCACCTAACCTCGACCTCGAGTCACGCGCGTGCCAACGAGCCAACACGACGTGTCAGCAACTTGTGAATACATTACCCTAACCCCGTCCGCGGATTCAACGCCTTTCGGGAGCCCAGCGGCGCGAGTTTCTCCGACATGCGGTTGCGTAACTTGGCGCGTGCTTGGGTGTCTGGAACAGCGCGATTTCTCACCATACGATCTGATTCAGCACATCCCAGAGGCTTGCAAACCCGTTTTGGGGGGTCGAAACCGTTAGCCGCCACATATCTCGAGGTTCAGATCCGGGAGTGAAGAAGAAGCTGGGTGGCTAGGTCTCGCAGCACGCAGGAAGCCATCCATGATCCAAACCCCTTGCGAATGGAAGCCAAGGAGGCACGGACCCTCATCAGGACCCTGTCATTGTCAAGGTCCAGAGGGCTGAGAGGCGTCGAGACGAGTGGGACCCGGGCTTCACTAACCGTTCTGGATGACGCGACGCTTTTCCGCCCGCCGAGATGGCAAGCGTCTGCAGTTACCTCCAGCTCGTTCCAATCGACCCCCGGGCCGTTCAATCTCAGGCTGCATCTTGCTAGTGTAGTGTAGTATCCGTAGTGGGAAATGGACGGCCGCCCTTCCATCTCCGCTAGCGCCCTCCTGTCGCCCAAAGACTCCAAACCCCATTCCCCCTTTGCCGTTCCGCGTGTTCCGTCTTCTCTTGTGTCCCCTCTCTCCCCCTTGGGTAGGGCTGTTGCTGCATCCCGTTCCCTGGCAGCCCTATGAGGTGATGTTTGTCGCCTGCCAGCAGGCGACAAACAGCGAGATGTTTGCAGTGCCGTACACTAATGTACACACCCTCCACAGCGTCCACAGCAATGCTGCTTACACAGTACGCCGCCGTGCTGGCCTTCTCGGGCCGCCTCAGCTTACGGGGGGCACTAAATGACGGGAGCAGCCCGCTCCTCGGTTCCAGGTTCCATGGTCGCTGCCGGCTGCCCACTGGGCTGAACCCGCTGCGACCCCGAGCCGCCATGGTGCCAAGTTGGGTCCGGCAGGTGCTGGTCGTCGTCCGGCGCCCGCACTGTGACAGGCGTTCCCTGGCAGTTGCAACGATCCCCCAGCACGCACAATTTCCATCCTCCTCCGCACCCCCCGACCCCTTCTGAATCCCAAATTACCAATGGGCTTGGACTCTAGAACCGCTGTATACATAGGTAGTCACGGGCCGCAGTCCACCCGTCTTCTGTTCCTTTTTGTCGTTCCACACACAGTAGTGGCCTGCCTTCTACGTTATTGAGCACTACCCTCCCCTTCTCTAGTCCTCGTCTTGATCATGTCATCAGTGTGAGCTGGATTGTTGAGCTGTGACCGCAACCAATCCCAGGACGAGAGCCCGGGCAACACCGGCTTGATGAATGCCCGGTGCAGCTGAGTGTTCAGGATTGTGACCATCACCAGCTGCCGGTTGGAAAGCCGGAGTTGGTCTCTGCTGTCTGACTGGATCCCGGTTCAGCTCCAACCAGCCTCAACCTCGTAATAATAAACACCGCCGGGTGGCAAGGCGCTTCGCCTGTCCCCTTCCAGCGTCTCCCCGGTTCCCCGCCGCCTCTCCACCAGCACTTTACACACACCTTACGACGTCGCCATCGTCACCGGACCAGCGGACGTGCGTCACCGCTCGGGGCAACGTCAACGCCATGGCTGCGATCCCCATTCAGGCGTCCTCCCGGTACGGAGGGAGAGACATGAGTACCAGCCCTCTCCCGTCCATCTCGGCCGGCCGCGACGACGCCTTCTCGAGGCCCTTCTTACCACCTGGTCGTCCCATTCCCTTCCACGACAACCTCTCGCCCTCAGCGGCTTCCAACCCCATGGCAATACGCGGCTCAGATCGCGGCGATGTGCCGCCGCCATTGCCGCCGCCCCGGCTGGTGCCCATCAACGGTCCCGTCGATCCGATGCTGCAGTACAAGGAGAGCCTGCGCCGGGACGACTATGGGAGCCCTGAGAGCGATTCGTTTGGGCATAGCTTCCGCCGACGAGACTTGTCTTTCCGGAGCGACCTCTCTGATGATGGCTATCACAGCCTCGACAGCATCAGGTTCGTTTCCGCCCCCCAATCCGCGCGCTCGAGTTTGCTCTTGTGATGTGGGCCGTCTTTGAGCTTACAAGCCCTCCCCTTCGGCATTTCTTGTTGCAGGTCCTCCGGGTTTCCCCCTTCGCCCTACGGCCAGCACCCGTTGAAAGGCTTTGGGCCACGGCCCCATGGCGACTCAATAGACAGCTCAATGCTCGACAAGCTAAACCGGTGCGGTAGGCGATCGGGCCTCAGCGCGTCGGTCAACGACCTGCCAGGCCCTCGCCCGCACCACGCGCAAGTGACGACGCTCTCGCTCCCGCACCGCACGAGACAGCCCTTCCATCTCGACACGTCCTTCACAAAGTCACCCGGCGCCGGCGGCTTCTCGGCCACGTCTCCGATATACGGGCCTTTCGGCCGCGGCGCACGGGGATCCTTGGGTGCCGACAGCAGCGACTTCGAACGCTCGCCCCTACCGCGAACGCAGATGCTGCCGGGCTCGATCCCAGAAGACAGCACGCCGTCGTCCTACGGCGGGCATGACGTGCGCGATGAAGAGGTGGACTTCCCCATGGACGAGACCACGCGTATGCGCAGCCTTGCCATCGAAGATCAGTGGCGGGAAAGAGACTGGGACCGGGACCGGGACAGAGAGAGAGAGAGAGAGAGATCGGGAGCGCGAAAGAGAACGAGAAAGAGAGCGAGAACGAGAACGAGAGCGAGAACGAGAAAGAGAGTTGCGGGAAAGAGACTGCTACCAGCCCGGCCAGAAACGCCGGGCATCGTCGCCGCCCAGCGATGATGCGGCCCTCGCCAACGAGATGCCGCGGAGGCGAGACCACGGTCTCATGGGCCGGGGCTCGCCCGCACCGAGGTTGCTCGTGATACCGCAAAACTCGGTGTCGAGCGTGTCCTCTGCGGTGAGCCGGAGTGGTAGCTTCGCCAGCAATCTTACGGCCAGCAGCATGACAAGTATCGGTTCCTTTGGACGCCGCTCGCCCAACGGTCTGTCGCCCGGCGGCCTGTCGCCGACGGATGCGCTGAGTTCGAGCAGCCCTTATGCCCCGCCGTCCAGCATAGCGACGACCTCGCCCCGCGCGTCGCTGGGGCGTAGCACCGCCGGTATAGCCCCGTCACCGCATCAGTTGACACCAAGTGAGCAGATGCTTCCAGCACAGGTTACGCGCACGGTGGTCTCGCCCCGGAAGCGCGCCGAAATCTCCAAGAGCCACGGCAGCCTGGCGTCTAAACTCAAGGGGCCTTACATGTGCGAATGCTGTCCCAAGAAGCCCAAGAAATTCGAGACGGAAGAAGAGCTCAGGTACGGATTACCACTAGTACTCATGAATTCCTCCACTTTAAAACGCACACCTTAACCCTGGTATCCCTGTCTAACTGGTTTTTTCCATTTTTTTTGCCACCGCCGTGCAGAGCACACGAGTCCGAGAAGCAGTACGAGTGCACGTTCTGCGGCAACCGCTTCAAGAACAAGAACGAGGCCGAGCGGCACCAGAACTCGCTGCACGTCCGCCGGCACAGCTGGTCCTGCTCGGCGCTGCGGAGCTACGAGAGCGCCTTCCACGACAGCGCGATCCGACCCGGCGAGGCGGACGTGTGCGGTTACTGCGGCGAGGAGTTCCCCCGGACCGGGTGCCAGGACGCGGGCGCGGCCTGCGTGAGCGACCAGGACTGGGAGGAGCGCGTCCGGCACCTGCAGGATCAGCACAAGTTCCGCGAGTGCAACTCGGCCAAGAAGTTCTACCGCGCCGACCACTTCCGCCAGCACCTCAAGCACAGCCATGCCGGCACCAGCGGGAAATGGACCAACATGCTGGAGAATGCCTGCATGGTTGAGGAAGAGCCCCCCACATCATCAGCTGCGACGAGATGACGCGGCTCCTCCGCTTCTGGTGTTGGTGGAACGTGGATTCGGGGGGGGAGGGCGGAGGGGCGGTTGAATACCCAAGACGCCATCAACCTAAGGATCCAGATCCTGCAAGACACCGACCTCTACTGGACGCCAGTGTAGGGCTGGACTCATTCCCGCAATTCAGGGGCAGACCAAAACATGGGAAATCTTGACCCGTCTCCACAACAAATATCCCGATCCCCACACTTCGTCCGTCCCATGCCCCCCGACGAGTCAGTCAGTCAGAAAACCCAGAACCCCATGTCCTATCTGGCTCGGTCAACAGAAACGGGAACATTTTCTGTCTGGGTTTTCGTCCGGCCCGACTCCAAGGGAGGGAGGGAGGGAGATCGCGAAGAGGCTGCAGCGCCCCACAACACAATACAACAACAACAAACCGAAAAGCGTTTCTTGGGCTGCTTCACACCAAACTTCCCGATTCTGGGCAGGGGTGGGGCGGGACAAGGATTCGGTTTCGGCCGATGCAGTGACCGTTACGGGGATGGCCGAGGGATGGCAAGGTGGGATGCTACCTTGGCTGGCCAGGGAAAGCCAGGGGCTACGATCCTTCGCAGATTGCAGCAGGAATGGGCGTTGGCAGCCTCGGCCCTGGGGGTTCGTTCATGCAATGCAACAACAACAAGACCAACCCTTCCTATCGGAGTCGCCATACACCGGCTATTCCCTCGGTCTCTAACCACGGTCTACCTTACACAAGGACAAGGGCAACTCAAACTTTCACCCTCAACGGTGATTGCCTTCGGGCTGTATCAGAGGGGAGGAGGCAGGGGAGGCAGGGGGAGGGGGAAGGGGGGGGATGTAGCGACCGATCACTGATATGACCGAGATCTCTCTGCACAACACCATTGTTGGCAGTGTTGGATCCTCTTGCGGTTTTGTGCCACGGTCTCGGTCACCGGCTGACGGCTTGCTTTTAGCCTCGTCAGCCAACCATTGGCAGGGACAGCTCTAAAAAGTTTGTACATACATCACGGCGGGAAGGTTTGCCGCTCTGAAACGAAGTTATGACCCGGGCATGTCATGAGGCGTCAAGGTTCAAAATAGGGTTTTTTAATATTGAGAGCAAAAGACCGGGTTGTGTCGGCGGCTTGAATGTGGGTTCTTTGCATCTTTCGTTGGTTCATCCAGGCAACATGGGCGAAGTGCCCTGATTTGTAAGGCTAAACGTCATGGCATAAGTAGGAGGAAATTTCATGGCGGCGCTCGGGGGAGTCGGGGGTCGGAGGACGCCACCGATGGAGGCCGCTCCCATGCCCATGAGCATGAAGGTTCTCGGAACGATGATACAAAAGTAGGCAGTGGTTAGTTTGTACAAATTTCTAACTCCATAGCCCCTTCGGGGCTTCGTCGAATTGTGAAGGCCTGTCCGTATATTAGGTTATCCTGTCGTCGTTGCTATCCTGCCTTGCTGTAAGGTGCCTGTTGGAATGGGATAATAACCTTTCTTACCTGCAAAGATAACGTTACCTGCTCGTTAAGGTGTGTATTGAGGTACGATGTAATGTACGTACAGCTTACTGTATTTGATGTATTGACATCCGAATACAATACCGTCCCACATTTAGTGTTACCCCTGGCAAGAGTCACCGAGGGCTGCCCCACCATGGCAACACAAGCCCCGAAAATTACACCCCTCGGCCGCTGCAGACCACGACTCGACACCGGCACAAGCAAATCACCGACCGAAATCTACCGATATGGCCCTGAATAGAATCAACGGGGCCGATGAACTCTATGTCGGCGGGTGAGTGCGTCGTCAGGGGTAGCCGCACTACCGAATCTCTGACGCGCCCTGTAGCATCTTCGGCGTCAACCGCGCCCAGTTCGTGCTCGACCACAACATCTCCCACATTTTGTCCGTCATCAAGTTCTCGCTGGCCCGCGAGGACAACGCCTATCGCCATGTCCAGCACCTCAGCATCGACATCGACGACATGGAAGACTCCGACATCCTCGTGCACCTGCCCAAGATGGTGCGCTTCATCGACCGCGGGCTGCGCGGCACCGCTGCTGCGCCCAAGGAATCGGACCCCAGCAGCAGCAGCAGCAGCAGCAGCAGCAGTGACAACAGCGCTCAACCGCCATCCCCAGCAACAACCTCCTCCTCCTCCTCCCCACAAGCTCGGCAGCCCGGTGCCGTGCTCGTACACTGCGCCATGGGCAAGTCCCGCTCCGTGACGGCGGTGATCGCCTACCTGCTGTGGAAACACCCGCACCGCTTCGGCCGCTCCTCCTCCTCCTCCTCCTCCTCCTCCTCGACCGCCACCACCACTACCACCACCACCGCGCAGCACGCCGTGGCGCAGGCGCTGGCATGGGTGCGGCAGACCCGCCCCGTGGCCGAGCCCAACGATGGCTTCATGCGCCAGCTCGAGCTGTGGTGCGACATGGGCTGCCCCGCCGACAGCGACGACGCCGTCGAGCGCCACCCGGCCTACCAGCGGTGGGTGTACAAGCGAGAGGTGGAGGACGCCGCGCGCATCGGGAGGGCGCCGGACTGGATCCGTTTTGAGGATGAGGAAGCAGCCAAAGAAGATGAGGAGGGTGGTGATGGTGGTGGTGATGCGGGGAGGAAGGGGGAAAGGAGCGGGACGGAGCTGAGGTGCAAGAAATGCCGGCGCGTGCTGGCTACGGGGCCGTTTATTGTCCCGCACCAAGGGGGGAACGACAACGACAAGAACAAGAATTGTCCGCATTTCTTCGTGGAGGCGCTGTCGTGGATGCGCCCCATCTTGGAGGAAGGTGCGCTCGACGGCCGCCTGATTTGCCCAAACGCCAAGTGCGCTGCGTCGATAGGCCGCTATGCGTGGCAGGGCTTCAAGTGCAGCTGCGGCGAGTGGGTCGCGCCTGCGTTCTCACTGCAGAGCAGCAAGGTGGATAGGGTGGTTGTCGCCGGGCGGAGGCCGGGCGGTGGTGGTGCTGGAGCCATTGCCGACCGGATGGCGGCTCTCGGCATCCGCATGCCGCCGGGCTCCGTTGCGAGATCCAAGGAAAACCTGTGACGCAGAAAAGGCAGGGCGGCGTAAAGAATCGGTGACGTAGCGGGTGGCTCCGCCAGCAGCTACCGCCTTTGGCCTTGAGGGCATTGTGTCATCAAAGCTTCGGCATCAAAGCTCTACCCATCAGGATTGCAAGGTAAGCGCTGATTTTGAGGTGCTGCGTTGAGCCCTGCACTTCTCTGGTGGACCACGCGCTGTTCACTCGAACTGTTATCTTCTACTGACTCAAGGGGCAGCCGCAAGACATGTCCGTCGAGCCACAGCGAGATGTCTGCGGGGTCGTCGCCTTCGGGTACTGTTCCCCCCAGGTCGAACCAATTAACCCTGAGACGGTTGTTTACCTCTGTAACACTGCCTAAACGACAGCGTCTGAGAGAGTTTCCACGGCTTGGAAGGGTTTCCTGTTTAGGTTCCTTCCATAGCGTTGTAAGCAGGACACTTGTTACATGCACTGATGCTGATGATGACAACGAATTCGCGGAAGTGTGTGTATGTACAGTACAACTCGCTGAGACGTCCGCGGGGATACGATGACAGATTGCGCAATACGCTTTTCGGCATCTTCTCCTGTTGTAACATCTGCTTCCTCCCCTTGCCTAACCACTTTCTGACTTGATCATCATCTGAATGTCAGCAGCCATCTCAGCAAACGATATATTCTACTCCCCACCCGCTTGGTCAGCTTTCACTAGGGTTTCGCGTGCCCAAGCTGGTCGGTTTCCATCCTAAGCCTCCTGCTATACAAAGGCACATTGCGCAGCGTATCGCCCGCCCATTCCCGCCTGCCCTTCCAAGGTCCGATCACCCGCCGACGGAAACCGTGACCGCATATACATAGTACCTACCTCCGAAGCTGCAGCATGGCCCATTGGAACCAAATCGGGGCTGACTGTACTGCATGCCCCCTCCCAGTCAATCAATCGGGACGACCCGGGTGCTTTGCCCTGCCTGCCGTGTATGTGCGTATGTGTGTGGTGACAGCACATCCGATCATATATGTACATGTTGCTGGGTAAGCGCTAAGGCCCCATGGGGCAAGGCGGGCGTTTGCTTCTGCCGATGCAGGACGTTAGGCTGGTCTTTGTGTGGGACGACGGGAGATTGAAGTGTACAAATTCTTTCGTGGGGATGATGCAACAAGTGGTTACATGACGTGTTCCAGGTTGGTGACGGGAGGTTGTGTGTGTCTGTGTGTGTGTGGTTGAGGTTGTATTGCTGAAGCTGGACTGTGGGAAGGGAGGCCGCCTGTATGTATGTATGGAAGGTATGGAGTAGCGGGCGTCGGTCAAAGGGAGTGGCGGAGACGAAAAGTCGGTTGTTGATTCCGACACAGCCCCTTCCGTCCCCGTCTGGCCGTTCTGGCTCGAAGGTAGGATGAGCAGAGCGGTCTGGCGCTTGAGCATGTGACGTCTTTCATTGTATTGTCTAATACATGTACTTAGATCTGGGGGAGCAGTGGCCCCTGGTGAGCACATCATCCCAAGCGGCGGCCGCTGGACTTCAGATCGGGGAATGTGACTCCGGTTGACGGCGAGCGGCTTGGCGGGCTGTTTCAACGCCGTCCTGAATCACGAACACAAAGGCATGCAAGGTTCAGATGTCCGTCATCCTTAATGGCTTGCTGTTTATTGGACTGCAACAGTATCTACTTTACCTACCCATGTATGGAAGCTGTGGTCATCGGGCCCTCGGGAAGTAGCAGGGCGGCACAGCAAGCAGATTAAATCCGAACCTCATCTGCCAGTGAGAGTGAGAGTGGGAGTGCGAGTGGGATGGTATATGTAGGTCATCATGTGAGTAAGCAAAGCGCGCCGCTGACTTGCAGACGGGTAATTGCTTGAGTTCGACCTTCTTTTGCTTGCCATCGTTCTCTGTCATCCCATCCCATGCACCTCTATAACACCTGCACCAGACATTGTATTAGTAATACTGCACGGTATCATTGTCGTTCCGTCTTGTGAGCATCTGCCCAGCAGATGACAGGGCCATGCCATGGTACTAGTGAGTTCCGGGATCACCCGATATCAACTTCCTGGCCGGAACATCTGAGCTCGGCCGGTCAGGGCCACTGAGGATGTCGGATCTGATGGGGATCACAGCCATGACCAGATGGCCAAGAGTGAGTGGTCTAAACGCGCCTAGATTGCCTAACCGCACTGCGACGTTGCCGAGCTGATGTGAAAAGTCGAGGCTGTGTCATAAGCCCGAAGTGGTGTACATCCAGACTTGCTCCTCGCAGGTTGGAGTCGCACACAGTGAACAGCCTATTGATGGCAGGCTTCTTCTACTGAATCATCTGGAGATGTGTTGAACGTAGGGGGTCACACAGGTTGTATTGCTTGCTTAAGGAGTCTGAGACTCGGGGGACCTTGGTTCCTTATGTACATGGAGAGCCTGGTTCCCAGCTTTCTGCCCCTTGTTCCTGCTGTACCGGTACCTCCAGTACCTAGCTTGTGGTCTCTGCCCCTGATTTCAGCAAGAGGGAGAAGATAGGCAGCTTATAATATCGAGAGTGTGCCTGAAGAAGGCCCGGAGACTTTGATGTCAAATCCGATTGGCTGAGACGAGGCTAACGTACGGTACATACTACGCCGGCACACGGACACGTACCAGCACTATGCTAGTAGGTCTGTTGTTTTTGTTAGATGAAGAATGCATTGTTTTCCTATTGCTATCGCCATTGATCTGGTCAACTGGCCTCTCGTCCTCTGGGTGTGGCCCTCTTTAAGCTCAAGACGATCTACCCTGTAGCAGAAGTACGTATGTCTGATATCATCTGGCTCTCAGAAGCGGCTCAACGACACTCGCGGCTACGTGCTGGATCAACATCCGCGTTTGCACCATGTGTCGCCCCCTGGAAGACAGGTACTAGTAATCAAGCTGTAAGTACCAGCAGATATCTTAAGTACAACCCTCCGATCCTTTCCATCGTCCATCTTGATAAGTACTAGTAGTATTCATGCACTAGGTTGTCGTCTTTTGGCCAAACGTTAGACCGCGCATTGAGAGTTGAGACCAGTAAGAATCACTTGCGGGGTTGACCATGCAAAGGAATCCCAACGCCGCTGGATGGTCTTGATAGCCCAGATTACCTGGCTCCCGCACAACCGGAAGTGCACAAGAGATTGCGTGTGGTGGCAGGACTCGCTGCATTGGTCGCGGTGTCCCGTTTGAGGGTAGGCCTCTTGCACAGATTACGGATGCCGAAGGAAGCAATAACACTTTGGGCTATTCACATTTATTGTGTGCTCTGTCGAGTTATCAAAACACGCTGCTACTTGGGATGAAAACTGGCTAAGGAGTCTTTTTACATGCCGGCGTCAACACTGGGCGACTTGGGTTGGCCAACGGAAAGCTTAGGTAGTTTATCTTAAGTGTTGTGGTGTGACAGTGCTCCGTCCTGCGGTAGGTCCAAGTCTCCCCAGGGAAAGAAGTGTAAAGCACTTGTAAGTGGGTATGCTACGACGTAGTCCTTTCAGTTACACATTAGATTGATGATTACCGCAAGCAAAGCTATAATATACTACTAGTAGTAACACATCACTTAAGGGTGACGGTGACGTTCCCCCTGAAATCGTTGCTCGACGCACCGACGAGGAACACAAAGTCGCCGGGCTCGACAACGTACTTCATCCTCACGTTCCAGACGCCCAGATCCTGCATCTTGACGCTGATGCTGACCCGCTTGCTCTCCCCCGCCTTGAGCGCCACCTTCTGGAACCCCTTCAGCTGGACGTTGGGCACCACAACACTGGCGATCACGTCCTTGATGTACAGCTGGACCACCTCCTTCCCGTCCCTCTGCGACGTGTTCTTCACCGTCACGCTCACCGTGACGGTATCCTTGGCGGTCACGGTGCTCTTGTCCACCTGGACATCGCTGTACTCAAACGAGGAGTAGCTCAGGCCGTAGCCAAACTCGTACAGCGGACGCGGGTCGCCGAGCACGTACTGGTGGCCGAAGACGAGCGTGCCGTTCTCGTAGGCCGCGCCGGCGTCCGGGCTGGCGGGCCGGCCCGAGTTCCAGTGGTCGTAGTAGACGGGCAGGTCGCCCACGCTGCGCGGGAAGCTGACCGAGAGCCGGCCGCTGGGGTTGACGTCGCCGAAGAGCACGGATGCCAGGGCGGCGCCGCCCTGCTCGGAGGGGTAGAACTGCTGGACGAGCGCCGCCGCGTTTTCCGAGATCCACGGCGCGGTGATCGGCTTGCCCGACGAGAAGATCACGACGGTCGGTTTGCCCGTGGCGACGATGGCGCGCACCAGGGGCTCCTGGGCGCCGACTAGGTGGAGGCTGTTGACGTCGACGTGCTCGCCGGTTGTGGCGTTGAGGCCTGCCCATAGCTCGTTCTGGTCGCGGCTCCAGGTGCCGACTACGACGACGGCGACGTCGGCGGCTTCGGCGGCTGCGATGGCCTCGGCGAAGCCGTCTTCGGAACTGGACCAGCGCTCGCAGCCTTTGGCGTAGGTGACCTTGCCCGTGCTCGCCGCTCTGATGCCGTCGAGCGGGGTGACGCCGTAGGTGGAGGCGTTAGCGATAACGTAGTCGCCGTAGTTCATGAAGCCGTGCGCCATCGGGCCGATGACGGCGACGGAAGCGTCCTTGCGCAGGGGAAGGACGTTGTTGTGGTTCTCGAGCAGCACGATGGATTCCTCATCGATCTTCTTGGCTAGCGCGATATGCTCGGCCGTATGGATCGACTTGTTCCACTCGCTCGAGGGGACGCCGGGGAAGGGGTTCTCGAAGAGGCCCAGCTCAAACTTGGCCCTGAGGACGCGCGAGACAGCCGTGTCGACGATTTTCTTGTCGAGCTTGCCGCTCGCCACCAGCTCCGGGATCTTCTCGAACGAGTAAGAGCCGCCGCCCATCTCGGAATCGCCACCCGCGGGGAGGATGTACTGGACGATGGCCGTCTTGTCGATGGGGTCCGCCGCGCACATCCTGAAGTCCTTGCAGAGCCGGTCGGAGGCGCCGGCGTCGGTCATGGTGTAGTACTTGTACTTCCACTCGTCCCGGAGGATGTCGGTCAGCAGGTGGGCATCGGCCACGGCCGGAATGCCGTCGTAGCTGTGGTATGCAGTCATGATGGAGAAGGCGCCTCCGTCGATGATAGCCCGCTTATACGAAGGAAGGAAGGTAGTCCGGAGCTCTCTCTCGCCACCGTGAGCCGGGCCCGTGTTGAGACCCTGCTCGGTCACACCGAAGGCGGCAAAGTGCTTGACCATGGCACTCACACCCGTCCCCTGAATGCCCTTTACATAAGCAAGGCCCATTTCCCCAGCAAGGAAACCGTCCTCTCCATACATCTCCTCGACGCGGCCGTGGCGAAGTTCGCGTGCCAGGTCGACGACCGGGGCAAAGATTTGGTTCACGCCCATGGCACGCGCCTCTTTGCCAATGGCAGCCGCCATCTGTCCAATCAGCTCTGGATCCCATGAGCAAGCATGGGCGATCGGAGAGTTGAAGATGGTGGCATTGACTGAGACGGTTCAGCAGTTGGCCGCGGCATGGAGGACCAGGATGGACTTACATGCCAGGAAACCGTGGAGACCCTCTGTCTGCACAAATGCGGGGATGCCGAGATAGGTGCTGTTTTGGATGTAGTCCTGGGCGACTTTGATGTTCTCCCAAATCCATTTGTTGGGAACGGCGACGCCAACATAGAACGAGCTGCCCCTATCCTCGGTGCTCCACTCCAGACCGGTCTTGTTGAAGGCACCCGTCGTATCGTTCATCCAATTACGGATATCGCCCTGGACAAGCTGCGATGCTTTCTCCTCGATGGTCATGCGAGAAAGCAGATCTTTCACGCGCGCGTCGACCGAGGCCTTCGGGTTCTTGTAGACGGCATTCTTGAGACTGGGACGACCTTGGTCGGCGGCTAGGGCCGTTGCCGCAAGAAGCAGGGCGGACGATGCGAACCTCATGGTTCCCGTTCACGATCGACTGCTTGAGTCGTCACGTCAAGGCGGTCGAGGTTGGGGAGGCCCAGGTGATGAAATTGAACCGGATACCGGCTGAGCAAAGGGTCGCATAGTGGAAAGTAAATACAGATAAGTTATACAATGTCTTTATATCTGAGACTAAAATCTTGAAGCACATGGTGATCGTCCTCCCTGCCGTGTCGCCGGAACTGGCGGCAAAGGCATCGGCATGGGTTTTCTCCGTGTGAAGCGATCCGCAACGTCGGGACTGACATACTTCTAGATCGGGCAGGTGGTCGATGTTGCTAGTCGACGACATCGGCTTGGCTGGTGGGTTTAAGCGGCGGCTGTTCCGGGCCGTAGTGCCTCAACACCATACGCGATCTTGCTTGTGGCCCGACAGAATGCGTCTTGCAGCCTTGGCTGCAGCATGCATGGCGAGAACCTAATCGATCACCTGTTGAAAGCATTCTTTAGTTGGGAAGCTGATGTGTTGGTGAGGTGGCTGAGGGTGGGTTCGATTTGGAGAATTTGGAGAAATCCCCGCAGTGGGTCACTGTGGCTTTCTACTTTTCGATCCGTTTGACTCCACCAATCGGCTTTCGGTCAGCTTTCGCCCGATTGCCGAGCCAAGGGCGTGGGCAGATGCAAACAGGCGGGAGCAGCAACTCCATCAAGAAATCCTACAAACCCGCGAGACTCGGAGTCGGCACCGTCCTCTACCCCACGTCTTTGTGGATTTGCGGGATGCGGCACGCAGACGCGATGTTGAGTGGGATGACGGCGGACACGGGGCATGCGCTGACCTTGAGAGGGGTCATGGGGTCTTTTATCGCCGTCTCCTTTTGTCAGTACTAGCTTCGACAAACGCTTGCCTTTGCCAGAGAATTGTCTCGGTTGAGAAACTGCAGGTTGTGTGACTGTGACTGCTCAAGTAACAATGAGGTTTCGTGACGGTATGTTCTCTCACACTGCTTAGGCAGACCACCTCGACGAAGGTCCCTAATAATAAGCGGTCTAGGACAATGGCTTGTTGCCGAGGGCGTGCGGATCGAGTATGCGGAGGAGGTGTACCGCATTACCCCAACGGCTTCTGGCAAGGGTATCAGCCTCCTGTGCCCGACGCGCAAGATTATGACGCGCGGCGACACGCTGAATCTCAGTACTCTCAGCATTGTATGTTGTAATAATCCGGCAGCTAGGAGGGAGCCCGTTCTGACGTCCATTGCCGTATCCAGGACGTGGAAGCCGCCTTTGACGGTGTCATTTCAGTTGAGACAACCCATTGGCAGGGCGCTGTTCGTCGCGGCCCTGACTTCGAGCTCTTCCCAGCCGGCCGCCCAGATGTCGATGCAAAGATCACGACGGACGAGGCCGGCACTACGCTGTCTGCCGGGAGCCTCTCGGCCACCGTGAGCGGCAAGCCGCACGACTTCGCCATCTCCTTCCACCCGACCGACAACAAGCAGAAGCCGCTGACCACTCTCCTCAACCGGTCCGTCGGGCTGGCCTACACGCCCGCGCCGAGCACGCCGATGCAGCTGGCCGACATGCGCGACTTCAAGCACTACATCTTCACCCAAACAACCCTCGGTGTCGGCGAGTCCATCCACGGCCTCGGGGAGCGTTTCGGCCCCTTCAACAAGGTCGGCCAGACGGTCAACCTGTGGAACGCAGACGGGGGCACGTCCTCGGACCAGGCGTACAAAAACATCAGCTTCTGGATGAGCTCGCGCGGCTATGGCGTCTTCATCGACACGCCCGAGCGCGTCGAGCTCGAGATCGGAAGCGAGCGGTGCTGCCGCCTGCAGACGAGCATCGAGGGTCAGAGGCTGCGCTGGTTCCTCATCTATGGCCCGTCTCCGCGCGAGATCCTGCGCAAGTACTCGATCCTCACCGGCGCGCCGGGCGCGGTGCCTGCCTGGTCGTTCGGCCTGTGGCTCAGCACGTCCTTCACCACGTCGTACGACGAGAAGACGGTCAACAGCTTCCTCGCCGGCATGCAGGCGCGCGACATCCCCGTCGAGGTCTTCCACTTCGACTGCTTCTGGCTCAAGGCGTTCCAGTGGTGCGACTTCGAGTTCGACCGCGACATGTTCCCGGACCCCAAGGGCCAGATCACGCGCCTCAAGGCCGACGGCATCGTCAAGAAGGTCTGCGTCTGGACGAACCCCTACCTCGGCCAGGCATCGCCCGTCTTCGCCGAGGCGGCGGCCAAGGGCTATCTGCTGAAGCGCAAGAACGGCGACATCTTCCAGTGGGACCTGTGGCAGACGGGCATGGGCATCGTCGACTTCACCAACCCGGAGGCGTGCGCCTGGTTCGTCAGCTGCCTCGAGCGGCTGTTCGACACGGGCGTCGACAGCATCAAGACCGACTTTGGCGAGCGCATCCCCTGGGAGGACGTGCAGTGGTTCGACACGACGGTCGACCCCCGGCGCATGCACAACTACTACGCCTTCGTCTACAACAAGCTGGTCTACGAGGCGCTGCAGAGGCGCTACGGCGCCACCGAGGCCGTTCTGTTCGCGCGCACGGCCACGGCGGGCACGCAGCGCTTCCCGCTCACCTGGGGCGGCGACTGCGAGTCGACGCCCGAGGCCATGGCCGAGTCGCTGCGCGGCGGGCTGTCGCTCGGCCTGAGCGGCTTCGCCTTCTGGAGCGTCGACATCGGCGGTTTCGAGGGCCACCCGCCGCCGTGGATCTACAAGCGCTGGGTGGCCTTCGGCCTGCTGTGCTCGCACTCGCGCCTGCACGGGTCCAACTCGTACCGCGTGCCCTGGACCGTCGACGACGACGACGCCTCCGACGAGGGCTGCTCGGCCACGCTGCGCACGTGGACCCACCTCAAGGCGCGCCTCATGCCCTACCTCTTCTCGCAGGCGCAGCACTGCGTCCAGAACGGCCTGCCGCTCAGCCTGCGCGCCATGTGCATCGAGTTCCCCGACGACCCGACCGCCTGGACGCTGGACCGCCAGTTCATGCTGGGCGACAGCGTGCTCGTGGCGCCGGTGTTTGAGGAGGACGGCACGGTGCAGTTCTACCTGCCGGCGGGCCAATGGACCAGCTTCTTTACGGGCGAGGTCAGGAGCGGGCCCGGCTGGTTTACCGAGGTGCATGGCTTCGGCACGCTCCCGCTCTACGTCCGCCCCAACACGCTGCTGGTGCTGGGCAGGGAGGGCGAGAAGCGGACGGTGTACGACTATACGAGCGATGTGGAGGTGAGGAGCTACTTCGCCGGAGAGGGCGCTAGGGCTGTGCTGGTTGATAGCGACGGCAAGACGGTGGGCACGCTGGAGGTGAAGAACGGAGAGATCACGGGGAAGGAGGCCTTGAAGGGCGATTCTGTTGTTACTGTTGTAAGTGCGTAGTGTAGAGGCAGGGTAGTAGCGATCACATGCATCATGAATCGTGCATCACTCTGTCCTGGATGTCTGTGATGTGGGGCTCTGGCGGTTTCCCGACTTTCCGGGTCACGGATCATATGTACTACACATTCCTCTCCATGGTCTGAGCCTGGTCCCAGTTAGCCAACACGTGAAATCAAACTTGGTTGCCATCATCAAACACAAGTTCCACTCATTCAGCCCGCCTGCCCATCCTCTGCAGCAGAAACTTCCTCTCTCTCTCTCTCTCTCTCTCTCACTCCGCATTCAAACCTGCTTTGTCCGCCCAGAGTTGAGGTCCTCGGCTCTTGGAAGGATCGCGACCCTTGTCACATGAGCCTCTTGTTTTGACCAAGAGAGGACCCAATCAGCGTGTTGCCTGCCGCCTACCCTCGCCTGCAGTCAGTCCACATCTCCACGGCCAGTCTTCTGTCGTACAAAGGTTCTGGATCGGCCCGAACTTCCGGGTTTGCCCAGACAGAGAGAGAGAGGAACTTCGTCGAAGCTCGGTGTCTTTTGTCGCGGTGAAGAGGACGAGACAACGACGAAAAACATGGATCAGCCTAGTTGAGTCTGGGTATTGAGACATTTCACGATGTGGGCTACTACTGTAGTTACCGGTGACACACAATGGAGAAAGCACACCCGAGGAACAAAGCACGGAGTCCGTTCTTGAAGCACCTTCGAAAACAAACCCCTCTTTTCAGCAACGCTTATTAGGTACGACCGTTATCCGTGTTAATACGGAGGGATGTGCTCTCTTAAGATCGAACATGATGTGAACCTAAAATATCTTCCTGTGCCCAGCCGGCGCTGGCACCGCCGAGCTGTCTTCAAAAAGTCTGGTCGAACCACGGCCCGACCCGGGACGTTGACCTCTTTACGGAAGGCTCCCGAGGGCATCTGTTGGTCCCATGAGACCACTGTTTGCAGCAGTCCTCGTCCTCCCCCATGGCTCTGAGCTCTCTCCCCACGGTGGGGACCAGCGCGGTCGATGGTCTGAGTACTGAGTCCTGAGTGGTGGGCTTTTAGAGGCGCACGAATCAAATCCGACCGAATTGAGCCTGAAAAAAACCCCCCCCGATGGCTCCTGGGAACGCGGGGTGCGGTGTGGACTATGTGGAGTGGTAGGATTTACCCCAAGTCTCCCCCAAACCTGTCCAACCACGAGGCGAGTGGGGAGTTGCGTCCGAACCCTGGTTCGATCAAGTTCGGTTGCAACCGGTGATCCAGGGAGGTGGTTCGGAGCGAAAAAGGCTTTCCCCTTGCAAGGTAGGCGGGCGTGTGTGGTGTGTGGTTGGTGATGGCCAGACGCACATTCCGGGTAGGGCATACGTATATAAGCAGGGTGTGCCGATGGCATCCCGCGATGGGCGGACTTTCTTTCCGGGGACTTGTTGGGACCGTGTGGTGGAATCTAGGGCACTATACTAAACTCCAGGCCTGACAACCAACCATGGGGAAAATCTTCAATATCAGCCTGGCGGCCTTTGCCGCCACAGGGTATGTTGTAGCCTATAGGGGATCTGGTTAATGTTTGTATGCATGCTCACAAAGAATGTGCGGCCGCAGCTCGTTCCTGTTCGGCTACGACTCGGGCGTCATGACCGACGTGATCGCCTCCAAGAACTTCCTCGAATTCTTCCACACGGACAAGGGCACGCCCATCATCGGCGCCATCAACAGCACCTTCTCGGGCGGCGCCGTCTTCGGCTCGCTGATGGGCGGCCTGACCATGGACCGGTACGGGCGGCGGAAGACCATCATGATCGGCGCCCTGATCGCCCTCGTGGGCTCCATCCTGCAGGGCGCCGCCCAGAACCTCGCCATGATCCTCGTCGGCCGCATCATTGCCGGCTGGGCCGTCGGCCTGCTGAGCATGTCGGTGCCCGTGTACCAGTCGGAGTGTGCCCACCCCAAGATCCGCGGTCTGATCGTCGGCCTGTCGCAGCAGATGATTGGGGTTGGTTTCATCGTGTAAGTCTTTTTCGTTATGTTACTAGCCGACTCCCTTACTACTAGTAGTCCCGCTAACCGAGAACGACAGCTCTACCTGGGTCGGGTACGGCTCGGCGCACGCGGAAGGCGACTTGGGCCAGTTCCAGTGGCGCTTTCCGCTTGCCTTCCAGGCGCTGCCGGCGCTGATGCTCGTCTGCGGCATCATGTTCTTCCCGGAGTCGCCGCGGCACCTGATGGAGATCGACCGCGAGGAGGAGGCGATGCGGGTGCTGCGCAAGCTGCACTACGACGGCAGCAACGACGAGTGGATCCAGCACGAGTTCCACGAGATCAAGACGACCATCGCGGCCGAGAAGGCCATCACGGTGCCCGGGTGGCGCATCATGTTCACGGTGCCGCAGTGGCGCACACGCCTCATGCACGGCGTGGCCGTCCAGGTCTTCACCCAGTTCACCGGCATCAACGTCATCGGCTACTACCAGACCCAGATGTACGAGGCGCTGGGCATCACGGACAAGCGCGCGCTGATGGTGGCGGGCATCTACAACTGCATGGGCCCGCTCGCCAACCTGATCTTCATCACCTTCCTGATCGACCGCGTCGGCCGGCGGCGCCCCCTGCTGTGGGGCACGGTGGCCATTGCCATCGCGCTGGTCTGCGAGGCGGCCATCAACAGCCAGATCGACAGGGCGAACCCGCAGCACGGCCTCTCCATCGGCGGCGTCTTCTTCCTGTTCTGCGTGACCGTCATCTTCTCGCTCTCGTGGGGCCCCATCTCGTGGGTGTACATGTCCGAGGTGATGCCCATGCAGATCCGCGCCCGCGGCAACGCCTTCGCCACGGGCATCGGCAACTGGCTGGTCTCGACCTTCTGGTCGCAGGTCTCGCCCATCGCGCTCAAGGACCTCAACTGGAAGTTCTACTTCCTGTTTGTGGCCTGGGACCTGGTCGTCACCATCCCGATCGTGTACTTCTTCTTCAAGGAGACCAAGCAGCTGTCGCTCGAGGAGATCGATCTCTTGTTTGGCGAGCGCTCGCTGGGCACGCTGCCCAAGGACCTCAACAAGGGCGAGCTGGCGCAGCCGGAGCAGCATGTTGAGGGGGAAAAGGTGGCGTGAGATAGATAGCAGCGGGGAGGAACAGTGAGGTGTGGGAGGATAAAAGGCGAGGAGTAGTACTAAGTAATAATCAGACGCTTGTCTAGCAATTAAATACACAGGTTCCGAACAGGAGCATAGCATAGAGAAGCAGTTACGACACATAACCATTGATCTCTGGGATCGTGCGCCCTGACATGGTGCAAGAAGTCGGGCAATGGATTAAATTTGTGGACTTGCTCGCGTGGGATAGTTGAGACCGCTTAATTCGGGAAGACTGGCACCAGTGAGCTGATATGGAGCACTTCATACTCCGGGTTGAGGTACAGGTTACAGCACTCGGTTCAATCTGGGCCCCTGGGGTATTGGGGGATGGGTAGGTGCACACGGTAGAAGTCGAGCGTAGCCCGCCTCGCCTTGTGATTAACCCACAGCAGAGGACTGAGTGACACAGCATAGCCGCGGTCACCGATTTCCACTGTATAGCGCCGGCCACTGACGACCCTGCCCAGGCTCCTGCGATCAGCGTAGTGTCGAGACTGGCCATCTTCTTTCCCGTCAACGTAAAGCCACAGCTCGCTCATGCGGTACCAGCAGAGGAAGAGCAGCGATATGTAAAGCCGCAGCTCGGCGGGAAGGCAGGGAAATGGGGCCTGGTGAATGCAGGCACCGTGCGGGGCTCTGACTGACAACTGCCCTTCATCGTTCCACGCCATAGGGTAGCTCCTCCCCCCAAGAAGTGCCACGGTTGTAGGTGCTAGTACCGTTAGGTAACCCATCAGATTGGCCCTCTGGACAGAGTTGACCCGGACAATCACGGATAGCAAAAGAAAAGGGGGGAGGGACGTCTTCCTAGGTCAGGTAGGCTGGGACCAGTTTGCCTGCAAAGACTACGTGATGTCTGATGATACATCTCATCTGCTCACTGTTTGTTTCCCCATACATTAACCACTCCCCCCGGCATCCCTGGAGTCCTGGACAGTACACCGAACACATAAGTATACTAGTATCTCCCACATCTCTTTTCCTTCCAGCAGTTTCTACGCACGGATGGTATACTTGGAGTTACCGCCGGCATTGCCCCAGCCCTCGGTAGCCAGCACCTGGTAGTCGTGGGTGCCGAGGTTCAGGCCGGCCCTCTTCCAGGCGGCGAAGTGGTTGGCCAGCGTGACGGTGCCGCCGCCGGGCCGCTTGTCGACGCGGTTGGAGATGTACTGCCAGAAGGTCGACGTGCCCTGGATGGACGGCTGGTTGACCTGCTGGTGCTTCCAGATCTCGTACGTGCCGCCATCGCTCTGGAAGGTGCCGACCTTCTGGCCCTGCGCCGACCCCTTGCCGTCCGACGTCCACTCCTGCACGTAGTACTCCACCAGCGGGTTGCGCGTCCAGCCGTAGACCGAGACGAGGACCGTGCCGGAGCTGCGCGTGGTGCTGCCCGAGAAGGTGATGTTTCTAGGGGCGGGGGGATACCGAGGTTAGAATCTCACGGGCTATTCCTGACTGTTTCTGATCCCTGGTGACTAAAAAAGGGAGGGGATGTTTAGGTAATAGTACTAGTACTTACCTAGCAGATCCCGTTCTCCAACCCTTGCCCACGACAAAGTCACCGGCGCCGGAGAAGTTGACCGAGTAACCGTTCGAGGTCGGCGAGAAGTTGACGTTGCCGCCGGTCTTGTAGTTCTGGTTGTAGTCCTGGCGGCGGGCCAGCTCATGGGGACCGAACTCAAAGTCGGGAAGGTCGGCGTTGGCAGCAGGGGCAGCGAAGGCCCCAGAAATGGCCGCCGCGGCGACAGCAAGGTAGGTGAGGGCAACCATGATTGCGAGGCGAGATGAGGTACTGTAGACAGGACCGTAATGCACTTTTCTGTTTTCCAGGACAAGCGGCGCCGTCTTCCTGATTATATACACGCGAATACTATCCTCGGGACCGGTTTCGCCATGCTCGTGATTCCGGCAATATGGACCGGGAGAATAGCCACGGACGGGCACAGAGCAGTCCCTGTACTCCACCTCAGTAACATGAAGGGACGATGGTATGGATCAAATCAATGCTGCGAGAACACGTACTCGCAGCAGCGTGTCGCGATGCTTGGCTGCTCTTTTGCCATATCTCGACCCAGGGGCATACTAGCTGCCGCAGATAAGCTTTGGGACAGGGGGCCAGCCCCTGGTTGGTGCAAGATCTATATGAACTTTGTGGGGTATTGTATCTGCCGGCACACACATCGGGACTCGGCTGTGCCACTCTTCTGTTTCTGGGACGATTGAGCACCGGAGTTTGTAGTTTACAAGCGCTCGGAGCGGCTGTTTCCTTCGGGACTCCACTATCGCTTACGGTTTATATTAAGGGATATTGAACTTCCCCGTGACGTGCACTCCGTGCATGCCGTGCTTTATCAGTGCAGCTATTTCTCTCGGAGTCTTGGCTAAATGGGCCAGACCAGGAAACCACCGAGGCCAAGGAGAACCGGAGACTCTTTCAACTAGCTCGTTTCAACTTCCAAGGCTGGACAAGCTTTTCGGCCCGCAGGCTTGGTATACTTGGCATGCTTATTAGCCTAAATATCGCATCCCAGCGGCCGAGCTCCCGGTAGGTACATAGTGTGTATGTAACCTATGTGCGGTTCGATATCACGGAATACGACTGTCTCCCTGCTTGCAAGATAGCCGACTACTACTACTATGTTGGAACCCTGGCCCATGCGTCTAGAAACCGAGCTTCCCTCCCAATGCTGCCGGCTCTTGCTGATGGCGCTCGCGGCCGGCGGGGCCCAGCTCCACGGGACCTTGCATTTCCCTAGCGACATTGGTGCTATAAACAGTTACATATCTGAGCGAAGGAGATACTATCCAAGTCGTCGTTACTAAGGTCTCAGAAAATGATGTAGAGTGCCCTGGCTTTATGTGGGTAAACCAGCTTCGAAAACCACCTTCTTGTCTTCACTCCTACGATGTTTCTTTCTTTGGTTATCCATCAGACACTAGTGAGCCGCGGCCGTGGGTTCTCTCTGTCCCATGTAGCCCGTCTGCTGTCCTCCCTGGCTTGCTCCAATCGTTTCCGGGACTCCGGCAATTGTGATATCCACAAGTAAACTCGGTTCCTCCGGTCCTCTTCCACTCTCCATCGTGTTGCCCATGGTACGCTCTGCTGCAGAGGAACTGTGTTTGGTGTTAGTCGAGTTTGCTGGTCTCCATATTAGTAGTAGTGGGAGATAGGTGACTAGCACTAACTTGAACTGATGGCGTTGCCGTCTAATGGCGGTTGTCCCGGACGACGCCAAGGGAGCTGAAACAAGCTTTCCCGGCGCGTTCTCACAAACAAGAGCCGGTCACCGGGTGCCCAGCACATACTGGATGGTGTTGGTGGCAATGGACTAGCGGAGAAGGGGCTCTTGAACCGGTCCAGCACGTGGTGTTGGAAAACAAACTCTCCGCTGAGGATGATGTCGCAAGGGAGATCCTCGACGAGGTGAAGGTCACAGATGAAGGTTGTTCTGTCCAACCCTCCAGTGGCGCGATCAGCATATGACATGCCGGCCACCAGATCAAGATACGCATCGTACTCCATTGAGGGTCTGGAGCTTGGTGGGATGTCTAACTCCAACCGAGCGTTGAGCACCATTCCATCGGTCCAGATGCTAGAGCCATCGATCGGGACGAGTTCCCGCCGGTACCGATCCTCGCTATGAATTTTGAACCCGTTGCGGCGCGCAAAGTTCCCCGACACGAGCATCAGGTCAGAGCCGGTATCCGGGAACGCCGATGCGGCGGATCCGTTCACGGAACACCGGATATGGTGGTCCTGGGGCGATTCGTGCAGCAAGCAAAAGCGGTTGCCGCTCCGAAGAAGCGGCCGCACGCGCTCGACAATCCTGCCACTGGACAGACCGGTGGTTCCAGTCTCTCGCAGAAACGCGCCCCCCAACACCACCTTGCAGAGGCTCTCCCGTAAGACATAGAACTCGCGGCGGAATACCTGCCTCTCGCCTCTGAACTGGAAGTCGGCCGTGACTCGTCCAATGATCTCAGCCTTTCTTTTTCCCAGGAGATCGATAGGGACCCCGCCGGGAATGATATCAAAGCCGTGGCGTCGAGCAAATTCCTCCGAGATGGCGTTGATGGAAGAGCCCGAATCCGGTAGTGCGCGGACGGGGATACCGTTGAGGCTGCCGGGGGCTTCGAACCACCGGGCCTCCCACGATTTCGCTGTCGGCGGGCTTCCACATCCTCGTTCGCACGGCTCCGGTTCCGAGGTCTCGATTAGCGCGGTATTTCAACGCAGTCTTGCGGTAGTGGTATGCTCGCGGCTGGTCCGGCTGCTGTCTGTACAGCTCCTCAGCCTCCTCTATGATCTGGAGAGTGACACTCGTATCCCCGCGTCTTCGGCTCTTTAGCCACGTTCGTACTACCCGCTCATTACGCCTCCTGAAGTTCCTAGACTCCGAAAGGTTGTTGGAAGGCCGTCTCGTCAGCGGATCCCTAGTTCTGGAACAGGGAAAAGGCTACAGTACAAAACAATCGGGTATGATTATTTGATCGACTCCGTCCCGCATCTGATCCCGCTTCGGCGCAATCGTCGTAGGATAGTTGAGCGATTCTTCGGGCGGCCTGCTGCAGAGTTCCAGGGCTTGCGAGTCCTCCCAACGGCCCCAAGTGCTGAGTACGACTATGTCTTCTTCGTATGCAGACCAAAGTACCTCCGAATAATCCGATGCGGCTATTGGCCGTGAAGGTGCCATCGTGCTGAGCTTCTGAGCGCGTTCGGGTGACGTGATCTCCTGGAAGGTCACCTCCTCGGGACCCCAGGTATGCGACAGAATGGCATATGGAGGGCAATCGCTACTGCTATGGAACTGCCTCAGCTCCAGTGCCGTTGGATGAAGTAGACGCATTCTTGAATTGATGACGATTCCGAGGGCTCGCTCGGCGCAAAAGAAGAAAAAAAGGAAGAAGCGAGTTATCGGTAGCGCTAGAGCAACAACTTGTTTCGGTTGTGGAAGATAAACAGTTTATGGAGCGGTGAGGTCGGGAAACGTACCTAACCTTAGTACCTACTACTGTTGACGCCCGATAGAAAGCCTACAGCTCAGCCACAACGGCAGTGTAACCCGAGTTGTCACGTCGCGTTCACGTTACCGGAAGTCCACGGTACCTAAACAGCCAAGATAATAATAATACAGCGAGTACTCGATCTCGCAGAACCTCAGATTGACAGGTCGTCGCCGAGAAGCGATGTCCAACAAAAGATGGATATCGAAAACAGACCAGAAGAGACAGGATTCCCCGCGCTGGCCCGCAAACTCGCCATCAACCCGGATTACGAAGGTTTTGTCTTCCGCACCTTCGACCGGCTCAGCGCCCGGAATCTGCTTCACATGGAGGCAAAACTGGCTTGTCTGGAATGGAAGCTCGATCAAGTGGACGAACGGGTTGCCCACGGAGACAACGAGGGCCTCCGGTCGATCCGTGCCTGGGAGGCTTTCGAGGAAAGCGCTAAGCACGACGCTCGGCCTGAGTATTTGCAAATGAAGATGTGCGAAGAAATAAAAGAGGCTCTGAAAGAGTACCGTGGGTACCATCTTGTCCTACTTACTACTACTAGTTCTCTCGTATACAAGCCCTGACTAAGAAGATTACTGTTTGATACAGAGGAGGCTCTCTTACGCCAACATCAAGTCGCGAGTCTTGGAGAACCGGAAACCCGAGTCCTCAAAGCCTTACGAAACCAGTCCCACAGTACTCAGGGGGACCCTCTCCTAGCTGGCCTCGCTGCCAACAGGCTCGACGACAGCAACCGATGGGATCTTGTGGCCATACGTCGCCCCGTCGACAAGGACATGCTGTTCGTCTTCCTCCAGAACCACTGGATGTTCCGAACAACCAAAATCCCCAATGACACGGAGTACTACAAGGAAAACCACGTCGCCTGGGCGGGCGCCGTCATTAGCACCGGAGCTGCCGCAGGTCTCCTGCTCGGGGCGATAGTGGCGCTGCGGGTGCTGGAAGACCGAGATGTCCAGCTGGGGCTTATTGGCATATTCATGGCTCTCTTTGCCATCAGCGTGGCCGTCTTGACAAATGCAAGGAGGGCCGAGGTGTCCGCCTCCACGGTGGCGTACGCGGCGTTTCTTGTTGTCTTCGTCTCATCGTCGCCGTGGTCCTCGGGCGTTGGCAAGGATTGTGCACGATGAGTTTGCTGAGCCGACCTGAGGTACAAGCCTGGTGCAGATTGTTCCAATATGGCCATATTCTAGGGTAATAGCAAGCCCCGTTTCACTCCAAGACCAAGAGTTTGTGTTCTCGCTGCTGCTCACTGATCCGGACTGTGCTTCCCCACACCAACCAAGAGAGTCCAGCCACATGGCTGCCAGCAATGTGATCTATGGCGCCATTATGCGTGAAGCGTTGGCCTTCCCTACTTTCATGATCTCGTGGTTCTCAGTCTAAACACATGAAGTTAGCTATCAAAGAAAGATGCCAGCGCAGCTATATCACATGGATCATGAATGCCAGATGGCCTGCTATGCTAAAAGGGCATATAAATGAAGCCCTGCTATCTTTAACCAATCCCTACATTCAAGGTGCACCTCCTTAGTCCATCACTTCCAAGAACGAGAGAGCCTTAGCAACTCAAGCAAGTCCAAGCAACTCCGACGCCCTTCTTCCAAAGAACTCTATCCACAACACACAGCAGGTCCCTCACAGCAGTTCCACCATCCCATGCTCGTTTATTACCCTTGTCGCTAACAAAGCCACGGGTAGGAATCTACCAACCACGATGTGCACGAAACAATGGGTCACCCGCACATATAAGATTTGCGGTTGTACGGTCTTGAAACAAGAAACCAAGGAATGCGATAACCCGAATGCCCGCGACCACTCCGTCACAGAGCTGCCGGATACTATCGGCGAAGACGTTTATGAGGTGTGTAAGCACCACTTGGCGCTTGCGAATTAGCGACCACATATGCTTTGTTGGGAAGGGGGGTGGCGCCGAGGTCATGCTCGGTACCTATGGGATGGAAGGAATCGAAGGATGGCAGGCAGAGACTTCACAACAGGCAGTAGTAATACACGATGAGGGGGAGCTTTGATTGAGCGTGGCTGGGTCCCCGCGCTCAATCTCATTGATTTCTAGGTAGCGTATAGTATTATCGACACTGGTTGTTAGCGGCACATCCCCGAGTACGACGAGTAGGCCCAGTGATTAACCGCCCATGGGCGCCCATAGATAACCGGTGAAAAAGTAGGTGGGTACCTAGCCCATGTCACGGTCGGTACGGGTGTCGCCCCGGGTAGGAGTCGAACCTACGACCTTCCTAGTGGAACGGACGAAGTAGGGCATAGGTCACGTGATCTATAAATCGGGAAATATCCTTATGTAATTCTGGGCTAACTGATCTAGAACTCTTCTTTTCTTTCTTCGAGCTTAGTTTAATGGAATTAAGTATTATAAATAGCCGACTTAACCTTATTAAATATACTATACTATTATAGCTCACTTATAATAGATAAGAGATTATAGATACCTATTTAAATCTAAATAGGTAAATAGTTATAGGTAATTAGATTAACGTTAAATAGGTAATAGATAATAGTTAACTGATACTTGTCACGAATTAAGCTAATAGGACAGCTGCAGGTGGGATAACCTGGCGGGTGGCGTAGGACACACCCGAACCAATTATTTAGGACTAATAAGAAGGAGCTCTAGGGAGCTCTAGAGAGCAGACAAGAGCTTAGAGACCTAAGCTAATCAGCATGAAGGGATGGAAACTCTCGATGGAGTCAACAGAGCATCAAGCTCTAGAGAGCTCTATAGAGCACATGAGAGCACCCAAGGATAGACAGTATATAGTCACTTGTTCTGGAGGACTTTGGGAGTTCTCTAGTGAGCAATTCAAGCAGTAGCCTTTATCTACTGTGTAGACATTGCGACTTGCATTGTTGTGAACCCTTTGGCTTCATCGAGACCTACTGTGACAGTGGAACACACTGACTATGATGATGATATCATTTGTATATATAATGATTCATCATACCAAGTGATGATTCATTATACATGTTCCATTACATTATGCATGCAAACTCAGACCTACTCGCATCCTGTATCTAAAGCTTACCTTGCAGTCTCGAGGATTTCTTTCCTCCTACAAGTTCAATATTCTTGCAATGCAGTCAGTTTACCACCAGAGGCTTGACTCTGGCCTTGAACGACGGCCCTCGTGATAATGCAGTATGATTGGTTGGTTGTGGAGCGCATGCTCTACCTTCTATATCTAGTAAGTACCTCACATCTTATATCCTATATTTAGGCTTTCCTGCTTGTCACGAATCAGTAGATGCAGGCCAGGCTCAATGGCTCTGGTGGGCAACTGACTGTATTGCAAGAATACTGAACTTGCAGAAGGAAGAGTTCTGCAAGTAGAAGATGCGAAGCAGTGTGATGGTGGAACCCACCGTACCATGCATGATGCATGCAGTATGATTGGTTGGTTGTGGAGCGCATGCTCCACCTTCTATATCTGGCAAGTGCCCCACATCCCACATCCTATATTTAGACTTTCCTGCTTCGTATCTTCCACTTGCAGAACTCTTCCTTCTGTAAGTTCAGTATTCTTGCAATACAGTCAGTTGTCCACCAGAGCTATTGAGCCTGGCCTGCATCTACCGATTCGTGATAAGTAGCTACTACCTTACTATTTAGACATTGTGATTGCAGTATTAAAAACCCTTTGGCTTTACCGAGACCTATAGTCTAACCAGTAGATATCTTCGACTGTTATGGGCATAGCCCATGCCATGTCGTAGAGTAGGGTTAGGGTTCAGGCACGAGGGTTGTGGAGCCCTGGTCGGGCCCACAGGGTTGGTCTGTGCAGCGCAGGGTATTTGCCTGCGCGCGGCAGGGCCACACTTCTAATTCTCTCGTGCAACTACATATATACCATTGCACCCCATATGGTCTGTGATAGTTAGTTGCACCTCTAGTTCGTGCGCGTTCTTTCGACTGGCTATGTAACTATAGGCTATTTTCAATTGATTCAGAGAGTTTCAGCAATTCTGAGCGACATTTCGGCGATTCGGTACGCTGAGCGATTCTCCATATAGCGACTTTAGAGCTCTGTAGCCAGTCGGAACGTGGTGCGGACTACCGGTTTACAGTTACAAGGATTCAAGCGAGCGAATCACGGCCTTCGGAGCCGTCGGAATACGACATTGAGCAGTGCTAAGGCGGCAGCGATACGATATTATAAGCATGGTATACCGGGATTTTATGATGCCCGATACGGACGACGACTTAGAGGCAGCATACTCGGAGGACGTGTTGCACGAAGCCGATTCGCCGTAGGCAATGCCCTCGCTAGTGCGCGAGAAAAGTGAGATTAAGCCTAGAAACGAAGTAGAGAAAGTCGCCCACGAAGCGACCAAGGATAACAGGCGCGATATATGCAAGGAAATCGTCAACCTAATCGACAGAACGAAGCATCTAAGGCTAAAGAACTAGCTCGATATATATAATCGCCCTATTTTCAATAGTGAGAATATCCTATACGTAGTCTACTAGAGCCTTCGCTGGAGCTTAGGAGCCAAGGTCATTATATTGTTCGAGCATATGTTATAAATTAAAACCGAGCGTTATAATAGGGTCTAGGAGCTTCTTACTAGTATATAGGCGCGCGCCCGGGAGCTCGAGCAGAGCCTCTAGAATATCTAGGCGCTCCTGAATGAGGCCTAGGTACATATTACAAGCCTGGAGATAGCGAACACGGCCAAAGATGGCGTTATTATAAGTATAGCGACCCTGGTTAACAATAGTGGCAAGATAGGCAGCATAAGCGAGGACGTTAGTAAGCTAGTTAATGCAACCGTTATATACCTATAGCCGTTCAACAGTCAGGAGCGCGACATGGCTAAGCGTATAGCCTAGTTCCGTACCTAGCATACAAAAATCATCGAGCGCTAGAATAGCCACCCCGAGGACTATACTAACAAATATAGCAAGATTTCATATACCAGTTCAATGCTCGAGGGTATCGCCTTTTCCTTAGTCATTAGGGGCCTTAACAAGGTCAATGCAAGCCCTAAGAACGACTTAGAATAGCTCTAGAAAACAGGCGAGGAATTCCTAGCCTACCTGGCCAAGAAATATAAGACAATGGACCTGGCTATAGCAGTGGAAAACAAGCTGTGCAACCTAACCTAGACCAGCCGCTAGGCTAATTTCACCGACTTTATTACTAAGTTCAATAACTTGGCAGACGAATGCGAGTAGGACGATGTCGCTTGCGTATATGGCCTATATAAGAAGTTTAGTGACAGCCTGTATAATACAGTCGCAGTATAGGTTAACCTGCATGCTACGAATGACTAGGAGAATTAGGTCGATATAGCTAATAAGCTTGTGGTTAACCTCGAGAACGCAAAGCATAGGAAGAACAACGGCTATAACCACGGCAGTAACTATAGCAACTAAGGCAGCAACAAGAGCAACAACGGTAATAACGCAGGTGACCCTATGGACCTAGACCGCCTAAAGGTCGCGAAAATCAAGGTTTCCTAGGCCGAATATAACCACCATGCGAACGAGGGCTTGTGTTTCAGCTGCGGCATGGCTGGCTATATCGCCAAATGGTGCAGGGCCGAAACCAACCTGGGCCGCGGCAACTAGAACAACAGAGGCAGAGGCGGCCGAAGCAGTTAGAGCGGCCAATAGCGCAACGAACAGGGCAATAGCAATACGCCCTATGGAGCATAGAATATATTCCCGTAGCAGATTCCATAGAACTCCCAGGGAGCCTAGGCGGGTTACACCGGCACTTAGGGATATGCCGGCACCTAAGGCAATGCCGTTAACAGAGTGCGGCAGCCCGGCGGCAACTGCCAGTACCAGAGCGTTCGCTTTATAAATATACCTAACCCTGGCTTTGCCTTTAAGATCAGCAGCAACTCTATAGAGGACTAAGTCAAGGTATACAAGGATAAGGACTTCAAAAGGCAGGGAAAAGCCTAACCTCCGTGTAAAGTCGTGTATAGAGATATAATCACTAGGATTATAGGAAGGAACAGAGACTTGTTTTAAGTATATTAGGGCAGTCAAAGAATTCTATTATATTATCCTCCTACCTGATCGATGACAGTAAGTGTAGAATAGTATATATAGCGCTTGTAGATTCGGGATATACCGGCCTGGCATTTCTCGACTTCGGTTTCGCTATATAGCATAGTATTCTAATATTCAAGCTTGCAAGGCCAAAGCCGCTATATCTTGCTGACAGCGCTAC